CTCAGATATGGAAGGATACAAGACAGGCACTGATGGTAGTATTTGGAGACTCCTCGGGGCCAACTTGGGATTGGTCGCTCACGCACCTTCGTTATATCAACACAGCCCCCAATACTCGGAATGCGTCAGTGCACTGTACATATAACCGTCTACTTGGAATATCTCATTTGTGTTCGAAGCCTTGGTTCAGCCTGGCTATTAGTAACGAAAGATTCGAGCTATATACAGTTTACCTTCCTGTCCCTAGACTACGCCACTGTGATTGTAGTGTAGGAACATTGAGCTGTGATATTAACTGTTATAGCTAGCAACTATACATAATAATGTAGTTTAATTCGAATTTTGATCAAGGCACTACTCTTAAAAGCATAATCAACTAACCTAGCAGAAGGAAAACGCCTAATGTTAACTTAAGGTTCAGGAGACTTGGACGGTAGCTCATTCTTTCTTCAACGGTATGGCCTTACGTATTTCTTCAATAATGACTTCGTTATTACTATCGGCCCCCGGCAGTAGTCTTAGCGTTAGTAAGGTGGCTACTAGATCCTTAACTTATAAACTAGTAATCCAGGGCTGTAGCTAGGGTTAGATTAATAGAATGAGTACATCCTGCGTCTCTACCGTATATGTTACGCTACTATCTTAATATGTCAGTGTAGCAGGCAGGAGCTATTCTGGCTATGCTTAAGATGTCGGTTAATAGCCACACATAGCAAGGGAATATGTACTCGACAGTAGTTATGTAAACTAGGTGTTTGCCGCTGAATGGGAGCAGGAAGACAGGACTGTCAAGGCATTTGGAAACTCGCATTATGACTGGACGTCAATAGAAGCACGTCGGAAGTCCGCCACATTGACATAAATATTATTCATATATTCATAACGTACCCCACGGTCCAATTGAACACTTTCGCGCATTTCCGTACAACCTAGGTTTTATCCCTTATTTTCCACCTTCTACAATGGCACGTAATTGGGAAGAAAGCGATATTCAATTAGCGCTTCAAGCGCTTCAAAATAACCCCAAACTAAGCGTACGATCCGTAGCACGGATCTATAATATCCCTCATACAACCTTACGTCACCGATATCGCGGCGGTACTTCACGACAGGATATACGATCACCAACGCAAAAGCTTACCTATTCCGAAGAAGACGCGATCGTACGCTACATAGTCGACCTAGATTCACCATCATTTCCTCCTCGAATAAGTGGTGTTGAAGATATGGCGAATCGACTACTCCACCAACGCGACGCAGGACGCGTCGGTATTAACTGGGCTTCGAGCTTCGTACAACGACAACCAGATCTCCGGACGCGTTTTAATCGAAGAATCGACTACCAGAGAGTCCTCTGCGAAGATCCCGACGCGTACCGCGCGTGGTTTTATCTCGTATGGAATACAATTAATAAGTATGGAATTCAAGAGGAGGATATCTATAATTTTGACGAGACTGGGTTTCTTATGGGTCAAATCTCATCCGAGATAGTTGTAACGACCTCTGATCGACGTGGAAGACCTAGAGCAGTACAGCAAGGGAATAGGGAATGGGTTACAGTTATCCAGGGCGTCGGATCGGACGGCTATACTATCCCTCCGTATATCATCTTTGCTGGTAAAACTCACCTATCTTCGTGGTACGAAAATAGCCTACTACCAAAGGATTGGGTTATCGCTGTTACGAAAAATGGCTGGACTACAAATGAAAGCGGCGAGGACTGGATTCGACATTTCGATCAACATACAAAGCTTCGTACGAAAGGTGTTTATCGCCTCTTAATTCTCGACGGCCACGAGAGCCACCACTCGACCGCTTTCGAGCTCTACTGTAAAGAGAACTCTATTATCACACTCTGTATGCCTGCTCATTCGTCGCATAAGCTCCAACCTCTCGATATCGGCTGTTTTCGTGTACTGAAAAGAGCGTACGGTAAAGAAATTGAGGATCTTATGCGGGCACATATTACCCATATCTCGAAGGAGGACTTCCTCTCCGCGTTCTTAAAAGCGTTCCAGGCAACTTTTACGATATCAAATATCCAAGGAGGTTTCCGAGGGGCAGGACTCGTACCGTACGATCCGGAATATGTGATTTCACAGTTAGATGTGAAGTTACATACTCCAACACCTCCGGGTACCTCGTCTGGCCTTCCTATTATCTGGGAGTCGAAGACCCCAAATAACCCAATTGAGGCACAATCCCAGACCGAATACGTGAAAAACCGAGTTATACGGCATCAAAATAGCTCTCCGACAGCTACACTTACTGCACTTGACCAGTTTGCGAAGGGTACGACGCAGGTTATGCACCGGCTTGCTCTTTTAGAGGGTGAGAACGCCGCGCTTCGAAAGGCAAATGAGACACTTAGCCGGCGGCGTTATACGAGAAAAAAACGTTTACAATATGGAGGATCACTTCGTATACAAGCTGGAGAAGATTTACAGTCTCAGAAGCTAGTTAACGGAGAGTTAGATAATAAATCGCGCTGGAGTCGTAGTCGTACGAGGAGGCCAGAGATACTTCAGCAACGCTGTAGGACGTGCGGAGAGCCCAGTCATAATATGCGTACTTGTCAGAATAGTAAAGAGATATCTGAAGAAGATAGTTCCGAGTAGTTTTAATTATTTTTTTACGTTATAGTTGAATTAACTTATGTCTTATTGTACGAGGTCTTAAGAAGTGTTCAATTGGACCGTGGGGTACGTTATAAGATATCCTTTCCTAGATGCAACGAACTTTTCAGGTGCGTCAGTGGCATCAGCATGTGTAGAAATATTGTTCACATATCTATTAAACTTGTCATTATATAAATAATGTCAGCACAAGCTAAGCTATGGACGAAGTTGAACATAGGCAGCCTGATGCTGTCAGCTAAATGGTGCTGGTTGTTTCGAGATAACATATAATCTGTTCTAAAAACTCAAGAGAACTATGCTACTTTTGAGTTGTAAAAGGCTGATAAACTACTTAATAAGCCCAACAAACCCCATACTAGCTATACCCATGGCGAAAACACAATAATCCACGTGGTCGAATTCACAATAACACATCAGAAGTGCTTGCTGAGCCAATAAACTGCGACATACGTGCATCTATCAACTTACTACATCTTGATCTACCAGGGGGCTCAAACTCCAAATCAGCCCCGCGAACGAGGGAACAGGTGAGCTATCTCGGAACAAATGCTTACTGGCTGGTGAAAAGTTGTCAATAGTTATCCTCAAGTAGCCTGATCCTTGGCAGTTGTACCTAAATGTCCGATGGGTATTCCTATACTTACAGGGGTTCTCCAGCCTTGTGGCCGCCGACGAGGATTTCCAGACCGTGCATCGCGTTGCCGTGACACGGCTCCTCAACCACGCGCAGATGAACCTGGCTCTTAATCATGGGACGGGTCGTAGTATAGGTCACGAGATCTGTCCAAGCCGCCCCTTCAAGACGAAAGCATGTAACAATACCTTGATAATACCAGTTTTGGTCCTGGGCGGCTTGCAGATCTGAGGATCTCGTTCAGCCCCGATCGACCCACCGATGTTTCCACCGCTTGGACATCGCGCTTGACTCCCTGCTTTTCAATGCCTTCTCTCGCTGTCGTTGTGTGCAAAGGCCCCCTTGCCATCCTCAACAGCACAAGCTGGCAGCTTCTATGGGCGATAAACCACATCAACGTGAAGAACCTGGAGACACAGCTGGGTGGCTGGCTTGGCTACACCACGCTGGACTCGCCATTTTCCAACATCCTCCCAGGTGATGGACTTGATTGAAACAGCCCTAAAGTTGTGGACATCGTTCTATATAAATCAGGTCCTTTGCATAAAGTGGTAATTTCGCCAACAGCGACGTTGGTTTCTAATTTAACATACGACGAGTCATGAAAGCCTCCACCTCCTGCCCCAGGCCCAGGGCACGGCCGGCGGGAGAGCACTGAGCCCAGGGAGGTCCCTACACCGTGATCTAAATTTGTGTGATCGTCAATAAGTGTTTGGACTTTCTGGTAACGAGCTTCCAGTACCATGGCGCTTTGTTACTTATCGAGTCGGCACGGGGACAGGGCGGCGTGTTCGACCTTCATATTGTAAGGAACCCAATCGCGCCGCCGAAATTTTTTTTCCTGAAAGCCATTTTTTGGTCTTATCAATCCCCATGACATCGCCAAATCCGCCGTCACTTCATTTGGACTGGTAATTTGACGAGTGTAACCTTTCGTCATGGGGGCTACGCCGTGGGAGCCTGCCGTCGCGATCCCGACACTGGTGGCTACTTCGTTGTCGGCTATGGCCACGGGGTTCGTCATCGTTCTCTGGCTGCTTTCGAAGGGGGAAAAGAATTCGTTGCGGTATTCACTCGTATTAAACTTGACTTTTGCCGGTATGCGAACAAACAACCTACCGCCGCGCTAGAGGGACAATGCCCAGTACTGACCCAAGTTGCAGAGTTTATCAACGCTGCCAACAACTTGGTGTCGGGAACATACGTCGTTGCCACGAAGCATGACCTCGAATGGGGTCCCAGCTGCGATGCCAATGGATGGATAGGTCAAGTGTCGGTGCAGGTAGGTTGCATCTGGAGGCTTCCGGGGGCGTTCGGGGGGAACAAAACTAACCCATGCATCGACCAGGCTGCCGACTTCTCAGTACTCGTCATCGCCGTGGTGACTTTGTTGACCATGAACTTCCAATCCTGGGTGATGCGCGCATCCTTTAAACACAACGTGGCCATTTGCCTATCCACATGGATCGTCCCCCTGTGCACAGGTTCGATCGCCCTGGCCATCGGGAAAATAGCACCAGTCTCCGGGAACTGGTGCTGGATATCCGAACATCCGGGCAACTTGCGATACATCCTTACCCACGGCTGGCGATTTGGCAGCTTCATCATCATCCTCATCATATACATATTCATGTTTTGCCGCGTATACAGCCACGTACGGAGAAGGAAGCGCCTCAACGGTAGCCGGATATACACCTTAGACCTCGAATCCGATTCAGTAGTCGATATCAACCTCGGTGCGGTGGTTAACAAAGACAAAGTAGACCAGGAGCTGACCTCTCCGCCCACACCGAGAGAGGCGGCGCCGTCGCAAGGTGAGCAACCATGGCAAGGCAACTTGCCTTATGGCTTTCGTTTGGCTGAACTGAGCAACACAGAACACCTAACCCGGCCCAAACGCACCGCGTCTCTAAGCCGCGACTTCTCCCTCGACGACCACCCGCCACGTAGCACGAAATCCCTTGAGCGACCCCGATCGCGGTCCCGAGTGCAGCAGGCCTCGGCACTCGACAACGAGATGCGCCACTGGCTTCTGCTGTCGATATATCCGCTTACGTACATCCTGGTGTGGATCCCGGGGATCGCCAACCGGCTTGTGGAAATGACGGGCGGCTCGTCACATGTGCTTGAGATAATGCAGGCGACGACGCAGTTGACGGGGTTGGTGAATGCGTTGGCGTATGGGATTAGGGAACATCGGCAGACTTTGAAGAGGTGGCGGCGGTTGAGAGTTGATGAGATGAGATGAGATGAGATGAGATGACGTGTTGATGATGGAGCGAGCAAGTAATGTAATGTGCACATCATGATTTCGTCGATACCCCAAGAATGAAATGTTCTCCTTTTTGCAGCTCACGGCGACGATTATTTGGAAGACACGTGCTTATTGACACCGAAAGGTCTCAACTTGCCTTCTGAACTGGGACGGGGCGGATACTACAGAGCGCTGGGAAGGGATAAGGAGGATCGATTGGCTGACTCAACTGGCAGATTGATATTGGAGGCAGGGCACATCACCAGCTGTAAGCAACAAACGCCGCGGCAAGTGTAGAGCTGAGCCATCATGACAACATGAGAGAGGGTAGAGTTGCAACAAAGCTTGCTTAGCAAGGCGCGAGGATCCAACTTGATCTTCATAAGTTGCTGTGGTTTCACAAATTCCTCATCAGGATATCTGCTTCACTGATGACAACTCAGTACATCGCATCGTAGTTGGCTCAGAGTTAAATTCAGTAGCGGCCGCACGGTTCCCACCCCCAGCTTGAAGCAGACGTGTCCACATGACTCTTGGCACTTCTGAGTTTACAGCTAGCAAGCCCTCCCTATTGGTGAATTGAATTAAGTTAAACACCTGTCAAGTTAAACAAACAGTTGGGATCTGGGCAGGTCGATCGAAGCATTTGTCGTTCAATCCTACGCCAACTTTGGGAAATCCTCAAAAGGTAGTGAGCATTTCGTAAGTGACGTAACTGTAAAGTCCCGAGGTTTCCGCGGGTGGTGAGCAGGTTGGTGGAGCCTTTATTATCTGCAAGCATCAGCTCCATTGCAAGTGTCTCGGCTAGAGCTTTGTCTTCAGAGTTCTCCCTTTAGTCATAGCAAACTGATGTCTTGACAATTATGGACACGAGGCCCTTGTTCAAAAACTTGCTGTGATTAGGAACCATGACGCTGCTGATGACATTGCGTGTCGCGAAAGTGTAATTCAGCTCGCGCGTGCAACATAGACCATTTAGAGATGATGGAGGCTCAATCCAGACTCTTTGGCCGCGGTACGTCAATTCCGAATGCCCGCACAACATATCTTGCACCTGTGTAGTCGTACCACTTGGCTGACTGGCTGACTTGCACTTGCAGACGTCTCGTGGTCTTCGATACCAACTCACGAGTTGCTGGCGGAAATATCGCGACGCCAGGATGCTGAGGCCGACCAGCCGGCCTGCGGGTCGAATCAGAGAGGCGCATACGACACGTCCTTACACGTTTTCGCCCTCTTCCTGATATTGGCATTGAGTACATTGGGTAGGACGTCCAGTCGAACAATCCAACTTCCGCTCGGCAATGCGTTCGCCAAGCCGATCACTGACCGATCACTGACATTCTTCTGTTTCCGTAGCCTGCGGTTTCCCACTCTTTTCGCGCCGCGCTTCCCAGAGCCGACGATCGAACCGGTTCGTCTTCCTGAGCCAGCATTTCGGAACCGGCGTCCTCCTCGCGACTGCCTTTGTCCACCTCCTGCCGACCGCCTTCCAGTCCCTTACCGACCCATGCCTGCCATATCTCTTCAGCCAAGCATACAAGCCGATGCCTGGCTTGATCGCCATGATATCCGCATTGGTCGTTGTGACCATCGAATCATATCTGACCACGAGAGGGGCTGGGCATTCTCATTCGCACCATGCCCATGATTGGGAATCAGACGATGAAGATGGGCAGGAGGGGACTCCACAAATAACTGTCAGCGGTACGAGCAGCTTGGCTGCGAAGCGCTCATCCAGTCGCCGCCCCGCAGACATTGCGCTGGGGGATCTCGGCCCTGGCGAGGGACAGGGGCTCATGGCCGGCGCGTCGCCTCTTCCCGAGTCCACGCCTACTTCCGTTCCACTGTCGAACGCGAAGCACTTTGTCCCGAACAAAGATGTTGACGATGGGCATGAGGATGAGGATGAAGATGAGGACGATCAGGATCTCGAGCTGAACCTCGACGAACTCGATCCGAGAACCATAGAAGCGGAGGATACCCGCCCCTTGGCTCGCCCCAAGACTCACAACCCTTCGAAGCAGGCCTCCGAGTCTAACTTACCACCGACACCCAGTCCGGAGGAGCAGAAACGCCTCATGCTGCAATGCTTGATGCTAGAAGCAGGCATCCTCTTCCACAGCATCTTCATCGGCATGGCGGTTTCGGTAGCCACAGGCCCACCTTTTGTGGTTTTTTTGATTGCCATTGCCTTCCATCAGACCTTCGAGGGCCTCGCCCTGGGTTCACGTATTGCGGCGATCCAGTTCCCCAGGCGCTCAATACGGCCCTGGTTGATGGTGTTGGCATACGGAATGACGACCCCCATTGGACAAGCAATCGGGCTGGTCGTGCACAACATGTACGATCCCATGAGCCAGACAGGATTGCTGATGGTGGGCTTCATGAATGCCATATCGAGCGGGCTGCTCCTCTTTGCTGGCCTAGTACAGCTGCTCGCTGAAGATTTCCTGACTGAGAAGAGCTATAAGATACTAAAAGGGAGGAACAGAGCTCATGCTTTCTCAGCAGTGATTGCCGGGGCCATGTTGATGGCCGCGGTGGGCGCCTTCGCATAGGATGCGAAAGGCGACTTGTGACTTCACAGTCCATCTCGTGAGTGGACAATCTAGAGGTTCGATATGAGGTGAAACAGAGGCCCGGGGTTACATATAATACATAGGGGCATTGCTACACTGTTCCTGCTTCGACAATCCAAGTTCGTTACACGGCACTTCGGCCAGAGGAGCGATATGAAGGTCGTGAATTTGATAAACACGCTTTATTCGATAACATCCCGCGCGTAGTATCCAACGCTGACTGCATGAAGCCGCAGTGCTGGTTCGGGAAGAGTAGTCCAGAAACGTCCTCCACGTGACACCCCATCCCTTACCTTGCACTCAACCATGCGTCGCCGGCGGAAACGCAGCAGCCATCCAATCAAAATCGGGGTTGTCATACCCACCCCCCTCCTTCCAAGTCGCCGCATACGGTGCATAATGATCCCAGTTCGCCGAAGTGTTAATCCCCAGCTCCGCCCAAACGAACATCCCCCCGTCCAAGCCCCCACCCAGCATAACATAATTCGGAAAAGGATCGTAGTTTGGACTCGCCGCATAACCCGTATACCCATCCTCCAGATTGCTCGTCGGCGGTATCGTGTTCGCACTATACGGCGCCGTCCGCTCCACGGCGTCGATGAGCCCCTGGTCGAAGAATAGCTGCGAGAGGTGCGCTACTCGGCCTCCGCTGTACGTCCTGTTGGGCAGGACTTGAGATCCCACGTGCGCGATGATGTGCTCGTGTGTTGCGCGCCCCAGATAATGGCCCGGGAACACGGTGTCGAATTCCACCACCCCATCCTCATCCGTGGGCTGCACGCCCCGCAGGAACGTCGTGGAGAGCCCGCCTTCACTCGAGGCGCTGACCCCGCTGTATGCACCTGTTGCGTTGCAGGACCAGATGTCTACCAGTACATTCGCTGGTTTGCACGTAGTGACGTCGATGAACTGCAACTCGAGGTGCATGGGGATTCCCGAGACGCCCTCGACGACGTCTTGCCGGATATGCTCTTGGTAGACGAAGTAGGGCCCGTTGGCGTTGTCGGGTGTCAGGGTGCAGCTCGTGTTGCTGCCGAATATTTCGGAGTGGGGCGTGTCTTTGGTGTAGGGGAGGTGGCCGGTCTGGTCGTGTGAGTGGGAGGCGTAGGCTTGGAAGGAGGCGTTGTCACGGCGGTGGTGGAAGGGGGCTGTTGGGCTTGCTATTAGTTGGTTCATTGATGGTGTGAAGCGGATACATGGCGCGTAAGCGTATCATGAGCTTGCTTACCCTCTTCCAGCCCTCTTTCGTGACGGAGGCGGTCGAATGTGGCGGCTCGGCGGGCGATGGCGCGGTCTTTGCGGGCTTGTACTTCAGGCTGGTTTTGGCATGCCTTGAGGGCCCTTGAGTTGACTTCTGCGACGGCGTGGGCGTTGGCTAGCTCGTCCATGTGGGCTTGCTTGTCGAATTTTTCGTTGTGGTGAGCGGCTGTGAGGGGCGAGAGGGACAAGAGGGACGAGAGGGACATGACCGTGGCCAGTAGAAGAAGTTTCGACATCATTGTATAGACTCGGTATAGCTTGATTCCTATCTTTTGACAAAGCCTAGCAGGTATCTATTCCTCCTTGAAGGACGCGGCCAAGGTTTCTGGGGGCCAGTTCCTTATACCAACTCAGCACATCGTTCTTAGGAGCCGCCCTTAATAGGCAAGGCCAGTTGAAGTTTTCAGCTGCCGACGATGAGGATCTGCCGTACCCTTACTTCAGTGTCTCAAAAGAACATCGCCATCATGACAAGCTGTTTACCCGGCCCAAGCCGTTAAGTCAACGTAGTTTGCCAAGAGACATTTTGAGGGCACAAACCCACGGTTGATAAATGAGGCTAAATATGTAATTGCAATTTGTCCACGCTCATAGGCCATTCTTCACACCAAACCTTCGCTTCCCCACATCCGGACCAACTGTTGACGTTGGATCTAGGGCGCATTAGTCTGAATTTATGTGTAGATCTTTCATTTTTCGGTAGGTACGGTTTGTTCGTTTCAACCCGAATAGCTGCATTGAACCTAGTTCGAACCTGTACAATTCGGGGTTGCTGAGTTCTGCTTCTATGCAATGGGAGTACGGCCAGGTTCATAAACGTACCTGTTTCCGTATTCGGACTGCCGATTCCACGAAAGTCGGTATACACGCCGCGGTTACATCCCTCAGTCACATAGGTATAGTATATGAGGACCTATATTGTAAGAAGCCGATTGGTAGAAACGCCTGGGATAGGTCGCAAGCGCGAGCGTTCCTCGTGATGCCTCGAAAGCTTTTGGGTTGTCTGGCTGGGATGGATAAAGCTTCTCCTCATCCCCTTGGAACAGAGCAAGACTTACTGAGTATATGAATACCGGAGACCCAACCACGGCCCCGTTGCTGAACTCCATTACGGCAAGCTGTGTTAGTGGTTCCAAAATCGCACTTTGGCATGTTGGTACATGAATCTATTCTTACGTTCCTATCAAGTCTAACTAAGGATTATGCAAACATCTAACATGCATATGATATTTCAGGTGATGGTGACGTGACGCTTGATCTCTCGAATCCGACATCGAAACTCAAGTGGAAACCGATGCGCACTTGAAGTCTAGGTCAAATTGTCAAAGTTCAGCAAGTCAACGCCAACATGAGTATAATTATCATCGTAAAACGCATCACTAAACTAGAAGAGTAGCATGTGGCATAGATGTCGCTGTTCGGCTGATCGATTGAAAGACAACGATGATACTTGGTCGTCTGAATCCGGCGGTTGAGAACCAATTTGTGACCGTGATCAAGCTTTGGAATGTCTAACGCTGCAACACCAACACCATGGCCATGAGATGCAACGAGCAACCGTATTTCAGATGTTCCAACTGTACAAGTACAAAGTAGTGTGATGGATATGAATCGATGAGCATAGTAGTAAGACTACACGTCACAGTATTCGCAATGACATCACTGCCCACGAATGCCCAGACTTACCTGCGATCTTCAGAGCCACTTAGAATAAACAGTTTTGTCCTACTTGGATAATCTCTCCACGATGTGCAGATAATATAATCAAAAGATTATATGAAGAAATTATAAACGATCGCTGCTGGAGACATCATAAATGGAAACCCGAAGCTTCTCAATTATTGCGCCGACATCACCGCGAGAGATATGATACGCGTCAATATGAAGGACCGTCGTGCAGGCTGTCGACCCCGGCTCAACATGCTACGTCTGGATAACAGACAACATCACCGTCCTCAAGGGTTACCAGATCAGATCTGAGGGAGAGATCCTGCAAGCAGGCACAACACTCCATTGAAGCCGACCACCCTGCGAAGACCGCCTATCCCTACAATACATCATCTACAGACACATAGGCCTGCACCACAGCCGTATCAGTAAGCACTTAGTCCTCGAGGAGACTCGTCCGGGAGTCCACGCGCTGAGACTCGACATGGCGCCACTGGGTGATGTGAGTTCGTACATACAGGACCGCCTGAAGAAAAACAAACCACCACCGTCTATCTCTCAGCGTCTGAGTATGGCGCTCGATATCGCTGAAGGCTTATCTTTCACGCACTCGAGAGGCGTCATGATGCGATGTGTCGCGTATGAACATGATGGTCTTCCCCGGTCCGTACTGAAAATATGCGATTTTGTCGGCTCGGTTGTGGAAACAGAAGTTATCCTAGTTTAGAATGAGCTTTAACAAGAAGGATGGATCTTCAGTCGGACACGAGGGCCGCGGCACGGTTTGTGTTACCGTATTGTAGGCGTATGTACGAAGCGCGCCTCGAATAGATAGAGAGCTGTTTGCGCTGGGGTCGGTTGTGTATGAGATCATTGCTTGGGACATTCCGTTTAAGGAGGTATACAACCAATGAGATGCGCTAATCATGTATGAGAATGGGCAGTTCCTTTCCCTTGAGGGAATTGTTGCTGGGGATGTGATTCCGAGGTGCTGGCATGAGGGTTATGATAGTGCCCGGGGGGGGGGGTTTGGATCATCTCGAGAAGGCACATGCCGGCTTGGCCGAGGAGTTGTTGCACTAGGGGTTGCTAGGACAGTCTGATCACTTATTTTCTGGTTGTCCACAAGATCTTTCTCTACGTAAGTTGGAATTAAGCAATTTAGTGAGTGAATAAATAATGTCCTGGTTGAATCCTAATTCATCGAGCCGGACCACTTGCTCTTATTTGTGGCTGGGAGCGCCCCTGTACAGATTGAATGAGCTCGACAGCTAGGAGGTTACGGTTTCTTGATGTTGAAACCATCATCAGAATCCCTCCCCCCCAACCAGGCCCCAAAACCAGCCTCTACTGGACTCCAACCGCTTTATTGTCTCATCAGGATATGTGTGAAAAGTGGAGTCGGGGTTAACAGAATTGTGAAGCGTTTCGCACCTTTTAATTAAGTAATTGAATTGGGTTTGTTATTGTTTTTGATGGGGTGTTGAGGGATGGATGGGTTGTTTCGAAATCAGTTTTCACAAATGGATAATCGGAAAAAGGAGACGTGGGTCAGTCATGAAAATTTGAAATGTGACACCCAAGAAGATGTAGTCGGGTCGATTGTTAAAGATGGTCAATTCCCAAAACGCTATGCCCTTATGTGTGCAACGTCCCTGGAACGATAGGTGCCAAACAAAGCGGTTCGCCGTCATGATGAAAACCGCGCCATAAACCTCGTGTGCCGTTCCATTTCATGTTCCTAAAACACCCCGAAAAATTGAGTCGCTATAGAACGACGCGTCTGCGGTTCACAACAAGGCTCACACCAATATGATGCATTCGCGCAAGTAAATCCCGACAAAACTCCGTTCCACGTATGTCATATAGCTAAATCCCACCGACTCTAGCGGTAGGCTTTCCGGCCCGTCGTCCCAAAAGCGTTGCGCCATCAAGACTCAGCTCAAAGGCACCCTTCTGCTTGTTGCGGTCGCGCACCTGCTGTCGAGCAGCTTGCGTCACGGTTGCACTGTGTTGACCATAACCTTTCTGGTGAGTTTCGACGACGGCCCGCTCTCGTTCCCGTCCACGCTCCTGGGTCTTACCCAGACTTGTATCACGCATTCGTTGTTCGAGCTGGGAAGCATCATTCTTGTGAACGTACTCCGGATCAGAATTCTCTTCCTCGTCATCTGACTCATTTAAATCAGCAAGTCGAGATGGCGCAAGACCTTTGGTGCCGATTTGCTTCCGTCGCTTGGCCTCCTCTTCTTGTCGATGAACCGAATAACCAACGTCAAAAATTTCGCGCAGATTGACTGCGCCAGGAGAACGGAAGTCCATGCGACGCTCGCCATCCGCAAGTTTAGTAGCATCGAAAGCACGGTGGGCGGCTGCTTCTTGCTTCTTTTCATCACGTGGTGTAGGTCCAGATCCGACGATCCAAGGATGGGCCAAGAATTCAGTGATCGTGTATCGTTTTTCCGGATCGACAGTGAGTAGATGTGTAATCAAGTCCTGGGCAGATTTCGAGATATCGTCCCACCAAGGTGAAAGGAACGTGTATTGACCCTTCGCCACTTTTTCGGTGAGGATCTCTATACTCTCGTCGTAGAATGGTGGGAAACCACAGAGCAGGGTGTAGAGTACGCAACCCAATGCCCACATGTCCACCGATTTCGAGTATCGTTCATCCTTGACAATTTCTGGAGCAGTGTATCCGACAGTTCCACATGGGGTCATGGTCTGATTGTCCCACACAATTTTTGAGAGACCAAAATCCGCAATCTTGATTTGGCCGATGCCCCCAGCGCCCACCCCTGGTATGAATTCACCCTCGTCGACTTTATCCTCGTCTCCAGGTTGCTTTGGCTTCGGGGTTTTCGCAGGTACGAAAGGAGTAGAATAGAAAAGAATGTTCTCGGGTTTAATGTCGCTGTGCACATCATAAGTATGCTGACCGCGAGGTGGAGATGACGTCATCGTTATAAGTGCACAACATGATGTGGCAGCAGCGATTATAACCACTCGGAAATAAAACAGGCATCTCAAGTGGGGAACATGTACTTACCGATGAACCACACCACGCTCCTCGTGTAAATACTCTAGAGCCTTTGCGACCTGTGTGATCACGTGTCTCGACAGATCTTCACTGAAATAGGTAAGGCGAACGATCTGGTGGAAGAGCTCACCCCCTGGTGCAAGCTCTAAAATGATGTAGTAGTATTGCCTTGACTCCGCGAAATCGATGAGTTTAATGATGTTGGGGTGGTCGAGCTGGCGCATGATTTGCACCTCCTTCAAAATATTGGCTCGCTGAGGCTCAGTTAGTCATGTAGGTTTAAAGTAGAACATGATGTCTGAGGCGAACGGATCCAAGTCGAGTGCCGAATACCACAGAGGACGGAGAGAAAGTGTAGTAGAGCATTTGTGATGAATGTAATGGAGAACTGACGATAGGAAAAGAAAGTTTATCTCGCACCTCTGCAGCCTTCGGCACCTTCTTGAAGTCCGGATGTAAATGCTTCTGGCCCTGTAATTCGACCCAAGCGTTGGTACTTAGGACACCTTGGATATTGGACGTATTTGGAGAAGATAAAACCAGTAACAGGAGGAAATGCGTGGTCGGCGAAATTCAACCATCAGCGGAGCTTACCTGCATGTTGTTCATCTCGAATTTCCGAACGACCTTGATGGCGCACTCGCCGGCAACTCCTGTCAAGTCGCGTGCACGGTAGACGTTGCTGAAGGCACCATCGCCCATCTTCTCGACGAGCTCCCATCGTTCTAGGCCTGGATACCTGGGGAACTTGCTCTTACTCTCGTTCTCTTCGCGGACCAACTTGGCGACATGGTCGTCTTCGTGACGCTTAGGCTTGGACTTGGCAGCCTCGATGGTCTGTTCAGCGTGGTGGGCTGCGACATTGTCCGCTTGGGCAACGCGGTTCTTGTTCTCACCAGGCTGGACCGAATATGCTTCTGGTACGGGTCCCTGTTGGTGTGCATTGTGGCCCATTGCGGGCTCCGTTACGTGAGCCATGGCTTTCTGTGCTGAAATTGTGGGCGGGGATTGTTCATGTTTCCGGGGGGTGTCTTCGTAGTTGTTTACCCTGGCCTGCTTACCTATATCGGGGGGAAAGCAGATGATGTCAGTGGATAGGGTACGGCAATGACGAGTGTGCGGTGCGTAGAAAATGAGATGCGGCACGACGGGATGAACAGATAGTCAAAGAAATATAGATGCCTGGCCGATCTCACGTATCCTGCGCCTCGTGCCTGGGCCGTTGCCGAATGCGAGATGAGAAAGGGCGACTTACCGTGGCGGATGAAGTTCTTGAGCTGCTGAATTGTTGACATTTTGCCGACGTCACCGAAAGGCGCCTTCACCTCGTCCCGAAAACAATGGGCGATTTCGGCGCGCGCAAGGTTTCAAAGATTCTCAGGATGCAAGGGCGTCTTTAAACAAACCCAATCAATCGAAAAACGGGTGTCGGGAAGCCGCTGAAGTCGATTTGCTTTGAATAAACTATGGTTCGGGGCTGGCTACTGAACCATGAAATTGATTTTCGGGCAAGTGAAACCAGACCAGATGACGCGGGGCGGCAGTGGCAGCAGTCGGAAATTTGGGCTAGGTGGGGGTGGAGGGAAGGAATGATTTCCCGTGCTCTTTCAATGTAGGTTAATCAGATCTAATCGCTGTAGACAGAGCCGCTACTGCAACTGACGAGTCGAGAAGGTGGGAAAAAGAAACGGTTTCGCAGCTGGCCTGATCTGTAGTGTGCTGCGTCTTGTTATAAAACGGGCAAAGAATCTAGAAGAAAGATAGCGAAGAAAAGGTTGGAGGCGGATGAGCATGCAGATTTGTCCTTTGAGCTGCGAAGATGGAGTTGGCAGGAGAGAAAAGGTGACGATGGTGACTGATGGTGGCGGGCGGTGCCTTGGTGATGGCTGTAGCCGAGATCGAGCCGGGCGATGATGTAGCGTCTAAGAAGTAGTTCTTTGGAACTGGGCAGCAGACAAGGCTCGGCCTAAAAAAAGGAAAAGAAAAAAAAACCCCAAGCTCCCGACTGTGACCACGCAGCTGGGCCGAGATATCGTTCGAGCAAAAAGCACGCTGACAAAACTACTGGATCAGGTGAATGGAAAGACAAAGCGACGAATCATCAGTGGCGTCAAGGGGAACGGACGGGCTCAAGGCAAGGCAAGGCAAGGCAAAATTCTAGAATGACCCAGGATGATGATGAGATGGGACGGGGAGCAGGGGACAGAGTGCATCGTAGAAACTGCAAGCAACTGACTTGGGAATGTTTGCTCTTGGCTCTCTCATACGCTACGTTACACCATACATTTTTACATTTCATCATCAGGAATAACTACAGCAGGCCAGCTGAGCTGCAAACGGCAGAAAATCGAGCCGAAACACTCGCTGAAAGGAGATGGAGCTCCTGTGCCCACCCCGTGCCGGCGCAGAATGTCCTGATCTACATAAACTTATCTTCACAATGACCCGTGTGTGACTGCAGGTCGTTGATAACGCTGTGTGCTGCTTCAATCGACTCCTGTACGTGAGGTGCAATATTCTGTCTTCAACTTGAACGGCGTACCATAGTATCGTGATATTCGGCTGTGACCCAACTCTCTCATGAGCTGTTGAATTCAAGACTCAAGATTCGGATGGCAAGGACAGTCTACAGTAGAATCCGGAATAAGGACATTTCCAGGCATTTTCCACCTGTCGACCGGTTTTCTACCCAGCCAGCCAGCAGATCTGGCCCATTCAGAGTTTCCCTCGCGGCCAGCTTTTTTTGGCATGGTAGTCCATGACTCCGTCGATTTTAGCGAAGGAGTCCATTATGACGTAAAGCGAAGCGTCATACCGCACTGACCCGCTGAGCACGACCTAATTGGGGTCTAGCCGCCCTGGTCTGTCTTGCATGATTGGCGAGCGTGCTGCCGGAATGAGCTAGATGACCTAGCGCATAAGCCACTGCAGGGTCCTGGCTTGAGCTCCCACGCATGCGCCCTTGTTGACCCGTCGTCCTTTTATTTCCACTTCCGTTCCGGCTCTGCGGCCACTCTTCTCATCTTGGCCGATGATGGACCGACGTGGTCCGTTTGCAATGCATGCAGAATACGAGCACTGCATTCTTCCACAGCACCTCATCACCTCATTAGCCTCGACTGGCCGTCATCTTCAAAGTCGCACGCCGGTCTCAAGTCATAGAAACTCTCAGTCAAGCTTTCAGCTCAATCGTCAGCCTTACACCGTCGCGTTGGGCGCCTTGTACATGACACCCGACTTTAAATTAGGTGTTCGGCTGGCCATTGGATGATATCACTTTGAGGCTGATGCTCTCCACCCAAATGTACTTCGTAAGGGGTCTCAACTGTATCACCAACATCAGACCGCGTCGATAGGGAAGACAGGAAATAGGACTTTTGGAAGTGTACGTGTACGACGTTGTCCATCAGCTCCTCGCCTCGATGTGTTAGAGCACTAGTTTGTACTGTTTTACATCGTGAGCACAAGTTGTCCTTGGTTAACATCCCGCTGACCTTAATTCTGCCCGCATCATACGCAAAAAGCTGATGTACCTCTCACGATACCACTTTCAAGCCGCACCGATCATGTTAATTCCCGTAAATTTGGTGCCTAGCAGGCCTGACTTTTCCTGCGGGAGCACCATGATGGAACAGGAACAGTTCTTTGAATCTGGCCAAGAATACGAAGGTAGGTACCCCGAATTGAAGCCACACAGATTCTCTTCGGATTGGCGTGTGGGCAGGGTAGTCCCGGGCTCGGAGAAGGCTCCGCAATTGTCTTCCAGTGTCCGGCAACGTCTTGATTCTTGACAACCTGACATCTCTTAGGCGCCATAGCCCGCCAATCCGCACCGCGTGCATGCTCGTTATACGTTCCAGCCATCCTCTAGTGGGGTATAGACGAACTGAACCTGTTCGCCAAAGTCCGGAACCTTGAAATCTTCGAATGGCTCGGAGATAGGCTCCTACTTTAGTTGGTAATGTGTGGTGACATCGGTGACACAATGGATTGCCACCCCACTTCCACGCCGTGCCGCCGTGGAGTTTCCTCGATTCGGCACTACGCATACGAGCTAATGCGAACGCGAACGATTACGCCCCGTCTGTCAGCATTTGAAAATATTGTGAGCCCTCCATAGTAGGGCACCTGTCGTTTCTCAATTTCTTCCAAAAAGATCCCCTACTGCAAATAGAACAGTCTAGGCCACGCCTACGTCTACAAAACTGACGTCACAGGATGGGCCTTAAGCTTAAATCCGACCATTGTACGAAGTACTTTGCCGCGAGTCATGGTCAACTATGGACCCATACAATGCAGCAGAATGGAAACTAGGAACATGTGAAGAAAGCACACTAACCGCATTGGCCTCCTTTTGCAACGCACCTCCATTTGCAAGCGAGATTGCATTGTAACACAGCAACCTCCTTAACCTCAACCTTCGATATCTCAATAGCCACTTAGGATATCACGCCTGAGCTGCAGTGCTAACCAGCAGATTTCGAGCAGCGCATTATACGCGCCATGTAATTTGTAATTTGTCCACAGAGGTTATCGCTAGTCTGTGGCGGGTAGCCGATACGTCATATAGCTATCCACTCTGCCCAGGCGACTTAACGGCTAATCGCACGGCGCCGACGCCACTTACCAGCAGGAGCAGCTGTTGCTAACGCAAGAAAAGCTTATCGTCGATTGGATGCTGCATGAAGAAGTGTGTGGGCACGTCTCTTGTAAGTACGTGACCGAATTCGCGACCACAGACCCCAAGACTAAACGAGAATATACGCTAGTCGGCTCTTTATTGATTCGGAGCCTTTTATAGCGTAATCCTTAAGTCCCACTAAGATCGGGCGCCATTTCGAGGCATCGAGGATATGCACAGCCAATTCTCAGCAGATTCGCGACTTCTACAGCCTAATCGACCGAGTCCGCTGCAAGTACCAAATCCAGCGGCAAAACGAATACGATATGGATGACACTGGTATCTAAGCAAGTGGAGCCAGTAAAGGCACTGTTATTAGGAACTCTACTAAATAAAAGAATGCGTGACTAAGTCGTACGCTGCGAACTGGATTATGTTTCTTAAGCATATCGGCTACCACTTAGGCCGTGGCACGCCTGTATGTATCTTGAGCATTAAGAAGCCATGTGTGGGCCAGACCAAGCTAAGGGGCTAACTCTCAGCATTTACTGCTCTTAGACGTCCACTAAACGCAACTATACCCCGAGTTTACATAGAAGGCGTATACTCATCAGGCGTCTACAGGGTACTTACTGTCCTATGCGAGTGGCAGCTTACAACCGCTTTATGTGAGTATTTTTTCGGCACTTAAGACGTACTATGGCTAGTGGCTTCACAAGTACTCTGCATATAAGGCTAAAGCACTAGTTTATAAGCAGCGAATATTACAGACGTACTTGACGGCCTTATAAAAGGCTTTTAGTAATGAACACATTAGAAGTGGCCAGTAGAGATCTGGAGTACACCCCTTAGCTGGACCTGATATTAATCCTTTGATACTTACAGCTTGCGATATGTAAATTCGGTGTGTTTAGCTATGTAAGTTGATGCTTGAATGTCGTTGGACTTTTGGTGTTGACCCATGCAAATGGCGTTCAATGCGGTTCAACATTGTTAAGATATGAAAATAGCTATCCGGTAGAACACTCTTTAAAATCCCGGCATTATAATGATGGTGTGAGCATGAATCGTGGTGAGACATCTAGGCCAAAGCGGGATGAAACAATTTGGATAAGCTAATCAAGCCTCTTCATAACAAGTTACCACTCATTTCTGACTGCAACGAAGGTTTCATCAATCCTCTTCATTATAGAGTAGCCAGGAGGACTTTTATATGCAATTGATTGGTTATGCCAATACTCGATTTCTCAAGAACCTCCACATCATGAGCTTGTTACTTGGCGCTATGCATCAAACACATCTCTCATGCTTACAAATCTCATGCGCGAACTTGACAAGAAGTATAAAAGCCTTGTAGAGTGCTATCGTGTTTGTAGCAGGATTAGTTAGTCCTCTCTCAGAGTGTTGATAACCCAAATCTCTCAACAAGAATCAGGATAGGCCAGACGTGGGCTCACGTGGGAAATAAATTCGAATTTACAGAAACTCATGAGTCACTGTCCATTGTGTCAACGTGCTGAAATTTTCAGTCTCTCCCTATTATTGCTTTCAACCCCATGGATCAGTCAGCAATGTTGAGAAGGGCAGTAAGGTCCATGGGAGACTGTTAACCTATCGAACTTTGGAGTTACACTGGTCGTGTATTGAAAATGATTTTAATATGATCTCTCCCAAGATCCCAGGGTCAAAAGAATGAAAGTGGTTATGAGGGCCTTAGGTACAGAGTGATGTGCGGTTTGGCTGCCCATTTGAGAGGGCTGACCACATCTGAGCATATCAAGGGTCTGATACTTCGGAGGCTTTGTTCCTGCAGACCCAAGACCAATCATGCCTTAATATACCAGAGGTTGCCTCAGCATCAAGGATTTGGAGAGCCGAAAATCCGACATAACCTTAACTCCAATTATTACTGGTTCAGTGGATATAATGATCAGCAAAGACTACCGACAGAGTACAAGGGCATCAGAACCGAGATAGGTAAACGCCTAGCTTGTGTCTAACTTGGACACCAGTTTGATGCATGACGTTTGCGGTCGATGTAATGATGTGATCGTCACATTTATAACACACCAAAAGGGCAGAATACGTCAGACCGAAAGAACCTGGGTATACCCAAAACTCCTTTCTCATTGTTACTTCAAGAAGAATTGTGGCGTTCGTCACACAAGATGTGTGTGTTCCTTTTTCTTTATTACCCATTTTCTGTGTGCTGGTCTTCGTGTGTCGCGTGTTGATACAAAGTTTGTAGGACGGCACCAACCTTTTATCCCCCAATGGCTGTTTTCCCTTGTGGCTCTAACGGCCAGTTGACCAGATGTTGGGCCTTGTGCACCAAATTTTCTTGTATATCAGCCACTGTTATGCTCAGACATGATCAGCACTCTCAAGATGGGCAGCCAAGAGGCACATTTTTCTGTATTGAATTCTCTTGAGAGCTACCTTCACTCTTTTGACCCCAGAGACATAGATATTTTGAACTTATTGCTTTTTATAGCTTGTAAGAAGTCCGATAAATCTTTTGTCTGAGCATGTTCTCAAAGTTTCTTAAAGTGAACAATGTTCGTTGAAAACATAAAGTATGGAACTGCATGCGGTTATCCGTATGGTTATTGCTGTTTTAAACAATAGTAACAACACCGTTCTATCCAGGAATCACTTCCTGCAGTATAGATACGTCACTTAACCCATCTCAACACATAAGACGTCCAGTTGTTGGAATCCAGCAAACCTCACGGGCTTGGAGTTACAGTTGCACTAATATATCTCGAGACAAACGATCTTCTGCAACAACATCCGAACCCCCTGAAAAAAACAGAATAGTTATAGCTGTTGACTTGGAGTCTACTTCTCCATTACACGACCGAATCTCGATGGGTAGCAAATTCGGCAAAGAAGGTGAGGACACGCCAATCCCACCCAAGGATCCACTGGTCACAACCGTCATTCTCGAGGACGGATACAGCGTCGTCGCCCCAGGCGACATGTACCGGATGAGCGAGTGCGCCCCGGGTCGTCGTGAGCCCAGTTCCCCCGGCTTGCACAATCTGCACGAGTCCGTCATAGCCCGCACTCTAGACCCACCTGTTGACTTCGATTCTCACCCGGAGCCAAGGCGCCGCGCGATGCTCTGGGACCACGCTGCGGAGGCAACTCGGCATGCCCTTCGCAATGTTCCGGCCGGATCTCATATTAATGCATGTGCTAACAGTGGTCCCCATAACACCAAGCTTGAAAGCCAATCCCCGTGGACTACAGTACCGGGTGCCTCGGCTGGGCTGCTTTACGTAGCTACCTTCCGAGACCGTAGGAGCATCCACCCAGCCTGGCGCCAAATCGCAGTCCCTATTCGTCCAGACGAGGGTCGTCTACTAGCCAGTGTCCGGTTACTCCCTGCTGTGACTGGTGGACGAAGCGACCTGGCCTTTACGGTCACCAACTTGACCAACCCCACAGTCGCTCTCCAAAACATGAACATCGTTAAGGACAACCCATCGCTTCGCTACGGCGCTGTTGCAAACTCGTGGAAGCCGACGAACCTAGGGTGCTGGTTCCACCACGGTGCCATGTGGGAAAACGAGTACGATACTTTCCGGGCGAGTTTCGCGTGGGATGGTGACCTCTACGGGTGGGACGAGGCGATGCTGCTTACTCGCAAGCCGATTGTAGTGATAACGGAGGAAAGGCCGGAGTGGCGCTCCGTCTACTGGTACTCTGAGACTGTCCTAAAGGATGTAACTTGGCTCCGAGGGGCGGAAAAAGACGGGATCTTGCACGGCGGATTGCAGGAAACAACCAAGCGGGAGGATGTAGTGAGGTGGGACAGGGAAGGTATACCGGGAGGAAGGTATAACTGAAGGCGTTGGGTAGGAAGTCGAGTTTCAGTGATGCTCAATAAGTATGGATAAGATGCAAGACGAAGTAAAAACCAGAGGAAACCCAGATTTCTACGGCCTGATGCTCGTATCAGCCTCTATATCCAGTGGATCTGCTCCGCCTGGGCTGCGTTCTGCCTAGCGGAGGCGAGGCAAAGCATCGCAGAATGGTATGTCGTGTTCCATGTTGCTATGATCGTCGCCTTGACGGTTAGTATTTTGCAAAGGCAGCGTGGTTTTACTATCGAGGTACCTGTTATTATCCAAACTCTCTGGCGCGACACGGCACTGGCATTTCTGCCGAAACGAGATCATCAGGGTCTGAATGCTCGGGCTGGTGGCCATCGCGGAGTTCCTTGTTTCAGCATGGTTCTATATCCGTCTTCGATAGGCCGAGTCCAGGGACTTCATTGATAAGGTTGCCATATGGTCTTTTTCCTGGGGCCACTCCGCAACGGCAACAAGGAAGCTGGATACTGGGTTTGGGCACTTAGTGGCGTCTTCTAAGCGCGCGTAGCCATGCGTATGGCAACGGATGGATTCATTGGGCTGATGAACTACCTACTCATGGTATTTTGTGGATTGTGCCCATTCCCATGATGATCATTGTGATTTGCCGGGACGATGATTTGGATATAATGGCAAGCAACTTGGGAAGATCTACTTGCCTCGATGGCCTTTTAGAATACAGCGGTAGAACGTATGAGGGCTTACCAACATAAGCACAGATGCTGATTATTTCACAGCATGTTTGGTGCCGTATGGTTTGTTGTCTTAGTGCGTCACGCTAGGGCACGTAAACACCGCGCCAGGGGTAGTTTCCCGTTTATTAACACATCTATAACCATCTTCCAGAGTACTGTCTCAATACAATCTACAGTTCACATCCCCCATCGCTCTTTCAACGTTCAGCTTCTTGAGGCTGCCGCGTATGGATGCAACCAAATCCTCACTAAAGGTCAATCGACCGGTCGGCTTTGCGTAAGATGCTGCTTCTGCCCTTCCATTTGGCCTATCGGCTCACCGCAAATTAGTGCGAAGTTCAATACCAGCAGACATGCCTTAGGTCTCTGTCGCTGCGTGATCGTCACCTGTCGCTACACTATTCCCAATTCTGGCATGGCGCATAACTCCATCAAAGCCGTCGTGGAAAATGCACTTGCTTCTGTCATCAGTCGGCATCCCATGTTACGCGTCGGGATAGCAGACGAGGATACTGCCGATCCAGTCTACGTCGACCTAGAGGCGATTGACCTTCGACAGGTGATTGAATGGAAGGAGAAGACTTGTCACGACAATGATGAGTACACGGATTATCTGCTGCGCTCGATCGAAGCACAGCATGGTCAACTTTGGGAAGATCTCGCCCATCGTCCCGGTTGGAAGATAATCATCCATCAAAATTTGGGTGCTGCGCCGACAGATGATGTTGAGATGGACGTCTCCTTTGCTTTCCACCACGCAATCGGCGACGGCCAAAGTGCCCTCATATTCCAACGCGATTTCCTCCGCGCCTTGAATGCAGGTGCTTCTACCACGGACCTGGCAGACCACATGCTTCACTTGAGTTCGTCAACCGTTCTGCCCCGCCCTTTGGAAGCTGTGGTGCCTCTCACCATCTCCTGGTCCTATTTCTTGCAGGTCATGGTAAATCTCAGTTGGAGGAAACTTGCGCCGTCTTGGCTGAGATCCGAACCGGCCCCCGATACAATTCCTTGGACCGGCGAGCAAGTTACCCTTGAGCCGTACACGACCAATATTCGTCTCTTGTGGATCCCTGACAAACCGGTCAAAACTCTCTTGGCCGCATGCCGTCAACATGGCACCACCTTAACACCGCTCTTCAATGCGCTTATCCTAGCCTCTCTGTCGTTTCGTTTGCCTGTTGCTTCCGCCCCGGCTTTCCATGCAGGCACACCCATATCTCTACGACGATTCACCGATCCCGACTTTGACAGGGAAAATGCGATGCATTGTCTTGTTACAGAGCATAAATATCCGTTCAATGCACCGCTGGTGTCTGAAATTCGTGCGGCACTCATCCAAGATGACCCAAGACAACCCGATGTCGCCGAGTCACTCCTCTGGCGCACGGCAGCCGAGCTAGGCAAAAGTCTGAGCTCCAAAGTCGCCACCTTGCCCCACGACGACCAAATAGGACTCCTCGCATACATCTCGGACTTCAGTAAATTCTGGTTGGAGCAAATCGGTACCAAGAGAAAGGACAGCTGGTCAGTCAGCAACGTGGGTAGCTTGAAGGCAGCCGACTCCAAGGGCCCACAGGGAGCGGCTGGCTGGCAGATCAAGCGCTCCATCTTTACGCAAGGCGCGCTGCCCATGGGCGCTGCCTTCGATGTCAATGTGGCTGGTGTGGAGGGCGAGGGGATTTGGGTGTCGCTTAGTTGGCAGGAAACGGTTGTTCTGGCCGAGGTCATGGATCATGTCGTGGAGGATCTGCGGACTTATGTTGATGGGTTTGGGAGTGATGGAAAATTTAAATTCACGTCTTGGAACTAATTTTCCTCGATGTTAAGAGGGGTGGTATTTTTCAAATGGGTGATGGGGCAGGATGTCATGGGATGCGAAGGTACTCCTTTCCGCGAGTACTTGAAAGTCATGACTGCCCAGGCCGACTTATGTACGACTACACGCGTCATAATTATTAATGTGTAATACATCTTATTACCCCCGTCCTCTCCGGACCCAGTGGTGGCCGAAATCAAGGCACATGGTGCCCGATAGACGAGTACCAAAATAACGGTGGTTATCCTGATCCTGAAGTTCTTGCCAGAATTGGCTGACGATGCTAACGAATTGCGGAATCCGCTCATGCGCATCCAGCATAATCGCCACTTGATCCAAATGAGCCATTACTGCCACGAAAATCCGCACCCAGTTCGTCATCAACGTGCGGGAGAAGGATTGGATGACAAAACCCCTGTCTGTATATGCATGTTAAGCGATTGATGAGATGGTGGCTAAAGCGACACCATTCAATGTATCAGGCTCAGCGAAGAGCTAACGAATGCGAGTTCAGTAATCGTTCTCTACCTGGCGTAAGGCATACCTGAAAGGGGTAAGTATTCAGAGAGTAAGTCTCCTCTGTCCCGGAGCAAGTCAGAGGTACTCATCCGTTCTGTGCATAGATGGAAGTTCCCTGAAGACCTCGACGATTGAAGCGTTTCCTTTTTTTTCAAGATGGATGGGAGCAAGACTCCACTGTGGGAGGTCTCAAACGCTTGGGAGACTCAAATGCACCAGATGGAGTGGATAGGCCCATTTCAGCTGATCGAACTGAGGACAAGATCCATGGGCTGGATTGAACGCGGGAAGCAAGGCACATGATGGTCGAGATTCATGGAACAGGCTCTAATGCAATCAGCATGAAATGTTGAAGACGATGGATGAACGGACCCAGTCTTATGGGTTGATGATAGAGTTGCCAGGTGGGAGAACGTTGTATGATGGTGGACTGCAACGTATCCCACTGCCTTCACCCAAACGAGCCAATCTTTCACGAATCAGGTGACCCAAGCATCGAGATCAGCGATGAGGCTAAGACCCCAGATGATGACAATCTTTCCATGCTACCCATTACCATATTGCCTTTGATTTTGTCAGCAAGTACTGGAATAAGTCACCAATCGCCATCATCTTGATGATTAAAAGACAGAGGCTAACGTAAGAGACAGGTTTTACCCGAGTTGACCGCACACCAGTGTGTAATGGAACAAGAACGCATTTAAGCGGCTTTTAGTGGCTGAGAAGACCAAAGAGCTCATCACAGCTCCGGATATTAGTGCTGGGAAGGGACAGGGCCTACTTATCATGCTTTGTGAAGGGCCTGGGACGGAGAAGACGCTGACGGCAAAAAGCATCGCGGAGGAACAAGAAAGACCATTGTACATAGTCGCGGGTGGCGAGATTGGAACAGAACCGACCGGCATAGAGAGTATGGCAAACTTCCACCTATATCGAATCAGAGCAGAAGAACCAAACCGCTGACTCAAATAGTACCTTAATGCTGTGTTGGAGCTTGGCAAGTGCTGAGGCTGTGGTGAGTACAGTACTCACTTGCCTGTGGATTATCTTGCAACACTAATACTCATTAGAGGTACGATTGGACGAAGCAGACGTATTCCTCTAAGAAAGAACCCATGCTGACCAGAAGCGCAATGCAATCATATCAGGTGAAGCCCCCGCTGGCTATGTGCATGAGATACTTACTGCCTTGGAGCTTTTCACAACAGGGCCACCCTTAAATCCCCAGAGCCAAAAGGCTAGTACATTTACAGTCTTCCTCAACGTCCCTTAAAGACTACCAGCGTCCTCAAATACCACGATGGCTTCGTAATCCTCTCCACCGACCGCGTGGGTATCTTCGGCGAAGTCTTCAAGTCGCTCATCCAACTAGCGCTAGGGTATAGCAACCTAGACGAGAACCAACGAAAAAAGATCTGGAGCAACTACATTAGAAGTTGAGAAAGACCAATAAGAAGGAGGAAGGGATCTGAATTGAGGATTTGAGGATGACATCTACCGCATCGCACGCTTTGAGATCAACGGCGCCAGATACGCAATATGCCTACTATGGCGAGGCATTTGGCCATGATTAGGAGCCAGATGTTGACGTACCAGCATATACTGCATGCGGTCGAGTTAGTCACAGAGTTTAAACAGTATTTAGAGTAGGTTAAGGGGACTAGTGATGATAGATGGGCGAAGGATGATGAGGTGCGGTGCTTTGGGGACGGGGCTGATGGGACTCGTGGGGTCTATTGGTTGTATTTGGCAATTGCAAGTCATGGGGCAATTGTCCGCCGTGATATCTAGTTGACAGGATATAACTAGAAGATGCATACCTCTATTGCCATATTGCTATTGGTAGTTTTCAGCTATTTCATTAGAATGCAGCAATGTGCATTAAGAACGGCTGAGCAACAAACTGACAAGAGAACTCATGGTCTGATGCGGTAACCGCTGGACCAGTTCCATATCAGATTATGAGTAAAGAGGCCCATGACAATAGTGGAAACAAGGAATATGGGGTGTATATGCACGTTGAAGGTGATTTCGCAGCGACTGGCTAGATCGGCGATCCGAAGGTACGGGTGCATGTAATGCAAACGGGAGCTAACCTCTTGCCCCGCTCAAACCTGGATCCTTTCTTCAAGAAAAGTATAAGTGACGATTGCTAGCAACGCCACCCAGAAGCTCTTCCATCGCCCGGAATCATCCATCTGGTTACTGGATTCTCTGTCTCTCCATCGCTCTATCAATACAGTCCAAAGTTGGCCAATGACACATCTACATGGCATCCCTCCATAGACCGGAGCGTACAACCATGGGAGGATCCCTCGAGATCCCGCGCATGTTGAATGGTCTCTGGCAGCTCGCCGGCGGCCATGATGACAAGGTGGACATATTGGCCGCGACCGCTGCGATGGATTTGCTGTAAAGCCCCCCTGACTCCCATAACCTATACCAAGCGACCTGTCTAACCCAGTTGCAGTATAGAGGCAGGCCTCGACACATTCGACATGGCCGACCACTATGGAGACGCCGAACTCGTAATAGGCCAGCACAGGCAGCAGAAGCCAACCCGCCAAGCAACTGCCTTCACCAAGTGGTGTCCAGCCGAAAACGGCATCAAGTCTTTCGAGCAAGCAGAGGCAGCTGTCGACAGAGCCCTGACGCGAATGGGACAGGGTAAAATCGACCTTATGCAGTACCACATCTGGGATTATACGGACGACACCTATCTCCACAACCTCTAGCACCTCGGAAAACTGCAACAACTTGGCAAGATTGGGCTTGTAGGCCTAACCAACGTCGACGCCACCCATCTCGAACTCCTTATTCGATCTGGATATAGTATAACTACTAACCAGGTCTCGTGTTCCGTCATCGATCGACGATTAGTCAGGGGCAGATTATCCCACGTCTGCGCTGAGCACCGCGTCGGCATCCTCGCGTACGGGACTTTACTCGGCGGTTTCTTGTCGGAGAATTGGCTCGGCCAGGACGAGCCACAGGATAAGCAGACTTTGAATTGGAGTCTGCGTAAGTATCTCCGCTTTATCCACACCGCGGGCGGCTGGGCCTCTTTCCAACGAGTTTTGCAAGTCCTGGCGGCAGTAGCCGGCAAGCACCAGGTTTCCATCGCGGCTGTGGCGACGCGGTGGGTGCTGGACGTTCCTGTGGTGAGCGCTGTTATAGTGGGAAGTCGGCTATCTAAGGATTCCGGGAAGTATACGGCGAGCAACTTGGCGGCGTTTTCTTTTTCGCTTGACGATGAGGATAGGGAGTTGATCGTGAGGGCGCAAGAGGGGTTGAGGGATATTCCCGGGGATTGTGGGGATGAATACAGACGGCCGCCGTTCCTTACGGCCACGGGTGATTTACGTGATCATATAAAGGGGTCTGATGATGCGAGAAAGGTCAGCGAGGCAATTGCTAAGGGGCAACGGGTGGAGTGCCGGTCTGGGGGCAAATGGGAGGCCATTGCGGTAAGTTGAATAGGAAAAAGCCGCTTATGGGTTCTGGCAGATTTAGAACAGAGCCCCAGATCGTGGAATATGTCAATCGTAACTCATTAATACTCGTAGGGCTATTCCCGCGCGGTACGCATCGGCGATACCATCCAAGTCTCCGGCACGACGACCTATCAATCTCCAGGATTCCAGTCAAGCTCGAAATGCATCGGTGGGAACTGTCCCCGAAGCCAGACAGTGGCGGTCCTCGATATCATAGCTCGATCCATCAAGAAGCTGGGAGGAAACATGTCCGATGTGGTGAGGACCAGGGTCATAATCCGCAACGAAGAGGACTGCCAGGCGGTCAGCGAAGCACATGGCTGGGTCTTCAAATGTGAAGGCATCAGACCGTCGAATACCCTTACAACAGCCGGGCTGATCGGGGAGGAGTTCTTGGTTGAGATCGAGGCAGAAGCTGTGGTTGGGTCTGGTGCATTTGTTCTACTTATTGATTGAACGAGCCCTCGAGATATGAAATAATATCTGGTTGACGTTACTGGAGGAGGTTGGTGTTACAGCCTAAAGGCATGAGATGGCACTTGGTGATGTTGCGTTGAACAATACCCATACGAAAAAAGTATCATGATCGTTCCCGTTGGTGAAACTCGGGGAGAATCGACATTCAGCCTCTCGGGGTACGTCTGCTAAGCATGAGGAAGGAAATAACCCCTCCCCCACGCGGCGTGACCACTCAATAACCAAGAGTTTTCGCGTGCCTTCCTCATAGCATATTCGGCTTCATCATCACCCGTTGCCCCACGTAGCGACCAAAGCCTTCTATAGTTTCCAGCTTTGTAGCCCTCTCTACCTTGGGCTAGATATTCGACCGCCTCACCGAGCGAACCTTCTAACAACTCTACACCTAACGCGACCCAACTGTTGTTGGCCAGCGTTACATGGTTCTCATATAGGTGGATTCATTGGTCGCTAATGCGGCAGGCTATGATATGACCAACAGTGGGAATCTGTCATGAGTTCCATCCCTCTCTGGGGCGAGACGACCCTCGCGGGGCTTCACCCAAGTCGCCCCAGAGATGGATGGAACTCAATAGATGTGCATAAAGAACACACCCCTACGTTTCACCAGCAGATCCGCGGATGAGCAGACCATGATCCCGAGCCCACGCGATCAACAAGAGGACGATGCGACGAGGCAAGACGAGACGGTGAAAAGCATGGCATCTCTCGGCTGACAAATGATTTAGATGCTAACAAATTAAACAAGGTCCAGTTTCAGCCTTCGTCTGTCCACAATGAAACAGCATAAGCAGCCTCCCTTTCCCGCGAATGCTTTCGCTCGAGTTGTATCCCCTCGGATTCACTGTCTACCACCAATCCTCGATGCCCCTACCTCCGTCCAACTCCACAGACAAAGCACTAATAATAGGACGAAGAAAGAGGAAATGAAAAAAGAGAATGGCGGCTAAAGAAGAAGTTGTGCATGTATGCATGTCGGCCGTCTCATCATACCAGTCCCCAAATCCTTTCAGCACCGGGCTATTCTCACCAGGGGATAGATAGGGTGCATTGGGGTATCAAGATTATTTGTGAGCGGGAAGAACGCAAATTAGGCGGGTGTGGTGAGACTTTGACGAGCATAGAGGCGGAGATGGGGGACGCGCCAGGTTCCGTATTAGAAGGTCGCATGAATGGGTGTATGGATACACGTCTTTCGCCAGCATTAAGGTATCCGGGGTCATCAACTCGTAGGCTTTGTGTTTGTGTGTGTGGTGAGGGTGTTGTGCGAATGTTTCCGTATAGGATGCGATTTGTTTTGTTGGAGTTTGGCCGGATGTCGTTATGATCAAAAGAAATAGCAAGGGCTTGGCACTAGGCGGCTTCAACTCCCAGACGTACATGTTTGGACGGAATCTCTTTCCGAACGTCTTCAAGCCTCACCTCCTCGAGCCTTGCCGCGCCTTCTGAAGAAATCCATCACCTTCTTCGCCGCACCACTACTCCCTGCGTGGTCGTGTGCCCGCCCGTAGTCCTCACCGTCGTAGGCATCTACAAACCTCTTATTGTTTTTCTGCAGTACACCACGGCTTTGCCCTTGGCTGTGGCTGCCAGTTCGCCGAGCGTCGTACCCTTCCGAGTCATAGCTGCTCTGGTACGGTGCTGAGTTGGGTGGCTTGCGCTGGGAATGGTCGATGGAAGATTCTGACCCGGAGTTCAAAGGAGCGCCTTGTTGCAAATACGATGGAATGGCGCTGGGTCGGGCATCATACGTGTATCGCTGATGCTGTTGAGGCGCACTTCTTTGGCGTTCCGGTTCGTCGTAGTTGCTGCCGGCATATTGCCCACTTCTCGGGCTTTGGGGCTGATCCACGTAGCGCCCAAACTCATCGACCTGTGGCGGTTCTTGAATGGGGAGATCCTGCTGAGACCCGTCTGGAGGGGGTGTTTGCCCATCTCTTCCCAGACCGATGGCTTTCATCAAGGAAAAGCGCCGGTTATTAGGTGGCTTCTCCTGGGACGTTTGTGATCCGGTCATGCTGCCACTACGCTTCTTACCAAGACCTAAGGTCTGAGAGAATGACCTGCGGGAAACACGAGAATCCATGGAAGGCCGGCCGGGTGCTTCACCTGTCATCGTATTGGACATGCTGACGGGAGGGTACTTCTTGGAAGGCTTCTCTGGCGGCGGCTCGGTGCGCTTCTTACGACCGAAGATTGATCCGCTGCGTCCAAAGACCTTACCAGTGATCTCACCAATAGTGTTAGACCTTCTGTGGCCTTTGATATCTCCACTAGATGACTGCTGTTGTTCGCCTTCGTTGAAGCCAGATACCTGAGCCAACTTGGGAGGAACGCTGACACTCGGCCTGCCGAAGTCCTGGTCGGGTGAATCCCGAGGGATGGGGTTAGAAATGACGTAGTTCTTGGATCCGGCCGATGGCTGCGACATTCTTCCGTGGACATTAGTTCCAGCAACAGTAGGGGGGATCGGTTGGCCGTACGAAGATCTTGACGCGGTAGCACCCAGTCCATGGCGAGATCCCGTCGACTGTATGGACCCTCCTGTTTCTGGCCTTGTACCTGACGAGGACGGCGGCACTGTCACATAGGTCGATTCAGAAGGAACACGAGCACCGTCGCGGTTCGGTCGTGCAACATGCTGGATTTTGTGCGCGCTGGGCGGTCTCGCAGTCCTAGTCTGCCCTGGCGATCCATTGTATGATTCTTTGCTGACTGGCGGATCCTTGGGAAGTGGCTTGTCGTTGGGAGAGCTCTGAACTTCGGTGGGCCCTTGGCTAGACCGAGCCTTCGTCTTGCCACGAGGAGAAGTCTGAACAGATGGCTCGCCACGTTGGGTTTGGGTCGTTGGGGCGACATATTCGACCTGCACAGTTCGCCGTTTGTTGTCCCTTTGCTGTTTTGCTTGCCTAGGCACGTCTTCGCCGTCCACTGGTCCCTGTCTCCTCGCCAACTCACCCACGACGGCGGAGGTGGGCTTGACTTTGCTCGTTTCCCTAACCGACGCACTTCTCGCCAAACCGCCTGCCTCATCCTCACTAGGAACCGTGGTGTTTTGGATTTCTTTGGTAGTCGTGGTGGTGCTGGTGATGAGTTCGACAACGTGGGCGTATTCGCTCAACCAGCTGTGCCGAGCGACTTCGAACAGATCCGCACGCTTTCGAGGACTAGGTACGAGAATGCGCCGCAGCAGATCTCGGGCATGTGGAGTGACATATTCAGGAAATGTTAGTGGGGTGTTGACAATGTACTTGTAAAGAAGATTGATGTTGTCGCCTTCGGGGTTGGCAGGATCATCATCAAAGGGTAGATACCCTGCAAGCATGGCATACAAAATGACGCCACAGCTCCACACATCAACTTTGCGCCCAGTGTACAAGGAGTCGCTAACAACCAGTTCAGGGGCTGCGTAGCATGGACTTCCACAGCTGGTCTGCATCAGGTCTCCTTTCCGCGTTCCATTTCCCTTCACCTTGTCCAGGCCGATCCGCTTTACGAAGTCTCGGTCTTGAAGGCCAAGCTCTTCTTCCTCGGTTAGTTCGTCGGCTGGGTCGAATGTGTTGGCAAATCCAAAATCGGTGATGATGATGTTCCTGTTGCGATCTAGGAGCAAGTTCTCAAGCTTCAAGTCACGGTGGACGATGCCCTTCTTGTGGAGGTATCCAACACCCGATATCAGTTGAGCGAAGAGCCTCCGAGCTGCTGGGTCCTTTAGATATCTATGGTTCAAGATATAATCAAACAGTTCGCCGCCGGATGCGTACTCGAGCACAATCCCTATGTGTCGTTCCGTCTCGGCCATTTCGTGTAACCTGACAATATTAGGGTGCGAGACGCCACGCAGGATGGCGACTTCGCGGTAAATCTTTGCAAGTCGAGATGGATTATTGCCCACGCTGTCGCGCCGGATAAGTTTGATGGCGACCTGTTTAGAAATGGGGGAGTTAGGTTGTTGTCTCATGCTGCAGTTTCTCAATCTGTGGAGGCATGGGCATACCTGGACGCCTCCATCTTGTTTCCAGCCAAGCTTGACCTTGCCAAACTCACCCTCGCCGATGGTGTTTCCCAGATAATAGTCACAGAATTTCGAGCCCTTCTCTTTTTTGCTGTGATCGTGTCTACTTCTAGCACCACGTCGGCCCTCCTCCTGTACATCCCTCATGGCCACTGGCGGCGGTGCGGCGTCATCGCAGTCGTCGTTCGTTGACGGGCCCGGGTTCGGTTGGGATTCGACGAGTCTCTCCTGTTCTCTCTCCAGATCCACCTCGGGTTGCGAAACTACTAGTCGATTAAGTACCTCGCTTGCCTCTCGGGAGGGCTGTTTGGATGGGGCAGCTGTCGAGGTCCTTATCGGTAATGTCGAGGCTGTCGGAGCCGAGTTTTGGCGTCCTTCTTTGCTTGTCCCTTTTTGCGAAGCTTCTTGGTATGTGGTTCGCCTGCTATTCGAGTCATCATATCCGTTCGTGCCACTTCGGCCACTGTTTTCAGTTGTGGCCCGCCTTGGTGAGTTCGCAGCTCTTTCTTCTGCCCTGGCAGCTCTCCTGGAATTAGAAGTGCCTTGCTGATTGGATGAAGTTCGGGGCGGGGCAATAGGGGGTTCGTGCCGCCGCCGACTCGAAGTCGATGTAGATGACTGGTACTCGGCGCCCACTACGGGGACTGGTGACGGTAATGCCGTGCGCGACGTCATTGGAGAGACTTGGGTGCGTTCTGGGTGGTTGTCGCTGGGTCTTCTTGAAGTCCGTCGCGTAGAGGATGGCGAGGGAGCATTCGAATTGTCTCTCGCATAGTACGCTTCCCGACTTGGAGATTCAGTGGGCGTGAATTGTCGGTGTGATGGCGACGGTGCCGTTGGGGAGTGTGTGTTCAGCGAAGGAACGGATGTCGGCTGATGGGGAACTGCCTGCAATGCGGCAGAAGACATCTTCTACGCGAGACGCGCAGATGACGATGAAATTTCGGTATATCTGGCGGCAAAGTCTATCGGGCGTGTTTGGTTAACTTTCCGTTACGAGTCCCTCGGTACCGCAAATTTACCTGATGGCCGACAGAGGACAATGCAATAATTACTGCTTCTGCTGCTGCCAATGCCGTACGAAAAAGAAAACCAGATTCAAGGCTCCGTTGTCAGGTTTCAGATAGCTGCTGAAAAAAGCTCAGGGTTGGGTTTGGGCCGAAATCTCGAGGTGCAGGCTGAACTCCTGCAGTGCAAGTGCAACCAAAGAGAAGCTTGCAACAGGCGATATGGTGGCCGGGTCTAATGGGGACTGGTCTGGACTGTTGCTCCAATTAACATGCAGGTTAGCATGGCATTACGGTACAGCAATTTGTCTGTTTGTCGTCCGTCTAGTGCAAGTCGAAGGGAGAATGTTCGCAAAGCAATTCTACTTATGGGCCCCTGTTAACCGGTCTGAACGTGGTCGATGTTCCTGGTGGCAATTCGAATTGGGCGGTGACCCCTTGCCGTGGAAGCTGCTGTGCGGTCCAGCTACGTCTGCACGTATCTCCCAGGGCGCAGTGCAGTGTCAAATCTCAAATAATGGAATGGAACGACGAGTGAAAGGACCAATTGCCAGCTCAAGATTCGTGGTGCGATTGGGCGGCGTAGGAATACTGTTGGCTGCCAGTCAGGGCCAATAGTCCGGTCTTCTGTTGCCTTCAATCGTCAGCTTGGAACTTTTTTGGCGTATGTCCAGCTTGAGCTCGGATGATCTTTGCTCAGTGGTAGAGCAGTTGGCAGAGCAGCTGCAATTGTTGTTGTGAGGGCGGTTATTTGTTGCTTTGGAGTGGACCTAGGTCGCGCCTTTCATTTTAGGGGCTCAGACGCACCAGATGCAGCTAGAGACAATGAGCTTGGCCCGTGATGACTATCTCCTGCGGATTTTGGCTGTGAGACTTCAGACGACGCCGAGAAGTCGGCAAGTCCGAACAAAAAGAGAGATTGCGCCAGGTCGAAGACGAAGAGGATAGCTGGGCGTGGTAGAGTCAAGAACAGCTGCGATGTAACTCTTGAATCGAGGGTCGAGACGTCGAGTCGAGGATCTGCAAATGGGAGTTGAGGACAAAAGAGGCAATGATGATTGATAGCGGTGTTGGCTCCCTTATGGCATATCGGTTGTGAAAGGCTGGCCTGGATCCCGCGAGAAAGACTGACCACTGATGTCAAAGTCGACTGAATTTCGTGCCGTCGCACACTGAACACTGAACAGCAGAAATGGCTGCAAGTGTATCCGTACGTACGGAATACAATGGTTCAGGCAAGGCTTTGAGAAAGGCGAGGTTTGACGAGGGAGAGCCCAAGAAACACCTGAACACCAGCCAGGGAGTTCGACGCCCTCTAATGCGTTGTAGCTGATGTGGATTTTGGAGGGGAGGGGGAAATTATTGACAACTGTATGTTTTTTTCCTGAGATACCGCAAGGGTAGATTTGATGCACGTCCATTTGTATCCCACCTAAGCTACATTGGCATGGACCTCGTGCAAGGTACCGATCGTGTTCTCGTTTGTTTTTCAATACCAGCTAAACTTGAATCAAAGGGGCAGCCGACGTTGGGGTACCCGGTGCTCACGGGCCATGCAGGTACCGTCGCAAGTCGGGTTGTCTCGCATACTACAATAAATTGGAGGTTGATGCTGGGGCTCCTCCATCCACTCCACCTGGCGCCATGTTAAATTACCCACTTGCACGTCTGCTCCAACTACTAGGTGCCATCGTCATCTCAGCCATTCAAACAGCAACAACAACAACATCGACAACCCGATTTCTTGGATACCTATAGCATTGATAGTCTCCAAGGGAAACCCTCTGAAGAAGATACTCACCACCACGTCTTCATTCCATTCATCGCTAATTCCGAGATTGATGCTCATGCTCGGGGAAAACGGCAGGGTTCATCGTGTAGCAATATTCATACACTGTGGGATTTCATGCAGTATAATGAACAGGCGGTAGGTATCAAGAAAAATACAGAGGCAGGACGGCTGAGACAGCTGCGGGTTGCCGTCCAGCTGCAGTTGATAATGCCTGCAATATGGCCAAAAAGATGGGAAGGTCGGTCTCATTGGGGCTAGTTGAGCTCTCAAACTTGGACCTGGGGTCACAGCCCATCTTGGTTCGAGTGATTTGCACAGCTTTAGTTGGGTGTTCAACACCTCACCCAAGGCGAAGACTTGAAGAATGCGATGGGCTCTAACATATGACTATTGATGAAGCCATCCCAGCTCTGACAGAAGTGGTTGCAACACTTTAGCAATTGGCCGATTCGAGCCTCGTCAGCCTCTCATCAGCCCCTCGTCAGCCCAAAACTATCCTTGACAGCCCCATGACATCGACCAGCCTCGACACGGACGTGCGTCAAACTCTGGACTTTACTGATCACGAACACACATGTCATCCCTTCTTAAATTTGTTGTTGTTGAACTTGGCAACTTCCAAGTGCCCTATCTTGGAAGCTGGCGTTGTTGACAAGGTGATAAGGTGACAAGGATGAGGAGTTATGTCCAACTCGCTGGCGTTGGGTCACATCAGCACCGACCGCAGGTACACACACGTACGGATCCGTCAAACTTACTATCAATTTGATAATTTTCTAGAAACGTTAGAAAATTCTAAAAAGTCCTGGCGATGCGGAAAGGCTGATCAGACAAGGACCAGGCACATTAACATCGTGGAGATTCAAATTCTAAGGCTCAATGCTATGCCTCCTGCTCCTCTTGCGATAACCTCGTGGGGCTCGATCTCGAAACAAGCCGAATTGACATGGCCAGGGCAACGCACTCGCTTTGGTCGCACGCCCAAGCCCTGACCTATCACTGTCATTATCTGCTGATTCCTGCAAGGTAATAGAACGGCGCGCACGATACGCGACGGCGCGTCTCGTATGGCTTAAAAGTATTGGCCCATGATTGATATCCGTGACATTACTGTTTACAGTAGCCTTCTTCTACTTAGGCGTAGATCAGTCCTGACGGGTTTATTGACGCGGCCACTTCTCAGGCCTTTCACATTTTCACACCAGGACCTATGAATGGTTCAACAAAACTCTTCACATTGCGAACGGACGGTCGTTGTGTACAAGACCCAGCTCAAGCATTCGTCCCAGGAGGTCCGAGGTCTACTTCCGACTCCCAACAGACACTCCTGGCACCGCCTTGAAGCCACCACAAATGCAGGAACGGAAGCTATTGGCTGCGCAAGGCTGAGACTTGCATCGAGTTGCATGTGAAAGGAATGCTTTGTCACAGACGAGACAACTATTGTCTCTCATGCAGGAGTTGCTGCTTGCTGCTGCCCCAATTTCTTGTACCGGCTGTCCATGCTGCCATCGGTCGTCAAATCCCCCTTCAAATGGTCGGTTGATTCCAAGAACTCATATTGCATTGATATCGGAGATGACGTCGTGACCCGAGGCCCATATGCTAACATGCATTTAGCCTTTTGAATAGATCCCATCATGCTTAGGGTTCGTGATCTTCCACGGAACATTCCAAACAGCCGCCGAGCCACGGATAACAGACAGCCAATGGGAGGGAGTTCTGAAGGGAAGGCTTCTCGAGCTTTAAACCCCCAGATTTCGAATCCTAGTCGAAGTATGTCCGCAAGATAAGTATTGTTCCTGGAAGAGCGACGTTTAGACTTCAATATCATTTACACCGACCCCTCCATTTTATATCATCAGTCCCGGCTTCAACTCCCGAGTGCACACCCCAGGACGCCCCCCACCCCCCTCCCCACCCCACGGCCGGGATATGGAGGCCCCATTGTTCATCTGAGAATGGAACATTGCCGTTGCACGAATCCTCATTCCCAAGGCATCATTCCCAAGGCACGATCTTCCCAATCAACTACTCGAGTCATTTGTCAAGCGAACATGTATATGTTCATCGGATGTCGTGGCACATTCCAGAAGGTGTGCCAGCATGGTTCCAACGGGAAGGGAAGCGCCAAGCCCTCTTTCTACTATGAAACGCCCATGCCCATCGACAACCGCGTACTAGATTCAAAAGTTACATATCACAACGTGCGTTCTGTTCGGTGTGGTTCGCGTTCTTGGGCAACATGTCAGCACCTCAAGTGATGCGATGCGACCTGGCACATTACAAGACCGCTCATCAAGCGTTTTTGTGTTCTTTTCTTTTTCTTGTTTTATCTGATTTTGCTGTGACGCGCAGCAATAACTGCCATTGATGTTACCTGTCACCACCCGTGGTCTCGAGACGGAAAGTCCTTAATACGGTAACATTAAATTGGTATCGGTACACACACACAAGCGCTGAGCACTCAAACTATCTCTCATCAGACTCTCACGACCAGCTGTCTCCAGCAGATCATGCCTCAAAGCCCCTTGTCGTCACCCCAAACCCCCATTCGATCCCCCGTATTCTCCGAACGGCGTTTCTGTTTCCCTTCGTACGTGCAAACCAACGTACCTTACATATCGGCCAAATTTCGTTTCATGAATCATGCAACTCCAAGGTTTATCGAAACCTGATAAACCAGGAACGCCTCGCTGCTGCGCTTCAAGTCGCATTTGCTTTCGGACGAGGCCGAATTGGTTCCACACCAAATCTGGAAATGCTCTTCAATCTGACACATCTGTTTTCGGAAGTACGAGCAAAACCAGTTTATCCAACGTCGAGGGCACCTAGAATAATTACCCACATCCTCCGGTCCTGCATTGCTTTGTCCATGCGGTATTCTGGTAGCGAAGCGTCCAATCTGGTCGAAACATTGCACCCGGCATGCACGCCGTGACACCACAGATTTTTAGGTCCTACGTAGTAGTCATGCATGAACTACTGCGGGACGTAAGGGGCGCTGCAGGAGTACTTCACTCTGGAGATGGTAACTGGTCCATATCATAAAAGGGTCGGCTCGTTGGAATAATTCGACATGCTTATTTATGTATGTCGATGAGGATGACAACCAGACGGATGCCGTCGGCCAGAAAACCGGCCTTCAAGCTCGCTCACCGCTTTCAAGACACGATCCTCGTGAGATTGGTATTTGCGTATGCGATGTAACTACTAGATGCCATGCCACGTGTTCGATTCGCAGCGGCTAGAGGAGGAACAGGCGGTAAGGGTGCACAGAACGGTTGATAGATCTCGATTGGATATTCATGAATATTTGACACAAAATCCACCTATGACTTTTGATCATATAGCTACAATTTTATCGAGATATCGTACGCATCCAAACCAACAGCAACACCCGTGAGCACTGCCGCATAGCCAACCAAGATGCCCATGGTCGGCACTGGCCCAACATCCAACGTCGGAACCGTCATATTGACCAAACCGGTCAATAAATTCGCCAACAGGAACACAGCCAACCCGTTCCGGTTATAGGCCCTTAGAACCCGGCTTGTGGCCGTCTCATATGCCTCCTTTTCACTCCTCGCATCCGTCGCATTGTAGAATGCGGGGAAGAAGATGGTGTCTATCAGACAATGCGCCAGGATCGACGCATTATTGAACGCCACAATCCACAATACATATGGTAGGTTCGCCAACCGGCGCGATACGTCGAGGCCAGCGCCGTAGACAGGATTCGTGACCGCAACGTACAAGAAAGACCAGATGCTGGTCCAGACAAACATGACAAGCAGCAGCGTGTTGCGCTGCGTCCCTGGAGTCGTCGTGCGATTGGGGTTGATGCGGCGAGGCAACATGTACATGCCTGCGTCCTGACCAGCCAAGAAGATGGCCACGTATCCCACGAAACTGCAGATGCCTTCCCTATTTTTTGAAATGAGGTCCGTTCGTGGCGCAAGAAGGATGAAAGCTTTCAAGCTTGTGCTCTCCAACAGGACCTGGTACCCCACGCCCAAGAGGATGGTGAGTGTGGCGAAGCTAGGCACTACCTTCAGCGCCGATTGGAATATCGCCACAAAGGGCGGAAGAAGACCCAGGGTAAAGAAGAAGTTCCAATGCACGCCGTACTCAGTCACATGCTCGGCGTAGTCCAGACCCTTGACACTCAACAATCGGACCACGCCCAGCACGAGGAGTGGCATGGAATGTCTCATGGAGTACAACAATCTTTGGGGTAACGGCATTGTACGGCCCTCGGCTCGCTCTTTCAGCACTGGCCGCGCCGCTACTACCCCGGCGCTGAAGACAAAGGACCCGACGCCAACGTCCATAAAAGAGGTGCCCCATGTTTCGACTTTGGCGAACCGGCGAGGAAAGAGCCTGAAGTCGACGGCAAGGATCGCTAGGCATGTAGCCACTAGCATGGAGCCGCGGTAATGCGTGAGGAAGGGCTTGATAGATAGCAGTCCCAGTCCTGCATTTCCTCCATCGTTGGCTCTGGATGTGGCGCTGGGCGGCAGTTTGGGCTTCTTTTTATGATCGTGGGAATTCGCTGGGAGAGCGTAGACAACCAGCGCCGGGGCAAGAATCAAACCATAAAGGATAAGGGGCGTCGAGGAGTACAGCGTTATGGCGAGGAGGATGGCGCAAACATTTAGAACGAAGTCGGCGGCAAAGGATAGCGGCGTATAAGGTTTGAAGAAGGACTGCCGGCTTTGGAGAACGGACCAAAGTACAATCGCAATCTGTTTCAATTGTTAATCTTGGTTGAATTGAAGACAAGCCGAGGCATCAGAAGAATCGCGTACTGAAGCTACCGAAGCCACGTAATTGATCTCGGACACGGAACCGCCTGACAGACCGGAGACGAAGTCCTCCTTGAGCTGCTTGTAGCTTGTCGCATTGGAGGACGCCATTTTGGTAGTTGCAGATAACGTGTTTCGCGAAAGGCAGTGATAGAAGAAGGAAGGACGGTTTATGTTTCGACCGCTACCCTTAAATCCAGCGGCATCTCGTTGTTGGTAAGAACTGGACAGCTTGTCAACTTGAGAAGCAACGAGTGCTCGGGTTGCATCAACTCGAGGAAGTGGATGGAGACAGCAGGCACCGAGGAGTTCAAGCTCCAAGCGCTGGGAAGCTTCGCCCAATCAGCGATTCAAAAGCCGAGCTATTGCGCCCCACGTGGCCCTGGCTGTGGTTTCCTATTTATGCTGACAACTTCAACCTTCGCGATCCAAAATCTCGTACCGGAGTATTTGAGAGATACATGATTCAAAAATAACAGTCGCTGCAGATTTTTGCAGAGCTTGAAGCGTGGAAAATACCAGATTCTTGCACAAGCTGCCTGCTGGAACGGTAACTGCCTCGTTACGGCCTCCAAATGCAGCTGACCATTTGACCAGTCTGAGGCAATGACTTAGACGCCACCTCATGATCTATGTTTGTTGTGTTCGTACTTTGAGGGCTGTTCTTTGTTTATTCGCGTGCGATGAGAACAATAATCTCCTTCTGAGGAGCACCTTGAAGCCATGTCAGCTTCTCTAGTGCTGCTGCCTTTGACTCATTCGCCCACCAACCCTTTGAGAACTTGAGAAAGGCCAATGACAAAAGAAAAACACGCTTTTGTCTCGCTATGAATGAAGCACGGTTCGAATATCAACTATGCAGGTCTGGAGTCTTGTTGGTGTAGGTTGCTCTTCACTGTCTCGTCAGCGCAGTGACATCCAACGTCCGTATCTTACAAGTCACATGCTTCACTCGTTTGATAAAGATGACATGCAATGAATAGGCCCCAAGATGACCCATTCTCACGTCCGTTTTGACTGACTACCAAACCCACGGCGACATGCCAAAGACTGCCCTACGAGCTGCGGTCAGTCCGCAAGGCTTGACCATCTCCTGCCTGTCGCCCAGAAGTCTACTCAGCCCATCCTCACCTCGTTCGTCATCTCACAGGGGAAGGTTCGATCACATCCAGTGGTTGCGATCCACAGCGTTTCGGGACGGTCTGCCAAGGCCAAGCCTGATGCAAAGGAATAGCACCGCTATTGACAAGTCACTCCGAAACCCTTCCGCATCGCCAACACCTCAACGGCTAGAGAATGGCACAGGCAATGAACGTCGTCAAAATAGAGTTCATTCCCAAACACAGTCGCCAGTCCACAGCGGCAGGGGAGCGAGTAGCATCAAGACCGCCGCGTTGTTGTCCAGTTATGAGGTCGGGCCGAGTGTACAGGACCCTGAGAGCATGGTGCAAGATGCAAAAGCGGTGCCGATCCGCAAGTGACTGGCCCCTTTTTCCTGGTTTCCTTACCCGCAATGTTGACAGCTTGGCTCGAGACTTTGAATACGCACGAGCCCATCTGCCCGTCCTCGCAGCACTTCTATCTTCTGGTCGCGTGCGGGAAGGTGATTTTATCTATCTGCCACTTCCTTACGCCGAGGCCTGGCCGCAGACGGCCAGGTACGTGTATACTGGCCAAGAAGAGTTGACTCATGCCATCAGGGAGAATATCCTGTATCTAGCTGGGAAGCCGTAGGTAAGAGTATTGTTTGGTCTGGCAGCATGGGCAGATGAATATAATGATTTAATGAATGAGATCCACGAAATAATTGCATGTTAAAGAGCATTGCACTTCTGGAATGGGGCTGCCTTGCCTCTAATGCATCTCGTTAGATCCTGTCCTATTAGTTTATATTAAAAGCTCACAGTCTGACCATACTCAAACTGCTCCAATGAGCAGATCTCGTTGAGATTATAGTTGAAACGAGCACGTCACCATCTCATTATTGTCAGACGAGCGATATTTGCCCCGGGTTATAGAGTTATAGATTGTATGTGCTACATAACAACTTTGTTGAACCTCACGTACCCAACCAATAGACTTTGGTCTGTGCATTGAAGTCCTCAGATCAGCAAGTGAAGGCTTATCTTCATTGGACACGCAAAGGTTCAGCCGCTGTATGTTCGTTAATCCACAACATCTTAACTCTCTCTAGTGTTGCGCCTGTAGCCGTGGAATGGGATTTCCAAATATCACAAAGGGGTCTACAGCATCCCAACTTGCCTTCGGTTTCCCCAGCCATATCGATTAATTCTTCAAGCATCCTCCTTAGCGTACCCCTATACCTATATCCCAGTATTCACCCAATGTGCACATCCACCCAATCCTCCCCATCTTCAACACCCTCGTGAACAATCCCCCCCTCCCCACTCTCGGCGCCTCCGGCCCCTGTACCCACACCACAAGCATCAAAGAGATCCCACAATCCAGCGACTTCGCCTACATCTACTGGATCTATTATCCCTCGCTCTCGCCACCTCGAGCGGCACCGTTACCACGGACTGCATCATGAACACGGGCGCTAAGGGGGACGGGTTGAAGGCCGTGCAGAGAGAAACTCGACGAGGATGAGGGTTATGGGGCTTTGATCAAAGCTGCGGTCTAAAAGGTCCAGGGCGCGGTGGACACGAATAAGAATGGGGTTGGGGGCCGCAGATGGGGAGTCCGATGATTTGGATTTGGCGGGTGGAGAATGTGAATGGAAGACTTAGAGGTGGATATGTAAAGACGGGGAGAATGTGAAGAAGGTCTTGTGGTGGACTTTAGGGATTAAAGGCGATGGATGGGAGAGATGTTGGTGACGATGGGGATGATGGTTCAAGGTGGAAAAATCCATCATTAAACACCGTACTATGAAAAGGGGTGGGCGAGCGCAAGTTTCTGACTAGAACATTTTTCGCGATCCAAATTAATGTCTGGCTTTACTTGTAAAAGTCACACTTTGATCTAGATCAGCTGTGAGAGTTCCCATCCTCCAGCCTTTTCCACGGTAGTTCCTTTGTCTCGTGGTATAGCATTAATTGTTCCCGAAGTTAGATGGTGGCGGTGCAGTTGATCGAGCCACAAACTCTCCAGTGCTGGCTATACCCTATCGGTTCCGATGGCATCATCTTGGTGAGCTCGACGTCATTTACATCTTGTCAATTCTACCCACTTCTCGTGATCTCTTCTTTTAGAAAAACAAAACACGTCATAATGCTAGAGGTTCGCTGCTCAGGCAGCCCGTATGAGGTATGTTGTCTATCCTTGGGTTTCGTATGTCTTAAAGCTGCAAATATGTAGTATTCTCTTGCAATTTGATGACCATTGATCTTTAACAAGTTAAATTCCAGATCGGGCACACCCAAGGTACCGTGGCCAAATCGAAAGTAAACGGCTCCATCGCCTTCTACAGAGCACTGTTCCAGAAATCATGCTCACTCGACTGGGACGGCGTCTTAGAGGAGGCTTCTTATTACGTCGAGCCGCTCGGGAAGACCTGCCCCCGCTATCTAGAGGAGCTCCGCGGTCTGGCGGACGGAGCGGGGTTGGCCTTTCTGGACATTCTGGCGCTGAACGTCCGGACTGAGATCAACTTTGGGATGTTCTCTGATAAGACGAAGGATGTTGATGAGATGCAGAGTGACGGTTGCACAAGTGTAGGATGGTTGACGCCAAAGGGGCAGTCATTTCTGTCTCAGAATTGGGACTGGATGGTTGAACAAGAGGCCAATATTATCGTGTGCCATATTTCGCAGCCGGGCACGGGTATACCGGATATTTCTATTGTCACCGAAGCGGGAATCATTGGTAAAATCGGGCTCAATTCGGCAGGAGTGGGTTGCTGTTTAAATGCGATTCGAGCTCGTGGTGTCGATCGGTCCAAGTTTCCCACCCATTTCGCACTGCGAACTATCTTGGAATCCTCCTCGATGGAATCCGCTATTGAAAAGATCAAATCACTCGGTGTAGCTGGGAGTGCGCACATATTGATTGCTGATAAGACTGGCTCAACGGGTGTTGAATGCACCAGCATCGGGATGAAGAAGCTGCCCATGGATAACAGGGGGAGAATCTGTCACACGAACCACCTCATTCTGGATCATCCAGGTGTTGAAGAGTCTGCGTGGCTGAAAGATTCGCTGGAGCGACTTTCTCGGGTTCAAGAACTCACAGACCTCATGTCCGCAGAGACATTGGATATGGTGGCATTGTCCAATATATATGAGGATGAGCAAGGCTATCCGGCTTCGATTAACCGTCGACAGGTGGATGACTGTGAAAGTCAGACGGTATTCAATATCATCATGGATTTGACAAACCCGAAGGCTTGGGTCACTTTTGGCAGGCCTACGCAGGCTACGGACAAAGTCACTTTCGAGTTTTAGGTTTGGGGAACTATCTTGAGAGCGCGCAAGTTTTCTCCTATACCAATGTGAAACTTGGATCTCGAGTACCAAATCGACTCAATTGGTAGTATCGCAGCTAGCAGGCACAGAGAAGTGGACGTATGCACATAGTGAAGTGGATTGCACTGATGCTCTAGCTGAGCATTAGCTCCCCGGGCAATTTATGATTCATAGTGGTTCATGCCGCAGGGCTCACCGAGCCATTCACTTAACTTGACTATTATAAGCCAATCCAATGATGAGACTAAAAGGTCCACATAAGCCACTATGCTGAGCAGGATATAAGAAACCTGCTCGATCTCCCCCATCACTGCATCTAGCACAGCATCTCTCTCTACAGATGACAATAATTGACCATGGCAGGCTCCACCAATCACGCGATCGTCTTTGGTGCATCTGGCCTGATCGGCTGGTCCGTAGTCTACCAGCTTCTGTCCCGTTATCCCGAGTCCGGAGCCTTCTCAAAAGTCACTGCTGTGACAAACCGCCCGGTTGACATCTCAGACTCGTATTGGCCCGAACTCAGCACTGAACAACCGGATCTTCAGCTGGTCTCCGGCATTGATCTCCGTGGCGGCGACGGGGATACTCTGGCGGACACCTTGAAGCAGAGTATAAAATGCATTGAAAGCGTTACGCACGTCTTTTACTTCGGTATGTTTATTTCATAAAACTTTTACTGACCTCTGTGAGCCGATACTGACACTTCTAGCCTTCACATCCGTCAATGACGATATCGAAGAGGTCGCAACCAATCGGGCAATGCTGAAGAATGTCATTGATGCCATCAACCTGCTGAGTGCCGAACTACAGTTTGTGGTATTTCCCGGTGGGACAAGGGTAAGCCAGCCTTTTCCTGTTATTTAAATTACAGAAAACGTGGGACTAATCACGGAGAAAAAGGGGTATGGAATATATATTCCAGGTGGCACATTCAAGGCACCATTAACTGAAGAGATGACGAGTAACCTACCGGAAGACTACGCCAAGACGGTTGTCTACCGGGCATTTCGAGAGATTCTAGCGGAGGCAAGCAAAGGGAAGAAGTGGACGTGGTGTGAGGTTTGCCCGGACGCCATTGTAAGTCTTCTTCTCCAGAGCACCTAATCGGACTGGAAGAAGCAACAACTAACAGTGTTTTCAGGTTGGATTCACGCCGAATGGCTCGCAATTCAGCCTGGCGCTCCACTGGGCCCAATATCTGTCCCTCTATGCCTATAACCACGGTGTTGGATCACGAGCATGCGGCATGAACCAGGCTAGCGACGTCGACGTGCCGTTCCCGGGAAATGAGCCGGATACAAGTCGCTCAGCACCCCCGTTTCCGCCAAGACGATTGCGCAGTTCGCCATCTACGCGTCTCTACACCCTGACAATTGTGGCCGGGGGCAATTATTCAACATCGGAGACAAAGAGAAACCTTGCACTATGGGCGAGATTTGGCCGAAGTTGGCACAATGGTTTTGCCTAGTGGGCGTGGGGCCGAGGAAAAACGCGACTGACCAGGAAGCAGAAGCGGAGAAGCCATCAAAACCGGGAGAGTATGTCGAGAAGCACAATGACGTCTTTCACCGGGCCGGACTAGACAGGGCTGCTCGTGCGGGCGTCGGGGCTGGGAGTCAGCAACTGGATAGTGTGGGATGGTGGCTGACGTTTGATAGACAACTCAGCTTAAAGAGATTGCGGGATACTGGGTTTCGTGAAGATAAGGACCCGTTGGAGGGTTGGCTGAAGAGTTTCGAGATGTTTAGAAGGGCGGGGTTAATACTCTGATTGTGGATGTGCACTGTAGAGCAAGTGGACATTATTATTGCATGGTTTATCGATCTATCTGATGTGGACATCTTGATGCCATGGTGTAAATACGGTTGAAATATAAGACATGTAAACTAGTGTGCCATTCATTTTCAAACTTCAAATGGTATATGGTCTCAATTGTAACATCTAATTATAAGTAAGATAAGCTATATGTTTAATTTAGACCTTTTTTATCGAATTGCTTATTGCTTTCTTATGTTGACAAGCACAACTCAACCGATTAGCAGCTGGTATATCATCGGCTCCTCCCTGTCTCCAGTCACCTGGCATTGTTTACTTCATGTATAGGCAGCCAAATCGATGTTTTCTATCTCTTGTTTGAAGTGCCTCTGCCTGATTCTGTGCTCCGGGCACGTCGATGCGTCGCGTAAAAGTGCCAAACATTCAACTGTTCAAGTGCTTGCTGCGGACATATAAGACTTGACACTTAAGCATCGATGAGAGCCGCACGACACAGAAACTCCAAACACTGCAACTGTGGCGACACCGAGATATTGACGTGAATTTCAATCAAGCTTACTTGCCCCAGTTGCAACCTAGTATTACTTTACCTACAGAGAATCCACTGGTCCCGCTTCGTAGCTTCTTATGCAGTTCATCATTGGGACATTGGAGTTACCCAGTTGGACGACCGTCCCGCAAGGAAATACCCGAGGAGATCGAAATTCTCTTTTCTCACTCTTGTCATCTGTATTACAGTCTTCTTGGTTTCAGTAGAGTGAGTATGATCTGAAGTCCCTCTACACCCAAAATGAAAACGAAAAGATGAGCTGACCATATCTTTCCTAGCTTTTCCATCATCGCCACGTCCATCTTGGCGTTTGTCCAGGCTATTGGTGGTTCGTTGTTTTTCAATGTGGCCCGGACAATGTTTTCCAACAAGCTCGCTTAGGAGCTTACCGCGAAAATTCCTAATTTGGATTCTTTTATTGTATTGGAGTGAGATTACACGGATTTGGCCAAGATTTTTCCAGAGAGATACGTCTCTGCGGTGGTACTGTCGTATATCAATGGTTTGGGGGATTCGTTTATCGTTGGTACTACCGTTGGTGGCGATTTCTACTATTGGTATCGCGTTCGCAGAATAGAGAAGTGTCAAGGGGGTTAAGAGGGCGATAGCTATCCATGTTCAAGTATGAGGAGACTATGCACAATGTATAGGTGGGTTGGAAGCCAGGCATTGGGGTCGCAATTGTGTATATATATCAATTGGCTTGGGTGGATGGGATCAGCCTACTTTACATTACCACGTTCACGCGAAGGAGAAATGTTCCCTAGTTCCAAGTAGACTAAATCATTTCAAACGAGGATATTTATGACTTGAATAAAATAACTAATATGCGCATCACACAAATAATCAAGATGATTACTAAACGAATGTGAGTAGGTGTCTGCTTGTCACTGTTAGTAAAGAATTCACCATCGATCCTATACAAGTATTGGAACCATAGTATGAAATTTTCTGGACACGTGGAATGATACTGTTGACCTATCTCGGTAGAAAGGGCCAAATAAATACACAATTTAAAACCCAGATGAAGTGTTGTTAGCTGATGACAAAGGACCAAAGTACCATGAGTCATATACCATAGCCGAAAGTACAGGGTATCAGAGTTGTATCTAGCCTCATTCGATATGATATGAGTCTTAATAATATAAGCTGCTCTTGTTTATCTATATTGTTAGAGACATTCAAGCTTGACAGCAGATCGACTAGAGTACGAACTATGGTAGTCAATTCCATTCTAGAGGATTCAGAGGCTAACCCCTATTAAATATTATATTTACTCCATTACCACATTAACATATTAGTCTCAAGTCCAACGGTGGACCTTCTTCGCTTTCCTGTGAAACAAACCCCACTTATCAATCCTCGATCGCTCAGCTTGTTGGGTTGGTTCGAGGCAACCGGCACATAAAACGCCAGTTTCAGCCGCTGAAAATATTAACAGCTGAATACGCATAGTGGCGTTTTGAGCACTCAACTAAGCCCCGCCAAAATTTCATTCAGCCTTGGGCTGAAGTCATCCCACATCAGGCTCAGCCGCATCGATGTAATCATCACACGCTTATATGAACCTCCTCTCTCCACGATAGTGCAGATATGCTAAATAATGCCCTTAATGGAGCTTTCAGACCTTTCTGACTACAACTAGCGGCCATACCCGAGTTGTCCTTTGTAAAAAGCTCTCCATTCTCAAGCAATGACTAAACACGGTCACAGATCCGGAGCCTGGACCCGTGCCATCGAGGAGCTCGTGGCTGATTATAAAGATGGCGAAGATGACTGCTGGGAAGAGATAGACAAGAATGCCTCATCTTTCGTACGTGTTGAGGAACTGATTGTCATATAGTCCCCCAGCTAACTACCCACAGATACCAGACGATCTCTGCCACCAATGTCTCGAGATATTCGAAAGGGACTTCACCTTAACCCCAAGTCCTCAGAACTTGGTATACGTCAACTCTCAAAACCCGCTTGGATGTCGCCTCTGCGCCCTCTTCCTCGACAAGTTCGATTCAAGTCCCGATGCGATGTCGCCGTTGGAATTGGGGTACGTGTTGAGGTGTCGAGACGGATACTTCATGGGCGTGTTCGATATCGAGTTCTTCGTGATGCAGGAGGCTTCGGCGGAGGGGCGTAGGATTAGACTGTGTTTTCAAGAGGAGTTGCGCACAGGTGGGTATTCTATAGGCCTCTCCTTTTTTTTTCTCCTTTTGATATATTTCTGCCACCAAGAGCTAAAGGTTCTAGAGTCGAGCATGCCACATCCGGTCCCTTACGACCTTACAATATCTACCACGACCGGTTCAGGGCAGAGTTTCGCGAGGGCAAGAGGATGGGTGAGAGAGTGTATGGATATTCACGTTGAGTGCAAATTGGCAGTCCCCAGCTCCAATTTCATGCCCACTAGGTTGGTCGAGATCGCTTCCGGACGTCTACTGAATATTCGATTGCGGAAGGGGAGCGAAATAGCACCTGAGGCACCATACGCGGCCTTGAGCCACTGCTGGGGCTCGAATATGCCTTACAAACTGACACAGGCCCGGTTGAGCTCTTGTATGGTAGATATCCCGCTCAACTTATCTCCAAGGTATTTGTAGATGCAATTAGCGTTGCAGAGCGGCTAGGTATTCGGTATATCTGGATTGACTCACTATGTAAGGACCTCAAGAGCATTATAGTATAATTATCTGACTTCAGAAGGCATTATTCAAGATTCCGCCGAAGATTGGGGAAAAGAGTCAGCTCAGATGGGGTCCATCTACAACCACAGCCTCCTAAACATCGCCGCCACCGGCTTTTCTAACGGCGAAAACGGCCTTTTCAGCCGAAGAGATCCAGCTCTCCTGCTCCCCATCAAGGTAACCTTGCAACAAGACATACACACTGTGCGTAAAAACAACCACAGACAAATGGATATGAAAAGGGGCAACTACCTCCTAATCGATGTCAACACCTGGAAAGACGCTGTCGACGAATCCCCGCTCTGCAACCGGGGCTGGGTAGCCCAGGAGCGCACCCTTTCAATCCGCACGCTGCACTTAGGTCACCGCCAGCTCTTCTGGGAATGCCTCTGCAAGTCGCGAAGCGAAGTTTTTCCCGAGGGGTTCGTGCAAGGCACCCTGGCCAAACACCCGAAACGCTTCCTCCAGTCGCGAGCGAGTGAACAAGCAAGTCGGATGGAAAAGGCCGAAAAGTTTCGACAATCTCATAAGGATGCTAAGATCAGGTACCGAGAGCGCCTGGAGAGGGAGAGAATGGGCAAAGACAAGTACAGTTTGTTCCCCACATCATTTTTCAAGCCGAAGGGGTACACCATGTCCGATTGGATGGCCATGTGGACGCCTCAGGACCTGGAAGGATGCGATTTGTCGGTTTTTGATGATATTTCGAGTAAGTCGTGGGATAAATACAAGATGCAGCTCTAGAAGTGGTCGGTTGGGGCGCAGGCGGATGCGGAGGGGAGGGTTGGGGCTAGGACGGTAAGGAGTATGACACTTTCGCAGCAGCTGTGGTTGCACATCGTCGAGGTATACTCTGCTTGCTTGCTTTCTTTCTCCAAAGACAAGCTCGTTGCTATTTCTGGTTTGGCTAGTTTGATCAGTAAGGACATGAAGTGTCAGTACCTTGCAGGAATGTGGAGGAAGGATCTTGAGCATCAACTTCTATGGAAAGTCAGGGTTACACGACCAGAGGCTGCCTTTGGCAATACGAGGGGTCCTTCTTGGACGTGGGCGTCGGTAGATGGCTCTGTTAAGACTCCTTGGATGGAGTCGGGCTGCGTTGGGTTACACGAACATTCCCCTCTTCGTTGGATAATGACTGACGAAATTTCCAGCCATCCGGAGAAATTAACCTGGATATCCAAGGTTAATCAAGCCCAGGTGACCCCGTTAGGGTCACGCGAATTTGGTCAAGTCAAATCCGGGTGCCTCACCATAACCGGCCGCCTCGGAGTCTTCCGCATCGACAAATCCAAGACGATGACGAACCCACCCGTCAACGGAAAGGGAAAACTCGTGTCTAAAAAGACCTGGATTGCAGCCTCGTGGGACACTCTAGAGACTGAGGCAGTCTTTGGCCCGTCTGGACGCACGGAGTTGTGGCGTTACACCGAGTACGGAACTCAAGGTAACTCGAAGACAAAGGCAAAGGCAAATCAGTTGAACGTGTTCTGTCTTCCGACGCGGATCATGAATGCAGATCCTGTCAATATTGATTACGAAGCACCCATGCTCACGGGACTACTGCTATTGCCTGGGGGAAAGAATGGATATTACCGAAGGATTGGTCAATACGAGGTTTCGGAACACTGGGAGGATGGCTCTGTTGCCGCTTTCACGAACAAGACGACGTTGCTGGATTCGAGCCTGTATATATCGAAGGATAAGAAGGGTAATTTCAAGATTGTCATTGTCTGAGTTGCGTTGGCTCAGAATACTTAGGTTGGAGTAGGCCACGCCTCGTGATTACTACAACTATTATCTTGGGTACCCATTTACTATATATAGTCTGTTAACGATGAAAACTTCACAGAGACGACGACTTAAGCTTCTATAGTAGTAACCAAGGTAGCCATGAAGAATTAGTTCAGTATCTGAGAACTTTATGACATCTTATACTTTTTATAAATGTGACGCAAATAGTTTCTCGATATGTCATACACTGTATCCTACGTGAAGCCTACTACTTATTGAAAATAACTCTTCCTTAGATGTGTCGACCGGTTGCGTCACATCGCATACTAGTGTAAATTCTTTCAGGTTCCGAGAACAACGAACGCAGCTGAGCTTCCAGCATATACGATGCCTACATAGATGAGACGCTGGCAGCTTCCGGTGGTGGCACTGTACTACAGGAGAGATGACACTGCCTGACGCAGACGCAACCTAATTGGCCTTCTGTGCAGTATGCATATTTTCTCATGCCTTGCTACATAGCAACGCACCATATACAACGAATAGTAAGCACCGTCGTCTAGAAGACTTAAAACCAGCTACATCCAGGTGTACTAATTTCCAGTTCTATCATCTCTTTCACCTACACTTCGCATTCCATCCTCATCGCTAACCACTTCACTTGAACCCACCCGGTATCTCATATAATCTCCGCGTCGAAATGGAGAAACTCAAGGACCCCAAACCCTCCCCGGTGTCAACAATCCTAGCCACCACCGCCGCCAGCGCCATAGACATGACCCCAGACACGCGCGACATGCAACGCCGAGGCAAAACCCAACGATGCAAACGCCAATCCCGCCTTTCGCCACCCTCGGCTTCGTGTCCATGTACATGGTAACCTGGGAACTCGTCCTCATCACGCTCTCCGCAGGTTTCATCAGCGGCGGCTTCGCGGGGCTCTTCTGGGTCTACGTCGAAACTGCACACGGCTACGCCTCTATATTGGCGTCTCTCGCGGAAATGGAGAGTATGGCACTCATGTCGGGGGGTCAGTACCATTGGGTGTTTGAGTTTGCGCCGGCGAACTAACAGAAACTTCTGAGTTATTCAACGGGTTGGATGTGAACGCTGGGGTGGCTGGCTTGTTTAGCGGCGGGACCGTATTTCATCACTAGCTTGTGCACGCGTGTGGGTAGATTGTGAATCCGGGGTTTGGGTTCGAGGCGGGGTAGTATATTTATTGATGCTGGGTTGTTGATCGCGCAGGTGTTTTGTAACACCGTTGGGGCCCGGTTGGTTCCTGGGTTGGAAGTCCCTTCGCTGGTTCTGCATTTGTTGGGGGTTGTGATCATGCTCACTGTTTTCTGGGCGATTTGTCATCCGCTTAATACACCTAGGGAAGTGTTCACGCATTTTGTTGACAGTACGGGATGGAACGATATAGCGATGGCGGGATTGTCAGTGGCCTACGATATACAACAACCTGGAAGCATTGTTCACATCTCTAGGTGCACTCTCGACAGAGGCTTAGTATGCCGTGCTCTTCTTCAACGCCGGATCGCGAGCCATCGCTCTGTTTCTGACCATCATGTTGCTCTTCCTCTTGTTCTTGTGCAACATCACGACGCTCGCGACCGTCTCAACAGAAGCGTGGCTGTTTGCAAGCGAAAGGAACTTTATACCGCCGGCTGCGTTCGTAGAAGGGCGAAAGTTGGAAGGAGTTCAACTTCAGACAACATTCTGAAGCGTACTTATGGTTAGAGCCATGTCCGACTAGAAATTATGAGGGGACAGCATGCTAAATTGGCTTGGCTTATAGCGTGTAGTTGGCGATGAAGACCTTTTAAGCTAGTCGTAATCAACCCCATCTTTTCACCGCCGTACACAAAGTTCATCCTCAAAAGTATACATTGAGAACAGCGAAATCTATGTATATCTTGAGTTGCAAGAAGGCTTGGGGTACACATGACTTAATGATTCTACTCGCACAAATTTTCTTTCTTTTCTCTGTAATTTTACCACTCAGCCACCTCACCCGGCTTCGGCTTCTGCATCCTCACGACTTTGTCGACGTTGAGCAGACACAGGGGGTCTAACGCTTGCTTGAGCTATTGTAGGATAATTGTCAGCTACCCGTCAAACGGATGTATAAACCAAGGGGAAAAGGGGTTTGAGTCTCGAGTCATTCAACTCTGCCCGACAGACTCGGCAAAAGCCAAGAAAAAGAGTTATGGAAAAATAGGGCGGAAAGGGGGTTCGACAACATACCTTCCTCATCGTATCAACCGTGCTCTCACCCAACTCGTGAGGCAAGTAGTCCCTCTTCACAATTCCAACACCATGTTCTCCCTTCAGAATGCACTCCAGTCAGCCGTTCATTCGTTTTCACTTGCACTTTTACTTTTTTTTTGTTCACTCGGTAGGGAATGGGGTCTCAAACTCACCGTAACCGTGCCCTCCATCTCCACAGCCCTCTTCACCATCCTATGTACCAACTCCTCAGCCGCATGTCTCTGCTCCTCATTGGAAAGCAAAATAATATGAAAATTCCCATCGCCTACATGCCCCACAATTGTGCCATACATGCCACTCGCTTTCAAATCTTCCTTAGTAATCTCGATCAAATCAGGTAACCGACTAACAGGGACCGCCACATCGCCCGTCCACACCTTATCCCCAGGCTTGCTGACGGACATGGTACTCCAAAGCGCCTCTTTGCGCGCACTCCACAGCTCTGCTTTCTCCTCCTCGCTGCGCGCAAACTCGAAGCTTTGGCTCCCCGTCGCTTTCGCCATGTCCCTCACGATTTGGATTTGCTCCCTGACGCCGTTGTCCGTGCCGCTGAACTTGAAGAACAGCGTGGGCGCTTCCTTCCACTGCTTCGACGTCATGCCCGCGTGGTTGATGCACCGCATCTGCTCGTCGTCGAGGATCTCGACGGCGGCCACGGGGACGCCCTGCCCTACGACACGCGCCACGCAGTCGGCGGCCTGGCGGATCGAGCCAAAGGAGCAGACAGCTACCGAGGTACTGGCCGGCTTGACGGTGAGTTTGAGGGTTGCCTCCGTCACGAGGCCCAGCGTGCCTTCGCTGCCGATGAAGAGCTTGGTTAGATCGTAGCCGGCCGAGGATTTGCGCGGGCGCTGGCGCGTCTTGATGATGGTGCCGTCGGCGAGCACAACGGTCAGAGATAGAACCCATTCGCGCATGGTGCCGTAGTGGTAGGAGTTAGTGCCGCTACAACCGGTGCCGATCATGCCGCCAATCATGGCACCCGGGCCCGGGTCGGGAGGGAAGAAGAGATTGTCCTTGGCCAGCTCCTCGTTCAGGTGTTCCCATCCGACTGCGGGCTGGACTACCACGTCGAGATCTTCCTTGTGCAGCTTGATGACCTGGTTCATGCGTCCAAAATCGATGCAGATGCCGCCGCGGGTGGGTGTGAAGTGACCCTCCAGACTCGTGCCGCCGCTGTAGCCAACGACTGGTATCCTCCGCAAGTGGCAGATCTTCATGATTTCGGACACCTCTTCCGTCGAGGCGGGGAACACCACACAGAAGGGTTGCTCCGACTTATGCGCTCGATACGAAGACCAATCTGATGTAGAATGTGCATGCAGGTCAACGTCGAGCGTGCTGACATGCTCCTTGCCGACAATGGCAGCAAAGTCATGCCACGCAGCCTCGAGGTTGGCTTTTCCAAGCTTATGTACCGGGTCGTTCGTCTGGGACAGTGGTAGGGTCGAATTGGGATCGATTTCGCGGGGTCGTAGGGTGCCCAGGTAGTAGGAACCAAGTGCGCCGGCGACAAACACTAGCAGAAGACGAAGACGTCAGTCCAGCACTCTTTGCCGCAATAAGCCATGGTTTGCGTGCATGTGCTGGGGTAGGGGAGGGGCGCTGGAAGCATATGGCATACTGAACGTGGTAGCCCACCGCCTCGAGCTAGCCGAGTTCTCTCTCTGCTTCGCGAACTTCTCGCGCTCTTTCCTCTCACGCTGTATGCGCGACGAGATACTCTCAAGCATCTGGCCCTGGAAGCTGGACCCAGAGCTGGCCTCCTTCTTCTCGCTGGCATACCATCGCACCGCTTGTTTCGAAAGCAGAGATGCGCGTGCCGGTGTCGCTATCCTCGATGTGGCACCTAAGCTCCGCAGGAGCGTGGTCTGGGTTGGTATCGTTGTAAGGCGCGACATGGTGAAGGCCTTCAATTATGTGGCGGAGAAATTGAGTCTCGAGCTGGCGAGCATGAGATAATCTTCCCTCGAGTATTAAACCAACTATGCGTTCCGGACATTCGGAAGCCGGCCGCCTCTACGTCGGGGTTCGCGAGGTATCTCTTTATGTCTCTTCGTCAGCGTCTTGCAGGTGGGAAAAATGGCGTCATTCGACAGTCGGAGCTCGTTCGCATGCTGGCTCTCTCCACTATGGCCCGCGTGGAGCCCGTGACGACTTTTTATACTGTGCGGGGACGGATCTCCGTCTGCGCCGTCGACCATCCATTTGCCCGTATTATGTCGCATGCTGCTGCACAGGAACACATCAGACCTATCATACTAGCATCCCAATGCCCAATTCAGCGCAAATGGCAATGCGGTATTCCCGATGGTACGATATTATGGCATTCATTTCTCGAAACACCCGTCACCTGCACATCTTTACCGAGGGAATCCGGCTCACCGGCTCACTGCACATCCCAGCTGTTTGTCACGGTGCAGCCAACAACACTTGGTATTACCTCGTCTCATTAAGTTCAGCTCGTGAGGCATTCCATCGTGAAAATACCTCCCTACACCCGTACTGACGCAGAGCGTCCCCATTTTCCGATGCTATGTCTTCCAACCTGCTCCTAGCACCTGGATGTAAAAACCCGGCGCACCGCTTCCACCCCGGCCCTCGACTACCGCCAAATAAGCCGTCAACTCATCATCCCTGCTTATGTTGATTGTCATGCCCTCAGCCAGTATCCCTTCCACTCTCCCACAAACCGTCCCCGCCAAATCCTTCACAGCGACCTGCCGCAGCTCTTCAAACGTGCGCGCTGTCAAAGTCGCAATCCAGATTGACGGCGCCATGGTGATGGGCGACGAGGGATGCAAACGTAAGTAGACTGCAATTGGCGGCGGTTGCGGCGTGGGATTGACGGTCGATGCGAAATGCTGCGTAACATAGGCGTGTTGTTGACCTTGCGGCGCTAAAGTTTGAGGAATATATGCGGCGTGCGCGTGCTGCGAGTTGACGGTGTCATGTCCGTTCATGAGGACAGGAAGCGCTCCATCGATCTGCGGGTCTATGGGAAGCCCATTGTCAAGCAGGCCGTTGGGTAAAAGCTGCGGCTGGTTGTGGGAAGGACTATGGGCAAGAGCCTGTCCGTTCGAGAGGCTTTGGAGGGCATGGTTATGGGATAGATCCCGTGACGGTGATTGAATATGGGTTTGTAATGGAAGCTGAGGTGGACCTGGGTTATTCTGGCCATTGTGCCTGTTTGGCGTACCAGGGCCCAAGCCCGTGTTCATATGACGAAGTTGAGACGAGGTCTGCTGTGCTTGACCGTAGTTGTCCTGCAGTTGGTCGTCGTGGCCGGGGTTTACGCTAGGGTCGATACTGCTCTCGTGAGGCTGTTGATGCATCATATCGTTGTTGGGCGAAACTGGTGCGAAATGAGAACTTGTTTTGTTCCGGTTCGGATCGCGCCGGGCCTGGTCGTCCCTCAGTCGTTTCATCACATCTCTGGCCAGAACATCAGCAGCCCTGACTTTCTCCTCGTGGCTTGGGTCGGTTGCGCCTGCGGCCAACACTCCCTGTAGAATCGAAGAACTTCGCAACCACCGCTCTTTCAGCTCGGCCCAGTGCTCGTGCCCGGCTTCAATCTTGCTTGTGAAATGATCTGCCTTCAAGATAGCTAGGAATTCCTGCCGCATCGTCCTCGACTGTTCAGGGTTAACCCCCAAAGTGTTCTTTGCCTCGGCAACGGTCATCTTCGTGTGCATCGTGCGCATGCGCTTCGTGACATCTGTGCAAATAACATCAAGCGCCAACTTCCTGCCGTCCACATTCTCCTGATCCGCCCACATGACATTCTGCAGGTGAGGACTCTCCTGGATCAGCCGAGTCTTGACGCCTTCCCATCTTTCAGGGCCGGCGATGGTCTTCTTGCTGACTCCAGCCTCGTCACATATTCGTCCGAAACGCGTGCGGAGTTCGCGGTAGAGTTCATTGTCGAGACTGAGAATGGCCTTGCTCTCGTCGATAGTCGTTTCGGACGGGAAGCGAGGCGGGCCTGGCGGATCAGCCGGAAGACCGGCCCATCCTCGAGTCCGCCGGCGACGCTTCCGCGTCTCCCACCGCTCCGCCGACACGACCTCGAGCTTCTGCAGACGGTCGCGCCGTTTCGCTATGACCTGGGGGGTGAGTTCGTTTTCAGAGGCCTGAGCCCCGTTCAGGTCTTCCTGCGTAACGCTCGCGATCGCACCAAGCCGCATGCTCATGTCAGACTGCGAAGCAGCAGCGGCAGCGCTGGCGCCTATGGGTGAGACTGGTATTGGTACTGCGCTCTTCTCGGCGTTGGGCATCCGTAGTAGCCACCGATTCCGGGAGCGCACGCGCATCAGTTCCCGCTGCTTGATATCAAAGCCGTCCTCCTCGTTCAAGACGCGCAGCATCTCCCGCTGCGACAGGTTCCGCTCCCATAGTTCCTTGACGCGTGCGACGAGGCGATCGTTCTTGTGCGCAGGGTTCTGTTTCGACGGGAAGTCCCAACGACGAAATTGGGTTTGGTAGGCACGTTTGCTGCCATTGCGAAACGAGTGTCAGCCAAGCAATGCAGATATCCGGAAGTTGGTAAGAGAGTAGATGCCATGCCCATGTCATGCACGCATCAAAGCTAATGGGCCTGATAGTAGCAAGTGCATCATGTCAACATTGATTCACGAACGTACGGCCGTCCACAGAGCCCACTTGAGCTTTTGAGTACGGCGAGCGGGTGGTCATACCTGGGCGCGAACTTGTGATGGACCCGCAAATGATCCATAATCTCTTCGAGAGACTTCCTCTCGTCGATGTACAAGCGATAGCATAGTTGTTCGTGCTTGTCCCAATCGTACACCATATTACCGTCTGCTTGCGATGTCAATTGACATCCTCACCTCATGTTCGCAAGTCGAGTCATCCGAAGCTGAGGATGACACATGGAGGAGCGCTGTTGGTCGACGGAGCCATTTTGCGTTTCTGGTCAGAGCCGATGTCCGAGGTATGCGCTGTACTGTGTACGCACTGTTGACACACGATAAATCAGAATACTTCATAAGAATCGACACTGTTCCCTCACACCTCAGTGCATGTACACCTGTGTCGGTGCGAGCCTCTTGAGCATACACCGAAATGACTCAGGCAAGCACTGAAGACAAGAGCAATGGAGAAATGGGAAATGAACCACTGTATTAAGAACCTGAAAACGTTAAACGACCACCCGTCGTTGACCATTGAGTATAACCACGTCACCGATAGGGAGTTGCATACTTGTGTGTTTGGGCCGATCTATCGTACGGCCGAGGACTGCCGACGAAGACTTCAAGAATGCCATGCAGTTGGGACTGGACGGAACCGGTGTTGTCGGCTTTCCCATGTTGGCCCGACATCTCCTGCGGCATCTTCCCTTCCTGTCTAAAGTTGTTGAGTTGTATGACACCACTTTTCTCGCCAGCTTAGTCCAAGCGCCCCGGATTTTGGGTTCAGCTGACCAGGATGCTCCTTTATCTTTCTGGAAGGCGTACCCAGCCAGCCAAGTCTTCTTTAAAATAGCTGCAGACGAGCCGCTTTCTCGTGGAATACGTGCAAAGGTTCATGAAGCTTTCGTGACCTGCAGTTGCTTTGGTATCCCGTGGCCGCCACTTTAGCCGCTGGACGTGCGTTCCATTATATCCAACTTAAGGAACGTCCATAGGGAACACCCACCTTCAATGGTACCTTCAATGTCGCCAATGAATACCGACAATTACCTTCTGATAGCTCTGGTCAAGCTAGCTTTTCCCCACAGTTGAACACAACCTCTGCATACCCAGAGCCAGCCAAGTAACGAGTCCTACAGACAAAAGAAATTGCGGCTAAAACTCAGGCACAACCTCGACTCTGAGATGCCATTGTGACTGCCAGGGTATCTCTCTAACTCCCTCGCTCACTGTTTCACACACAACACCTTAACTCATCGCCATGTCTTCGACCCGACGTTTCGCCAATTACCCCAAGGCCCGTGAGGGACCAGCCACGCCTTACGTCTCCGGGGTTGAGAAGAACCCGGTGTTGCGCGGATGGCCGCTCATTGTTGGTTCCAACCTGTATGCATGGCTTCTCTGGCTTCTCAATGCCTCAATCCCCTGGAGCTACGTCACTGACGTGGTTGCTTTCACAAAGTATCATCAGATCTACGACGATTGCCAATCTCTTCTGGAGCAATGCCCACTTTGGCAAAATCAAAGATATACCAGGTCTGGATAAGCTGCAGTATAGATACGAGGTAAGAATACCACCAGCTCAGAACCACTGATCAAGCATAGCTAATATGTCATAGCCAACGGTCATCCCGATTGCGGAGGAGAATGCAAGTACCCAGGTTGAGCTCGGCCCCGAGTTGTACATCCGGATGCCGGATGATCTGCCAGGACGATACTACACCGTTGCGGATTACCATGAGGCGTACAAGACCGGCCAGGTGACTCCCTTACAGGTCGCCAAAGCTCTCTTGCCCATCATCCGCCGTGACCTTACTCCACCCGGCAAGTATTCCTCGGCGTGGGTCAGCAGCGATGTTCATCGCATCCTCACCGATGCCAAGGCCTCGACGGAGCGATACGCATCGGGCAAGTTCCTGTCCATTGTTGACGGCGTTCCCTTTGGCGTCAAGGACGACACCGATGTCGAAGGATATGTCAGCCATTGGGGTATGGCCTACGACCCCAAGCTGGCCTTCTTCCGTCCCGCCAAGAAGACGTCGGAATCCGTCAGCCATATTCTGAAGGCGGGAGGTATCATGATTGGCAAACAGACACAGCATGAGCTGGGATCCGACACCACTGGATGTAATCCTCGCTGGGGAAGTCCTATTAACTGGTACAACAAGTCGTACTGTACGTCCTCGAGGTTTTCGAATGGCCCCGCAGTTTTGAAACTTGCTAACCCCTATTCCTACAGATACCGGCGGCTCGTCCTCAGGAGCAGGATCTGCTCTTGGCGCTGGACTTGTACCTATATCAATTGGCACGGATGCTGGCGGAAGCTGCCGGCTACCCCCAAGTTTCAATGGCGTCTATGCCATCAAAACAAGCCACGGGCGCACAGAGACCATGACTACAAGCGTCTGTGTGACAAGTCCAATGGCAACCAATGTCACCGACTTAATCGTTGCATATCGCCTTATATCTCAGCCCAACTTTGATGATCCTAGCCAGTCCCTGTTCTCACGCTCCATTCCCACAAGCCCACCGGTCAGAAAGTTCATCGGCATATATCCGGAATGGTTCCAAGACGCCACGCCAGAAGTTGTGGACCTTTGCGAGAAAGCCATCAACTACTTGACGTCCAAGTGCGGCTACGAGGTCGTGCACATCAGCATCCCCTATATCCGCGAAGGTCAGGTGGCCCACGGGGCCTCATGCCTCGGCGAAGCAGCCGAGACGGCACGCATGCGGACCCCGAACCCGGCCGACCGCTTCTCCATCGTCAACCACGTCAACAAGGTCCTTCTTGCCGTCGGAGCGCAGACCAGTATGCTCGACTACTGCAAGTTCAGTCAGTTGCGAGAACTTCACATGGAGCACCTCGCGTTCCTGTTCCAGGAATATCCAGGCCTGTTCATCATGACCCCCGCAGCCCCTGACGCTGGCTATAAGATCAGTCCCAGTGACGAGGAGTACGGTTTTAGCGACACCAACATGACGCTACGCTCGATGCGATATGCTTGGCTCGCTAATTGGACCGGATGCCCAGCGGCCGTCGCTCCCGTGGGGTATGTCAACCCCGAGGTGGGCGAGGGCAAGCTGTCGGTGAGCTTGATGGCCATGGGGGAGTGGGGAGCCGAGGAGCAACTGTTATCTTGGGCAAGGGAGGTGGAGACGTACTTAAACGAGGTGTACCCGGGTGGACGCATAAAGCCCCAGGACTGGGCTAATGTGCTGGATATGGCCAAGAAGATTGACTAAGTGGATGCCGCAATGGCCACATCGCGGCGAAGCTCTCAAGGATTTGTAAAACTAGGTAGCCGGATCATCTTTCAATATTTCAAATCGTAATAATATCGTTATGTCACTAGGACCCTCGAAACTCCTCTTCCTCTCTCTGGTTGACATACCAAATCCATGGTGAATGGTGGACACTGTCGCGGTACTTTGGGCGTACAGCTCCTTCTCATACGAAAGGTACACCACGAGAGAGGTCCAGTAGCTTTTGCTCTCTTTTATTTAGTAATCCAAGTATTGATCCGAGCCAACGTTGCAAATAGTGACAGAGGAATATACCTACTTAGGTATGTACTTACTCACCGCTTAGCTCAAGCAACAAGTTTGACCATAGACATCATTCAGAACGGGAACCATCAGTCAACTCTGAATGAACATCCACATCAGATTTGTAGTGATCGCATGTTAGAAGTTCAACGTTAAAGGGACAAATGCTAACTAAAACACCCACATTGACCAGTCCTACCAGAAGTCATAATATTAATGTAATTATACATTTCTCTAGCAGTAGCAACAATAGACACTGCCGGTATCATAGAACCCACAAAGCGCAAAAAAAAAAAAAAAAACGCCATACAGTTGCCTCCCTGAAAAAGAAGACGGCGCTTGTTCCGGTTTCTGCCGCCGTGTCAAGGAGTTCTCTCCTTCTTTGCTCTTTTCCCGTCTTTACCAGGTAACCCGATCCTCGGGCCTACGCAGACCCTGAAAACCAACCCCTAATCAAAACTCATCCACGCAAACGCCCCCATCGCTCCCGCAATAAACAATACCGTAATGAACCCGGCGCCGGCCCGATCCCCCGTCGTAACCTCCACCGGCTGTGTCACGACCGTCTCGTCGGACCCCGCATTCGCATTCCCCACACTCGTGCCGCCCGTCGTGTTCGTGACGGGCGCGGCCGCCTTCACCGTCAGCAGACTGCTCAAAGCGCCCAGCACATTCATCTGCTGTCCCGCGCCGACGATGTTATCGAAAACGCCCGTGTCCCAGTGAAACCCGCAGAAGCGGCCGTTGTCGCCGCCCGTGCACTGCTTCACGGCGGCCGCCGTCGACGTCTTGAGTACGGGCATGATGCGGTCGACAGTAAAGGGGGCGAGCTGGCTCGTTGAGGCTAGCCAGCGGTGCATGTAGCCCTTGTACGACGTCATATCCGTGTTGCAGTTTCCGGGCTCGCAGGCGCGCTCGACCGCGATGCCTTCAGGGAAGAAGAATTCGAGGGTGCGGTTGAGTAGGCCGTTGATGCGCTCTTCCCATTCGGCGGCGCCATCGGTCTGAGAGCGAGGTAGGGTTGTTAGTCTCGTCGCTTTCTCGGCTGATGTTAGGGAAACGAGGAGGGAGGGGAAGACATACGTGGTTGTACATGAAGGCGCATCCCTGAAGGAGCAGAGCGGCGTTATATGAAAACTGCGCCTTGTTCACGTCGGTGCAGTCTGGCAAATGGGCGCCATCGTAAACATTCCAGTCCTCGTCCACATACCCCAGGTTAGTCAGAATGTCCCAAGTGTTGCTCGCCAGCTCGGCATATGTGTCGTTGCCCGTGTATCGTGCCAGGCGGGCTCCAATGTTGAAGTAGCATCCGTTGGCAATGGCTGTTTTCATGTGATTAGCCGACCAAGACATCCGTGACTAGGGTGGAACCTACTGTTGATGTACTTGTATCCGTTGTTGGACGGGTACACCTGCCATCTCAAGCCACCCTTGCATCTCCCACTGGGTACACGCCTGTCCTCGTGCGTCTGCTCATTAAATACGGCCTGCGCCAATGACAACCACTGCGCCTGGTCAGGTTCCGGATCCGTGTACGCCGTCTCGGCGGCCAGCATGGCAGTGAGAGCCCAGAAACCCTGATCGTCGTTGCCCATAGATGCAGTCCAGTTGGGCGGCATGAAATCCTCGTCTGGACCAGTCTGAAAAAGAATGGCATCAGTGATGAGCTTGTCGTAGTCCTTGTCGCCCGTGTAATGTCTGTAGTCCAACAATGCACCCCACATGGCGCCTCCGATCCACCAGTAGTAGTCGCCGTCGGGCGGAGGACCTGGCAGGATACCAGGCACTTGTCCAGGCTCGTCACCGTGGTAGAAGGTTAGGAGGTCCTCAGCGACGAGAGCTGCCGCTGCTTTGATCGAGGCTGTGGAGAGGCGGAGTCAGAACATCGCTATAGGAGACATGATGGCAAGCGAGAATGCATACCTTCATCATCGAGGTTTACCGTCAGGGCTGCCTTTGCCCCGCTGGTCAAAAGACCTAGACCACCAAATACTATTGTTGATAGTTGCACCATGCTGTCAGATGTGGTGTGTGTGTGTGTGTGTGAGTAGAGAACCCTTGTTCTCTACTGGTTCATGTCAAATGAACACCCGAAGTGGGAGTGGCGGACACAAGGTCCAGGGACGACCGTGTTTGAGTGAAAGCACCGGTCAATACTGATTAGACGGTGTCGTTGAGATAGATGCAATGTCAACTCTCCACCAGCGAATCGTTGCAAGCAAACTGGCACCGAGATGTATTGAAAGAAAGAATTATGGGATGACAAGATGGAGACTACAAACCATTCAGTTTTCCAACGAACAAGAGAGAATATCGCTCACTGGCGACCACAAAAGAACCATTCGCCATGGTCGCCTGGTACCAAGAGACCAAAGAGATCACCACCCCCTACAGAAGTCTTGGCTGAGCAAACAGACTGTCAGATCCCGACAATAGAGATTTGCCTAAGACGGCCGCTGGTAGACAAACGAGGGGAGAAGGATCACTGGACCATTGCCTGGGCACATTTCTGACACGAACTTGGAGCCTGCAGTCCCAATCAGCTTGACTGACATAGCCGCAATGCCCAGGAGCTGCTGTCCTGTAGTCTCTTGGCTAAAAGCTGGGCAAGAGACGGCGCCTTTTTCCCATGTCACGTCTTCATTTGCCATCTCTTCGGTCAAGTTGTTCGGGAGGTTGATAGATCTTCACAATGTTGAGTGTGAGGATTAGGAGAGAAGGTCGTTGTTACATTTTCTTCACATGCTTATATTCCTCAGACTCGATGGACGTCGAGGATGCTCTATGAAAATTCCATTAAGGAAGTAGTTCGCGTCAGTCGTGTTGTCCCAAAACAGTTGGACGAGACAAGATTCGACCCCTGAAGATCTTGGCAATTAGAGTCGCCAAGTAATGGCTAGGCCCGTCTCAGCCAGTGGTTGCTCGCCTACCCCAAATCCGGTGAATCGGCAACAGCACACAGAGTTTCTGCCGAGTCTCCCGGCTGTTTTTGAGGCAATCATTGCCATCCTCATCACCATGCGTGCATGCAACTACGAGTAGCTCAAAGGTATAAAGGTTTTGTGTCGACCACCTCTCACTAATCCACGATTTTGAGAATTTCTTGTCTGAACACACCCAAATCGAAAAGCGATCACATACAGGTTGGTAGATTCACATTGTTAGCCCTCCCTACCCGTCGGTGTAGCCGTGATGGTAGCGGTCAGAGGTCCCCCTTACTGAACGGGAGCAAGCGGACAGTCCCGACGCCGAAATCCTATGACCCCAACTTCCAGCAGTGCTGTGGAGCTTGGTCAGCAAAAGGGGTTACGATGATCTCCGCCACTAGGAATGCAGCGGCGCCGCATCTCGCGATGGGAATACTAGCCTCGACATGTGTGTTATTGATATGCATGAAATATTGCTGGACATGGTGACGCCACAGCAATAAAGGGGTCTGTTGTCTTCTGTTTTGCTCGAAAATGACATGGATTTGAGGTCGAGCTGTCGAACATTGACTTCAGTCTAGCTCGAAAGCAACTAGCAAAGCCTTTGGAAACATTGACGCGGATGGCGTAAAGAACAGGAGTTGCGCCACGGGGGATACATGCACAAACATATTCAAGGATAGGCACAAGAGGCCAGAACGCAGCTTATCATTGCCACAACTACACTACTATCAACACCAACTTTTCATCGCTGAGTTTTCGAGACATCAGCCAATCAATCCTCAACCACAATATGCAGCTGTGTTACTCGCCATGGCACACCACCACTGCAATGTCCCGTCCTTCTCAGCTATGGCACTACTCCAAGCCCTGGTCGTTATTCGGCGGCTGGCCCCCCTTTTTCATGATGAATCCAACAAATGCGCAGATCCTTGCCTCGACTCTTCCAAGTCCAAGTCCAAGAGGATGTGGTATCGCTTGCCAAAAAAAAGAGAAATACTAATAATCAATGCAACAATCAACCAATCATGAAACGAGCCCATTTCATGCCCGAAGGGCCGTAAGAGAAAACCAAAAACCCCCATTGTGTTTTCCTTTAGTTTCCTGTGTAACCCCATTTGTGATTCGATGCCATTGGCGGGTATCCTATCCGTAGATGGATCCAATGCCGTTTAAAAAATTGTGTCCAGTAAACCCTTGACCGTTAAACGCCGTGCCGTGCCCTATGGGATGCTCATAGAGAAAGACGTGAATGATGCTGATGGTGGGTATGCTGTATAAGTCATATAAACAATGGGTATACGGCGATAGTCGTAAAAAAGTCGTGCTTGCAACCAGTCTTTAGTCGGTCAGCCATAGTGGCGCTGTACTGGTTGATGATCGTCATGATGTCATAGACGTGTCGCGTGCCTTCTGGTTTGCCTATACCATGCAGACGAAACATCTTGAGAGCGCAAATACAAGTGAAAAGCTGGACAGTAAGGTTTCCCAAAGTCCATTGTTGGCCGGCCGTGTGAATCGTCTGACAAAGGGAGTCAGTGGTCCTTGCTGTTCATCCGTAGCAATCTAGTTCGCAACCATAGAATGAACATAGTCCACGCGCCATGCGTCTTTCTCTTGGCTGTGTTGGTACGCTTCACCTTCTCAAAGGTCACGTTTGGTGCACTGCCAGCTTCATTGCCAAACGAGGGCGGGCTTCTAGTCTCCATGCTGTCGTAGTTGCTACTGGTAAATCTTTCCGACAGGCTCATCGCGGGGTGGACTCTGCGCGCGGTACTAGGTTGGCCGCTGCTGGTCGCGCCGCCACTGATCTTTCGAACGTGCTTGCTGTCTCGCGGCATGGCCTCTGCCAACGCTGCCGCATCTTGACGTCTCTTCTCCGCCTCTCGCTCTTTGCGCATGGCGGCAGCTTGCTTTTCCAGTTCCAGCACTCGTTTGTTGTCAGCTTTCTCTCGTCGGCGTATCTCTTCACGGGCATATTTCTCCTCTTTGGCCTGTTCTTTCATCTCGAATTTGCGGCGCGCTTCACGCAGATGCTCGGCTCTGGTGGCGGTGTCGAGATCGGATTTGGCCCGGAGTCGGAAATTACTGTCGAAAGAGGAGCGCGAAAAGGGAGACATTGGTGCTACTGAGTTAGAGGGTGACGCGTAATAGTGTGTCGATGCGTGTACATTCGCTGAACTTGATTCCCTTGCACCGTTTAATTTGAGGTCAGATCGGCTGGAGACATGTGCAAGTCGCGATGATTGTGCTGGCGTGGTGGACGTGGCGCGGGTATTGATACGTAACGAAGGCAGTGGGCCACCTTTGCTACTGTCCGAGTAAGAGCTGGTTCGCTGACTGATGATTGAGGGTCGTTGAATATTGGACTTCCCACCGGTCAGGCTGGGCTGCGACTGTGAATGGGAGTACTGAGTGTGCGCGTGCGTGTGCGCGTGAGGCGCATGAGTGTTTGTAGGTGGGTGGTTCTGGCTATACTTATGATTGTTCAGGCTGTGGTGACTCGCGGTGGGGTGAAGAGGGTCGTAGTCGTCGTCGTCTTCCGTGATGACGGGTGAGTAGTCGCGAGTGTCAGAGGCCAGTGAATTCGAAGTCGCGTACGAAAGCGGCGGGGTCGCGGTTCGCGGCATCTGCTGAAAAGGATGAACGAAGGTCGCGCCTGCCCTCGAAGTAGCAACACCACCAACAACACCACTACCACTTCCAGAAGTCGCAACCGAAACATGGCTCGTTCCGCTAATTGATCTGGAGTGGTTATATCGCCGCCCGCTGGATGCAGCTGGATCAGGAGAACCAATTGCAAAACTGACGTCCTTGCTAGAACCACCTGACCGAATGGCGCTGCTCTGGGATTCGTAGAGGAACGAAGACGATGCTCCCCATAATCCTTGGTTCTGGAACTGTTCGTTCTGCTCGTCCCAGCCGCGATCCAAATCCAACGAATTCTTTTCTGACTGCGACAACTTCTTCAATATGGGCTTGACCATCTTACTGCGTGGCTTGCCCATCTTCTCGTTCGATCTCATAGACCTCAGTCCCCCGAAGCTCTGTAGCGACGCCATGTTGATTGATGTCTCAGTCAAGCGAGCCCAATACTGGCAGACAGACCCGCCAACACCTTGCAACCGCGGGATAAGAGTGCTGTTGCCGGGAGGTCGTCGAAAAGGACGGCAGGTTTCGATTCAACTGCCGTTACCGTCCGTGTGTCCTGCCCGGCGTCCAAGCGGGGGCGGGCTCGCAAACAGCCAATGCAGATCACCGGAATAAACAAGACATTGGATGATGGGATCCTGCGCGAATAGTAACAGTTGCTTATCGATGCCGATGTTTCGATTCGAGATTCAGTTTCAACCCCAGATGTAAGATCGGATCTAGAACACAGTGGACGTTCACGATAAGCCCAAATAAACAGAGAAGATCGCTGTAGGTCGAAATGGCGAATCAGGTACGGAGATGATGTCCTCTTTGCGGTTTATGGACAAGTAACGATTCCAAGTTTTGCCGTCCAGTGTCGGGTACACGGCACAGACGGAGGTGGAGTTTGTGTATGATGAGGATTACGCAGCGCCAGTTGGAGGCGGTGTCTTGGAAAGCAAGAGGGTTTTAGCAACGAGCCTGGCGAAGCACAGGGAGACTCAGCATGTGCCAGCAGTGGTCCTGGCTTTCGCGGTGAAGAAAAACTGCTGGCAAGAGGCCCTCTTCTCAGCCTCATTCCTTGGAGCAGTCAAATTGCATGTGGAGGACTCGCTCATCTCAGATCACCCTCCGGCTTGCAACATGCTGGAGTTGTGGAAGTCGTGGTAGAAACGGTGCAAGGATCTCAACACTATTGGCGGTGGGCAATGAACCATTGGCAGAACTGAGGGGCAAGGTGGGCCGGGCCTGGCAAGTAAGCTGAGGTTGGCCAGGGCACCACCAAGGAGTTCGGAGAGTCGAACGGATTGGACCGAAGAGTTCCGTTCAAGCCACCAATACCAGCAGCCTATGGACTATCTGGACGAACCACCAAGCAGTCTAGACCGGACAATGGCTTGATATTATTCGCTATCTCTAAAACGCATGATGCTCAACAGGTGGCATACACACCACATCCAGCTGAACTTATCCCTGGCAGCTCACTCTGTCAGTCAATCGGCCCATTTCCCTCCTCAGTCTCCTGTCCGCCGGTCAGTCTCCTCAAAGTTCCTAATCCAAGTTGATAGCAACTTGCAAATTCCTTTTCAATCCTGCTACGCGCTATGTCTCAGAGTCCCGAAGTCATCCGAAAAAGATCTTGGACGGGAGATTACGAATGCAACACTTGTCTGGGTTTGAAAGTTATTGCCGGAAGCAAAATCGTCAATGTTTCCGGATTCACTTTGTTGTTTCGAGGGGTTCCTCATCAATTCACAAGGCGGGGTTTTTTGTCACAGGTGACAGCTGCATGGAGGAAAACTTTTGGCAACTTGTGATATGCGAGGTTATCAAAGTGCTCACTGTTGCTTTTGAGCACAATGCAGCAAGCAACCTACGTGCTGCGCCGCCTTGAGGCATTCCCGTTGCCAAATCCCCTCGTTTTGGGCCTCGTGACCGGCGGGGAATTCCCAGCCCGTCTTGCACGGCTTACACCGGAATCCATCGACATGCAAGTCACCCTCAGACAAGGTTTTGATCATCATTGCTCTCGTCGTGATGACGTTCGATAATAAGAGGCCCCGCAACATAAGGTGAAACCTTTTGGAATGGCTTGCTTCGGTCGCTTATATTGTTACACCCGCGAGTTTGACAAGTTGACGACACACAAAATGCAGATCCACGGCAATGACAGCGGCGTGCCGAGAAAAGGACACGCAATTTGATGAGGAATGTCGATCATGAAATGACAGTAGGAGATTGCAGGATGCCGCTGTCTTCTGGTCGGAATGAAGCAGAAAACAGCCGCTGGCAGAAATTCCGTATACCTATTACCTATTCTACCTTTGAACAGCTTGACCAAGTTGGTCATGTTGTACAACTTGCGATATGTTCGTGACCGTCGTCGCACTAGCAAGCGGCCCGGAAGTCGGCTGATCGATACGGCTCAGACACCCGAACACGGAACATTCTCTGCGAGGAATATCAAGGTACCCAGTGCTCCAGAGGTCATAACTTTCTACCGTGGAATTTCGTTTCCTTGTTTTGGCCTGTTTCGTTTTGATGACTAGTTATTGTGCCTGTTTGTCGGGCGTATGAAGCCATAGGCCGGTTTGTCGTCGGTTGTTGGGGGGCTCATGTAACTCAGTCTTACACGACAACTATTGCGCATCCATCGTCAAGGATAACATATGAAACAGGACTGCGTCAACTAGGGCTATCTGCCTTTTCGCTGCGGTCTCTGGTATCGGTATTTCCGTCTGTCTTGACTTGGAAACTTGCATGAATATCCGCACCTCAAAAGTTCCGGTCGTCGTGCTCGTCAATCAATCCGCTAGAGAGAAAGGCTTTGAAGCTGATAATCAAATATGTTCTGAAACCCAGCTGATAGCATGGCCCGAGGCGCAGAAGGGGTCGCCGTCAGTACAGATATACTGCCTGATCGGGTCAACCCATGAGACCTTCCGCCGTTCAGGTCAGTACGACCTCATATCTCCAGGCGATTCGAGGTTGCCAGGGCGCATCAATACTCGTGCCGTTGCCTCAAAAGAGATAGGAGGGTCGGCAACGTTGGGGTTGTGGCGGATATTTGCAACGTACAAGATTCGCCACCGAAACCCTCTAAGTTGCAACTCGAGAAGGTCAAGGGACCGGCACTTGTCGCGTATGTTGTGGCCGAGTAGATGTCGACCAACACATCTGACTTGTCGATTTTCCAACGGGGGATCTGCATAGTCCATGCGGAAATGCACTCAATCACTTGACGTCGAACTGACGAGCTTGATGCTTGCCGTTTATGCTAAGTCAGTTGCTGATAACGGATGGCTGCTCCCTCTTTCGAGCCTTTTCGAATTTGCCCAATTGACATGTACACCAGCCGTGACGAGATACCGTGACGAGACGCGAGACTCAAGATGGGTTTGTGTATCGAGATCATGACTGGGTGCTGTGAAGGCTTTTATGTCAACCGGCATCGCCAGTGCACCGGGGTCAAACCTCCGCCACTTCACTAATGGAGACAACTCTCTTGACAGGTGCATTCAACCCGGGCCTCACCCCGCAGGTGACAGGTATCTGTCTGTCGAAGCTCAGAATGCAGGTCGGGATGCCGGACGTTATCGGACGTACTGTCGATCCCTAGGGATACTTCGAGATACATCGACGAGACCTTCATCGTTCGCCTCCGGTGTGTTCGAGTCTTATCCGCATGCGGAAGTGGAAATTGCCCACCAGTCGAGGAGCAGATCTGCTTCTCAGTCGGCATTACCATCCGGTCGCCCTGTAGCTGGGCAGTCCTGTATGAGATATGGATGCTTGGTGAGGGGAGTGGAAAGTGACGACGGATGGGTCGGAGGCCAAGGAGCAGTGCTGAACGCAGGCCAGCTGGAGGATGGGACAAAGGCTGGACCAGAAACAGAAACTTGATGTCCCAGACAATCCGTATCTGGCAAGAGAAGGACGTTGCGCGTGTTGATTGACCGTCACCTGAACGCCTATCAATGCCTTGATGGCCCTAACGAGTAATGTATAGCTGCAGCAGCGTCACTACCACTAAGTCATGCTCCGTGCATCAACATTAAGACAAACGTGGTGTTCAGGTCTGAGACAGACATCACTAAGACCACTAAGATCAGTCGACGCGGCAAGTCCTTCCTACACTATAGTGGCCACCAGAATGTATGCGTCTCTGGGCCGTCTATCCATAGTTCATGGTGAGGTCTAGGCAGTGTACGGTGATGTTGAGTCACTTTTGCGTCGGATTCGCCGTTGTCTCAGACCAAGTATGGTAGCATACAAGTAGTCGTGGGCAAACCCGCCTCGAGGACCATATACGACGACGACAACACGCATCGATAAGCCGCTGTGTGCCCTAGCGGCAAATAAAAGCCCTAAGCCATATCGCGAATGCCGTTGAAGTCATCCCATAAGTGACCCTGACGTCGACAAGTGGCTCGGTAAACGCAGGGACCCCAGCATCATCAGCCGCTTGCATACTGCCGCCGCCGGGCAAGATGAATGAATAACCTCCTGTGACGACGTCAAAGGTGGGCGTGGAGGCAGAGCCATTCCTCGTTTCTCAGTCCAGTTGAATGACCGAATCGACAGTAATTGAAGCTCGACGGTTGAATAGGTCCCACAGAAACAAGGAAAGAAAAAATTTTCACCTGTCATCCCTGACAGGCAAAGAGTTGTAAAAGCAGGGAGTTGGAGTATTTTACCTACCTATGCAGGTGGCAGAAGCAGGTGCATTAGAGTCGTGGAACAACTCATACTGCGTTTACATATGCATGCGCTTCTACGCAGGCATTTGACGAAAATTAAGGGCATCTGACGTAGAGCAAAAACGACATTATGCACTAGTCGCCTTCCTGAGCGGTGTTTAGGGTACCATTTAGAAGGCGCATAATTTGGTAGCGTCATGGTTGGAATCCAAATGGTTCGTTGTAAGTTGCAACCCACCCTGCGCACCTTTTACAGGACGCCGGCCCGGGGAACATACGACGACATTTCCGGGCCCTGTCTCCCGCGTGGACCAGATTGCTTTTGGACATGGTTCCATGCAAGACCCGCGGTCGGTTGTCATACCCAATATAGTATCGGATGAGTCTATCAGCCGACAGCAACAGCGTGGCATTTGTGCCGGGGTTGTTATATACTCAAGCAGCGACTGAGCCTTGATTGTCTTGTATCCATTGCAGAGCATCACTTAGCATTACTCGCCATGGAGTTGGAGTGCATGGGAGGCATATGGTTCGTCGTCGCTAAAAATACTGACTCGAACATAGCGAGCATCGGAGCCGAAGAGGGAGTAGCTTCATCCCAGACGTATGTGTCTTGGCCCTTGCAAGCTATGGGGTACCACTTCTTATCTTGCCCAGGTGCGAGTAATATATCACATCACAACGCCGCAGCACACACGCAGACAATTTTTGGAAATAATATAACACTTACTGGCTAAATCATGCCGCCGGCGCAGTACGCCACGAACCGTTGCAGGCAGGTAGACAGTGATTCCCAGCAACTTAGCGAGCGCGCAGGTCTCAAGCAATATTGCAACCTCGAGTATCGTCTACTAAAAGGTTGTATCTCAACTATGCCTGCCGACCTGAAAAGCACCGGCAAAGGGTAAAGTAGCGCGAGTAAGTAGTAAGGATCACGAACGCCGGCCGCTCGCAATCTTAAAGCGAGAGTGAGTTGAAGCGAGGCAGACGACACAGGTATCGTCGCGGTGTGTTTAACATCATCGGAATGACAACGATTCTGTGCTCCTTGCCTGATCTTTCTAATCGACGTGGTTCCGTTTGTCGCTATGCGGACGGAAACGTGACGCCCTCGAAACCTGCAAATTACCTCAATCCGCCGGGTGGCGTGAGCATTGAGTTGACAGGCGAAGTAGTGTCAGTTTTCACAACGCGGAGATCATGACCATATTTCTGAATCCATGTTCAGGGCATCGTGGAACCGCAGCGCGATTGTTCCGCTGATTAAAGGGTTCGCCTGCAAGCACTGCGTACGTCGATTTGCGTGATAACTCTTGTGTCAAGACAGACAAATTTTGACTCGGTAGGTCGGCAAGAATGAGGGATAACTCCCCGAGATTGGAGGTACCCGTAAGTAGGCAAAGCGCCGCCCGGTACAGTGACCCTCAATAAATCTGCGTCAGGCCCATATTTCCCCTACTAAAACTGGACTAGCTTCAGAGATTATTACAAATCAACGAAAACCTGTAGTGGTAAAAAAAAGATGTAAATAGAGTGAGAAGAACACGCTCTATTACATGATAATAGAATTGTGTGATTTACTAAATAAAATACTCTACATTTTTAATGAATCAAAAGGTGGTTCTTTTGAAAGCTAGTTACATATAACTTGTATATTATAAAAGTTAAGCTTATATAACAGGATAAATACTACATAGTTACTAACTTACCAACTTTCTATATGTACATAGCATATAGTATTAATACGAGTTTTCGATAATTTTTAACAGCTCTTAAAGGTATTCGAGTTTTGATGCAAACTAGAGGGCGGGTGCGGGACGCGGGCTGGGTCACTATAACAGGTAGAGCATTGAATGTTTTAGCCTCACCGGCTTACTCGGTCCTGCTCAGTCCATGTCCGGACTGTAATGTAATGCAATACGGAGTACGGAGGAGGCTCAGGCTCAGGCTCGTGAAACGTCTCGTAAGTGCTCCCCATCTCGAGCTTTGGACTTTGTAAGGTACGCTCCGCCCATCGAATTTCGAGATCGTACACGTCTGTGATTCATCAACGGGTGACGCCGTGACGGGCCTACTTTTCAAGGGTACGCCTCTCGGACATACACTTGCACGACGGGGGAAACTGGCTTCTCCACAAATCGCCATCGTCAGTTCTACTGCATGTTCCTTGGCAGCGGGAAGATCCCCACAGCGTGTACAAGAAAAGACGCAGTTACGTGGTGTTGTCAGATCCGTGGAATTCTCGAGCTGCTGGTCAATGGCGTGTTGCGAACAAACTGATCAGAATTCGCGTGTGAACTGGAAATTGGAATGTGTGAGGCCAATGGCATTGCTGTCTGTGTTGTTGTGAAGAGAAATGCTTATGTCATATTCGTTATGGACTTTACACCCATGGTGGCCTGCTAAGCGACGTCGGCGTCAGTGATCAGAATCAATGGAGCCGGAAACCTGGCGCGGCCCACATTCAGTCAGTGCCATAGTGATCCTGGAGATTTTGGTACCGACCGGAAGGTGCGGTTGACGTCAATTAGGACTCGAGGTTGAATCCTTCACAAATGCATATTGTGAGGAAATTCTGTTACCGCACAATCATAACTTGTCCATGTCACTTGTCTACCAGGAGTTTCTGCTTGGTCTACTAACCCTATTTCCCAACCTCGTTGGCGTGTCGCGTCACTTGAATTGATGTGTCATTAAGTTCCTCGGTCACTCCATTCGCTGAGTAGACTTATTGTGGTGTACCTGACTGAAAACCCTGATTCTCTGCAGTACCGAGGCTACGTGCTGCCTGGTTCGACGAGGTCTCGGTATTCTAGGTTGGCAGTTTATACTGCAACGTGATTGCCTGTCCAACATGGCATGGGTTCGTTACAATATGTGAGAGAGCTTTATGACAGAAATCCAGAAGCTTCTCGGCGTGGGAGGTTAGTCTGCTCCAGAGAACAACCTACCCATCAAGACTACTACTATGGCATGTCGCACAAAACAGTTCCCACAACCGGGTCCCATGCAACCATGATTTAACAGGTCCTAAAACAGCCACCTGCATCTGTACATACCTTGATTGAACCTGACTAGGGTTCATTTCGAATCATATGGTATCTGCGATCAAACAAATCGCCAACTAGGCTCGGCAGGCGTTGAAAAACTAGCCCAGTCGAACCAAAGAATCGGGTTGAAGCAAGGGCCTTCATTTCACTCCTGTCTCATGTCGCCCTGCGACTTCTTGTTGTTCGAAGACAGTATCCATATGCTGGCTCGCCTTGGTTCGGGCCTCGTTCATTCTCTGGACATCGAGGCGTTGATGCACTTTGATATCTCACAACTTTGGTATTGCACGTTACCCGCCATTATGGAGTATCGTGCCTGTTGCTTCCTTGGACTGCACGTACTGTGTTACATGGCCTGCTAGCTCATCAAAGTCATAGCAGCGCACACAGCATTTGGATAAAGTTATCCAGAAATATCCAGCCGCCGTCCGTTAACGACCACGATCAACACTGCCAATACCAGCGGGCAAATTGATTGATAGGATTGAAATAAGTTCTTGGGTGACGCGATTATGAGACGTGATGTTAGCTTGGAATGTCTCGCTTTATTTGGGTTGTCGGACCAGGGAGGTTAAGTGCGCATAGGTCGCTCCGATAGTGCATTCCGAGACGGCAAATCAGGTCATTGGTCAATGGGTCACGATCGTCCGACCCTACCCCAATCCTACTATTATTGGCTTGCCCCTCGTCTTACTTTTCTTTTCGATATTTAGAAGAACGTAGAGCAAATGTGACACGCTGGCAATTAACTCCGTGGTCCTGTAGCATGTCCTGATTGACTTGCTTCAGTGCTCTGTGTCACCGTAACCATCCTAAATGATCCAACATCGTCCATATCAGGAAACAGCCAGCATGTGACGATACCTCTTTTATGGTAAATGGCATTCGTCTCAGCCAGAGATCCGGAAGGTTACCGTTGTACCAGGATTACGACCAATCCTTGTCGGTCCCATCTTCGCAAATCGGCAGGTAGTTGTGTGTTTGCAGACGCGAATCAACCTGTATTTCCAGATCCCGGACTGGCTGGTATAAGTGGGACCTCAAGATGTACGAATACATATTCGATTTGTGCATTCCCAGAGTATTTCGCATCTGGTCGATCATCGACCTGACCTCGGGAATTCTGAGTGGTTTTGCGATGTGAATTGCGGCGTGGATTGCTTTGCATAGAAGGCAAAGATACGCTCAAGCTCTTGACAGGAGCGTGACCACTGGACTTGGGTTCTGGCGCAGATACACATCAAAATCATGTCATGGGCGAAATGCAGGCCGGGTCCATTTGTGCGTGATCACATTACCTAAGCTGCTTGGGGAGTAAGCGAGGTCATGGGTGCAAGCAGTAGGAAGAGGCCGTTGTCAGGCCTGGTCATGGCCAAAACAATCTCCAAGGTGAACCGAGAGGTGAATCAAGCGCCTCTCCACATCTACATCCGCGGATATCGAAGTAAAAAAGCCGAATGGTCTATCCCCTCAAACAGCTCCAGGGATTGAACTTCACATCCGCGGCTTGTGCGGGTTATTCGAAGTAAAAACGGAGAGTGAGTTGCTCGCTTAGATCGCTCTCAGGTCATATGCAATTGCACAACGACCTGCCGTGCTTGGCTGCGGTTCTCCTGTCTTGCCAATGTATCGTCAAAGACCCAAGGGTTCTTCCCTACCCGTTGTATTCTGATGCTCCCAACACGTCTGATTGACTACGAAATTAGCAACCAGGCTCCATCGACGGCTCAACTCTGAACGTGTTGTCGAGGTACCTCGGCGCGGACAATGGAGGCCTGGCGGGAGGCAGATGCCGCCGAGCGATGAGCCATTGTGGGTGGCCTCTAGGTGTCATCGTCAGTCGCTAGCGTTCGCCTAGATGAAATGCTGTTACGAAGTGCACCTTGGTGGTGAAGCAGGTCGCAATGCTCCCCAACCTTCAAGCTTGGTGTGAGTACGTCGTACGTACGTCGCTACTTGGGCCAGTCTACAAAGGGTGCCGTGGTGACGATAGCCTCAGGGCCTCAGGGCCTCAGGGCCTCAGGGCCAAGACAGGTCCACCGAGGGGTGATGCGGCGTATCGTTGGAGACATCCAGATCGGCGCTACTCATTAGCAATGGCCAGCCAGCGACTCGAACTCGTCTACGGCGTAGTATGGACGGACTGCCGCCAAACGGCCCAGCCCAGTTGCCTAGGCAAGATGAGAGAAGCGCCTCGGGTGGACTTTTGATAAACGGGGTTGTTGGACCATGCTCCACAGCACTGCGCTTGGCCCTCATTCGCTGCATTTTGACGACCCCAACTGTAGCTGGAAGCAACTTCCGTCCACTCAGAAGCAGCTCCACGCCTCGACGACCTTGGAAAATCTGGCAACGCCGCTCTCTGTGTGCATCCTATCGGCCAGTTGCGGGACTCATGGTTGGGGAATCCTCGTGATCGCCTCGCGCGCCTGGCAGAATCGAGATTTCGGAGCTGTAAAAGTAGTCCGTAGATATTCCGGCCTTTCGATATTGAACTTTACGCTCGTGGCAATATGTAGCTTGAAATAGGCGAGAGTACCGTCGCAGAGCCATTTGAAGTACCTCGAGGTACCGCAGCCAAGGCAGCCTATCTCTAAGCTTCTCATGTCCGTGTCCTTTTTACCGGGGGGTCAGCGCCTTTTTTTTCCGCTCCATTTTTACGCCGCTTCATTTGTAAAGACCCCTGCTCGTAGCATACGCCCCACCTTCTTTTTGTCTAATACTACGACGGGGCTCCTCAACGAATGAGGGGGAAAGGACCCTCAAAGCACGACTACTACCACTTACCACCCACACGCCGTGCGGCCATTTGATGGAGTAGAGTAGCTCAAACGAACTTCTCCGAATAAATCACAGGATTGACAAGCACCAGCAGGGGAAGCGGAGCTCTGCTTCATCCCAAGAGTAGGTACTCTACCTGGACATGAGCAGCGGCTTCAGTGCGCACTTGCTCAGGCCATATCTGGGCTGAGTACGCATCGTATCCATGTACCTCCACCAACTGGGAGCTTCACGCTAGGTCAATCGGTTGCCGCGACCTACCTTGTTGCATCTAGTATCCATCCCATACTGGGTCTCCATCAATTCCGCTTGTGAGGTGTACTTTGCATACTTGCACTCGGCCTCGTCATTTTCCATTTTCACATCTCTGCTCTCAGCACTACGCTCGCGCTTCTAACCCCAAAACGTTTCCAATGCATAATGGCCCATCTTTTACGTTATCGGCCGTTGGCTGAATGGGACCACATCGGGTCGAATTGTCTATATATCCTGGTCATCCCCGGTCTAGCCCATCGAGGCCGATGTTGAGTGCGCTCTGTCTCTCTATATAACATGGCATTGTCTGTCCCTCGAAGTTCATTATTCATCACAATGGCTTCTTTTCTTTAAGGTTTCTCTTGGTCTGTTGTGTACAATATTGTTTCTGTTTGTCCAGGTCGGCCTCGTCGTTGCCTCGAGCGTATTGGTCTGGTGAATCTCTCGTTTTACAGGTCGGAGGTCGTTCGTTCTTTCCATTGTCAGTCTCAAAATCCACGGGGGCTCTTGCCTGCATTGGATTGTGGTCACCTGTCACTGGTTAATGCCATTGCCTGAGGTAGCTGCGATTGACAATCGGTCTTCAGCATTGAAGGAAATCCCGAGTTGCATTCCCTGCATTGGACAATCAGGCGAGATTCACTGAATCACCTTCTGGTTGAGCAGCGAGCAAATAGATCTCTATATCTTGCCTTACTCAACAATCACGTCCCTCCTGCTCCTCCCTCTCCACCCCTACTTTCCGCCTCATCCTCCCGCCAGGTCATCCACTCTTCCTTGGGGGACTGGTACGCGACTGCATTGTTCTTCTACCGACTACTATACATCGTCGCCGGTGGCTTCCTTGGGTCGCTCCTTCCTCGACACTCGAACACCGCGCTCTCAACCCAGCTGCCTTCCTTTGCAGTTCTTTTACCTACCGAAGACCCTGCACTACCCAGACCAGGACACGGGTCACCTTACGCTCCGATCACCAGGACCGAAAAAAATCACTGGAGCTGAATCGTCTGGGCCCGTCAACATGGAGCTTACTCCGGTCGCTCTCAGCTATCTCATCTGGAACTTCCTGGCGGAGTCAAACGGATGGCTCCTGTTCCACGTCGTTTGGTGGTATGTCGCAACCAACTTCCTTTCTCGGCTTTTCTCCTCGTCTAGTCTTTCCAATTTTCTACCCACCAGCATCATCTAGGTCAAAACGTTGAAGGTCTAACTCTCATGCAGGTTGTACAGATACTTGCGCTTAATTGTCCACGTCTTCAGCCATTGGACGTACAAGTCGAAGCCGATCCCCTGCAAACCATCCTATACGCCTGATGATGTTACGGTCATCATACCGACCATCCACAATGTCTTTGAGGAGCTTCGTCCTTCTCTGGAGAGCATTCTTGCTTGCAGACCTTATGAGCTGATCCTGGTAACCACAGTCGACAAGCGTGCCGCCTTACAAAAGCTGGCTGAGTCCCTGTCAACTCCCAATGTGCGTGTCCTCTGGACACCCATCGCCAACAAGCGACTGCAAGTTTGCGAGGCCTTGCCTCAAGTCTCCACCAAAATCACAATCATGGCAGATGATGATGTTACGTGGCCCTCGACTTTGCTCCCATGGATTCTGGCTCCCTTCGAGGATGACAAGATGGGTGGTGTCGGCACTTGTCAGCGTGTGCGCCGTGATCCGGGTGGATCCTGGTCAGATCAAACTTGGAATTGGCTCGGATCAGCATACATTGAGCGTCGCAATTTTGAAATCTCGGCCACTCATAATATTGACGGTGGAACATCTTGCATGTCGGGACGAACAGGAGCCTACCGCACAGAGATTCTCGCTGGCCACGCCTTCTTGGAAGGGTTCAAGACGGAGCGATGGGGCAACTATATTCTCAATGCGGATGATGACAACTTCGTTACGCGATGGCTCGTCAATCACCAATGGAAGACGTGGATCCAGTACGAGCGAGAATGCGAGATTGAGACCACACTCGAGTATGGCATGAAGTTCCTCTATCAGTGCTCAAGATGGGCTCGTAGCAACTGGCGAAGCAATTGGACTAGTTTGGTTAGGGAGAGATACGTTCTCCGGTAAGCACTCAGCATTTCACCTACATGGTCATGGTACTAATGCTGTGGCCCGTAACAGACAACAAGTGTGGTGCTCGTACGCACTTCACCTGGCAACATTCACGTCTCTGGCATGGATTTTTGACCCCCTCATCATCCTGTCGCTATGGTGGGGCACTGCCGACTGGAATCCGGAAACGCGCCGAACTGCTCTGATAATTGAACTTATCTGGATGTTTGGCTTCACCAAGACCATTAAATTGGTCGGTCTCTTCCGGCGGAATCCGGCAGATATCATGTTCCTCCCTGTCTCCATCCTCTTCGGCTACTTTCATGGCTTCATTAAGCTTTATGCCTTGATGACACTAAATATGGTAGGCTTATCACTCTGTCGCTCGTAGCCTGAGCAACGTAACTGACTTTGCTACAGACTTCTTGGGGTAGCCGGCCTGACGGTGATCTTGATGACGGCCTCCGTATGTCACCGCGTCCGAGACCAAGCGACAGCATAACAACGCCTCTGAGAAGACCTGACGACTTGAACGAGCTCATTGGAGAACATCGTTGGCGACGCAGCCACAATATCCTACCGGAAAAGGCTGGCTACGAGCATGAGATGCCTCGTATTGAAGATGTCGCTTGCCTGTCTCCTAGCCGCGCCGGCAACCGAATCAGGGCTTAAAACCCGAGGGATTATCCCTATTTTCATGATTTCATGATTGACGAAATCAGCTACACCTGCTTTACGGACTTGTCCCACTCTACGATGAAGTTCTGGTGAGGTAATACAGCACTCACCCTAATGGTCTACCCCAGTACGTAGTGCCATGGCGTGTCCCGGTAGCTTTCAGGCATCCAAGACTTTCTGTTTTGGTTTTGCAACGACGACAGACTAGACGCATACGGCAGACTTATGGATAGATCCATGAATTGATCGTCTCAGGGCGATGTCGAACGGCGAGAATACCCGGCTCTTTTCCAGCATTTGCATTTGAGTTTAGGGGTCGCATCTCTCTATTTCTCCCCATTTGCATGTGTCTGGCGTGCAGCATTTAGTGGCTCCTAGAACAAAATGGGTGAAGGAGAATATTGTGGACTGAAAAGGAACAAATTTGATTCTACTCTGCTGCCCGCTAAGTCACCTTCTCATAACTAGACAGTCTGAACAATCAAGAAAGTGTAAGCCATCTGCAATTTTCCCCATGTTCTGAGAGGAGTGACACGTACCATTGTCGTTACGGATCTCTCAATTGACGAACATTTAACCAAGAGCCGCACGAGTCAGGGGTCACGAAACTTGGGGGTACACGGTTACACAGCATGACGAGTGTACCAAGTACCTAGGCAGACACTTGCGTGAAGAACCCCGGTGCCGAGGAAGATCCTGGTAAAGCAGGCAAATTACTCATGTAGGATGGCACCCTGTGTATTTGGATTTGTGCAAGGTCTCCAATAAGCATATAGCAACGAGAAGAGAGGAGACCACAGTCTGGAGGTTGCGCTCACGATTCTCTTGGTTCAAATTGCTAGTATGGATGTATATGCATAAACATATCGTAGGGAAATTGCCATGCAGATGGGGCACGGAACCTTTCCCTGTGGCTACCAGAAGGGGATACCTGCATGCTTGACAGAGATCAGATGCAGAGTAGATCCATGGATAAAGTAATCACGAGCATATACGGGCGGGTGTCCGTCCCTCTATGCTTTTAGCCATAAGTTTCAAACCTAACATAGTAATGGCACTTGTTGACAGCTACATGTGTTTAGTTCACATCAAAGGTATCAGACATTCCACTTCGCTGCAGGCGGGCAACGGCAATTTGAATTTAACGATTCTATGTCATAGGCAACTTCGTAGCGTCACCACAAGGTACATCGGCGCTGCAAGAGGGTGTCATCCTCATTTGACCTGAACACTGCATCGTTCGAAATAAGTGTTAAGCGAGGGAAACCATGGCATAGCACGCGCTAGCATGTAGCTCTGGAGGTAATACTGAGCTCATAATTGAGGACGAAAGATGATCAGTATGTCGGTGGCCTTTCCCCTTCTCTTGGGCAAATTTACATCAGGTTGGCCGTCGTCGTGGCCTACATCGTGGCCTACTATTCCCGATGCGGATTTCTTCAACAGCTGCGACTTTCAACGGCAACCCTCCCTGCCTCCTGCCTCTCTAATAATAAGCCCTAGAACACCAGAGTTTGCGCTAGTCGGCGATCCATCTGGTGGTTAACTCGATCTTGACAAGAAGCCGGGGGGCAGCTCAAGGCTGACACAAGGTATGTCTATCGGCGACAATCTGGCATTGCTACGTACGGGGAGGAGGACCCTTGAACAGCGCCGCCGTACGTGCGTAGGGTGTCACGGGGGTGGTGATGGTGGGGAAAGAGAACTCCACCGTCTGTGGATTTTGGTTGGTCAAACTGCGCTCTGCGAAAGTTTCGCTATATACCCCGATATACCTATCATCCCACAAATCCACATCGCGAGATGCGCGCTTTACTGTGTTCTCTCGGACCTGCGTCCGCAGCTTGCATGATGGGCTGCCATGGTGTGGGTGGAGTTTCATCAGTATTTTTCTCTTACTTTAGCGTGCAAGTTTTCTAATCAGCCAGAAAGCAAGCTCCGATGGGACACGCAGCACGCATCCTTGACAGGGAAGTAGCTGGTTGAGATACTGCAGAGTACCTCTGATACTATAGTCCAGCTGACGTTGGCGAATGGGGAGAGGATCCAAGACGGCTAGACTACTACTATAGTGGTGGTGAACTGGCCAAACTCATCTTGCCCAGATCCGGATCTTCAGGTGCTTCGAAATCGATCCATCGCGATCCTTCGGCTTGGCTGCTACGGCAAATTTGACTTCACTAGCACCGTCCTTGGGTGCCGCCAGCGCGGTTCCCAACGGCTAGTCGCATGCGCTGGAGGTCACGATTTTCTTGAGGAATGAGGCGAGATGAAGGGTTCACCTAGGTAAGGTGAGCTGCGATCTCCGGTGCTCTCGCAGGGCCGACTCTCCCCGTGACCAGAGAAAGATGTGGACGGCGGACTTACTCGAGTACATAACATGAGCAGCCAACTATGGGGGCATGAGTCGAAGCAAGACCTGACTCGACGCGTGCAGATATTCCCCCAAGAGATAGGAAGATTATGCATACTCGTACTGCACCAATTGCATCATATCTTAGAAATTGTGATGTCGCGGCAATATCTTCTTCATCCGCAACGAGAAAGCCTAAAGGTGGCGTGGCCCAAAGGTGGCGTGGCTGTCACATATCGCCGCCTTAGGTTTCGCTGAGCGCTGCAGTATGTACCGCGTTCTCCAATCCCATCATTGAATAAGTGCACGATCATTCTGGATTGGGGACGAGAGAGGAGATGGACGGTGGGCAGTGGAGGGTGTGGATCCAACTTCGGAAGTGCGAAATGGGGATTTGCATACAGTAAGCACGACCTACACAATATTGATGCCAATTCGAGGTAGCCGCAGTCGGAGTCACAGTTCTGCGGGGTTTGGTGGGTCCTACATCACCCCATCCGGCATGATCATAGTGCAACATTTTTCTACTTTGTAGCTTGTAAACACGATAAATTTCGCAAATACCAAGGACGGGTGTCGTCATAACGGCTGACGAACTGTCTGAATATGCATGTCTCGATGCAACGTAATGACACGCCATAGAAGATACACCTCATCCAAAAAATTCCAATGCAAAATAAGAACTAAGAAAAACCAAGACAAACTGCCAAGCATGCAACGGCGCTGCACCGGCGACGGTCCGGGAGCCATGACTGCCCATGGTTGTGGAACGGTTCACGAAAATCAGATGATCTGTCGCAAGCATCTTCACAAACTTTCCGTCATCAATTACTACTTCGGGGAATCTCACGTATCGACTTCGTATGCCATGCTGTCGGAGTTATTCGGTTGTAGCTCGCTGCCTTGCACCGCAGGCCAGGTCAGATCATGAACCAAGAGGAACGGGTAAGCGAGTACTCAACGACCGCAGCATACCTCAGTCGGTACCTATGGTTTCTCTGATTGGTACCGAGGTGACTGACAGCAACGGTTTCAACTCTGGTTGATCGAAACCACCGAGTCTGGAAAGCTACACGTCACACGCTTCCAACGGCACACACGCCCTCCAATTCGGCATCTTCCAACACGGTAAGAATCCGAGGAACACTGCTAGTCCATATCCACTTCCTAGATACATTCAAAGTAGCATTGTCTCTTCCAACTAGATGGTGCGATGCTGTTGTGCTCTAAAACAGCCTCAGCTCCACCCCAGTGTCTACCCTAGTTCGCAATCTTCCCTTTGACAGAAAATTGGTCGTCATTCGAATTGCCATCGATACGACACGATACCGGAACTGCTGTACCCAGTCGTGAAACAATCGGACGAGCTAATGCACTTCGGCGAGCTAATGCACTTCAGACTTTTCGAGTATGGCCAGCCCACTGCTCTAGATGGTAGCAAATGAGGGTAGACCCGGTCCACAAGCCGGAATACCTTCAATGTTCCCAGCAGTATCCACCATTATTCGGCATCTTTATGGACCTGGCCTCCGCCTACCCAGTTTACCAGTGTCCATTCCAGCTTGGAGTGCGTAATACAATATGGCAACATTGCGACTCGTGGATATATGCTACGGCATGAAGGAATATGGAGTAGTCTGCCGATCTGAATTAAATCTACGAAGTTCCCAGGCCGATACGGCGCCGGTGCCAGCGTCCGGCAGGTTCCACTGACGGCCCTGAATACATCGAAGTCCGCTTCCGTTCGGTCTCCGGCAGCGTCTGCATCGATTGTCCCAGGGGGCTTGTCACGGAACCCAGCCCACAGCACACATGATAGTGCAACTTCCTCTTAGAAATCCGTTATACCGTTGCACTATAGACGGTATTAGGGAGGTAGCTGTCTTTTATGATGCATCATCCACACACCACAGACAAGTACCCCACGGTCCATCCATTCGAGGCCCTGGCCTGGAACACCTCGCCGTCCACCCCGCGTTGCGCGGAGCTCAATGCTGCCACCCCGTCAACGAAACGGAGTCCACAACAGCCCGCAATACAGACGTCGGCGTCTCGGACGTGGTGTGCGTACTGTCACAAGCGAACTCCAACCCCAATCCGAAGTCCAAACCCCCATGGCATGCCACCATGCCATGCCCCCGCCACATCATCTGCAGTTCGCCGAAAGAAGCTGGTGGTAAAGCAGTACAGGGAAACGGGTCCTAGCCAAGCCGACTAGCAGGGTTAGGTAGAGATAGATGGACGCACGATACATACATAACTAACTCCTAATAAGCGCCATATTCCGGGGATGGTAGGTAGTGGTGGAAGGAAGACAGGTAAGGACGGGGGTGTCCGCACATGCTACACCGTGAACGTATGCACGCACCGCGCGCAGCACACAGAAGCGACGGTCGAGAATACAAGCAGGGCAGGGTTGCAAAGCTAGTATGTGTTCTAAGGTGCATATGCGCGATGCAGCTGCAATGATTTCGTGCATTAGAAGAGAGAGGCTGTTCTGGCGCCAAGGCCCACCTTACGTGTGGGGAACGACCACTGTCATGAAAACGGGGGTCCTAGACATGGCATCGGCATCAATAGAATCAAGCTGTGCCCCCTCGGTTACAGGGATTTCATAGATTCGACAGAGCTGGCCATGACGACGGGATGATGCCATTTGAGGATTCTGAACGGTAAGCCGGTATATCGAGAGGTTGGTTACTTTGTAATTCCATAATTCCAAGGTAAGCGCTGGTTGCGATGGGACACGTGCATTTCCGCGTCAGGAACCGTCGCGTGAGTCAGGTACCTTGGAATACTTTGTACCGAATAGGACAACTCTTGCGAAGTACTTCGCACAAGTTTGAAGAGCTCAGTTCTCATGAGCACTAACGCCCTTTTGGAGCAACACGGTCGTTGACGTCCACAATGACCCCGCCGAAGTATCTTGGCGAATTCATCCCTAGGTGGAACTTACTTCGTAGATAGCTTTCTTACCTGGACGGTGTTCGCCGAAGAACAATTGCCAACGCTAACGCTGTGCCACACGCGATATGTGTTAACGGCACCGCGGCACTTAGTAAGTGATGGTGGCTTGGGCCACTACATTAGTGATGACGTGAAAACATATATACGAGGTTCACTGCTTCCGCATGTGAACGGCGGCATTTATGGTTGGTGGTTGTGGCGGTGGTGGTGGTGGGTTCATTTCTCCGACTGCACCTCCCAAAAACTTACATCATGATTTGGAAATCCGAGCAAAAGACATTGTTATCTATCATTTGCACGCGTGTTCTATCTGAAATGCGACAGTGACGAAATCAGTGACGAAATCGGCATCTTCGGTTGGTCATTGAGTTTTGGCTTGTTGTGGCGGAGCTAGGGAGTGTCTTGTCGCAGTTGGTCAATTGTGCTGATGGTGGTGAAGGTAAGGCGCAGCATGTGCAAGACAGACGATGCAGCAACGGCTGCGTCTGGCGGCGACATTGGAACCATGGAACCTTATTGCTTATTGAAGCCATCGACACACTCCCAGCTTCGAAAGAACGCCGTTGAATGAATCTAACGGCCAGTGACCTGTCTTACTTCCTCAGGGTTGTAACACAACACAAGCTCTGACATGGTGCTGAAATCAAATCCAGCAAGACCGACAGATGCTTTGAATCCACCCCAAGGGCAGAATGACTCTGAATTGTGGCAGCACAGGTACATGGAAATATAAAATTTCCTTGAGCCGCTTCCGGCCAATCCGACACGTCCATCCATTCTGGGTGTATTAACCTGCTGCATAGCTTTGAGGACGACGTAGAAACGAACCTCGTTGGGAAGCCATGACTCCCGGTATGAACGCTCGAGAAACGCCTCCTGTAGCAAGAAAATGTACCTTGCGAGACTGCCGATGTCTTGGATCCACCTTGGACTTTGTACCTTCATATTCCGGGGCTCAGGCTTTTCGACTACATAGATGCTAGCAATGCCTGACTTCATCCTTGTTCCATGAAATCGAATCATCACGATGGGAGGTTCGGAAAGAGATTCAGTTCGTCTGCTCGGATCCATGACCGCTCACAGGGGGGCGCATGGGACCGTCTATTTTGCTGTTATTTCCCTCGGAAATCATTGCGTAAATTGGGAGGCAATTACACAGCAAGCGTCCGAGGGATAAACACTTCTGGCGTCCTCGTAGCTTCATGTGTCCCTAGTGCGTCCATAGCTTGTCCCAGGGTGACAGTCGAATTACTCTGTGAACGAAGGCAACTAATACTCGGTAGTCCCCTGCGGACAAGCGTGACAACTCTCAGATAGCTTAAGACTTCGGATAACCTCAAGTTGTCTGCGGTTCCGTCTTTCACGGGCGTGCGGGTACTTGGGCCTATACAGGGCCCTTGGAGTGAAGCCCACGTTCGCACCTGTATCGGAGTGCTTTGCTTCGGAATTGTTAGATAGGGTGTCACTAGTTGGTTTGGCATGATTGAAGCACATGTCCTTGCTATCGTTGCAATCGTCACATCGTTCGCAGTAGTGGCAAGCTTGCCCCTGCTTCGGCCAAACCCCTGAATGAAGATATGTACATCAGGAGAAAAGAGCACATCGCCATCGTTTTTGCTCCTGGAACTGCTATACATTCCATAGACCGTTGTCCACTGCTAATATATGCAAGTGACAGTATCAACATGCTCGCGAGACACCGCACTTATGCCTGGGGCCTGAAAAGAGTCACCAAATTCATGTGGTCAGCTCCTCGATATTTTCGACGCAAAGGGTCATAATTCCTAGGTTAGTGGGGTGAACGATCTTTCATATATTGCTAGTATTATAGAGTAATATAGCCGAAATAGCTTCAAGGAGGTTTTTGAGATTCATCGATAACTTCATCGAACAGCGTTAAATCATCAAACAGATTACGGCAATCGATTCTTCATAGGCGCTTACATCGGACAGTGACCTCGCATCGCTTGTGAATCGAGGGCGCAAAGCCATGGAGACGCCGATGGTAATTGACGGGGGACGGCGGGACTTCAACAAAGTTTTCACCACCCCCAAGCGAACGAAAGCGGCCACGCGCCGAGCGTGGAGCGTAGTGGCGGCGAAAACGCAACGAAGAAGCAAATCGACAGCGAACGGGCGAGCGTCGAACAGAAGATTACCGACTTAGTACCTCCCGAGAAGATCGAGGTTATGGGAGGCTTAATGGAACGCTGGCATGAGCTAAAGCTAGCCGGCAAGGCGCTGGAACAGGGCGAAGACCGATCCGCTACACCAGCCGACGTACTAGCAGCGATCCGAGCACTTACCGAGCCGCTATGTCGCTGTGGAGAGGCCCCCGAGACGGCAGAGCACGTAATCCTCTTTTGCGGCCTGCTGGAAGGATCCAGAGAGCGCCTACGGGCCACTATCGCACCATGGCCGCTACACACACGTAGAGACTTGGCGACGGCGACAGGGAAACCAGCAGTCAGCGGGACTATCACAAGGTGGCTACTCAGGACCGGTTGGATAGCGCTTAGGCCCGGATAATATCGATCTTCTCAGGGGGACTTTGTTAGTAGGGTGAGAACTAACATAGTATTGCGGCGGACGTAACGCAGTCGCTAATAGAGCGAACCTACGTAGCAGCGTATGTATTTAGTCCAGCCATTAGGGCACGGTTTGACATACGGGAGTACTTGTAGAGGTACCGGGGGTTTCGAGCCTACGGCGTATTTAATAATAATAATAATAATAACATAGCCGAATCCTATTTCTTGTATAAAGGATATTGAAGTTTGTGGGCCTGAGGTTGTGGTGGAATCACCAAGACCCCCTTTCCGTTTTAAACAGAAGCTTCATCCTATTATTCTTTAACGTACCCCACAAGCAAGTTGGCCACTTTTTCTTGGCACCGTACGAACAACCTTTTAATTAACATCTTTACACATACCAAGATGGGATCGAATTGGAAAGAAAGTGACATGATTCTAGCGTGTCAGGCGCTTCAATCGAAACCCGAATTAAGCATCCGACGCGCTGCCCAACTCTACAATGTCCCTCGTACAACTCTAGCTAACCGAAAACGCGGACTACTATCTCGACGCGATACTCGACAATCTAGTCAAGAAATTGAAGACCTAATACGGGCGCATATAACCCATATCTCGAAGGAGGATTTCTTTTCGGCATTCTATAGGGCGTATCGTACGACTATAACTAAGTCGAATATCCAGGCAGGTTTCAGGGGGACAGGACTTATTCCGTACGACCCGGAATATGTGATTTCACAGCTGGATATTAAGCTACATACGCCTACACCTCCTGGGAGCTCGTCTGGCGCCCCCTTAATCTGGGAATCAAAGACTCCAAATAACCCAACCGAGGCGCAATCCCAGTCTGAATACGTTAAAAACAGAATCGTACAGCATCAAAATAGCTCCCCGACGACAATACTTACGGCTATTGACCAATTTTCACGTGGTGCGACGGCTGTTATGCACCGGTTAGTTTTACTTGAGGATGAGGTCACTGCACTTCGGAAGGCTAATCAAGAGCTAAGCCGTCGTCGAAGGACTAAAAATCGACAGCTACAAGATGGAGGATCTCTTAGTTTACGAGACGCTCAGGACTTACAGTCTCAACGGGATATTGAACAGCAGCTACAGGATGATATACGTGTAAGTCGTCGTCGTACGAGACCGGCCGAACCACGCCGACGGCGCTGTAGGATCTGTGGAGAGCCCGGACATAATGCTCGTACTTGTGAGAATGATAAAGATACGTACGAGGAAGAGGATTCCGATTAGTTTGAATTATTATTTTTTAGTTTAGTTAAGTTATTGAAGTTATTCATACGGTGCCAAGAAAAAGTGGCCAACTTGCTTGTGGGGTACGTTACTTGATTTCCTTATATTTTTGAACCCAAGTTATTTACGAGGATGTTGAAGTATTCATTGCTAGATGATTCTTGCTTGAGGCCTAGAACCTTGGTGATTTCGTGGATCTCAGCAAGTCGCGAAGAGTGTTTCAGGAACCTGGATCGCCCTCTGGGCGGACCCAGACTCGGAATGACCCCCGCCTCGTCTTCATCTGCCCCAAAATGTCGACGTGTTCAATGTGGTGTATTGATGTAGTTCAACTCCAAACCCTCGGTCTCGCCGTTTATGAGCACATCCAAATGATGGATAAGGGTGGGGGCCTGCTGAGGGTGGCATTATCGGCATAAGTGAGATAAACAATGGTCTTGGTGTCGTCCATTCAGACTTTGACCCGGACAGATCCATCGCGTAGCCGTTTCTTAGATCGAAGGCAGACGGCTCATCCCTGGATCATACTATATTTCGCTATCTAGGGGTCACCGTGCTTCTGCATCCCTTCAGATAAGTGCGCCAAGGTCGTACCACAGACAAGTCTGAATCTCTTCATATACGACTCCTTCCGACCGAACCTCGACGAGTACGTGATCCTGACTATACTAGAGGCATACGAAGCGATCGCCATGTCTTCCCACAGTTCAGAACATGGGAGTAAGACTTTGGGCGCACGTGGATTATGGCCCCCTGGGCGTTGTTAGGACTTGTCTCCAAAGGGTACTAATATTATAAGGATACGTTCCCACAAGAACGACTGATAGTAAATTTATAGGCACCCACTTTGGGGGCTTTTATTACCTCCAGTTGTTAGTGTATATAGTTCGACAGGCAGCTGGCATGACGGACCTTAACCGGTTGCTGAGCTCGATTCTGAAGGTACCGTGGACAACGCGGCAGCACGGTTTAGCCTGCTATAAGGCCATCGCGTATTCGAGCTGGGCCGGTCGCCGCTGTGACCTATCCAGTTAGGTCCATGGCTGGCTTTCTGGTAGTCGCTTGCGTTTGTCCTTTATATCTTGAATATTCGAGCATTTTCGTTAACGCCATGGCCTCGTCAAATATCTTGGTTCCACTGGTTCTGGATCTGTACGAAATTTCCTATCTCCCTCTATTCTACGGCGATGCCTTTGTAGCTCGCTGCTTGGTAAATTTTTGCTTGGGACAAGACGCTGCCAAAGCTAGTTTCGGCCACGATCCTGTGTCCTTAGAAACGTATGAACGAGCGCTTATAGACCGGGTCAGATCCAGATATATTGCGAAGGTCGCGTCGTCAACTAAACAACTGATGAATGCGCTTCTGTTTGATGTTCGACTATTTAGAGTACGTATTTTACAGTTAGGGTTTGTCTTCTCCCTTAGTCTGTAGAAGCTCATCCCGTTTTGGATGGAAATCTCGATATATATGCTTGATGTTGGCCTCGAGCTTTTCCTGGTTTCCTAGCTAGGCAAGGGCAATTTCTAGATGGATCTTATTTGTGAGCCTGGTCCCTACTATCTAGAGACCTTCCGCCAGATGAAGGCCGAAAACTCTAGTTTGTCTGGCAAAGCTCGGGTTCTCCGGTAGAGCTCCGTATACTTACGAGTGGGACAATTCCCAGGTGCAGATAGGTTTACCTATCTTACTTACTCTATTTTTAACTGGCTTTTCACGAACGTCAGCATGCACCTTTGGAGAAACATGATAAAACAACCTCCTCGAAACCAGCCCCAAAAGACAACCCAATATGACCACTTTCCAATAGGGGCTTCATGGAACGATTAGTAGTTGAAACGAATTACAGAAGTAGCTGGCTTCCCCTATTGGCAATATCAACTATCAATGGCCGATCCTTTGACGCCAAAGAAAAGAACCTGCACTACTATGATAATAACTCCGATCCGGGCCAAAATCAAGAAATTACTCGAGGAATATTGGCGCCGAGATGTCTCTTGACCAGACCTTTGTCATACCCGAGGTTTCTTTTGGCAAGCTTAGGTGTACTTATTAATTTGTTTAGCAATTTATACTCTCTGAGAGTGTTTGCAGATGCAAAGGTAGACGTGCAAGACATTGAGTCACCAAATATCTCCATTGTACCTAGATCCTTCGACGATTCGCAATCTTCTTCTCCAATATGGGCAGAACACTGAACTTGTGAGGTTTCTTGTCGTATACTAGCCACTTCCCGAAACCAGCAATATAGATGTTGGATAATTATAATTCAAGAACAGGTATTGCAAAGTACATTTGCAACAATATCTGCAACAACACTACTTGCTAAGTGTCTTGGATGGAGGTGATGTGACATTTGAAATGCTGCAATGATTCATCGCATTTCTTTGCTCATGATTATAGATTATGAGACCACGTACTCAATTTCCGGAACGAGTCTTTGAAAGAACCTCTGAAAATTCTGCACGAGAATCAAGTGCTTTTCAAAGATGAAGTGAGACATTCTATTCTCGTCAGGGTTCTGCTACCAGGTTCTACCACATGCCAACAGATAGAAACCCCGCAGGCTACTTCTTGGACAAGACAAAGAGACAAATCTTCACATGCATAACTCTTATCAAATGGGATCATGCTTATAGGGACAATAACCATCCATCCATCACTAACTTGCGGCTTATCACGCAAATGATCCTAACTTCTATAAAGTCAAGTTCAACTTCTACGAATGTACTGCAAAGCCAGCTTACTCACGCAAAAGCTTTGGCATCCCGCAGCGTACACCATGAAGTTCCCCGTTTATGCGTGCCTCGCCGTGGCTGCTTCAACCTCGGCCTTCCGCTACGAGCCTCCGATGACGGTCTGCTCCAGGCGATGCGGCGGGCTCACCTACAACTGTTTCAGAACCAACTGGGCAACCGCTTGCAGCGGTACCATAACGCAATGCCGGGCGGAATGCAAGCAAGATTCTGACAACTATTTCGTGTTGTGGGGAACGTACGACAACTTCCCCGTTGGACTGGATCGAGACTACTTGTTAGCGCGTGGAAGATGAAGAGCTGCAGTGCAGAAGAGGAAAACTCCTAATCATCCGAGCGTGTCTATCGTCTTTAGTCTACGATCTATGGTGTACCCTACCCTCTACGCTGTCTAGTCTACCTCTAGCCTGATAGAAGTCTACGTAGCTCTATGAGACCCAACGGTATATATGCGTTCCCTCTGCCTGCATGTGCCGGCGCGCGTCTATGTCTAAATGTCTAAACCCACGAAATTCTAAATAGTTTGTACCCAGTCTCGTCCCCGCGGCCAACCCCCCTTCGTTTTTCGAGCTTCTCTACGTCGACAATCTTCAGCACACGGCCATCCTCCGTCTTGGGACTATCGTCAGCGGCGAATGCGCGCTCGATGGTATCGCCAATGCCTTCGAATTTGCCGGTCGTGCGTACGGTGAATATGAGCCAGAAGACGCCGTCGGGTGTGAGGTAGTGGGCGGCGCAGTTACGTAACCATACAGCGTGTTCAGGTGCGTAGACGACGTCTGCTGCGACCAGTAGGTCCGCTGGTGCATCCAGTGGTGGCTCGGACGAGGGCAATGCCCAGTCGAGAAGGCAAGTCTGCACTGGTGCTGGAGTTTTGGAGGGGAAATTGCTCGTAACGTTCAATCGGAGATTCTCGAGGACAGCCGGGTGGTAATCCGTCGCAATGACCGTCGCAGACGCAAGATCGAGATGCGGGAGCAGATTCGCAAGCATGAGACTGATCAACCCCGTCCCAGCGCCAAGCTCGACAATGCGCGGCGAAGAACCAAGTATGCGTTGCGTGAGACCGAAACGCGCAGGAGACGAACATATCAGGTCGGAAAACACTATAGATGCGCCCCAGCTCTGCAGGCCGACATCCGTGTGGTCTGCGCCGCTAAGCGGGGCGTCATTGATCCGCACCTGGATCTTTTCCGGCGCGGGGGAGGGGACATTCTTCAACTCAAAAGAGAAATCCCGTATCAACGTCAAGTCCTCCTCGTCGTTCTCGCCCGCCCTGTCGCTGAAGGATGCGAGCACCGACGCTGCATCGTCGATTGCGCGCTCTAGCGAGTCTTCGGGAATGTGATTCAACTCTTCTGCGCGCGCAATGAAGCCCGTCAGCCAGCGCGTCGCAAAGGTTCGTTCGTAAGCGTCGGCGCGCAGGGCGTTGAGCGTATCGTCTTCGTCGTCGGTGTGCTCAGGCCCACCTTCATTGTCGGAAGCGTAGCCAGAATCGGCGGGCGTGGCATAACCTGAATCCGCCGGTGTGGACGCAACACTTCGAGGTTGTTTCCTGGCCTTGAATCGAGACTGGAAGTCGCAAGACCGTGGCAAGGGGCAATAAAGAGCGTTTAGGTTGCGCAGCGCGGCCGAGATCTGGTTTTCTGTAAGCGTGTCCAGCGAGCGCAGCGAAGGCAGGCTGCTGGTCGGTGGAAGTGGATGGTGGCGCGAGACACTCATCGGACGTCGTCAAGGCCCTGGACGCTCCCCGCACCCCAGGTGCCGAAGATGCTTAACAAGAAGGAATGAGGAAGAAGGCGACGAGAGGGGGAACACAGGAGAATTTTGCGTCAAAAATGTGTGAGCATGGCGGTGAAACCGCTCCGATCAATGTGGGTCCGTGTGATCTAGACTCGCCTCTGAAAGTGAGGCTTATCGTGGCCGCTGCCAGAAGCTACGATAAACCACGCTTACACCCAAAAATAGCAGTCAGCGGTAAGATCATGGGCGCGCCGATGAAACTGAATCTGGAATTGATTATATGGATAGCAGGTGGACTGAGCTCGTTCATAATCGGCACGATCCCGGCCTCAATTTGCTGTCCCTGGGAATTTCAACTGCAGCGGCATGACCAATTACAACGCTATACTGGACCAAGCCCACTCTAAGCACTGTTTTTCGACATGCCCATTAGATTAGCGTGTAGAGTATAACGAAACTGTCGCATTATAAGACTTGTGGCCTTGTGTAAACTCAACGCAGTGCTAGGGGACATCGAGTTTATCTACATCAACTAATCCATCAGCTACCGTGTCAAAAAAGAAAAAGAAAAAAGATGTATGCAGCAACTCACAGCGTGCGGGTTCCAATGCGCAAATAAAACCAACGTGTATGTACACTACAACAATTATAGGCTCACGATGGATGATATCGTCTGTTTCGTGTTGGTTGCCCTTGAAGGCTTGCTTTTATATTCAACAAACGGCCTAATCCGAAACTATCTCCCCAGCCAGATCGTAACTAGTCTGTTCCTGGCCCAGTACCTTCCGCTCAAGTACTACCGCATCTTCCTCTATCGCCAGTATTTCTCTCCGTTCCGCGACCCCCCGAGACAACGGTAAGTAATTCGTTCCATAGACCGGACAGGTGGCGGACAACCACCAACGCTATCACCGGCCAGGGTGTCTTGGTGCTTGAATTCGACGAACATCGCGCCCATCGTAAGATCTTCGCAGGATCTTTTTCAGTGCCCAATGTGTGCAAGCTGGAATCTATCTTCTGGAGAGAAGCAAAGGAGCTTAAGCCTTCTTCGATCGTGTCATTGCAGAAACTGGAGATGGAAATCATCAACCGCACTGATGATACTCGGGAGATTCACAATACTATTGATTTACTTGCAAAACTAAACCCACCAGGGAATTTGATGGCTCTTCGTGGGCTGAACATATTAACCGGCTGAAGGAAGCATCACGCACTCACGAGGTTTTCATAATATCCGCGGGTACCATGGCAACGGGGTAGACTACGCAGATCAATGCACTGCTCAATGAGCTCAAGCTTGCGCAAACATGCTCCCGCGAAGCTTGTACTGCTGTCGCCACAGGGCAACGCGGGAACTACAGACCGGAAAGTTACTGGGCGGATAAACTTGAGTTACTTTTCAACGAGTTCAGTAACGAATGCTTTTAGCTTCGGTGAGAATGTCAAGAGGGATATCAGTACTGCCTGGGCAAAGCTTGAGGCAGTGTACCCACATGCCACGAAAGGCATGTTGGCGCGCGATGACATTGACATTAAAACGCTGTTAGACGATGACGGCGTGAGAAATCTACTTGGGACCAAGACCACCATATGTCGGTCAACGGCTGCTCTGATATATCAAGATATGCAGAGCTTTGTTGGACCCCGTGAAAAGCCAGAAGTAGCGGCTGGCAAGGGGGAAATACGTCGTCCTGGCCATTCATCCAAGTTAGGATTTTTACCGAAGCAGATGTCTCGTCGACGGGGGCCTTTCCTGGTGGATCTGGTATGTTTCGGTGGTCTGCGTCGTAGTTAACCTCTTGCCGTTGACAAAAGACGTAGTCAGGATTACAAGATACCAATGCCAGCCGACCCGCCGTTGTGAAGGAATTGTTGGATTGTGGGCAAATGTCTTGTATTGAAATTGTCATGATCTCTGGAGAGTCCTGGACGAAGTGAACGGCGGCCATAAGGGCCTTATATAGACAGGAATTACTGGTGCCTGTCCCACAGGCAGGACTTGTGTGGTTCGATGGGTGGTGGTCATATTAGCTTATAACGTACGGTTTGTGGTCATATGTCCTTCCATAACTCGCAGTCTTGATGTAGTAAGTAGCCTTGAAGGTCCAACAGAAATACCACGAAAAGGCTCGTCAATTTTGCATCTGCGTCAAAATAGAACGGGCTTCCGATGACAAATCCGTCAAGCAGTACACAACTAAGTCCTTCAAGACCCAGCTCAACCTGGATGGAAAACTCGGTGATGTTACGTACGTCTGTACCAAGGCGGATGGTCTCGGTATTGAAGAAACAGCCAGAGAGTCCGACTTGAGTGGCGACCTCGAAAAACTTCACAAGTTGAGCAGCAGCCTTAAAAGCTGTCATGGTGAATACCTCAAGAACGCCAAGGGCGATGGAGTTTTGCTATGCCACTCTTATTAAAAGGCCTGCCATAAAGGTTATCTTGTTCAATTTACACCACGCAACATACTGATCCAGTACTCTAGGGGAGTGTACAATGATACGAGGACTGGCACCCAACGGAACTTCAGCGAAGGTAAATCTTGTTTTTCGCATCTCTATCTCTGCTAACTGAGCCCTCACCACCTTTTTCTCTCTCTACAGCTCTTCTGACCAAGACTACGAACACTTACAACCACATAAAGAACTTGCCCAGCCACTCGAAACGAGCATGGCAAGTGGGACGACACATCCCAAGTCAAAATTCCCATGCAATCTCTAGCTATGAAGAGGTGGCAGGAAATTCCTTCGAACCACTCTACGCCCAAGTCAAACAAACTATACAGCGGCGGGCGATCGCGAAGACTCTGCAAACAAGCCGCGCTGGGCGAGTATCAAGGACACCGTATTGGACCTCAAAAAACAAGCACAGAGCAAAGCCACAGAACACGACCAATGGCTCTGCTCCTGCAGCGCAGGCAGCACAGAACGAAATAAGGGCGATTATATAGCGTGCTGGAACAAGAGTACAGTTATGCCGGCATCACCCCCTCCCTCGACTCAGCCATAAAACCCGTCCGCCCCCTCTATCCCCAATGTAGGTAAGAACTCTTGACAATCCTCCCAACCAACTCCTTCTCCTCTCCCCCACAGGACAAGCCACCTGCACAACCACAGCCGCGCCCTGGTTCCGTACCGTTCCAAATCTTGTCAAGGACAAAGTCATATCCCTTGCCGACAGTCACGAGATGAATTGAAGTCGGGGATCGCGTGTTTGCTGAAGTCAATGTCCCGAGACTACATGAAACACCATCATGAAGCGACAACACGTGCCTGAGAACGAGGAGGCTACGCGGGCGGAGGCGTACAAGTTATAGCCGGCGTGATAAACAGTTACGGTTGGGTTGATGTAGTTGAGTGAGCAGCTATAGATTAGCCTGATGCGGTTGGCTTAAGGCGGTCGAGACGCAAAGCCAGGTATCGTACTATCTCAAGGGTGCTTTACGGATCTGAGCTGATAAAGGCAATGTGAATAGTACGCCATAGCAATTCATACTCCGGGTGCGGCAGCTTCCTTAATGAGAACAAGCACGTTGTGAAGTCTTTCGAGTCTCCGAATTTATTTATTTTCGTACCTGTATTTGTCGACATCTCTTACACGCGAACACTAAACTAAGGTGTTCAAAGTGCGTCGCCATTCCTCCCACCTGCTATTCATTGTGAACAATCGGTTTCGCTTTCATGCAACATGGAAGTAATTTTCTAGGTTATCAGTTGAGCAACCTTCTCCGCTATCTCCATACTCCAGCTGATCGTCGTTGTGAAACAACCCCAGAACCAAACTGTTGAAACCCCCTCTTCGACTCTCAGATGCGCAGAAGAATAGAAGAAGGATATTATCGAATGAACGAAGCCGGTATCTTTACGCTCTTTCTTTGGCAAACCCCCAACTCCATGATGATGTACGGTCTTTATATATGCAGCCCGCGTTTTAACTATAAAATCACCAATCAACGCCTGGCGGCGGCAGCTCTCTCGGCAGCAGCCGCACTGACCGCGGCTCCTTTCTCTGCTTGGGCAGTCATCGCGAGCCCAACTGGCGTCATGATACCACTCGCGCCTGGGGCGGGTGTGGTGCTCCTGGTTGGCGGGGCGGAGCGGTTGTGTGCCATGTGGGCCTGAACCAAGTGACCGGCAGCGAGCGCACTGCATAGTGAAAGTTCACCAGCTAGGACGGCCGCACCGATGATGCGCGCAAGGCGGCGGGAGTTGTCACCAGGGTTCGTTGGGTGGGAGCCGCGAACACCTAGCATATCAAGCATTGCCGCTTGCGGCTCTAGAATGGTGCCACCACCCAGCGTACCAACCTCAATGGAAGGCATGGAGACGGATATTTGAAGGGACCCGCGGAGGCTGGAATGAATTGAATTAGCACATTGTAAAATCGATGGCAGGGGAACCTGAGCTTACTTCTTCATGATGGTAATGCAGTTGGCGCTCTCGACGACTTGGGCCGGGTCTTGACCAGTGGCAAGGAACATTGCTGCGACGATGTTGGCAGCATGAGCGTTGAAGCCACCGACAGAGGCAGCCATGGCGGAGCCGATCAAGTTCTTGGAAATGTTTAGCTCCACCAGGGAGTCGACATCACTCTTCAGCACCTGCTTAACAACATCGCCGGGGATTATGGCCTCAGCAACAACACCCTTTCCTCGGCCGTCGATCCAGTTGATTGCGGCTGCCTTCTTGTCAATGCAGTAGTTGCCCGAGACGGAAACAATAGCCATGTCGTCGAAGCCTCCATCGGTCGCCATGACCTTCAGTGCGTGCTCGACACCTTTGGAAATCATGTTCATGCCCATGGCGTCACCAGTGGTCGTCTTGAATCGAATGTACAGGTTAGTTCCCGCAAGTGCCGTCTTCATCGTCTGGAGTCGGGCGAATCTGCTAGTCGAGTTGAAGGCCTCCTTCATCATGTTCTGGCCAGCAGTAGAGTCAAGCCACAACTTGGCAGCGCCGGCTCGCTCCAATGTCTCGAATGTCACGCACGGTCCGCGCGTCATTCCGTCAGCTGTCAAAACCGTCACGGCGCCGCCACCAGCGTTGATCGCCTTGCAGCCACGGCTCGTGCTTGCGACTAGCACGCCCTCCGTTGTAGCCATAGGAATGAAGTAGCTCTGACCATCAATAACAAGAGGACCGGCAACACCAACAGGTAAGGGCATGTAACCAATGACGTTTTCGCAGCAGGCACCGAGGACGCGTTCCCAGTTGTAGTTCTCGTAAGGCAGCTTGGATCGATCAAGAAGTCCAGTGAGAGCCGATGTTGCTCGGGTTCGTGCGATGATAGACCGTCGGACCTTGACTGCACGAGTGCAATCCTTGAGACTCTTTTCCAACGCGTAACCAGGAATCTTACCCTTAAGCGACAAGGCGACAATCTCCTCATCGGTCATATCTCTGAACCGCTTTTCTGCCAGCATCTTGTCCAATTCAAACTGGCTGTGGGATACTTGTGGCGTCTTGGGAGACTCAGGCGCGGCCCTTGCTCGCTTCATCGACAAAGCCTCGCTTTCGTCGTCGGTAGATGCCGGGGTCATGGGTTTGGAAAGGGAGGGCCTTTGCATTTCGCCAAGGGGCAGTGTCGCATTTTGGGTATCGTTGAACTTCTCAGCTGCGGCAAGGTCCTTAGGATCAATGGCATGGTCTGGGTCGTTCGGGTCCTTGATGCCCCAACGTGCGAAGTTAAACAAGTAGCCGTTGAGGGCCACGCTCAGGGCCAAAGCGACCACAATCCATTTGGAAAGGATAGGGTCTTCCAAGCTGTCAAGCAAGCTGCCAACCATGCGGCCACCAACGCCGTAATTGTGTAGTTGACCGTAGCCATCATCGATATCGCGGCCATTGGCCGCTTGTGTCGACGGCACGGCGTAGTGAACGGAGGGGTATTCTAGCTCGTATTTGATGGGAGTCAAGACCGTGACAACAGTCGTGCGACCGTGACCCCTCGCCATGAATAGTATCTCATCCAGGCCGTTAGACGCAACCTTGAAGGGATCTAGGGGGGGTGAGGTGACAACACCTCCAAGACCGCCTGCCCAAGTGGAGAGGCTGGAGAAGGAGCCAGGGGTTCTAAAAGGTATGGAGACGATGTTTATGGCGTTAATGGTGAAGAAGCCGGCGACCATCCAAAACTTGAACTTGGGGACGCTGCTGCTTTTGGCGTCTCGCCCAAAGACCAAAGCTTCCTTTTCGTCCTTGCTGCCTCGTCTGATCCAGTCGTTGCTGGTGGCCACGCTCTCGGCAACCCGTCGACTGTACCCCTCGTCCTCGAGTGCCCTGCGCATCTCCACATGACGCTTGATGCGGTTGACCTCCAGTTTGATACATAGAATGGCTGTGTAGAAGGTGAAGAGGAGCACGCAATCGAAAAACAGAATCCAGGCAGCCAAGAAGCAGAACTGTTGCAGTCCTCCTTGGACACCAGATGCAGCTCCGGCAATGAGAATCAAGATCTCGATGACGTAGTCGCGAACGATTTCGTATCCCTTGTCCTTGATCGCACTCTGGACAGCGTACTGAATAATGCCGTCCGGAGGGCTCGGGGACTTCTTCGCGGACTTTCTGTCATCGCTTGACTTTTCCTCAGGCCTGCGATGTTCCAGCGCATGTGACAGAACGGCTTTCGTCAGAACAATATTCTTCTCGAAGCCGACGGTAACGACCAGGAACGGCAAGCCTTCTGAGAGCAGAACGACAGAAACTGGCACGCCAAGTTTCGTTGTCACGTTCAAGCCGAACAAGAAGGCGAAGGTCGAGGAGAACAGGACACTGGTCGCCAACCAGACATTTGACCCCATCTTTCTCATGCTCAAGAAAAGGGAAACGAAGGTCAGATGCATGGCCAGATAGCCGAGAACCATGATGATGATGTCGAGGGTCTCAGCGTTCTTGACGAGATCGAGGAACTCGATCCAGGCATTATGGATCCAGAGAGCCAGGCTGCTTCTAGTATGGGCCCTGGCGACCTTCATGATCCACATCTTCTGCTCTTTCTTGCCGTGCTCGGTCACACGCGATTCTTGTCCCGGGACATCGTTCGGGATCTCCTGCGCGACCTGCAGGAACTCGGGCGCCTCGCTGTACTTGATGGAGAAGGCCAACGCGCTGTCCTGGGAGTATGCCGACAGCGAGTTCGAGGTGGTGGGGAGATGGTTGACGGATAAGTTCGAAGGCAAAGGAACGATATGCGGCGAGGGGGCGGTCTGAGGCGCTTCGGGAGAGGATTCGGGGAAGATCAACGTGATCAGCGCGAGATGGTCGGCATCCTTAGGGACCTTTGCTTCGGAGTCGAAGTTCTGCCATTTCCAGGCCGTTTCGGGCCCCGCGACCAGACTCCTACTGCCACCTGTTAAAGAGCCCCATTCTGCCTTCTGGACACTCCGAGTCGCGTCAAACAGACTTTCCCGGACCACTCCTACGTATGTCGTGCTGGCCAAGACAGCCACGAGGCATAGAGTGTAGATGGGATGTATGCATGCAATTCTGGATACGAATTGCAAAAATGGCGTGGATGCCCTGTTCAGTCTCGAGGGGGGAGCTGGTGGGCCATTCGGTTGCTCGCCGCGAAAGCGGGAGGGGAGGAACGAAGAGGCAACCATGGCGCTACTATGAGTCCATTCGTGGTTCTGTTCGTATGTTCCTGTGCGCGGAGGTTTTTGTAAGCTTGAGGTATTAACGGGAGGCAATTTGAAAAACATGGTTGATCAGAATGAGACACACGCGAGTGTGCCCGTGTGATGCGCTGACCGCAGGATGAATCAAGCCAGAAGGATAGGAACGTTAAGCGAAGGCAATAATATCACTACACACAACCAAGTCGCAAGGGAATGACATACTGATTGTGGTTATTTAGAGCACGAAAATGGAGCAGCGAAGCTCGCCGTGTTGAAACAGCACCAAGCTCTACCGAGAAGTTTGGCGTGAGAGTTCAGCTAATTCGTCCGATGTTGGGACTTGTCGGTAGTCGGGTCTGCTGAAAGCCAGGAGCTTGGGGCGAGCGTTGTCGAGGGATTATTAGAGTTGGCGACTAAGTTGCGGCCGAGTCTACGATTGCGAGACGAGGGATGATTTGCAATTGGACTGGCAGGGCAAAACGGCCGCTAGAAGGACTTGACGTTTTGCTTACCCGACGAAACGACCAAAAGACGCGGCACAACACAACAAGAGGCAATGAACAGTTAAAAAGGGGCCACCTGGGGAGGTTTGTCGGCGAAGATAAGTCGAAGATTTCGGATCGTTAGAGAAACTTCCCATGCAAGTGTTTATTGCGAGTAGCGGAGTGGAGTTTTCATCGCAACCTTAGGTGGGTCCGAACGGCAAAATTACCAGAACACTATCAATAAATGCCTAGGTGCATTTGGGCCGATTGGATCACTGCGAATCAAGGACTCGACGGCATCTCCACCCTCTAGAGCTCTCCACTGTGGTGTCAAATAGGTAGCGAGTAGTGATCACTGAGTGTGCAGTGCCGATCCACCCCTGCCTGGCCGGCTAGCAACCCGTGCACCGCAGCTGCCCAAGCTGCCATACTTGCACCACCTGCCTGCCTGCCACGCCAACTCACCTTTTCACCACTAACGGTGGGCATCTAGATTCGTCCCAAGCTGGGGACAGCAGCCGCCTACCCTATCAGCAGCTCCAGACAACCTTCTAGCGTCGGTTTTCTGACTGTCTGGGTTTTTGGGGCGCGTTCTGGGCGCATTTTTACGTCAAATTTGGCCGTTGAAACATCGGCAACCCGATTACGGAGGGTATTCTTCAGATTATCGTTGGTGGGAGGGCAGCTCAGCCTCCCGATGTCGTGGAACCGAATGCAGTCGAAGTTTCATGAGCTCATAGGGCCGTTACAACATCAGATGGCTCAAGAAACAGCCCGGTTGGGGCAATGAAAAGCGAACAGTGACATCTTGCCCCCACACTCTCTCCCTTACGTACGACGTACTGCAGAAGATGAGTTGATCATAACTTCGAGGTGGCTGGCTGTGGCCGGACGGGTGATAGCTGAACGGCTGCAAGGACCGTCCGTTGCAAAAGGCGGAGAAAGAGGAACAGACCGTAGAACAGGCCATCAGTTGGCTTGATGCCAAACTTATAAGCTAGCGCCCAGCGGCTCCTTATCATCTACGCATGGGTTATCAATCACATCAGGGTCCCGCTCGCATCGTGCGGGAGGACGTTATGCAGGGATTCTCAGGCACAAGAAGAAAAAAGGTTGCGACTTCGAGCTTCGTCCACACTTAGTTTGGCGAGTCAGTGGCTTACATATAGTAATGAGCAGAATTGTAATCGCAGACGGCGGCAGCAGTTGAAATCTGACCATCACCGCCTGCATGGCATTTTCCTATTGTTTACTGAGCTGTTATCGTTCAAGCAAAAAGTTTCGGGTTCAATAGTGTATGCAGAGGCGCTGCAGCATCGCTAGCCGCATGCGCATATGGACCCCAACCGAGGACAAGAGCGGTCACCGAGATAGCTGTGAATCTGAAAAATATTCTCACCAAAAGGACAGGTCTGCTGTACCGAGTGGCTAATTCAGCTGTATGTCTGAATTATCTTCAGGAGTTACTCCTCCTGAAGTCATATTGAGCGGAAGCCAAGTGCGGACGTCACCCCACCCAGCACGCGACCGGCAAATCGAGTTTGCTAACTCTTTGGTAACATTTCATGACAGTGGCCATCGTACTCGCTTGTTCTTCTTCATTGGTACCGACGCCCGAAAACCTCGTCAATAATAACGAAATCATACTAACTCGATGGATCCCGTTGCGCATCTCCGATCTCGCCCATCTGACAGGGGCAGCGATAATCAGGTTAAAGCAGTCTGGGACGCCTCAACTCGATGCCAAACATCACAACAGAACTGCTTTCCCCTCCCTCGTCGTTTCCCTCTCGTCAGTGCACAATCTTTCAGAACGCGGTCATCAATCGCTGGACCTCAGGACTCTTCATGTTGACAATTTCGACGCCCATCGCCTTTATCTCCTCCTTGCAATCCTGCCAGCCATCTGGATCCACTGCCCTCGTACTCTCCTCCACAATGAACGTCTTGAACCCCTCCTTAGCCGCATCCACAGCGCAATTCTTGACACAATAATCGGCCGCAAGGCCAACCACGTAGACGTCGGAGATTTCCTTCTCTTTCAAGATCCCCGCCAGCCCGCTGTCGCTTCCCCGTGGCTCATTGAAGGGGTCGTAAAAGGGACTGTACATCTCAACCCTCTTGTCCATTCCTTTCTCGATAACCTTGTCTATTTGCGTCAGGTGGAGCTCGGGGACGAGGTCGGCGCCGGTTGTGCCTTGTACGCAATGAACTGGCCATAGTCGCGACTCATAGGTCTCCGCGGTATTGAGAGGGTTCTTGATCATAACTGAGTCGGTAAAAGGCTGCTTGTTGGCATGGCTGGAGGCGAAGGAGATATGGTCGGGCGGGTGCCAATCCTTGGTCGCGACTTTGAGGACGAAGGGTAGGGCAAGAAGCTTGTTGACAGTTTCGGTTATGTCGCGACCATCTTTGACTGCTAGCGAGCCGTGCTGATAAGTGGTGAGCTTGGCTTCAATTAAGAGGGCCGCCACAAAGAGCTTACCGGAGGGCAGAAGTCTTCTTGGAAGTCTACAACGATCAGTGCGGGGCGGAATGGTGCCCGGTCTGCCATGGCGTTTGATGTGGTCTAATCCTCAACAGGGTAGGATGATGGCAGGTAATTCACAAGAAGGTAGTTGTGGTGATGTTTTCATATCTATGAGGCCGATAATGATCGGTCCCACATCATGTTTTGGCTGCTCAAAAGAACGATGACTGTAAGACATGAAGTGAATGTTGGATGCTTTGTTGGATTACAGCTATCTCACACAAGCCACACACAGCCACATCGGAGTAATAGTTACCTATCCCTACGTATGGCTACACTGGTAGTCAATAGACTGTAACAGAAGACAAGGAGATAAATCAATTAATCACTTGAACCCCTGTTATTAGTCAGATACACGTGTAATCCCACGCCGGTCTACTCTATAGGGTCCGGGGCGCTCGATAGACTTATAGGCTATTCAGGCGCCGGTGTGACCCATCCTTATCGTTCGAGGTAATCGAGGCGCTATAATAACTAGGCTAAAATTTCGCCAGTGTATCGAAATAAGGAGCGGGTAGAGCTACTCAATTCGTCCTTAAGAGCGCGTCTATAGTCGCTAATTAGAAGATCTAGCTTCTTCTTTTAGGATTATGTCTTCGACGGCTTTGGCTTTTCCTTCACCTTTTGATGCGAGTGCATATGGGGTGTGAATTGTTGTATTGGGAAAGGATGGCCAGGTCAGCTATTCTGGCCTGGCAGAGCTCTTTTATAGCTCTTATCTATCTTATCTATAGCTACAGGATAACCTTTGCTACGTCCTCTTCCTATCTTCCCGCCGTGCGTAGAATTCGATGATTCAAGTTCAGAAAGATGAACGTCTTCCGGACTATCGGTCGTCGCTTTAATAAGTTAGACGAATAGAGTCTAAAATTAGAGGGTTAAAAAGAGAAGTGAGGGATTCAACCCTCAGATGATGACTCTGTACAGATCCTGTATTGGTTACGATGCTCGATGCGCAGTGTGATGTGTGTATTGACTGCTCGGAGTCCTATGTAAGAAGTTACATCTAAGGTAGGTAGGCAGGTGCCGACCTTTTTATCTACACAAGCGATTTCACTGCCTTAGGCACCACCTCAGGCACACATATGGCGCTCAATCCCACAAGAAAAGTATAAAGGGGTGTTAGAGCTTTAAAGATAAGGCTAATATACTCGGTAGTAATCTTCTCTTTATATTATAGCGGTATCGCTATAGCTGTCAAGGTCGTAGTATAGGGTCAGGTAGATTGATTGTTGTTGCACGAAGGTCCAACGCTAATCCTTAAGGAATTGTGAGATCTAGGTTAGTCTAGTGTAAGGGTGCCAGCTGGCAATAGCTGATAAACCTCGAGTTTTGGAGCAGATCCTCAGAAGCGATGTTTAGGTTGAACTTGGAAGAAAGCTCCCCAATAAACTCGACAGATGCTAGGGAATTGAGGCCCAGGTCTGTAAATATCTTGTCGTGTTCCATGTCTGACTTGGTGCCACCAGCGAACTCGAATATAAGATCCTGCAAAGCCTCTAATTGTCCGGTGGACTCTTGCTCTGGGACGGACATGCTGCTGACTGGGCTACTGGCGCCATCAGTTACGGTGCTTGGCGATGTGGACGATGTCGGGAAGGTATTTTGCAGAGGATTTCCACCACTACAGGCGCAGTTTGTAAACCCGCCGTCTTCAGACGCATAGCCTGATACAACCTTTTCTCTAGCTTGGTGGAAGGCAACTTCGAGAAACGGTAGCCGGTCAGATCAACCACCATGGCTCGTGGCGAGACGCTTACTGCGGACTCTTTGAAAACTTGACTCGCTGCGCAGCAGGTCTTCGAGATTCCCAATTACAGGTGACGTTCCAATAACCACCAAAGTACTGGCTGCATTGTAACAAGCGATCTCAACCGTGTCACCCGGTCGCTGTTGAAGGAGCGAGACGGCCTTGTTGAATTCTGCGGTAGAGCACTCGCCCAAAACCAACATAGCCCCTTTCTCAGGACCCTATTTGCAATCTTTCAGCTGTGCCCGAGCTGCAACAAGTTTGATGGCGTCCGCGAGGGAGAGAACCCGAGACAGCTAGCGCAGGGAGCTCGCCCAGGCTGTGGCCACGACGGCTACGGGTTCGAGTCCAGAATCGATCCAACATTTTGCACAGGCGTACCGCATGGCGAAGATGCTGCATTGCAACGGCATCGCACTATTGGCAGGTTCTGTCTCGAAGATGGTGGGGATGATGGACGGATGATCCTGGGTCCGCAGCTCTTTATCGCAAGCATATATGTGGTGCCGGAAGGCGGATATTTCCTCATATAGTGACTGGTCTAGCCCGACTTTGTTGTCTTACTGCCCAGTAAACACAAGAATGACTGGCGCTGGAGGCTGAGACAACTGCTGCTAGATGGAATAGGTCATGAGCCTCTAGCAGGAATTGCCGCGTCTTGTATGCTTCTAGCTTCTACGGTTGCCATGAACCTGAGGCGTTACTGTCTCTCCTTCAATGTGAATGCAATATCTGTCATATCCAAGTCTGCAGCCTTCTTGCGCAGGTAGATACCCAAAGCACGTGCGTTCTTGAGTAAACTCTTCTCGCAGGATGCACTAAGAATCAGTGGCAACCTCATATCGACCGGCTTCTTCTTCAAGAGGTTATGCTGCGAAGGCATTTCACAACACAGTAAGCCGCAGTTTGACCCAGCCGCGTTGTAGCTGTTTACCAGAGCTGCGCGAAAGGATGATTTACATAAAGGCAAGCTAGGGGTGACAACTAGTCTGTCCGACTCGAGTGGTGCGATTTTGGGACTGAGCTTCTTACGGTTAGCCTGCGGCGGAAGCTGACCATGCCTGATCATCGCCAGTATCTTGAGTACACCAGCCACTCCAGCTGATGTTTTGCAGTGTCCAATATTTCCCTTGATAGAGCCCACAGTATGTTCTATTGTGACGGCGGCAATGACGGCTTCATTGAGAAAACTGAGCGCACACTTTCCATCTCCAAGGGGCCACCGGCTTGAGTACCGGTTCGGGGGCTTCGGCATACGTCACGCTCTCTGGCTGTATGCCAGCCTGCTATAGTACCTTTCGATTCAAATTTTGTTGGGCCACTGATTGCGGGACCGTGAGAGAAGCAGAGAACCCGCCTTGGTTGGTGGGTGAGCCGAGGATCACGCCCAAGATGGCATCCCCGTCCGCAACGGCATGGCTCAGTTTCTTCAGGGCCCGCACCATCAGAGCGGCAAGAGCCATCAGCGGTTACATCAAACGGTTTACGCTGCCCTGTTGGGCTCAAGAAACCAGCCTTGGCCAGGTCGAAGAAGTTGTTCATGCCAGTCATGATATTGACACCACCCGTCAGGGCCATGCGGTATTCCCCGGCCTGGATGGCTTTAAAGACTCTGTTAACGATGAATACAGAGAAACGCGCGAATGATGCCGGTAGATATGTATGCCGTCGGAGCGTGAGAAATTTTGTTGTCGAGATATTCGACCAGACTGCCGCCGATGAAGCAGCCAACATTGTCACCGTCTTCGCGATGATGCGTGGCCAGATACCCAGCATCATCAAGGGACGCATAAGCGACTTCGAGCAAGACGCGCTGTTGCGGTTCCATGCTCGCCGCCTCGCGGGGTTTCACGCCGAAGAAACTGTGATCGGAGCTCTGGATGTCTTCCACGAAGTTACCATAGGACGTTCTTTCTTTAGTGAAACTCCCGCTTTGAGTTGTGCGGAAACTCCCGTACAAGTCGACTCTTTCGGTATCGAGCGGTGGCGGTCTGTCCCAGCAGCAACAAGTTCCCAGAGTTTTTCGAGGTTGTTCGCCCCAGGCAAGCGGCATGCGGCGCTCACTATGGAAATTGCGTCTTCAGGCAAGTCGATGGCGTCTTTGAAGGGGCCTTTCGCTATGCGTGGTATCAGATTGTGCACGTGTGACTTGACCGGACGGAGTCCTTGCTTGATAAAGGGGGCCAGGAGACGCAGTCCTTCAGGCCGAAATACAGAATATTCTTCATCTGGCTCTCCTGCTTGAGGACAGAAGAATGGCACAGAGATAGGGGTTGTGTCGTTTTGCTGTAAAGTCCCCATGATGGTAATGAAGCTTGTCTTCAAGAATGGAACTGACAGAAAGTGAGCTGATAATGATAGTTTTAGATGAGGATCACTTACTGTTGACACTATGCGCGCACTTTGCTCCGGATCTTCTTCGCTGATAGCTGATGAGAAGGCAGAGTGACTTTTTGACTGACAATTTCGCAAGTATATTTGACCAAAAGGCTGACAGCAAGGACTGCCATGGTGAACATAGTGGAGGCTGAACAAGCAGATGCCGAGCCATTGAGCCCTGCATAGAGATCTTTGGCTTCTAGATTCCTTCGGTTCCGTATGCAGATAAACTCTCACTGGTTCATGTCATGATACTCTGTAAACCCACCGGTCTCCCATCGGGCTGCCTCGACGCTGAATACGGTATGAATAGTGAGGCTATATGTTCTGATCCTGAGGTAAGCAGGCTTTCAGCCGGCGAGATAAGAAACTCAGATCTCGCCGACCATTGACGCCACTAGTAATGCGCCGATATAGATGTGCGATGCAGGTGGATTTGCTATTTGAGGAAGGCAAGGTTTCGGCACGTTATTGTGGTTTCATCACCCGGCAGTGGCGTTTGATCCTGCGAACCAGTTAGTGTAACTCATGGAAAGATCATCATTCGTGACATGCATATAGCAGCCGATATGGAGCCGGGGTTGCAGTAGACGGCTCCGGATGATGTACACGGGACCAATATCTGCGTCTCCACTGAGACACAACACCGCAGAAAGTGAGCTATGACTTTTCAGCCACAGACTGATCAATTCCGACCCGCCAACAATAGGACAATGCTGGTATTCTGAAGCCTCACGTATATGATTCTTGGTACAGCCACCATAGCTAGTATTGTTTGGAGAGCATTGGTTCTACTCTTTGTCTTGGGGCGGTGCTGTGTGTATGCAATGGGGAACCTCCATTAGTAAGATTCACTGTTAGACCACCACTTATTGCACGCTCAGAGACAAACGCTAGCTGCTAACTAATTGTTTCTACGTTAAGAGTTAGGACAAGCTCTATTCAATGCAAGAGCAGTCTTCGGCCAGCTGATCAACTGCTGGCCAGAAGAACACGACTCTCAAACACTGCTAAGTGAATATCAGCCGAATGAATGCTCCATAACCTGACCACAGATGACTCATTCTCGCGTGATCTGCTAGCGCTATCTGCGCCCTCAAGCCATTATGGGGGTGCTTATTTAGACCGATGTCTACATTGAAATGCGCGAAGTTGGTTAACTCGTCCAGAACGTGTCTTGAGTTATATGACCTGCTGTTCTCGGCAACTAGATCCAAGTGTACTAAAAGAGCTGTTTATCATGCTTCTTTCTCCAATAGCTCGTGGAGTAAACACTGACGATTGCTGAGATTCAATGGAAGGCAAGCGATGGGACTATGTATCATACTTGCATCTTGCCACGATTTGATGTAATTAACATTCTGTTGTTGGGACTTCGCTGAGGTACTTCCAAATTCGGACTACATCAATATTTTTGGACACCAATGCCAACGCCAATACCCAACTCACATAAGCCAGTTTACTGTGCCAGCCAACGTCCTACCTAGATTGATGCATCATTTGAGATTGGCGATCTGGTCACATGTGTATGTGCCTCCTACAACAAGCGCTCTTTGAACTTGTGATGACAATTATAGTGAATGATTTGCAACGCACAAGTTACAGGAGAAGCTCCCGAATTAACCTCGATCCAATTCAAATATGTAGTCCTTTTTCTCCCCGTCTTCGAGGCGTATTAAGCCCTGCCAGGAGCGTGTAAATCTGACTCTCATGAAGGAATGTCATGGGGTTGTTGATAAACTCCAATTCGAATGACATCAAATCATTGAAGCGGGCAGGGTGTCGTGAACTGACTGTGACAATAGGGGGTTTCCCACAAAGGAATTGGCGATGCTGCCAGCCGTGGTTACCTGCGGATAAATAGGATGAATGAAGTAACCAGCCGAAGGATCACAACCGGAGTGTGAAAGATGGCGTGCAGGCGCCTTGGACGCGTGTTTGGCGACTTGGACAGGAAGGTAGGTACTATGTTGCAGCAGGACGCTTCTGATAAGGAAGGCACGCTCCTGGGGATCCCACATGCTTCTATACCGTACAGATGTACATGCATTACTTAAGAAAACAAACATTATAGACACTGCTAAAACAAGCTATGATACCATGACCTTCGGTGGCATCTAAATCTCGGTACCTCTAGTTTCTCGTAAACGAAATGAGGAAGTAGCTCGAGCTATAACCTCGTATCTCGAGCCTGTGTAATTCATTGAGATCAGAGTCTTGTCTGTATGAACTATTGTATATATTGACCACATACAAGGCTTTTAACCATGGTGAGCAGTGCCTCCTTCCAACCCATCAATATGTTCCACTGTGACCTCTTCATCATCGTCGACAGGCACTGAATAGAAATGCAGTACCCCAGGGTATAATCTCTCAATGTCTTCAGCTTGGTACACGCCGTTCACGTTCTCAACATTTGTCCATGACCCATCCAGAAGAGATAGATACTGCTCCATAGCCCTACAAGCCTCCCTTACCAAAGCCGCTGGGACATACTCCAGTCCATTCCGACGGAAGATCTCCGGTTGCTTGGCCTCCCTATCAATCTCGTCAAGCAGACGGGCGAGTGTTCGCTGCAATACCATCTGAATAAAGATGGCCCCCGCTCCAATGTTGATCGCTTGAATAAGCGCCGGAGGATGGTGACCCCACGGTTTCCGCCACCCGTACCTGCACATAGCATCGAAAAGACGACAATCCCTGCTCTCCATACACCTTGACTTTGCGTTGGTCCTCTCGCAGGTACGCCGCAGGTAATCGCAAAGCTCGTTCAGGACGGACTGTCGCCGGAGGATCTTTTGTTCCTGATGTGCCTTGAAACATGCAGGGCTCCCACAGTGGTGTTCGAACTCGTATCTGGGAAAGATATGCTCAGGCACAAGATGCACCAGCTTCACTTTGTGCTTGCAGGTGTAGTAGAGCGGCTTACGGCAATAGGGGCAGGTAGGACGCTCTTGGCATTGGATCCAAGCGACGATGCAGTCGGGATGGAATGCGTGCTGGCAAGGGAAAGTGACGAAGGACCTGGGTGTACGGCGCGTGAGTTGGGCGTCAGTTTCGGCCATATTTTGGTTCTGGGCGGTCTCCTTGCAAATAGGACAGAGATATGGTTCATCCATTTTATTGGGTGTAGAAGACGCCGTGGTTACCAGTGCAACAGTACGTCTTCGAGGCATGGACGCAATCGGCACATTCCTTGAAGAGCTTCCTGCCGTGGGTTCGTGAGATGTACCGCGGATCTCGCACAGGGTTCGAGACGTTTTTATGGCACACGTCGGACAGGAGCCTTCATCATGAGATCCCGTCTCATCGCACCGCAGAGGCCAGATATTGCTAGACATGATTTCTGTGGAGAAGATTGTGCGACGTTAGATAGGAGAGTAATGCATGACTGCAACTGCATATAAAACAAAACAGTAAAGGCAGAGGCAAAATCATGAGTAGAAATAAAATCATATCCATGCGTCTACTTCACGTGAGGTTTAAAATTATCCATATCCTCTTTGACCAGGATCGGAGAAAGATAGCTGGTCCACCCAGCAACCAGAAATATTGAAAACATATCGATGAAGGATATCGCAGTTTCAGACGAATCTGGCCTGAGCGAATATCATCAAATTGGGGAACATCCTAATTAATTACATCAACTTCAACTTCCTAGATGAAAATGATGCGGTCTCAAACGTGAATTGATGTATCTATCCATCGTTTATAAACGATACACAATGATCCCACTAAGTCAGTCCGTTTCAGAATTGCGAGAAGATGAGTGATTCCGCTGTTCAACCCTGCATCCAGTTCCACTGCTAAACAACCATGATCACGACGAACCTTACAATCATGGCCACCCATGGTTGCCCTACAGCCAAACCTATCGTGACCCCACCCCACCCAGCTATCCAGCCTTGACATAATATAACGTTGGGGCCATTACATCGCAGAGTTTTAGCAACACGTATATAGCCAAGACCTAATGGTGTGCGTAGTTGTATACTCGTAGTGGCGATAAGATCACGTCCATGAGGAAAATCTATAAATAGTACAGCATGTTGCGGTCAGCAAGCGTCCGTGCAGCTGATGTGCCAAGAGTTGTTAGTATAAAATCTCGACCTGCTAAATTCCATTTTCGGATTGGGACCTGAGAAGCCTGAACTAGGCCAAGGCCAAGTCAACCCTGAGCTCACTTAGCAGATGCCCGAGAAGGGACGTAGCAGTCCTCGACCAAGTTATAGTTTCCATAGAAATAGGTAAAGAGTCGACACGTTACTATTTTCCACTTTTAGATACCTGAGTGTTGTTTGTAGCTGCTCGGGTATCCCTACTGGCGTGGTATTCGCACACTACTCCGGCATCGCAATAATAGTGAGTGAGCAGGGTGATTAGGATGAGCAGGGTGAGCAACCCTGAGATACGCCTCAGCAAAAGCGGCGAGTGATCATGTGATGCAAAGTGTCAAAACTTTTATGTTATAACACGTTGTACTGCCTCCGGCGCAGCCATCTAGTAGTTGGTAAGTCTTCCACAGCCACACCGCACTGCTTCTAAAGTTAACCCAACATATCGGTTAAAAGCATGTTTTCGAGTTCTCTTACACTGGGCGCAAACACCCCAGATTGGTCAGAACAGGAAACAGATCAATGCACCCAACATAGCCTTTACCAGCCTTGATTTATACGAGCTAAAGCTGACTACACGTGTACCGTGGCCCCAATGCCCCCGACTCCCAAGCTTCAAAGATCCCACCAAACCAACCAATGAGGTTCGTTACATGGCATGACAGTAGCACATAGAGGGTTGGGCAAATACTTTAGCGCGGGATAGCTGCATTACTAGCCTCGAGTATTGCGCGACAAGCCGCAGCCAACACCCCGCACCCCTTCGACGCCATAGCCGATTTAGTTGGTTTTTTCATGTTGCGGCTGGATGGCTTCAGGTCGAAACTTTCTGTATAAAACTAAAGATCGCCACTTCGAATTCAGTGTCCAGTTAATTCATCTCATCAACAATCTCATCCACAACACTCAACTTCGCAATTAACGACAGATCCACAACGGCAGATCCGCTGTATCCCCAGCTATCTTGAATGAATCGTCACATTCCCGTACGATAGTTGATATCAATCACCAAAATGGCTAAAACCTTCACATCCGCGGCGTTCCTCATCGCCGCCGTCGCAGCCATTCCCAACCCCAACCCGTCAACCGCCGCCTGCACACCGGGCAAAATCGCCCAACCCACAATGTGGAACCTCTACCCGTCTCAACCCGACCTCTCCCAATCCCCCTTCACCTACCTCGAAGTACAAATCTTCGAATCCTACCCGCAACTCCAACAAGTCGCCGTCTTCTCCGGGATCCCGCCGACCGCCAAGTCCTGCACGCTAGGCTGGTCGCAATCCGACTCCACCAGTCGGACCTTCGTCGTGGAAGGAAGCGGGCTCATCGCTGCGAGTCCCTTGACGGGGTTCCCGGCTGAGGGGGAGCCGGTGTCGACTAATTCGATCAAGCCATTCGAGACTGCCGTGGATGATGCGTTGACACCGGATTTCACGTCTTGGGATCAGGTTGCGGCCGCGTGGAACCATACGGCGGGAGCGGTGGATTGTGCGGAGGAGATTCATTTGAAGTTGGAAATTGATGCACGTAATGGGGATGGGCATGTTTACTTTGAGCAGGATGCTGCGAATGGGCTTTATGTGTCGTATACTTGCTGAAAAGGGCCGGGGGACTAATAATGACGGACTATGAAGGCTCTCGTGTGTGTTTGGCTTCGAGGGCAGCGTGGGAAAATTTGGGAGTTTGGCGCCGGTTCGTGGTTCATCGGTTCAACGCCTCGACGGTTTAATGGGTTGACATCGGGCGAACGGGTTTGCATTCTGGGGGCATTGGGGAGGCGGCGCATTACGGCCAGCATCTTGCATTGTGAAATAAATGCGGTACTTTGATCTATGGTTTCAACTGAGGTGGTTCAAACACCGAACCCACAGTGCCACGTTCGAGCTTCACTAAACGTTCGCTGGTCATCTCGAAGCATTCTGGGAGACCGGTGTCTTCCCAAGCTCCTCCTAGAATGAGTTTGGCCACGCCAGGGGCACAAGTGAAGATCCTCGCCATGCCTATGCACGATGCACATTAGCCTTCAACCCACCTCAGACCATTGTGGAATAATTGCATAATTGACTTACCATGCCCATTGAATCCCGCGCAAATCCACTGCCCAGGCAACCCATCAACTGGCCCCACGAACGGCACGGAATCGGGAGTCATAGCCACGATCCCCGTCCACGTACCCTGCAACCCTTCCCCATGCCTCAGCTTCTCCTCTCTCAAATCCGGGAAACATGCCTGAAAATTTCCCCACGCATCCTTCTGTATCTCCTCGTTAAACGTCGAGTCATCAGACGTAAACCTTGCTTCATAAGCCGCCTCGCTCACATTTGGACTCGCAATAGGGGCCCCCAGGATGATAATCCCGTCTGCTTTCCTTTGGGCGACGGAGTAGAAGTGACGCAGTTCGTGACGGAGAGACATGGTACTCGGCATGATTTTTGTACCGCTGAGGGAAGGCGGCGGGATGATGGCATGCGCTTGGGCACGGTTCGGCGTCACGAAGGAGGAGAGCTGAGGCAGCAGATGAGGAGCAAAGGCGTTGGTGCAGTGCACTACAGTCGCGGCCGTCACGGTGCCTCGGGGCGTGACCACGTCCCAGAGCGTCTTGTCTGCTGTGGAGGACGCAGACTTGACCACCGAAGTCGCCGGACAGTGCGTGAAGAAGCCGGTCCCCTTCTCGATAGACTGCGTCAGCAGCCATTGCGCCAGCTTGGCCGGGTGACTCGAGCCAGCAGGCCACTCATAGGCCGTGACAGCTTGCCGGACGCCTGTCCTCTTCTTTGCGTCCTCGCCCTCGTAGAACTTGACGTGGGAGATGTCCCCCCCGGCGTCGGCGTAGAGCTTCAGGCTTCGCGCGTTGAAGTCAGCGAACTCTTTGGTCATGCACACGTCGAAGGTAGTCGCCGGGTTGAAGTCGCACGGCACGCCGTGTTTCTTGACAAACTCGTCGACTTTTTCGAAGACGAGGCGCTCGTTGGCGATGATTTTGAGGGCCTGGTCCCGCCCGTGCACTTTTTCGTAGACTTGGAAGCCTCTGAATGCGTCTGTTGAGGACTTTAGTATGGTTGCACAACCATAGTTACAGAGGAAAATAGGCATCTAGTTGTCACCTGGTCGCACATGGCCGGCGTTCCTCGAGCTGGCACCACTGGCTGCATCTCTTGCCTCCAGTATCACGATATCCTCTGCCGGTACGCCATTTTCGATCAACTGGAACGTCGTGAGACCACCGGCGATGCCTGAGCCAATCACGACATATTTGGAGGATTTGGGGACTGTCTCATTCTCGTTGTGACTGAGATAGGGAAATGACCGGGTCGTTTGTTGCCACCAAGACACACAACCACCAGGCACGGGTAGGCTCGACTTGGACTTGGCTTCATTCCCCATTTTTGACATTATCAGAGGCTGGGACGTTACAATTATTTGACTCGTTCAGTCAAGTGTGTCTACTTCACGATGACCAAAGTTAAATAATCATAGAACATTGGCTGAAAGTGACTGTCTTGCTGCGACTTCGCAAAGCATCTGTGGAGATAATGCACGACGTCAGACGACATTGGGGTTGAAGTGGGCCACTATCTCCGTTGCACCGGGACGCCGACCCGACCCGACTGTTCGTCTCGCTGCCGTTCTAGACGGTAATAAACCCGTGGCTCTGCTCCCGGGAACCAAATGATCGACATGGTGAATCGACAAATATAGTTGTTGGTGCTATTTCAATGTAATTTCTCTTATCAATCAACTAGTCGCGCAATCTTGGCGGTGGGCGTTGAAGAGTCGAGTGCTTGGCGTCGCCACTTCCCAATCTGAGAGATGCCGGGCCGGGTATCCCTTGATACGGAGCGGAAGATTCATGGAATACATGATACGTGTTGCAGCCCTTGATAACGAACTGAGAGATATGATAAGTCTAGGCCATATCGGCTTCAATCGGCCTCTCTATCTGATTCCAGCCATCGCCCGTATCACCCTGTACACCTTTCCAGGCATGCAGATTGTGAGCGGATGGAATTCCCCATTTTAAACGACTGGTCAGCGCATACAGCTTGCGTGAGAGGTCAAGTACCGGTGTACTCGGACAAGGGAATCATTACCCGTCACAGCCCGTCACAGCACTGAAAACGAGTGGAAGACCAAGTATTATGGGGGTTATAATACGCTAAGAATCTGCATGCCTTGAGAGGTGTAATGGATCGTTATCCATACTCTCTGCTTGGCAAACGTCCAACCACCGGCGACAAGCCCGGTTCTTGCCATTTTGCAACACCTAAGGATGGGTCCGTGCCGTGTCATTGGACGAGTCAACGTAGGCGACTGCCGAAGTCTTTGACGTGCTTTTGCGCCTTCGGGAAACGAGGCAGGGATAACGCCAGCGTAGTATTCCGTAGTCCACCAGTTATCTGGGTGCGGGGCGAAAATATGAGAGCATACAGATTACACAAAGTATATAAGCCGGGGGATCGCGCAAATTTGGAGACGAGGCTGCTTGCTTCTGTCTCCTTTGCGACTCGTCGTGAAAACCAAGCGCTTGACGTTGCACAAATAGCAAGATGGTAGGACTGAGCAGCATCGCTTTCGCCAAGCGCCATGAGCGTTCCCCCGAAGAGCGCAGTCTGGTGCGAAGGCTCGATATTTTCCTGATGACATTTGGCTGCATATCCCAAGGTGCGTGAGCCGGGAGTATGCCGCATGCCGTCAGTGTCATGTGCTAATCCGATCTGTGGTAAAAGTCATCAAGTACCTGGATCAGCAAAATATCAATAATGCATATGTCTCCGGGATGAAAGAAGACCTCAACCTGTATGGCAATGAACTCAATTAGTGAGTGAATGAAAGTGCAGATGAAAAACGGGTGACAGTCATTAACAACAACAACAAAGCTTCACCACCTGGTTCAATGTCTCATATTGCATCATGCTGATCCCGTCACAAGTCATCTTGACCTATGTGCGCCCCAGCTACTGGCTTTCTGGGTTGGAAATCTGCTGGGGTCTTATGACAGGATTGATAGCCCTGACCACCAATGCGAAGCAAGTCTACATCCTCCGTGTCTTCCTTGGACTCTGCGAGAGTAGCGCCTGGCCGGGTATGATGACCTTATTGATGCATTGGTACACACCCTCGGAGCTGGCCAAGCGCATGGGCTTCTACCACTCCTGCCAAGGCATCGGCTCCATGATGTCGGGCGCGCTGCAGGTCGCCATCATCAACACGCTGCATGGGGCCAACGGGATCGCTGGCTGGCGGTGGCTGTTCATTATCAATGCCGTTATGACGGTGGTCGTTGGCGCCCTGGGCTTCTTCCTGCTGCCCGACACGCCGAATAACGTCAATCCCCGGGCGTTCTGGTTCAAGGAGGGACATGCGCAGCTTGCTATGGAGCGGTTGGAGCGGAATGGGCGCGCCGAGCCGAAGAAGATCACCTGGGAGAGTGCCAAGTGAGTATTTCGGTTCCACATGGAGCAGACTGTGGCTGACATCGTACAGGCGCACGTTCAACAACTGGGTCGTCTACTTCCTCCCCGTGCTGTACATTGCAACCGTGCTCGCATCCTATGGGTATGCTTACTTCGGCCTGTTTCTGAAGAGCTTGACGAACGCGGATGGAACTCCAAGGTGGACAACTTCCGAAGTAAACGCTCTGCCGATTGCGGGCAACGCTATTCAAGTGGTGTTCGGTATAAATCACTTCGTCTCAAATGATACCTCGGGAGCAGAACTAACAGCATCACAGTCTGGATATGGGCCATTCTATCAGATGTTTTGCAGACTCGTTGGACCCTCATCGTGGCTCAATGTAAGAGCCCCTCCCTCAGTCTCTTGCGAAGAGTTTACAGGTCACTGACAACCAAAAGCCGTGATCGGACTTATCCCCGCCATCGCCATGAGTATTTGGACATCGCACCCCGAAACGACGTCTCTGGCCACTGCTTACGCAAGTTACTACGTCTCGTTCCTCTGCTTGGGCACTGCTCCTTTGATATTCGCCTGGCTCTCTGATCTGTAAGTAATCATACAGCTCGATTCGTTCGTGATATGGCTGACACACAAACTCCAGCTTGCCTCAAGATCCAGATGGAAGAACACTCATTGTTGGAGTCTCCATTGCTACTTACTACGCTGTTGCAGCATGGTCTCAAGTGCTAGTCTGGCCAGCCACGGAAGCCCCCTACTGTGAGTTAATGGGCTCGTATAAACATAGGCCAAAGACTAATCAGATTGTGAAGATAAATATGGCTGGCAGTCTTGCATCGCCCTTTGGGTATTAGTCATCATCATGACTTCCATCCTGCGGTACATCGACTGGAAGTATCTACTGTACGTATTTCAAGAAGCAAGAAGGGAATAGATTTGTAGTGCTAATTATTTCAAAACAAGACCAAAGCGTGAGGCTTTCCACACAAGACTTATCGAAGCCTCAAAGACATCCGAGACCGAGCCTACAGCTGCGGATGGAACCACCATCGGGGAAAGCTCGAACTCCAAAATGCCTAAGTTGACGGCCGGTGCTCCAGAAGTATGATTCATAATCCATTACAGCAAAGTTCACGATTGGTCATTTGCATGTTGTCGACATACATGCATGTAGATCTAGATATAGATGATGCAAAGAATAGGACGGATCCGGGACTCTATCAACCATATTACCTTAGCCCGCTACCGAGTCTGGATCCTGTTGCCTTCATATGAACAAATATACTGCAATCAGTATCCCAGGAAGCATATTGTGTTTACCTAACGGAGATAATTCTAGTGAATGTAAGCTTTTAGACGTACCCCCCTTGCCTTTCGACGGCCAGGCTTACGAAGATACCAAACGACTGTATCAGAGGAAGGTCGGTAGCGTACTGTACGCAGCGATAACCTCACGACCGGACGTCGCAGAGGCCGTCTGCAGACTGGCTCAATACAGCCAGAATCCTGGCCAACAGCACCAAGCCGCCATCGACCAAGTCATACGGTACCTATCCGGCACGAAAGATCTAGTACTCGAATACGGAGGGTCCTGTGCTACTATTCCAAAGGGCCCGGAGGAACAGGATGGCCAGCAGCCCCGTAATCTCGTAGTGTCAAGTGATGCGTCCTTTGGGGACCACACTGACCGAAAGTCCACTATGGGATACGTTATCAAGCTCTTCGGCGGACCGATAGCTTGGCGATCCAGTAAGCAAGATACGGTAGTCACCTCGAGTACGGAGGCCGAGCTCAAGGGGGTGGCAGCCACCGTCAAGGAAGCTATAGCCCTTGAAAGGCAACTACATCAATTGAGCGTCGATCTGGATGAACAGTTAACTATCGAGGTTGACAACAAACAGACGATTCGGCTTATTGTAGAAGAAAACGCCAAATTACAGACGAAGCTAAGGCATATCGATATTCACAACCACTGGCTACGCCAGGAATACCAGAGAGGCACTATGGACTTGACTTACCAGAAGTCAGCCAACGTCGCCGCTGATGGACTTACCAAGGCCTTAAGGCCCCAGCAGCACCAACGATTCCTGGCGTAGCCAGTGGTTGTGAATATCGATGTGCCTTAGCTTCGTCTGTAATTTGGCGTTTTCTTCTACAATAAGCCGAATCGTCTGTTTGTTGTCAATCTCGATAGTTAACTGTTCGTCCAGATCGACGCTCAATTGGTGTAGTTGCCTTTCAAGGGCTATAGCTTCCTTAACGGTGGCTGCCACCCCCTTGAGCTCGGCCTCCGTACTCGAGGTGGCTACCGTATCTAGCCTACTTGTGTCCGTGGAGCCATCTTATCAAGCCGATTGGACCCCTTGGCGTACTGCTTTGTAAGGGAGTAGCAGAGACATCCGAATGCCCTCAGGTGGCTGATTTCTGGCCTGTAGTCTTTTTCTTGACGGCCTTTCCTCTGTGCCAGCCAGCGATTCGTCGCTTCCAGAGGGGTCCTCCATCCTAGGGCTTTTGATGGGGAGCGATTGAACAAGTACGCGGCTGTCTCTACGGCCTCTGGGTGTAGACTGGCTGGTAGGCCGGCGCCTATGATCATAGCTCTAGCCCTTGCGTTCAGGACGCCTCCAGATCTTTCTGCAGCCCCATTGGGTTCCTTGGTGTACGGCGGCGTGTGTTCCCAGATAATGCCCTTGCGTAATGCAAGCTCTTTCAGGCTATTCCCAAAAGCGGCCTCGTTGTCTGATGTGATAACCTTGACCCTGACCTCTAGTTGTGTCTCAATGAATCCTACCAGGCTGATCAGAGCGTTCATAGCCTCTTTTTTACGACGGAAGGTGTATGCGAATTTCACTCCGAAGAGCGTACATGTCCCGATCAGGGCTCTAGTACGCTGGTCATAGGCAGGGAGGTACTCGAAGAGGTCCACTGCTATGTGCTCGAATGGGCCATGTCTCTTGGATCGTGGCCTTCGAGAGACGACCTTCCTTCCCTTGGCTAGGGCACAATCCTTACACTGGATTGACTGTGGTGCGGTAATCTTGGCCCCAGTAGTCGCTGATACCGCTTTCTCGAGGGCTCTAGCGTTTAGGTGGCCAAGGCGACGATGCCAGGTGGTGGCATCGCCTGCGAGTTCCTTGTGGACTTTCCGGGAGTCGTTACCGTGTAGATTATCGTCTTTGCGGTCTCTTTGGCGAACTTCTTCGCCGATCGTGGTCGAGTGTCCTCGTATAGGAAGAGGGTGGAGTATTCCGGGGGTATAGAATCCACCTACAGCCGGGCCCCCCAGGCTCGATCGCTGTGGTTCTGGATCTTCGTCTTCGGATGTGAAGATTTCCTCGTCGTATTCGTCCGAATTAGCGGATTCTTGTACCACGTTGTCTGAGTCGTCAGATTAGTCTGAGATGCTCGTGATGGCGTGGGTTACTTCCACGAGGTTGGCTACGGCCTGTGGGGTTACTGCTGAACCGTCCACTTGTTGGCGCGTACTCTTGGCTTTATTGGCCGTAGAATTGGCCGTAGATCTGGCCGTAGATCTGACCGTAGACCTGGCCACACTGGCCGAATCCTGTATAGGTCGGAAATCGAGTACTGGCTGTCCCTCGTACTCTGAGAGGTAGGCTAACGTTTCTTTCTGGGGCCCATAGTACAGTCTGGAGCCCTCCATGTCGTAGTACACACCTGCCTTCTTGAATAGACTGGCTGAGGCCAGATTGGAGCGCATAGATGATACATACGCGGCGTTGTAGAATATGAAGTCTCTGTGGCCATCTGGGCCATGGATTCGAATTCTGGCATCTCCCCAGAGCGCGATATCCAACTTCGTCCCCCCGGCTAGTAGTACGTCAGACTCTGTAGCCGGCCGCCGATTTGTGAGATTTGCGTCATTATTGACTACATAGACGTTAGCTCCAGTGTCGTAAATGACCGAATTCTTCAACGGATAGTTCGTATCCGCCGAGATACAGCCGGCAGTCAACGTATTGTTGAGAGCGGCTGGGTTGTAGACCGTCGAGGCGCCAGCTAACGCTAGCCTCTGGTGGTTAGGTCTATCTTGACCGAAGGTCCCGTCGCGAATAGCATCCACTTTGGCCTTGAGATTCTGTGGCAACTTGGCGTAGTTGGCATCCACAATCTTCTGGACGCTTTTCCTAGCGGTCCAGTTAGCCGGTTTTATTGGGATAAGATAGTAGCAAGTCTGCCACGAGTGTTTCTTTCCGCAGAGGCATTTGGGTTTCGAATCCACACTTCCTCTCTGTTGGAGTTCCTCTGGCGCCGCTTCGTCCCTAAAGGTAGCATCAAAAGTGGCCCTGGATACGCTGCTGGTATCATCTCTGTTGAGGTCCAAGTGTCGTTGGAGGGATTCGTAAATCGTGTCTACCGTAGGTACGTCCTCTTCTCTGGTAATCAGCTGATACTCCCACATAGAGCTGAACTCTGGTGTGGCTGGTTTTATTCCTCTGACGAAGCTGTATTGAAGATGCTGGCCTTGGACTATCTCGCAGCCCACCTCGGAGGCGTTGATGTAGGCTGTCCACCAGGCATCAGCCCATTTGGCAGCATTCTGCTTCTGGGCTGGCCTACAGGCCCTCAAGTACGTGGCTTCCATGTCCATCTTGTGGGCTTGAGATCATGGCTTGAAGTAGCCTTGGATGGCCTTCATCTTGTCGGTCAGCGTCTTCCTGGTGCGGAAGATAGAGTACCGCTCAGGGCTGATGGTTTTGAACAACCAGGCGGTGAATTTATCGGCTTTCTCTTCAAGGGTTTTGAATTCAGCTATTTCCTCGTTATATCTGGATAGGCACTGCTTCCACAGAGTGCGCTCGAGGTCTGTGAGGTCAGAGAGAGCTTATTCGGATGTGGATAGATTGGCTTCTCTGGCATGTCCGTAGGGTTGGATGGGTTGATTATTTCCCATAGCTGGCGGCCAGCCTTGACTTCGGCTATTGGAATCCATAGATGCCAGTCCTTCTTGGACTTCAGAAACACCGCTTCGCGCGTGTCGGTGGTTTCGTGGGTTTGAAAGGCCATAATTGTCGATGGCTTCAAAAGGCTGACTGCTGTAGTACTGGCAGCGGCGTCAGAATTGCCGAATCCGTAGATGATGGTCAAGATAGAGCCGGTGCGGTTATTCCGGGCTCATAACTATTGGATTGTGGGCAAATGGTCTTGTATTGAAAGTGTCATGATCTCTGGAGAGTCCTGAGAGAAGTGAAGGGCGGCCATAGGGGCCTTATATAGGTAGAAATGACTGATGCCTGCCCCACAGCCAGGACTTGTGTGGTTCAATGGGTAGAGGTCATATTGACCTATACTTCGTACGGTTTGCGGCTTTACGTTTCTCCTTTGACTTAGCAGTCTTGACGGAGTAGCCTTGAAGGTCCGACAGATGGCTCCACTGTAACTCAGCTGAGTTGCTCCTGCACGGCGTTATGTTAATAATATTAAATACGCCGTAGGTGTTAACCCTCGGTACCTCTACAAGTACTCCCTTAAGGGGCTATAGATGATATAGCGGGCCCTTAAGCCGCGTCGGGCGGTTATACAGGTAAACTTGTAGCCAAACGACTACTAAACCTCCTGTCCCTCCCTAAGTCTGTGCTACAACCCCTGCCTGAACTACCGATAAGTGTGGTAATGTGGCACTTAAATTCGTCCTCAGGGGTGGGATGCTGCTGATGTGCAGAAGATGCTCGACTATTTTTTGTCGCGACAAGTCGTAGTATCTGCTAATTGGGGTTCTCGTCGAGCGTATACATCTCAACCATACGCTCAAGTGGATAGACCGTAACGTGGTCTAGACGCTCGCAAGAATCGCGGCGAGAGGGGGTCCGATAAGGGGTCGGATTAACGATTCGAATTCTGGACCGGCTGTCGAGTTATATTCCGCCGACGTAGTGCTTGACGGTCGACTGGCTAGGATGCTCGTAATCCTAAACTGCACCAATCTCCCTATTATCGCTAGGTAGGCGAAGTCAACAAGGTGGGCAGCGCGCCGTAAGGGTTGACTAAACCCCCTTGTGTGTCAGCTGCGGGATTCGAACCCGCGACTCGTCACCGACCCAAGTGGGCGAGGCTCAAATCGGGACTTATCTACCAGCGAAGTGACCAACTACACCAGCCGACGGCGTTATGTTAGAACGTTGGTTAGGATATATTGTCTGGAGAAGAGAAGGATAATCGAGACCGGGTTTGCGTGGCACGTCACCAAGCGTAGGCCCGACGTCATCTGCGAAAGTGCGTGCGTACCTTGAAGCCAGGAAGACAAAGTAAGCAGGTTCTATACATTTTCCTGGACAAAAGGACAAGGACGAGTGAATAAAAACGAAGATAAACGGTGAAATCATGTCCAGAAAAGTTCCCAGATCAAGATGAAAACTTCCAAGAATGGATAAAGTTCCTCGGTGCGTTTTCCCTCGATCCTGCAACATTCCCGTATATCATTGTCCTCGATAGCAACAATTATCCGCCATCATATGATTTTATCGTTCAGATGGAACGCTCGCGTAATTTGTGTAAGTCTATTTGATGGAGCTGATTGTGCCGCATCAAAATGGACTGAAAGTACACTCTGTAGCATCTTTAGACACAGTGAAGAACAATAAAGTATCCCTACAATATTTGCAGTTCTGACGTGTCATGTACGATTCAACAACGTCGAAACTGTCACTAATAGTCAGTGCCTGATACAATATCTGAGCTGATCTTAACAATGGCGGAGCTGGCCCCCAAAGCGCCCTCAACATTAGTGCTCAAGCAACGCCATTCGGTACCGCTTTATAGCATACCACCATACGGTAGCATAGTCTATTGCGCTCCACAAGGCGTTCTTTCGAAGTATGACGTGTACTCTGCCGGCCGCTTTGGTTTGCCATATCTGTCCTTGTAAAAAGTCTGCAAAACCGAACGTCAAAAACACCATGACACTTCATCCTTAAGTTATAGAACATAGCAAACTTCATTTTGGGGTTCTACTCCTACCTTCCACCCCTTGAATAACCTCTTATGACAGAGTGGCCATAATTTAGACGTCATGGCAACGCAAACATAGTTTACTTGGCGGCTGGCTAGTCACCAACACAAGCCTCTGTCGGCATCGTGAGGATCGGCAGGATGGGCACAACTTGGTCTCATTACGTGCCTTCGTGCTCACTAGTTGCGCAATACCTGCCGAGATTTCACTTCTTTTGCATTCCACCAACCGTTTTGTCATCACATATCGACATGCTGCAGATCTGCAACAACTCCGCAGGCTCCCGCCCAGGTTTCTGCTCACTCTGACCTGCATTACAGCGCAGCTCAATGTTGTGTCACTTGTGAAGCAAGACTATTACCCTGGGGAGCTTGACGAATATCGTACGTCCCACGGCGAAATACTTCGCTACACCTCACGCGATTTACAAGTGCCCAGTCCCTCGAGTGGCCAGATGGAAGCCATAAAGCCCTTAAGAATGTCGATGGATGACCCGGCGGCTAGGGCACGCGAGCAGACTTCCCATGTGTCCCAGCCTACCAACCTCGACAGACATTAAACGCGCACGGGATCAAGCATGAAGTGCGAGTAATACGAAACTACACTCTCCTCTTTCTATACTACGTATATCATCGATTGTTCAGAGCCACCGCATGGACGATCTCCCAATGCGAATCCTCAAGAGCACCGACTCAGTTTTGTCTGACGCACAGTCTGCACGGGATTGAGCCGTGACTGTCTCAACGGACTTCGAAAGGTCGATGACGGGATGTACAAACAAATTTTAGTGAGGCGAAGAAAAATGTGAAAACCGAACCTGGGCTATTGGCGTGTGCGCGCTCGCAAAGTAGAACGGCATTGAGCATGATGTCAATCCTTGGGACTTTGAAGAAAGAGTGACCAGCAAATCGTCAAGGGTTTTGGTCATTGTCGAGTATGCATTCGGAGACCCATTCGTAGATCGCCATCTCTCCCTCGATCAATGACAGGAAACCCAGCAGGCCTAGTTGATCATGTGCCAGGGGCATTTCGCCTTAGGTCACCATGGCATTTTCCAATCAAAAGACTTTCCGTTGACTTGTCGAACCACCGTCTCGGCGCATTGCGTGTCTCTTGCCACTTAGGGCTAATGGTGATAACATTCCATATGGTACTGTTGATATCACCATATAACACGCGATGTGTTCTACCGATCCAGCGTTTCACTGCAGGCTACACCGCTGATATTCCCGAACAAATGGGGTTTGAACTTTGCCAGGGAGCCACGAAGTCATCAAATGCAGCTGCATTATCCCACCAAGAGAGTTTGACGAAGTGGAGCAGACTTTATCCCATTGTGGAGAATTGTTGTGCATGACAACTCCTGTCCATGTCCAAGGTTTATGAGTGGCGAATGCATCTCGACTCCGGCATGTCAAAAGGCAAGATTGGTTCCTCCGATCGGAAGCCGTTCTGCACCAGGATACTCCGGCTGCGTACATTAAAGACGACCTTATCATGCGGTTCCCCGTTCATGAATCGGACGAACATGCAACTAGCCACGCGCGACAGGGATCACATATCCGATGATTCAGCCAGGGAATCTCACTCAGATGCGGTGGTTTCCCACACTACCGAAAGCCAGATCTCGCGAGCCCAACTCTAATAGGCTCAACCGCAATATGCATACGCAAGCCTTTGTGTTCTGTCTCATAAGAGGGCTGGATCTATGATCTCGAGGTGGGGCTTCGGTGGTTGACCGCATGAGAAACAAGTGCTGTAACACCGAGATCCTGTATGAACTTGATAACGTGAAATTTTTTTTAGCGCCCACATGGAACCAAATGCCCCGAAAGTTGGTCAAATTCCTGAGAGCGTTGCAATTGCCCTAATCGTGGGCACGTGCTAGAAGATGTGCAGATCTAGCCACTCTTGGAAGTAAACATTTTCAACGGACCTCGGACTCTATACTGTCTAATATGGGAGACTTGCACATAGCAAATCTATTTGGATCACTTATAGGGCCCGAAAGTCATCATCAGAAAGACAAATAGGGATATTAGTGCCAAATGCGGCGGATTTGATATCATAGCAGTGCATTGTAGCGATGTAATTTGGAGACAGAAAAGAGATAAGAAATTGCAATGGCTGTGTCTCGGATGTAATAGTCTATTATGAATTATAGGAGCTTTCAGGTCGCGCATTGTACTTTCTTCGTGGAGAAGAGAAGAGAACGGTGGGTAACATGTAGCTACTCATTGAGAGTGGAACATCCATCTATATTTTATACCAATATTTTACGAAAACCCAAACTTTTGTCTCAAAACGCCAACGGGCCTTGGCTCAAGTGAATAAGCATCGTATGAGAATTCCACCGACGCCAGGCACCTTTCTTTCCTTCTCATTATCTCGGAATGTCTTCCTTCTGAAGCACGTAGTCCTCGGGTTTCATATGCATGACCCACTTCAAGAGTTCCAGTAATGTGGCGTACAAGTAGACAAGCAGGCTTATAGGCCCAAATATCAGCATTGGTACAAGTGAAAGTGTGATGTGTCCTAAGTTGATCAGTCCCAAATACGCCGTATTCACCACAATTGTACTTACCGAAGAATATTGGACGTCTAGTGATAGTCTCCCACAACTCATCAACCAAGATCTCGGGAGCACCATCCCACTGCCACGGTCCATACAATCTGAATTTCGTGTTGAAGTTTGCACCCAGGGCCCATACCAAAGGAAGTCGCCAAAGCTGATGACGCGGACCGTCGCAAGCCAAGCTCAAGATTTGGCTGAGAGAGGGAGCGGAGTTCATGTCAAGAGCCAGCTGGTATATATAACTCTCGTGATCAATTCCATACCTTACCCTTGCGCTTTTGGGCGTGATGAGTCGGTAGTGCGGCTCGTCATCTGGATCAAGCCGGTTGACTCGCTCCGGAGCAACGAGATTGAGGACCCATAGTTGGGCCTGCATTTCAGCCAAAGGGGGTATTGCACCCAGTGAGGGTCTTATGAAGCCAATGAAGCCAACGTTCGGATCATCGCGGTTCCAGATATCTCGCACATTGGCATTGTGGTGCTGAGATTGTAGAAAGGGGAACTCCTGTCGGTAGCCTGTACAGTAGATTACCATGTCGGGTTTGACAACCTTCTCTTTCATGCGGAGATATTCAGGGCGGCCATTGTCCTTGAAGACCACTCGTCCGTCCTCGTTTATTCGCTCGGGCCAAGGCGCAACGTCGACACAACGCCCCTTAGTGTCGATGTAGGGTGTTCGAATGAAGAGAGAGCGTAGGTATTGGGGAAAGCTCTGGGGTTGCCTGGGTTTCCAGGCGTTGTTGATGTAGGGACTGATCTTGGAAGACTTGTTGAAGAAGACTATCAGGGTCAACCCTGAGTTCTCGTATTGCAAAAGGGTTATCAAATAAGGTACTCACTCTGGGATGTCGACCATCCAGTGGGCTTCCCAGCGATCCACTGGTCTAGACCATGGAAGGTTCCCCACGACATCCACAAGATCCATCCGACATAGTAATCGTAGTAGGTCCAAAGGGCTATTGACTTCCGCAGCCAAGGATGAACATATGCCGTATCAAACAAACTGGCTCGGCTGACGTCGATCGGAATGGGGGGAGGGCCCGCGGTCTTCCTGAGAGCCATACCAATGATCCTGGGTTCGGGATTTGTCTTTTTGGAATTCAGCATTGCAATCTTGAGCATAGAGCGTTTTAAGCATTACTTACCTTCGGCGCAAGGTGAAAGCCGTCCCTGTGGCACAGCACGACCTTTTCTGTCGGGGAAGTCACGGCAAGGTATCCAAGGTCGGACGCCGTCTCACCACTGCCTAGTATCAAAACGGTCTTGCCGACATCAAATTGCGTTCTTTTCTTGAACTCGGATGAATGAAGTCGAACGGGAATTCTGTCAATGCCATCGATATGAGGAATGTTGGGAAGGACATGTAGTCCTGAACAGATTGCAACAGCGTCGCACTCCCAGGTGTGCAAGCCATTCTGCAACGTGTACGCGAGACTATAATCACCGCTGCGCCGTTTGTTGAGAGACTTCACCGTGCTCAGCAAGTTGATGTGGGGCCAAAGTCTGAAGTGAGTGCAATAGTCCTTGAGGTACTGCAGATAGCGGCCTGCACTGAGGAAGTCTCCCTCACTTGGTATTCTGAAATCAGAAAAAGTCGTGAGCTGCTTGGAAGAGACGAGCTATGTATAAGTGTCAGTATCAATCAAAGCCAAACGGGTGCTATTACGCACCTCTGCATCTTCATATGTTCGTGAAAAGAAGGTGCCGCCGATCGAGGGCTCAGACTCGAACAGCTTGGCTTCGATAGGCTTCGTTCCCAGTGCATCTCGGGCGGCCAGGAGGTATTTAAGTGTGACTAAACCTGAAGGGCCAGCTCCGATTACTGCAACACGCATGCTGGAAAATGTATTCGATCGATACGGTACAGATTGGACAGGCCAAGATTGAAGTTATATAACAAAATCAACAAGACCAAAACAAGTAGTCAGCATGCTTCGAAGGGTGGGACTTAATAACCCAAGCATTAGTGGTCGGGTATGAGCCACGACAGGCTCTTCTGCTCTTATGGGATAGAGAGTAATTGTGGTTGCTTTAACTCCCGTGTAAGTCGTAGATCGCCCCCATGATGTTTAGAAAATGTGAGACATATTGGCTCGCTAGACTTCTCGGACGTGCGGTATTTTCTAGGATGTCGGGGCGAACTCACGATGTCCCCCTCCGTGGGGATTGGCCTAAGCTCTGCCGAAGGATAGTTGTCCCCCCGCGGATATTGGTTCCTACCGCTGTGCAAGTCTCAATTTGGACACTTTGGTGGCTTGGTTTGCTGAGCTGGAGTTGAAGCTCACTGGCCCAGTCATACGTTGTAGTTGGCGGCCGGTGAGTTAGGAGCCAGCGGGGAGCCAACTAAGGGAAGCCTGAAGTGAATGAATATTGGCGTGAGTTTGAGCTCACAAAATCCACACAAATTCCTACGAGCTTGCTTAGAAATAAAATATTTCCTCGGTGAATTTGACGCTCCTGCCCCTCTGAAGCTCTATTTGACTTCCTAAGCCATGGGCTGACTGGAGACTTACCCCTCCCTCTTCGCTGCAATTTCCATTATTTTCAACATATGGGAAGATCAGCTTGTTGACCACTACGGTGGAGTCCATCCAAGTCACACACGTCTCATTCTCGCAGATTCTTGCATAATTCCTCGAAAGGTACAATATCCGTGCATCCAGGCCACGAGATTTCCACGTGAGACACGTTGATAAGCTTGACCAGGATCTGGGATTTCCAAAAAGATCTTTTTGTGATTGTAACTCGGAATCTTTGTCTCTTTGGCTTGATCTATTGGCAGAGCAGTCGCCCCTCGTCGGGAACTATGAACAGCTATTGCCCCACGAGAAATCAAGGCTGGCTTAACCTACGAGATCTAGTTCCGATATTCGTCAGATCGGGCCAATAGCTGCAGCGGGTCTCTAGATGCTAAGAGAAGCAGGGGTTTGATCGTCCTTGCAGGACAAGATTTTGGTCGGAGATGTTGCGTAACAATACATCTTGCCAAGAGGTGCTAAGTGCAGGGTTAGCCTCAAAATTCGCTGCAGACAGCCGTTGGTTGGGCTGTCGTTTCCGTGAAAGGTCGATCAAGTCGTTGAAACATCCTTTTGCAAAGTCAACTACATCATAAACCGGCGGATGCCGTTATGTGAACTCCGGGCGTGGTTCACAGATCCGCAACTCGCTACTTCAAACAGAAACCAACTCGTCACAGGTGTATGCATAAAGTCATAAGGGTCTTCAACGAGTGCAACCATGCTCAGATGCAGGATAAAACGCTTGCACCTGGAACCGACGCCTTTTGTCTCATGTCGGAAGAAGGTCAATTATACCGTCATAACAGGGATGTGGGCTTTGGCTTTACATTGCAACACATAGCTGTACCTGCGACCTTTTCGCACCGGTGAAGGGGCACTCCACGGCGTGTACGTAGTACGATTGGGGGACATATACATTTGACCAGGAGCGGTTCATGGATGCGTGTGACGCACTTCTAGCCAATTAGAACGACGGGAATATATGACTACCACCTCTGATGGAGACTAGGTCCGCCTATAGATGCTTAGGCATGGGGGTTCCCAAGCGCTGGGGAGCAGGGAGTTTTGCTACTAGTCCTGAACACAACATACAACTCCTGGAACAATGTATGCATGATATCCTCGGGGGTTTTCAGATTGTAGCTAGGTGGATTTGCTAGCTTCTAGATAATTGACCGGGTTGTAGGTGGCTGCTGACTTTGCCAGGGCGGGGTGCGGGAATCTCCTGGCTAGGTGATGTGATGATAGAGAAATGGAACCAAAGAGTTGTTTCACAGCGCATCCGCATCGTAATGTTGAGAGGGTGACCTACCCAACCCCCACACTCCCCCCTTCCCCCGATTGATATAAATATTTATCACGGTATTCGGAATATGGGCGGTGAAAAGAATGTGACCTAGGTCACTGGCACGTTCAGCCAAGTCCATGAATCAAATCATATTTCAAAATGTTTCTCCGGGGTAATTGTACGCTGGGTGATATAGAGAGGGTCGGGCGGTGGAATAGTAATGGACTTGGGAGTGTTGCAACCCAATTTCACCGGAGTGGATCAGGCGATCACTCCAAATTTTTGAAGAGGTAGACGATGTCATCCGTAGGATTGAATCATATTTTGAAGTGTAAGGGGTTCTGGGGAGGGCGTAAGCTGGTAGGCACGCCGTTTGTTGCCCTTATAATTGCCAAAAAGGGCTATATTTTTCAACTGAATATTGAAGCCATGCCAATGGCCTTATATGTATGATTGGTGGGCCTAATACAGGACATCTGTTGAATTACTGGGGACTGCTGACTAGAAAACCCTATGGTGTGGGTCCTTTATAGGGGGCTCGAGCCTCGAGTGACAATTGACTCAACTGTTGATGTTTTCCTAGCCACCGTACAAGCTCGTCGTATTCTCGACATCCGTTCTAGCAACGCATTGAGCATAGTCCCAATCAAGCACCCCAAGGAACAATCCTATAACATGATACAATCAGTACCCTTCAGCTTCCAATATCGTCTCGTTGTTGCGTTTTTCAGGGAGGGAGCATTGATGCAATACCGAAACTAAAGCAGACTCTAGGTTCCAATGCGACGTAGGTCAAGGTCCTCATTGCATGCACTATAGTCGCCACTCGGATCACTGAAGCTGGTATATTTTCCGCATGCTGTTTGTTTCGTTTCTATGCAGGCAAATGCTGCAAGCATGATCGCGTGAGAAATGTAGAGAGGAAGAGTGGCAATAGGGACATTGTCAAAGAAACAGTTCTCTAGTGCACACAGGGTCCACAGTCCGAGTAATAATAACAGGAGGGAAGCCGCACGAAATGCCTTGTAGTGTGACAATCAGGGTTTTCATCATCTCGCGGGACAACTTTGTAATCCTCGAGTGCTCAGGCAAATAAATGGAATGTGACAGTCTGGCTTTGGCCATTTCTTCAGAGCCGTCTCTGCCTCTGGACGTCCAGAATACCGCGTTGGTAGCTGCCAGGTCGTTCCTGTTCTATACCTTGGACTGGACACATCGATCCGCGATTATGGCATGTCACCATAGAATGGCAGTCGAGTTGAAGTGGACAATTCGGTCATGCCATTTCGGATAAAGTTTGCAAAGATAAGATGGTTGTCGTACCCCAGCGATAATGTGAGCGATCAAAAGCACTAGGCTCAGAGCAAAGAGCGTAATCCACTCCGAGAAGTGATTTCATGGCTTGATATGTGACGAGGATGAATTTTATGGATTTTTCCATGGAAATCAGAGACAAGAACGTAAAGCTTGAAGTGTAGAACAGATATTGACATAACTTGTGTCCACGCCTGAGATGAGGCTGAGTATTTGGGGATTGAAAATGGCATCACGCAATATTGGAGATTCAGCCCTCACATCGCCATGTGAAAAACCGCGTGACTAGATATGGTGTCTTTACACGTAACTAGGCGGATTAAAATATTTACGTTGGGCAGAAAGCCTCTGTGTTCCGTAGCCTAGCTACACTAATGAACTAATCAGGAATTGAGTGAAGACTTAGGGAGAGAGAGAGTAGTTATCTATTCTCTAGATGAAGGTTAGTACTTGGATCGATCGTGGTCTTGAATACCATGGAACGAATTCTATTACATGCCTACTTAAAGTCCAGCTCGAGGCTACTTACATTTCGGGAATCCTCTTCTCGCCCGCGGGAGGTTATGCTAGAGAAGTGATATGGACATTGTACTGCTATCTATAGGAAGAATTCGTTCTTTTTGAGTTTAGCCTCAGTTATAGACGGGTGCAAGACGCCCAAACACGAACGTAATTCCACGATAACTTCAAAGCAATGGCAATACCTGACATTAAACCAAAAGAGCATACAAAGCAGTTCCTACGGTTATACCTGGTCTATAAACATGTATATAAACATGGCCATAAACAATACAACACGCTCTTATTGGCCCTTCATCATTACTACTTGGTTCATGCCCCAAGTTACGTGCTATAATCACACCCTGGAGAGCGTCCATCCATCGACCACGTCCACGCCTACCCGGAATGACATTGAGACGAACCAATCACAGCCAAAAGTTGTTGGACGCTCGTGTTGGTCCAAAATTATAAAATGCGCATGTTCCCCCATTGCAATATAGTCGGAAGTCTGAAACCTCCCGCCCTTGACTACAAGCCCGCATAGTTGTTTCAAACCACGCTTATATCAGAAACCCGCGTGCCAAGATCAGAATACAGGCTGATACCGAGCGATATGTGGATAAAAGTTGAGAAGTTCACAAATCGAACATCGGCGGACTACTCCACGGAGCTGACTCGAGGATGAAATCGCCTCCTATTGGACCCACGTTGTGGTGTCTTGTACGACTCTCAATCCAGCCCAGGTTCGGTCCCGACCTTGGCCGGGGGTCGCCGAGGAGTTCAGGATATAAAAGTCGAGGTAAGTAATGCGTATATCAATTGTTCGTCATAAACACTGCATAAAAACTGCTGTTTTCGATTATTCACAATTCTACCAAGTAAGCCCGATCGCCCGTCCACCACCATGGCAACACCCATAATCCTCTGTGGCAAATTCGAGCAAGTCGGCCAAGTCGTCAAGAATACGATCCAGCCCGAATTCGAGGGTACTTCCCCGCTTTCTCCCGCCCCCAATCCTCTACCACAATATCTAACCGCTCTCTAGTCGTCCACTTCATCTCCTCCCCCGAGTCAGGCCAAACCACTATCCCGCTCCTCGTAAAAGGCGAAGCCCCCACCAACTCAAGCGACAACATCGGATCGCGAAATTACGCCGTGGCATCCAAGGCCGTCGTTGTGGGCGCCATGTACGACGACGCCTGGGTCGAGAACCTGGCCAAGGAGGTCGACGTACCTGTGCTGCGGCCCGAGAGGCTCGTGGGGAACCCGACGGGACCGCCTGATGCCGCCGCCGTGCAAGCCGTGGCGAAGCGGGTGAAGGAGGGTTTGCAGAAGTTGGTGGATGAGGGCAAATTGGGACAGGCGGGGGTATTTTGGTATTGATAGGTTGACTTTTTGGATGGTGGAATATGGGGTGAGGTCGATACTTCAAAGTAAGCAGAAGCAAAATAATGACCCTTCAGTTTGAGATTGATATTGCAAACCAAAATTGCTTCTTTTTGACTTTTGCTGGAGGGTGAAGCAAGTGTCCAAATAGTGGCATCCAGACATAATTTTCAAGATATCTCTGACGAGTTCGACGGACTGCAGACCGAATTAGTCGCGAGAGCTGGACTATATCCTATCCGACCCCTGATCTCACGAGCAAGGCACGGTGCCCAAGGATCCCCAAAGAAGCCGCCACATCCCAAGTTTCGTAGTTAATACAGGCTCTATGTTCCCACACAGCAGTGATGATATTAAGCGCTTCCCTGACCGTGCCGAATATCTGCATGGGGCCCATACTATTCAGCAGATCACGGCAGAACTGCTCTTGTTCAGGCATCGCCAGGCACCCTGTCATATCAAAAGGCCAAGCTAGTGTACGTAAACACAGTGGGCCAGGCAAAGCCCGGAATAATTCCATAGTCGCAGCGACACAGGCCTGGATATCCGGATTCGCAGGCTGGTGGCCCGATACGACAACGAGCAGGTACGTCAGCGCAGATTGTGCCCATATCCTCGTATAGAGCGCCAGTGATGGAGTGGTGTGCAGCTTGTCCATTTCGGTGAGATTTTCGACGTCTAGTCCGGCAAAGGGGAGGTCGGGCGGGCGAGCAGACGGGTCACGCATTGGACCCGTCGGGACTGCGTCGAGCAATTCGATACCATCCCGTATATTGCGCTCAATAACCGCGGCTCTTTGAACGAGCTCCTGCATAGACAGCGAGGACGTGGACATCATTTCCTTTTTCCAGGCATCAAGCACGGCAATTTCGCCAATGCGGAGCATAGCCCAGTCTTCGCAGCCATAGACCTCTTCGAAGCATAGCGGCGGTTCGTGTCCCTCAAGAAGCTCGGCGTGGTACCGTTGCATCCTGGGAGCGCGCTCCAGCGCTGTGGCGGCAATGATGTCGTTCCACAGCAGGTTAACGGTGTAAAGGCGTAGGGCGGCTTGATCAGCAGTCCAGGGGTGTCGACCGCGGGGAAGGCGGATCAGCGTGAGCTGCTTCAACCCCATCCGCTGAAGAAGCAAATACCATGGTCTGTCCGCATCCGTCTGGTACGTCTGGACGATCTGCCCAAATAGTACAAAAGCCACATCAAGATGCACCTGCCAATTCTTCGTATTGGCGATAGCCACCTCGAACGAGAGCGATTGAACAATGCTCTCGAGGCATTTCAGGCTATCGCTAAATGAGCTGGCAATACCGCGCTGATTCTGGTAATGCATGTCGTGTTGCAGCGACTGGATGGCGACCTCCTACTGTTTCTGGAGTTCGTTCCAGTTCGCTCTCTTGCAGACGTCATGGCCGGGTTGCGTGCTATCTATCACGACGGCGAAGAAACGACGAGAGAGATAGGGCGGTGTGGAACAGGGACTTGTTCTTCATGAGTAGGACGAGGACCCAGCCGCGGCCACCTTCGAGGAGAGGCGGCCGGTAGAATGGGAAAATAAGTGGGAAGACATAATCGAGGTACATGATGGTAAAGTTCAACTCCCGTTCAGCGGATACGTCGGGGAACGACATGGTGCTGAAGGGCGTCAACAAAGTCCCTTCTCTAGTGACTTGGTGGATCTCCGTGGTTGCGGGACTGAAAGGTGTCATGCCAAACATCATGGGTTCAGTTTGAGAGGGCGGCTGCTGCTGCTGCTGTTGTTCCTGGCTGTTGGATCCGTCCGTCACACTGGTGGCAGGCGTGTCGGACGAATCTCTGCTGCTGCCACCCGTATTTCGATCCGTACTGGTATCAAGTGACATGCTAGCTGCCATGCTGTTCAATAAGAGGGCGTCATGACCTTCCGTCGAAGCCTCAGCGCGACTCGCCCTAACCTCAGCCTAATCACCATCGATGCTCAAAGCCCATTTCCTCTCGCGTCGCTGGTTCGCCTTGGCTTTCACCATTGTCTTCAGATCGTCCGCCATCTGCTTCTCGCGCGGCCCACCATCCATCCAATCCGGCTTCTCATTGCGAAAATAACAAGTAATTTCCAGCGCCTTGCATACCCCACATCCGCCCACTCCGCGCCGTTTGTCACATTTTTTGTGACGGAGGCGACATGTCCAACACCCCTGAGAACTTCGCATCTTGACTGGCGTCAGCATTTGTCTAATGTCTCAGCAGGTTCAAGCTCGCCAGAACCAAGTGATGGGCCGAGAGAGAGAACACGCCAATCCTAGAGTCTTAATTTCCAAGTGATTTCTAGTGATAAGAATCGCTCATAAGCATCGTAATTTTGTGGTCGCGATGAAGGATGAACAACCACCAGATACATCATCACCGTGTAAGATGCTAGAGATCCATCGTCCCCGCACAATTCAGTGTCTTGTCAGTGCGGGATCCCCATCCGATGACCCGATGTAGCCCAATTGGGTCAAGTCTCACAAGGCTGACAAGGGTTGGCCAGCATGCAGTCCTTGTGTGAAATGTCCATATATTGTGCCTGCTTGTCCACTATGCTGCGCATAATGCCATGCGACGTTGCCTACCTCTAAACCTTGTGAATTTGAAGACTAAACATGCATCTTAAGCTGTTGTATAATACAGTCCAGCCAACCAATCCAGTCCGACGACCATATGCCCCCTGAATGTCACTCCCTGTCCTTTCATCTTCCTCAGCCGCAACACGCCGTTGGGTCCAAGGTCCCATATCCGGCAGTCTCGTCACTGTGGACACCAAGACGTTCCCAACCAAATATGAAGGCGCCCAGAAACGCACCAATGAAGATACATATGATGATGTACCCATTGTAGTACATGGCCAGAAGCATGATCCAGTAAGCGACCGCGAACTGCAGCGTATGGAGCAAGGCTCGAATCATCTGCTGATAGGCATTAGGCTGGAACGATGCATGAGGTGAGACGAAGTGGCCGTCGCCGTTCTTAGCGATGAGGGAGCCTCTGTCCTGAGATCCTCCACCGGACTCGGCCGCATTGGGGTTGTTGGGTGGACCGCCGGCGATGGCCAAAGCTCCGGCTTGCAGTCGGTGCTTCCGAACCAGATGCTTGTCGTAGAACTTGGCGATGCGCCGGAGGAACTCGAGTAGAATGACAAGTGTGATCACGCCAAGACACAGCGCCGCGAAGGCTCCATGAGAGTTGATTTTCCAGGACTGAGAGAGAAAACAGGCGTCGATGGTGTTCCAGTTCCAGAGCATCTAGGTTTCTTGTCAGTTCGACGATTGCACTGAGACGTCGAGATCATGGTCGTCTTACACTTATTTTGCATCCACCGGCACCCATAACCATGCTTCCCATGCTGTCGGATCCAATGATATCGGAAAGGGTAGAGGTTGGGTTTGACGTGGAGGTTGTCGAACCAGTAGCCATGTTGTTCGTCGACGTGGCGTCCGGCATGTTCTCATAGACTCTATCCTTGCTGGAAATTGCCAATGTAGGGCAAAATAAAAATACACCAAAGGCAATAATAGTTGGGCAAGTGGCGGTTTCATGAAGCAACTGAATGTGGTGCTTTGTTTGGGGTTGATATGTAATGAGAAAGTACATCTAGAGGTCTACAGTCGCACTTGCTCTTTGTAGACGTCATCACCAGAAGATCGCAACAACCAGATGGCAAGAGCGAACGGAGAGCCTTTGAGCATAAACGATCAAGTCTTAGAAGGTGCAAAGTGGTAAAAATGGCAACTGTCTAGACCCAATATTGAAAGCCCTACCAAAGGGCACTCACAGAAGTGCAACTCGATGCTGGAGGTGTGCCTTACCGTACAACCAAACAGCCAACGCAGTCTTCATTATCACACTTGAAGATACCTGCACCCAAGCTTTAAGCGAAATGGGGAGTGCGTCTTTGAGACTCAGAATTTCTTGCACAGACATCATGCTGTCAGTGTCCTTGATGATTGTCCAGCGCATTTTGTCTAGACTAAGTAGCCCACTCGGTGGGGACGCCGCAGATGGAATCATTGCGAGGCAAGCAATAGCCTAGAACACTTGGTTTTCTTTTGGATTCACAATCGATGAGGTGATTTTCAAGGCAAAGTGCCATGAGAAACGTTGGGGCTGTCGCGAAATCAGAATGCTGACTTCGGCAACGATGGGACCCAGTGTTACCCGGCCGGCATGCTCCCTTCCTGAGTCCTGATTGGCCTTTCGCTGTTCCCTCCTTGCCGATCAATGTCGGAGACCGGAGGGAACTACCCTGCAGGCAACACAGGGATCGGATAGCGTCAATTGTGTAGTCCAATCAGACCTTTGGCTTTAATCAGCGAACCCCCACCAGAGCTGTCATGGCATGTCTGTCGTATGAGCTCAATCGCACCTTCCAGAGCTCCAACGACAGCTTAAATGACAAACACAAAAAGGCCGGCCCTCCCCTTACCCCTTCGAACGTTACAATGGATCCTCCAGTCAGATATCAACCCCGAGGCGGAATTCTAAGCAAACCCCTGTACCTCGCCATTCCTATCCTTATCGCCCTGTTCTTCACACGATCGCCGTACTTCATGGCCACCACAGCACCTTCGGAGGGGAAACCCTGGGCGGACACGCCAATCAGGCTCATTACAACTCCTCAGTATGAAACGAAAAGGGTAGGCGGGTCGAACTCCACCAATTGTCTGACCACAGGCTGATGAGTCGTGATCCAACACAGACCGACATATTCACAACGGGTGCCACCCATATGGCATTATTGCACAACTCGATCCTCCGGGGCTACAATTCCATCTACCAACAAGCACCCCACGTCCAGCCAGACGACAAGCACCACTTTATCGGGTACTGCCTGACGTGGTTCAAATTCGTAAAAACGCACCACGACGACGAGGAGGAGACCCTCTTCACCAAAGTGGCGGCAGTCCTGGACGACGCGTCGGTTTGGCAAGAAACCCACAAGGAACACGGTAAGTGACAACCGTTCGAGAAATTGTGTCCAGCGGACGAGAAGCTGACCACTTTCCGCGAACAGAGGCCTTCCTAAGCGGCCTTGTCGACTTCCAAACCTACCTAACCTCGCTCAAATCCCCTGTCGACTTCTCTGGCACCGAGCTGCAACGCATCATGTCTACCTTTCAAGAACCCTTCGACGCACACTTCCACTCCGAAATCTCAACCATAGCGAATCTTGCAAATCACCCCAATGCGCCGAAACCCGGCTCTCCCGAAGAGGTGGCGGCGGCGGCGACGTTTAAGAGCTGGGGCAAGAGCACTGTGACCAAGGCAGGGACCCTGGACGTGGTGCCGTTCTTCCTCTTGAACCTTGATGGAACGACCGAGGACGGCATGTGGGCCAATTGGCCGCCCATCCCGGCGCCGATTAAGTGGGGTCTGGTCAATATTGCCGGGTCGTATAATTGGGGTTGGTGGAAGTTTTCGAGTTGTGCTAATGGGGTGCCGAAGGAGTTGTATGCTCTACCATCTACTGCCTCGTAAGATTCCAGATTGGACTTGCTGACCAGGTGCTCTTTATGTGGATGTTGTTGAATCTCTTATGGATATGGATCTTACGAAGTACTGCCCCGGTTATGGGTTGTTTAAGCGTTATGAGACGCTTTTCGTTGGGTATTCCTGTCTTGATGTATGACTGTATGTATGGTATGTAGGTGCATGGGCCTTCAGGTTTGCTTGTAGTGGGCACAATGTGGCCCTGTAGCAATGTTTATAACTTAGGAGCTCAAATAGTCGAGGGTAGATTACTACCTCAGCAACAAGATCGCAAGTTACGCAACAAAACTTGTCCAGATTCATGCAAATGCTGTGTGCTGCTTGCTTGGTAAACAGGCTTGCTCTGGATTCTATTATTGAGCATAAATTTAGTAGTAGTCCCAAGATAGGACCATGGAAGCATAATATTCCGGTAGTTTTATATCTAGAATTTCCATAGAATTTCCATTGATCTTTTGTATTACCTCAGATACAGTAGTAAGGTCTCTGTAATATTTTGCGTGTATTGTGAACCAAAATGTCGCTTTTGCCCGTTCCAGTCCACAGTTTATAGACGCCTTTGGCGACCAAACCATCTCCACTCTCCAGCTTCGGCTGCTCAGTAAACCGATAAACCAAAAGCTAGTCCACTGGATGCGGATGATGTTGCGCCAAATGGATAACACATTCATTCACATCTTGGATTTCGCAGTGTTCCACTCTAACACCACTTCGCACAAGGATCTTTCCCAGCTGTAGCTGGCCATAAGCGGTGCTCTTAGTCGACAGCTCTCAAAATTTACCTCAGCGCCAAGGTGGAGAAGCATCATAGCCAAAGAGATGGAGTCGGGGCACTATATCGAAGAGGCTTCTGGTTACCGTAGCAGAGCTGAACAGCACAGAGTTTCTATTACGATTATATCGAAGGTTACCAGCGGATCGTCGCCGGATCTTCCTCAAAATGCCTGACTACTCCCATTTGTGCCGCAATGGAGGCAGTTTGTTGATCAATTCTGAGCTCGGTAGATATGCATCGAGTGTGGGTATGGAGGGCGCCGCGTCAAAGAACCGAGGTCCCCTGGCTATTTGGCTCATACTTGTCTTGTCCAGGGCCAGGAGATGGTGGAAACCCCTGAGCGACTTTGCCTTGGAGGCGGCGAGGTGCAGCAGTAGCCGATTGCAAGAGTCGCGCACCTCATGTCACCTCGGTGAGAGTGGAGAAGTTGCATCCTCTCCAAGTCGCCGTATCAGGCTGCATATATTACCGGCGTGTAGTGGCCACTAAGTTCTGCCATCAAGCTTTTACGTACCTGAAGCCTACAGCATTGCGGCGAAGGAAGTTCATAAGAACGTTGAAAGCCTTGAAGTTCTGGCTCAGGATGGCCACGTGGAGAGGGTTCTTTGCGCGCTGTTTTGAAGGGACCCAACCTTCGAGTATCTTGCGCAACAGCGAGGTGATACTCGCATTGTAAGACTGACTTACGATGACACTGCTGACATTTGTCGACGGCATGTCGAAACCCTGACCCACATCCCCATGCCACAGACGTATCCGCATTGTCTTGCAGAAGCGTACAAAGTGTACGTTCTGGTCGCGATATGTTACGTTCTACAGGAGCCAAATCCGGATCTTAATTGTTGAGAGACGGTGCCAAGTTTGCGATTCTCTTCCAGGCGAAATGGAGTGATGTACCGGTTGTCATTTGATTCACGTCGAGTCCCGCTTCAATCGGGTGTTCACAGACCGATGGACACCTGAGACCAGAGGCAACGTGCAAAGTAGAGAAGTCGCTGCGCAGGATGAAGGGAAGTCAGTTTATGCTAAACTGACACTCAGTCAGGCTATAAGCCAAACGCTTGGGACATGATATGTTCGGCTAGCCACCCACAGAGGTAGAAATCTGGATTCTTTTGATCCATGAGCCTTGTGCCATACTGGACTAATTTATCGTCGTCCAAATAATCTCTCAAAAAAGAAATACAGTGTTTGGCAACCTGGGAGCAAAAAGGATGTCGTTGGCTCGTCTCTTTTATGATGGCCAATTCATCTAGAGTCGTGCGCGGACGCCTTGGGACCTGCGAGGATCCCACAAGCTTGGTTGCAACTGCAGCAGGTGAGCTTACTGCCTGCTTAGTATTGAGGTGAAAATGGCAAACAAGTCCGCAGTCCCTTGGTGGGATGGGGCATGTCCAAAAATTCCCTTCACAAGAGCGAAGGCGTCTTTTTACTGTTGTGCCAGCCGCACTACTAGACACAATATACTGTGCGTAGAATCCTGGCTATAAGTGTTCTGCTAGTCGTAAAAGAAGAAAGCCGCTGCCGTAGTCGCTTCGTCGCAGAGTTAAAGGCACATCTACAACGATTGCATCAGCTAGTATAACCTTCTCGGCTCCAGGTATTCCGCTCAGCCACAATACCTCCCCGGAAAGCCCCTTCCAAGCTGAATATTGCGCATGACCTTCTTTCAGCCAAAGTACCGTCGTAGGCTATCACAACTGAAAGGATGTTTGAAGATTGGGTTGGGGATTGACAGAAAGGAAGAAATTACGTATGTCCAGGCGCCTCTCGTCGAGCTTTACGCGAAACTCGTGTCAAGGCAATGTTAATTATCGCCTTGTGACGACTCAAGTCTTCGAGAACTCCTTAGCGTCTCTCCTAGAAAAGTACCATTTCAGTATTCCATATATCGCCCTAACTTTGCTGCTGCCATGCTCATAGTCTTCTTCATGTCTATTAACTCGGATATTGATCCTTACAAGTGTTTTGGCGCAAATCGCAAGGCGCGAGACCAGGAAGGATGCACAGCCACTTCCCAGTTTGCAGTACTGAAGAAGAATAATGTGGGCGGGCGGGCAGTGAGGTTAAACTGGCCGCCGTCGACTTAAAGTGCTCATGATACTTGTATTTTCATCATTGACTTCTCAAGTTACAGTTGCAATGAAGTAACAAGCTCATCTAATGACACTGTTTTGCACTTCCCATGGTCAGTGTATCAGGAGACCCAAGCGGAGGAGATTTCTGAGAACATCAGATGAGTAGCCATTGTTCTTATTATACTGATTCTTATACTTTTCCTTGTTGCTGTTGTGTATGTGTTCCAAACATCCCTTTTATACCTTATAAATTATCATACCTCCCATACCACCCACCCACCAAGCTTGATCCAATCTAACCAACCATTACGAAATCAAGAACGCCGCCAACCATTCCATCCCATCCAGCCTGCCGACATTAGTTCCTCAAGTCATTACCTGCACATTACATCCAAGATCTTAACCCTTTCTCCTCAAACTCTTCCCTCTATCCAACAACCCTAAATCCCACCACCCCTCCAACACCCCCCAAACTGTCCGTCTCGTACTCTTACTCTGTGTGACTGGAACCGGCAATCCCGAACCATCTACTCCCCTCGCCACATCATTCGACGGGCTAAGCGGTTCTAGGTCATCGAACGCAGTACTGCCGGTGACTTTCTTACTTTTTGACCGACTAAACTTAGATTTCAACACCGGGATCCCTAGCGCATCGCGCCCGAGTAAACCCCGAGATCGGGGCGTGATGGGCGTAATGGGTGTAAACCCATCATCATCATCATCGATCGGTGTCGGAGGCGGGGAGGGCATGCGAGTGTGAATTTTCTCTGGGATGCGCTTATGCATAATGGGGATGAAATCGTCGGTGGGTGAGTGAGACAATGGCATGGGTGACATGGTCGCCGTCTGCGGTGGGATGATGGCCAGGGACGGTGGAACGAGAGCCCGGCTAGTCGTCGTAGAATACTTGTCCTGGGCAGGCGACTCGGGAATAGGGGGCATATAAGCAATAGACTGACGCGTGAGCGACCGGCCGCGTGCTGCAGAATTGGCGTACGTCAAAGGAGGCGGCACAGGGACGGGGTCAATATCCTCGTCAATCGACCTGAGAATCGGCGCTCTGGCCGGCATGGGCGCCACGGGGGGTGGCATGAACTGGGGATGAGAAGTAGCAGGGCCTTGGTGCAAAGTGCCTGTTCCCAAGCTGAAAGAAGAATAAAGGGCCAAGGGGCCCGAAATACCACCGTCGCCGCTGCGAGACGACGGCGGCGGAACGAACTTGAAGTGAACGCCCTTCTCCTCGTAGCCAGCTACTCCTCTTGCTCCAGCTCCCAATTCCCCCCGAGCACCCGCGCACCTTCAGCCCTCGATGTCCTTGTCAAGGGCGGCGGCGCCCTTGACGCGGCGCCAGAGGCCGACGCAGATAACGGCCGAGAAGGCAAAAAGCACACACAGAGCGATGCTGAGGCCCCAGACGGCCTTGATCTCGTAGCAGTGGGGCCGGTCGACGGCCACGTAGGCGAAGTAGTTGACGGCTTTGGTGATGACGTTGCGGTAGGTGATGCCCTGGCTGCTGGCGACGAAGGTCGCGCCCGAGGAGAGCGGGTTGGAAGTGACCTTGGCCAGGACCTCGCATTTGAGCATCGACAGGGGCTTGCCGATGGTAGCAGCTACTACGATGGTGGCGACCATGAGGGCGAAGTCCATGACTGCTGTGATAAGGAGGGGAAGCATGCCATCATAGTAGAGAATGTAGGTGACGGCGATGTAAAGGGTGGCCGTGCTTGCCTAAATCCCTGTCAGTAATAGTCTTCGCAGTTAGCAAGATGATGACTGCGTACCACTGTCAAGGTGCCGATGAGCACATCGGGTGCCTCGCGCTGTGCAGTGACAATCTCATTGATGAAGTTGGCAGTGAGTCCGATGATGGTGACGAGTGAAACAAACTGCATCAAACGCAGGGCAGTGAAGGTGACGCCCAGGGCACCGAGCTGGGGGGCCTGGAAACGCATTCTAAGGGGAATTGGCTTCTTGAATTCGGTGACGAGCGAAAGTCTTGGGCGTCGGTTGAAGCTGAGAACGGTCCGCAGAGGCAGATGTTGCCGCGGGTACGAGATATGTGCGGCGGGGAGTAGTGGAGAAGAAATGATGGAGGTTGAGCGGTCGAATACTTTCAAGTATTGACCGTGGAACTCGAGGCGTAGTTGAAGAGAACGAATAGCTCAAAGTCTCAGGAGCAGGAGAGAAGAGAATGTGGTATGTATCTGAACTTGATGAAAAAGGAGCAAAGTCCGGGTAGAAAAGAGCAGGTCGACTGCGGTGGCACGAAGTAGATATCGTAAAGTGGTTGGTGGATCGTTTTCAAGGAGACCGTGGATAGGAAATTCGTTTTAGAGGCCAAGGGTTGACGTTGAAAAATCAAGAGACCATCTATGATTGGAAACCTCCCCAGAAAGAGACAGAGAAAACTCGAGATAGGAAAAATGAAAAAGAGAAAAGGACTCAAAGAAAAGTCGTAATAGTGCTTGTGAATTGCTCGATGAGGAATGAAAACTTCACCTTCATCTTGGGGGGGATCTTCCTTCACCTTATGTACTCAATCGAGTCCCTCCAGATCAGTCATGGCCAGATCCAGGTACTCCCCATCGCATGTTCGTCTCTAGGCCAGCCAGCTTGGCCGCGGCAAAACGGTCGCCAATGTTGACATCGGAAGCCATGATCTGGCCTGCCTAGTGCTATGTCACTTCCCGCGCTGCTATTTTGGCAAGGCGAGGTCGGCAACTTGAAGCAGATGGCGTATTCACCACGCGCGGGCCTAGCCAATGGGAACACTCAGCCCGCACCGCGCTTACTGAGTGACCAGCCCCCTCGCCCAACCAAAAGCCTGCTCATATACCAGCTGGGTTGCGGAGTGTTGATGCTGGTGGATCCCAATGGACCGGCTAGTCGCCTGGTCATCGTTTGAACGAACGCGGTGGGCCTCGTCATCCGAGAGTTATGGTTGGCTATTGACCTTGTCGCTCGACCGCAGGCGAAATGAGGAAGAGGTGGGTCGCCGGGTCCTAAGCGCGGTCCGCGGCTAGCTTAGATTCAAGCAACCAAGCAAAGGCGTCAGGCTCACCCGTCGTCTCATGTTTTCTGCAGAAATTGGGACGGGGCAGGCAGAGCTGGTTCCGCGGGTCATCAAAGGCGGCTCTTTGCCTAGCCAAGGCCTTGTGAGCCAATCGAGTTCTGGTGAATACGGGGACTGGCTGGCCGGCCTCGATGAAATGGTAAAGTCTAGGCCGGTATGAAACGGCGACTAGGCGAGGAGCTGCCTAAGATGGATGGCAATAAATGAGAAAAAAGTCTCGGTGTTTGAGATAACAAATTCAATGGTGAGTCTTCGTGATGCACTTCATATTTAAATAGCCACATTCATAATAAAGCAACTTGGCCTCCCTTCCTCGTCTTGCACAAGCCCGTAACGTCCACGTTTCGGTGTCTGTCTCTGGCGCGTCCCCGTTGTCTGCTGTGACCGTCCACGTATGATCTCGTCCATGCATCATGCATTATGGTTTTAGTGTGCATGAGCTTCCTAGGCATCCTGTTCCTTCAACCCAACAAGTCATCTAACCCACTGCTCCTTGTTGTGGTGGTGTTCGTAGGTCCTCCAGTCGGCTTCGATGCAGCATTGGCCGATGTGCCCCACAGAGATGCGCTTGTCTTCTCCTTCGCAAGCTCACCCATCTTGGGTCCCGTAGCCGACGTGCTTGTCTTCTTGACGCCAGCACCAGCCGCACCCCAAAGGTTGGCGAACGGATCGCCGGCTACCGCAGGTTTTGCACTCGGCGTGGCAGCAGGTTTGTTAAGAGCAGACATGCCGGTACGATGAGTGGTGGAAGGCATCCCTGACATGGAGCCGCCCGTCTGCTGTGGCACCTGGGCAGTCTGAACAGACGTGAAGTAGTTGGGCGTGGCGGCTTGATATGCTGTAGTTCTAGGCGGCTGGGCAGCTGGAATGCTGCTGATAGGGGCGCTGAAGGCCGAGTAGTTGGCGGTAGGGGTCGCGGTAGAGGTCTGGGGCGGAGAAATGGCGGACATCATGTTGCTGATATTGGCGTTCTGGGGCCCCGAGACGGGCTGCGGGGCGGCGAACTGGGCCGTCGACTGAGCGCTCGAAGTAACCATGGGCGGGGCAATAGAGAACGCGTTCGACGGAGCAGAAGTCTGAGTCGCTGGAGCGGCAGATTGGAAATCGTCGAAGTCATCATCATCGTTGGCAAGTGATGCTAGTGAGGCAGAGCCGTTTGAGGGCGCTGCGTTCGGGACGACTACTGGGGCAGAAGGCATAGGCTCGGGATCATCAAAGGAGAACAAGTCGACCTCGGGTTCTTTCGCCTTCTTTGGTGGTGGGGCGGCAGCAGCCGTCTTCTTGGTCCCAGTTCCAGCTTTCGGCCACTTGGTAGTCGCGTTGGCGACTGCCGCCAATCCCGTACCACGGCCGCTTCCTTCGCCCTCGTCGGCTTCGTCATACGCCTCGAATCTGTCATTGCGGCTCGTGTCACGAAAGTCATTGGATTCTGCTCCGCCGAAACCACCGCCATCTCCATACACACCTCCAGAATAACCACCATAACCCGATGATGAGCCGCCTCCGTGGCCGCCAGAGTCGCTGCCAAAGCCACCGTACCGACTACTGCTCGAGAATCCGCCAGTGCCACCCTCGACTCCGGTATACTTGGCCTTGTTAGCCCTTGCCTTCTTGCGCTCGGTTCGAATACGGTCCACGTCGCCTAACATATCAGCCAGTTCCTTGGCCCGGTTTCGGACGTTGACGCCTTGATCTTTGCCGTTCGGGTCGATGTAATGGAATTGTCGAAGCATCTTTAGTAGCGTAATGTGGCCGCGGGCGTCGTCGATGACTCTCTCGGAGCCATGCTTGATAAGGAACTCGAGCAGTTGCAGTGCCTTGTAGATTTGTCGCCATTCTTCGGCGGCTTTCTCTGTGAATCGGCGGTAGATCATGGGCATGATCTCATTAAGTGTTTGGCTAAGAACCCGTCAGTCGACCACTATTCCCAGCTGCCATTGCATCCACAGCTAGCTATTTGACGTACTAGTGGAAGGTGCCATTGGCAATCTCCTGCATCAGTGTCGATGATGCTCCCCATGGTTCATTGTTGGTGGCCTCGCGCACCTGCAAGGCTTTGGTCAATCATTGTTCAGTATCTACAATGGGTTTCGTTGGTGTTACCTTGGCCTCCATTTCCGTGTAGTTCATGACGGCTGTAGGAAAAACCCATGGTCAGTATACCAGCCGATGCATTGAGGTCCAGCACCTTTGGATGTGCCCTGAGGGCGGTCGGGCTCACCATTTTGGACTTTCCGCACTCCTGCCTTGACATCATACAATGTCAGGTTGGAGACGGTATCTTTCAGACTGTTGAAATCCATTTTGCCAGTCGAGGAGCCGGCCGGTCCTTGCTGTCGGCAGAGAAATTCGATTGATCACTGCTATGGAATTGGTCAAGTACGCGTTTAGGACTCTTGCTGCGAGGGTCCACGATGCGATCAGGACAGCTCAATGGTACCTGGTCGATGACAGGCTGAACTGGGGAAAGCTTAAAGACCAAATCACGTGACAAAAACCTTTGTCTCGAATCTGTCCTGACGTGGTATGTAGGGCCACCGAGATGGACACGAGTAATGATGTAGCCGAGTTTGCTCAAGTCAATGAATGGAACTCTTGGCGGCAGTACGATTAGAAGTTTTCAAATTAACCTTTCCTGGAAATAGTTCACCGGCACCCATTGAGTTGCCAAGCAGTATCATACTCGGCACTCATGGTGCACGGTCTCTTGGAGGAACCTACCCTGAAGATCGGATGGGGGCGGGCCGAAATTTGCCCATGTGGCCAGTGAGTCCAGTAGGTAATAGGAATCTATAAAATTTGTGAGGCTTTTGAGATGTTCAAGACAAAATAAAATAGTTGACGACCTGATTCCCTCACCAAACTGTAACACTTACGTTTGTGTTCTCCCACCAGCTTCCAATTCGACTTGTACATTCACCCCGTAATTCAGCACCAGAACCCACCATACTTCCTCAGCCTAAACCAAGCTCAAGCCTTGTACGTCCAGCTTTCTCTCTATTTGTCTCGTCTCCTTCCATTGCTCTTGAGTGCCATCTTGGAGTGTGAGCATTGCCACGCTTGCTTGGAAATTATATCCGTGGTGAGGGCCGTATGGTCAGAAGCAGCATATCATTGCCTTCACTCTAGCTTGCCAACCCCAAAGGTACTGGCATCTGGACCATGTGTGTTTCGGACATTGGCACTCCCTACTGGCCACTTGGGTTCTCGACTTTGAGCTCGTCAATGGCGACAGGAGGCTGCAGAGAGTCTACTAGGATGGAAATTTTCTAGCACCCCTTTCCTTTCACCAACCCGAAGCGTGCCGAAGAATCAGGGAACGCAGAGTGGGGACGGCGGCCACATCGAATGTTCCGAGACCCCATGTCCTGATGGCTTGCTATGCAACTCGGTGGCTGGGTGGTTGCTGTCTTGCTGCAGTGAGCTTGTAGCTTCTCCAATTGGCACCCGCAGAACTGGCGTTGCAGGGCGAGCTCATGTACATGCTTCATGTGCTGCATCGATCACACAATTCCTACGAGCTGCACGGCAACACTCCCAAGTTTATGTATTACAGCCACACACGGGATGGCAGGAGTCAGACCGATGGGCAGCTTGGAAATCCAAACTGCCCCTCTTTTGAGACCAGCTTTGGAGCTCCAAGTTCATTCAGCTCGCACAGCTCTCGGAACATGACGATGAAGGGACGTTACTCGTCCTAGCAATCCAGTTCTGCAGCTAATTTCGAAACTACATTACATGGATAGACCGAAAGGCTACGAAACTGGCACTGCAAGCTCAACAGACAATCAATCATAAGCAGAATTGCGCAGATTGGCAGAGCACAGCTATCTGCACCCTGCCCTGCCACCATACCACCATGCCATGCGCAAGATGACGGGACGAACAGGGAAGTGGCCATGAAGACCCTTCGCTGCTGGCTGGCGGGGCTACGACCTGATTGCCCCTCTTTTTGCAGTTGGATTTGGATTGCTTGATTGGCTGAAAATGAAACTGACAGTACGGCGCTAGGTTTTTCCCACTCGCAATGGCTCCAGCTGCCCGAGCCTTCCTTCAACCCCTCCGCCTACCCCGCCAAAGCATCATTTCTTCCCACTTCCTCTGCTCAGGAGTTTCGCAACCTACTTCTTCTTCCATTCGACCATCGATTTCTGCCAGAGCAGCCTCCCCATTCACTTCATCAACTTCCCGCGTCAGATTCTTCTCCGCAACATCCCTCAATATGGCCAACCGATCCAAGGTGTAAGTACACCATCCAATGGCAACAGCCTCTCTCGGCTACGAAGCTATGTTTACTGACAGCCACGTCACAGCTTCTTCGACGTCGAGTGGGAGGGTCCCGTCGTTGACGCCAACGGCAAGGTCACCGGCCAGGTCAAGCGTGAGCTTTCCCAATTCTCCTTTACTTGATGTTTACTTGACCCGCGTCGTGTTGACCACCATAATAACCTCATTGCCCCGCACTGCAAATTTCAACACGAAGCCTTTCCGAGTTAGACAAAGCAGAATCAATGCTAACTTGGCTTCCTTGTAGCCCAGACCGGTCGCATCAACTTCACCCTCTTCGACGATGTCGTCCCCAAGACAGCTGAGAATTTCCGCGCTCTCTGCACCGGTGAGAAGCCCAACGTTGGCGGCTACAAGGGTTCTTCCTTCCACCGCATCATCCCTGAGTTCATGCTCCAGGGTGGTGACTTCACCCGCGGCAACGTACGTACATACCAAGGAGATGAAGGTCGAATTGAATTCAAAGACATCATTGCTGACCACTAGTAGGGCACCGGTGGCAAGTCCATTTACGGTGACAAGTTCGCGGACGAGAACTTCACCCTGAAGCACGACCGCCCTGGCTTGCTCTCCATGGCCAACGCAGGTCCTAACACGTACGTGATCGGTCTAGTTCTCCCACTCAATTGGACATTGCTAATATGCTGTTTTCAGGAACGGCTCCCAGTTCTTCGTCACCACCGTCGTCACCAGCTGGCTCGACAAGCGCCATGTGGTCTTCGGTGAGGTTAACCCCACCGATGGCTCCATGAACATTGTCAAGGCTCTTGAGGCCACTGGCTCCCAGAGCGGTGCCGTCAAGTACGGCAAGCGCCCCACCATCGTCAACTGCGGACAGTTGTAAGAACCGTTTGGTGCTTGCATCTTCTTCCATGTGTAACGACTCACGTTGATCTGGTTTCAGCCATTTTGCGCAATTCGACAAGGATACAAATACCCGGAGACGAGAATGGGGTCTGGTTGCCTATATAATTGGCACCCGACGCTCAAAAGTGGACGGGTAAAACTTGACGGATTTCCATAGCCTACGTAGCTACTAAATATGACAAGTTCAGACATGCGATTCTTTGCCTTAATCTCATGAAACCTGTTGTGTGCTATTCTTCACTACAACCCAGTAACTTGCAAACAGCTACCAGCCATTTCCACAGTAGGTGATCAACATGCATAAGTTCCCATCGTTGCGATCTATAATGGAGGAAAATACACGTACTAGCTCACGCATAGATAGGTAGCTTGACCATGACAGGATTCACCATCTAGCGGATCAATAGTTCTAGGAACATTTCAACAACAAAGTGACAACATTGAGCGTGATCTAGGACCTTGACATATCGGGTATCTTCGTCACTGGCGAGTGTTGGATTGCTTTAATAGCCGTTGGTACAGTCATGCTCGGGCCAACCTACATCTTAACTATGAAGGACCTCAGGATTGTCTTGTTTACAGCCGACATGTAACACCAACAGCCAAACGAGGTAAGTTGGTAGCCCACACTGTTCCTCAGAACATACCACTTTGATCTGATAGGTGGTACGCTATTCTTATGTTTTTCTTCATTTAATCAAATATTATAAGGTGTATAGGGTCAACTTAAGCCAATATTGGAAAATATAAGTATTTTACATGCATACCTATGCTAGACGATACCCACGACATATTGAGAAAGTCGGTGATAGGGTATTTCGTAGGCGGTACGTACAAGCAAGTCAACGCCTTTTCCGTGCAAATGCAACAATTCTGGAGGCCGCTCCAAAACTTAACCGGTGCCCCTTGGTCCAAACGCCAAAGCCATGCAATTAAAGACGTAAGATCGCTCGTCAGCTTCTGTTCTTCCGCTCTTTCAGCCCGATGAAATAATTGGCGCATCGCAAAGCCAACGGCACTATATAAGCCAGCGGTCAAAGTACTCACATCCGCCAGCCCAGACTGGACCGCCTTCTTCGCATAGGTCGAAGACCGGACATCGCCCGCATGGTGCTGTGGTGAGTCCGTTGTGCCGCGGCTCGTCCGTGTCCACTGTATCCAACGAGACGTTGAAAGTTGGATCTTGCTTGCTTATTCTGGAGGCGCGGTAACCCTCCCGCTTGCCAACCTTAACGTATTCGATACGGCCATCGTAAACAAGAACGTCGAGAAGTTGCTTGATGTCGCTTTCCTTAAGCTTCGTACCCTTCGTAACGTTGCTTCTGGCAATCTGGGCCGTGAGCTCGGGAACAGTGATGTAGCCCTTGTAACCTGCGGGCATGGGAAGAAGGACGGGTCCGGACTTAGCCTTGCGAGCTTTGGACGGCGAGACAGGGACTTCTGGGGCGCCATCAACCTCCATGTCGTCAGCTGTCCGCTTCTTTCCGCGCGCGGCAAGGGCGGCATCGCTGGTACTCCCCTTGATGACCTTCTTGGGTAGCACGGGACTGATGCTGCCATCCCGGGCCTTGGATCGCGATCCGTCCGAAAAGTAAGCTCCGTGTTTCTTCACTAACGTGTAGACCACTTCCGATATCATGCCAATCAAGGACTCATCGAGGTCTCCATCAGTGAACCAAGCTCCGCCTGTGGCCTTGAGGCTGGGCTTGATGGAGGACTTGATCCACATCTTCCGAGCGGCATTCTCAACGTGGGTAAAGCTACTGATGAGGCGCTTCCCCTCGAGCTCTTTGAGCACCTTCTTGACCAGATTTTCCTCCATGTTGGTGCGCAGCCGCAGCTGCTGGTTCCAGACGCCATCGGCACCGGCATTATCGATGAGCGAGTAAATCATGCGCTGGTTGACACTTAAGGAGCTGTACTTGGCTGCTTCGATCTCGGGACGCAGGCGCCATGCTGGGCCGTTATTTGTATTGACGGGAATGAAGAGATAATCATTGGTCAGCATGGAGATCAACTTCATCAGCGTCTTGAGGTCCTTCGGCGGAACCACGTCGAGCGAGAAGAGGTCATCTTGGCTGAAGAGCCTGTCGTAGGCCTTTTCTCCCTCGCCATCGGGGTCAAGCTTCTGTTCGCAAGCCGAGTAGAGCTGGTCTTTGAGGATGGAGGTCTGATCATCCATCTTGTCTGTGGTGTCGTTGAGGCTCTGGGTGCTGACTCAAGCTACGGCGAATATTCGCGTACAAGAAGACACGGTAGAAGGGAAACTCGAAGGTCGGCAGCAGATAGGAGCGCGCCAGGAGTCCAGCTTGAGTGAATGCCATCCACGGGAGAGGAATTGCACCCCAATAGAAATAGTGGTTTGCTACAAGATATTGTTACTTAGCGACGCGATTTTGATTCGATGTCAGCCCGTTCGTTCACGATTCAAATTTTGGAGATTGCCCCGCCAGGCTAATTATTAGTGCAAGTTTTTTATCAGCTTATCGGGAAGCTTGGCTAAACCCCTCCCAACCCCTCTCAATTGGCAATTGCACTTCAGAGCGGGACAGAATCGGACCTTCAAGCTGAATTCGCCGATCGAAGCACGTCGAAGCTTTCGGGCGGTGCCTGTCCAAAGAATAAACGAAGCCTTGCGCCTGTCAGTTTTACTTGCACTTCATCTTTGATACTCATCCTCCCTTTCATTCTTCTTTGAGACCAGAAGATCTTTTTACTCGCACCACCATATTCTCAATTTCAATCGTGTTTGCCAAAGCATCTTAATACTGCCCACTCACATATTCCAATATGGCATCTGCGGACGAGCTCAAGGCTCTCGGCAACAAGGCCATTGCCGAGAAGAAATTCGACGAGGCAATGTAAGTTGCCCTTACCCTCGGCCAGCATCCCCAAATTCCTAGCTTATAAGACATAGACTAACTGTGACTATTTAGAGACGCATTCACCCAAGCCATCGCAATCGACGGCTCAAACCACGTCTTCTACAGCAACAGATCTGCGGCCTACGCTTCCAAGAGAGACTGGGACAATGCTCTGAAAGACGCAGAGAAGACGACCGAGATCAAGCCCGACTGGCCGAGAGGATGGGGTCGCAAGGGCGCCGCCCTCCACGGCAAGGGAGACCTGCTAGGCGCCAACGATGCGTATGAGGAGGGTCTCAAGCACGACCCGAACAACGCTGGCCTGAAGAGCTCTCTAGCCTCGGTCCAAAAAGCCATGGAGCAGGAATCCGGTGGCATGGGAGCTGACCCCCTGGGTGGGATTGGCAAGATGTTCAGCGACCCGAACCTGCTCCAAAAGCTTATGACGAACCCCAAGACCAGCGGTTACTTCTCCGATCCCTCCTTCATCGCCAAGGTTCAGCAACTCCAGAAGAACCCCTCTAATGCCCAAGATTTGTTCAGTGATCCGCGCATGATTCAGGTTCTGGGTGTTGCCATGGGAGTCGATATGGACATGAGGAGCCCCGCGGATATGCCAGGTGGCGGCGCATCTTCCTCTGGCGCTAAGGAAGCTGAGGAAGACATCGAAATGCCCGACCTGGTCCCCAATGCGCCCACGCCTGCTCCTAAGGCCGCCCCTAAGAAAGATCCCACGCCTGAGCCAGAGTCAGAAAACGAAGAGCAAGTTGCGAAGAAGAAGGCTAAGGAGGATGCCGATAAGGAGAAGGCTTTGGGCACGGAGAGTTACAAGAAGCGCAATTTTGACGAGGCCATCAAGCACTACAGCGCAGCCTGGGATCTCCACAAGGACATCACTTATCTCAACAACCTGGGCGCGGCTCACTTCGAGAAGGGTGACTACCAAGCATGCATCGACACCTGTACCAAGGCCATTGAGGAAGGTCGCATGATCTACGCCGACTTCAAGATGATTGCCAAGTCATACGCGCGTATCGGCAGTGCATACGAAAAGATGGGCAACCTCGACGCCGCGGTCGAGAACTACAAGAAGTCATTGACAGAGCACCGCACACCAGAAGTGAACACGAAGCTGCGCGCCGCCGAGCGCAACAAAATCGAAAGCGCCAGGAAGGCGTACATCGACCCAGTTAAGGCTGAGGAAGCGCGCGAGGAGGGCAACAAGAAGTTCAAGGAGCAGGATTTCCCTGGTGCCGTTGCAGCGTACAGCGAAATGGTGAAGCGCGCACCCGAAGACCCTCGCGGATACAGCAACCGTGCCGCGGCCTTTGTCAAGCTGTTCGAGTTTCCCAGTGCGCTGGAAGACTGTGACATGGCCATTAAGAAAGACTCCAAGTTCATCCGAGCTTACATCCGCAAGGCACAGGTTTACTTCGGCATGCGCGAGTACTCCAAGTGCCTGGACGCATGCAATGAGGCGTCCGTTATCGACGTCGAGCACCACAATGGTCAGAACGCCAGAGAGATCGATCAGCAGCAACAGAAGGCAGTGCAGGCGATGTATTCGGCTAGAGAGAATGAGACGGAGGAGCAGACAAGGGAACGTCTGCAGAAGGACCCCGAGGTAAGTCATTGCTCATCTGAGCGAACTGATCCGATAAATCCAGGACTAACAGCGACAACAGATCATGGCCATCATGCAAGATCCCGTCATGCAATCCATCCTGCAGCAAGCTCAATCCGAGCCTGCCGCTCTTCAGGAGCACATGAAGAACCCTGCCGTGCGATCTAATATCCAAAAGCTGGTCGGTGCTGGTGTCATCCGTATGGGTCGATAGGTGACGGTGCAGAACTATTTCGGATCAAGGCTGGAACGACATCATAGGTCATGACATTGATAATCTCAGTGCTTGAGCATTGCGAGGGAAGGGCCGGGGAGGTAATTCGAGCTGTACTCTAATTTGGACTTGATGAGGCGTTATAAAATCGCATAAGTGGAGTAAATTGATGATTTATGACTTCTCTACCAAGTTTCACAAACTAACCATCCCTACTGGTCATGTAAAGCTTTTGCATGTGCGAAGCGCCTCCAATAAGTTAAATGTATTATATTGGTGTGTGAGGTGCTGCAGATAAACGATGCAAGAATTGTCCCCAGAAATTCCCAATAATACAATTTCCTATAAACTTTCTAGGTCTTGTACGCTTGGAGAACCACGAGGGGGGATTCTCACTTAAGAGGCAGTGCAAGATTATCCCGTAGCACGACTGTGCACATGCCATGATGCCAATCAAAGAGTCTCTCTTAAGCGAAAGTCAAATACAACCAATGCACCAAAGTGAGAAGTCAGGGGCGCTGTGTAAAGACTTACTAGGCCAGTATGCCAATATACTATTTCGATATGCGTAGACCTTCTTACTAAACGTTGATCTCAACTACTGTACTGTTACACTGTCAATACTCCTAGATTTCTATGAAGGCTGTGGGATTGAGCGCCATACGTGTGCCTGAGGTGGTGCCTAAGGCAGTGAAATCGCTTGTGTAGATAAAAAGGTCGGCACCTGCCTACCTACCTTAGATGTAACTTCTTACAGAGGACTCCGAGCAGTCAATACACACATCACACTGCGCATCGAGCATCGTAACCAATACAGGATCTGTACAGAGTCATCATCTGAGGGTTGAATCCCTCAAAGGCCAAAAAAAAGATGTTTTTTTTCTTCCTTTATGATGGTTACTTCTGGTTTGAAGCGGGGTTTTGTAGCCCTACGCTTGGCCGTACCTTCCCATCTAGTCCTTTCCACATAATGACCGCCCTCGGTCATTTTTACTAAGAGCCTTATGGTAAATCTCGTCCTCACGCTTCCGATCTCTTCACCTCTAGATATCTCATCCTGACAGCTTATCTTCCGAGTCCTTCATCCACAACGTACACAGCAGGTGACTCCACCTCCCTGATGCCGAGCTCACAATTGCCACGGCCCTAGACCATCCATAGCCTACGAGAGTCCCCGCCTAGTCTCCAAAGTGCTTCTTCAATGTGACTGTCAATATGAGGTATTTTGGGTGAGGTGGAAGAAGGGCTGAGGTATTTGCCTCTAGGTATTGGCCTGACGTGACGGTGGTATAGAGCGCCGGCTTGAGGGATCTGAGGTCGACAGCAACGACCCTCCGCTGTAGAATCATGCTGTAAATAACGATAGTGAGGTCCTAAATTGATAAAACGAGTGGATTGAATAAGTGACAACGCCTTATAAGGCTAATGATATTTCGCCTCATACTGAGCACCAGATTTATATGAAGGCCAAAAAAGAGATGTTTTTTTCTTCCTTTATGATGGTTACTTCTGGTTTGAAGCGGAGTTTTGTAGCCCTACGCTTGGCCGTACCTTCCCATCTCTCCTATATCGAAGATACTATGATGTGTCTTTTATATGGTAGTGCACCTAACAAATCTGAGATTCCAAACAGCGACCTTAATGTTGTCGTCACATCATCAAGGATATAATCATCGATACAACTTTCTCCGTCTCAAAGGCTGCACGTTCCCAATCGTCCCCAGGCCAACCCTACCTACGTCTGCACCACCACTAACATCCCCCGTCCGAACAACAACTTTCCGCAGTATCCTTGCCCGTTCCTTATAATTCAGCGTGTTGCCCCCACTCAATACAGAAATGGCAGGATTATCGTACGTCTGACCAATAACGGGATCGAAACGATCGGGCGTCGTCGTCAGGATCGCGCAGACTATCCCCAGGACGCCGGAGAAAACCAGCATCATCGATGTGATCATCAGCAGTGCCACCCACACAGGCTGGGCCTGGTACACCTCGGTGTACCTCGTCACCGTCACGTTTGTCGACGCGCCGATAAAGGGCGTCTGGCCCTGCTGCGCCAGCGAGTACAGGTCGTCCGGGTAGTAGTTGTTGTAGTACCCTATCTCGTCGGCGCTAATGTCATACATACGCAGCCCATCCGACGGTGCATGTTCGGTGCCGTATTCGGACAGATCGTCCATGGGCAGGTTGCGGATGAAACTTGACCCAGACATCCAGAGTTGAATGTACGTGTTAAGCAGCATCGAAAGACGTCGAGAAAACACATCATGGGGCACACCGGATAGCTTCACAATCTGCGCTTCGCTGTTCCCCGTGTTGCGCTCCGGAAGAGGTAAGGCCGATGAATCACTGAGGAAGTACTCGGTGATGGAGGACGGGGCGGCAGACCAGTCTTGGGTGTACCGCTGCGTGTCCGTGGTGATGATGTCGAGGATGATGGAGGCCCAATAGTCGAAGGCAGTGTAATTCGGACTCAGATTCTCAAAAGCCAAGGGTCGCACGCCAAGGGCGGCGCAGACGCCCTGGTGGCAGTGGATCTTGGCTTCGACGAACTGACGGGTTGCGGTGCAGTTAGTTTCGTTGTAGCTCCTGTTCTCGAGGAAGATCTGCGTATCGAAATGGGTTTCACTGCCGTCGGACTCGGTGATCTCCTTTTTAAAAGTTCCTTCTAGCCAGGCGAGGTTGATGGACAGCGCTTGCGGGATCTGTGGTCGGGATGAGGATCTGTTGAGGCCGAGAAATCCGGATACACGGGACGCCCAGCGGTCTTCGTAATCGTGATAGGGATCCACGGCGGACAAGTTGGAGTCTGGGAACATGTAGGTCATGTTAAGTCCTCCGAACCAGCCATCTGGATCCGGTTGATTCTCATAAGTCCGCGAAGTCCATAGCTCGTCTTTCGACACATTCTTGGCTTCATTGCAAGCCAGAGAAACATACGACGTCTCCAAGATGAAATCCGCTGTATCCCTACCCGAGAGCCCAACAACCGGCAGCCCGATCAGGGACGAATAGCACTCCACCTCGTGCACCTTCGTCGCATCACGCCCCGAGCCGTCCTCCCCGAAAACAACCTCACTCAAACACTCCAGCCTCGGAATCTTCACATTCCCCCAAATATCCTCGGTTTCCAACTTGGCCTCCAAACTCTGCATCAACGCCCCCACATACCCCGTCCTCAACATGGCATCCATGCCACTCTCCCTCGACCCGCTCAACCTCGACGTCCACATCTGGGTATACAAATGCGCCAACGGCCCCGTGTCCAAGTACCTAACGCCCACCTCCTCCGTCGCCGTCTCATTCGTCCGTCCCAGCACCCTCAACGACGCCTGGCCGCCCAAGGGAGACAAGCACCACAACACCAGCAAACTCAAACTCGTCATCGTGAAACTCCTCACCTCCGCCAAATTGCTGAAAGCCTGCGACAGTGTCCTGACTCCCATAAGCGCCTGCAGCGTGCCCAAATCGACACCCAGTTCGGCGCGGAACCGGCCGATGGACCGGAGGGCTTTTCCCAGCACGGTGGCGAACAGGATGGGGAAGATACTGGGGGCTAGCTTGGAGGATTCCTCGACCAGCCAGCCGAGGTGACTTCCCGTTGGGGAGCCGTGCACCATGCCTGCGGCCACGGCTAGGGTGATGAAGAGGAAGGTGGAGCTTATTCCGATGGCATCGAGGAGGTGGTGCTGCAGGAGGTGGGACCATGTTAGGGAGGAGAGGGGTTGCGCCGGATAGGGCCAGCCTGTGGCGAAGGTCTCATGATTAGGGTCAGGCATCTCTAGGTCGTCGTACCCGTTCATCTGGATTGACGGTCTTGTCGCTTTTCAGTCGGTGAAAACCCGGTGGTTTTTGTATCCAAGACTGGCTGGGCGTCATACTTTTCCTGCTTCATTGCACACAGCGATCGTAATTGTTGTTCCGCGGCCGTGTCTTCATGATTATGCTCTCCGGGTTCCGTATCATTTAGGTCTCTATAGCCGTCAGCTCTCGTCGCCTTGCGAGACAGACTCGCCGACGAGCGCGGATCGCCATCGAAGGACCCCATCTCTCAACTAAATGAAGCCGCCGCAGAGTGTATCGTGAGTTGGAGTCAAGGAATAGAAGCAAGTCAGCGGCAATCATCGATGAGGTTCACGGGGCTGAACGACTTTTCCCCGTCCCCAATGTTCTTGTCCTGCCCCATTAGGAATTCCAAAATTAGGAATTCTAAATTAGCACCAATTGTCATGCGCGTCGCCCTGTTAAATAGGATCCCAGAGGGACGCTCCCATGCCTGCCAAGGCGTGCTAAAGTACAACTTTTGCCAATGGCGTCTTTAGCGGTATCATAGGATGCGGTGCGGCTGAAGAACCCCTGTTGATGACTTGAACAACCGGTCCGAGCACGTCCGCGCCGTCGGTTACACCTGAGGTCGCATATGTTTCTTGTGTTATCCCCAAGAGCCGAAATGTACATATTGTGGAAAATCCCCGAAAGTACGTATACTCTACGTTCGTTTAGTTCTGTCTTGCAGTTAAGATCCCTTTGGGTTCCGCAGGATAAGGCCTAAAGTACGTCCTTTACCACAAATCACAACCCGCAGAAAAATAAGGCGTTGTATGATGGCGGGAATCAGCTGATAGGATTTCCTTTGGATCGATGACCCCAGTCTGGTGAATCATTTGGGTGCGCACACAAACGGACACGCCTGCCCTATAGAGTAATTGCGCCCATTGCTCAGTTGTCGAAATCGAGGGGTGCTTTTGAGAGAATAGGGATCAAGTTGGTCCATGTCTAAAATTTTCTTAATCAATGAAATTTCTGTTCGAATTTATTCCTGGAAAGCAAAGGTGCAATGTTTGTACACTGCCGTGGCACAAAAAATGCGACTATAGTCTTGGTCATCACAATTAACACAGTGTATATCCAAGGCTGCCCGAATCGACATATAGCCCCTTCAAGGCTCTTCTCCCCCCACTCATAGGGCTTCCTCCCAAAGCAATAAAACCGAGAGCTTTTTGTTAGAAAGTAACGAAGAACAGTACATTGAAGATAGGGGAAACTCACCATGGTACATAAGAATGGATAGCGGTGTTTCTGATATCTTCCGATGTTTGTGATATGAACTCATCAATCTCGGTCGCGGTCATCCGGGGACCAAGAGTATCCTATGAGATGCGCCTAGGACGGAAGAGGCGTTCGGTTTCGCTCTCATAGCTCCTTAGGAATAAAGGACAGATAGTCAGCCTGAGATTCTGGTTCAAAAGTGTTCCTGGCTGTACCGACCGATCTGCTTAAATCTGTGATCAAGTGGTCCAGGGCTGACTATCGATATATGCACCGGTTATTAGACAATTTTCCCCATATTCAGCAGGGCAAGGAAAGCAAAGCATAACTGAAACTCACGTGGACCCGGCAAACACTTCTCAACAACATCCACAAACCCCACCAACCACCTCCTACTTCTATAATACCGCGCCTTATCAATATTTTCCCAATGACGCTAAACCCCTCGTGATTTAGCGCATTCCACCTCTGCAACGTTGTTCCCTGAATCGTATCATCAAACGAATTCAACACCGTATCCTGGAACCTCAATTCAAACCCCCTCGACCATATTCTCAAACGCGTGCCTCATCAAAGACCGAGTGTCGTCGACGCTGGTCAGCAAAGGTCGGTACTCCAGTTCATACGTTGGGATTCGACGAGAGTCACCAGTATCCGCCTCGTCGTCGGTCTTCAGGACGACGTCGGACGTCCAGGAGAGTGGCCGGTCTGGCTGCCCAGTGCTGGGACCAGGCAGGCTTACACCAGCGCCCTGGTCGAGCACGGTATTCGGCGACAAACGTTTGTTCTAGGGTTCGCCACTCTTGCCGGCTTCAGTTTCGGACGTAACATTACCAGCACCCTTGCCCCCATAATGTCAGAGACACATCAGATTTCAATCAACAGATCGATCGCCACCGTGGTAGTATTGTGTGAGGATCAGATAGAAACATGTAAAGCCCCCGCACGAAGAATGATCTCAAGAAAACACATCTCAGTGTCGCAGGGGTACATGCTGGCTATACTAGGTTGTGATTCTGTATTCAACAGTCGAGTTGAGTCAACCAATCATGGTGATCAAGAGGGAGGTATCCCTGCTTCCGGTTTATGCAATGTAGGTGCTCGGTTGGGAATGAACTCGCTATGCTGTTATAGGAAATTCGAATTTGTCAACCCGAGGTAGATTACAACAGTGGTTGGCTCATAATTATCAACCTTGTAGTCAGAAACCACTTACGGGGTGTTCAGCTCTCATCTAGATATTATGGCCCACCGCATGCTCGGGGGGTTAAGCCGCACGCTGGCCAAGGCCATCATCGTCATCGACAACGGGAACTTCTGAACCGTTAGAAAGGCACGGATGAATTGGTACTCTACTCATCCATTCCTTACTATCCATCGAGAATCACTAAATCAGTATCGTTGGTTTGCACGTAGATCAGTCCAAGTTAGGTTCCAGAGCTCATTCCGCGGAACTCTGGAACTCCTAGTGGTTGGTTGTTTACATTTTATTTGCAAGTCTCGACTGTTTACGCCCAACGCCCTCTATTTCTTTGTCATCGTGAATACAGTTGCTCATAATCTCACAGGCTAGCCCATCTATTCATGTGACCGCGGCAAGCCCAATTCTTCTAGCACTTGCCACGGACCCTGCGCCTTCCAGCATCTCAACTCCTCCGAATTCGCCACAGAGACCATGCCCAACATGCCCAGCGCATTCGCATATGCCCCTCCGCATCCCGCTTTCCGCCTCGGAATCAACAGCATCCAATTCTTGCCCATCACAAGATTATGCGGAACGTGCTCGGACAACGACGAATCATCACTCACACCCAGCATCTCCCGCGCCTTCACCACCATCTGCTCGTACACCTCCACGACCTGCTCCGGCCCCGTCTGATGCTCAAACCTCCTCAGAATGAACTCATACGGCACTTTCGCCTGCACGTCCCCCGCCCTCGCCGGCCACGGCGCCAATCGTCCCTTCTGATACGGCGCCAGCTGGATGTGCTTGTGCAATCTACTGCATCCGCCATCCTTGCCGCAATTGAAGAACATGAAGTAATTCCAACCCAAGCTCTCGAGGGTGCTGCACCCCGCAGCGAAGTCGGCGACGTCGAGGTGCTCGTACTGCCGTTTGTACCCGTCGTTAGTCAGGAGGAGCAGGTGCGGGCAGTACATGCAGAACTTGTTGAAGGCGAGCTGGTGCGTGCCGTTGATGTCGGTCACCTCGTACCCGGACACATTGATGTCGCTTCCCGGGGCGAAACCGGTCGGCCGGGGAATGAGTGGGTCCGCTGTCTGAGGGGGCTCGTCCTTGTTGTCTTTGATGTAGGGTTTCTTGCTGATGGCCTCCGTTATGGCGAACTCGAACTGCATGATGGATTAGCTTGGCATCTTGCGATAGGGGCTTTTGAAATGGGCTGGTACTATACCTTGAAGCCATCTATGGTGATGAGTCGAATCTGGGGGTCATTATCGTAGAAAATTTTGCCGCTTTGGTGGCGGCGGTTAAACTCGATGAGGACATTATCCTCGCTAAGGGGGAGTTGCATCGTGAAATCGCGCCAGTTCTGGTGGTTCCTCTGATTATCACCAATGGGTGTTACCTCCGTCAATATAACAACTTTAATAGCGCCGCCGTTTGTCGAGGTGTCAGCTCATTGAGCCTTCTGTGTGACAGTGTGTCAAGTCCCGTCGGTCAGAGCCATAGTGGGGCCGCCCTCACCGCCGCCGGCTCAACATGAGCCACAGTGATTGGGCGATCAGTGTTGTTTCAAAAAAAAGCAGGAGATTTATTTCGTGAATCTACAGATAATCTCTAGACCTTGTTTCAGACTATTGTTACTTTGTTGCTTCATAGTGACGGGTGTCAGTCATGAAACGCGTCATGAGATGTGGTGGTCACATTACATTTGTAAATATGAGATCGTTGGAAACTCAACCAAAGTACAGTCTCGTGAATCACACACATTCAAGTTTTATATTAATTTGGCTCAGCGGCCTATTGCCAAATAGGATGCTTAGATTAAGGTTGTCACAAAATACTACCGTTGGAATTGCTCAACCATTTCCTCAAGACGAGTACGTCAGACCTGTAGCACTCGCATTCGGTGATTCACACCTATACATCAGAGTCATGAGCTATCCCGTGGATTGCTATGGCCATGGGTACAGCTCACTGTTTACGTTTCGATCCAAAACCGATTACCTCGTCCTAAGCTAGAGCAGAGCGGTTGTCAATTTGTTTTGCAACAAGCCACCTTTCTAGCTACAACACCACCCAAAGGCCACAGAATTGAAAACTCAATTCGGTAAGCAAAACATAGGGAATTTCAGTTCTTCTACTGCTACTAGTAGGAAATTCGATTAACTCTAGTATCAATTGTTTGTACAAGGGGGTGAGAATGGATCTAAAGTCCTTGTTAACCTCTTTCTTAGTAAGGGACTAACAGCCTTCTTCAGGTAGTTCTTAACATTAGGTGTTATCTGTACTGAGCTTTCTAGAGAAATGACTCCAGGGCTATTATACAAGCTAATGACGTTCATATAGCCTTTCCCCTTAAATGTAAGGAATAGGTACCCGTACCTAACTGCCCCACACGAACCAAAAGATCTAGCAGTTCGAGCACTTCATGCTCGAACCCGGGCTTATCCAGGCTAATAAGCTCCGTATTCTCTCATATCGAATCAATTATATGTTTATTTGGTAGTATAAATAGGGTCTCTATCTTACTAGATAATGGAGTTTTTCATACTAAAATGCTTCTTAATATCCTTCAATAGTAGCGCTATAAGCGTAACGAGTTCCTTGGCCTTGAATTCACCCCTTGGATTAGTAGGGGAATCTGTCAGGGTACGGCTAGGCCGGGGGCAGTAGTACAGAGTGATGGGAGTAATGGGCGTCCCTCCAGCTTAGCACCGGGTGGTCACTGGCGGTCACTAGCGGTCTCAGGTAGGGGTGCCCAAAGTGTTTCATTGATCTCTAACCTTCCTATCTACTTCCCAGATACCTTCCCTTACATAGATAGCTAGAGCGCGGAGTCGGAGCCGTAGAGCACTAGTTCCTCCGATTCTTCCGTATACCAAGACTTCCACATTAGGCCATGACTCGCACGTCCCTATACCGGTGCCATGCGTCCAGCACTCTGACAGAATCGTACTAGACAGGTGTCAACTTGAAGCTATCGTAGCCTACGACTTCCCGGGCGCCGCAAAGAGGAATACTTCTTGTCACGACCGCGAGAGATCGCTTTCCGATTGCTTTCTCGACGGCATAAGATTGTGCGCGTGAGTGCTGCACAAAATGACCTATACTGATCAAACCGTCATTATCATCGTCGACACCAAATCTAACCAGTCCACGGAGTTTATCCCCGCTCCAGTCGCTGAAGAAACCCGAGAGATGGCAAAGCGCACCAAATGATCCTGTAGTGCCTGTAGATACGCCCTTTTCCCGGTCTTCATAGCGAATCCGCCTACGATAATGAACTTGTCCAGGCCGATAGCTGCTCCCAATTGTAAAATACGCAGTGCCAGTGGATATGTCGAATTATGCAGAACTTTAAGCGCGAGCGAATGGCCCGTTGCGATTGCTTGTTGGAGCCAACCGTCAGTTATATCGATGGATACGATGCCATAATCCCCTTACGCGGCCAACCTCTGGGCATGGCGAATCGCTCCTCTCCCAGAACTGTAGAAGCATAGGTCCGCAAGATTGCGCAGGAACAGTACGGAATGTCTACTTCCTCAAGCAAGCGCACTACAAACTCGTCACGCTTTTTAACTGCCATTCTCAGATGCCCCGCGTTTATTTTCTGGGCGTCTCAGTGTACAAAGGCATTCAACTACGAGCGCGTGAGTTCTTCGGGATGAGCCGTTGCCTGCAATATTGCATACTGCACCAGCGCATCCACAGCACACGGCTCCACGACCACATAGCCCATCTCACCACCAACACCAGCAGCATCGAGATCAAGCTGGTCAAGACACGGAGATCAGGATTGAATACCTTGTTGCTGAGCCCCCGAGCTCACAGTGACGAGGCAGAATCGCCCCTCGTCTTTATACCGCCAAGCAGCAGCCAAAATATCGTTCAGGATAGTCAAACGCACACCAGGTAGGCGTTCCAGTAAAGCTTTCTTAAAGTTGTAACCTCTGGCCGAATCACCCCGAGTGACGACGGCACCAAATGATATCCCAACTTCTTCAAGTGACAGGTCCCTATGACTAGCCATAGCGATATTGATTTCGTGGACTAGTATCTCCAGTAATCTTTCCTGGAGCATAGCAAGTGTATCTTGAGGATACGATTGCTTGCTAGGGCTAGGGATCCGGGCGGGTTTATGTAGAAGATTATGCGGACCTATAATTCCAAACCGCAAGTAGGTTGCTCCAACATCCACCGCAATGAGGTAAGGTTTGTCCCAAGGTCGGAGAAAGTATTTCCACTTTACGGCCATCGCTTGCTCTCGTCCTCGCTCCCATTCAGAAAGTAGTAGTCTTCGGCCTCTCAATAGGAATGCCAGGAGATGATAGCCCTGGCAGCCAACAATATCATCTGTCTTTTCCGAACTCTTGGGATAGCTGGCTCTCTTAGCAGGGTCAGCATGAATATCAATAAAAGCCTGACAATCATGTTTTCCGTGTTCTTCGATAGTGAATTCGCCCATGTGTGTTATAGCTAGATCGGAACGTAAACGATTGGATAAACCCCTTAGGTCCACATATTCAGTTAATAATTCTTGGTGAGAAGTCGATAGCTTGTTGAACCACTGATTCAAGGACCGCTCTAAAATTTTTGTGATACGGAACCCCTGTACGTTACAAACAAACTTAAGCAGATTCACGCCTGGAACCAAATCCCTGTTTTCCATAGGTTTGAAGGTCTCAGAAGGTCGAACGGACTCGCTGATTGTCTTGCGCAACCCGAGACTTAATAGCGTGAAATCCCTTCTCAACAAATGGCGAGCGAAACTTGTATCAAGGCCAAGTTCTTCCTGGACCACACGATCCTTGAAAACAACTGTAGCATGATTGCCAATCAACTCTCTCGCTATCCGCCACACCTCCTTCAAATCAAAGCTGTCACCGGAGGCCCCGTCAAAGACGTCATTATCCACGGGTCCTGTCTGTCCTGCTCTCAATAGCAACTCAGTCAGATCGTCGATATAAGTTAAATCTCTAGTTTCTAATACTTCAGTATTCCCTTCTGGCTTAGGATAGACCGCTCGATGAACAAACCCTCTTTTAAAGGATAGCCCGTACGCTCCCGAGATTCTCACCGAAATATGTCTTAGTAATAAAGACACGAAATGTTCGCCGAGCCGTTTCGAGATCTCATAGATATTGAATCCAGCTAGTAACGGATAACTGGTAATGAATCTCTCTGCAAAGTGTTCCATTGCCGTGCATACATCTTTCTCAGAAACCAGAGCGTCTTGGCGTGCAGAGTACGCTTCCGCCGCGTTATGAACCCACGCATCCATGGACGCGTTTGAGCTAGTCAGGTGGACTCGCTAGCTGGAGGGGTACACAACTTTGACATCCCGATGCCTTCCCATCTGTTGGATCAAATGCGTGATTATTCCCCAGGCAAACCCGTTTAGGGCTATGACCCTCGCAAACCTTCCCGGTCCAGTTTCGTTGTAAATGCGCCTACGACCACGAAAGACACCGCTAGCCTGTTGGACACTCGATTAGACTGTTCATTCTGCGGACGAGACGGTGACACAGATAGCGTCAAGAACCAGGCCGTATCGTTCTACTGTCCGTTCTAGGGATACTTGGACATCATTAGCGTGACAGAGCATTTTATATACCACTGAAAACGCCAGCATAGTCCGAATCAATGACCACATCTCGTGTTGCTAATCGGTGCTAAGTATGGGTGGGCGTTGGCGGAGGAGTAGGCAGGAAAGACGGTTAGGTGCTGTTTCACTTCAAACGGATAGCTTGCAAACGCATAGCTCGCAAACGGACGCGTGCAAACAGTAGCTTCTACGACGCCTCGCCATGTTACTTGTAGCTCGGAGCTTGGATGTCAGCGATCAGGTACAAAAGGGCGGTTCTAGACTGCATTCTACCTACTTACTGGAGGAGGCCAGAGTGCTGATCACAATCCACAATTTCATCGTTGCAACGCATCTAGCACAGCCTCCACTTTTGCAATGCAGTAAGATGGTAAAATGGGTAAGTACACAAGAGGCCGATAGTATGTTCTACATTTCAGTCTCTACGGAAGAGATACGGCCAGTATCTCAGACTATATCGTACAAGTTCTATAGAACTGGCTATTAGTACACCTGAGAGAATAGCTATCCTTTCACGATTACGAATATTGAATGCCGATAGATAGTTCCGCCGGCCTAACATGACTTATAGCTAGATAGTGGACAGCCTTACGCTTACGTTATTAGATAGGGGAATATATTTTTTACTTGGAAGAAATTTTCTCCTCTTAGGGAAGTTATGTTATATCTATCTTATCTTCTGATGGTGCAGCGACCTAGTACTGATTGTGGCCCTTTGGCTTCCGATATAAGTGCCTTTTTCTAGCACCATGAAATCCGAAATGAAGTGTATCTATAGATTACCTTGTAGCGTGTGACAGGCTGTGCCTGATATGGGATCCGGAGCTGCAAGGACCGTGCGTCCGGATCCACCAAAGGAACCATCGAGGGCACACAAAACATAGTCCGTGTTCCCGGGACAACTCGCATATTTTACTTTCCTCCTCAGTTAGATAATTAACAGTATTTGGCCATGTTGAGCTGTATAGTTTCGCAGTGAGCCCGTCACATAGCGCTACTTCTCGTCCTACTGAGCCTAAGGTTGTCATGGGGCTAGGCCCAAGCTACGGCCCTTGCAATTACCTCTGCTCTGCGTCATACAGGACCCTACACTTGAGCCTTTCTACTGAGAAAATACAGCACACTGGACCTTTCGCCAAGGTTCTTCTTACAAATCGCTCGCTTAACGGGTGTTTCTTGGTAGACCAGTAGAGGTTAGCTTTGACTTGCTTTAGATATAGTGTAATCCTAAGGGGCCTTATATAGGGATGAGCTATTTTATGCGAGACCCCTTTAATAACGCTAGCGATAGCCATCCCACTTATATAATATTATTCGTAGTAGTGGTCGATTAATTTGACGTCGTCGTTGCTAACCCTACGCGTCCGGCCGCGAAGTTTAGAGACTCTAGGGTCGTTATATAGGGTCCTCGAATCTGGATCGCTATAGCGTCGCGCTACGTCGCTACTAGATTTTAAACAGTCGTATTTATCGCTTCTTCTTTGAAGGGTTCATATCCTCGTGGCGTTATCGACGCTAAAATAGTCAAATACGCTTTGGTTAGAGGCCTTGATCTCGTGATAGTCGAGGATTCTCTTCGCACCCCCAATATTAGCTCGTATTGGTGTCTTTTCTACCCTAGATTAAATATCTTGTAGTTGACTTAAGGAGGGGAAAAATGACGGCTTGAAATCCCAGCTAATTTGAATAGATCTACATAAAAGAGTAATGACGTCGGCGCCGGCGTTATGGTGGAATAAAGAATGAAGCCATCGCGAACCAGGCGAAATAGGTGTCATTTGGAGCGGTTGATGGATCTGTTTCAAACAAATTGATGTCAGATAATGACCGCTTGGTCTGCGTTATAATGCAATAATTGACAACCGCTCTGGCTAGGGCCCAACTAGGACCTTTGTCGGGTAGCTATACTAATTGCCAATATGTTTTCAAGTGTTTATCATCATGGTCAAAGAGCCTAGTTGGTGATTTGACCACAAAGACGTTGTAAGGCGTGTCTAGGCGCCAAGGTTCGTCTCGGACTGGGCTAGATGTTCGGGAATAGGAAATGGTGCGTGGTTGGTTCAACGATCGAATTACAGTTATATTAACACTGCAAGGAGCACTGAGCATAGATCGGTTCGAGCTCCTGACTATTCGGTCTACCTGCGTAAGAGCTGTTGAACTCTGATAGGGCATGGTTCGACTTATTAACCATGTTAAGCATCCAGAAGCATCCTGAACAGGCTTCTCCGCATTTTAGCCCCAACGCGATTTATGGTGATGCCCTTTCTGCATTGCAGGCATTGCTGCTATACTGAAGAGAGGTGCTCCTGCAGTGACTAATATGGGACAGAGTAGTAACTGCGGTCCTCACGCCTTCATAATGTAAAATATGTACCAGGAAAAAATATTCAAATCCGAAGTTCATATTTGCGTTTTCTACTTGTTGTGCTATACTCCGGGATCTGAGGCGACATGAACGTCAGTCTCCTGGACGATGACCTTCCGACTAGACGACTCATCATCGAGGCGACCCCATTCACCGTTGGCAGGATGGGCACGAGCTGACACAGGGTAGTTTCTGCTTGTCGTTAGAGAGCTGAGCTTCATCTGGGAATTCAAATTTTGGCCACTCTGCAATTAAATCTTGTTAGTCAAGGCACCGGGTGAAGAGTATGCAAGAGGGAGTCCAGTCGAATCCGATCAGATTTAAGACCCGAGCTATTTGTCCGAAGGGAGAATGCGAAGCTCACTAACCTGGCCGCTCGTATTGGGGTCATGACAAGATCTATAATAGAACTTGAAGAGTTTGCGGAGAGGAGGCAGAGAACATGCGATGATGCCAAGACCACATTCGACGTTAGAAGTAATAACGATAGCAGCGAGGTGATCTATGCAAGCACGATTGTTAGCCCGCTCCGAGATATTGAAAAATAACCCCAAGCATGATGTTATGATTACAACTTACACGGTAGGTCATTTGGGTACTTGACCGTGTCGCAGTACTTTAAGTAAGGTATGCGAACGATGGTGGCTACACTAACAAGGATTCCCAGTCCCAGGATGCACACGACGGATAGCTTTGTTCGTCGTGGCATCTGGAGCCCGGCCACGATGAAAACTGGAATCAGAGCACACGCCCAATCTGTCACCATCTGGACGGCAGAGACTATGTAACTGAGTGTCTGAAAGCCGATGATCGACTGGCAACGCCCGCTGTTGGAATACGTTAACAACTTGAGCATCGAATTAAACTAATGTTAATGCAATTATCGGAACTAATCCCCAAATAACTCCAGATGCAAACTGAGAACTCTGAAAACACATACAGAGCAGGATTCCACATAGCCTGGAACGGAGTACAGTTGGCAAATATGAATGTCAGAGCCATAATCGTGACTATGACCATGATGCCCATGTTGATGGTTATAGGCCAAAATACTCGGCCCCTTGTGTCCAAGCGCACGCAGGCGAAACCGATGGCGCACTTGAAAATAGTGGACGAAATAAAGTAGGTGATCTCCCAATAGATGACATACTCGAGGGCGCGCACCTGGTACAGCGGATCGGGGAGGTCGACGTCGAGGCGTCCGACCCCGAAGCGGGCGCAGTATACGGAAAAGACGATGGAAGGGATGAACGGAAGCTGTAAGTCGAACGGAACGGCCCGCAGGGTTAGCTCAGTTCGTTGGCGTCATAATCATCGGACAAACTAAAAAGGGGGAAAGGGGTCAATGGGTATTATTTTGGGCCATACAACTCCAATTATCACAAGATAATCGTCGACGCCCCAGATTCTCTTGGTGGCTCCGGAAAGGCCTGCTCGAATCCAGACTCGGAGGCCGACGACAATGGTGGCGATGACACCGATGATAATCGAGATGATTTCGACGAAGTAACAGAGGCCCTCGGGCTCGAGGGGCGGCAGGGCATAGGCCAGAGCGGCAATCTGCTCTCCCGTGAGCGTGGCAGCGATAGAGGCCATTGCTACTGTAGGACTGGCCTCTGGCATATTTTCGCCCGGCGTCATCGGATTACGAAGAGTCGCAGGGAATGCGTGTCATGGGCAGACGAAGCCAAACATGTGTCGCATATTTGAGAGTCTATCAGTACGCGCCCTGTGGAAGGATCGATTACTCATCGGAGAGTCTGTTGTGTAAGATATAGTATGATAGCCACCCCTGTGAGAACTGTAATCTATGTTGGGCATTACCGCTCGGAAAGCATTCCGAGCGGTAACACACTAATACTTCGATTTGCAATCTTGGCTATGCCCACTTGACACCACAGCCACAGACTCCCAATGACTAGACAAGGCCTTTTGGATGGAGTTTACTCGTAGGAACCATTTTAAGAATAAGCCAAGGGGAGGCTAGTCGAAATCTCCACTAGTAATAAATCAGTATAGATTTTGATCACCCTGGGAACCCTTGGCTCGGGTCGCGCAGGAACCTTTTTTGTTAATCAAGAGCTCGGATTTCCGGTCAGGCAAGCCATTGGGCTGGGCGAAATAGCTGCTTAGACGGGATGTGGATAAGCGAATCCCTGGAAGTCGCTTGCAATCTGCTTGGCTGCATCACGCGACTGTTATGTCTTTACTATAGTTCAATTACCGGCTATCTCCCCCACACAATCACGAGCCCCGTGGTGCCCGACCCATCTTTACTCCCTTTGGTCTACCCGGATCACTCCTATCGAATGCTATGGGACTGCTCAGCAAAGGGACTCAGACAATCTGCGATTAGTTGGAGCCCGCAAGTCCCCCACTGAGCACAATTGTGACGCGCGACTCACGGATACCCAATGAGGAGTGATCGAGTCAAGCTGGGCGGGTCGCTGACTTGGTCATCCCAATCAGACGCCCTTTCGCAGGGCGGGTAAGGCGGGGGGTGGCAGGGTGGAGGGGGTAAAGGAGACCGTGTCAGGGTCCTGCTGGGCCAGATACCACTACATTTCCCACTTCCCGGACCTGCCAATGCAGCTGAATTACCTGAAGTATCGGCGCAGTATACTATTATGGTATCATGGGTAAGTTTTCAATTGTGTGTTTCTACCGTGCCCCACCTAGGCACGCGCCAACTCTTCGCTACCTGGCGTGAAGGGACCTTAATAGCTGTCTTAATATGATTAAGAGAAAACGTTGTAGTAGTGTGAATTTCGGCTTTCGATGTACCACCACCTAAGTAGAGGGTTCGAATTCGTTGGCGATCCGCTTCTGTAAGGTGTTTAGTCCCAATTGTAGTTGCTAAATACGCGTTAACAGCAAGTTGGAATCAGAGGTGGAAGTACGTTTTCGTTAGGATGAGTAGGCTAGGCAAGAATCAGTATAGCGTTACCTTAGCAGTGGTCCACTGGTACTTGTCCAGGGGGTGAAAACTTTGGCCTGATACCGTAGTATGTGTCACGGTGAGCACAATTGAAGAGTCAAAACACTCTAATGCACTGTATTGACTTAACGATTCTCGACAAGGAAAGAAAGAGTAACTAAAACAGGCTGGCTCACATCTGAGGATCTTCAATCCCGCCTTCAGATGGCCAGTGCTCCTACGGGTCCACAGCTAGTGGGTTTCGTGGCATCGTGACACCGGCCGTCACATTCTTCTATCTAATACTATCGAGCACGAAGGTTGGACTTAGTCCCAAAGGGCTAAGTCACGTAGTAACCTTGGTGGTCTTGGCAAAGCCCACAAAGGTTGCCTAACACCAAGTCTCGTCTGTCCAGAGTATTGTCCTCCACTGCTCGATCGTCCAGTTGGTATACTCTTGAGCCTAAAGACGCCGTTGTCGGTTCTCTTCGGAAATAGGTGGTTCCCTTCGGGCGACCTGTCGCTTGAATCCGAGGCGGCGGAGGGCGGATCGGATTACGTATACTCTAAACACCGTGTAGTAGACAAGAGAGCTGGAGGAATGTGGCCCGACGGCCCTCTTTTGAAGAGATGACGTTGTAAGGAAAGAGCCGTTGTGGCGGGCCGGTCTCAGCTGACAAGCTGAGTCGGGAGGGATTCGCCCCCGATCCGGTAGAACCCCGGAACCGCCCAGCTTAAGAGGAGAACTCGAGACGCTCGCACCTAGTTTGGATTCTTCAAGAATCAGTCTTGCAATATACGCACCCATACACTGGCCTACTTCTAGCTACCCTTTGCACTACCTGACTATTATACTGTGAGACGTGTGGCATCCTCGTTACAGACGTACTTAACAAGCTAGGCTTCCTGCTGTGTACTAAGCTCTCGTGGGCGGCCTGTACAAGGCTTAACAGTAGCGGATTTAGCCCGAATAGTATGCTTAACCTGGCTAATAGAGAAGCCCGTTTACCTCGCAATAGTAGTCGGGCCGAGGCCGCTATCGGAATAGAGCGTCTGGACTCGTAGGTGGTTAGCCTCTGTCAAGTGCTTCGTATAAATATCTCGTGGTCGGCGCTCTATAGGTACGTTAATAATACTGAAGATAGATTAGTGAGGGAAAAAATCGTTAGTTAGGTCTGGAAGTACTCTAGTGTAAGCTAAGCTCAATTTAGTATAGCGTGCGTATTAATCTCAAACGAAGGTGCTTAACAGGGGTGTGGCTAAATAAAGTTGATCCACTACGCATCTTGGTTTATCTGGTCTGCGAACTATCCGCTCGTGGGATTTGCGACTTCATATCAGGCAATTGAGGGTATTCCCAATTTTCTGCTGCGGCTGGCTCTCTCGGTTCGGACCGGAGTCTTGTGCGCACTTAGACACTCATTCCTTGCTGCCGTGTGGCTCTGGCAGATGCTGAGATTCCTGTTCTTCGTCTCGTGTTCCCACATCGAAGCATCACCCTGACTCAAGTCCTGCGGCCCGATCGCCATCTCTGAGAGTGGAATGGAGTTTTTCCATCTTCTATTCCCCATGGACTCGTATGCTTCCACACGGTTCTTGCCGCCGTGACCTTGTGCGTGGCGTATGCCGTCGCCACCGGCATCTACTTCTTCACGCTGCACCCGTTGGCCAATGTACTGGTCCCAAGAAATGTGCCATCAGTCGCTGGCCATACTGGAGCGCTTGTATTCAGGGCGGGGATGTTTTCTGGCTGCACTCGTTGCACACAAAATATGGACCGTTTGTGCGCTTCGGTCCCACAGACTTGAGTTACACTGCCGCTCCAGCCTGACAGGACATCCACGGCTATGAGAAAGGAAGGCTTGAAAACCCAAAGGCGCAGGAATTTTCTGTCCAGCCTGTCAATGTTAGGGTTCAAAACAGCAGCCCATTTTGGCCCCAGACTAATCATCTCTCGCGTAGGCGTTCCCAGCGTGCTCACCTCCACGCAAGAGAACCACTCTCGGGTACGACGTCTCTTCGCGCCCGCATTTTCGGAGCGTGCCCTGCGAGCGCAGGAGCCCCTCCTCCGGAATTACGTCAACATCCTCATATCCAAGCTGCACGAGCTCGGCGACGGCGGCAAGCCCGTTGAGATGACCAGGCTGTTCAACTTCACACCTTTGATATTATGGCTGACCTGTGCTTCGGTCACCCGCTGGGCCTTCTGGCCAAGAACGAATTCAGTCCTTGGGTCGCTTCTGTGTTCGAGTCCTTGAAAATGCTGCCGTTCGCTGCCATTATTAACTACTACCCCCTCTTCAATGTGATTTTCACCCGCGTCGAGCCCAAGTGGGCTACGGAGCAGCGCATCACGCATTGCAAACACTCGGCCGAGCGTGTTGATCAACGGTTGGCTGAAGGGTTCGACCACCCGGATATCTGGAATTCGGTCCTGTCGGCCCAGGATGGCAGGGGACTTAGTTTGGAGGAGATGCACTCTAATGCTGAGCTCTTTATGCTGGCTGGCTCAGAGACCACTGGTGAGTATTTCCTCTACTCCACTTGTCACGTTCGTCCAGAACACTGAATCGGTATATAGCCACCCTCCTCAGCGGCTTGACTTACTACCTTCTTACGAACCCGGAAAAGATGAAGCTATTGAATGATGGAATTCGCAGTGCCTTCAGCAGCCTCAAGGACATAGGCTTCGACAGTCTCGCCAACCTGAAATACATGAATGCCTGTAAGTCCTGTTCTAGGAACTGTGACGCCTGTCACCCGGTCGATTAGCAGAGCAGGAACACCCGTCCTCCTTATAACAGAGTGAGCACCTGTACTTGAAACCAGTTCTCTCTCCTCTTCAATTTAGTATTTCTCAACAGAGGTAGACTGAGGTCGCAACCTTGATTTGTACTCGCAGTGCCTCTGCCTCGTCACAGGACCTGTCGAGGCCCTATTCTGTTCAGCCTGTTAAGGCTTAGTCAATTAGTCATACCTGCTGAGGTACTTTTGTTAATCTGATTAGAGCAACATGACTCTTCATTTATCCTTTTGCTACCCTCCCAGACAGTTGATCTTGTTAAGGATCTTTGTTGTCCGTCTCCATTATCTTCACCTTGAGCCTGCGGGCATACACTGCCCGTTCAGTATACCTAATTTGATAAAGATAACTATAGTAGTAATTAGGCCTAAAGTTGCCGAGGAATAGGTGGGCAATTTTTCTTATTAATTAGACGCGTGTAAATGCGTTCATATAGAAAATAGTAGTCGAGATGTTTAGGGTCGCGTCGCGTCACGAAGTAGGTTGTTAAGTAGGGTGGTCGCAGATGGGGTGGTTGACTTAGGATTCAGGAAATGATGCAATTACATAACCAAACAATGCCGCAGCTCCTTCCCTTTGAACCGAATGGAACTCGGCAAGCCGGAAGAAATAATTCTATACATTGCCCTCTGTAAAGAAATTCGCCACGTTTGCTGCCTCATCACCACCGCCACTGTTGTCCCACCACGCCCGTCTGAGCTTGAAGAAAATAGCCAAATTGACTAGCTACATGTACTGGCGATTTAACTTTTGAAAGTTGGCTCAAGCCTGGTTCATGCCGGGATGTATGTACATAGATTTTCAGGAGGATGAAAGCCACTGAAATACTCAGTATCACGGCGACGACAAGGCAGTAGTTAGTTTAACTCTTTACGACCCCGGAGCATCTCCAAGGTACTCGGTAGATCGCGGCTCGAAGAGACTTACGAAGAACATTCTGATCATCCTAGGACTAATGGAAACATCAGTTGATTGTATTTTGTATCAGCACACTCTAAAACCCATACAAGCCGTTGCTCTTGCGGCAAAGTCTTCCCGTCCCTTACTCTAGCTAGTAACTAAATCATCTATCCGTACAGCTATATCAGTACAGCAAATCAACATCTTCTCCCAGTATGCTATAGCAGTGTAAAACGCCTGTCAGATTTCTTACAAGGCTTCAATTGCCCTCATCAGAACCTCCAGACCTTTCCCATCGACATCCTGGGCCTTCTTATCATCCAGCAGCGCAGCGACATCACTCAGAACACCCAAGGGTATCCAGCAGCCCTCGCGCGCCTTATCGAGACTCTCCTTCAGTCTAGAAGTGTGCTCCCACTCCCGCGCCGCCTCCTCAGCCCTCTCGATCACGCTGTCCTTGATACCGCACATGGCCGCGCAATGCATGCCAAAACTTCCCTCGGCGACTCCGTCCTCGAGCTTGTAGAGGAAAGTGATCTTGCGGTTGGCATCGTCGACCTGAATAGCCATGCGTTTGGAGCGTACCTCGGGATGAGAGGAAAATTCGGTAGCAAGACTATGGTAATGCGTCGCGAAGAACCCGACACAGCCGATATGGCTCGCGACGTGGTGCAGCACGGCTTGGGCAACGGCCACACCGTCGTAACTGGAAGTGCCGCGACCCAGTTCGTCGAGAATGACGAGTGAGCGCGGAGTCGCTTCCGAGAGGATCTTCTTGGTTTCGCTTAGTTCGACGAAAAAGGTGGACTGTGCTGCGAAGATGTTGTCGTTGGCGCCCAGCCGGCTCATGATGCGGTCGATAGGGGTAAGACGGGCGCTCGTCGCAGGGATGTAGTGACCTATCTGGGCGAGAATGACTGCTACGCAGGACATACGCAGAATGGTCGATTTACCAGCAGCATTGGCTCCCGTGAGCAGGTTGATCTTAGCAGAATCACCACCAAGTACAACGTCGTTGGGTATGAAGTCATCCACAGTGTTGAGCATGCATGGGTGTCTCAGCTCCTCGAACTCGACAACACTACGTTCCTCGTCGATAAAGACGGGCCTGCAGCTGGGTTCGCCCAACGCCGCGGATGACTTCGCGAGACTGATCAAACAGTCCAATTGGGAGATGATGCGGATGGCCTGCAACCAGGTCCCGTAGTCAATGTCGAAGCGCTTGAAGATGCGGGCGGCAACCTCACGGAGGAGCTGCGAGTGCGTCTCCTCGGCCTCTTGCAGCTGGCGCACAAGACTTGTGAGTTCCTTGAAGTAGTACCGCTTGACGTTGGCGGTAGCTGACATCTGCTGCCAATCCTTGGGGACTTTGACGGCCTTCGGCACTTCAATCTGGTAGACTTCCTTGCCAACGTCGGTAAACTTGAGGGCCTTGGACTTCAGTTCGACCTTCTTCTTGTCAAGCAAGCTGTGCAATTCATCCTTCATCTCGATGATCTGGTCGTGGCTCGCATCAAAGTCTTCCTCGATGCCACGCTCAGGAATGAGGAGTTTCTCCTCGCGAGCCTTCTTGCGATCAAACGCCGTCTTCCAGTAGGACAAAGGCTCGTTGAGATCAGGCATCAATGAGACGAGTTGGTCGACTAGGCCATTGCCGCCACCGAAGGAACTAAGCAAGCTCATAGTGTGCTCGATCTGCTCAAATCCCTCAAGCACCTTGACAAAGTCTTCCGGTCTGCAAGCCCCAGCGTTTATCCTCGAGATCAGACGCTCTAGGTCAGGCATCCGAGTCATCTGAGAAGAGAATTGCTCTCGCATTTCGCGATTGGCATTGAGAATATCGACCGCGTCCAGTCGCTCATTGATCTTGGCAATGTTGCAAAGAGGATGGCACAGCCATTGCCGGAACAGGCGCTTGCCGAAGGGAGTTACGCACTTATTGAGCAGGCTAAATAGCGTGCCTTCAGTACCTCCATTAACGGTGTTGGCGAAGATCTCAAGATTGATGAGAGTCTGGCCATCTAGGATGAGAGTGCCATACTTGTGAATGGGGTTGAACCACGTGAAGTTGCCTTGGGACAGCAAATTCCGCTCGATCTTGAGTACGCGCAAGTACTGGACCAGAGCACCGACGGCAGACATTAGCATGTCTTTGTCCTTCGCTTCGGCCAGTGCGTCCGGCCAGACCTCCTTGGCATCCAAGTCGTGTTCAGGGGCGAAGTATCCATTGCAGCTGAGCTCACGCCTGGTGAGGTCTGCTTCCCAGAACTCGGTGCCTGGCTTGAAGTAGTTCCAGATCGTCGTCGGCGCCGTGTTGTTCTTGAGGATTCGAAGAGCCTTGGTGGAAATGCGAGACTTTTCCAAGAGTAGCTCGCGGGGGTTGGTCTGGACTACAAATGTTTCGAATTTGGTCAAGTCCACGTCGTCCTCAAATTCCGAGATGAAAAACTGGCCAGTAGCGGCATCAACAAAGGCAATGCCAAAGATCGGGTGATCATCAACGATTGACTCCTTGATAGCAGCACAGTACGTTGCCGTATCATCTTGGAGCATGGCACCATCAACAAGAGTGCCGCCGGTAAGAATGCAAGCGAGCTCTCGCCGGATGATCTTGTCTTGCTTCTTGGCCTTGCCGTCGTCCCTTTCGCGCATCTCCTTGCCCAGAGCATTCTCCATCTGATCAACTCGCGCTACCTTGTAGCCTTTGGCAATGAATTGGTTGACCCATGTGTCGAGCGAGCTCTCGGGTACGCCGACCATGCGCATATTGACACGGTCAGTAAGCTTGAGATCGAAGAGCTGATGACCGATGGTGGCGTCATTCTCGTAGAGCTCAAAGAACTTGCCCTTCTTGAAGAAGACGACAGTATCCCACAGTTTGTGTTTGATTTCCCAGTACTGCTTCTCAAACGCCGAGAACTTGTTCCATGCAACGGGCGGAACGTAGACAGTGGATGGGTCGTACTCGGGGTGACCTGGAGGGTTTCGATTCAGGTCGGTGATCTTAGCAAGCCACGGATATCGATCCTCGGGTTCTCTGGTATGCGCCTTGCCCCTGGCAGCTGCCGCCTTGGACGCGTTCGGGGGCGGTGTTCGGAGCTTGACAGGATCAACGGTGTCGGGATCGTACTTCCACTTCTGGGCTGTGGACGTTGACGGCAATTCCTCCATGAGCTTGAGCTCTTCCTCATCTATCTCATAGTCTTCCTCGGCTATTGGCGGCGACGACACCTGTGATTTCTTCCGCGCAAGCTGAGCTTTCGGGGCTGGTCGCTTCCTTTTCTTCGACGGGCCATCTGATTCGTCTGACACGACGAAGTCGTCCATGTCCTCGTCTTCATCTTGCATTACAGCATCTTTACTTTCCTCGTATTCATCCTCGTCGTCATGCACCACCGCACGTTGGCGGCTTCGTCGTCGGGAAGTCTTCATGGGCACGATCACGTCTTCGTCCTCGTCGTCGGAAGGTTCAGCGTAACTAACGGCTTTTTTCGCCTGTGGGGTATTTCAATTAGCATTTCATGCGTACGAGTTGTATTGAGTGGATATTGAGAGTACCTTGCGAGAAGGACTGCTCCCGAATGCAACCTTGGGGGTGACGACCTGCTTGATGGAAACCTCAGCAGAGATCACAGGCGAGGGTAGCGTATCTCTGAATACCTTGACTGTAGAAACAGAATGGTTCTCCTGCGAACTCGAGGGTTCGATCGCGTCGCTGCTGGGGACGGGCGTCACATTGGATGATTTCTTGCTGAGCTGCAGGGAGTTGGATTTGGTGGTTTCCTTCAGACATGGAGATGATGTGGTGACTTTATTGGAAGATTTGGAAGAAGACGAAGCCGCCGCACCCTTGGAAAAGAAACCTAGAATGCTTTGCTGTTGCTTGCTGGTCGTGGAGGATGTCGAGCTTGACTTCTTCGTCAAAGACGGCGTTTTGGGAGTGGACTTGTCCCCCATCTTGAGAGAGCTGGAGCAAGAGGAAACAAATACGCAAACACCGTCTACTTGGTCCAGAAACAGGCAGTTCCACTTGCAGAGTCACAGTACAGAAAATGCTTAGCAGAATTGAGCGTCGAAGTGGTCGAGACTACAATTATCTAGACCAGCACTTTCTAGTGGAACGCGAAGGAGCTTTCTGGCCCGGCGCGTCTTTCGCGTTCGTGTAAATTGGGAAGTCGCGCTAGTGTTATCAGCCCCACCCAGTTTGGAACCAGTGCTCAAAACGGCAATGATATCGGTGACTGAAACAGGCGAGCAAAACGTTTTAAAGCGGGATGAAGACTTGGAAGGTATTTGGCTTCATGTACTTTGTGGTTTTCTAGTATCAAAAGCTAACATTCAGAGGCACTGCGAAGCGCCGACCTTATGTTGAGCTGAAGTCAGATACAATTCGCTGCAGTTCCTCCTCTGTGCAACTTCCCTGCTCCGCTTACCTCTCATGTCACTGGTATTTCATGTACAAAGTGCAGGACGAGAGTGCTAGAGAGAAGTCGGTTGCCAGTTACCAGATAGGTACCTGCAGGATAGTGCAGGGGACTCAATAACGACAAGTTAATCGCTGCCCCTCCTCAAGAGAGGGCCGTCACAGCAGCCTATTTATACAGTGCCGACCTTCGCCTAGGGTAGGGCCCGGCAGGCCACTGTGGCTTCTCCAGAGGTTCCATACCTTAATCCGCATGATCTGCCTGCTTCTCTCAGCTGACTTGCGTATAATACATTGGGCTGAGTTGCTCAATGTTGGTCTCATGGCAATTATCTTGCCTAATATCGCAAACATCGCCAAACGTCTTGTACATACCACTAATACCCATATGACTGTTGCTTTCCTCAGCGCTACGAAAGGTTACATTACCAAACTTTCAACTGGAATTCAGAGCGTCAGACTATTTATTGCACTGCAAGGGATATCAGGACATGAATAATCTCATCTTGAATGTCATCTATTGATGCAGCGCAAGGGGAACGCAGACTGTCAGAGGTGGTCCGTCTATATTCAACACTACTATTTGGTTCCATCCCACCAGCACTAGCCTAGCTTACCTAAATTAACACACTTATATTTCTCTGTGTGACCCAACAGGTTATGCGCCCTCGTGATGACGCGTAGTCGTAATTCTGAAGCGATATTCATTACTATGATCATCTTTTCGATTAGATACCTACTTTACGGCTTCTGATTCGATTCTCTTTTCACGAAATTAGCCTCGAAGGTCCGTGACGCGTTACTTCCCCTGACTTCACAACTTTATCATTAATATTAAAACGACTACTTCGAGCCTAGAATCGTCTATTCTAACTGATTCGTAGCTTATGGTTTCACTACATTCTCTTCGGATTTGTCAATTCCTACAGTTCTTTCTATTTTTAGAAGAGCGCGAATCTGAGGTTATTACATGAAGTAGGTCTACGAAAAACCTCGTACCTACTTTGAGATTTATCACTATAAAGTCAAGTCAAATTCTAACAGACTAACACACTAATGGACTAAAAATGTATATACGAATCTGCCGGCTATTGCCGCTTTAGTGTAACGAAACCTCTATAGTCTAGCTGTAAACCACTAAAGTGTCTGTAGGGGCTTGTACTAGTAAGTAAGTCCTGCTATCGGGGTCTTAATTAATAACAAAGGTACCTATAACATGATGGGCAACAAATCTTGACCTCCTTCAAAATTTAAGATGCAAAGTCATGCTGTGTAAGGAGGCAGGTGAAGTTCTCGAGGCACACACCTTAACCGCCCTTCTTCCATCCGTCGAGGATGCGGTCCTAATCGGCGATCACTGACAATTAAGGCCCTAGATAGCAAACCATGACTTCAGAGTACCAGTTCCCGAGGCGCACAGTACTCCCTTGATGTGTCGCTGTTCGGGTGTCTTGTCGATGCTCACCATGGCACAGACCCGAGAATACCGTTTGACACCTTGGACACCCAGAGGGTAATGCATCGAAGTATCTCAAAGTTAATTCAGTCGACCTTATACCCTTCAATAGAAGATGGCGGTACAGCAGCTCAGTACCCAGAAGTTATCGGTATGAAGAAACGCTTGTTCTAGCTGCACCATAAATCGCCAGAGGACCAAGCGAGTGAACTTGTTGCGATCACCACCTCACGCACCAACACCTTCGAAGTTGAGATAACTGTGGATTTGGTCTAACACTTGGTTAGGATCATATGGATCAGATGACATCGCCATCATCACAAACTACCTCGGACAGCTGGTTCGGCTTCGTCGCGCGATGGAGAAACTTTTCGAAACCTCAGTTAGCGAGCAAGATATGGAACAGATCGAAGCTCGTAACGCAGATATATCTGCAGACGAGTACGAGGCTTCCGAGCCACATAAGCAACCGGTCGTGAAAAAACCGTTGCTGAAGAGTATTCGCTTGGCAACTGTCGCTAAATTCCAGAGTGAGGAGGCTCAAGTCGTGGTGATTTCGCTCGTAAGAAGTAAAAATGGAGATGAATGCGGTTTCTTGAGCACAGATAATCGTATTGATGTGCTGCTGTCTCGAGCTAAGCATGGTATATACCTGATCGGTAAGGCTAAAACCTACGACCATGTAGACATGTAGGCCAACATGTTGAAAATTCTCAAGAAGACTGGAAACAAAGGGAAGTATTATTATTATTAAATACGCCGTAGGCTCGAAGCCCCCGGTACCTCTACTAGTACTCCCGTATGTCAAACCGTGCCCTAATGGCTGGACTAAATACATACGCTGCATCGTCGGTTCGCCCTATTGGCGACTGCGTTGCGTTCACTACCATACTACGTTGGTTCTCAACCTACCAACAAAGTCCCCCCTGAGAAGATCGATGCTATCTGGGCCTTGAAGCTGTCCGACCCGTCCCTAGCAGCCATCTTACAATAGTCCCACTAACTACTGGTTCTCCTGTTGCCGTTGCGAGGTCTCTGCGAGAGTATAGTGGCCGTGGTGCGATGGCGGCCCGTAATCGTTCCCTCGGTCCTTCCAACAGCCCGCAAAAGAGGATTACGTGCTCTGCCGTCTCAGGGGCATCGCCACAGCGGCATAGCGGCGAGTACACGCCAAAGGGAAGTAACTAGAGTGACAATGTAAGCGACGCCTATCATTTATTATATTAAATACTGACAATCTTTTTGCAGGCCCGCGCCATCCTGATGCACCTCTCCTGGTGTCTAATGCTAACGACTTCCTCCGTATCGCATCTGAAGTAGGGTGCATCCTCCCCTACCACCAACGCTTGCCATGTGGACATTCGTGTGTTAACAGATTTCACCATGGGAATCTCCACAATGACGTTACAAGGTGAATTTTCAGATTTGAGACACAGTGGTTTGTGATCAGCTCTGGAAATATCCAATACACGGATTCGGAATCCGGTACCGCACGAAACACAATGAGCACTTGTGTAACTGAGGTCGAATTTGATGACATCGGACTTTGAACAATAATTTGATCTGGGACTCTTTGTTGTATACATAGCCAGTTGGATGGTCTTGCATATGCTTTGATATCGGATTTTCTTCAGGGCAATGTGCATACCACCTTAGTTCGAAATTAGTCTTTGAACAAGAGGCAGACATAACCAGATGATATTATAGCGATCAATTTTTGTGAAAGGGGTAAATAACGCGTATGGGCTTAAGAACTGGGCCGAAAGAAGCTTATACATTACAGGGTGATACTATAGCCTTAGCACTGGCTAGCTAGCTTGGTAGACTTTGTGCAGTGACGGGATTTGTATACGAGACTGAGAGTAGGGCCATATGAAGGTCTAAGTTAGAGGCTGTCTATTCGTGGCTGTAACTTGCCGATCTTCTGCAATGCAAAGATCAATATACGCGCGCATCAATTTTCTGAGACAACAAGCAAGTGGAATCCTGCGCCGATCTTAAGTGTGTTTCTGGTGGGTCTGGATAGTACCAGCGATAAACCGTATCTGTGCCTGGTTGGTAGAACGGCTCTCGCACATAGAACGTGCTGCGAATAATAAGTTTGATATTGGAAGTAAGCTGCGAGCGCAATCGACAAGTCCTGTGTGGCGAATGCTCTGGGGCGAATTGTTCCCTGTCGCTTTAGATCCTCCGGCCTTGATTGGTTGGCGAACGTGATTCAGTTAGACGATCTACGTAACTGTGGTTTGCCTAGAAAATGAATATGGCATACAGACTGGCTTCCAATTGAATAAATATATTTACTTGATGGATCGGGTTAGAGTAAGAAGAATTTAAATGGCAGGCTGTAACAATGCTGGAGAGCTCCAGACCCTGCTCTAACTGAAATTTTGTATACAGTACTTAGTCCTCTGTGCTCAGGTTGCTCATTAATTTTACTCCCCTCGTTATGTGCTTCACAGAGTATGATTTCTGACGTTTACATCCCAGCTAAACAATGTAAACTTCCATTTACCCCACCCAAGTTTCAAGTCGAAATGACTTGATATGCTCCTGCCCGGTGAATCTGTCTCGTCGGCTTCCGGGCTTGTCAAAACCTCCCACTGCTGATCATCAATCTTGCCATCGTCTTGGCGGCGAGGTTGGGAGGAAGATTCGGACCGTATAGCGACTTTAGTTTCTACTCCCATTGGTTATGCACTTGATCAGGGTGAACAAATAAGGGGTTCGGGAGAAATCATACCCGCTGGAATTCGGTAAGTGCCTCCTTGTTGTGCCATCTTCACAAGTAAATATATTGTATTCAATAGCAATCGATTGGCAAAATCAGAATCGTTAGTTCTACTCGAATCTTGGAAGGTGAGATGATAGGAGCAAAATGCAGACCAGGTTACCATAGCCTGCAACAATGCGGCTAGTGTGGGATCGCACTGGTACTGGCATTCCGGCTACATACAAAGGTGAAGAAGGGAAGTACAGGTGAGGGGGGGCGGGGGGGTCCAAGTCGCACAAAGACACTTAAGTATCTTGCCCGTATCCCACGTGGCCGTAGGCCACCAATCCCACAGGTAGAAGTATATGTAGTGCTTTTGAGATTGAGCGCCACGAATTAGGACTTCCGGCTACCAACGGGGTATTTAAAGCAGCCAATGCAGTACAACATAGAGACACCAACCAAGACAGGATCTACACAGAGTTATCAATAGAGGACTGAATCCCTCAAGATTCAGTTGATGTAAAGCAAATCGACCACTTTGTCTTGACATCGTACGTATAACCTTTTAATTAACATCTTTACACACACTAAGACAGCATCGAATTAGAAAGAAAGCGATATGATTATAGCGTGTTAGGCGCTTTAATCGCAACCCGAATTTAGCATCCGAAGTGCTACCTAGCTCTACAATGTCCCCCGTGCAACTCTATATCTGCTAGTCAAGTCTCCCTGAAATGCTTTTCTCTGTACACTATGTCATAGCACCCGTTCCTAATCCGGACCAGGCCCCTCTATTCCATGAATCAAAAACCAATGTCCAAGTTACAGTTACATACGTAGTAATTTCTACAAGTGCCCATGATGGTCTAGTGGCTGGTATGTGGTTTGTGATGTTGTTATGGAGAAAGCTACAGGAAGCAACCCTTAGAAAACTGATTTAGTCACGAATTTCCAAGAAGGGCAAGATGTAGATGATTGAATATGAGCCAGCGAATCAGGACGGAGGGTCCGTCTTCATGTCGAGTAGAACCCCTGCAATTTGTTATACGGTTGGTTCCGTCAAGCATGTCGTCAACAAGGATCTACGATATGTTGGCCAAGGAGTCTGTCCTACCAGGAATCCCAGAAGTCAGTCGCTCGCTAACAAAGTGTCGTGTATGGATGGACCAGAACAACCCACGTCAGATATTCATCACAACTGAGGCTAACTCCCGTGCCCTGGAAAAACTAACCCCCCTGTTGTTTCTTAAAAAGTATGGTAGAGGAAACAAGCCTATACCTTCTATTGTACCTTCTGTTGTATCAACATACTATATCGTATCGGTATAATTCTAGGATGACAGGGGGAGTCGGAGAACGTCCCAAAGCTCGTGGGGGCCAATTGTTGACCTCTGCAAACAATGCCCTACACTAATCATCCCCGTATGACCCCACACCTGACAAACCTCATGAGCTTTCAAGTATAATACCGGGTTTTCACGTCCTGGGGAAGATGGAGGTTCAAGTGAGTAATTCAATTAATCAAGTGAAGCCTTCAGAACAAGAGCGCTACAATCTTCAACTACTCTAGTCGACTACGTCTCGAACCCATGCCTTAGAGCATGCGCACAATATTTCGCACATGCTTCCATCAACTTATTCAACGCTCAGCAGAGACAGTCTCAGTGTGTTCCCCAATCTTCTCCGTCTGGGCAGCCTGCTTCTCGTCGCCCACATCAGGGTGGCTGCTGCCGCCGTTCATGTCGCGTAGCATAGCTGTCAGTCCGATCTCGAGGTTGATCTCCTCCATGCGCTCGAAGTCGGCTTGAGCGGTGCCCTCTGATCCGAAGATGATATCCTACGGACGGGGTTTTTGTCAGTCTTTTCCTTCGAGGGGTTTCGGATCGGGGATTGCAGCGATGCTTACCATTTCTTCGAGCGTTAGCCGTTTCGTCTCCGGGACGAAAAACCAGATAAATCCCGCACCTATGGTAGTTAGGATGCCGAAGAGAACGTAGGTACCGTAGCCAATGCTTTGGAGCATGTCGGGGGTGACTGGAAATATATTAGCTATCTCGTGTGCCTCGGCGGAAGCAGTGGGCTGTACCTTGGCCGACGATGAAGTTGTTCATCTGAACATGTCTGTTAGCATGACGCTTTCGTAATTGTTCCCATCAGCATCCTTACCCAATTACTTGAGGCACCAATAGACACTCCATAAGGTCGAGAGCTCAGAGGCCAAATTTCAGCAACGATAATCCACGCACATGGACCCCAAGAATATCCGAAGTGAATGACGAAGAGCCAAACCATAACGACCGCCGCCCAGCCAGCAGCTGCCTGCGTGGCCCACTGTGTAGCGTTCTTGGCGACGATGACAGCAATCACAAAATGGCAAGACGCCATGCCAATGGCGCCAATCGTCAAGATGGGCTTGCGGCCCACGCGGTCGATCCAGAGCACGGCGGGAATGGTGAAGACGAACATGACGATGCCGACGACTCCAGTGGCCAATAGGCCGGTCTTGTTATCGTCTAAACCCAGCTGCTTGAAGATCGAGGGAGCGTAGTAAAGCACAGCGTTAATACCGGTCCACTGTTGGAAGAACATGGTGACACTAGCGACGACGACACGCCGGAACATGGCCTTAGTCTTGAACAACGAGCCAATGGCGACGAATTGCAGCTTGAAGACATTCCAGGCCGTCTGCTCGCGGAGATGAGGGAAGTGCTCAGCCACCGACCTCTTCTCGAAGAGAGACTGGGCCTTGATCTCGAGGAACTCTAGTTCCACCAACTCGTGGTCTTGCGGGAGACCTCGGAGATCCGCCAAGTTCTTCCGGGCCTCTGCTTCGCGTCCGTGGTGGACGAGCCATCGTGGCGAAAAGGGCATGAAGATCATGCCGACAAGCAGAATGATGGCGGGAAAGAGTTGAAGACAGATGGGCACGAGCCAGGCCGCGTCGGTCTGCTCGCCGAGGCTCGTGCCCCCGATGAAGTTAGTTCCGTAATCAATCCAGAACGAGATCATGATGCCAAATGTAATCGCGAGCTGCTGCAGACCGACGAGTGCACCTCGGACTTCGGGCGGCGCGACTTCCGAGTTGTAGATGGGCACGATCATGGCTAGACTACCGACGCCCATTCCTGTAATGAATCTACCCGCGAGGATAACGTTGGGGCCGGCACTGATGGCAGTGGCCTGGATAACCACTCCGAGCATGAAGACCGACACGGCGACCAGGACACCGTACTTTCGTGACAGGGCTTCGGCGATGAAACCAGACAAAAGCGTACCAATCCAAGCTCCCAGTTCCAAAATCGCCGTAAGCCAACCCTTCTTGGTCTGACTGGCGTTGTCATCGAACGGATCGTACTCGCCCATGTCTAGGGGGCGGGGCTGGTTAGTGAGGTTCTTGCTCAATCAATAAACGTTGTTGAAGGTGGCGGCGACATACGAGCCTTGAATGCGGGCATGGCCAGCACGCCTGAGAACATGCCCTGGTTGTAACCATACAGGACGCCGCCGATACAAGCAAAAGCGGCAATGGAGAAAACCTTGAAGTTCTTCACCAACGCTCTAGGGCCAGATGCCCCCATGAGTCGTTGACGATGCTTCAACGCTGCATCATAAATGACAGCGCTGGAATCTACCGCGACCATCTTGGGCAAACAAGAGGACTCGAGGTATCGTCAATGAACGTTTGACAACGATAAAAGAGCCCCAAGGGAGCTTCGATGGCAGCTTGACTTAGTAGTATGAAAAGGTAAGACAGAAAGGAGAAGAGTCTTCGAGTAGCCCAGTCCAACACTCTGGCACGACACACTTGCGTTTCAATGGCCGGGAATCAAGGATAAATAGGAACCATCGTTCCACATGGCTCATGAATCGCGACCTATGCAGCTCGAACTGATGAGAACTAGCAAAATAATAAAGCAGACCCAAGACGCATATAGACTGGGGGTGCTATTGGCTGAGGCGTGCAAAGCATTTCAACTCCCGGTAGAGAGGCCGATTTTTGGATGGGTCGTTGGGACCTCATTGCACTTACTGGACCAGGGCCCGGGGTAAATAGGATATCTGGAGCTACCGGAGCACACTCTTCTCAGCCGTGGTACCGGGTGATTGGTAAAACTCGCTCGCGAGCTGATATCGCGGCGTCTTATATTATCTCCCGTTCAAGATTCGTGAGATCCATCTGTGCCGATGGTTTGAAAATGCGGCGGATGCATGATATTTTTATGACGGCACCCTGCCATACCATTCAACTTGGCCAGTGTTGCCGTCTTCCTCGGTACAGTGCAGGCCGCAGCCAAGTGGTAGATGCGGGGAAGTTGGGGCTTCACCATGCGGGGGATGTGGAGTAATTCGCCCAACGTTCTCAGGGGGACTTTGTTAGTAGGGTGAGAACTAACATAGTATTGTGGTGGACGTAACGCAGTCGCTAATAGAGCGAACCTACGTAGCAGCGTATGTATTTAGTCCAGCCATTAGGGCACGGTTTGACATACGGGAGCACTTGTAGAGGTACCGGGGGCTTCGAGCCTACGGCGTATTTAATAATAATAATTCGCCCAACTACAAACCTGGACCGTGGGGAAGAGAGCGTTGTTGGAGCTCTCGCATTTAGCCTGAATTGAGGAGGCTGACGGGGCCACGGGGAACTCCAGGGGCAATTGCGAAATGACTTGGTGGTTGCGTCGCCAGGGTCGCTCACACCGGGCCTTTTGAGGGGACCCGAGAGAGCCAGATAGAGCATCAAGATGTCGGATTAAACGTTGAAAGATTTCTAGCAATGGGGTCATGAGCGGACAGAGTTGCCAAATTGGACCACCTCACCCGTCACCGACCTACGCGCCGTTAATGCTTGAGCTTTGAAAAGCGAGCGAGTAGGCAAAGTAAATCGAAGGACCGAGGATCGTGGATACCGTGAACTTGACCAGGAGTGGCTTGACCTAGGCTAGATGCAAGCCGACATTCGGAACTAAGATCGTCTTAAAGGACTTCTAGCTGGCTGAATCCTATCGGATACTGCAGGAAAAACTGCGGCTCGACTTCGGCTTTTGAACGCTTTTGTCGCCTAAAGGGCATAGGCGAATATTGCACTCATATGACGGGATATATGCAGGGGGCGGGTCGCTTGCTTCGAGGAGGACTTTAACCGTGTTTTCCTGGGCAACAGGTGAGTGAGCCTTTGTGACCCCCAACTGAACGATGACCTCAAGAATCAATCAAGTCCTGTGCTCGGGGTTGCTCCGGTTCGCAGCTTCGTTGCGACCTCAAAAGCTGCTGGCATCAATCGCGCTATCGCTGCCCACTCCCGCGCCCTCCTCGAAGGACGTCAAAAACAGGATGAATAGAGGGTGTGTAACCGCTCATGGACCCATTCTTTGCACGCATCTCAGATGAACCTTATCTGAAGATCCCAGACTCGCGGTTGACGAAACAGGATGATGCCGGGGAAATGACCAAGGGATTGATGCCCGGCGCTTCGGACAATGGCCCGGAATCGAGCCGCCGTGTAAGTGGTGGGTACAATTGACCAATCAGGTGGGATGCGGCGGCTGCGAACATGCTTCAACAACAGAACACATTCCGATCAGCATCAGCATGCAGCTGCACATGATCCACATGTTGTTGTCGGTCATCTAATCTAGCACGCCTGGAATTAACATAAAACATACGGACAGGATTCGAAACGTACCGGCCAACCGTCTCCCGCGGCAAAGCATAGAAGCTGAAGACGAGAATAGGCAAATCCCAATTGGGGGTTTGAATGTCGACCTTTGTCTTGTCGGCAGGAACAAACCCCATTCAGAGTTATATCTCTTGTCAATCAACCACCCACCTCCTATTCCCAAGCTGTTTGCGATTCTGCACTCCTTTGCCTCTGACAAATGGGGCTGGCACGGGTGAAATTGCCAAGAGGCAGCACGTGTTGCTCCCGCCCGCTGTCGTCCAAAAATATCGTCTCTTCAATGCAAGAAATGGAAAGACTAACTCGGAATGGTTTAGTGATGCTCGTCTAACGTGGCAGGTTGGACGTTAGCGTTGCTGTAGACGCGCGCCTCCATCTATTATTTTGGAGTCCATGTCAATTTCAGCCAATCCCACCCCACCGTTTCTCGTCAAAACACCAGCTCATCTCATTTCAACCGTTCAGATACCGCCAACGCCTTCGGAGTTCTCTCTCTGATGGACATCTTATGACGATAGCTCCGCTGCTACTCGTCCGAATCCGGCGAGATGGACAGGCTCTGCGCATTTGCATGAACAGTCTGCCCCTCGAGTCTGTCGGATCGAATGCACTGCATCCTCAGCGCCGTCATGGACCAAACCTCACGGCTTCGCGCTGGCCCAGGCAATCCCATCTTGCATGGTGCGCTAGCTTCCCGCTGAGAGACTGTAGAACGCGACTCGCATCGCATCGTAAGCATCCGCGCGTTGTACCACCCTTCCTGGTTCCTGTCCATCTTTCCTGTTTTCATCTCGGCGAGCCAGGTTTGACTCTCGGCCTCTGTCAAATACATGAATGCCAATACGCAACTGCGCAATCTCTCCGTTCTACTTACGGATATGTCATGGTTTTCCTCAGCACGCAAGTGCGTCTGCGCATGGCCTATACCATGGACCTCTCCTCCCCGCTCGGCGCGCATGAGGAACCCCCACAGACCCTCTCTGTACAGGGCTGGCGGCTACTGATACCTCCTCTCTGCTATTTTTGACCCATCTTCTGGCCCGTCTCTATGTTGTGGTAGCGTTTGGCTATATGCCACCTGGCCCATCTATCTTAGCCGCCCTCCACACCAGGCCACTTTTCCTAACCGCCCAACTTCAGACAGACGCCTTCCCGAGACTCGTCAGCCAATATCAGCAGCCCATGAGCAGTCTGCCCACTCTTTCAGATACACGTCTTGGGTTTCATGACTTTCGCTTGCCTTGACCCCCAGCTGTCAATCTCTATGAATCTCCTCTGAACGAGCCTGGTAGCTCCGTTTCAGATCGAAAGCCCTGGGTCGCACGTTGCACTTCCAGGCCAACAGTCTCTCTTCTTTCGTCTCGGTTGTCGAGATCGGTCTTTTTATAAAGAGAAGCGTCCATTTTGCGACCCGTCTCACTTGGTCCCCTTCCTCTCCTGGACCCATTTACTACAGCATCAACGAACCGTTTCCTTTCGTCTCGTTTCGATATTTCCTCATCTGTTTCCTTTTCCTATTTCCTTGCCCCATTCGTTTCACCATCATTCGTTTGATACGAGAATACTACGTGCCATCTAATCTCCTCCTCTCCTGTCAACCTCCTCCGGGTGAGGTGAACGACGACCGCTCTCGCCCTTCAGACAGCGTGGATATCCCCAATCCTAATCGCCTTCGTTTGGGCCGATACCCTTCAGCTGTTGCAATTCGTCCTATATACTAGCGTTGTCTCCATCCATGAATATGCCGAAACACAATCGCCAGTCGTCGACGCATAATCGATACTCCAACCCGATGCCGGTATCACTCGCCCCTTCGGCACCCATCAATGTCGGATACAACACCCGCCCGCAACTGCCGCTCAACACGGGTTTCTACCCCACCATCCCGTCCTCTTCCCAGGCACAAGCATCCATGCAGCAGCAATCATACGACCCCTACCAGACGGTGGTCCCTCCCCCTATGCCTCATCGACCATCATCTGGCGCATGGTCCCCGCAGGACGACAACAGTCTGCTTCAGGCCAGGCAACAAGGCCTAAATTGGGCCCAGATTCAGAGCAACTACTTCCCGAACAAGACCCCCAATGCCTGCCGCAAGCGCCATGAACGGTTGATGGAGCGGAAAGGGGCTGACGACTGGGACGCACAGAAGCTTGAACGTATCGCCAAGGAGTACATGAGTATGCGCAAGGAGATTTGGCAACCGCTGGCGTCGCGTGTTGGCGAGAAGTGGAGTGTCGTTGAGCAAAAGGTCAGCCACATACATGTCCTAGGTTGACAGCTCCGGGTCACTGACATTTCCATAAAGTGCATGAATAACGGCCTCAAGAACCTCCAATCTGCGGCTCGCTCAGGGGCTCGACGAGACCGTCTAGAGTCCGGACAGCCGCTTTCCCATGGGTATGACGACGACAGCGGCATCTCGGGCATTGGTCTGACTCCAGTAGATGACCTTGACGCCTCATACAGCAGTCCCGAGACGACGACGTCGAGTTCCCACTCGGGCAGCAACTACAGCGGTATCCACCCCATGCAGCTCAACCACCACCAGGCCTACGGCCACAACTACAACACCAGTACGGGTGGCCTCTCCTCGTCCGGCTACAGCTCCTCCGTCTCCTCGACCGCAGCTCAGGCCCAGTACGGCAACATGCAGAGCCACTCACATCATTCTCAAAACGGATCCCCGTACATGGGTCACGGTCAGCGATTACCTAGTGTCGACATGGGTATTGACGCCATCATTAATCGGCCGGCACACCACGGTGGTGCCCCATCGAGCATTTAAGGCGTACATGGCGTTCTTGCATTTTTTTTTCTTGTCTTCATTCCATTCTGATCATGCCGATTTTCCTTGTCATTCTCTACAGGATCATTGCGGCGGAGTGGTAGCAAGTCAGTCTTTCATTCCCTCTCTCTAACGATGCATCTTCTGTTCTTTTCCATCTACAATCAGCATTGGCGTTTCAAGGCGTTGCATAAACATGGGAACATGGGTGGGGTTTTGGGGACAAAAGGGACAGACAAGCGTTTTTGACCGAATGTTGGTCACAGCAGAGATGGACCTCTGCTTTGGGACGAATCCTTTTTTATTTTTCAGTTTTCGGTGGAGAGAAAGAGCGGTGAAAAGTAAATGACAGCGTGCACTCTCTTTATCATGGTATTGAAACCCGGGATGGTGGGCAGACTTGAATGGCATAGCACAGCTGCTGCATCTCCTAATTATAGCACTTTCTGCAATTTTCACTTTAGCTTATGACCTGTCGATGAATGATTTGTATACTAGATCATAGAGATACCACGGTCTGGGTGGTGGATGAGCAGACAGATACTTAGCTTAGCAAACTCCGGTGAGATGAGCATAAGGGCTCTAGAGGAGATCAATCAGAACATTCATTTTTGACTTCAACCACACGAGCAACGTTATGAGGTAGCCTTCATATGATGGGCATGTCGATATTTGGGGATAAGCTTTACTTGATGCTGTTTTGCCAGATACGTGGTAACTCGGTGGTATTTCCAACTGCAACCCAATGACATGCTCATTTGAAACGCCCCTATCCCCGGCCCAAACACAGAGGAAAAAGAAAATAAAACGTCAATTCTCCGCGCGGTTTCGAAGCATGAAAAGATTCTACAAGGAGATGGTGATGCGGAGTGGTGTACCAACAGGTAATCCGCTGAAGTGGACTAAGCCTATAAAGCTCCGACTTAGAGCTCAGCCTTGTGTATCAGAAAGGGCAATTTCCACATTTCTCCATCCCCTATGGTGCTGGATTATATTCAGTTGCAATATTTCCACAGGTTATCTAGGCAGTTAGCGCTGGGTCGTTGAACACCCTTGTAGCTGTCTAAAATTGGTCGCCAAAGCGCACAACCTTCATGAGCGCTGGATTTCAGAAGTGCTTGTTGAGTCCCGTCATCAAAATTAGGAATGGCCATTGGATCGGCAGCAAACGATCAACCGGTTGGTTCCGCTACAGTTTGTTTGCATGGAAACTCAGTGCTTGGACTCTGGACAACTTGTACTTTATACGGTGAGCCGATAGAGCCGAGGACATTGCCTCTCATGCTGCTGTAGGCCATAAGATTGCCAAAACTACAGTTTTCATGGAATGAATACGAATTATGTTCACGGAACCCGTTTACTCTACCCGTGGCCCACTCTTGTGATACAAGATTCTGAAGTGACCCATGGAACTCATTTGTCACGGCACGGAACGTTTTGATCATGTTTGTCTTGAGCAGCAGGCGAGTGCTGGGCTTGGCCTTATTTCCTGAAGACATGGAAACATCCCCTTTCATCCCATAGGGCTGAACCATTGATCAAATGAGTTGCGTGAGAACCCTTATATGGGCTCAAGGACAGTCTCCGCTGCATCTTCAAGATAGACGTTACACACATAACCTCGGATCAACACCTTGCACTTAAACACTTCTCATACGTATTAGTCCCCTCCCAAATAAACCCCCCCCTATCAAGCAACCTATTTACAACAATATGTCCCCACTCCAGACAACAGAAAGAACAAATGATAGTCTCTCCTCAAACCCACTTCGGCATAAATGGCGGCCCGGACTACTTACCCCAGCAGGGCAATAGGTACGACGTCACCTATTGCGTGCCTATGATTGTTACTTGAGGCCGAGTTTGCCTCAGGACCGCTTATGTACAGACGCGTTGGGGATGCGTGGATGGCTGGATTGGTTGGAAGTGTGGCAGGGGTACCGTGGCAACACTGGGGTGACCATGGAATCCTTGTATTGATATAAGAACGGAACGTTGCATTTGTAAAAAGGGGTAGCCTGCTTAACACAGTGTATTTCCCCTCCTCCGCCTCAGAATTGAAGTCAGAACATACCCTCCACGTTGGGATGACTGCACAGCAGATTATACACGGGAAGAAACAAATCCTTCTCCCCCATCTCCATGACATCTCCCCACGACTTCCACTCCCACCCCTCGCACTGACAAACATCTTGCAGCTTCCAACGTCTCGAATCAGCACCTGGCTTAAACCATTCACACAAGCAAACCACGCACCTCAGGCAGCTGCGTCTCATCCTTGCGCTCGCAGAGCACGAAAAACGTGACGTCATGACAATAGCCTCCCTCTAAGATGTCGTTTGTCCAGCTGAAGACTTTCGTCGCGCACACCTCCAGGGCGGTGGATTCCAAGAAAGCACGCTCTGCGCACTCGAAGAAGTCCTCGCCGTGTAAGAGGTACGTGTTGGGGAATTGCCATTTTCCTACGCCCATACTCTGTTACATCTGAATCTGCCCGTAGGCTGGGCGAGATTGCTTACCAGGCTCGATAATGCCTCCTTTTCGATTGCCCATGATGACGCGGTTGGCGTTGTCACGTAAGATGGCGGAAATTCTGACACGTGGTACCATGGTGGTTATTGGTTCGCGACAGACGGCACTTGCGTTGTCGTGCGTAGGAAATGATTCAACATGAATATAGATGCTGTTTGTGCTTGCGAAATAACGCCATGATCACACGTGCCACTGAGATTACCGACTAACCTAGTATGAGGAGCTTGGCGCGTGGATGACTGCAGTCCGCACCAACGCTAGGCAACGCCATACAAACTATGGAGTCGATTTGAAGGCGTAGACCTTAAAATCATGGTATATGACAGTATAATTTGACGGGCTTTAGTAGGTCCGGACTAAAGGTCCAAGCGCGATGGTTAGGGGGAGTCGTAGGCAAACTAGCCTAAATCTGTAGCGCGTACGTACGCTTCAAAGGAAAATTAATAGCGAGATCAGCACGCTATGAGTCAACCCACTATTCCCGCTACTTGGCTGCCCCTAATGTAACCGAAGGACTAATAACTACCTGGTAACCTGATTAAAAAGGTAAAAATACTTCTTTTTATTAAGGGAGAAGTAGTCGGCCACGCCCCTCGCGCTACTAAGCACCTGTAGGTAGAGAAAAAGCGGAAGTGTAGGGCCTGTCACGACCTGGGTTGCATCGCATTGGTATAGACCTCGATTAGGTGCTATCGACGAAGATTCTACTCTAAGGAGCGAAGGAAAGAAGATGACAACTTAGGTTTGAGGGAGCGCGACTAAGTCATCCACGCTTGGCGGGGCTCCTACAAGGTTTATGATTGGCTTCCCATCTGACACTGCCACGGCAGGTGTTCCAGCTGTAAGTCACCTGGTTGTAGTGAGTCTGTCTGCGAGGGTTGACCTTCACAGGGCCTATAGCTAAACTAACGCTCTAACACCAGTTCTGATAGTAGCGATCTGAAAGACAACAAAGGTAAAGAGTCTAAATTAAGTCTTCAATATAATACTATATACGTATGCGTCGTAGCTACTATTACGAAAGCTATTAGTGCTAGAACTGCTAGTCGTGGTCGAATCAGGTCTATAGTTTGGAAGCTAACGGGAAAGTGACTAGACGTTGATGTTTGAGGAAAATCCTCGAGCCCTCCAGCACCGAGAGGATTTGGAGGGGGGCAAGTTTTGTTCTCTGTATTTTATTCCTACTATGAGAAATGGATAGTTGTGCCTAGCCTTCACTGTGGCTGATTATCCATGGTTACAGCTATTCACAAGCTATATGATAAGTAGAAAACAGAGGGGTAAATCCCACTAGTTAGCCGTTATGGGTCGGCCTAAAGGTAATCAAGACCGGTATTCTACTTAATACGCAGGACAATAAGCGGAAGGGGTACTATAATCGCAGCATTAGCAATGTTAAGGATTCTTACTTACTATTATAAATTATTAACTATAGTACCTCTAAATAGGAGAACCATGTCCCCTTATCTTTCCCAAACGAGACGAGTTATCTGGTTGGTCCTCTCGATGGTCCACTCAGCGACCTGAGGAGCTTCCTCTGCACATACAACAGGAACAGGAGCTGCAAGAGCAGCCGCCAGCAGCAAAGCCGCGAGGAACGAGGCGGATAAGACATTTTTGATTCCCTCGATACGTACATCACAATATGCTGACCTAGCAGCTCACGCACGATGGGTAATCATGGCAATGGTACGCCATTTCTGTGACCAGAACTTGCCTGTGGACTGTGAAAGTGTCCAAACGACCAAGTATCCTTTGGATAGCGCTTGCCGAGTGTAACAGGAAGAAATAGTTGACTTGCTAATCGAGCGGGGTGCTGATTTAAATTCCACGCCCATCTAACTATGGAAAGTCCTAGTAGTCCATGTGGCTACCACAGTTGGCAGTGTATCGCTGGTACGCAAACTGCTAACCTAGATTGTAGTGCCTGACCCAATGAGTCTGGCCATTCGCCCTCGAGCACACTGAAATGTTGCACTTGTTGCTAGATCAGGGTTACTCTCATAATATAACCCAGTGGGACACTCTATAAGCACTTCGGAACCTTGCGCGTCTTGTTCTACAAGATGAAAGTCCTAAAGAAGGCCATCCCGAGCAATGCTACCTAGCCGTTGAACCCAAGGACCAACCATCTTCCACCAGTTATTATCGCGACAGTAAAGTTATAGTTCTAGGTTTTTCTCATCGTGTCAAACTAAGAATGCCACGTTCATGCACTTGATGTCGTGGTTGACTTGCAACGTATATCATGCCAGATTCACCTCACTATCCCAGCTATTAGATCATGAATCATGTCACCCTAGGAGATTCAATGTTTAACCTAGATGGGGGAGAAGTGTAACGATACTTCGCAGCCACTATGTTATTCACAGTGATCAATTATCTTGCTCAACAGTATATCGTCATCTTCTATATTACCAGCAGACCGTAGGCTTGTAATCCCGGCACGCGTGTGATCCTCAAATGTGAAACCCTAGGCCTCTATCCACTCGCGCTCATCATCCCAATGGCACCCTTTTCTCGATCCTGGATCCAGTACTCCTCTTCATTGTCTTGTCCATATTCTGACCACCAACACGAATCCTTGGGTTGCTAACGCTCTCATAGCCATTTGGTTATGTCTACTGTGGTTAGTAAGGTCTCGTGTTGGTGGTTTCCCATTTAGTCCGAGGCAATATTTCTTGAACCTATCAGTTTACGCCTTCAGATCGAGACATCACTTCTGCCTTCTCTCATAGGTACCACCCTACTTTCAATGCACCTGCATTACCAAAGTTCAAAACCAGAATCCAGGAGAGCTGCCAGTTACTTTAGCTTGGTGACTTTCACGCCTTCCATCAAGACTTACCACTACTTAACCAAGCTTATCTTATTCCATTTCATCCTACCCATAACACATCCTTAATGCTTCTGAATCACCGTTCATTGTTTTCAAGAAGATTAAAGCAGGCATTCAAACCTCACGAAGAGCCACAATGGCAGTCATAAACTCGGTCAATAGACTCGAAGTGATAGTCCAAGTCAATGGCACCAATTTGAAGGAATATCCAAACCTGGAAGCTACGAACCGTCCGGTCTCCATCGCCGCATCAGGGCAGACCCTGTGACATGCCAGGCCCGTAGTAACCCGCTTGAGCGAGTTAAAAACGGCCACATCGTAAACTACATAGAATCAAAGACTGGGGCCGCCTTCTGCGTTTTGGTCAAGAAGTCGACCAACTACAAGAAAGCGGGCTATCACGTCGCCTTTCAGGTGCAGTTTGATACCGAGAAGCGCACGGCGAAGAGTGTATTGTGGAGACCAACAATGTTCTTGTCCGTGGCGAAGAGGGTAACGGCCACCAGCAGCCGTGGCCAGCATTCGTAGAAGTCTGGCCTTCACAAACTAAGACTTCGTAGGTCGATTCCAGAATTTCGCCGGATAAAGGCTAATTTTTATTTCGCGCAGTGGGCTCAAGCAATGCCAGCCTGACTAGGTAGTTCAGGATAATAAATTGGCTCGGTCGGGAGGGGCTATCAGAGTTTCCCTCTACCATTTGAAAAAGTGGCGATAGAAGATCCCAGAAGGCTAAGAATACACACCGGAGGCTAAGAAGAGCTATATGTGCGAGATGGCTGCGAAAGGACAAGCTCTATCACACCGTGACGAATAAGTTTTCAGAAAGAGCCAACCTATTTCAACAGGCATCACTGGCTAACCAATTCACTACCTGCAGTCTAGACGCGGCGGAGCCTCGCGAAATTCCAGACCCTGGGTACGAAGACGATTCTAAGGATCCAAAGAAACGTCCATTCGCTGTCTACGAGTTCAGCTACAGGTCTGGAGGTATGTGTTTTGTCGCTGATGAGCATACAGAAAGTCTCGTGAAAGAGGGAATTGCCAAGACGACGGATTTCATGGCTCGTCACTAAATGTTAGAGGACAACAAACGTCTTTAGAAAGGAATGCGAGCCCAGTTACCAACATCATGCAGGTCAGGCGTGACTAGGGATGATATACTAGAACATGTATTGATATCCAGGCCTCCTTAGTCCGGAAATACGAGAAATTTGCCGCGGACCATAGAATCAAGCGAGAATTCGAACTCGAAGATTACTCGAGACCGGCCAAGAAGCTGCGAGAGGAGACACAAGATGCGGAGGGGCGGTCCACATAGATCTGACCTCCGACTGAGCCCAGACTTACAAGGCCACGAGATTGGGTGATCAAGGGGTTGAATTTGATGCCCCTCCAGGTTCATCCCTTACAAAATGTGCGCGAAATCCCTTCGCCTAACAAAGAAAAGCGGTCGGTCCATTCCTCGAGCAACTTTATGTTGAGCTCATGGATGCCCTTGACTAGTTCTCCCTTTATTATCAAGCGAGTTGACCCGACCCATATGGTTTGAAATGAGGGTTTCAATCCGGGCAAGGCTCTATCTGCCTGTTTTGCGTTTTCATTTACAGTCACCATAGTTGGCTTTCACGGTTCGCTGGACAAGAAGTCTATGCTATCCGGTTGCTGAAATGCGCCTTTCATTTAGTCCAAAGGTTTCTGGTTAAAGGGTTTTGCATTCAACCTCGATGGCAATACAAATGGCATAACCTCACCTCTCAGTATAAGCTTGCAAGAGTAAGATCAAGTCAAAATTGGTAGTTGTTATGTTGAGTTTAATGCTTACCATGGTTTGGCCTAAAATTGTTATTCTGTCCTTCCAACTTCAAATCTGTATACGAAATCCAAGTTATCTAGGGAGGAAATTCCAGAGCTAGTATTCTGATTTAGGATAGAACCAAGATCAATTTCCTCAGGACATCACTCAGCTATAACTTGAAGCACAATGAACAAAATGGGCGAGATTGGTTCTTGGTTTCTTGCAGGCCACTACTGTTTACATGGCTTGATTAAACATCAACATGATGATGAAGTGCTCAGTAAAAGGTCAGAGCTATGAGGACTGAGTTATATACGACCACAACCTTGGCATATTCCAAAGTGCAGAGCCGCGATATAAACATCAAATGTTCGAGAAGGCTCCACACGCAATAATTCGATTAGGCGCAGCTTACTCATCCTTCATTAGATCCCCCATGACGATGGCTTACTTGATGCCATTACCCTCCGTTTTCGTTGTCTCGCTGGAAGCCACGGGTTCCAGCTTGCTGCTGTGCTTTTCCTCTCAATAGGGAGAAGAATAAGAATAAGGACTCGTGGTGCTGTGCTCGTAGGAACTGGCGTCGGAGATGACAAATTCGGATATACGTAGAACGCCAACACTATTACACGGTTGTTCTAGGTATTGTCAGTCAAGCACAATGATACAATATACACTTTTTCAACACCAATATTCGTATCTGTGGGGCCTGGTGTGCGGTGCCTATGGCATTCTCATAATGTTGCCACGCTCTCTCGTGCCTTCCACGATTTTGTTCTCCATACGAGAGGATTGCGTAAGAGCCACCACAGCTTAAGTCCGCTATTCATTTTGGTATTCTCATCAACACCAGGTTCTAAGATCTGTCAAAATGGGCTTCCCAATCTCAGCATTCCAGTGAAGTGAAGCAGAGGTAATGTTACACAAGGTGATCCTCAACGGCGTCTTCTGTGGACATTTGAAGATTGAGGCGGTGCAGGTCCTTGCTTTGGCTAAACAGTTGAAGTAGTCAAGGCGGCTGGTGTTTCCTAGCCCCAGGTGTCAGTGAAGGTCGACACGAGTTCCAAAGATACTCTGTGCTTGAACAGGAGGCTTATAATGTGCAGTTTCTCGCTTGACTGTGGCCAGAGGTCCCATTCTGATAATTGAGAGGTCGAACTTGACATCTTCAGACTTTCTACCTTGATGAACGGACGCTTGCTCTCTTTCTTGACACGCAACTCGCCTTCACACTTGAACGCCATATCGGAAAGAGATTGAGGTACAACTTGGAGGTACAACTTGGAGGTACAACCTGGAGAGTACAGGAAGGAACGTTGCATGGAATCTTCGAGGGCATTGGGCCGGTCCTTGGCTGTGGTTTGGTCAATTTGTCCTAAAATAATCTGGTTGAGTTGGAGAGTAAGATACCTTGAGGTAGCTGATGAGTGCGCGCTCAATTGCAAGACAATTTTCTAGGACGCTTTTTTGATCGTGTGACGCGTCAAAGATCGTGCTTTCCTCAAACGATTGACAGATAGCCTCGTGTTTGTAAACGCACTCCGCCGTTCATAAATCTACATCCCGTGTTGAAGTTTAACAGAAATTGCTTGGTTGCCTTAAAAATGGACGTAGTCTATTGAAATCACGGATTTATGGACACTTCACCAAATGCGATACTTGACTCCATCTGATGAGACTACACCCTTGATGCTTACCTTTATGTGGCTATTATAGTAGTAATACGGATACGAGTGAAGCGGACTGTTCTAAAAATGACGAATATCCTACCGGGATGGTTTCTTCTCCAATTCGGGTTACAACGGTATTGGTACAGCCATGGGACAAAGAGAATGGACCATATATATTCCGTCAAGAGACTTGACATTCTAGCAACGTTATTATATATATAAAATGTGGAATTTCCTTGAATTCTTGTACAAAACAGTGAAGGAGAGATATTCAGGCGAGTTTTGGCCTTGGGTATACACAGAAGAAATTATTGTTGGAGCTCTCGAGGTTCGAAAATTTATGCCCTAGGTCGAAAGTGGCACAGTTGCCAGTGTAGCTAGCGGATCAGACCCTTCCTTTCTTCCTTCCTCAGAGAGCAAGAGCACCTTGCAGAGCACTTCACAATACCAACCTATGTAGCACAACGCACGCATAGAGCAGGCATAGCGATCAATACGACATGCATCCATAGTCATCAACAGAGGCCTGACTCTCTCGGTTCTTCTATAATGCGTTGCGCTTGAAAACTTCTGAGTACTACCACAACAAAAAGAACAGGTGGAAGTGGCAAGGCATAGATACTATTGATTCTTTCCGCTGTACCGCAATTGGTTGGATAGCAAGGGGCGAACTCAGTACTAGGAATCGAACTAAATGAAGATGCCAAGTGATCATTCAGTCTGTATTACATGATGTATGAGATTTAAGAACATGCTTCTTAAGAAAAAAATAATTATTACAAGAACATGTATCATGTCAATCGACACATTGTTCTACAATTGGAAGGAAAGTGGGGATCTGAGGTTGAACTTGGTAGATTTCGGCACGCTTCGGTAGAAGCACTGAGTCCACGAATCCCTGCCATTGTGGCGGGACGTCGGATTGAGCCCGAGACATCATCGCAACCGCCATTTATTTTGAACCACATCACTCTTCAGCGTATATTATCATCACTTGAGCCGCAGAAAATATGGACCCAGCAAGACAAGCTATGATATACGGGCGTAAGTCACCCCCGCACCGCGACATCACATCTCCTAGACGCGATCCAAACACCAGGATCTCGAAGCCCAATCAGCCCACACGGCCCAACAACACCAAACCGGCTGCTGCGAGCAGGAAATACCAGACCGAAGATGAGCAGGCGCGGCAGTTCGTAGCCGACGAAGACAAGTTCGTGCTGAAGCAAGCCAAGAAGAAGGCCGACATCCGCGTGCGAGAAGGCCGAGCCAAGCCCATTGACCTCCTTGCTTTCAACCTCCGATACGTCGACACGGATCGGGATGTCTTTGACGACGACGATGCCGACGTCGAAATCGACGTACCTGCGCCGGATGCCGTAATCGAGAGCCTTGACGAAACCCAACTGGACGAGCTCGATGGCGACATCACCCCATACCACACGCTCGAGACAAACAGCAGGAACAGGGAATACTGGACTGCGCTGCGAGCACTATGCTTGGACAGGAGACAGAAGCTCAAGCCCATGGCGCCTGAGGAACGTGCAGTCAGCTCTGTCGGGGCCGATGTCGATAAGATCCTGGGGCCCAAGAATCTAGAGCAGCTCGAAAAACTCGAAGGTCAGATCAGGGCCAAACTATTGTCGGATGAGGCCGTGGATACGGACTACTGGGGTCAACTCCTCAAGAGCTTGACCATTTTCAAAGCCAAGGCCAAGCTCAAAAACGTCTACAAGGAAATCAAGGAGGCCAGGGTGCAGCGACTCCAAGAACGGAATCCAGACAAGGCCAGAGCGCTCGCCGTATCCAAATTAGAGGTGACGGTAAGCGAGAAATGTGTGGGTGTGCCTGCACAATCTGTTTCGACGTCCAAGGCCAGCGCAGCGATCATCCCAACTGTTCAGGCCAACTTAAGCGCGAGCGGGAGCAGTGCGGCACCGGGAACTGCAAGATTCTCCTCGGCTGGAAATGAGGACTTCTCGCAAGCAACCAAGGCATTGTACGAGCGAGAGGTTGCCCGGGGCATCAGCGAGAACGAAGAGATCTTCACTGCAGAGGAGACGGTTCTGAGTACGGCCAAGCCTCAATGGGCCGACAAGTATCGACCCAGAAAGCCGCGATACTTCAATCGCGTGCAGATGGGGTACGAGTGGAACAAGTACAACCAGACACATTATGACCACGACAACCCCCCACCCAAGGTAGTACAGGGCTACAAGTTCAACATCTTCTATCCCGACCTCATCGACAAGACAAAGGCCCCTACGTTCAAGATCATCCGGGAGCATGGCCGACGGAGGGGCGAGTCCTTTGCTCCAGCGGGCGAGGAGGACACCTGCCTGATCCGCTTTGTTGCAGGTCCACCCTACGAGGATATTGCCTTCCGCATCGTCGACCGCGAGTGGGACTACAGCGCAAAGAAGGACCGTGGCTTTAAGAGTAGCTTTGACAAGGTATGTTGGCTAATTTTATCCCCCGATGTGTGCCCTTACATGTGTTTCACGTGGCTGGGGCACCCCTACTTTGACAGATGAAGGGTAGAACATAGGCCGCTTGTCTCCGCGTCTTACTTGCTAGAGCTCTTTGCGGATAGTCTCCAAGCCATCTCCTGTACAACCGCTTGACGCCCGGGTCCTATCTTTCGCTTTGGGGCCCCCAACTCACCTCATGTCCCTATCACCCTAGAAGACACCTGAGCTAATCTCCCACAATTTGGCAGGGTATCCTCCAACTGCACTTCCAGTTCAAGAAGGTGAGCGATTCCTCGGCACCGTCCATTCCCTGTGTTCGATCATGTAGCTGGAGCTGACAGATTACGTACAGATTTATTACCGAAAGTAGTGCTGGCGGCCCTCTATTAAGCCGGCATTCGAAGAGAAGTAAGCGACGAATAATCAGGGTGGTTCGCCTGCTGGAGTTCATGTTCAGTTATAATTAGAATGGATGTCCACTACTAGTTGAGGATATGCCAGCTTCGTCTGCTGGCGGAAATCACCGTTACCCTTTTCGTCACTGGCATCAGCCTGCAGCTCTATCTGTGATCGTCCTAAGTTTCTGGCGACTAGTCCTGATTCGCCCTATGCTTGTGCCACCTTGCTCAGGGAGCCGCTGCCTCACTTTCCTGGGCCGCTATCATATCAGATACAACGTCTCATTGCATAACCGAGAGGGCCTGCTGGGCTAATATCGGCAACCCTTGAAGCTTTAGGCGGTCAACTTGAAGATTTCTATTGGTTGAATCCTGGACTTTTCTGTTGACAAGCCTTTACTCTAACAGCGGCGCCATAGTCGGGCAATCCACCATGATGAGCAGCTGCCTGAGGCACCAAGACATGACCAAGTCACGTTGACTCTTGATATCTGCTTGACGTGCTTCAAAAATGCGTGGGATGCAAGGAAAGCAGTCATTGAGCACTGCCATGTTTCAGCATGCCCGATTCCTCGCGAAGACCCTCAAATCTCTCTTTTCTGGATGCCAGGTCAATCCCCTTACCGCTTCCCGCCTCTATTATGAAAAGGTGCAGAGTGATCTTCAATCAAAGCAGGCCCGTCAGCTGTCATTTCCCGGGACGAGCTCTGTATCAGATGTAGTAGGGCTGCAAAGGGGACTCAGGACGGCGTCATAGCAGCAATTGATTGGTTGGTGTTGGCGAGTGGAAGTGACATGCAAGCAACCGCAAGCGGGCTTGTGTAATGACTTGCAGCTTGGGGAGCGGGACCTAGTTACAATAGCCTTGTGGAGAATGGAGCCCGCTATCTCTTACCGCTCCCATCACAAAAACCGGAAGTCTGTCACTTCTGATGTTCTGTGTGGGTTACCGTGGAACACCGTCGGCGGCCGGAGGGGGCGTTGAGGCTCGTACTCACACAAAAGACACAAGGAACAATCTCCCCGATGTACAATACATGGCGTGCCCCATCTTGGCCACACAGAAAACGCGCTGTCGTTTGCACAAGGAAACACATAGGCATGCAAATGTGCCTGTGGAATACATACATTAGCTCTCTCTCACACACACACACACACACACACACATACACACATACACACACATACAGGTGGATACACAAGCAAAGCCCGCTGCACGCTTGCTGCATGCTGCATGATACCACCCAGGCAGTCGTGGTCAGCAGCAAAAGTGTGGATATGGAAATGGGCTAGTGAGCTCGTCCCAAAAGGCACTGTAAAATGCGTTGGCAGGTTGCTCATGGGTGCCCGGCGGGGTTTTCTTTTCTTTTCTGGCCCTGGTCCAGATTGATCGCCTCTCCTGCATGCAAGTGTGTAAGGTACTTCCGATACATCTGAATCTGTCTAAGCCAACCCCTGTTCCTTCCCCCACGACCCCTGTTCTTGCCCGCCCGGGGTAATAACTCCCTCCCTTACCTTTTTGCACTCTTGATCCACTTGAAATCTGATCATTTCTTGCATGCATGCATGGTGTGTTAGGTGTTAGTTGGATCCTTGCCAGAGTCTTGAGGCTTCTTAATCTCAATTCTCAAGCACGGGTCTTGTTCCAATCTGTCTCGAAACAGCATCCCAAACCAGGCCATTGAACCTCAAGACACCGAAGACCGCATTGTTTCCTCGTAGCCTTTTGTTGTTAGCTACTTAGAGCGGACCGGCCGCTCTGAATCTAGGTATTGCCTTGTCTTCAAGTCATTACTCGGTCCTTACATAGACATAGACATAGACAATCTTGTTGATCTCTCTCTTCACCCCTCCAAGCCCTCCCCCAACCCTCCCCGTTCTAAGAGTTGCCATTGTCTTTTCCCTGGACCCGTCGTTGTTTCCTCCCACCAACAACGAGACACTTGGGTTCCGACGCGGCAGCAGCTTCCATACGAAACCTCCTCTGGTCGTGGCTTCCACCCGGGATGCTACCATCATTCTGCGACGGCTTGCCCGTCAACTTCGCTACTCCGGACTCTACCTCCAACCCCAGACGGGCTTGCACGACGCAATCAACAACAGACAGCTCGGGAGAATATTCTCAGATCAACGGCTTCTACACGCCATCGCCGACGTTGCAAGTCGCTGAAACAGCCCACCCGCCTCCGCAACCCCAGCAGCATCACCAGCAGCAGCAGCCGTCGTCTCATAGTTACCCGCTCCCGCATATCCACTCGGCGTCTTCGTCCCAGGGCATGTGGCCCACACCACCGGCCACTGCTTGTGAAGACTTTGACGACTACACCTATCAAGGATCGCCAGCCAGTGCCTCCTGCGGCATTCCCGTGGTCAACTGTTCTGCTCGATCCTCTGCCACCAGTCCCAGAAGCTGGTCATCCCCAGACACACACCACTCGAGCTACCCACGGCCTTGGAAGGCACAAGAGCTGCCTCCCTTCGGTATGTGCCTCAACACGATCCCCTCTGACGACCGTTACCACCAGCAAATGCTAGCATCGCCCTACGGCCACCACTCATACCTGGCTAACAGCATCGACCCGGATTCCATTATGAGCCAGGAGGCACCACCTATGACTCCAGATCATCCCGAGTCTGCTTTGTCCCCTCGCAGTGGATCATCACCGGGAAAAAACGAATTCAACATGCCCTATAGATTCGATGAGGACGAAATTTCTCCCCCGCCGCACCAAGGGGAGGGAGAGTGCGGATCTGAGGCAGATGATGCGAACAAGGTGGATGAACCCTACGCCCAACTCATCTACAAGGCGTTTATGAGCAGAGAGCGGCATGCTATGACGCTACAGCAGATCTACGCGTGGTTCCGAGAGAACACAGACAAGGCCAAGGCGGAGAACAAGGGCTGGCAAAACAGCATACGCCACAACTTGAGCATGAACCAAGTAAGTTCTGTTGTGTAGTTTGACACTAACCTGTCGATCCCTCCAATAAACTGACACTAGAGAATAGGCATTCGTCAAACGAGACAGGAGACCAAGCGCCAGCGATGCTACGACGGAGTCTGGCGAGCCCAAAAAGTCGACGGAGTGGGTTCTTGAGGATTGGGCAGTGCGTGACGGAGTCCAAAGCACCACACGCTACCGCAAGCCGAATCCCAGTCGGCGGGGAGGCTCCGGCTCGCACTCACGCCATCATCGAGACTACCAGCCTTCAGCACGAGCAACATCGGGTCGCAAAGGAGGGCTTACAGCAAGCAAGACAAAGGCGGCTGCCACTCGTCAAGCTATGCGGAACAAGCACATGTACAGCGGGGCGAGTTCGCATTTCCCTAGTAGTCACTACTACCCGCGAAACCACGATGCAGAGTATGCTGGCTCAGTTAAGGACGAGCCAGCCACGCCTCCGGATGCGTCTGTGGGTGACATTCTGTTTGCCGAACCCCTTTCGACGAACGCCGCTATCCCAGCCACCAACCCGGGATACTACTACAGCCACGCACACGGTCACGCACACGGTCAAGGTCACGGCCACCACGCTCACCAACATCCTCATGCTCAGCAGCCACACCACCACTCACAGCCGTACACCCTGGAAAATGTCACCGGCGTCTATGACCATCCGCCTGCACCATCGGGTCCGGGACGCAACCAGTACATGCTCTTTGCAGACAGTCATGACGCGGCACCAGAGTCGTCTGTCCGTGTCAACAGCATCAACTACAGCTGGGGCAATAGCGATGGGGGCGCACCATACCAGTCCTAATCAGTCAGGGCCCGTCTGATTGGCCCGGACAGACCTGACAGGCCGTCCCCGGTCGCACTGCAGGCTTTGAGGCTTGTATTGGGATGATGTGGGGGACACCACAGACCAAACACGAGGCAGTCCTTGCTGGTATTGGTGGGAGTGCCAAAAAGGGAAACCTGGCTTGCCTAGCACGCCTAATCAACTCATGGCATGAAACGGTGAAAAGCAGCGGGAGGGCCGAGTGCCGGTTGGTGGTGGACTGCCGTCACGAACCTCTTCCCTCTTGTATTTTGACTTTCTAATCATTTTGCACTTGCACTGTCTGGCGTTACCAATGGAACGGATCTAATAGGGGGCAACGGCCGGCATCACGCACCACGCCTACGTTTATTGAACGGAGCATAGCGCAACATGCTGCCGACCCATCACCATTTACACTGAGTGGGAACATCTTTGATGGCCATTTTTGCTGGATGACCAGGTCGAAAGAGAAGCAGCAGGGGCCGATGCCGGGGCCCTCGACGCACGGCTTTTGCCTGTTCCGGGTTGCTCTAGTCGAATCCTCTACCCGGCTCAAGCACGTCCTCCGCAGCATGGTACCCTGCACCACTCATTATGAGTGATCAACTGCGCGCTGTCAACCTGGTCACATCTCTGTTTTCTCGAACGATGAGCGGTGCGATGGTCGTGTCGAATCTCGGCCGTGGAGATCTGAAATCGATCTCCCATCGGAGTTTAACATCGGCCAATCCGACGTTCCATCATTTTTCACATCTACCTGAGATGCGATAACCAACTTTGGCATCCCAGCAAACGGCCGCCTGCTGCATCTTCCTCAATGCGATGGTGGATCTACGTTTGCCACTTTTCCCAAACACTCTCACACATTGCGCACACTTGCATTTCGGTTTGCAGATTTGATTTGTCTGTTTTCAAGGCGCACAATAGACCAATGGACGGTGACCGGATCACCCCCCCTTCCCCCCCCCGTCCGTCATAATTGAAACAACCCAAGATACCCCAAAAGGCTGGAAGACACTCGCTTGTTACACGATATCCAAAAGATTTGGGAGGACACTCGCTTGATTTCACTCGCTTGATTATTTCCTTGTTCTTTTTTCCTTCGTACTCGTTTTGTGCATGGCTTTTGTATTACGCTGATCGCGTTTTGGGTTTATTGTTCGTTCAAGAAGATCTTCTGTGCCTTGTATTGTGTCATGTCACCTCTCTGCATTTAATCACATTGCATGCGATATTCATCGAGGAGACAAGAAATAAAACCGGGTTAGAAGAAGTGTATGTGTGTGTGTGTGTGTGTGTTGGTAGGAAGTACGGGATCAATGTTGGGCACTCGAGATAAGATTATAATGGGATATTACATGGATTATTATTACAGATGAGCAAGCATCGGGGGAAGCGGGCAGGACATAGGCATTGCATGAGGCTTCTAGGTCTTGACGCAGTCAGGGAGTCGGAGGGCCGGGGGGGCATTTAGCGCTCTTCAACTAATTATTGTCATATCTATCACAATTTTTTCTGTTTACGCGCCGCAGCCCAATAGTCACCTTTGTGAGGGCGATTGCATCATAATTATCATCCACTTCTTCTCCTCAACAAGTCGCTGAAATGTCTACGTTGGTGTTCTATTTCTGTTCAATGTGCTACCATCATCCATTCTTCCCCCCTCTGCGTCCGTCACGCATCCCTTTCATATCGGCTTCTTGTCATGTCATTGGCGAAAACAAGTCTACGGCCGCCAGCGACACCATTTTATGTTTTATGGCAGGGGTTGGACCGTACCGAATGCTCGGGTCGTTGGCGTGTGCCGCCCAAACTTTTTCGACCCATCTTTCTCTTGGCCGCGTCTACAATACCGTACGCTAGATACCCCAAACCCAAAAGTGGGTTTGTCCATAGTACTGCCAGCTCGTTCAGGCCTTACGTCGGACAGGCTCAGCCCCTACTACTCATCTCACCTTTTGGGGGAGGGAGGAAGGGGGGGTGGTGGGGGCTAAAAGTCCCGGGCGACGAACGAGCAGGGTTTCAACGAGATGGGGTCGTTCTGTCTGGAAAGAGTTCTGACGACAGAGGTCTTCAGTAACGTGATGTGGAATGGCGGATGAGGAATTGACATGTCGATCCAATGCGCTAGGGTTGGCGGATATTGTGCGGTTATACCGCGTTCACGATCATGCACTAGCTATCGAAGGGCACACCTTGACGCGGCAATTGGCCTACTGAACCTGCATATCAAGCGATTTTGAACCACCCCAACACGACGTGGACAGCAGGTCAAACGAATGACTTGCATGCATTCGTGACGTCCTGTGCCATGGTCTGAAACAAGTTCACGTCTCTCATATCGTCGAGGCCGTTTATTCTACTCGTTGTCAAGTAAAGCTCGACTTCTAGAGACGAAGTAAGGGAAGAAAAGTGTGCAGAGTGTTGGTGTAAAAATACATAATGGGGCGCCATCGTATCGTTGCGTGGCTCGGTCCTGCCGAGGAACAGGGGCATCCCTTCGAGACCGGCAGCGCCTTACTGCGACAAAAACCAACCAACGAGTTCATAACCGGGTTTCTCTCCTCTCTGCAGATTCGTCTATTCCGAAGTTGCCCCGGACACGGTCTTGAGAACAGCCACCCGTGGGACTCGGGATATGAATAATGACGTTGGTGGGTTGGAATATGTCCAATCCGCGGAGCTAGCCCGTTGTCCAATTAATGTTCATAAGCCCAGGATAACAACACCCTGGGAGCTTGGCATCTGCTCGCGAACGAGGAAAAGTCGACTCTGTGTGACATGTCGTTCGCCATCCCACGCCCCTGATCAGTCAGCTGTCGTGTATCGGCCTTTCTGTCAACTGCGATGTGACACTGTGGTGTCGACCGAGCTCGGGAAGCTGGTATTGAAAGTGGGAAGCTCGGCGATTGGAGCGCAGGTCCGGGTTTAGCCATTATGTAGTAGGCGACTCGATGACTTGCGGTCAACGTGCTGGCGTCGCGGTGAAGACCCTACCAACCTGTCGCTCGACGAAAGACAGGATGGTACGGAGTAAGTCTCCAGCCAATGAAACCCCGCGCAGTACAAAATAGTGTGTATAGTGTGTATAGTGTATAGTATACTCTTGACGCAAAATGCCGTTCCTGCCGTCAAGATTGGGGGTCGAAATGGTGGAACTTGACTAGCACTTATTTTGGCACTAATGCGGGGCGAAAATAGTAACAAGCACCGCCGTTGAGCACGCGTTTGACAGCTGTCGTTGAAAATGGAAATCGGGGTGAGACATTTTGACATCTGTCACAAGGGGGGTGGAGGAGGGGGCTGTGTACACGTACATACGTAGCAAGCCACCATCTCCATGACCAATGCCTACTGTAGGAATAGCCCAGTCAGGAGGCCAGAAGGAGTTGTACAGTCTTGCGGTCTGGTCGAGTGACACTGATGACAGGCGGTTCTTGGCTGCGTGGAGAGCCGGGCCTTTTTTGCCGACTTGGTTGTGCTTCAACTGCATGTGCGAAGTTCGCGATCGACGGGTACCAACGGGTACCTGTAGGTGGGAATGCGTCTTGACAGCGGTATAGCTGCACTTTGCACCTTAGGCGACTTGCTGGGGCTGTTGTCGGGACCCCAGAATCATTACGAACAACCGAACCAGTCGGGGAAAGTCCGCCATATGTGACAGGTTCGATTTCCCATCAATACCAATTCAGAAAGCCGCGCAATCTGGATATTGAAATCGTACGATTCCAAACCGAAAAAGGATGGGCATTATGCGTAATCTAGATATCCCATCTAGATGCGAAGTTCGAGCCAGGATTAATCTTTTGCAACCCGGTAGCTGGAATTATCGGATCTGGGGCGCTTCCGCGGGCGCAGATGGTTTGCGGGAAATTTTTCATTTCTCGACGTTGGTAGCCACGTACATTCAAGACCAGTCTGCTTGGACGAGAAGGCCGACCAATTGTGCGCCAGCTGAGCTTTCCTTGTCATCTCTAGCTTCAAGACAAGTTTGATGATCAACTGAATTCGGGTTTTTCGCTTCGGCTCCCATCTGAGATGCGGCCGTAGTCTTGAAATGAGTGACTGTTGGAATACAGCGAGCGCAGTCCTGGCTACCCCTGCTGTGACTTGCGTGACGTCCAAGACAAGATCGGCCCAAGTACCTACCTCATGGATCACACGCTAGGACCCCTGTCTGTATACGAGGTTCATTGACACACCAACGCGTTTAAGCACATCATAAAAGAGCCTCCGAATCAGAAACTGTGCACCTCTGGAAGCGCGTGGCCGTTCTGTACGTCCTCCACTCTCTCCCATGAGTAGCAGCATAGTATACACCAGAGCCGGCCGGGGCGCCGAGTGGTGCTAATAATGGCCCCAATAGCCCCCCTGAGCACTTTGCGTGGCGCTTTCAGACTGCACTCATTCGAGCCTTTCGGTAGGCGTGAGGACAGCTGGTCTAATGTAGGGTTGCGAACGTACTTCAGCCTGGACGTTGGCGATTTCGTGACCCCATGAAGAGGCGTCGGCGGACGGGGCATTGCATTGTATCATCACGAACGGTTAAATCGAAAACTGATATGTGATCCGCCCAGACAAACCCTTGACCATAGTTGCTTCGCGCAGAATATACTATCCTGGGGTTTGGACAAATGCGAAGACAACACGAAGCCAGTAAAATCCACATCTGCAGGTGTTCGAACGGGCCCGGTCTAGCCTTTCTTTCACCCCCGTCGTGGGGTTTTGCGAAGCTGAGAACATCACGACTACCCGCGCGTTTACAGTGATCAAGGCTAGGGACCCTGTTTAGCTACCGCCATGGCGAGTAAAGACGATTAAGCGCAAACGGTTGAAACCCCCCTGCTTTGATCGGCAACAGCCCCCGCTCCCTTCCTTGCAGAACATCGTCAAGTTTGTTACGATGGGTGAGTTCGTACGGTCCCAGCCATGCCCATAGTTATGCCTCCAATCCGACGTGCTGGACCAGTGTGGACCAGCAATCCATAGTGGGACGCAATTAATGTGATCAGGAGCACACATGGCAGTGATTGGCAACTTCTGCTGGAAAATTGTTACCCGCTATGTTCCGAACTCAATGATAACTTGCACGATGCACTGAGCCACCACGGCGCTGGGAATTAGTAGGTGCCAAGGAGTGCCAGGAAGTGCCAGGAAGGAACTCCTGATAGCCAACTGCACATGTAGAATCATGGGCAGGTGAAGCGACACCTGAAAACCAAGGACCAGGAAAAGACAGCCGAGCTCCGCCAATCGTGTAAAATTCCCTGGCCGGCATCTCGTGGCGTGCTGGGGTCCCCCTTACCGTCCCGATCGTCGTTTTGGTCGTCTCGTCCTTGGAAAAAAACCAACTCGTCATATTATCCCTTAATTGGTTGTGGGACCTCAACTCCATGTGTTGCTCATTTCTTCCTCGTTCCTTGTTCACGTCTGGTGCCGAAGGTTTTGTTGCCCGGGCCGACCTAGTGATATGTATCTGCCCGAGGAAGGCGAGAACAGCACCCCTGAATTCTAACTCTCAAACACATACCACCTTGGCGGTAGATTTTCTCGTACTCATTCATGAGGGACTTCACCGCCAAGTGTAAATACGGAGAAGCGAGATTCTGGTGGTTTGTTGTTCTTGATGAAAGTCGCCGCGCCACCGTACAGCTTCCATCGGTCTGGAAAATCCTCCGTTCTGAAGGCAACCCTGGTGTCATGTTTCTCCGACTACCACTGCAGACGCAACAGGACCAAGCCAGCCGCCTGATGGGAAAAGCCATCTGCACACACTGTGCTCGAGTCATAGAAACAGTGTAGTCAAGCCGACGAGTGTGTACCTGCATCTCTTGCCCCTTTATCATGATGTGTTCGCGGCTTATTGCATCATATCGTATGACGAAGCTGTTGCTGCTGTTGTCCTTGGTGACAAGTCTATTCAGAGACTAATTGAGTCCTGCGAGAAGCGAGATGAAGACTTCAAGTCACTGTCAAGGGACTCTGAACAAGCTTACCATGACGCATGATAGGAGATGATAACTTTGCTGACCGCTGAAGGGCGGATAATGTCGACACCCACGTGGCAATTACTCCGGATACTGCACGACGCTCCACTGAACGAAGAATGAGAGATCATATCCTCGCCTCGCCCAAGCATCTAGTGTCATCCAGACACACTGCACGTACCGCTGCCTAATTACCCCGTGCAACGCAGGACTGGTCTCATTAGGAGCCATGAAGACGGGGCGGCAGTCAGTTCCGAGTGTCGGTCACCTTTCACGAGTGCAACAACAACTTTTACGTCGTGTTCAACCAAGGAGACGAGGGAGAAGGCACTGACCATGGCCCGGGTTTTCTTCAAACACGCCCTCTACAGCACGATCTGACATTGCGTTATCAGGATTCCACGAACGTGGACTGGGATCAATATGTTGGGTGCGTTACAGGGAACGTTGACGCAACAAGACCATGGATCAACACTAGTTACATTCCCTTCAACGATAATAGTCATCATACTGGTTGAACTCCTCCTTTACACCAATGATGTGATGAACTACGCAGGTAGGCAGGTCAAATGTCGCCTGACGCAACGTCCGCAGCATCTTTGTTTATGCAAGGGGGGGAGGCAAGGGTAAGAAAATAGCCATGTAATCCCGGTACTGCAGCAAAGCAGAAGCTGTGGGTTCATTCTGCACCATCCATTTCATTCGATGGCTTCCCTAGGTTCGCGGCGCCAGAACTGAGGCCATGCGCGTAGGAGACGGTTCATTTGGCGGCAATGGACAGATCTGGTACGACTTGCTTGCAGCCAGTAGTACCCCATCGGCCCGCATTTCTCGGTATCGGCGGGCTGTGGAACTGCAAAATATCAGACTTGATACTTTGACCGTCTGTTGTAGCGCGGCTTCTTTGACGCCGGTGACTGTTTCGATAAGCTGGGGGGTAGAATCGCCTAAAATACTGCGGTCAGGTGGTCGGTGAGCATCACCGTCATTGGTAAGCTGGCATGAGGCGAATCATAATGCACTCGGCAGAACGGGTATTCTAGTTTAGAACAACAATGATTCACATAGAATAAGCGGAGGTTCACTTCCTCTCGCCAATGTGGCATCGTGGAATAAGCTTCATGTCACTGTCCTTTCCCTTTACAGCGCCAGTGATAATCCTCACACAGAAATCCACTGATGCCAGTGAGAGACGACATCAAATCCGTGCTCTCAGTTGTAGCCAGGACCAAATCTATGAGAACCTAGTTGCGAAACCCATCATATTTCTCGGATCAGATGGAAGCAGCCAAGCATTTCCTTGATATGACTCCACATCTCATGATGGTGTGCGCGCTGCCACTAGTTTGTTCTTCGCTAAGATGGCGATCAGAGAAGGTGAATGGGGGCAACTTCGGAATGAAAACAAAAGCAGCATATGGCAGCCCACCGGTGTCCCATCGTAGATGTGTCAAAATAGTGTGATGTTTCCCGTCTTCAAAACTTTCTCTTCTTCTTGGCAGGCCCAGCGGCAGCTTTGCGTTCTAGTTCCTTCTGGAGTTCATTGCGCTTTCGCTCGGCTTTCTGCTCAGCAGCCTCCGGCATCTCTTGCTGTTCTGTTGACGCTTCTGCATGCCGGCGCTTATCATGCTGGACCTTCTTTCCAGTGCCCCCAAGCTTCCGTCCGGCGACCTTCTCCGGGCTGGCGGTCATCGGATCAGGCGACGCTGATGTCCCCATGGGAGGCTCTGGGGTCGACCGTGGTCTCCCACCAATCTTGCCAAGCCCGCGTTTCCTCCGTGTCGGAAGGTCTTTCGATGGTGTTGGAGATTTGGCCACTGATGGCTCATCATCCTCAGACTCAGTGGCAGTATCCCCGTCAGCCGGCTTCTGCGGCAGTGTCACAGGGGAGGATAACTCTGCCGGAGAGATAGTCGGCTCGTTCCGTCGACCACCAATGGCACCGAGTCGTTTGATCGGCTTCTTGATAGGGGTCATCTTACGCGGCGGGTCGTCCGATTCTGACGCAGTGTCGCCATCGACAGCAGCATCATCATACTTAGAGTACTGGCCTTCTGAGACACATAGGGCGGAAGCCTTGTTCATCTCCAACGTCACTAGCCGTGATTTCTTCTGCTGTTGTGATGGAGTAGGGTGGCTGTCCGGGATCACAGATGGCTCATCCTCGTCTGTCGTGCTGTCGTTGCCTTTCGTTGTATTACCCCGTTTATTTCTGGCAGCTGCCAAATGTGGTGGTGTATCTTGGACCTGAAAATCGTCATCATCATCGTCTGCGGTGTGCCTTGTGTCCTGTGACGGTGGATTGGTAGGACCTTTTGCCGTCTCCACGAGTCGTTCACGTTGAACACAGATGGCCGGGTTGCCGCCGAGTGTGGTCCACCAATCATTCAGACTATCAGAAGCCTTGATTTCTTGGTCTGTACCATGGATAGGCCCAGGCCCGCCAAAGACGTCGTGGATCAGGGATGACAGATCTCCTGCTGCTTCTACGTCCGCCATGATGGTGGTCCTCCAACTAGACTCGTTGAACGGAGCAAGCCCTTTAACCTTGTCCTCAGCGGCAGCTCGGGTAGCCTTTCGCTTCCCGGTGAGAGAGTTGAACACATTCTCGAGGCCGGTTCCTGTGTTCTCAAGCTTATCCACCAACTTGGCAATGACGGCATCTTTGTCTTTGAGGTTGGCGATGAGAGCTTCCACCTCACGACTCCAATGGCGCTGCGCTTGGATTAAAGGGAGTACAAGCTCCGAGGTCAACGAGGTAGTTGGGCATTTTGAGAGTTGCACCGGCCACTTCAGAGGTTCCAGATCAGCCGGCAGGGTGCAGGTAATGAGAAGATCGAGGCGGCCTTCCTCGTTCTTTGTGGACGGGGCTGATAGCCTCAGACTGGTCTGATGGTGGTCTGATGAGGTTGGATCAAATGCCGACTTGACTTTGGCGAGTAGCATATCCATCTGGTCGCTACCCTCACTCAGATCGATGCTGGTGTCATTCTGGAGGCTCCGCAATAGGATAGCTCTCCGATCCATCGTCTCGACCCACACATTGGCTAGGTCAGTCACATAGAGCGTGTAGGACGAAGGGCCAAAAAGTGGTGAGACGAGCAAGGTGGGAACATCGCTAGAGAACGCCGGGAGCGGCTGCCACCTGAGTTTTACCATTTCGAATGTGTATAGTCAAGATGAGTGGTGGGTGGTGCTTGGGGGTGCTTCGGAACGTGTGGTGTATGTGTAGCGTACGCCCTCATCTGGACTTGCCTGGTTCTACTGGCACAAATGGGGTGGGCCAAGCACACCAGCAGGAGGATTTTGAGGCGCTGGTCAACCTGTCGTTGAGAAATTACGGTACAGTACTTGGCTCAATCTCGCAGAGGACTGCAGTCTGATGAAGCTTGCCGGTGCCTTTGGTGGAAGGCCGGATCTACAAGAGCTGGACCGCTGCAGGAGAGCGAGAGGGTTCGAGGCGGGCACCTCGAATTAAGGCGTCCTTGGGGGTCAGAACGGCCTAATCGGTACGTGGCAGTCACGCGAAAAGCCCAAGGCGGCAAGGTATTGGGTTCATTCAGTAGCAGTATCACCTCGCCATGTGGTGATCCCAAGTTGGAGAGTTTAGAGTGCTGCAGGGTGCCTTGTTGTTCGGGCATTTGACATGACAGGACGCGGTGGAGCAGGCAGACGCGACGATGTGGCACGCAACCGCACGCTTGTCAGACGCTGTCACTCAAGCAGTTGCCCCACCTAGGATGCTGTGGCTAGGCACTGCAAAATGTCGGTAATTTTGAGCCCAATCAGTTCGAGTGATGGAGATGGTGCGTAAGAACAAGGAGGACAGTCCACATCAAGGCAAAACCCTCCATGATCATGACCTTAATTTGTCAAAGTTAAGGTCCATTCCGACGTTTGGAGTGAGCGCAAGGGGAACCACCTTGAGAACGGAGGAGTCGTATCCCGCTAGAGGCATACTGAGCCACGCATGCGATTAAGCAATTTCCCAGTCAGACAACTGCAAGACATAACGAGACACCTCCCTTCTTAGAATGGTATATCTGTGGGATCGCAATGATAAAAGTACCTCAAATATATCTCCCCGTGACCTCAGGTCACTATTTCCACAATATATGTATAATTTGTGATGCTCATGTCGGCCCAGTTTCAAGACGTTGGAAATTAGGCGTTGCCTTCTCTATGTCGCCAGGCACTTGATGTCACTTACACTGCCACAGTGAAATCCCTCCTCTCAGATGCAATTGTACCGTCCTCCCTGCCACTAATTTAGTCTCATCTGAGGCTATTCTGTATCTGGACGCGATGACTGCAATTAGAATGGCCTTTGCAACGGCTTCTCCCATGGCTCCCTCCACCCTTTGATCAACTAAACAGAGTCATCTCGCAGCTTCCTGAAAACAAAGTAAAGTATCTTCCGTGCAAGCACAAACTGTGGCTCTGACATTGTCAGAAGAGCTCCTTCGCAAAGTGCTTCATGAATATACTCCTTGTTGCAGCGTTCTCTAGACTGTCGGTATCGTTTCTGTCAAAATAACTCACTTCATGTTACCTTTCTCCGTCCAAAACCATGTAGGCAGAGTGGCAGACATACAACTGGGGTAACAATATAGCATCGTACCAGCCCAGTATTCCTGTGATCACTGGCTTATTGGCGATGTTTGCCAAGGAATATCGCTACTGAAATCCCTGAGACAGAGGGAGATTGTCCTTCCTCAATAATCCGATGTCCCCCACCCCTTGCAGTATGTTCTGATATTTCGTCGGTTTTCTTCCAGATTGCCCCCTTTTCGTCCTGAGCCAATGCCTCCGTGGCGAGGGGCTGGGTGTAGACCTTTTCCTCCACCTCGTAGCCCAGTTTAAGCAATTGAACTTGTTCCATATTGCAGCTGGAGGTACAATTTCGCCAGTCCTTCTGCTAATATTTTCTTCAGTTCCCGAGAGATTTTCTCTTCTTCCTTCATCTCATCGTCCCTGTTGGCTGTTTGTGAGAACTGGAAACGTTCAAGAGCGTACTTAGGGCCTCCAAATCCATTACAAGCTTCGATTTCCACTTGCATACAGATTCTACCAGAATGTGAGAGATAGACAAAAAGAAGCCCGTGGTCAAACACAGGGAATGGGAGATGCTAGAATAAGTGCTTCTTGACCCAGGTTCTCGTTTTGTGTTGATATCTTGCTACCGAGCTGGACCAATGCCGAAATTATACACGCAGTTCTCGCCAACTGTCGTCTGTTTGGTGGAGTATTGACTGTCCCTGTCTGATATCCTGAATCATCCGGTTACCGCGACTCTTACACGTACCTGTTAATTGATAACTTCGCGAGCCCTTGAATTTCGCAAGAATATGGTCCACTGATATAGACGGTCCCTTAGTTTCCAGAGCAATTCTAGACGGCTGACTTCCTCATCATCGGGTGTTACCGCATCGCGCGGTAAAAACTGGTCTATTGACAGCACCCTGACATGAGAATAGCGTAAGGGGATATGTCCAGAGTTCTCCTGCGTCGGAAGATCAACTTCCTGGTTTTCAGAATTGTCCCAAATTGTCGTGGGTCGAGCGAAGTCGATAGCATCATCAATCTTGCTTTGACCTGCAGTTTCCACACCGGTCGCTTGCACCCCATTTTGTAGCGATGTATCGCTGCTGGAGTCTTGCTTCGCCTTCCTGATCGCAGCCTTGATCCGCTGGGCAGTAGCTCTGGCTTTCTCCTCGTTCTTTTCACGGCAACCGAGACACTGCTCCCTCCAAACCTTCAAAAGCTTGCACTTCTTGCACATCTCTCTCACTTTCCACTCCTGTAGTGCCTCAATGGACTCGCGACCGACGTAGATCCGGTAGACGCAGCGCTGACACAGACGCTTCCAAGAGAGATGGGGCCACTCGCGTGACATTTCGACCTGCTCCTCGGAGAACTTTTGGACCAGGAGCACCCGGAAGCAGCCATAGCAGGCATACTTTGGAATCTCCAGAGCCGGACGGCGGGCTGAAGCTGGCCGTAAGACAATGGCCGGATTCTTCTTAGCCATTTCTGTCGTGAACCTGTATTTGTCGTGCAGTGGGCACTGCTGGGGGTCCACATTGGACTGGAAGTGTTTCGAAGTTGCAGCTAGCATGATCGAGTCTCTATAGGAGAGCGTATCAAATATGCACTTCTGTATGCCATGTGGTAGTCTTTGTAGAGGGGATGAGGGGCTCTTGTTCTTCCCTTCGTCTTCGTCCCAACACATCCAGCCTCTCTTCGTCCAGTCGTAATCGTCTGGCGAATCTGGATTCCAGCATCGTTCCTGTTCGATGTGAAATTGGCGACACTTGGAGCAATAGTAGAAATATTCGTTTCCTTTCCGTACGGGGATAGCATGCGAGTGCGGGTAAAGTCGATGCTCCGCACCACAGTCCCAGCAATATCGATCGTACCGAGCTCCAATTAGGTTCGGAGAGTTCTTCCCATGCGGTCCTTTCCGTTGGGTGTTTCCAAAAGAGTCCTTAGAAAGAAGGCGGTCGCAGCAGAAGCAGACCAATCTGTCCCAGTTTTGCGGAAAGTGCTCAGCCCTCACGAGGAAGTCCCGCTTTGTGGTGGTCGGTAGGCGATCGAGATTGAGGTTGTCGTAAAACCAGTGATTGGTAATTTTCAAGAATAGAGCGCTTCTGAAGTCGAGAATCCCCCAGATTTCATAGTGAATGTCATAAGGCAGCGATTGGAGTCTTGATGGTCCATCAACTGTCGGGCGAGAGGGCTCGATTTCAGAAGGGCTACTGGTCCCCTCGTTGGGGGTAACCTGGACGTAATGTCTACCTTTAATCATCGTCTTCCACCTAAGACACACGTAGAGAGTCGGGCGAGGAAACACGGTCCTAAAATCTAGTGACGTTGAGGAATTTTGTACCCATTTTTGAATTTCAACTCACCCGCGTTAAAGTTTCTTGTTCTCTGGACCCGACACTGCATAAGGATTCATCTTGAATACAATTTCTTGACCATAGAGAGAGGTATGAACGCGGTCATCGAATGCATTATGATGACTCAAGCTTGCTGTTTCATAAGCTGCTAGGTCACTAGTGACATCCACGTCTGCCCTGGCCAACAGGACAACGGATGTACAGTCCCCTCAGTATTTCCGTGCTGCCAGGATTATGGGAGCCGTACGGAATCAACCCTACTTTTGCGTTCACACCTTGATTTGCCCTGGCGACTGAGAACACTGCTAGCGAGCTTAGAGTTTTCTCTCAATTGGAACAGTTGACATCTAAGCGCATGGATCTAGGCGTCTTCACGTGAACAGCATGGATTTTCGACTGAATGCTGAGAGAGTATGTACATGTTTTCATCATCGCTGGATCTTATGAAATCAAGTGTCTACCGCAGTAAATGTTGCAGAATGGTGCATACCTCTGACTGGCCAGACTTGCTATATATCGTTATCGCGACGTGATCAAGGAGGAGACATAGAATGGCGTGCACACCCGCAAACTCGTAACAGTCCCTTATTGTAAGACCAATATCACTCATCTAGATCATTCAGGCTAAATAAAGCCATACGCCCGCTCTAAATAACCAGGGTATTTAGCATATTTAAAAAAGAACCCCATTCTATGATACTAAACCAGACATTGTCGAGCCACCGCTGAGAAATGGTAATATATTGCTGATACTGGCCTCGTGCCGGCCAAGACCCAGTCTTATCTAGCAACCATATCACGGGCTTATTGTCATATCCCGCCCGAGAACCCTCCGCTTCGACCCGGCATCCCCATCCCCACACCGGCGTCCATCTCCAGACCTTTGATGGACTGCTGCCAATCTTGCCAGTTGAAGTCTTCTTCCATGTTCACGTCGCCATCGTCGACCGCTGGCAGATTGGCAGTGACGTCTGCACTGCTCGTCCCCCACGTATGGGACCACAGCCAAGGCGGCGGATTGTCGTCGACGAACGAGTTCATACCAGCCGACGTGGCTGGTGTCGTCGACTGTGGCAGGGGCGTTTGCGACACAGGTTGAGTAGTGGGCAAGCTGTCTCTGGGAAACGGAATGCCACCCTTGTTTGCCACGGGGCTGCCTTGGGTCGGCATCATACGCATGTCTGGTTGTGGTTGTGATATTCCACCGGAGAGTCCATTTTCAAAGATGACTTGCCTCGCTAGCTCGGTGGATTCATCTGGGTAAACTAATGACCAGAAGTCTTGCGGATTGAAGGTTTGCTGGGACATAGCGTCCGTCATGTAGTCCATAACCTGCTGCGACTGCGCCACCGAGATTTGCTGGTTAGCCTGTGGTAGGTGCGGATTGGATGCCGCGGAACCGTTTGGCACCTCGTCATCGACGCACCCATCATGGGGCGGGTTTTCAGGGTATGGCACCCCTACAAGTTTGCGCCATTCTTCTTGAGCAAGCTGGATGCTCACGGCGGCCGGCATGTTGTGAAAATTGGGATTGGGTGTCTTTGCCCTCTCAATTCTGTCAAGCCGTTTGGCAGCTTCCGGCTCGCCACGTAAACGTGCGATCTCTTCCTCGCGATGCAATTTTGCCTTCATCATAAGTTTGCGGATAGGTAACAGCACAGCTCTATGCTGTGTTTGGATAAGTCGGGCCTTCTCAGACGGTTCTGGATCTTGGAAGGTGGCACTGAGTGCCCTCCAAGCTCGCTCGACTGCCGCCGACCACGGTCGACGGCATACCTCCAGTAGTAGGAAGGCAACAGCATGCCATTGTGTGTATGTTTGGAACAGCCAACGGTACTGCTTGCACCGGTTGTCGCTATTCAGAAGTTTGTTGTACTCAACGACTTCGGTTGAGGACGTGAAAAGTCGATCCCTAACCTCCTCAGACACTGAGGGCCCCTGACCGGGGGAATGGGGAAAAAGAATGGGCTGGTAAATGATGAGACTCATTTTTGCCATAATGAGTCGGGCGATGGCAGCCGCGACCCAGTTAAGCAAGTCACCTTCTTGGTCAGTGAAGGGTTTGAGGTACTTTTGCTCAACACGGTCGTAAATATCGATAAGCAGATCCTCCCGCTCTTTCAAGGTCAACTGGGTATCCTTGGGGCACGGAGCCATGGCGTTGGATGCCGAGTGCAATCGTCGTGCAAGTGTGCAAATTTCGTAACGAATAAGACAGAATGTCAGATCGGTGGCGTCAGCCCTCTCACGGGGAAACTCCTTCATGTCTGGACTGATATCGGAATCATTCACATTCAGCGGAAACTGGGTATCATATGTTTGTTCCGCAATCGTCAAATCGGTGCCCTGGTCCTCGGCCGACCTCAGATCCAGAATGCATACCGCCCACCATAAACGGCGGCGCATTTCAATATCAAATGGCGATAAATCAGCGAAGTGGGTGCCCTCGCGGTGTATGCCGAGCGAGTGGCTGATACGAATCAGGAGGCCGGTCAGGGTCCATGAGAAACGGGTGTCGTCATAACGTCGGACTAAAACTAGGAAAATGGTGAAAGCCTGTACGACGACAAGCTCCGAGGTATTCAGGAAGTTGGCTTTGGCAAGAGCTTGCTCGGTTGCGAACCGGTACTGGCGAATCAAATGCGACTTCTCGGCACCAAAGTTTATCTTCACCTGTTAAACTAGTCAGGATCATGCTGTTAGCGACGGATCTTGGAGACCTTACCTCGTCGTCCTCCATTGACGTGATGGCTGCATAATATATTGAGAACATCAAGGCCTCCAATCCAGGCGCGATGTTATTCATATCACTCCTTAATTTGCGAATGATAACGTTCATTGTCGGAACGTGTAGAATCTTGACAACGGGATCAACATTCTCTGTATACACCTGCCAAATAAAGGGGATCTGCGACGGAAGTGGATGAAGCTTGCGCAAGTCGACATCGCAGGATCTGTAACCAAAAATGAACGCATGGTGGTCTAGTGATTGATTTTTGTCGGACTGGACTGTATCCGGAGAGCTGCCCTCGTCGTCCGAGTCTTCCGAGTTTTCGTCCGTCAATTGTTGAGTCTCAGCTCGCAGTTGATTGAGCTGCGCAGGTCAGTGTTGGTGCAACGGATCTCAGAGAAAGCTCAAAGGTGCTTACTTCATCATTCATCTTGGACCAAAATGCACTGCTCACGTAGCGGGTCTTGCCGTTATCGTTGAGCACGAGGCGGCCAAACTCTTTATTTACCTCCTTCAACGGGCTTGTTAACGGACCCCAACTCGTGTTGCCGGTGCCGGAACCTCTGAGCAAGCGTCCTGGCTCGGGCGACCGAGACGGGGGGTAATTGGAAGAGATCGCGGCAGCCTCCTTGCGTCTCTCCCGCTCGTGTACATTTTCTGTTGTGTCTTCGGGTGAATCCGCGGCGCTGGAAGGGTTTCGTTCGACCTCGATCTGACCGCTAAGCTCATCGACAATGCCCTCGAGCTTCCGTAGTCGCTTCATCAACTCGATCTCGCGTTCGCTCGTCTGTTTCGGCGGGGCGTTGGGGTCTTTAGGGCGAGGTCGTCGCGGTGCCCGACCCGGCGCCGGAAAGATGCAGGATATGTGAGCCTTGCGACAGTTGCCACATGGCATTTGTTTGTCGCATCGCACCTGTCCGGGTTTAGTACTTGCCACCACTCCTAAACTGTACATAGCGACAGAATAAAAGCCATGTCTTGGGGGAGTCTGCGCCCCGCACTCACCACCCCGAGCTACGAAACGGAAGCAAATCAAAGGTCCCCCGGGTGTTGCTCACCTTGCGTCTGCGACACGTTACGCAGGATCGGGGATTCAAGACTGAAGACGGCTGGGTATCAGGGTCGATCACCGTCACTCCTGACATGGAATGAGCTGCGGAATGGGCGGAGGCGCCTGTCGAGCTCGCTGCTGCAACGACATGGTCGCGATGGTCCCGCGGGGTCGAAATGACCGTAGATGAGGGAGAATCGAAGTTGGTGCGGCTACTGGGTGATGCGCCGGCCGACATCATAACCGGAGTCGAGGTGCCACCGCGAGACACCATTGTCGTGGTGGGGGAGGTAGTGGTCTGAGAGTTGGACAATATCATCCGAGAGCCCCCGATTGCTTGATCCGAACTTTGTACAGGCCTACGAACCTGGGGATCCTCGTCTGTTTTCTCCGTCCCTAGTAGGGGATCAAGGACAGTGGACATTCAGCAAGTCGACAACAGTAGATACCAAATTGTGTTGCTGATTGAGCTTGTGACGTAGAAAGCCAAATAGTGTTATAGGCAGCTCGTGGCTGCTTCGAAGGATTTTCGAGAGAGTCGCCTATTGGGCGAAGGTGAATGGCCTTGTCATGAACTCAGCAGCTTGCGCGGTGTCGTCTTGGGTCAAAAAACTAGAAAATAATGCGGCTCAGAGCTCTTGGGAACCATCCTGGGGCTTAAGGGATGAGATGTCGCTTCGAGAATGGGCCCAGATAACTCATCGGCGTGTTGTTGAACTTGAGAAATTTCAGGCGCAGGAACAATCGTGATCGTGAGCTATTGCCAGAGACGGGACCCACGTCCACTTAGGCCAGTTGAAGGTGTCCAGGTGGGGGTTGGCCGACCATCATCACATTTTCCCAGGCCGCCTTGGCAATGCTGGCAATGCGTTAGGGCGCATATGATAAGTCCTTGATAAATTCGAGCAGGTTCATGCTAGGAATGCTCGGACGCTTAGAGTCACAGCCTCTGAAGATCGATTGCTTTGATTGCTTTCACCAATGATCCACGTCACAGCATCAATTTTCACCTTATGAGCGCTGCACTCGTTCAACCTGCGATATGATAAGTAGTTCGGGAAGATGCTTGTTTATTAGCACTTGCCTTGGCACGTACGTCAGGGGACCCACTACCCTCGTTCTCATTAACATGGCTATGCCAAGTTTTCACCTTCCCGCAATCTTCTGCCCGGATTCCGACGATACCGGCCGATGGCTTTAGTTGTGTCTGATTGTCGCTTACCCAACTTAGCAACTTGATCCTTCGCCTTATCTCCGAACCTGTTTTCAGTGCTTCAAACCCTTTGGTCGGATTCTTCATGTGGCATCTACAATCCCAACGAGCCGGTGCAGCCAATCACTACCTTTCACTCTTGATCGGATGCTCGGATGCTCGATGCAACCACCGTCTATTTAGTACTATGGAAGGCGAAATGTTCACGTATAAAGCAGAAGCTTGGCATCGCATCTTGGCATTTGCTCAACTGCAGTCTGCACATTTCACTCGTAGCTAACAGAATAATTTCCTCGCATCTCTTCCCAAGACCATGCGAGCAGTAGTCTGCGCGACCACGGGAGGGGTCGATGTCCTGCAGCTTCAGGACATCCCCGTCCCCTCCCCTCAGTAAGGCCAGGTTCTCGTCAAGATCTTGGGCTTTGGCATCAACCGGGCTGTTCTGTGAAACCGTTGAGGTGACCAAGGCTTGACTGCCAATTCTGATACCATCACAGAAATGTTTACACGCCAGGGGAACTCACTGGGCGTCGTCGAGTTCCCCCGCATTCTCGGCATCGAATGCATCGGCGCAAGTATGTCTCCCGTTATGGTGCATTCGACCTCTTCTTTCCCAGACAGCGGGTCACTCTGCACAGCTTTGTTGTCGTTTCAGAAACAGCAAGCGTTGAACTAATGTGCTACAGTCGCTGGCTACCCCTCATCCACCAAGACCATAACACATCCAGTTGGCACTCGAGTGGCAACTTGCATGGGCGGCCTGGGTCGTATGATCCCGGGCTCTTATGCTGAGTACACCTGCGTCGCCGAGACCAATATGCGACCTATCCCGGACACCTCCCTTCCTATCGGAACCTTCGCAGCACTGCCACAGATGCTTCAGGCAACCTGGGGCTCTCTCGTGACCGGACTTGACCTCAAGGCCGGCGAGAGCATCCTGATCCGCGGTAGTACCAGCTCCATCGGCCTGTGCGCTCTCCAGCTCGCCCACAAGATCGGAGCAAGCCGTATTGCCGGCACGACTCGAAGCGCCGCGCGCGTGCAGATGCTCTATGACAACGGCGCGGACGAAGTTTTCGTCGACGGCGGCGAGATCGCCAGTCAAGTCACTCAGAGTCCCAAGGGCGCCTCTAACAAGGTGCTCGAGCTGACAGGCCCTACGACGCTCAAGGACTCGCTTAGGTGCACAATCCAGAAGGGGACGGTCTGCATGACGGGTGTACAAGGCGGCTCTTGGAAATTCGACCAGTTTATGCCCTTTGGGGATTTGCCCAACCGTGTCCGGCTGTGTATATACGGTGGCGGGCCGGAAGACTTCATGTTGATGCCTTGGGAAGAACTGGTCAAGGACGTCGAGGCTGGTAGGGTGAAGATTCCCGTGAGGACGTTCAAGCTGGAAGATATCCAAGAAATTCATGATATTCTCGAAAAGGGGGGAGGTTGTGCCAAGATGGCTGTTGTTGTAGCCGAAGAATGATACCAAACAATGACAACCAACATTGGTTAACGTAGGCTGGGGGATATATACGTCCGCCTTACCATGGCATTGCCTTCCAAGCTCGTTTGATCGCAATGGTTACATACATGACCAACGTAGACGAGTCTAGCTACGAGCGTAGGGTCTAGGAGCACGAATGCCATACCTAATCAAATCTAGCAGCTACAGGGTTGGTGAGTAGAAACCGAGAAGTTTCGCAGCAGCTTTTGGAATGGCACAGACATCGATATTGGTCGTCAGGGATTTGATCCACCAATGATAGTCCAGCAACGAGATGATGTTGAGAGGGAGGACTGCCACGCAGACTGAAGTGTCATGGCGGGGAGCTGAGGGAGGGCTGCTCGAAAGACTCGTCTGTTATGTAAAGTACGGATATGTATACTCCCAAAAGCCAAAAATGATCCGCGTCACAATGCAATTGCCAATAGTTCTAAAGTCACTTGTTGCGGCAGTTCAGGGTGGCAAGGATTCCAACACTGTGTTTGGCTGTGCACTCCAGATTTTCCCGGCTGGAGATGTGTTCTCTCCTGACGAAAGCTCTGTGTTTTGCTCAACGCAACGAGAATTAGTCTAGACGCAGCTGTGTCCCTCCGTCTCAACCTACGACGTGCGCCAAATCAAGTCCAAGATCGACCTCGACAATCTCTTGATTTATTAATCAAACCATTTTCGTAGAGTGTCAACAAATGAGGCTAGATTCAAGGTCAAGGGTTTTGACGTGGTGGCGGCGCGTCGGAAGTTCTTAATCAATCAGTCTGGCTATGACGGTGGATTCGATACGGCCATGAGCGTTAGACAACAATGATGCTGTTACAGGGCCAGATTTCTACAATTCTTTCCATCTTATTTGTGGGAAACGGCCTATGAGCGAAGATCCTAAAGTGGATGCCGAGGCCGCCTTCGAGGGTGGTGCTCGTCTGTTGTGTCTCATACCCAGCCTCAAGTCGCTTCGCATCCACCTCTTTCGAACTCTCATAGGTGATAAATTGCCGTAGCACGAATTCTTATCTATTATCATGCGCGAGCGACACTTGTCGCGCCTCGTCCACCTTGCGCCAGCCAGGAGACACTATATCTTAACACACAGGTCTACAGTCTGTCTGCCTTGAGGACATGAGCCTCACCAGCAGCACTTTGTATCCAATCTTTGATACGCGAGGCCAATCACTTTCCATCATAAGCTTATGTCTGCCATCTCTCATGGCAGTGGACAGCCGCTGCATGCTCAATTTGGGGTCCGAGGGCCGGAACTTACACACCTCGGATGACAGCACTCGATTCCATTGCTTTCTTTGCATTGATGCAAGCAATCTGTGGCACATAAGAGATGTTGAGGAATCGGAGACTTAAGAAAAAGGATTGCTTTTCCGTCGTACTCAGTCCCAGGGTAGAGCTCTGGGTCATATCAGTCACATGTGTGTCACGTCCATAACTAAACAGATATTGTGCATGCTGCAAGCACGTTTTGGATTTATTCTGAATAACAGGGAAGACTAGTGGTGTGTATCACCAGGATCAGCTCACGTTGTCCAGCAAGATGAATATATACTGCATTCTATTGGTATCCGCTGAAGTATACAACCACGCCACCAATACTCAGACTATGGCTTCTGAGCACTTCGGGCAAATTTTTGCGCCAAGTAACATGATTGCACGGCTGTTTCCTTTCTTTTACGCTGAGGCTGAGTCTACCCTACGAGTCATGTACCAAACTTAGTTACCGAGAACTAAAACCAAAAAGATGAATACCACGCTAATTCATGGTAATTCTGATGAGAATGGGATTCGAACCCATGAGGATTGCTCCACCAGGAATATTGTAGTTAGAGTTGAGACCTTAACCTGGCGCCATAACCAACTCGGCCATCTCACCGATGATTGATGCAACGATTCATTGATAAAACCCACTATGTTACTACAACAAACACACAAAACGCTAAGCTCTGTGAGTGGGGATATTAAGTGAATAGTTGGGCTGGCCACGACGGTCTTGATTAAAAAAGGAAAATAACGTTAGCAATCATTTGCGATGGTTGTTGCCATTGCTTAAGATGCAAGCGGATTAGGGTGCGTATGGCTGATCTGGCAAAATGGTCGTAAAACTGGTGTCTATTGAATCCAACGGCGGCATGCCGCACCAAAGACGTATGCTCACATCTGATCAATGTAATGTACCGGTAAACGACTCGAAGAAATTCACGGGATGGGGGTGGTAGGGAAAGAATGGGAGTTTCTTTCTTTTCATTTTCATTTTCTTTCCAACACCTCTCCCTGGTCTGTTCACAAAAGAATCGCATAATAAGGGGCTTGAACAAAATAAAGTGATTTCTTCACTTGTAAGATGCAGGAGAGTCTTAAGGACAGAAATGCGACAATAGTGTCACGGTTCAATGGCACGCGCTGGTTGTACAATGAGGTACTTATTGAATCGTTAAGTAAGCAGTTAAAGAAGAATAGAAATGACGCCAACACCCATCTTGAAGCAATACCAAACGCAATGTCAAAGTTAAGTCATAAAGCTCCTAGGACCCCAATCCTTCTGACATGGGTCTGGTCCACCTCCTATATCGTTGCCCCGATAATCATGGTATGTAATTATGCATGCCATGCTTAACAAGTGATAGTACCACAAGCAGCCGGACGAGGAACAGTGGTCTGAACCTCCCCGACAATGCCCTCCTGCTCCGCAGCCTCGAGCCAGATGGCGTCGAGGTCGGGCAGAACGTTGCAGCAGCGAACCTGGTTGATGTTGTTCACGGCAGTCTGCAAATCGTTCCCGTCAATGATGCTCTGAAGATTGACTAGGACCTGTCCGAAGATGGCCATGAGGTCGTTGACTGCATCCGTGTACTCGTCCGTGGCACCACAAATGCCGGCGAGGACCACTATATCCATTGTTAAAACGGGCACTTAGTGGTGGGTGTCAGCAACGTACTCAAGTCCTTAGGCTCATTGTTAGCAAAGGTGATGACCTCCTGGGCTTGGGCGGCGGGGTCGGCCGAGTTGTGACCAGCGTTGACGAGGAATGTGTTCACAGTGTTGACGTCCTGCAGCCAGTCGCGGATGGCATCGGCAGCTTGGTCCGCGCTGGGCTGCTGGGTCTGGTCGCAGCCGGCCTGGCGCTTCAACATGGATGGAGCAGCTAGGACCGCAGTGAATAGGACGGCGGTGACGGCGAAGGACTTCATTTTGAATTGGGTTGGTTGTATTCGTGCGTAATAGCTGTGGGCTGGCGGCTTGAAGGGCTTGAAGCAAAACAATTTTCCTGATTGAGAGCAGATAAAACCGAGACTATGACAGAGATCGAATACGAAGAAGATACAAAGGGAAGAGTGAAGATGCTAGGAGATGGCTTATTGGTCTGAGTGTTGTTAGTCTTGTTGGTGGTGAGAAGAGACAGAATCTTGGGGAATGAAATCAATATCATTATATATTCACCAACTCTACGCGTAGGATCAATCATCAAATATCAAAAACGCACTGGCAAAATCGAACATGAATTCTCAGTGCCCCTGTTTCTTGCGGGATTCACCACCGTTCCGAAAATTAACACCACAGTCGGCGGCGGACATCGTGGACAGTTGCAAAGGGTGTCAAGGTGTGCTGGCCAGTGTAATCAAGTTGAAACAGTGAAACACACCAAATTTATAATAAACCTCGCCATATTTTGTCAAAGATAGTCTGGTAAGATGATGACATGGTAAGCCGGCCCGCAATTGTCAGAGGGCAAGCTTGTGTCGTCTGACGATACTCATTCAAACCCAGTGTCTTTAAATAGGCTTGCTTCGCCATGATGGATTATAAACTTGACCCCGAACATCGATACTCCAAGCTGAATTGCAGTTTGCTGTGTAACTGAGCAGGAATAGTAGCCCTTAGTCGTGCTCCTGCTTGCAGATCCGAAAACAATTGTTTTCACTCAAAGACACATGATGAAATAGGTTTATGGGGAGCCATTTGCCAATAGGGGGTCTTGTTTCGTAGAATGGTCGGTTAAAGATGACGGGGAACTAAAATTCTTCGAAGATATTACATGAGCTATTTCCGCATATAAACTCGAACCATGATGTTATTTACTACCGTATCTCATCATGTGAATTGCGTGACACGAGAGTGAACGGTTAGGTTATTGAAATAGAAACTTGAGGTTTTCCATTTCTGACTGCCCAATCGTGTATGTTTATACCTAACCATCCATTCCATAGTTAACTGAATTATTAGCACAATGTTCCATATTTGTGTGACTATCCTTCAGCTCCTTCAGGATCGTTCTCATATGTAAAGTCGACATGCGGCAAGAATTGATGGCCAAAGACTGTTGGTGCAGGGATCTTCTTGAAGTCAAGAAATCTAGATCGCGGAACGGCTGTGCCAATCTAGAAGCTCGCTGTGATTACGCGGCCGGTCTCTCATGAGTTGCGTGCAAATCACCGTGAGAACTTATGGTCTAGGCCCCCAAACACCCCTTTCTCTCGTCGGTCTTTGAATTACGCTTTCGCCCAGAAATAGCCAAGTCTTGTAGTTGCCTTGTCCTGTCAGCTTTACATTCGGGAAATAACCCAGAATTGCTTGTCGTTAGCTGCAAGGATGACGCAGCCTGTAGCTTGACCCAAGTTGATTGGCTGCTAACGTATTTCACCCCCATTCCGACACCCTATAAAACAAAACACCACGAATAACACTGCAATTTCAAACAACCACCACAAATTCAATTCTGAACAACTATACAATCGCTTTCGACAGTAGATACATTAGATATTTCTGAACCCGAATCATCGACAAGAGCTTCATTAGATACTTCCCTCATCCGCCGTACGTCCTCAATCCTTGCGAATTTCGCGTTTGGACTTATTTGCACCTTCTTTTTTTTCCGTGGCTTCATAAGCTCCAATCGCTGTTTCAAGCCCTCAATTTGTAATTCTGCGCTTACTAATAGATAATTCTTCTCATCAAACCCTTTTTTCATCTTTCTAAATAGCTGGCGTTGTGTAGTCATGTTAGTTTGTTGGAGTCGATTGAACTCCCTAAACTGGCGCTCTATATCTACGCTCTTCTTTGGCGTTGACCATACAACATTGCCCTCTGAAGGCGTCTGGAGCGTTTTCTGGACTTGCTGGGTTGTAATAAGAATGTCTGGACCTTGGTGACGTGTGCGGTTGCTATTTTCAAGCAGAAGAGGGCTAGTAAGGGGCCTAGCGACATTTAGGGGCCATAGACCACTTGTAGGCCAACCAAACTTGATATTTTGAGCCGTTAGGGCCCTCTGGCGTGCTCTGGCGTAACAGCGCATAAAATTCTGCTTGCCAATAGGTGCTGAATCAGTTAATAGGGTTAAAAACCCGACCTCCTTGCGATATGCCGTTTTCATAGCTGAGAACACTCCAACATCGAGGGGCTGAAGGACATGAGATGAGTGTGGGGGTAAAAATAATAAGTATGTTGTTTTGATATCAAATAGACATAAAAGTATCAGTTGTGTGACTACCGTGACCATCCAAAATAAGTAAACGAGTGTCTGAAGGGTCCTGAGGAAGCGTAAGGGGTATAAAACGTCTTCAAGCCATTTAATAGCTATCGTATCGTCTGTCCAGCCCTTGGGGGATGCCTTGAAGCGCCAGTCCTTGAAGTCCTGAATATTTTTATCAGGGAACCACTGCTCTTGGACGTCCTTGCCCTTGAAAATAACCAGGGGGGGTAAGGTATTGCCGAGGGCATCCACACATTCCAAAATTGACGTCCACGCCCTCGAACCAGGCTGTTTCTGGTGTATTGCGCGTAAGGTAGCGCTCCCGACAACTAGCCCAGAGCCCCCTTGACCCTCCATAAGGCCATGCTCATCCATATTATACCTGCATTGCGGCTTAATCGCTTGAATTGCAGGAATACGTAATTTTGAAGCAAATCAGGCTTGGATTACCTCGGTAGACGCGCCATTGATACGCTGAGAGTCGATACGGCGTTGCTTTTTAGTCTTTAGTGCTGGGTGACGCTTTAGAAAGGCTTCCAGCCAATTCTTGCCGAGTGGTTGATGGTCACCTTTGAGGGCTAGGACGCGCTGCGCGAGCTCCTTGATTTGCGCGTGCGTTGGGGCTAGTCCAAGGGCTTCCTGGACCAAAACCCAGTCTGCTAAGTGTTTTTCTTGCACTGGAGATAGTCTCTGCTGGCTAGCAGAGGCCTCGCGACTTGATTCAGCGCCTTGAAGTCTGTCGATAAGTGTAGTCCTTGGTATACCCCAATCCAGGCCAGCGCGTCGCACAGATTTACCATTTGCGACGTCTAGAATGGCGGCAGCGAGGTCTTCTTTCGTATATGAAGGCATTGATAGCAGATCAGATCGAATACTTGGAATAAAGTCAATTGAAGCAAAAGTGGTTGAGAAATAAAAGGATAATGTAAATAGCGGTGTGGTTATTGTTGGGGTTTACAGGGGTGTCGGAATGGGGGTGAAATACGTTATTCCGGAGATATCGTGGGGAAGCGGTGCTTGCTCACTGTTTCTAAATAAATTCTCCGAATTATTGGTACTGCTGTGCAACTCAGGTGCTGCGCGACCCGTATATCTGACAACGGACTTCGGCTAGTCGCTGAGTAAGCTCTGGGGGGAAGGGGTGGATCTGTGCCACCTGCGGACATGTTAAGATGCACATCGTGCAGCAGCTCCAAGCATCAACTAAAATAGGTTCCACTTGAAACGAACAGCTGGAAAATAAAGTAAGGAGATGGGAACCATGATATGCTTTCTAGTCAACTTTTGTAAATCTTGGAGAGGAGTTTCTCCACTATTGCGGTATAGGCAGTAGAACGAAAAGGAAACGTGGAATAGATCTTCTCATGTTGATTGAGGCGATTTTCCTCCAGGCACCCTGGCTCTTCAGGGAGATGTACGTAAAGACATTGGAAGCAATACTCCTAGGCCCTTGTAGACAATGCCATTATCTAGGGGCTCGATAAAGTTAGGGATCGCCTGAGACTGCGAGGTTTTCCAATGTGACAATAACACCATCGCCGACACACTCGCGTGTAAGCAATCAACCACGTCATATCCATCATGGCCTTGCATTCGGTCCCTACATACTCTCTGCAGTCTGTTGTGCCCAAACGCCTTCACGTCAACTTTCTTATCTAGCCTAAAATACCCTTTGCTCGACATATACCATTCACACGTTGGGAAATGGCCATTATAACTTTAGATGTTGTTCGGTGTCTAAAATTGTACCCTGATCTCGATGTTTCTAGTGCAATCTATGACGTGACTGCCCAGTATAAGATCCTTTTGAGCTTCTGTTTGCAACCGATGGCCTTGTACTTTCCCCAAGTATTCCGCATCAATAATCGATATAAACTTCGTTCGTGGGGCAATGCGTAATAGCGGATATCAGACCATGATGGCCGGACCGACCCAATTCATTGCGAATGCACACAAGCACTGTCTTAATTGACCTCGAGGCACTAGAGGACTATCAAAAGACAGCAAAGGCCCATCTACATTTTGCTTGTCAACGGCGTGGGGTGCTATTCAAAACAAATCTAGATCTAGATCAGCACATCTCGCCAGCACACTCTAAGACACCTACGCAGCCGCGGCGTCGACCCTTGAGGTATATGCCGAGGCAGCTCCAGAGGCGCGTCCTGATTGCGTAGTAAGCATCCCCTTTGAGAAGACCACTCCTCAGTTTATTGTTGACTTTCCAACTTTGCTCTTTGTTCTAGAATATACCCGAGCGGCCTTATAAACTGAGCGCTCCCGAATACTACATCGATGCACCCTCAATATAGCCTACCGAAGAGCTGATTCAATAATCGATCTGCGACAAAGAGTCTAACGAGAAACTGACCCGAGAATATAGACATCACTGGTTGCACAAAAGAAGCAAAAAGGAAAACCCAAATATCAAAAGATTGGCTTCTTGGTTCGCCCTTAGACAAGAGAGCGTCGACAGCCTCTAGCTGCGGCCGGGCGGCGAACCCATATCCTTCCACCATCCTGGTCACTTCTCTATCTCATTGAGAGGAGCCAGCAATAGTGATCAGGGTCTACCCCACTTCATCATGAGATCTTATCCCCTTTAGGAAATGCCTCGATCATAAGATATGGACTTGATCTAATACAAGTCTTTGCAAGACAATGTCTGAGCTGCTTTAAAAGCTGCTGCATACATCCTCTAGTAGTCTGTAGTCTACGTGTGTTCCAAAGACTGCATAAACGTTAGCAAAAGATTCTCGTGGACACCAGCTAGCTGAAACGTACAACTGCAAATTTACTCCTTCTCCTGATCTTCTCACCGTAGAAGGCCAAGACCCACGGCACAACAGTCAACGCCGTCGCAATCGCGCCGAGCAGCCCTCCCGCGGCACGATCACCAAGATTGGTGAACAACGGGCCCACAACCAGCGGGAAAGCCCCGCCAAGGATGTTCCGGCAAAATGACTGAGCAGCCAGTGCCGAAGACGCATAGCTCTGGTAACTATCGGCGAGGTAGTTGAAAGTGGCGAGGTAAATGTAGTAGATTCCCATCGAAGCCAGGCTTATCGCAATAGCCGGCGCGATCCAGTGACTCGACGGCTGCGAGGAAAAGCCAAAGAGGTATAGGCCCACGGGCAGGAGGATAGATGTGATGCAGGTGAAGTACAGCCGGGACTCGGGGGCCTCAACGGGGAACTTTCGGCGGACGAAGGACCAGAACTTGTCTGTGTCCTCATCGGTGTCGGTCGCTGCCTTTCGTTGCCATTTGGGATGGCGTAGGAGATCCTCCTGGAAGACCCCGATCACGGTTGCCAGGATCGAGCCGACGATCATGGCAATAAAGATGTAGCCTGCTTGCTCCGTGTTGAAACCGTACTGCTGGGAGAACACCAGAGGGATCGACCCGAAAGTGAGATAGAGAATGGCCCAGGCGAAGGAGACCCACAGCGAGAAGAAGAAAACGACGGGCTCTGTACATAGAAGATGGAAGGGCCGGAAGACGGAGATTGAGATCATCTTGGTGATTGATGTCCGTTGCTCATCCTCCTTGACCAGCCAACGGATACGCTGGAGCGCGAATCCCTTGGCCTCCATCTCCCGAGCGCTCAGGGGCGCTGGTGCCGATATTTCTTTCTCTTCGTCTCCTGGTTGATGTGGATCGGATGTTGATGAGATGAGTGTGTCGCCATTTTCGGCAGATTGAACTGGCATCCAAACACCTGGGAAGCCCTTCTCTTCCAGGGCCTCATACCATTGATTCAGCTTCCTCGCTTTGCGACTCAGTAGGACCGATCCTCTGCTCTCGTGAAAGAACACGACGATAGCAGCCACCACGACCATGTCCGCGATGACCTGATGCCAGAAGACCCATCTCCAAGTCGCCCCTGGCCCCACAGTATTGCCCCCCTCCCACCTGTAGACCATGACACTGGAGACCAGCGGACCCAAGCCGGTGCCCATCAGCACCGACCCGCTGAAAAGCGCCATGGGCGTATTGCGCTTCTCCTTCTCCCACAGGTCTGCAATCACGCCGCCGACCATGGTACTAAACACGCTGCTACCAACGCCCGTCAGGAACCTAGCGATCAACATGCCGGCAAGGCTCGACACCACGCCACAGACGACTTGGAAAACCACAAACACGATACCCGCGATGACGAAGACGGGATACCGCCCATTGATCTCAGAGAACGACGCCAGGATCATGGGGGCCAGGGCAAATCCTCCCGTGAAGGTCGTTACGCCAGTCAAGACGGCCGTGCGTGAGACCCCGAACTCGGAAGCCATGAGGTCAGCTGGGGGCGAGTAGGCGCCCGCGGTGTAGGCGGTGAGGCCTGTTGCGACGCATGAGAGGAAGAGCATGACCTTCTTCCGAGAAGACGGCCATTCGTGGGGATTAGCGTAGGGGCTGAGATCCGGGCAGGTTGGCAGCGTATCGTCGGAGAAGCCAGATGAGTTTGGGGCCGGGAGTGAAGTACCGAATGTCAAGTACAAATTGGCAATGGCTGTGGTAGTGTCTAAGACGGCGGGCTCCGACTCCACGTCCGTTTGATCACTGGAGAGCTGTTTGTCATCATCTGAACAACCGCTGGAGAACCCTTCGCACTCAATTTCCAAGCTGCCTCGTCTGGTCGTATTCGGCGGCCCTCCATTCCTCAGTTTATGGTTGCCCTCAAACCCAGCCTTTTCGGGACTGCGAGATCCTTCGTTGAGGGAGCCATCGGCTCCGATGTCTAAAGGCTTCATCCGTAAGGCGTCTAGGAATGAGAAATTTGGTGAATTCAACGATCCATGAGAAGGGCTGCGTCGGAATTCCTGTCGAGAAACCAATCTTTGGGAACAAACCAGAACTCGGTCGAGTGAAAAAAAAAAGGTGTACACTCACAACCTATCCCACCTGAACCACTGAGATCCCCACAGAATGCTCCATGGGATGAGGGTAGAATTAGTTATTTCCGGCTACGAAGACGTGAGTAATCCCGAATAGGCGAGGTAATTGGTTAGAGCACTCGGGCGCATCGGCGCCGGGCGTGGCCATGCCCATTGACAAAGCGACACCGCTTGGCAAATGCTTATTCATGGCATTTTGCTGTGGGGTGAGCGAAAAATGTGGAGACTTTTGGAGTTGAGAGTGACATCAGTTAGGGTGGTTGCAGTTTAATGCTGGATAATGTGCATTTCCGATTATTCCCAGGCGGCAGCGCCATTTGCGGTAACGTACAACCCCACCTTTCCGGCCACATATTGCAATCCAATTGAAGGTATTCGAAACAGTGTATTCAACGTACTATTATAGCTATTCAGGTACAACCAGCTCTAATAGAAAGCTGTGCTCTAGGGCTTCCTAAGGTATAGATCTGATAGATTATGACGCCTTAGCTGGGTCCAGTATTACCTGATTCCGACGTTGTACCTGGTCTCGTTGCCGTTCTACTTCAAGGGCTCGATCCTGTGAAGGTCAACCCTCGCATACTCACTACAACCAGGTGATTTAAAGCTGGAACACCTGCCATGGCAGTGCCAGATGGGAAGCCAATCATAACCCTTGTAGGAGCCCCGCCAAGCGTGGACGACTTAGTCGCGCTCCCTCAAACCTAAGTTGTGATCTTCTTTCCTTCGCTCCTTAGAGTAGAATCTTCCTCGATAGCACCTAATCGAGGTCTCTACCAATGCGATGCAACCCAGGTTGTGACAGATCCATCGCTTCCTTAATCTGTACAATGTTACCAAATCGTTCATTAGGCCCTAATCGTACCTTCTTACGTGGTTTGGGGCGTAACGAAGTTATCTCGGCTTCTAATGCGTGTACACGTTGGGTCAAAGTAGCGACCTCGACGCTCTGTACATCTAGCCGACGAGTCAGCTTCCGAAACAATAGCCGTTGCGACGATCGCAATGGCGTAATCGCTGCCAGACTCTCCCTAGCTACTAAGCTAGTCACTGGCGTCGCTATTATTGTCGGATCAAGCCAATTACCAGCTGTTGGTGGTGTAGTTGGTCGTTCTGATAGGGAGGCTATCGTCGGCTGAGGTCGCGATGGATCCAATGGGTATATTCCAGTTGCAGAGAAGCCTGATTGTATATTACTGATCGTGAACGACTTCGTATATGCCTCGATGTATAGCGAGAGGAACGTCAACTTTTTAAATGGAATAGAACAGTACTCGATCGAGAGAGAGGTCGCTAACGAGCGATAGTACCGCTTTAATAGAGCAAATACGGCGACGTCGAGAGGTTGGAGCCCGTGAGAACAGTGTGCTGGCAAAAATAGTAACGAGATCTTGTTACAATAGGCTAACCACATAAACTCGACGTTGTCGTGAGCGATATGACCATCTAATATCAAGAGCCGCTGCTCGTCGGGATTAACTGGTTGTGTACGAGGTATAAAGACGCCAAGTCGTAATTGGAGGGTAGAGCGTGGAACGCCCCATCGGAGGGAAGCCTGGCGCTGGGATATCCCTTGATTGATATCGTTGAGAGCGCCTTGAATCGAATTTTCTGAATATTGAGGCATTGTATAATAATAGCCAATACCGACGATAATCTGTTGTGCCGAAGGTTGTTGTAGTTGGCAGATTAGGTGGCCGGAAAGGTGGGGTTGTACGTTACTTCTTTACTTAAACCTCATCAGACCATCGTCTTAGCACATACGGCCACAGGCTCCAGAGAACTCGGGATCCCGTCCGCTCTCCCTTAGATAAGCTGGACACTGCTGGATTAGTAGTTGGGTGGGTGACCATCAGCGAATACCCAGTGTTGTATGTTTTTGCACATTTTGGCTATTTTGGAGATGAATGCAGCCAACGAAGGCTCTGGCCAAAAGTGTACTATGTAGACTTGTAGACCGGCGAGGTTCTCGGCCATAATGCCTTAGCATTTAGCAGGGGTTTATTAGAAGTTCGGCGCTAGGTGGTGTCCACTCCTACAATGGAAAGATTTGGTAGCTACACAAGGCTAAGGTGGGGTTGTACGTTAACATATGAAGACTTACAAACATCCAAGAGCCATAAGCGGCCTGACGCGCCAAGATGATACTGGTCGACCATGACCGGCTTCATGTTGTATAACGTCATCCTGTGCGACTCTGCGTGTCGGCGGCACATCCACGGTGCACACACTTGACGACACGCCGGCTGCATACTGATGCTACCATGTTGATGCGAATGGAAGATATGGGTTGGGTAGACACTGTAGCTGGTTGGTTGGCCCATTTGCGGCGACTGGTGGCCGGGATATCCTGTACTCCACGTTCTCGCATGGCTGCGTCGAAAACAATCCGGGTGAGCAAGTATTACGGATAGTGGAACTACCACAGAAACCTGATGCCCCTCAATTATGACCATTAGCAAAACGCATCTCCGTGGGGTCAAACCACGAAGGAACCTTATCTAAATGCTACGCTGGCAATACACAGGTGAACCCGACTAATCCGCAATCCAAGCCCCCAAAGAAATCTTCTTTATTTTACTCCTGACAGCCAATGTCGTATGGCCAAGTATCAATGCCAGAAAAAAATACCTGAAAACTTTGGCACCTGTCTAAATAGGTCCACTCTGGTAGGCCTTGGGTATCACAAAATCAAAGTCCGGGACATACTCCGGCTCCAGACTGGTCTCTCGTGACCGCGATGACCTTCTCAGCAGGTTCCTGAAGCTTCTCTTCGTCCCCAGGCTCCTGGACCTGGACCGCTTCTGGACCGTCATATCGAGCCCCAGGGCCGAATCCGCACTTGGCGTGCTGTACGCGCTCTGGGCACTTTGCGTACTCGCGGTGCTTCTGGCACTCGCCTTACTAAGGCGCTTGTTCTCGTCGCCGCCGCTTACGTTGCGGCTATGCGTGTGTGATGTTGACTGGGTCCTATCGCTAGCTCTGCTGATATTTCTGGCGCGCCGATGCTCCTCGGCGAAGTCCCGGGTCTGTATGCCACTTGATTCGCTGAATTGCCTTTGGCCCCCACTGTTCTGTCTGCTGTGGATGCGTGAACTTGGGCTGCTCTCTATACCGCCCTGGAAAACGCTGCCAATGCGCTTATGCTCCTCCGTGCTCACGTTCCTGCTGTGAATACGTGAACTCTGCTTGCTGTCAATGCTGGCCCTGGGGATGCCACCGGGATGCTTGGGACCGCCCTCAAAACTTGAATTTCTACTATAAGCCCGCGCGCCTCGCGTGGTCCACGATCCTGAGCTCGCTTGAATAATACCTCTCCCCTCTTCCATGGTGTCGTTGCTCTCCCCACTTTCGCGTTGCTGCCTCCTCTTTCCATTGGCCTCTCGCCGTCTTTGTTGCTTCTCTTCATTCGCCTGGAGCAACTCCATCAGCTTGGCTATTTGTCGCTTTGCCGAAGTAGTAGTTATGACGGTATTCTCACTCTCGACCTCGAGACATGGCTCCGTAGGCTGTACCGCTCCGAACTGCGTGTCTCGGTGGACCGAAGCTTGACCAGGCAGGAAGGGCCAGATGGTGCAGATATCCGTACGGTGACAGTGGTTCCAAAGGTCCGGGTTATCGACATTGTACTCGATAGTAGGGAATAACCAAGCCAGTAGTTTGTCGGTCGTGGGCCTGCTAAAGCCAGCGATGCGGAGGGTGTTAATTTGACCGGCCAACTGGACTAGTGGGCGCGCAGCCGCCAACTCGGCATTTGGAGAACAGTATGCGCGTGGTTCTGTCGTCAAGGGCTATCAGTTGGCCTGATCGCTTCCTGAAAGAAGGCACGGTGTGGACGCAAGGTATGGAGGGGTTGACTTACTCGCTGGTGATCCGTTCTCGGAGTCAGGCTTAATCATATTAGTACGCTGGCCATGGAAGCGGCGTGCGAGAAGGACGAGGCTTTGGATCGGCATACTTCGGCCGTCGAGCTGAATTTCGACAAATTCCGCGACGAGCTTGTCGACATGTGGACTTCCCTCAGATAGTCCAATGGCTGCTGCATCAGCTCCAAACTCAAGCCTGCTGAGATCCAATTCAATGATCATCAACTGCATCAGGTGGCTATACCGGTACATCCAATGGAAGAACTCGGGACATGTCTTATCTCTTACGTATGGTGAGAAGGTGAAGTGGAAGCGATGTGTGGCAAGAATGTACGCCATCAGATCCACCCGCATGGCAGAACAGGCCGATAATGCACCCCGAATAGGTTGAAAGAGATCACGGGTCGTATAGAAGTCGTCGCTCAGCCATACATCTTTGAGAAAAGCATTGAAAGGCTGCAGTCGAACGGGCTTCCTCGGTTTCTTTTGTCCATCGAGTACAACATAGCTCCATATCCGCCGGCGGACTCTCTCAGGAAGGTCAAAAAGGTCATGAGACTCATTCTTTGGTCCCATAGGCTCTTGGAGGCCATGCAATAAATAAAGGCCCCCGATCACTTTGCGAAATGGCTCATCCTCAGGCTCTCCGCGTCTCTCCTTGTAGTTGAGAATGGAGATAATAGCAGCGTAAGTCAGCGACTCGACATTCCCAAACTCGCGTCGAACTTTCCTCTGTTTCTTGAGCAGATGCTCCGCTGCTTTCGTATTGACAGAGGCTTCAAGGTTTTGCCGTGATCTCTCAGCGATTCTCATCACCAGCGGATCCTTGTGAAAAGTCACGTCTACGTCCCGGCTCCAGGGAGGAAGTCGTACTGGCGCATCACTGCAGGATTTCGAGCTCCTATGCTTGGCGATGGAGAGATGTCCGCCTAGCGGAGGGGATTCGAAAGGCATGGGGGTCGAGCTATGCCGACTGGTGCGCGAAAGAGCTGTAGATGATGGTCAACAAGAGATCCAATAAGGGAATACCACGGCAGGTGCACAGGCTTGTGGCCGTCCTGTCAAGGAAGGAGCGAGGTGAGCTGGAAAACTTACGTCGACTGTTATCCATTGTGTTCGTGCCTGCGTTTCGTTGTTTTTACCATGTTTTGGCAGTTGCGTGGATGGGCTTGGAGTTACAGAGTAAGTAACGCAGTGAGGAAAGAAACTGGGTTGAGGGAGCTAAGTTGCGTGATGATCTGCCGTGGGTGCAATATGTCTGGCGCGCCGTTATATGAACTGCTGGCAAAACATCCAAATTGAGTTTGGGTCTAGAAGAAGTCTATGTGGGACGCTGCTGTGAAGGCTGTAGAAGCATCAACCTTAAACTTGACCTTAAGCTTGCTTAGCTCCCGCTTGCCATTCACAACTCAATTCCAGACCTTGAACCTACAGACCAGTCCTAGACAAGTCAATGCGACCTAGCAGTCATTAGGGGAAAGCCATAGGGGCCATGGATGTTCTAGCGCAAGCTAAAAAGGTCCCATTCCAACTATCATGCTTGACACACGTTATTACACATATACGCAAAAACGCGCATCTCGCAACCACGAGAATTGGTAGAGCATTACGTGCCAATGAGGCACATGGGATGGACTGTAATTTCGTGATTGGTTTGCCGTCCTCGGAGCATCAACCTGTTCATGAGATCAACTAGACAACAGCATCTGTTAACACTGCGTAGTACAATGCCCAAGGGCATCACCAACATGGTGACGCTCAAGTCAATGCTCTCAATGATCGATGGTTGGGAGTGTTCTTCCTCGTAGCCAGAGTCTAGCTCTAACACACAATGAAAAAAGATAAGGTACGCCTGTCAGACGTCCACCACCACCCACCCCGGCCATGCGCCACAAGGACAGACCACGGCTAATCGGGGTTGAGATCATCAACACCCTCTATACAGTCTTTGCTTTCGCTCAGGCCGCCCTCCTTGCGGAGAGGTCGAGGGTAGAGTTAAGAGTAACCCTGGTAAAATTTTCACTCTAGGGCGACGGGGATTTTCGTTCATCAACCAGGGTAGGTTCTGCAGCTAAATTGGAAAATTTAGAGCGGGATTTTCTCCTAAAGAAAAGATCTGTGTCGCCGTGAGTTAGCATGGGCATTCTTAGAGAACTGGTCAGAAGCGTAGGGGTACTGACTCTCTGAAGTAAAATCGCATAAGAAGGAAAAAAATCTCCGGAATCCTCGGTGAGCTCAGCAGCATTAAGTACTTGAAAAAATAGCGGTGTGGGGCGGCAGGAACCTTTTAGCGGTATCGCATGGCAGAATCTGGAGTCCCACTTGCCCCTCCAGCTAATAACTAGGGATACGTCTAGAATCGCGGGGCATCAAATTTTACGAGCTGTTGCATGCGTCAGATTTCGACACGATGGATTGTTGTGAATTACATCTTGATTTATCGCCCCTTGAACAACCATTTAGTGTCATCCACAACATCCAAAAATCATGGACGCTTTTGACAAGTTGAGAGCGGCGTCCAACGCCCAGCAAATTCCTGCTGGCTTCAATGCTGAAGACACAACAAACATCGAGGAGGTATGCACCACCTAGCCCCGGTTTTCCTGTCGGTCTACTCACTTGACCCTCCCAGATAGAGATGCAGTTCGCTGTCAAGGCCGTTGAGCATATGGAAACGTACTGGTCGCTACTGGAGAAGATAAAAGGCTCAAGCCTGCGCATGACAAAGCTGGACGACGAGATCTACGAGCATCTGAAGACAGATTTCCCCGAGCTAGACGTTTCCAAGACAATAGATGAGGACGAGATGAAGAGCAAGAGAGGAAAGGAGCGGTGGCGCAACTTCATGATGCAGTACGAGAAAAAGGTCAAGGACTTCAACTTCGGTACCATGCTGCGAGCCGATTCGAAGACCGAGTACACACAGGAGGGGACGATCTTTGTGCCTCGCATGCAGTTCTATGCCATTGAGATCGCGCGCAACAAGGAAGGATTGAACGACTGGATATTCGAGGAGGCGCAGAAGGAGAAAGAGGCAAAATCGTCGTGATGCCTCCATGGATTGGGGAACATAGTGGGCAGAATGCAGGGTTGCAATGCGACAGGTCCCGACTCGACGACTGCTGCAATGGAAAATCTCGTCACTGGAAAGTCCGCCTCCTTGGCCCACTGGGAGGCGGACTTTCCAGTGACGTGATTTTCCATTGCAGGAAAGCTACTGTCGTCGGTGTCTCGTGGCTACTCCGAGCCGTGATGCAAGAAGCAGGGAACCGTTGGCACTAGCGCCAGCTTTACCCTGTTGTGAACCAGAAACAATTGGGTTGTCCATAAGAATTTGACTACTTGATTTTCTGCATGAAAAATTGTGATGTTATCAACATGTGGGGACGTAACAAAGACCTGCTTTAAATATATGAGTTTCTATGTTGCTGTCGGTATGGAAAAAGGGAACAGTTTCCTTTGTGGTGCTTAAAATTGAAAGAACATGATATGTGTGTCCTGTGCTCCAATTCGAAGTGCCTTCCATCTTTAACTCATCGGGTCAAGCAAACTGTGCCGAGTAAAGGTACTTAGCAAAATCGGCGCATTTGATCTGCTTGAAAGTTCGGCGACAAATGACGAGTTACCCAAGAAGGCAACGCGACCCGTCACCGACCCGAAGTTGAACATTTGAAATTATATACGATCTACAACGTTGCGTCGTCAACTCACTGGTCAAGAAAGGTAGATTCGACAATCGATATCCAGGGACCTTAGCAGTCATGTCATCCATGAACTCATCCAGTTCGAATGAAATCGAACTTGACACCATACACGAAAACAACAACCTGTCAACCCTAGCCAATGCCGTACCTGAGGAGGAGCACCCATCCTTTAAAAACCTCTTTGGTTTCACAACATGGCGGCACTGCGGCCCCCTGGCAGTTGGATTGATCGCATCCCTGTTTGCCGGCGCCCTCAAGACCTCATTGGCCATCATACTTGGCGAGATCTTTGCCGTCATTGCCAGATTCGGGCAAGGGCACCTGGAAGCCCCCGAGACTCTATCCCAAGTCTCAAGATGGTGTGTGATACTTACGGCTGCAGGAGTTGCTAGCTGGCTGGCAAACTTTATCTTTGCTTTTTCGTGGACGGCCCATGGCGAGCTGCAAGCCAGGCATGTTCGACGTAGACTCTTCCGTGGTCTGCTGAAGAAGGACATGGAATGGTTCGACCGTCAGTCCGATGGCGTTGCGAGTCTACTTGTACGACATCAGACGTGAGTACCCCATGCGATGTCAATATAGCCATATGTATGCTCATCCAAGTAAAGACAGACACGAGAGTTCCAAGCAGCATGCTCACTCGGTCTTGGTCAGCTGTCCGTAGACGTCGCAACCGCGCTCGCCAACATTTTTGTCGCGCTTTACTACTCGTGGATTCTCACGTTAGTGCTCCTAGGAACTGCGCCCGTGTCGGTCGTGCTACTTGGTATGATGAGCCGTAAAGTGAAGCCGGCCATCCAAGCACAGAAGCAGGAACTGTCTGCAGCATCCAAGCATGCGACGTCAGCCATCTCAGCCAGCGACCTGGTTAAAGTGTTCAACGGAGTCGATTACGAAACATGGCAGTACTTCGCTGCGATACGTCGCTCTATGCAATGCTACCTGACTCAGGCCAAAGCCAATGCATGTCAGATGGGCTACGTCAAGTTCTGGCTCGAGTGCATGTTTGTCATTGGCTTTTACTACGGGGCTGTCCTAGTTAATTCGGGGATGAGCCCTAGAGACGTCATGACGACTTTCTATGCAGCACTTACTGCTCTTCAAGCCGTCGAATCCTTTCTTCCCATGTATCTGATGTTGATCAAGGGCATGTCGGCTGGCCAGGCTCTTCGTTTGGTTGCGGACGATATTAAGCATGATCATCCAGCCCGTAAGATGGTTGGCAGTTTGAAGCCGAACGTTTGTCACGGCGATATCGAGATCAACAACGTAAGTTCACACCATTCTCCGACTTCTATCCGAACTAACACCACAAAGATCAACTTTGCTTATCCCACCAATCCACTCACTCCAGTCCTGAAAAATACCTCGCTGTTCTTCCCGGCTGGAGAACTCTCCTTCGTTGTTGGAAGAAGTGGCTCGGGCAAGAGCACTGTTGGTGACCTGCTTCTCAAGTTTTACGAGCCCACGAATGGCGACATCTTGGTCGACGGCTACTCATTGAAAACTCTTGACGTCGAGTGGCTACGAACCAACATCACACTAGTCCAACAGTCAAGTGTTATATTTCGTGATACATTCTTTATGAATGTTGCTCTGGGTGCCGCTAATCCGAAAAACGTATCAAGGGAGTCTGTAAGCGTCTCTTGTAAAGCGGCTATGCTACAATCCACGCTTTCGCGTCTTCCGCATGGGATGAGAACTAGACTGGGAGATGGCCTGTATGAGCTGAGCTTTGGACAGAAGCAGTGTCTTGCTTTTGCTAGGGCGATTCTCCGAAATACACCAGTCTTAGTACTGGATGAGGTGACGAGTGGTCTGGATCCCACCACGCGCAGAATGATGTTGGAATCAATTCGAAAATTGAGGCGAGGCAAAACGACTATCATCATAACGCACGATGTTGTCCAGATTCAAGATCAAGACTTCGTATACATTATGGAATGCGGCCGTGTCGTACAAAAGGGGTTTAAAAAAGACATCCTCAATCAGAGAAATAACGCATTCGTCAAGCTTGTTTCATCTTCCAGCCCGCATGGCCCCATACACAAGCGTTCGAACCAGCCCCCGAAACGTACGGTGGAGTACGATAAAACTGCAGCCTAGGAGACTGTGCCGGTTGATCCACTCTGTCGTGCGGCTGCACCAGGAGCTAACCAAAGCCCACCCCTTTCCGCCTTTCTCTGGCCTGGAGTGGGGCTGCAGGGTGGTACTTACGGACCTTGGACACCATCTTTCGCAGTAGGTCAATTGACTATGCATACGCAGCATATGTTGGCACAACAGACATGGGAAGAGCCAGAACCAGAGCCAACTAGTATTTACTCTAGATCTAACTCTCTTCGAAAGCGTTGGTCCCGCAAAGAGGCTTCGAGTATTCATACTACCCTAGGCAGCGCGCCAAAGGAAATATCACCGTCTCGGAGCCCCAGGGGCAGGAACTTCCGTTCACCTCAGAAGAATTTGGCAGACAAGCCACTCCCAGAACTGCCTTCCGAGAGAGTAAGCAGAAGTAGCGCGCGCGTGCTGCACGAGATCCGTGGGAATGCGCAGGAGAAGAAGCCTGAAAACAGTACCGCTCAGCCGGCCCGCACGAACAGGCAAAATTCGACATCTCCGAGCAAACATACCGTATTTTCCAGATACTCGACCGGCCATAAGAAGTTGCGTGACCACTCAGTGCAAGGAGACGCAAAAAAAGCCGCCGTGTCTCTCCGGAAGATATATGGCACCGTCTGGCCCGCGCTCGGCGTCAGCGAGAGATCTTTACTCCTTGTAGGGCTTCTCCTATGCCTCGTTGTTGCTGGCAGTGTGCCTGCTTTTTCTATTGTTTTCGCACACCTCCTATCTGTTCTCTATGATGCTGAAAACCGGCTGGCTAAAGGTCAGAAATGGGCTCTCTTCCTTCTCGCCATCGCAGGCGCTGGTGCTCTAGCAACAGTTCTGAGCCACCTCCTCATGGAATGGGCCGGCCAAGCCTGGGTGACCGCTCTGCGTGTTCAGGCATTATCCAGAATCCTACGACAACCTAAATTCTGGTTTGACAAGCCAAAACATGCTCCTAATCGGATTAGTGAGTGCATGGATCGCAATGCGGAGGAATTGCGGAATCTGGTAGGTCGTTTTGCGCCGTTGCTGTTGCAGGTTTTGGTGATGATTCTCATGACCATCATATGGGCACTGCTGATATCGTGGAAGTTGACGCTGGTGTCCCTGGCTAGCGCTCCGCTACTAATTGCTGCCACAAAGGGTTACAATATCATGGAGTGCAGGTGGGAGATGAAATGCAACCGAGCCGCGGAGGGCACTAGCGCAATAATGACCGAGACTTTCACCAATGTCAGCCTAGTTCGTGCTCTAACACAGGAGCGTTGGTTCTACGACAAGCATGATAGATCGGCGTCGTTCACTCTGCGTCTTGGGATCAAGAAGGCTGCATGGACAGCACTGCTTTTCGCTAGTTGGCAGAGTATATTCTGGTTCATGATGGCGCTAATCTTCTACTACGCCACGGTGTTGCTAGCAAGAGATCAGGAAATTACGGTCGAAGCTGTACTCCAAGTTGTCAACTTGCTTGTCTTAGGACTCAGTACTGCGAGTAATCTCTTGAACTCCGTACCGGGAATCTCGGCTGCCCAAGCTACAGCTGCGCAATTGCTATACTACGCCAATCTGGCTGTCAATTCTGAAGACTCTCCTAGTCTACCACCTGGCCGTGGAAAGAGTGCAAGACGCAGTTTCAGTGGTAAAAAGCACCTCATATCCCCCTTTCCGATCCGCATGGATGGATTGTCGTTCTCCTATCCGTCCACCAACTTATTACACGCTATTCGACCACCCAAAGTTCTACACAACGTTAGTCTCGAAATTCTCCCAGGTACTTCAACCGCTATCGTTGGCCCCTCAGGCTGCGGCAAAAGCACCATTGTCTCCCTGCTCTTGGGTCTGCATACTCCAAACCCCATCCACCCAGCCCTCAATATTAGACCAAGCAGTCACCGACACCCCTTGACCTTCGCCGGTATACCGACCTCTGCCATCTCTCTCAGGTCTCTCCATTCCTTGATTGGCTATGTTCCGCAGATGCCCCACCTCTTTCCTTCCAGCATCGCAGCGAACATTGTCTACGGCCTGCCTGAAAACTCCCTACTACGCTCTCAGAAACACATCGAGAAAGCGGCCAGGGAAGCAGGGATTCATGACTTCATCGCCAGTCTACCAGAAGGTTACCGGACGTGCGTCGGAGATGGGGGCCAAGGGCTGTCCGGCGGCCAGGCACAACGTGTCTGCATCGCACGTGCTCTAGTCCGCCGTCCCCGCATCCTCATCATGGACGAACCGACAAGCTCGCTAGACGCGGAAAGTGCCGAGGGGATCCGGTTGTGTATCGCGAGACTAATGAATAAAGCTCGTGGCATTATGACTATCAGCCCCGCAAAGAGCAGCCAAGTGAGATTTGGGAAGAACTTGCTCAGGGAAATTGTGGAGGAGAAGAGGGAAATGGCAGTTGTGGTAGTTACGCACAGCGAGGAAATGATGCGAGTTGCTGACCGGGTTGTGGTTGTAAACCAGGGCCGGGTTGTAGAGACGGGAGCTTATGACGTGCTGCGGGAGAGAGGGGGAAGATTTGCTGAACTCATCGGGGGTGGCTTGCCGGCGGCAGAGCGGAAGTCTGATATGCGGGATCGGAGAGGTCCCCGAAACTCCGTGCGGAGCGATACAACAGGGTTGAAGGAACCCACCAACAAAAGGGTGGACATTAGAAAGCCGGAAGTTACAACCCGAGAAGGTTTTGCTAACAGGTCGACGTGGGCGGGAAGGACTGATGAGGATTGGAGTTCTGCTGGTCGAAATATTCCGACTCCTCTGTGCAGTCCATCCAAGATGAGTATACCTACTACGGGGTCCAGCTTCCGGCGCGATCAAGTTTGACCGGGCCCGGAGCGTGATGGCATGGAGTAGTTCATGTGAAGAAGTAGCGTTTGTCGATTATGTTGAAGGCTAGCTTGTGGTATATATTGAGAGGTCCCGTTCGACAGAACGGCAATCGACTATCATCTAATTCATGCCAAAGTCCTGTCAGTGGTAGAAGCCATTTGTAGGCAAATACATTTTGCGATATGAATTCGCAGCTTGTGACGACGTCATGTAGGGCTGACGTCGTAATTTCAGAAATAGACAGTAAGTGCCCTTGAGAAAAATTCTAAACGCATCCTGTTCTGCGTAAGGTTTAGGATTCAAAATTTCAAGCCGAAGTTGCCAAGTCGACGGGCGGATCTGCCCTTGAAGGGAAGGAAAGAGGTTCAGCTATAGCGGCCCCCATCCTGGTGTCATACCTCTATTCAAGCGACATCTTTCAACATACGTCAAGGAACTCGTTTGGGACGAACTAGACGTGGATAGAAACCGGGGGCTGTATTGGTCCTACGAAGGTGCGTGAGGGATCAATGCCAAGTTGGCCGCGAGGGGCCCTTGAGTACTACAATCCGTGCTTGCCTGCCTCGAACTCCTCCATACCTGAGGCCACAGCTTCCCACAGTAACTGGGGTTTACTTTCTTGTTTAATTGAAGATAATTTTACGATGTGTAAGGAGTTAGGATTAACAGGCGCGGTGGCACACTAGAAGCTTGTACAAGCTATGGAATTGAACATGCAGGTACTATTAGACTGCAAAGGTTATTCTAGGGCCACAAACGCCGTGAGCTCATAATAGTTGTTACCAAGATAGTCTTGTGTGAATGCTTTATCAGGGCAAAGATAAATTGATCAAGTTCTTCGTAAGGACTGAACCAGGCTTGAAGACAGAAAAGATACTGTCGGGCAGGCCATATGTACAAATTTCGCTACCTACAAACACTTTTTCCTTCAAATCTGCTGCGAACACAAGGATTTATCTTCCAAGTAAAGCACTAGCTGGCGTCGCGCCAGGGAAAAATGTCGTAGGAACTGCTGGGATGGGTATACTCGCCGTCAACCCAAATCCCGAGCCGAGATCGTTTGGCATCTTTGGCGCTGAATAAGCAGTTCTATCCCTTGTCAGTAAATCTCTCCACTTTTTCACTGCGAAATAGCTTACGGCGCTGTCACAAGAGTAGTCGTGCTGCTATAACTACTACTACCATCCCCACTCCTCAAACACCCACCCGACCCAAATGCATTTTCGCACTTCCAAGTCACCCCATTGCCTGAGTCGGTCCAAAGATCTACATTCTGGAGTGTGATACTCGTACACGCCACTGCGCTCGGGCAGAGAATCTGGATCGGTCCTCTCTGCGCCCCGTTGGCGCATGTGCCTTTCCAGTCCTTGAAGGTCAGGCCCGTGTACTGCACGCCGTTGCCGCTAGCTTTGGTCTGAGAGGACCAAAAGGCGTTGAGGTCGAGTGAGTAGGCGTTTCCGTGGCCGATAAAATTCTCGAAGGTGCAGTTCTTGACAGTGCCTGACCCGCCGTTGGACTTGATCATGTACATTTGATTGGATTGAACGGTGTAGATGTTGCGGTAGAGAATATTGGATATTTCTGTTGACACAAGTCAGCATGAGATGAATATTCTTGTGGATGAGATGGTTATGGATTCCAGGCCTTACGTGTGTTGGCTCCGAGTGAGCCCATAGCGCTACCGCCGCTCCAGTTGCAGTGAATGTTCTCGATAAGCATATTATTAGCGGGGCTCTGCTTGAGTTATTAGCGACTCGTACCTTTCTTTTATCGTGGTCTGCTTAAATACAAACCTTGACAGTGACACACTCGTCCCTGTTGGTTACTTGAATGTCGTGCACATGGATATTACTGCCCCAGATATCGATGCCATCAAGACCGCCCTCGTCACCACCGCGGATGATCATGTTATAGATTTCCCCATTAGTACAGGTGTCCAAACCCAGATGGAATGCTGGAGCTTTCATTATGTTAGATGTGTTCAAAGCGAAATGCAAACTGCTCACCATCAACCAAGGCAATATCGTGGATAGAGAAGTTGTCCACTTTTCCAAGTCGCAAAATACGAGCGCCGTATTGTTTATCTAGAACTGTTCGGCATATGTTCCATGAATTGATAGTCATGGCGCTTACTGGCGTGGAATATATACCCGTGACCTTGTATAGCGCCTTTGGAGGTGCTGCTGTACATCTCAAAGTCGGATGTTTCTCCGACGTAGATCATGTTGCCACTTGCCGTTCTGTCCACTTATTAGCTGTAGTCCATAATATTTCCAAAAGTTTATATCATACCCGACTCGGTAAATAATTCCATCAATCTGCAGAGCCCAACTCGACCCTCCGGTCAAGGAGGCCCATGTGGACATTCCATAGTCCCCAGGTGGTACGTAGACTGTAGAGATGAGCGTGAGTCATGGAAGAAGCTAAAAAGTTGTGATTACCTGTTCCCCCATTCTTACAAGCTGCAAACGCGGATACGAGAGGCTTGCCGATGTCTGCTGTTTTGCTGGCAGTGCCACCGTAGTTTAATACATTGCAGACTTTATTCCTCTTTGCTTCTCTGGTTGTGGTGGGTCCGACTCGGCCTGAAAGCTGCGAAGCTACCAATGATGGTAGGATGAGCACCGCCACCAGGGATAATGCGTTCAACTTCATCGTAAAAAATGGTAGTCGTATAGCAGAAGATTTCCGCAGACTCTGGCGACGAACGGCACACAAATTTGAGCTTATAGCCACTCCATTATATATCCTTCACATCAGGCCCGAAGCGCCCCGAATCAGTGACATAATACTTGGTGCGGATGATTATCAAAGCACTGTCTATCCACAATATCCGTTCCTAACCAAGCACCACCCGATGTTAGGTCGCCAATCGGTAGTTGTTATCACTATAATGAGGTTGCATTCTATGCACCCCAGACTGATTTGCCGCCGGCATGAGGGGCGTTCCTGGTAGCCCCTATTCGTGGCACCCCGCTTTACCTCAGAAAGGAGCTTGTAGATAGTCAGCTTGAACCAATACCGTTTCAGATATCGCACATTGGCACGTAACAATGATTCGAACCAATAATTTCGCGATTTTTTTAGTTCCGAGCTTCCAGGCTTCTATGTCGATGTCCCCCAGTTACGAGTCGGATTGTGTAGAAGACAGCCAATAGAGCGACACGACTGGCATTCATCAAAGCACTGGGACTCTGTCGGCAGTATTAAGTACTTAGGAAGGTATCACAATCACGAGGCACTGGAGGGGGCATTGCATTCAGGGGGGAACATCATGTAAGTCATGATGACATTGACTCGCTGATTTTTCTGTCGAGTTTTCAGGGCTGATGGATAGGTGTCACGATATATGGTCGTGAGCTTGCGCCACTTACGAATACACCCAAGAACTGAAAGTAGTAGCACTAGTAACATATCTCACTTATTACCCGCTAGACCTTTTAATAGACACATAGTAACATCAATTGATCCAGCCTAAAGTAGCTATGTCGTACACAGCACGGCTCGAGTAATGGCAACCCATAAGATTCAGTTACGCCATAAGTATTGGAGCGCAATTACTCGGAGTACGTCAAAGGAGTTTATAGTTCATACCATGCTTGATGGAACCTTGTGGTGCTTTCCCAGAATGATGAGAAAACATGTTTGGTGAGCACACCGATGGGTTACGAACACTGATTATGTTTCACATACTCTGAGCCATACACACAGTATCTATAGCCTGTTTATTTTCTACATCTAGCGCGTTAGCTTAGAGTCATGTCTCGTGTGCTTCCATGGAAAACCGCCTGGCAACGCGCACCTGATGTAGCTTCTTCTATTCCTCATGCCACAGGTGGTGGCCTTCTCTTGGCGCGCCACTGGCCAACAATTGAAATGGGTCGGGATCAAGTTTTTCTGATTTCTTCTTGCCGAGCCAGACATATGGTCAGGTTGCGCTGGGTTGGGAAGGGAAGGGAAGCGATTGTTGGTGTTGTTGTTGTTGTTGTTGTTGTTGTTGTTGTTGTTGTTGTTGTTGTTGTTGAATAGTACTCATGTACGGACACTCGAGACATAAAAGCACAGCTGACTCCGGGCGACTGCAGGACTATGTATCCTAATTCTATGACAAAGACAACTATTCATGATAAATCTGTTACGTATCTGGCTATGCGTACATTGTTTTTGGCCGTGGGAAAAGTAGGCTTGACCATGGTTGGCCTATAACTATTATCACATTACTATTGATGGTGATCCGTATTGAGTCTCTGGACGGCAAATATGTGGTGGATTGATAAACTTAAGCCTACGTGGTAGAAAACATAGTGTTGCGAGGGACTTCATCAGACGTCAAAATAAGGCCCCGACATCGCTTGGCAATATCCATATTAGTCAAGATACCCCTTGGCAGTCCCAAGATAGTTCGCCCAATGGATATTGAAAACGCTTTTAATGCGAGCAGAGTCCCCATAATTGGTAGACTCTACAGGTGGTTCGACCTACTCGATGTATGATAAATCGATTTATAATTTCGATGTGCGAAAGCGATCAGCAGATCGAGGCCCCAACGCTGAGTCGGACCCTTCAGCCTTTGATGTGAGTTTGATAAGGTTGCTGCTGACAGAATGTGCCATGTTCTAGACGATGTTCCTAGAGGTGAAAAGGAACAGTACCAAGTTTCGCATAGATTGCAGTCATTGTCAATGAGAAGTGGAGAGATTGCCATGTCGCAAGCAGAATTAGCCGCCATTTTGCCAAGGTGCCGAGCCGACTGCCCCGGGACGACTTCACCGCGAACCTCTTGGTTGACAATGAAAACTCGAGTGTGACCTTGGTGATTGCGAACCTCTAAACCTTCAAGTTGCACGAAAATTCTCTCTCAGCCTGCACATGGAGAACTGGTTGTCATACCTAGTCCTCAACTTCTCCAAGCTTCAAGCTTACCTACTACCCCAAACAGCTTGGATCACGATCACGCAATCGGACCCGATACCATATCGGCGCTCGGGTCGGTTCTCTCCAACCCGGCATCTTGGGTGGCTTCATAGAAGTAATCTTGGCAATCTTTAGTGCCAAACCTATGATTGGGTCGTTTATACTTCACCCACATCACGAAGCTGCACACACGCACAAAAGCATGCAAAGAGCGCTTTTTACCCCAGCTAATGTGACATTGTTGGCGCTAAACACGAAGTACGAGATAACTCCTGTTCGCGACTATGTAATAATAGGATATCAATGTGGCCGAGGAGTCGTGGAGACCACCTGCCTAGTCTGGAGTATTAGCCGGGTGTGTGGGCATGGGTTGAGAAGTCTAGACTGCAATATGATTCGCCAAGCCGAAGTTTAGAATGCAGCGAACTGCAGGAGACCAAGAGTTTGAGTACACGAGTGATGGTGGTGTAATATCCTGGGCGTGTGTCGTCGTCATGGCATCCTGCAATGACTGGCTACCCACCCTCTTGGGTTCTGTCGTTGGTTTTCTTTGAATCCCATTGGCAATTGTTCAACCACTTGAGTTCTGGTGTTTGACGAATTTGCGCGCGTGGTTGCCGTTCGCTGTTTCACGATTAACGCGGAACTTCCAAGTCTACAGCTATTCGCGTAAGTGAGGATGCTGTCTTGAACAAGTCACCATGAAGGGCCCTTTTTCGCGCATCCCCGCTATGTTATGGCCGCGGACTAGCAGCCTATACACGCAATTACCCTCACATGGCCTCAGCGAATATGGCGCGCCTCACACGCCTTACACGGATTCTTCGCCCTTGGGTTCGCCGCGGCTCACTTCGGCGTCATGGCGAAATCTCAAACGAACAACTTCACAATCCAGACTCAGCATGGGGTTACGGCGAATTTCGACCAAGAGGATTTTGGCCATATGCGCCTTCCTATTTATCGTACTTATACTCATTGTGAGAGGGAAGTATCAGGAGCGACAGCGACGCATTGAAGAAGAGGCGCGGGAGCGGGAGAAGCAAAGGAATCCATTTCCTTGGGCTAATTTCACCAGGTAGTCCATGGTCGTTTTGAACGAGGTTACGCACGGCTCACGTCCTCTTTCAGATTAGACGGCTTCTACTCAGGTATACGCACACTGATTAAATACGACGAATGTGTCCAGGAGCAGAACGCCATACCGCACCTCGCTATGAAGGTACATCCAGCTCCCCCTCTCGATCCAGTCAAGGTGGATCCCTATATCAAGTCCTCTGATCACCTCAAGGAGTACTACCCGGTGAGCCCCTGCTTCCTCGACGAAGATGAGCAGGTGCCGGCGCCAGATGTGTTCGCATACCCCGGCATACCCACCAACATGACGGGACCATATTTTGGGTCCTACGAAGAGATAGGCGTGAAGGCAGATCGCTGCTGGGAGCGCTTCGGGCGATTTGGACCATACGGATACAGCTACAACAAACCCGAGCGGGGGCTTGGTCTTTCAAAGAGTTCGGAAAGATCTGGGGCAGACAAGGTGGAGGCCATGTTTCGCAAGGTGGACTACACGCGAGTCAATTGGGGCAAGGCACAAAAACGGTGCTTCGAGAAGAACAAGCATCGGTTTGACTCGAATGCGAAGCCGCCCAAAGATCAAGACGAGAAAGGGGCCGCTAAGAAGAAGGCACTCCCGAGGAACGCATACGTGCTGCGAACATGGACAGGGTACGACTACTCCGACATTCAAATGTTGTCACTGCGAGCCATGGTCAACGAGTTGTCCCTCAAGTCGGGCGGGGAGTACGACGTACACCTCCTGGTACATGTCAAGGACACCACACTTCCCATCTGGGCGTCAGAAGAAATCTACCAACAAGTCCTCCAGAAGAATGTGCCCGAAGAGTTCTGGGGCATAACAACCCTGTGGTCAGAGCAGCAGATGAAAACCTACTACCCTGGGCCGTATCCCGCCAAGGACCAATTCGAGAACCACTCCGGCCAAGACATCTTTGGCGTCTACCGCTCAGCGCACTGGGCTCTCCAATGGTTCGCACAGCAACATCCCGAGTACGAGTTCTTCTGGAACTGGGAGATGGACGTCCGCTATCTGGGCCACTACTACGAATTCCACAATGGCGTTTCCTCGTGGGCTGACAAGCAGCCCCGTAAACTGCTCTGGGAGCGTAGTTCGCGCTGGTGGATCCCGAGTCTACATGGCTCTTACGAGGATTTCTCCCGCATCGTGGAGCGAGAAACGGCAGCCAGCGGTGCGAAGCCCATTTGGGGCTCCGTTGAATTCCCCACGGCCGGGTTAGGCATGCTGCCCTCGCCTAATGGCACTACACCGCCAACTCCGTTCGAAGAGGATAACTACGACTGGGGCGTCTTCGAGCCCGCCGACCTCATCACCTTCGACCCACTTTTCGATCCTGCAACGTCAAGCTGGGGATACCAGCTCGACGTGACGGGGTATAATCGCACGCTTGCGCCGCCGCCTCGCAGAGCAGCAATCGTCACCATCGCGCGCCTTTCGCGCCGCCTTCTCAATAGCATGCATGAAGAGACCTGGCGCATGCGGCATACCATGTTCCCCGAGATGTGGCCCCCCAGCGTGGCTCTACACCACGGCATGAAGGCTGTCTACGCGCCGCACCCGGTGTACTTTGATCGAGTGTGGCCGCTCGAACACCTCGATGGTGTGTTTAATCATCCCAAGCTGCCTGAGGGGTCGCCTTTTGGTGGCGGTGAGCATAATCACCAAGGGAGCAGCTTTTACTACAATGCTGGGTTTAGCGGCGCTCTGTGGAGAAGGTGGCTCGGTGCTGTGGAGGCCGGGAATGGGGGATATGAGTTTGAGGAGCCCGGAACGGGGAGGATGTGTATGAGGGGGTTGTTACATCATCCGATTAAGTGGGAGAGGGTGGCTTAGAAGCAGCGAGTTTGGGGTATTCACATTGGCATTTGGTGTTACGGCGTCGTGTGGGAATTGGCCCGTGGCGGTTAGGTTTAGTAATCATAATGCACTATGACGATCTCTTTTTGTGGCTACGCGGGTCGATGGTATGGTGCAAGGCATAATGTATATATGGACTAAACAGGTGACTGCGAACATGGTCGTATATTAGATGATGGCATGGCGGGTAAGCCCCATTAATCGACATAATCACTCACTCTGAGTCTGTTCGTCAAGGACATCAATAATTATTTTAAGGCTATCACAATAAGCATTTTCTCTGCCCGGCTTATCCAAACCACCATGAGAACAACATGTCCAGCAACCGCGGCAGCATGTGTCTGTCAACTTGATCTCGAAGTCTATCAACATACGCTGCGCCTTTTCGATCAGAGTTAACAAGCCCATCCCACACTGGTGGGCCAGGGATAGTGTAATGCTTATACCATCAGTCTGATTCGCGAGAATATTGGGTGGTTGGAAACTTACCGTCATGTTCTGATTTACTTCACTGTAAATGTCAATGTTGATCGAGGGGTCTGCACGAGCATCGAGTTAGCCACTCAACCGCTTGAAATACACCACAAGCTCCTTCAACCTCAACACAAAACACAAACTCACCATTCATACTATACTCCCCTGGAAACCTCGCCAGATACTCCTCCGATGGTACTGCCGTCCCAGTCCCACTAATATTCAAATGCGCACACTCCGGGTACCACTGCGGCTTGCCCGCAACATGTATACTCAAAATCTCATGCCGCACCATATAAAACCCCGGCTTTATGTTCTCAGGTATCGTCACAGGCCACAAATCCGGCGAACCGTCCCAGTTCTGGAACTGCTTCTGCCACCATATGCCCGTCTCCACATTTTCGCTCAACAATCCCGCCTCCCAAATCTTGAACCACTTCAGCTCGTTGACATCAGCTTCCTGACAAGAATATGGCGATTCTGAACCGCATGAGGCGAGCCAGACGGACATGGGGCCCATGGGGTGAAGCCAGTACCAGTACACCGCCGTCAGGTTTTCTCCCGCGCTGATGGGGATGTAGGACGGAGGCGGGGCGGCGGGAGAGTTACATGCTAGGCCCGGGTCGTCGGGAGAGAAGATGGGGTCGATGCTCGCCCAGGTGCGTTGGACCATCCAGGGCTGGCCTTCTTGTTCTGCGGCAGCTTCGTTAGGGTCATAGCTGGAGTTTTGGTGTTAGTGGAGGTTGCTCGTGATGGTGGTTGCGCAGGAGTGGAAAGTCGAAGTGTCTTACCCCCTATACCATGTGTCGCCGACAGTGTAGTTGGAGAGTCCGCCATGAGCGGCGACTCCACTTGCCAGGTAGATAAGAGTTGCTGGAATCAGTGTTGACAACATCTTTCAAACTCGTATCGTCAAGTATCCAAAAGGATCTTGTTTCACGGTTTCATCACTGCGAGCTTGGCAGATCAGTATTCGAGAATCGATAGCGATGCCAAGACGGAGATTTCATGAGATGGCTCGCTTCGAGAAATAAACGCAAATGCCGAGCAGTCTTCTGCAGAGCAAACTTAATTAAATGAAGGCCTTACGTTTGTCGCCTTCGCATGACTTGAGGTGGTGTCCCTGAACGGAAATTCGGAACCGGGGTTTATTGAATTACGGCTTATGCTTATACCGGCGGCTATTTGCAATTGATATAGATACAACTCGGGACGGATGGTTAGGGCGTTTTTCAATCCCCGAACCGTATTCAAATTAGCTGCGAAAATAAAACAAAGAAGGGTTTATCAACCCGATTGGAATGAGCATTGAGAATTCTCTCCTCTGTCAGAGTACGTTGTATCAAGATGTGTTGTTGCCCTTCTGAGTGTTTGACGGTGCTGAGTTGAGTTCATAGCTTGAACATCCCCTATTCCAGAAGGGAAGTGCCGAAGAGACCAAAAACGGCCATCGTAGATCTCCAGGGATTATTTTTACCGTACATATGCGCCAATGTGTGGGGAACCTTGAAAACCTTCGCGTGGCACTTCACTGAAACCCATGACAACCTGTGCGGTCCTGAATCTTGGGTATACTGTGATTGGGATAAATCGGAGATGCGCGGCTCGAATTAGAATTATTCTGATCAATGACAATTCTTGGCATCCCCGCATCAAGACGGGAGACAGGCACCGTGCCTGCATTTGGTCAAGAGATATGATATTAATAGCCATTGCACTATACGATATTCCAAACTGACGACGATCATATTAGGCTGATTGAACGACTTCCCCACACTACATCTAACAGAGAGCTGCTCACGACATGATACCCCAAGTACTATAGAATGTCAAATCAAGCTCGGCCAACAGGAAAGCCATTGCCACGCAATTGACAGACACTGTGAGTAGACTACAGAATGTGAGCCAATGGTAATTCCTAAGGTCTGACTTGGCATTTCACTGGGCGGCTGGATCAGAGACGGCGCAATTCTTCAGAAAACTCCGGTTACCCAATAAGGCGTGTACCACAACCCAAGATTAGCACCCGAACCTGTAGTGAAGAATCCAGGCATTCAGACCTGGGGGCAAATATCGTAGGTTCGGAAACAAGACGAGGCAGCATCTAAGTGGGGGGAGGGCGACGGGAAATGTTCTATATAATGTGCGGGCCCAGCCCCTATCTCAGTGCTGCGATCGTCACGAATACACTCTTTCCATAAACATTAATCAAGAAAATCAAGCCAGTCATCGTCAGCGCAATCATGGCAGGCCGCATGCTCACTGCGGCTCTCCTCCTGGGCTCCACCCTAGCCCTTCCAGCCGAGTTCGGCCTAACCGAACGTCAAGACAATTGCACGGTGGCGTCTACATTTGCGGCCGTCGACGTCCCCAAGCTCAACGACCCGTTCACTTTCTACGATGGGCGCAAGGTGGCCACCAAGGCGGACTTCACCTGCCGCCAGCAGGAAATCAGCAAGATCCTGCAGCAGTACGAGCTGGGCGATTTTCCTGGACCCCCCGATAAGGTCGAAGCCTCCATGTCGGGCAGCACCCTCAACGTCAAGGTCACGGTGGGCACCAAATCCGTCACCATCAGCGCCGCCATCCGGAAGGGCAGCACCAGCCCCGGCCCGGCCATCATCACTGTTGGCGGTGCTTCGCTTCCCATTCCCGGCACCGTCAGCACCGTTGCTTTTGGGAACGACGCCTTCGCTTCGCAAGCCAGTGGCTCGTCTCGTGGTCAGGGCGCCTTCTACACCCTCTTCGGAAACACCCACTCGGCCGGCGCACTCACTGCCTGGGCCTGGGGTGTCGGCCGCATCATCGACGGGCTGGAACAGCTCGGCGCCGCCACCACGGGCATCGACCCCAAGCGTCTTGGTGTTACTGGCTGTTCTCGCAACGGCAAGGGAGCTTTCGTCGTAGGCGCCCTCAACGACCGCATCGCCCTGACTCTGCCGCAGGAGTCCGGGTCCGGCGGAGCAGCCTGCTGGCGCATCTCGGACCAACAGAAGAACGCAGGGGCAAATATCCAAACAGCGGGTGAGATCGTGGGCGAGAATGTCTGGTTCAGCAGTCGGTTCAACTCATACACGAGCAAGATTACTACCATGCCTGAGGATCACCATCTGCTGGCCGGGTTGGTGGCGCCCAGGGGGCTGTTTGTCATGGAGAACGATATTGATTGGTTGGGCCCTGTCGCCACCACGGGTTGCATGAAGGCGGGTCGGTTGATCTACAAGGCTCTTGGGGCCCCTGATGCCATGGGCTTTGACCTCACCGGTGGTCACTCGCACTGTCAATTCCCGTCGTCTTCGCAGGCTGCGCTTACGGGGTACATCAACACTTACCTCTTGGGCCAGGGCACTCCTCCGACTGGTATTGAGAAGAGCTCTGCTACTGTCAATATGGCTGACTGGGTTGACTGGACCCCTCCCACTCTTACCTAGATATTGATCTTGGCTCATGGGATGAGGACATGGATGTAAATATGGGACTGGACAATTGAACCTCATCTGTACACGTCTGTCACTCGGGAAAATTACCGCCCCATATCATAAACATGACACCGGATCTGCAGATGCCATCTTCTGTGAGCTAACTATTGTGGCATATTGGGGCCGGTAGTCCGTGGAGCTGAATAGTTTTGTAACTGTGACTGGACCGCGGAATAAAGATTGAGAAAAACCAATTATGGAACGATAGTCCGGTGCCTTGTTTGACCCTTGATATCTTGAAAATAGTATAAATCAGACCTCAGCGCGAGTGCACCTGTAGTATGCACGACATGCACTCTCCCAGATTCTCTATGATTAACAATAGGTGAATATTAGCAGCTTTATTTTCAACAGGATGTATCTGAAAATAGGAGCGTTCGTGGTCACGTTGAGTCGCCACTCGACTTAAGTATAAGATGGCATCATGGCTACCACAAGAATCCAGCAGCCCTCACCAGAGTGAAAGTTCAATAAACTCAATTTGAAAACAAATACCACCCCTTTTTCCAACTCTTGACTTCACAATGGCAAGATTGCTCGAAAACATCCTAGTCGTCCTAACTATGTATGCGCCTTTCTTAGTCCTTCAGACCGTAGGAATATCATTGAAGGTCTGATTACGATGGCACTGGGCCGGTTGGCGGAGGATGGTCCTGTTCTGGAACCTGGCAGCGAATAAATCCAGATCGAGACTGGGAGACATTAGCCTTGGGGTCCTGTATGAATTTTGCCACTGGGCTTTTATACATATCTTTGCGTTCCAGATACTATTTCGCAGATGACGTTTCATCCGGAAAACAGTTGCTGGTGAGAGTAGCAGAGAGGCATAGTTCCATCCGTAAAATTCTAGAGCATGAAACTGTTACACAGCGGGTTTCCATGATAATTCCTGAAGTGATAATAAAGATAACAGATAATTTCTGATGCAATCACGTTGCAGCCAGCATACCCAACCGTTCTAGACGTTGATACGGTAGATGAAATGGACAACAAAACAACGGGCCTTGTCGTGCTATATTGTCCAAACTTAGGTTGGCTATTAATATAAATCTAGCGTCGCAAACTCACACATAGTACAGCCAGAAGATCCAGAAGAACCTACCATCCGTCTCGGTAGTCCTCAAAACACGATCCGCAGATGCCATTTTCGATCCGGCAATGCCCAAACATCACATCATAGGTGTATCGATTTCCGTCACCACAGTCCCATCCGGCGTATGTCCCGTCGGCCACGGAAAATCAGGCATGCCTTAGAGCGGAGGTCCAATAGAGGTCGTGCGATTTCCTGCAAAAGTACTCGCCCGTCCCAACACAGGTGGCGTTGTTCTGCTGAGGGCCACAAAGACCATCTCAGGCCCTGGCCCGCTCAATGAATGTTATAACACGATTCATAAGTGCCCAAATTCATCCAATCCGCTGCTTTGACGTGTGTCCACAAGCAATGCAATACATCGTGCAAGGGGCGATGCCCTCATAGGACGGGGCCATTTATGGATCAGCATACAGAATTCTCAATGTCGATGTAGTAGGAATTGGAACTGGAAATACCGAGGTCGCGATTTGCATACCATGTCCAGGGTGGGCCCTTGTCAGCGTCGCTAGTAGGAGATAAAGAAGAGAGGAAAACGAAGAAGAGATGAATTAAGATAAGGGAAGAATCACTCTGAAAATACTTGATAATCACAGACAGTGGTTCAATCCGAGCCTCGGAGCCAAAACTCTCAGAGAATATAAGTGGAGTTGTCCGCAATGAATATCAAGGCTGGGGACGTTCAGTGGGTTACAGAGGAAGAAAGAAAAGTTGAAAGCCCCTGCATATTACGAGTGATGTGCTCCAATTTGCAAACGAGTCCATGAGCTACTGGTCAACCATAAATGTATGTAGTATACGCCAACGTCTCCCTCATATTACAGGTATTTTAGACTTTGAAGGCCTTTGTCTAGGTTGTAAGCCTTGTTAATAGTTTTCCACTTGTAGCCGTGTCATCTGTAAATCAAATCCACCTCCCTCAAGCCATTTCGAGCCTCATTCGTACTACAAATGAAGAGGTAATTGTCTTCTTCTATAGATGCCATGTCGTCCATGTGAATCATGAGAGTTTGGACAACGCCATCAACTCAATTCTGCATTGCGGTATGTATTATCTCCACTCAAATCATAATATATCGACATTCAATGAAGCTCTGGAAAATAGGTTGATGGGCATTGTAGACCGGTCAGTCACTGACGGACCCTTACCCGCACCGGCATCCTATCCTTGACTTGCGGTGTCCCTAGTGCCGTTTGATATGCTCGATCTCCTTCGTAAGTGTCTTTTACAGCGTTTCCTCCACTAAAATTGAAGCAACAGTCAGTCAATTCAAGAGGATAACTTCCGGTATACATATGTAGGCTTACAGTTTAGCATCCCACTCATCCCAGGCGGATCTCACGTCAACCTGGCGGACAGAAAGCGCTAGTACGATTTTCATCTCCATCATTGCTAGTTCTTGACCAATACAATTCATTATTCCCTGCGAGAAGGGACGCCAGCCATGCTTTGGTGGATATAGGGGGTCAGCTTCCGGTACTAGCCAACGTTCAGGGATAAATTCTTTCGGGTGTGGCCAGAGGTCAGGATGAGTGTGAATCCCAAGAATACCATCCCATAGCATCAAGCCGTCCGTAGGAAGAGTTCGGCGTGCGTTAGGTTCCGACATGGTCCACCCTGGTAAACCAAGGCGAACTGTTCCGGGACCGGGATACAACCGCAGCGTCTCCTTCACCACTGCCAATGTATATGGCAGTGAGTTGAGCAGATGAGGCGAGGAGTGTAGTACATCTGCAATAGCCTCCGGGTTTGGTTGCTCCCCGAGAACGGTATTGTGTTCTTTGCGGAGCTTCTGTAAAGCAACCGGGTACTTCTCGAGGTTGTGAAAACACCCTGTCGATTGACCAGTCAATACCACTCAACATCTGGAATAAATGACTTGACTTACAGCATATAGTTGTGGCGGTTGTGTCGTGTCCAGCGAAAAGAAATAGTTTGAGTTGGTTGATAACTCCGTCAATAAATTTTGAATCCACGGAGAGGTTCCGGTTCCCTTCCTGTTCAACTTTCGTGACTTTCAAAACAAGGTTGACAACCGTCTTTTTGTGCGTGTCTGCCCTGATCTGTTCTCTGACATATAGTTCAAGAGCTGACCGCATAATCCGATTGTTGCGCCAAAGTGCATAGTGTCGCCAGGGACTGCTCCATCTGAGGAATGTTCGCATATTCCTGACATACATGTGGGAAATCGTATCAACAAGCGCTGTTTTCACAGGACCAGGCCCCCGCGTCTGTTCGTTGAAGCGAATATCCCTAAACTCATCAGCGTATCCAAACGCAAGTTATGCTGAGGGACTTACAAGGTTGCTCGTCCAATAATGTCTAGGGTCAAGTCTGTAGTGACATCTTGTAGCTGAAAGACGTCTCCCCATTGGCCATCCTTGCCCGCGAGCCTCTGCAGGTTTTCTACGAATATCGTGGCTTCCTCCAACATAGCCGGTATCAGCGACATAACATTCCTTGCGCTGAAGCCCGGATTCAGCCGAGATCTCCATAGGCGCCATTCTTCACCATCAGATGATATCAAATCTTTGGCTCCGGTCAGGGCTTGCATGTAGTTCTTGACGTTGGGAAATCGAGGATAGTTTTTCTCTTGGGTGCATTGCTTGGACACATCTGGATGCAACATCAGAGCCGTGGGGGCCTCTACTGGCCAAAAGTCGATGTACACCATTGGTGGACAATGTGTCTCACCGGGGAAGAGAGTCTTATAGTTCTCGATGATTGCTTTGCTCAGGTAGTTTGGGTGGGCTCTCCGAGGAAGTCCCTGCCGCAATTTTCCCATGACGAGCAAATGACCAAGGATCCAGGAATGACCTTCCATGATAGGCTGTAGTGTAATTATCAATTCAGCTTGAAGTCAAATGCACTTGTAATGATATGCTTACAATCCCTTGGGCTTTCATCTTCCTGAAACGGGACCGCCATACGTACGTCTGGTACAAAAGTTGAACGGTCACCACCGTTGCAACGAGAAGACCCAGAGTTATCAGCAAGACGCACGCCCATTCATGAACATCCGTATCCATTTTAAGCATGGTGCCGGTAGAGACGAGCTATATTTACTGATGATGTTGATTGAGGCAAAGGACGTGAACCTGAAACCCCTCATGACGATTTCGCATAAACGTTAACCTAGCTGATGTCATGTCAAATTCCGCGGGTTACTAGCGAATTACTCGTGAGACCAATCCGGTAACTATCGAAAATGCCGTTTCAAGTCATCGAGGATATTTATTCCTACGATTAAGAGAGTGCGGGCAATCCAGGCAAGAGAGTTGTATTGGTAATGATAATGGTAATGGGGCTAACTCCTAAAGGCTACAGCTACGGAAGGGCTATCTATGGGCAGTTGACCCAAGCGCTGCACCCAGCACACAGCCGGTGTGCCTGGGGTAGGCAGTAGAAAGTCACAGACACGCTTTGTCAAGTATTTAAGTTGATCTAGAGCTACCGGCAAGTCTATTTCTATGCACTTTTTATAATACCCGCCTTAATAGGGATTAACGTGAATGTACACCGAGCTGGCCACCCTTACATAACCTCGCATAGAAATTTTACGATAGTAAAACCACAATGCCGTAAATCAATTGAAACTACTCTGAATCTTCCTCTCCAGAAGATGGCAATGCGATCTTACAAGTTCGCGCATTATGCCCAGTCCCGTTGCAAATACCACAGCGCCTCGGGCGCGTTTTTACGCGTTTGGAGGGTGCTTCGGGGGACTTGGTACGTTTTTGCCGCTTGTCGGAGACTAAGCTTTTGGTCATTTTTGAGAGCTTGAAGGGCTAGCATTAAGTCTGCTTCGTTGTATGACTTTGCCATAATTGGTTGTTGAGAAAATCAAAGATGAAGTTGGCCGGTCGCGTTGGCGCATGAAAGTGGCCAGCTCGGTGTCATGGTCAGCTCGGTGTACATTCACGTTATACTGTCATAATAGCAAATCTTTGAGGCTGATGCCAGTAACTTTCCCCTTGGGCCCGTTTGTATGCAGCCACCTGCGGCTCTATGCGCTGCACCCTATCTAACCTAGAGTTCAATAGCCACTTCGCATCTGATCCTCATGCTTCTTCATTCCACCAAAGAAGTTATACAGGTAATGATTTAGATCAAGTTTTGGATAGAGAGTCATGTAGCGAACCGAATAGAGAAAGCTCTCCCTACTTCAGTATATAAATAGAGAGCTTCCCTAACCTATTATTATAGAAATATTTTCATAAGACCTGTCTCAGGTTTACGTTTATCTTCGTGTGAAAGTAAGAGTGAATGAAATGCAAAGGAGTTTCTGATTGGTAAATGATTTTTCGCATTAACTCCCGGAGAACATGACTTCCCTTTATGATTTAGGGGTTACGAAACCCGTTTCCAGTATACTTAGACGGCGCAAAATGAACTATAGGACATTTAGCAAGAAGCCTTCTTCAATGAGAACCCCAAACTTGACTGATCCAACTATTGACATGCAGCAAACCTTTTACTTCCAGGGGACCGCCAGAAACGACACCAAAAACGAGTTTACCAGACGCAGCTTCCGCCACCAAACCATGCTTTATATTTCTGGCCCAAGCTTTCCCCAACCAAAACTTACTACACATGTGACTATAACCGAGCCAGCAGCCACTAACGAAAGGCGTCTGTGCGACAGAAATTCGCAGAGATTTGATCAGATGGATATAGTCCTCGTGTGATAATCCAGCAATGATGATAAAACGCCCGTGGTATGGTTGAAGCAACGAGGATGCCCCTCAACGCAAGTGCACAGCATAGTGTAGGTCCGTGTGGTGGTCATGGACGTGATCAGGGATGTGTGTTAGGATATTGAAGAGGTGACAGCGGGCGAGGTCGGCTTGAGATTATTCCATGCATTTCGTTGAAGTCTCTGCCGCGATGCAAGTAGTTTATACTGGTCCAAGGTAACCAAAGTCGTTGTGTTCCTTGGGAACGAGAATTGGGGGTATTCATAAGTCAGCCCTATGCGTCTTCGATATTCCTCGAGGTACGGATAGAACTACGTATTCAGAGTACCAGTGGTGATTAACACAGCGATCAAGTACCTGCAAAGATGTATCTCGCGCGTGTTTTCATTCATTTGAGAAGCATGGTGGTCTTCTTGGGACGCGTTGGGCTCTTCGGTACTCTCAATCCAGAATGACACACGTTCCTCTCGGGCATGGTGTGAGGCTCCATTTGTGGCCCGATTGTTACCTGGCAGCTGGGATATCTCTGTGCTGTTGTCGTGGTAGTTAGGAGTTCATATTCTTGCACATAGCCATCTCCAAAATGTCTTTGATTGAGCTGCTTCGCGTGTGCATCCATTTTTTGGCATGAGTTTTGCTACAACATAGAAGAGAGTCAAGATAACCTCGACATATTACTTGGCCGTGCCAGTGTATGTATATCGGCTTTACCCTGTCACTTGTCTATATGGACCGCATCTACGGGGGCTAAGCAAAGTTGGTCAAAAGTTAGCAACAAATAGCTTGGTTATTAGGAATATACGAGCTGTATTTGTTCTTCGTCACGTGAATTTGTGACAAAATGCAGCAAAATGAGTATGTAGAAAGGGGTTTTAATGGCGATATCCGGGATTTTGTCCACACGGGCAATCCATAAGTACGCTGAGTTTGAACTTCTCTCAGAACCACATTAGACTAATGATATGCCAGGAAGTGATTCCTGACTTGTTTTGAAGCATAGTCGTAACCATCCATACTCAACGACCCACAAGAAACTACAATCTACGGAACAGCAGTACACTATCGAGCTCATGATCAGGTGTAACTCGCTCCTTAAAACTTCACTGAACCTTCCCAGCCTTGACCGACGCGTCGACTTCATGGAGGTCCGTATTCGCTCCTTGCACTGCACCTCAAGCAGAGAAATAAGCAGGCTCATAGATACCACCGAAAGTCGTCCTTTCCCAATGTTACTTTGCCTAGGCGAGTCTATGCCAAGAGCAAGACGGGTAGTTGCTTATATCCCATGTGTACAGTTGGACAATATGGGCCCTGTGGGCCATGTGGGTCCTATACTTGCCACTATCGCCACCTAGACCGGCGACCATCCCCACATACCTCTATTACGAGAAATGTGGCAAGGATAGAACATTCCCTACTTATCTATATGCTTCTACAACTTGTCTGAATTAATCAGCAAGTCTACCATTCATTGACTATATAAGAACCCTTTTGTTTCCATACATAGACCCTCGAAGAGAGGACCAGAGTTAGCTACAATACATACAGGTTAGGCATATGTGCCCTCCTTTTGCTCCTTCAACGGGAACATCAAATCCAAGTTGTACTTAGCCACACAAATTGGCCACCTCATTTTTCCACAACATATTAACGCAGATGACGCGCGTCTTGCAGCTCATGACCTGCATCGGGGGTATTCTATATGGTGATGTGGCTCGCGCCTGATCATTCATTACACCCCAAAACCGCATGTACAATACAGTTGGGCCTCGAATTGAGCCGCGTATTAGTCTATACGTGTAGGATTGGAATTCTTACACAAGGAGGGGCTTGTTTCCATCACCCATTCTGCTTGCATTCTACAGTAAGCCGGTGTCTCCTTTCTCCGCTTGGCCAGGCTCGTGGGGAATCTGGAGTCGGTGAACGGCTTGGTCTACTTTATCGGGTGATGGGATGCAGAACTCAGTTTTAGTGCTATCGTACGTAATGAGGTCTAACCTGAAATGCGGAAGAGTCCTAGTTGATGCATGGATTGTAACCCATGCCATGAGGCCCAGCAAGTTGCGACTTGGAAGGATCTATACCTACAACGCCGGCCGAGTGATGCCATGATAACGACTGATGAGACTAGGGGCGAAATAGTGGTGGCTATCTTCCCCGGTGGAAATCTGACTCGAACATATCGTGTCTGCCCACAACTCCCACAGCTCTCAAGGGTGGTTGGTAACACAATAGACCATATGACACCACGTGGCTACTTCCAATATTCTTAACCCCTCAACAACCACACCGACCTCTCCCTAGTCCGGAAAGGGTGGATCAAGGCCTTGCCGAAGCGATGTTCATGACAGGAAGTTTGGGTGTCCACTTCCAGTCCAACGATAACAAGCCAGAGACAAATACCAACGCCGCCTACTAGTCGGGTTGAAACGAGTATTAACCTTACGATGACAGTCCGGCTCAAGGCCACGAATACCCATGACAAGAGAAGTGTGGATGAGACCGCCGTAGACAACAAACTCCATGTGGACGAGTTTCACGGCTACCAGGAATGATGAAAAATAGATGGAGAAGCAATCTCATACACGTCGACCTTAACACGTGCGCGGTGTTACTCCTCATTACACATATATAATAACTCTTGTCAAATACCCAGCAGTCCGGATCGACAACTGAGCACAGGGCAGACGGGTAACTCGGCAGTGGCGTGTTGACCGAGACTGATGGGGATAGGATGTATACGACGCGGGTTACTGTTTGAGGGAGAAAACTCTTTTCATAAAACAGAAGCCACCGACGGTATACGCGGAAGGGATACACTATTGTCACCGCTAGAGTAGGGTAGCAGTGCAGGGTGAGGCCTGCGGGCTTGGCCACGCATCGAACGGTGGCAGCCCGCGGTGCGTGAATCAAATGAATCGGCGAATGGCCTGATGCACTGACATGGTTTAAGGTCCGAGCAGCAAAGCGGGCAGTGAGGTATTTGTCAATGTGGTTCGTTCGTTGACCATCCGTCAAGTGCAACACTACGAAGTCGGACACTGAACCAAGCTGGTTGAGCATGAACCATTAACCACGAGGCCGCTCCGTGATACTTGCTGGTTGTGATCAACATCTAGTGCAGAGGTAAGTAGAGATAAATGGTGTAAGAGCCGCGTGCGTGCCATCGTCCCAACGGCCAGGGGATATCCTAGGAAGAACGGGATTCGCCCCAGGTTCGCAATTTCACAGATCCGGTCACAGATGTCGTCACTCCTCGAAAGAGACGCGCGTCCGTACAGTTGGGCCTTTATAAGCGCACCCCGGTTCCCTGCAATACCTGCCAATCCCCTCCAAGCTCGGAGTTTCTTGGCTAGCTCTCGTTTCGTTCCTTGATTGGGTTTCGCGGCGGTTATTTCGGTTGCACGTCTCGGAATCTCAAGGACGCGGCTGTGTCTTGGCTTTGCGGTGTTGGGTGTTGTGTGTTCGGGTTAGAAGTTGTAGCGGATCGCCATGAATGCGGAGCCAAGGATTGTCAGTTCGTCCCAACATGATCATCTTGACGTCTGCTTGACTTGTAGTGGCAGTGCAAAGATCTGTGGTTTCTTGAGACGAGACTGACGAGACGATACGAAGTGTAAAAGCATGAAAGCGAACATGAATGCCAGGCGATTCAAATCAGTCTCGTCTCGTGAGAACTAGAAACAGAGCTGCACTAGAAATTAAGTAGCTATCGGTTCATGCCGTATAGAAAATAAACCGACCTATTAAAGTCGTCCGTGAAGGCAATATGAAAGGATAATATCAAATGCTCCCTGAAGTTATCAACAACTTTCTCGGGAAGCAACCGAACCACAGGGCTAATCTCGTCCTACTCCCGGAAATAGATTGCGCTAAATTTTTTCGCAAACAACGGGGGACAGATAATGTTCACTAACTACAATGGTCCAAGATATCGCAATGTTACGCGCGAGACGATGATTGGTCACTATTGCCAGACCCTGGTTGATCCTCTGTGCCATCCCACACAAATCCGATCTCTGGTTGACAAGTGCCCAGCGGTGAATAGAGAGAGTCGCCAGCAGGTTCAGCACTCGTAGGTCGACATCTTTAAGTTGCCGGCTGGCCATGGGTGCACGTCAGAAAGTAGTAGAGAGCGTACCCAAATGTGGAATTGAGTAGCCATCACCTGGTAAGACAAACCCGTGAGTCCGTATTGTCTCCAAAGTTGTTGTGTGCGTGTGGACACTGAGATTGGCGGACTACGTGTCGGAGTCGTTAGCAAATTGTAGTTGTAGGATGTTTTTGTGGACTCGCAATTGGCTGGAAACGCGCAAGCATATGAAAAAGGGAGCAGGCCGCGCAATCATTGGGGGCTCAAACACTACCGACACACCCCAGCTGTAGATCCGTCACGTCCACGTGATGCACTCTCAAAGACCGCTTCGAGACTACTTCGCTACTGGGATTTTTCCAACACATTGAATGGGAAACGTGGTTGTACGAGGTTGCCATGGCTAGCTTCTGACGACACCTCAGCCAAATGCCATCGCATTTGGAGTCTGCAAAAGACAAGCCGCCAGGCTGACATTTTGCCTTCAGATTCCGCCTTGGTGCCTCACTGTCAGCCCTGAGAGACGAGTCATGCTAGGAAGGTCGTTCACTAACAACCATGGCGAGTACACGTTTTGGAATACGTTGTAACCGACTCCGGACCGAGTACGGGTAGATGATCTGCTCATCTAAACAAATGAAGATTGACAAGTCAATAGCACTCATTCATCGAGCCGACACGTAACGCTGTATCTCAACCTCATTGCATGCATTATAGTTGATAGTTGACCATGAGACGCGGAGTAGAAGAATAGGCTTATCACTCACGGTTCGTCCTGAGTATGATGCAATGATATATGGATATCACCCTCTGTTATTAGGTCGGTCGAGCTTCCCCAAATACCCCGAATACCGGCTCGGTCTCCTTCCGAGCCTTGGGATGTTACAACGTTTCGTCGCACGGAAGTGTGATCACTGAGTAGGCGAGGCTGCGTACGAACAACTTGAACAGCATGTCTAGTCGGACCCGCTGTAATGAAGATCATAGTGAAGCAACTGCGTGGAAGCCTCGTAACCTGTCAATAACGACTCCAACATGTGGAGATAGGTCAAGGCCCAGGAGAAGTGTTGCGATGTTGCGCACTGCAATACTGGTAGCCCTTGAAGAGACATGGAGACCCCAGCGGGCACAAGAAGCAATGATCTTGCGTGCCATTCATGATTGTGTTCTGATCAGTCCTAATCTATCCTAATACACACTGATAGAATCGAGTCCAAGCTTTCCTCTTCCTCTTCAAGCAGGCAGATGCTAGTCACACCACATGGAGATGGGATTGTCGCTCCACGTAACGAGCAAACGGGGTCTTTTAAGGTTGGCGCTAGTGATTACAAAACACAGGGTAAGATATATCAGTTGGGAATGATGGGAAAAGTGATTGATGCACCTAGGCCAGATCCCAATGGGAAAAATCACGCTGAGTCGTCGTATGACATTCCGATATTGCTGGCCTGCAAGTCTCCGTTGCACCTACCTATAAGCCAACTGCAACAACACCTGCCTCGAGCAGTCTCGTTCCAATCTACATGGTTGCAGCGGCACAGCCGCAGGCTAAGGAGCTAGACTGGGACCAAGACGATCTATCCCAAAAATACCTACGCACTCAACGAACAGTAATAGCATAAATCGGAGGTGCATGACGTTGAAAAGGTTATTTCAAAATGATCACCGAACAAGATTGAGTTTGTACGTCATATGCCAGGAATCCGATTGAATTGAGGGTAGGCATAATGACTTGGAGCTGGATGAAATCAATGAAGCCTTGGGAAATCGCGACCCAGAAAACCTTAGGGTCAGCCACTGCCACTGCCACCTGTTCGGGCGGACGTTGGACAGTGCAAGCCACGCCTCGTCATCGCCCCTCGGTTGCTGCCCAATCCCGTGCGTTTCTGTTTCGTCCCTCCGAGGATTTTCTGGAGTCGTGGGGCAGGCAGAATGACCCACTGAGTACTTCGCACAAGGTACAAGCGCACAGCATACGAGGCTCAGTTCAATTGCTATTACTCGAGTGAGGCAGACGAGTCTCTCAGCTTTTCCCCCCCAAAGGATTCAAAAAAAAAATCGATGGAAGTTATGGAATTCGGATTCCGAACTGACTAAGTGGAGTTGGTCTCGATGAGATTGGCCGCAACAAATTCTGAAGACAGAAGTGACTCGTCAACGGGCTTGCGCACACTGGCATGCGCACACTGGCAGGCGGGACGGATTGATCATCAGCGACGACAAAAGACCCATGCCCTGAGGAACCCACTCATCACTCCAAAAAGACTCGAGCAAGAGTGTGCAGGTGTGTGTGGTGGCCTGAGGCTCATACAAACGACGCTACGTGATTGGTGGACGCTGCCAGGAGACGCGCGTCCGCCGCCCATGGCCCTCTCTTTGGCTGTGCTCCTATCCTCGCACGTAATGGGGGTTGCGTCCTTAAGCCAGCCAATACCTGACTTTGGCTTCAGAGCGGGCAGATGTCTACGCAACCTCGCCGTCCACCCATGTTCCATGTCCTTCAGTGGAATCCACTCTATTCCTAATAATCGGTTTCCCTCCCTGAAACCCGAACACGACCCCCATTCTATCACCTCCGAGCTTTTGCTACATTGTACGTAGGTTTCCCTAACCTTGACGACCGTTCAATATTCCTTTCCAACTTTCAAAATTCATCATTACCACCGTCGGCCGCTACGTCGCTCGCTTATCGAGCGGTTCTTCGAGTGCGACCGACCATCGAGGCCAGAAGAAGGCAAGGACAGGCGTGTGCACCGATAGCACAGCAGCAGAAGCGCTACCACGAGCAAATGCGACGATAACACGGTTACGACGACAGCAGCAGCAGCAGCAGCAGGTAGCAGCAACAGGCTAGAGTCGGACAATCAAACTGACTGGCGATTTATCGTTCGCATCGAGCGTCTGGATTGCGTGCATCGCTGCCGGTGGCAATTTGACTGACGAACTCGGTCCACATCCCACCACCAGCCATTTCCTTCATATTCCGAGGCAACTTCACAACTTCGTTGTTGTGCTAGACAGTTTCTACATCGGATCAATTCATACCACCATGGGGGATCGAAACAACGTCTCCGGCAACGGCCGGGGCGACTATGGCGACGAATGGGCCAGGGGACTCACCACGCAGTTCGAGCAATTAATGCGAACGAGGCGACTCCACGATCTGACTGAACACAACCGTTCGCAACGCTTGCGGTCTGAAACGCCGGCATTGGACCACCGAGCCTCTCCCTCTAACCCACAAAGTCCATTTCCACCTGGCAGCAGCAGACCCTCGACCCCTCACAGCCACTCTCATGGGCCAGCCACGCCGCCGTCGTATGCATCGCTGCGCAACCTACCCAAGATCCCAACGGCGCCTGCTGCCCACGATAGGGAGTCGCAGAAGTTTCGCAACCTTCTCATTTCGCTCTCGAACACGCCAACCAAGTACGAGAACCCAGGCCTACTGGACGAAGCTCTGCAAAAGATACCTCTGGACAGGATATACAGCGAGGCGGAAGAGGAATGCCAGGTGTTACAGGCTCAAGCTGAGAGCATGGGTGATGGCCGCAAACCCGAATGGGGCTATCAAGACTGCGTCATCCGGGCACTACTAAGGTATGTTTTGTTCCTTTGAGTCTCTTGTGAATAGGATTCTAACGGCCAATAAAGATGGTTCAAGAGATCCTTCTTCACATGGGTTAATAACCCAGCGTGTCCGGTATGCTTGTCGCCCACAGTTGCGAGAGGCATGACGCAGCCAACAGCCGAGGAGTCAGCGTATGGGGCTTCGCGAGTCGAGCTCTACGAATGCTCCAATGACGCATGCAGAGCCTTCGAGCGCTTTCCTCGATACAGCGACGTGTGGCGACTACTACAGACGAGACGCGGCCGAGCTGGAGAATGGGCCAACTGTTTCAGCATGTTGTGCCGTGCCGTCGGCGGCCGTGTGCGCTGGGTTTGGAATGCGGAGGATCACAATTGGACCGAAGTCTACTCGGAGCACAAGCAGCGCTGGATTCACGTCGACGCCTGCGAGGAGGCATGGGACAACCCGCGGCTGTACACGGACGGCTGGGGTAAGCCGCTGTCCTACTGTATTGCGTTCAGCATTGATGGCGCAACCGACGTCACCCGCCGATACGCGCGCAAGACGGAGTGGGCAGCCGCACGCAAGAAGTGTCCCGAGGAAGTCATGCTGTTCATCATGCAGGAGATTAAGGCTCTACGTCGAGCCAATATGACTAAGGAACAGCGATTCGCACTGGAGAAGGAAGACATGAGGGAAGACCGCGAGCTGCGTGGCTACGTGGTAGCTTCTATCACGCAGGCCGTTACCAACATGGTCCCTAGTGTGCCTGCTCCGCCAAGCGCCGTTCTTCCAGCCCGACCTGCACCTGTACCTGCCTCCTCCAGTCAGGACCAGAAACTGCCTGCAGAGCAACCGAGTCGACAGAGCGGAAACGCCGAATGGATTGCAGCCCAACGAGAGAACGAGAGGCGCCGTCAATTCCACGGTCACCAAGATCCCTCTCAGCGACGAGACTACTAAACGTAACCCCCACCGCGACTTGGTTCATATTTCAATTCTTGTCGACCACGAAAATGACTACTTTACGGCTATACCCCACGGCACTAGCCATGCCACATACCATTACCGACGATCGCCCCTTCGCATCTCGCCCTGGACGACGCCAAATGCTACGGATTGCACCTCTTCGCGGCATTACTATTATAATTCTCATTTGTGTCTAATTTCACATTGGCCCATATATTTGTTGTGTGTGCCGTGCTGTTGCATCTACCCCTCATGCGACCTTGTATTGTATCATTAACTCCTTATCCGCAACTACCACCCAACAGAGTGGATTTCTTTTGTTACGTCATCCGATCGATTACATTATATCCGGTGGAAAACTACAACGGCGCATCGGGGTCCTCAAGGGAGAGGTGGCATTATAGCCCCCCCCTTGTTTTTTTGGGCTTTTATCTGGGAATGGGCAATGGGCGGATGAGAGGGCGGTCTCATCCATTGCCCTGGCGTTCAGGTTTTTGCATGTATGTCTTATGGTGTAAAGAGGGATGAGCGGTACACATGACGCGCAATATCGCGTGGGAGGTATATATCAGATGGGGAGGATGGCCAGCTTTCGGTATCACTACTTCACAGAGCATAGCTGCTTGACTACTAGACGACCGGGCCACAAATAGACCTTTTTTTTGGCTCATTCATCTTCAAATCCTTGTACTCCATCTGTCGCCTTGGTCAAATATGCGATGATTAATCCATTGCTGCGACCTCAATCTCACGATCTTAGAATGAAAGACTGCTTGCTCTCCATCAAGTGTCACGTTGTCGGCTTCAGATCTATTACCGTGGTACGGTGCACGCACCTACAGCATTTTAGAGCGATCAGCACTCGAGGGTCCTTGAAATACGGACATTGGCGGAGGCGCCAGCCATATCGAGTCTTACCTTGTAATGCCGAGCGCCTACCGAGGTTTCGTTTCTTGGGTCAATGGAACCATGGGTTGCCACTCTGGCTCCTACAGAGCTTAGCCACACATTGATAAGGAACTCTGCCTTTACTATGTTTGACAGAGGTATTTGACGGAAGTATGTGAACCCTCTAGATTGAGGGAACATCAGACGAGATGAATCTCTAAAACTATGTTACATGCTCAGTGATATATTGACACGGATGTTGACACGTTGATGAGTGACCCAAATGGCTAAGGGATGGGGGGTGTACCGCATGCTGGTAATCCTGCATTTCTCGTACCATACGCTCTCAACTCGCGTTATGCGTGGCACTTGTAAAACTCAAGATTGAGTTGCTCTTCAGGCTGTGTAACTGTTAGAAATAGAAGAATGAGTAACTCCTTGGTCTATTGATTCCATTCAGGGGACAACGCCGTATGGTTTGATAGACTGTGAATATGACCTTGAGGGCCAAATTATTATGTCATGATTCATACGGGTTGTCCAGTAGGCCACTTCAACGAAGCTAATTTTTCGAGGTCTTTTGAGGCTGATTGCGAAGGTTTGGCACGCACCTTAACATAACAATCTTCCCAGAAACTCATTGTTGCGTCTCGTGTTACTACAACTTTGAGGCTGGCACGAAAGTACAATGAGCAACTTTCATATCATACTAGGAATGGTACAAGCGATACAAATAGCGCATGCCACAAAGAAACTTGGTACTACTATTGTAACCTCGGTACAGCTTGGCCACAACCTCAATTGTCCAATGGTATTCCCCAGCCGTCTCTCAATTTCCCTGCTCCGGTCTATCTTCAGGAGTAAAGAACAACACCAAATTCCTGTAGCATCTGAACATCTTCTTGCTTGTCAAGACTGGAAATGGTTTCAAGGGCCGCCGTTGAAAGGAAACTCTTCCAACCACTGCATCGTCTGCTGTCTTGTTGGCGCTCATTTTAACTCTTGAATCTTTCACCGAATCTATTGGCCCACGAATTACTATATAGCTAATCTGAAATCACCCTCCCTTGGTTTTGAGAGAAGGATTGATGAGTGCAGTCACGCTGTCCTCGGGCCATTACCCACTTACACTCTGGGTTTGGCCTGCTTGATGTACTTGGATTTTATGTTCCCGTTGAAGGAGCAAAAGGAGGGCACATATGCCTAACCTGTATGTATTGTAGCTAACTCTGGTCCTCTCTTCGAGGGTCTATGTATGGAAACAAAAGGGTTCTTATATAGTCAATGAATGGTAGACTTGCTGATTAATTCAGACAAGTTGTAAGGGAATGTTCTATCCTCGCCACATTTCTCGTAATAGAGGTATGTGGGGATGGTCGCCGTTCTAGGTGGCGATAGTGGCAAGTATAGGACCCACATGGCCCACAGGGCCCATATTGTCCAACTGATGTTAAGCCTACTACATGAGAAGTTTCTTTTGGAAAAGTCTTTCTGCCTATGTTACGGCTGGTGAATGTGTTGCACAGTAGCCATAGGTCTCCAAGAACCTGCTTATAGCAAGTACGAAAGGGATGTTCAGTCGTAAATTCTGGCTGGGTGTTGTCCGTACTTTCATTGGTTGAATTGCGCCTGGGATACCTCCTTGTTTCTACACCATTTCTGGGGCCCAGCGAAGAACATATTATGTTGGGTGTAACAGCTGAGGTGCTCCACTTTTAATATTCATGCAACAGTCTTGTGTTAGACCCGCGGTCGCTCAGAGCAACCATGCCGTCGAGTTATCAAACCTCAGGGTTTGGTCGCCCATTGGGTCAGTTACGAATGATTCGAGGACTGGCGCTTTTGGTGCCGTTATATTCTGTTGCGACGCCCGTTTTCAGAAGCTAGAAAACTACTTTAATTGACTTACTGCGATCTACTAAAGTAGGCAATATTGTAGATCGTATTATCAGGGCACTCCTTACGCCAAGGTGAAGCAGACAATTGCCGCAGCTATATGAGGGTCCGGAACAAATAGGAAAGCAGATGAGTTAGCCGGCAAAGAGAAAAGTCGATGGCTCAATGGTTTCAAGCACCAAAACATCGGATGACATCAACATTCATGGTATATCCTCTGATCGTAATTGCCGGCCATCTATGTAGAATAGGATCTCTCAAATATACAGACATGAACTTTATAAGTTGGATCCCGCCAACCTGACACGGTAATTGGTTCGGGATTCCAGCCCTCTGCCTGGCAATTGGTTTACACAATCTGCGAGTCATTTCCAGCATGTGACGTTTCACTTCTACCTTTTGATCGGAGGACATTGCGATTCTTGTCTGGCTCTTACAACAGGAAGTTGGAACTACAAGGCAACTGTGCCCCTCGGATAAAATGCGATGAACACCACTTGCGCCTCTGGTTGCGCAGTTTGCCTACCGGTCCGGGGGCTTAGCAAAGGAAGCGAGCACTGCAAGATCGCACGCTTGCGACCATGACGGAACCAATGTTTTTGAACATCTACATTAACATCATGTTGCATTCGGTCCTTCGTCGAGGCAGCTTATTTGCGTCATTTTCGACTTTTCACGTTGTACAGCACCCTGCGTGACCCGGACGAAGCCTGTATGGGCTCCAGAGTGAACATGATTCAGTATCATGGCCTGATTATGTCCCAGGCTCTCCCTTAGCCACGCTCCGGGGAATCAAACGGTGCGGCCCGGCGTGGACGGCTGGTGGTTCAGCGTCGATCAACAGAGCATGTCGAGCATCTGTGTTAAATATAGCTCGAAGTCACATCACAACGCCGATCCAGACCCACCAATGATTGGAGCCTCATCTGCGCACAAACTATCAACTCCACCAGAGCAAGCTGCCGGTCCACTTTATCCAACTCTATAGTTCCCTTGGGTATTAATACGCAGAAGGCGATCGTAGGGAAAGCTACCGCCTTCGATGTGGTGATTCTACAAATTTCTTGACGATAATTGCGCTTATTGTCTGGTACGTGCCATAATCCATCTTCGAAAACAATGAGCACGCTCAAAAGGAAAATGAGACATCCAACTTGTGTTTTAAGAAACTTATTCCACCTCCATTGCTTGAAGGTAATGGCTTGTCAACGGCCCGCGATGGAGCAGCGGATCTCTTGGAACAGGACCATTGCGTTCATTAAAATTTGAGTTGATGCGATTGAAGATCGACAGTTCTGGTGGTGAATACTGTACCTTTAGAATATTTCGAACAAATTAGCCATCATCACAGCGAGATCTCCCCCTTGTCTAGCATTACTGCGCAATCCTTCGGTCGTGAAATGATTAGGAATGGAGGCTGCGATCGTCGCCATTTCTGATAGACTCTCTACTTCTCGGTTGATGCTAGTATCTCAGCGAGAGTTTTCCCTAGTGCAGTACTCTACAGTGTGATCCCTCGGGTGCGAAATGGATGAGAAACGGAGATTGGCCCTGATGGACGACGACTTCCAGTCTTGGCAGACGACATGATACCGGACGCAAGCTTCATTGATGAACGACATGCTTATATAAGCCTATGATGCTTCACGTTATATTTACTTTTAAACAGATCGATTCAGTTCTTCACGATCCTCGTCAACACGAATACGCGAAGACCAAACAAAACCTCCAACCGCACACATACCTTACAACCAGTTCATCATGTTCTTCAACACCTTCCTCACGTCCACCACCATGAGCGGCATGAATTTGAAGTTTCGAGGGTGGTTGAAGAGACAGATCGAGAAAAGAGACAACACTTGCTCGGTGTTAGACTACTTTGGACTGTTTGGCACTGGGAAGGAAAGCTCCAATTAGCAGTAGGCGTCTTCTGGCAATCGCACCCTAGAGACTGGCAAGATTTGGTATAGGCCTAGAAAGAAAGGGGGAAAGTAATTCAGCATCCCGATGCTGCAGTCACAGAGTCCAGAATACACTCTGCTAGTCGCCTAATCGCAGACTTTTCACTAGTTCTGTGGTCCGAATGGCCGGCCTATTCGATTGGAAGAAACAGGTGAGCGTGATCAATTACAGTCTATTACCATCCAAAACGAATTGATTACGATTCGAATAATTCTTCCCCCGTCCATCTCTCACTCCGTTCGTCCTGATAGGCTGCCTCCTTATGAGGTGGACGAGGTAACCTATTTGGATACTAACTGGATTGCTAGCCGAGTGCTAATCGATTAAGAACGGAATCCACGAGGTGGCTACCGGCGAGCTTTGTTGCCGTGCCTACGATGAGGATAATGCCATCTGCCCTATTGACGTGAGCAATCCTGAACAGCGATTCAATGCCCGTCGAGTGCTGAATGATTGACAGAAGAAGCAGTGGCAGCCGTCAATCCTCCGCCACCACCTGAAGATAACTCATGTATATACCTTGCTGGGCCTCACACCGGGCAAGACCCACGTTGAAGAAGATCGAGCGCAAGTCGTTTGATCATCGACAACCATAATATTACTAATCGGATGGAACGATTCACAGTGTTCATATGTATAAGTCAGTTGGTTTCACGGGCCGCGCCTGTGACGGCAGCATTAGCCTCAAGAGAAAGGCTGCGGTTTAGTACCGTCATTTCATCAACTTTTTATTAATCAGTTGCTAATAGATTACTATCAGAGTGTCTCCCCGCTAAGCCTGATGACATCTGTGGTGGCCGAAGTTCAAGACTCCTGTAGTAATCGATCTGGAGGGGAAGATCAGGACGATGCTTAATAGAAAAGTGTACGAGTAGGGATAACGTTTCCTTACTTCGCCTGGCATAACAGCAGTAGTAGTTAAAATGAAGCATGGTCGATTATGAATCGATTAGTGATCATATAGTAATTACATGACTAGTAGAGCTACCCATGTAGTCGTCTTCGCCTTTCTTCAAGTTCTAGCTCCTTTTCATCGTTTTGAAGTTTCAACGCGCGCTTCTTCTTCTCGTCTAAGTATATCAATAGCTTGGATTCGAGCTTCGAAACTATCTTGAGTATAGCTAGAAGTGGAATGCGTTCGATGTGGATTTAGACTAGAATTCATTAGTAATCGATTATATATCGAATAAAAGTCGAGTACCTTTTTTGCCTCTTCGATATCGGTCTGTCGGGTAAAGATTCTGACCGAGCCGATTCAGACGAACTATACTGGGATAGTTCGCAGGCTTCAGAGATAGCTGAACTGAGGACACGTAGCTGATTACTACTCGAAGTATAATCGAAAGTTGGGCTTAAACTTTGGTTTGGAAAATCACTAAAGCTCTCCGTTTCGCGACGTCGTTTTTCGATAGTAGCAACTAGCTGATTATTAATAGAGTAATATTCAGATAATAGCAGGGTACATACCTTCTCGCATCGTAGATCTTGTATATCGATCTTGAATAGACGTTAGTTGATAAGTGTACGGAATGTTCAACCTCTTGTATATTGCTGCTGATTTGAAGTCCTTTTCGTCTAGTTGACGATTGCTAATAATCGATTAGTTATCAAGTAGCGACTAAGGTAAATTGATGATTACTTACACATTGACGTAATCTGCTATATACTGATAGCGGTTCCTATAATGATAGCTTCGTTGACGCTGGGCTTCAGCCGGATTTGTTGAAGGTGCCATCCTATTCCAATCGCCAGAGCTTATCCAAGAGCAATGCTGATTAATTCCACATTTAATAGCTGGTCGAACTTTATGTAAAGCCCATGCCCGTAGCTTAGAATTTGTCGAATCGGCTTTACTCGAGTTATACTTGTTTAGTATTCAATTATTAGTCAAGTAAGAGAGGGCTTACTAGAAAACTGCCGACAAAGCTCGTTATAATCCTCTTCAGATTGCATATGAAGAAGCCTCATCATACGAGAGAAGTCGGAATCAGGTTCGCGGTTCTACACTCGATTGATTAGCCTTCGAGTAGCACTACGCTTGTACTCCATTGGAATTAGTTAGCATACCGCAATACCAGTAATCTTTTCAATCTCTCGTTGAAAGTGCACTTTGCAATAGCGAATTGTACTCTTCACATAATAAAGCCAACTCCCTTTTTGGAACCTATCATAAAGATACATCCCGAGACCTGCTCAGTTCGCAATCAATTATCAATCGACTGTATTTAGAAGCTCCACGTACCAATAATTAATTTATAGTTTTGATCGGTTGTAAACCCAATAAATGGATTTTCAGCACACCCTGGCTTTTGATCGAATGCCCAAGAGATCTCGTAGTTAAACTTTTCCCTCATAATTCGAAAGACCTGATGAAACAATGATACATCTTTATCGAATCAGAGTTTGTTATTACTCGAACCAGAGCAACATCTAGGTACTTGATTAGTGACTGACTAGTAATCGAGTAGAGATCGACTAACTCCTGCGGATTCCCTTATCATACACGGCCCAAATAACCTGTCGATCTTGGCGGTCGATCTGATGCTTATAGTTCATATCTATAATACAAGCTTGTAGTGACTTGAATAGATTAAACTGTTCGTAATTGAAACAAATAATCATGAAGTTCGTCGAGTTTTGAAAGACATCCTGGACGTACTGTAATTAATTAGTAACCGATTTGCACTCGAAGAATTCTGCGTTGCTTACTTGGTCTGGTTTGCCGTTTTCACGTTCGAAGGCCCGTTGGACAGCCACAAGCTAGAGCCTGCTGCAAAGTGAAGCATCCTATGCTTTTGATTACTATAACTAATCAATTTCGAATTGATTAAAGCTGGATGAAGGCCTACACGTGATATGGCCCCTTTTCTTCGAATCCAAGTTTGCACAGTCGGGTTTTTTCAGAAATAGTGCTACTAGTGTAAGCACTCGATCGGTAATCGACTAACAAACGACCTACTATATCTCAACATTGGATCTGCTATTCCCTGAATTAAGTCCCAAATCTCTGTACAAAGCTTTGAGCCTAATTTCGAAGGCGGAGGAATTGGATGTCGATGACTTCCGTGGCAAACGCACAACATGTATGGATAGAGATCCAAATGCAGAGGAATATAAAAGTCGTATTCGCATTGACAAGTTAACTCGATGATGTTCCCTTTTCCTTGCGGATGTACGACAGCTTTTAAAAGAAACACTCAATTAGTACTCGAGTATTGATCTAGTACTAATTACTTACGACATAGCTTTGCAAGTTTCTTGTTCTGGGCTACATAATAGCAAGACCCTGGTTGGATCTCTTCGCCCAGAGTTTTGTTTAGAAATGCTTGGAATAATTTAATTGCTGGATTATGTTCTTGTGGAATTGGCCGCCAATGATGTCGCACATCTGACGGCGTTTGCGAGTGAGGGTGTGAGTGGATACACCGAAATATATGGCGAGGAACCCCGGTGGCCTATCAAGTGTTAATCGATCGGTACTCGATTAGAGATATGTACATACGTCTCCGTCCTGAACAATTTCAAGCTTGCAAGTTTTTGCATAAGGATTACAAAGCTTGCCATCCTCGAAAAGTTTAACCTTGGCATAAAGAAAGCTATTAATTAGTCTTCAAGTACTGATCGAGTGGAAATCGATAAGGCTTACCAGAGCGTTTTATAATGAACTTGGTCGTCAATTGCTCGTTCAGCTTCTTGTTTAGCTTTTGCCACTAAATCCCATTCATCTTCCGAAACCTCTGTATAAGATCGATTTCGTAAATCTGAAGATAAGTATTCACATGCTTTACTCCTGCATTTATAAGTAACGCGGTTACAAAGAGTATTATCTAAAAATGCACAGGTGGTTTGACGCCAAGAAATCTTATGGCTATGGCAGAACTGGATCTATAATCGATTAGTATTCAAATGGCTTATATTGTGGGGAGAGCAGCTGGATTAGATACCTCGTTTATGTAGCTTCTCGCTTGTTCTTTCGTTTTCCCTCGAACAGAAATAACATAGCAGACCCCCGTTTCGCTAGTTATAGGATATTCAGGCATTTGGGGTACCCAAATGAAGGTTTCAACTGTTAGTAATATCTCCTTGTTATTATTACGCTCAGATGAAATCAACGTAAGTTGATTTCTAACATCCCCCTCTGCAACCGTTGGGCCGAATTCAACCTGCAAATATTATATAAGTAATCGATTAGCGATCGATTGAGAAACACTTACAGTTTCCTCCTCATCGCTTTCTAAGTCCTTCAAAGGTTCAAGGATGCTTTCAAAGACTGCTACAGCATCATCGATGGTTGCCTGTTCGTGAGATCTTATATCATATACATGGTGATCCCAGGAGGGGTTGGTGTTAGCAGCGATATCACGCAGAATTGGTGTTAAATCCATTGATAATCGAGTAGCGATCAAACTGTGATTGAATAGTAGTCCAATAAAGTCCCTTCACTTAATTAAAAAAAACATAGTTGGAGGAAAGAGAAATGAGTTGTGTACATGAGTGGAACGAAGCATTAGAATTATAGGACCAGCGCTAGCACTATCCACTACAGCTTGGCGGATCCATACCATTTCGGTTTGGGAACATGGTTGGGTGATTAACCGGGGATGGTTATGTTATCCGACCCTCACCAGGATGAGTTCTAGGAGGCGATAACCACTATAGAGTATCGGAGGGCGGGGCTACCTTGTTCCGCCACGCGCATGGGAGGAAACAGGGGGGCTTCCAAAAATGTGGCCTCAATTGATCGGAGAAGCGATGGCTCTTTCGTACCTAGCCCAGCCAATTCGAAAGTCCACGCGATCGTCATTCCTTCCACTGTCATTCACCACACAACATACGACTTACGTGTTTTCAGCATTACTTTTACTTCTTCTCGCCTAATCCTCTTTCGCTTTCTTTGCACACATCATCATGGTACGTCCAATGACTCGATACTCCATTCCCTGAAGGCTCCTTCTGTGCACCGTAAAGGACAACGCAGCAAAGCCGTAATGGCACCTTCCCTGCACGCAACCCCTTAGAGACCACATCACTGACAATCAACTCTCTAGTCCTCACCGAGAGCATCATCCCCAGTCGGCGCGCCCATCGCCACTGGTGCCAGCATCGGCCGCCCATCTTCGCCCCCGGGAGGTCCCAGGACCGCTATCCGCCGACGAGCCGCTGCAGACCAGAAGGAGAAGATTGCGAATGTTCGACCCAGCAGCACCAGAGCCGCCGGCGCTGGCGGAAGCAGCAGCACAATGCTCCGTCTCTACACAGACGAGTCCCCGGGCCTGAAGGTTGACCCTGTCGTTGTCTTGGTTCTCTCTCTGGTCTTCATCTTCAGCGTTGTTGCTTTACACGGTACGTCATTTGATGTCGTCAGATTTGGATGGAAACGCAGGCGCTAACACTATCGCAGTCATTGCCAAGCTCACCCGAAAGTTCTCCGGCTAAACGACCGTCTAGCTAGGCGGATGTGAAGGAATTGGAGGGCAACACTGGAGTAGTCGGTGGTCCACAATGAGCGCGGAGATCGCGACCTGTGGCCACGCGGAACATGAGACGGCAAACGGAAAGGACAAAAAGCGGGACCGACATCACACATGGTTCATCACTTGTACTCTGGGATCAAAATGAAGAGAGTCTCGAGTGGGAGGCCCTATGTACCATATCGCGATCGAGCAGGCTGGTTAGTCTGTGGTCAAACATACCATGCGGGGAAATGAGATGCATATACACAAATCCTCAGGCTTGACAACTCAGTAGTGCTGGACTATTGACCCTTAATGCTAATAACTCCATCAAAATTCAATGTCTTTCCGCGCCTGTCTCACACCGTGGGCTCGGCGCATGTCGTCTTCAAATCAGTTCAATAGCCATTGAGTAGTGGTATATCATTCTCATGGCCAAACGGGACACATCAGTGCTGAAAGGCTGCTCTGGTGCCCAATTGTGATCGAGTCCATTAGTTTGCCAATGGCAGCAGGAGAGAAGGGCGAATGTCGGAAGGCAGGCCGGCTCATTGAGCCATGACATGACAAATTTGTGGCTAACAGGTGCTCAATATCCTATAATCTTGCACAAGGGTCAGATGTGTATTTCGCCAACCTTGAAGCTGGGGGAAAGGCATGAAACCAGCCAATGAAAAATATTGCAGGTTGAGCTATCGTGACAGTGCTACTGCGAGACAATCTGCTATGCGTTAGACGCATCGCTGCGTTCACACTGAGTGAGATTAATGCATATTTCTGCGCTGGTATGAAAGGACAAGTTCGATAGTTGGAAATGCATAGCGGGACTGCATCTCGAAGAATGCATTGGAGAGGCGATTTCTATTTGAGACACAAACTCTTTCAACTGAAATCCCAGCTGTAAGCAGTCATTTTGTTGCTTACAGACTAGTATGCTAGGTGCAATAACCTGGTAAGCTGGATGTAATCTTGTGTCATTACTTAAGTAACCCTTACTGCTCTATATCCGTCAATCGGCATCCGCCTTGGAAGGGAATTCTTCTCGCCAAAGTAGACAGGATGTCCCATCGGGATCTTCGTCTCTGTTGACTCTGACCCTTGGTATAGTATGGCCACGAGTTTTAGCCGCCTCCTGGAAAACACGCCTTTTGACACAACAGATGACAGTTATATTCCATCTCGACGGTTCGAGTGAAGAAGACCTAATATGCTATATTTATCTGGCATGGTCAGGGGACGGTCCCCCCCTTTACCGAAAGCAACAACCAGACTTATTATCAGTTCCAGAAGCAACATCCTGACATTAAAGCCTTTCCCTCGTCATTCACCATGCTTGCCGTCCCCGCAGCTATGGATGGCCGATGCACCACAGACCCAAAGATAGAGATATCCGGGGTCCATTGCACTTTGCAGAATGCGACGTACAATATCAAGTTCCACTACCTGAACGGGCTACAAACTATCACGCCAGTTATCACATCATATCTTAACAAAGCCACAGAGTACACAAACTATGTGAGTGCAGGAGGAGATCATGAAAAAGATCTGGATGCCTATGACGTTGAGACGATCGCATACCAGACAATCATGGAGGTGGGAAGGTACGGCCAAGTACAGGGCTACAAGACCCCGCCTCAAACCAGAAGCAACCATCATAGAAGAAAGAAAAAGAAAACATCCTTTTTTGGCCTTCATGTAAATCTCATGGATGCTTTTATTCCCTCCATAGCAGGATTCATTGTATATGACCCTCTGATGATGAGTCAAACCCAAATCGAAACCGACATGCCGATAACGCCTTTGCTCTATTCCAAAGAGCTAGCGGGCCTCAATTTGGTCTTGAAGTCGGCTTCTCTTGCCTCGTCGGACCTCGAAACAGGTTGGGATGGAATCGATGTACAAGACAACATGCCTACGACCAAGTCGCTGGCGGAAACCGTGGGTGAGATATTTAGAAATGCTACTATCAGTCTCATGACACAGGAACTCTTGAAGTAAGTTCCGCAAGAGCTGGCGTTTACATCAACTTCATGAAGCCGAATCATCAAAGCTGACAGCCTACAGCCCCAACTACGAGTCTCCCTACGCGCCACCAAAGACCAACGTCACCACATTCTCAAACAAGAACGTGTACACCTACTCCCCTAACACACTCTGGATCACGTACGGAGTTTCCATTACCACCTCGGCCCTGAGTGTGCTCATCGGTTCAGGGGTTGTGGCCATGACGGGGGCTTCGTACAGCAGCAAGTTCTCAACCATCTTGAGAATTGCTTTCAACGTGCACGTCTCACGAGACGTGGAGTTACATGACACCAGCGGCAAGGATCCGCTACCGAAGCATTTGGGGAAGATGACGGTGATGTTTCCCCCTGAGAAGGTCTCGGCCATATATGTAAGGCCCGAGTCGGTTCAGACGGGGACGGACGAAGATACGGCGGGACAGTAAATGGTGTAGGCACGGGTGGTTTTTTTTCAAGCGAGCTTTGAGATTATCATACCATAGGACTCGAAAGCGATGCTATACGCATTAGATAGGATATGGAGGCCTGCGTGCTTGCAAAAAGCGTTACCATACCGTAAGATAGATTTTGGCCCAATTGGGGTTTCGCAAGTACGATCAACCTTGTAATACCAGGTGGCGATTCGTACCTACCATCGAGAAACCAGATATTCAGGAAGTATCGAATCCTTCAAACCCCATAAAAGTATTTATATTAGTAACTCTTGAGATATACCTACAACAACAAACGACAAGGTGAAACAGGAACTACTACGGTAGCACTATCTCAGCTCTCAAACCCAACTAGTCTGCTCATATCAAACTCCATCAAACTCCTTAAGCATTCTATACCTCTTGCTTAAGCTCAACACACCAGCTAAGAGCCTAGTCGGGATACAGAATGAGTGCCTCCGAATAGTCTGTGGCGCCTACAAAGCGACACCGGTCCGACACCTAGAAATAGAGGCAGCTATCCCGCCACTAGACCTATATCTCAGTGCCCGGGCGGCGAAATTTGAAGAACGGCTACAGAATAACGGCAAAAGGAGCCTGCTTCGGAGCGCGAGCGCGAGAGCGTCACACATACTCCGACAGGACACGCCGGCGAGACGGAAGCGGGCGTCACAATCGCTCAGACCAGCGGGGTACACGATAGAGAAGGAGGCTAGGGGCTCCGAGTGGATAGGCAAGGAGAAGGAAGTCCCGGCCGCCCTCCTAGACCACTGGGAGAAGAGATGGCTCTCCGGGGCAGCACAACACGACCGCCAGCGACGCGCTATCGCCGAGGAGCAGGAGGGCCCCTCGATGCGAATGCCGAAACAGGGCAAGTACTCAGACCTAAACCGACCGGAGGCGTCTACCCTATGCCAGATCAGGACCGGAAAAATAGGACTATCAGCTTTCTTATTTAAGATAGGAGCCTTCGGTGTGTACTCGCCGTTATGCCGCTGTGGAGAGGCCCCCGAGACGGCAGAGCACGTAATCCTCTTTTGCGGCCTGCTGGAAGAATCGAGAGAGCGCCTACGGGCCACTATCGCACCATGGCCGCTGCATACACGTAGAGACCTGGCAACGGCGACGGGGAAACCAGTAGTCAGCGGGACTATCACAAGGTGGCTACTCAGAACTGGACGGATAGCGCTTAGGCCCGGATAATATCGATCTTCTCAGGGGGACTTTGTTAGTAGGGTGAGAACTAACATAGTATTGTGGTGGACGTAACGCAGTCGCTAATAGAGCGAACCTACGTAGCAGCGTATGTATTTAGTCCAGCCATTAGGGCACGGTTTGACATACGGGAGCACTTGTAGAGGTACCGGGGGCTTCGAGCCTACGGCGTATTTATAATAAATAATATTATTGATCTGTAAATTGGCACAATGGTAGTTTATACCGAAGAATGTGCATACAAATCTATTAGCTTATCATTAACAAGGATATTTGTTAATCTTCTGGTGCTAGCTTTTTTCTCAGTCTAAGCAGGACATAATCTAATGCGATACTTCAACTTAGACGGAACTGGTCCCATCATTAGCCGGCAAACCCTCCTCATCACCCGGCGCTTTGTAAGAGCCTTCAGGTTTGGCACCCCGTGTACGATCTTTAATAATATTGGACTGGTCAATAGCCGCATTGTCATCTTGAGCTGTGCCAAATTAATGAACGACCTCTTCTTGTGAAATTCGAATTTGTGCATACCTAGTTGCGCATCCGAGTCGGCCTTGTCAGCATCGATGGGGTCCTTTATTCTCTCTTGGTCCGAGACGATGCCAAGTGGCTCGCCCTTGTTACCAGGACGCGAAACGTAGGAATTATTGGAGGTAACTCCGGAAGGTGCCTCGTTTTCAGAGTTGGGCATGATTGTAAGAAATTAGAATGAATTTGTTGTGATTGGCCTGCAACAGTAGTAAATATGCACATATAGTGCGCTTCATATGGTCAGGAGAAGTGGTCAACTTATACCCCAAAATCGATTCTTTCTAACCAGAAGTACCCGTCAAAGCGTCTTGACGCTTGCGATTCCAATGCATGACGCCATTAGCCGGCCTGGATGATTCTATGAATCATCGACTTAAGCCTCATCAAAGGGCTAAGATACAGAGCTTCAGCAGCACGGACTTCCTGAGTGCGTGCCAGGACATGCGATGGTAAAGATCATAAACCAAGACTGACTGGTTGACAGATCTAGTGAGGTCTAGTGAGACCTTAGTGCGCCGATTCCTGCATCTCTAGTCCTTTCCAGTCTAGGAAGTTGAGACGGTGGTGACAAGTAGGCGTTGTGGCAACAGGACATAACTAGAAACTCCCGAGTATGTTTCGGTATTAGCCGTTAGGTGTTCATCGCAGTCTTCTTAGCCAAGTTCAACCCTCATTGACGGACCCGTCGATGGCGGCCTGAACTCAATTCCAATCTGGCACCTGGAGGATATTTGTTCCACAGTCGTCACATTTGGCTAACAAAGTCGCGCCTTTTGCGTGGCATGGCAACAGGGTCCCCTTGTGTGATTGAACATGAAATCCATGCATGTTTTACTAGGGATAACTCCTATTCCATACTCGTGTATTGTGGTATCATCCAGGTAGTTCACTCAATGGGTGCGATCCCGATCCCGACCCGGACCCTTCTCCCGCTTGCCTCCAACTGTCAACTTTCTTGCTTTCCTCTAGCGCTCTCTTCAAGTCTTCGTCATCCTCATCCGAAGCGTCTTTTGCCTTTCCCTTATCCCTATCCTTGCGAAACTGTTCCTCGGCGAGACTTTGCTGTTTGACGTATTCAAGGATGACCTCCTCCTCCGTCCGCATTGAAGATGCACGTGCCAATTCCTCCTGATGTGCCCGTTCTGATGCCTCGATGGCGCGCTTCAGTTCATCGTCATCCCCTCCTTGAGGCGGCGCGTAGTCTATTTGAGATGCCTCGATGGCCTTTCTGAGCGCTTCTTCATCGGCAGCATCGCCGTAAACTTGCCCGCGGGCTGCGTGCTCGGCTTGCGATTCTTCGATTGCCTTTCTCAACACCTCGTCGTCCTGAGGTGTCGGGGTGTGCCCGGACTGAGAGCGCTCAAGGGCCTGCTTGAAGTGCTTGTCGTCGTCCATGTCATCGTCTTCAACATCGAACATCCGAATACCATGTTGTTGCTCCTCTACAACGCTTAGTCGCACCGCTTGCTCAATCAATGCTTGATACTCTTCCTCAGTGATATCCCCGAAGTCCTCCGGACGGAAGGGAGCTCCAGGATTCGAGTCTGTTGAAAAAGAAGTAGCGGAAGTCGAGTGCGTTGATGGCTCAATCGGTCGCTCCGATGCCTTTGTTGCAGATAAGCTTGTGGTAGTTGACCTTCGAAGTGCCTGAACACTGGATCGTATTGCCTGCTCGATTCGTGCGTCTTCGAAGTCATCCCCTCGTGATGTCTCTTGTACAGCAGCTTGAATGGCCTGTTCAATCTCGTCGTTGCGATCGCCGGTTCTATCTGTGAGCACTTCTTCATTGATGAACGATCCCGAGTGGGATTGAGCTGCCGCTCCCTCTTGTCGCCTCTTCCAGGCCCTCTTCTGCTCTTGCAGCTTCTTTCTCTCCTCAAACAAAAGATGTTTGGTATGTAGCCAGCCTGTTCGAGGTGGTGAATCGTCTCCGGTCTCGTTGGTTACAAAAGCATGGCCTGCTCCTGCTGCTGCTGCTGCCGCCGGAGACGTGTCTCTACCCTTGTCCCTTTCTTTCTGTTTCCAGCCATAAAAGGCCTTCATCTGGTCCTTCTGTGAAATCCAGCGAGTCTCGATGTCTTCTCGTTCCTCCATTGTGGATTCATTTAAGTCCTCAATGCCCTGCGCAATGCGAGAAGCCACGATGTAGCTCTCGGTACTTTGCGCGAACATATTTCGAATCTCTGCGTGCACACCGGCCATTGCGTAGGCAGGAATTGCCCAAATACCTACACATATTAGTTATTGATGCTGTTATTCATGTGGGGATTTACCTACCGGCTGCAGGTTTCAACGCAATCCCGCCGATGCCTTTGCCGAAACCCTTGATGAGTCCGACAGCTCCCTCCTTCTGTGCGCCTTTCAAAGGTTGCGTGACGAGACCAGTGATGCCGTCGTACATGCCGTACCCGAACTCTTTGCCCGCCACCTTCAGCCCCGTGCTGAAGCTCGTTACCTTTTCAGTGGGTCTTACCATGTCGTCATTGTAGAGCTTTGGCGCGTTTCGGAAGCCCCTGGCTAAACCCAAGCAGAAGTTCATTGGGCTCTTCATACCAGTAGACACGATGCTGTTAATGCTCTTACCGGCCCCGAGGGCTCGTTCCAGATTTTCATTGACGTTCGACGAGGTAGCAAGATGTTGGGGGTTAGATTCCGAGGCGTTACGAGATGGGTCCGCCGGACGGTCGCCTGTCGATCCAGTCGCAGCTGAAGCCTCTGAAATGCTGGGCGCCAGGTTTGCGGTGCTACCGCCAGGGCTCCTCACGGACTGAGACAGAGAGGAAATACTTGCATTATCGGACGTCAAGGTTGCAGTAGAATTCCCGGGTGGCGCTTGAGATCCAGCCACGATCCTACCATCGGCGGAATTCTCACCTGATTTCGGCGTTGGAGACTTTGGGCTTTTCGCCGCCTTGAAGAACTCCCGAGGGAAGTCGGCCACCGCCATTCCGATGCTACCGATATCTCCTACCAGCGCTGAGGTGACTGCCGAAATAGGATCCCATGGCTCATCTTCTGTACTGTATTCCCTCGACTTATATCTACTCTGAACGTTAGAAGCATTCAAACGAATTGACAAGAGAAATCCAACTCACAGCTTTAGGTCTGAGTACTGCAGAAACCCGCTGTTGACTAAAGAGGCGGCTGCCAGCGCACTCAGTCGAACCTGGGTTCTACGGACACGCCACACTGCAACTCTACTAGGAGTAATAGAGCAACGAATCTTATCGACGTCAAGATGGGTGTGGAAGCTCTGGCCACCAATGTCTGCCCCTTTCTCTTCTCGTATCTTGGCACCAAGCTCTTGGGCCCTTGCTTGTGTTTCCGGCTTCATGGCGACTTGAATAGCTTCAGCGAGACCTTCGGCCGAGAGCTTTTGGTAGGGGATGGGTTCTGGTCCAGCACCCGCCTTCGCAACCATGGCACCCCAAAATGGTTGGTCTCCAAAGAAAGGGACGACTATAGTGGGTTTGCCAGCATTGATACCAGCCGCAGTGGTTCCTGCTCCGCCATGGTGACAAACGGAAGAGACGTGCTGGAAGAGCCAGTCGTGAGGTACATTACCAAGCATAAAAACGCCCTCCGGGAGACCAACAGAGTCAGCACCAAGACCACCCCATCCCTTAGATACAAGTGCTCTGACTCCGGTTGCTGCTACCGCATCAAATATCATTCTAGTCAATCCATTTGGGTCGTCCACGACAATTGAGCCAAATCCGATATAAATTGGAGGCGGGCCGGCCGCAAGGAATGCAGCGAGATCCGGATCAGGGGAGAAGTTAGATGCCAAATTAAGGAAAAAGAAACCCGCGATGTCGATGTGGCTTCCCCAATCATTGGGTTTGGGTATGAGTGCCGGAGACCTGCATCGTTGTTAGACTTCGGTTACGCAGCACATAAGCTGCGGGACTTACCAGCAGTACGTGTATGGGACTTTCAAACGCGTGAGTATTCCAGGTGCCCATAGTAACGATAAAGGTTCCAGATCGAGCACCTTGGTGCGGAAGCGATTGATTACATCTCCCAGGCCTTGCCAAGTCATCATTTCAACGAGCGCGTACGAGACGTAGTTGGTGGTTATGGGGTCTGTGTTTGACGATTGAATGTTCGCCAACGGTTGAGGGAAAGCCCTGGTCGGAGACCAAGGCATACTAGGCGAGTTAGAACAGTTTGGCCAAAAGGCAGAGAGGGAACCAACGTGAACATCAGGTGGAGAGGCACCCCGAGCTTCTCGGCGACATGTATGTGAGCAAAGCTTGGCGGGTTCGCAATAATGGCGTCCGCAACAAATGGTCTTTTCGCAGGATCTGAAAACATGGAGGAAGCCGCCTCAACCGAGGCTGTGACGTTTTCTCTGCGCTGGGGTCGTGGCGCTGGGCCAGTACCGTCTCCTGCCTCAATGCAAGATCTCCAGCAACCCCAGACGATCTCTTCAATCCCCTTGCGTCGCTTGGTGACCTCACCGCTCTTCACTGCGTCAAACCCCGGCATCAATCCGGGATTCTTCACCATGAAAGCCATGAGTTCAGCTGGGTCTCCACCAATGCAGAAGAACTCTAACCCATTCTCCTCGACGAACTTCTGAAACGTGCCATGGGTCGCTATTCGCACACGGTGACCATAGGTATTCTTCAACACCAGTCCTAGCGCAACGAAGGGTTGCACGTCTCCCCGCGACCCTACTATCTGTATAACAACATTCAACTTCGGGGGCGGCGTTTGGCCTGGTTGACCACCCAGATTCGGGGGGATGTAGGCGGGTGGAAGAACACCATGAGCAGCGACTCGAGCGTCCTGCTTCAGCTGGTTACGAAGGGTCGGGGCTATAATGTCGGCTAACTGTCTACTCGTCTGATTGATGTTGATGTTTACTCGGCCGTCGTCTGCGAAGAAAGTTGCTCGTTAGTACGCTAGCCTTCTGCGAGTGTTGCGCTGAAAGGCTCTGAGGCTTGCTCACCCGTAACGTTCGCGCCGGCATCAAAGCCAACTTGGTGCAGTGAAAGCTGGTCATGGTATTCGCTATAGGCTGGTGGCACCTCGTCGCTGGCACCAAGTTCAGGAATATCGGGTAAGTCCATAGAGGAGTTGGTTGGGTTGAATCCGTCGGTAATCACAACAGCGGATGGCGGGCGTTCGCCTCTTCCACTTCCTTTACCGGTATCAGTGCCGCTGCCGCCAGCATTACCAGCACCACCTTTTGGCGGGCGACTATTGTCGAGGGCAGACATCGTGTGGGAAATCTGCGATAGAGTCGTGAGCGCGCGGCGGTGGAGGGCGGGGTAGTCGGACCTCTCGGCTCAAGGAAGCGTTCAAAGAGCAGCCCTCAAATTAAGTAACGAAATTATGTTGATGAGTATCATGTGAGGAATTAAAGGCGGAATCCAGGGTATCACGATTCGATTGGAGGATTTGTCCCAGTGTAAGTCGCATGAGAGCTGCAAGCCAGGTCTAGACACAGTCTATTCGTAGGCGGGGTCGTCTGAAGCAGCTAGGACTAGGAGGATCCGTCGTCATGGGTCCGTCGTAGAGATAAGGTGGCCAAGCCCACATTTACAAGTATTGATGCGTATGATATTGATGGGAAGGGCCGTGACGTTGACTTTGCTCACGGAAACCTGATTTATAGACGACTCGGCCTATGAAATGGCTGCGTCGACTTGGAGTCGATGTTTATTTGGTTGAACGAAACCGAATTGATGCGACGAAGAGCAACAGCGCTTAAGCTATGAAGACGACCCCTGTGGCTGGACCCATGCAGGGCTGAAGTCTGAGGCCTCATGTGTGCTAGCGGCTGGTGCAGTCGACTTCTGTTACCAAAGCGTTGATCGACTCGGCTTACGGGTTTCGCAACACAAAACAAGGCGGCTCTAGGCCTCTCGCCTCTATCCGATTCAAGTTGATTGAAGATATTCAATTTGGTGTTTCTTATCGTGGTTATGCTATTCTTGAGTCATAGAGCGCAGTGCGGCTCAGGATGGACCGAAGCAAGTCGATATCCCTCTACCCCGTCCATCCACCGACCAGTCTTACTCCTATACTAGAGTAGATCTTATGATTTTACCAAGGGGTAGCATTAAATCGTTGCATAATAATAATCGACTTACCTAACCCCAGACTATAACCCTTATAACCTATAAGTTTAACTATGACGTCTTGTCAATGGAGAGTCGTCAATAATAGGAAACATCAAGCCACATATTCACAATAGCCCACAGGAATCGGCAACTCACACTTCGATCGGTAATTCCAGTGATCAAACGATGAAGGCGAAGGATCCTGTCAACACGCGGTATGATGACCTTGTTCTGTGTTTTGTAATACTCAATGGGCTTAGCATTCTGATAGTTGGTCATTTCTGGCTTAATTATTTGCCTGTATTCACGATAAGTGCGTATGGCACAACGCAGTGAGCCAAGTTATATTGTCATTTGGGAGCCGGGGGTTTGTATTTAAATATGTGGCGTCCACCTCCAGGAACATCTTCATTTTCGGTCTGTATGATGATCAGAAAGTAGTAAATTTGGAGTCAGCATGCAGGTTCCCTGACGACCACTACTACAATTCGAAATGGGTGTATTTAGCGCCAATAAGGAGAAGCAAAGGTGGTTCAGCATTCAAGGGGATGGGGGCTCGCCTTCTGGATTACGGCCAGTGCCTCTGCTTCCATGTTCCCCGCTATACCAGCTGAAGTATATTCCAGGTCGCGTGCGCATCAGACATGTCCCCCTTTGGCTATGATCAAGGAATGCTTTTTTTCGTTGCTATGGTGATTGCTGATGAATATTTGCCAGTTCATCACTCGCCAACCTATCCATAATTACAGCCATCTATGACATGGTACTTTCTTCGGATGTGATTTCAAATCTGAGTGAAATCTTTAGCATCCATATTGTAATTCAACTTGCTGACAATTGTAGTGGAAGCGATTGTAGGATTTTCAGTTGGCGAAAGGCTCGGAAGGAAGAAGTCCATCATCCTCAGCTCATCGTTCATAGCAATAGGGCCAGCAGCACAGATTTATTTATGCGGCGTTCTACATGTGATTCTCGGATATATCAGGGTACAGTTAGAAACACATGAAGTTTCAGGGTTCTTCCATTCATACTCATGTATAATTGGCAACGACATTGACACTGCAAGTGCCCCGGTTTGGCAAATGGAAACATTATACGCACAATGGCGTGGAAAGCTCGTCATGATTGAGGTGATGATGAATATCTTCCAATTCATGCTCGTCAACTGAATCGACCTCGGCCTCTTCTTCATCGGTAGTCCTATCGCGTGGCGTCTCCCATCAGCTTTGAAGTTATGTTTCATCTTCATTTTCTTCGCGACCATCCAGTGGCTTCCCTAATCTCTCAGATGGTTCAATGCTCATGGTCGCGCAGCCAAAACCACTATCGTTCTGGCTGATCTGGAAAACAAACCCCCCCCCCCCACATATGACCTATTTATCAATACATCCAAAGACGAACTTGTCTTCAGTGTGCGCTGGCGTGACCTGCTTCATGTACGGGGTGAGCCTGTGATTAAGTTAGTACGCTGACTGCTTCTTGGTGTTGAGTACATGTATCAATACCTTTAACCCTACAGAGGGTTTTATCCATCTGGGCCTATTTAGGACTGCTATTTCGCTCATAGGTATTAGAATGTATGGCTTTCAGAACCAGTTCGCTTCCACATCCATGGTCTTGTTCTTTTTATATTCATCGGTTACGCGCTCGGCGTGCTGATCAACTCATTGCCGATGCGCACCAAGGGCGCCAACTTTATCGCAGTCAATCTTACGCCGATTAGGTCGCAAAATTGGAAGAATATTTTATCTTGTGCAGACGGCGCTGGATGCTGTCTTCATACCGATTTTGTGGCGGTTCTGTCCTGAGACTGGTAAGGCCTTCGAACGCAAGGTATATCGCAGTGCTAACTCAAACCCTACAGCGGTGCGTACTTGAGAAGGTAACATGAGTCACGTAGCATAACCGCTCGGATTTCTGCTAAATAAGAAGATATTATGAGTTTAGCTTTGTAGCGACTCACGTTGTTTATACTAGATGTAAGCTTGAACCTGTTCCACAATGTGCGAGCCGCTCTTATCATCAAACGCCGGATTCAAAGGCGCAGTCAGAATCTGCGAAGTACCTTGCGCTATATCTTTCTTCGCAGAAACTCGGAACTTATCCCGCCCGTTGTTCCGTAGTGCAATGGCAGAAACTTCATCCCAGTCGGCATCCATGACATGGTTGGTCAAATTGGTCTCCCATATACCCCCAGGATGCACCGATTACGAGCGAATCCCCTTGCTAACCAATTTCTCCGCCAGTAAAACTGATAACAGGATGTTGGCTGTCTTGGACTGCCCGTGTGCGCTCCAGCCATCGTACAGCTTGCCGTCGGAGAAGTTGTAGTCATCGAACCGGCAGGGGCCGATGCGATGGCCGACCTCGACAAGTTCACGATGCGGCCGACGGGTCCCGCGGCGAAGATTTTGGACATGAGGAGATTGATGAGGAGAAAGTGACCCAGATGGTTAGCCAAGAACATCATTTCGATCGCTTCTTTATCTTTGTGAGCTTGAGGACGGCCATCACGCCGGCGTTGTTGATCACTACGTCGATGTGACGGATGAAGGTGTTGGCGTTGATATCTTCCGCAGCCCATCTTACGGAGTCGAGAGTCAGAGAGTTCGCAAGGGACGAAGGTGATTTTGATGTCTTAGTTGATGGAAGCGGTCTCTTGGATCACTGAATCGACTTTGATCTTGCTTCTGCTCACGAGGATCAGATGTAACGGGGCTTCGGGAGCTAAGGTGATGACTGAGTTTGCACCAAGCCCCTGGGCGCTTGTTCCTGTGACGAGGAATATGCGGCCTCTGAATTGCTCCAAGAAAGCTTTGACGAATTCCTGGCTGGGGGTTTCGAAACCGAAAGGAGACAAGTCGAGTGTGACGAGTCAACTTCAAAACTAACTCCATGGAAGGTGCTTCGAAGAAATAAAAATTAGGAGGTCGAAACTACCTTATTTTATAAGTCGCGAGCTGAGGACTTGCGGTAATCTATGGCCACTTACTAAGTGTGCTGTTACAGATAGCGAGGTGCGGGCTGTCTTTGATGTGCCTTGAAAATCATGAAGACAGGGCCAATAGATGAGATACTTCTCTTTTACTACTCAAATAGTTTGAAATGATTCACTCTCTAGGCGTAACGCCGCTTTCGCAGCCTAATCATTATGGAAAACTTTCCACGTTCCTTGATATTATCGCCGAGCAGTATATAAGCCCAGTATATGTCATCGCATTGGTGACAGGATCCCACAAGCGTGGCAATGCGACGACATATACTGGGCTTACATACTACTCGGCGGTACCTACCTTGGGATAATTGGCCCAACAACATCAGAGCTCCTAGGCACTTGACGGTGATTAAATGCCAGATGATCTAAAGATTTCACTAAGATCTTGAATCAAGTGGTATACTGAAAGACAAGCGATGGGTGGTCCCCAGTGGTCACATGATGTTTGAGAGAAGGGGCTTAGGCAAACCAAGAAAGTGGAAGCAATAGATAGGCTTACGCAAAGAGGATGCTGTTTTTTTGTTCTTCTCTGTTCAATCGGGCCAGGTGCGGGCTTTTTCGTATGCCGTCCGGCGGTACCTTCCCAGCAGGTGTAATTCGAGGTGAAGTGGTTCGTTCGGTACTATACTGTGTGCACTTTAGAAGACATTACCTACCAAAGCTTGCAACCAATCAGAAGCCTTCATTTCCTTTGGCGCAATTGGATAGCGCGTCAGACTGTTAATCTGAAGGTTGTAAGTTCGAGCCTTACAGGGAAAGCTTCCTTCTTTTTCTATATGTTGATGTGGGGTTAGGGTTATTGGGTGCTTGTTTTCGTTTTTTGGGATATTTAGACGAATTATGTAAGCGCGGTCTTGAAGGGTATTTAAGACCTTACGTACGTAGTCACTTTCTTGAGAAAAAGATAGAAATCAAGCGGCCTTTTCCACAGTAATCTGAACCAATTTCTCTTTACTTGGACAGGCATTCAATGTCTGACGTACCTGTTGAGGTACTTTCTGTTCCCTTATAGATCTGATTGTGCCTGTTGAGGCCATTGTTCCCATCTTTCACCTGTTGAGGTGACTGTTCAAGGGCCTGTTGAGGTTCCTTTTCTTCCCCAGCCTGCTGAGACTACAGTTGTTAGTACCTGTTGAGGTACTTGTCGTTCCGATCAGGGCAAGGAGCTCTTGATCTTCTTATTTCTTTCCACCTCCCGGATAGTAAGGTCTTGTTGAGGATCTTGTTATTCGTTGCCATCATCTTACACCTTAAACCTGCGGGTGGTTTCACTGCCCGTCGTCAATGTATAAATTGTTTTCTTTTTGCGCCGATTAACTAACTAGCGTCGCGGGGATAAGTGTAATGGCGAACCCTGAACTCCAACTCCAACTCCAAGACTACGCCAGACAAAAAATTTCAAAAGTATTTGACACATGCATACAATGTGCCCTCAGCCAGAATTGAACTGACGACCTCGTCATACCAATGGGTACTAGTGACGCGCTCTACCACTGAGCTATGAGGGCATTTGCGATGCCTAGTGGATATCTGGTCACGTGCTGTATGTTAGCGGCTTGTTTACCGCAATCCATATTGCGCGCCTCTCTCCTATTTAGCAAAAGTAGTGCTGCATGATTTCCAGGTACATAACTATAATGCTCAGAGTTACCTCGGTAAAGCCGAACTTACAAAATATATAATACAAGAGAGAGTAACCTTAATATAGCAAGTTATTTTACAGTATACTACTATATTCAGAATATGATAACTCCCGAAGTCTTTTCTAATGAGGATAGCTATTGATGCGAGTGCATATGGTGTGTGAATTGTTGTATTGGAAAAGGATGCCAGGTCAGCTATTCTGGCCTGGCAGAGCTCTTTTATAGCTCTTATCTATCTTATCTATAGCTATAGGGTAACCCCCATGGGGTCACGTATCAGCTATGATGGCTTGTAATAGTTCCTACAATGGTTCTGTTAAATAGGCTTCTACTCTCCAGTTGGAACATTTCGTAGCGTTCTACTCAGAGGCCGCTGGGGCTGACCTAGCCCTCGAGGTTACACCGCTCTTATAGGATTGTGGTTCGTGCGGATGAGAGACTTGGGGGTCTCATGGGTACTCGTGTGGTTACCTAAATAGGTAAAGCTCCTCGTTGTCGGATACTATCACCCGTCGCGTTGTAATTAGTTGATAAAGCAATTCGCAAGAGTATTTTTAACTACAAATTATCACTACTAGATCACAGTCCTAGCCTATTGCTAGGCAGCATACTGACAGTTAGAGTAAGTCTTGAAGACCGTCTGCTCCTCCTATCCCTTTATAATCGGTACTAAGCAGTTACTCTCGCTAAGATGCATCTGGCAAACCTAGTCCGATAATGTGTGAATAGTATCTTCTTTCAAGCTTCACCGGATGTATGTGCTCTTCGGCGCCCTAGGTGCGGTAATAGCGAGCTTATAGTAATGGACCGATTCTTCGGTGTATGTATTTAGTATCCGACAACGGAGCGTTACCTATTTAGGTAAACATACGGGTACCTGTGTGCCTATGGGGCCCCGACCTGAACGACACTGCCTAGTATCGCATTGGGTGTAATTTGTATTTCTCTTCGCAATATGTTAAAGACGAAGACCGATGATTTTCCAAATTTGGCCCAAATGACCGGCAGTCAATTATGGCCCTCCTGAAGAGATACTGAGGGTATCCTTGGACCAACGACTTTGTTGTCCCGCTGGGCATAGCTCCGAGCTCGGGTTTGGAATACAGTCGGATCACGAACTTGCGTTTCAAATGTCATAAAGTTGAAACCAGCAATACAGCCCTGGATAGTCGGCCATCTCTGGCTGCCTGGCTTGGCGAGCAATGGAAGCGATCCTGATGAAACCTGTGGCCAAGAATCCTTCCTTTCAAACACAAAGTTGATCCCAGTCTGGTACCCAAAGGTCCTAAACTCCTTGAATCCATCTAGAAATCCGTGGAACTGCTTGGATATCTTGGCCACGCCAGGTACTCTGTCCTCTTGGGAGAACATAGAAAACACGGACGTCTTACGATAAATTCTAGAAATGAAGAGAAGAGATGGTTTCCATCTTAGAATCAAAGTCTCGAAAGACCTGAGTGGGCTTTCGAGAGCTCACCTCTCGCATTTATAGGCCATTTTGAAACGCTCCATAGCCATCATCTTATTGCACTTTGTACTTGTGAACATTTACGAAGCCCGCATCACGAAGATCATCCAACCGATAACCCGCATCAACAGCCATACTAAAGTTGGTCGAAAAGAACTTCAGGGACTTCTACATAGCCATTGACTTAGGCCTCGGGGGTCTGGCTCAGATACCGGTTTAACCGAAAACCATTCCCCTTCCACAAGCTGGATCCATCCTCCAGGCTTCAGGATCCTTATGTAGTTCTGAATAACATCGGCCACTTACGCCCCGGGATGCCCCAAGCGAGCAGACGCTGGTGGGCTATCCCGAATTAGTCCTCCCACTCCTATGTCGAGGGAAGAGGCTGGAAGATGCCGTGCTCCCGAAGACGTCCTTTACGTTGGAAGTTTCCATGTCGTTCACCATTATCAAGAACAAGCAGCGATGCTTAGCTATATCCCAGGCCAATGACTGATTTGAGATGGAGGTGAAAGTCGAGGTGTGTGATACACTCTCTTTGAGGCCAGGTTCCTGCGCGGGTAAGTCGCCCGCCTTTGTATAATTCTGCAAGGATAGTGATCTTGCCGAGGCTCTTCTATAACTAGCGTTGTTTCCAAATACAACAATGAAGCAATTCCACGAAGATGCAAAGATTTGTTTGGATGAGAATTAAATATAGGACGTCTATTTAACTAGTATATACTATATCGGACATTAAGGTAGAGTCTTCTTGACCATGTCCAACAGTGCACTATTAACCTCTCTCGGGTGTGTCGCATTCAAATAGTGTGCCCCCCCTTGGATGATATCTAGCTTGGTATCCTTGGATGAAGTGAAAAGCTTGATCTGTTCAGCTGGTATGATAGTGCCATAGACGGGGTCATCAGTTCCCTAAGTAAAAGATTAGCAAATGATCAGTGGATGTGGGTTTGTGGAAACGTACTGCAAGCCAGTGGACGGGGCACTTGATGTAAGGGAGTCTAAGCAGAAGTCCATCTCTCTCCGCCAAGTTGATGACAGCGATTCGCAATTTATTCCTGCCTTCGGTGCCCTTATACACCTGCCTAATGGAATTCGTCCAGAAGTCGCTGGTCTCTTGCGTGCCGAAGGAGCCAAAACCCAGTCCGGCAACTGCCGCTGTCCATTCATCATCAGGGACGAAATCTGGGGTTTCCTTTTCGGTCGCCCACTTGGCTAGAAAAGGCTTGAAGAAGGTAACAGGGTCCCAGCAGCCTTTTCCCCGGCTGTCAGCCGACTCGCAGTCCATGGACGTTCCAAGCAAAACGAGGCCAAGTACCTGGGAATTCAGGTCAGTATAGTGACGAAAGAATCATCCGGCGTCACGCTTCGACTCTTGGATTGATGTGATTTGCCTGATATGCGTTGTTTCCGACTGAAGATCAACTTACTCTTTCAGGGGCGAGAAGCGCAATTCGGGGCACGACCCATCCACCCTGGCTTGTACCAAGGGCGAAGACCTTGGAAATGCCCAAAGCGTCCAACACTTGCAGGGCCATGATTGCCGAGTCCCAATAGGTGAAGTGCTCAGAAGCACAGGTGGTTGCCCCGTGGCCCAGGGGCTCTATGGCGAGCAGATTCATGGCATCGGTCAGCTTGGTATCGCTGAACTGGGCGCGATATAGTGCCGAGGACATGCACATGGAGTTGATGAGAACGGCTGTCGGCTTGGACGCATCGTAGCTGTCGTTGCCGAAGGCATATCCAGCCTTGATGCCCAGATGCGGGACCGAGATGGTCTTGACGGTGGCTGACATTGTATTATTCGGTCGATGGGAATAGGGATCCGAGAATGGAGAATGAGATGGGATTCCAGTAGACAGATTACAGGAGAGGCCTTACCTACCTCTACTTAAGGACAATGCCTCGGTCGACCCACACGATCCCCACACAATGAAAATATTTCCAACTACGCAGTTACATCCCTTTCACCGACACGGAAGACTCAGCATTGAGGCAACTTGGGCAACCGCCAAACCCTCTGCAACAATCGGCCTCCCGATCGGAGTGGTTGACGACCTGCGAATATCTATGAAGCTTGAGTTACCACCTAACCGCATTGACCACCTTTTTGCATGCACCCCCATTTTGCAGGGAATTTCTACGCCTCAACAATACGACGTCTCTCAATTTACCTCGCAATTGCTCCCTATCTACGTACAAAATGGCTAATCCAGTGGAGAATAGTCTGGACAATTTTGAGCAGCGAATCGAACGCGCTAAGGAGCTTGTCCGTCAGGGCTGTTCCCAGGCCGTAGCAGCTCATCGGTACGGTATCAAGGGGACTACACTGTCCTACCGTATTCGTCACGGTAATTCGCATCGCGACGCGGCCTCCAGGCAACAAAAGTTGACTCCAGAGCAAGAGGAGGTTATCGTGAACTGGATCCTACACGAAGAAGTGTGTGGACGGGCTCCTAGCAAGCGTTATGTGGCCGACTTCGCTGCCGAAATCCTCCTTGCTCAAGGGGATAACAATACACTCGGCCAACACTGGGTGTATCACTTCGTTAGCCGCCATCCACAGATACGTACCAAAATTGGGCGCGTCGTAGATGCTAGCCGAGTTAGAACGTCCGATTCGACCAAGATCCGAGACTTTCTGGCTGGCGGAAGACTGGTATATGGCCCCTAGGCTCCGAAGGACTAGTCGACGTATCTTGTGATCCTCCGGAGCCTCATACACCAGATCCTCCGCCTCATATATCACCACCTTTAGTTGCTTTTACTCCTCAGAAAGCGCAGCAACTATCTAGCCAACTACAGTCGATAGAGAAAGCCGAGGGCGGGGTATCTCGTAAGATTCGTACCCTAGTAGGCAAGGCGGGCAAGGCCCTTACACTCCAGGCCGCCGAGAATACCAAATTACGTATCGAAAACGAGCAACTATATAAAGAACTCGATAAATACGCTCCAGATATACGCCAGCCCGTCGAGCCAGACCCGAATAAAGTATTCGTTAACTTATCAGCGATCCGAACAGCCCAGGACAAGCGAAATAAGCGAATACGGCCTATTTTACCGGATAAGCAATTAGAAATTGATACTTTTCTCGAAGGAAGGGTCCCTCCTAAAAAGAGGACTCGAAAGAATATATCTAAGTCTTCGGTCACTTAAATTAAGTATGTTCTGTATATAAATAATATGGACGAAGTATTTAGGTTGATTCAGTTAGACCCTGCAAAATGGGGGTGTATGCAAAAAGGTGGTCAATGCGGTTAGTACTTAGCAACACATCTGACGCTAAGAGTGCGGCAAGAGTGGAAGATCATGCCGAATCTTTTTGAAGCCTTGGCTTTTTCTGCGGGTCGTCGTGGCTAGCAAGGTTGCCTTGGCCTGAGTAGGAACCGTTAGGATATAATTGGGTCCGTAATTTAGTCTTTTGCCGGCCCTGTACGCCCCGAAGTACTCTAGAATTTCGAGATCGGGGATTCTTGCTGGTAAGAACGAGAAGAGGAAGATTTGGACGCGAGAATGCGGGTGGGACGTTTCTGCAAATTGATCGTTGCAGAATAGTTCAAGCTGGCTGGCCCTATACCAGTCCCCATATCGACTCCGTAGTGCTCGGTAGCGCCGGCAATATACCCCAAGTATAGGCTTCGAGGATGCTTGGCGTCGCCTGAGCCCGGCTTGAGTGGTAGCCAAACTCCGAAATGAAGGTGGGTCGACCCATGACCAGCCTCTGGAATATAACCAGTAATACTGCCGCTTCACCTACACAAGTTAGCACTACCAAGACCCAGGCTGGCTCAGGGTAAAGTCGTACTCAGAAAGAACGTACGTACAAGAAGTTGGCGCATGATTTATATACCGCAGCTAGGGAGCATTGCTTCCCTCCTCCGGCTCCGGCCCTACTTCTCAGTCGAATCGACAATCAACGGTAGTTCGCATTGTAACCCTGGGACGGAAATTAATGAAGCCCCCCACTGTTTAATGCAATGATGTGACCTGAGGGCTCATGGCAGACGATCCGTAGGCAATGACCGAGTCTGAACGGGGTTCTCATATGAGGGCTGATGTGGCTCCAGTGTTTCCCCTGCGGATTGTGGTATGGTGATTGAATCAGAAGCCGGGCATGTTTGTCGCAGAATGTCCTACTGGAGATAAACTGGAGATAAACTGGAGATGTTTGTGACCTGACAGCATCCGAGCACCACCCTGTCCCTGTAATCAGCATCTTCGGAATGGAGAACCTAGGGCTTGTTTGATATTCGGGGACCGTGGGGCTCAGAGTGCGAAGCTTTATCCTCAGTAAGTCGGAACTTGTACCGAGTTAAAGTTGTGACTGGTCCCGCCTTGTTGGTCTTTCAATCACTGAAACAGACCTTGAGGTGTTGTGAAATTCCCACATTGGATCAGCATCAACGACTATACATCCAGAGCGGAGAGTCCAGGTTGCCGCAGGACGCGCCGTCGATTTCTCCCTCACTCGTTACCAATGGCCTCCACCAACTACGATGGAGATAACCTGCAGCCGTGGTCGATGGCCGTCGTAATATGCGTGACGGCGCTGGCGGCCGCGGCTGTGGGCTTGAGGATGCTTTCACGGTTTGAGAAGAAGACGTCTCTTTGGTGGGATGACTGGATGATTCTGTTCTCAATGGTATGATGGCTCCATCTGAGCTTTACATGCGTGTGTCATACTAAACTACATAGGCCTGGAACCTCATGGTCGTCGGCTTTATCTTCGCCATGCTCCGACACGGAATGGGACTGCACGCCTCCACGCTGAGGATAGATGATATCATCATGATTGCCAAGTACCTTGTGGTCGCCGAGATTCTCTATGTTTTCAATCTGGTCTGGACTAAGCTGAGCTTCTTGTTGATGTTCTACCGCATTTTTCACTTCGGCTATTTCAAGAAATGGGCATATATCATCGGCACCTTTGTTATTGCCTGGGTTGTCTGTGTTACCTTCTTATTCGTGTTCATATGCGTCCCGGTCGAGAAGCTGTGGTACCCTGATCTGCCTGGCCATTGCATTGATCAAGTCGGAACTTGGATTGCCAATGCTGCCTCCACCATCGTCACCGACCTCGCCATTCTGGTCTTACCTATCCCCCAGATATGGAGCCTGCAGCTCAAGACGAGACAAAAAGTTGCACTCACCATTATGTTTGGCCTTGGCTTCTTGTAGGGCTCACCAGTGCATCACTTTCGGGGAACGTACATATGCTAACTAATGTATCAGTGTCATCTTTGCCTCAGCCTACCGATTCACCGTTCTGTTCTCCTACAGCGCCGCAGATCCATCGTATACCCTTGCCCCCACTGTCGTCTGGACAGCCATCGAGATGTCGGCGGGCATCATATCCGCCTGTCTTCCAACAATGGGTCCTGCTTTCATCTTGGTGGCCCGTATACTAGGCGTGAGCAAGGTGTTAGGGCTCACAACCAACAGATCCGTAAATGCGCTCCCTTCGCGCAACCACAGCAAGCTCAACCGCAACCCGCAGCTAAACGGCGGAGCCAACGGCAGAAATCGTAAAGAAGGTGGAAACGATATTGAAGATGGCTTCTTTCGACTCTCGGACGACACGAACGCGTCTCGCGTAGGGGATACGACTGGAGACGTCAGGCTGCGACCCGAACATGACGTGGGGTTTCAATCGTCGACGGCAGTGGCTACGAAAGGGGAAGCCGATAGTTGGAGTGGTGATGAAGTCCCACTACGTAGGATCAGGGTTCAGACCGACGTCAAGCAAGTCAGGGGCGAATGACCGAAAATCCTACCCTAGTACGCCGACCAGGATTAAAATAGCATTACAACCTCAATAAAACTGTACCCACCCACTATTTCATTTGGTCCCAGATGATTTACTTCTAGCTGTAACGGAAGTCACAGGTAGGCTTTATCAAGTGTGGAAGTTGAATCCAGAGTCACCAACAATTATATTCTCCCGGATGTCCTGTAATACCGCCCTAACAGGGACTATACCCTCTTTTCTGATCCTAATATTCCGTTCGCACTCCCAATATGCAGTCGGTACTAGCCTTATCTCCAAGTGGAGAAATGCGGTTGCCATACTGATGTAACCTACGGCCCATTAGTCCGATTTCACAACCTGGACTCTGCTTCCTTACTGACCATCCCGCCACATAATTCTAGCTCGAGATACGCCATATTTGAGAACAAATACAAGTAAAGACCTGTCCAGGGGAGAACATGGTCTCATCATCCCGCAGCCCCGGTTGGCAAACTATGCAACTCTGCGTTCTCGTTGCCGCCTCTATAGCGCTTCAGTGTGTGTATACTCGATGAAGAAAACGGAACCGAGCCAGGATTAAATCATAGGCATAATCTATACAGAAAGTTCAATTTTTGGATGATTTGTAATCAGGGATGGTGGAATGGAACCTGTGCTTGAGCTTTAAGACGATTTCCGCATACTGGGGTTCACTCTCTGGTGTAAGAATACCATATCTGATAAAGTCAATCAGTATCTTGGCATTCCCAGGGGTGGATTTCCAGTAGTGATAACTTCCTTCGTCTGGTTAACAGATACTAGGCCAAAATCCTTGACCTCGTCATCCCCAGGTACCGGTACAAAGTCCTCATATACGTTCAATTCGTACATAAACTATACATCGGAACGTTTCAACCCCGGTTCGCGTCTACTGCGCTCATCCGTGGTCAAGACAGCTGGTAGTACTAACGGCAACGGCACCTTGGCGGACCAGCTCCGAGTCGATAGATAATCCCTCGGCAGTTTCGCGTACCAGACACCCAAACGGCGTCTCTCCGGTCGGTAGGCGCCCCCCTACGGTACTATCGAAAAGTGCGCTTATGCTTAGCTCTTCGACCGAGCCACATATGCGGACCGTCGTCTTTCTCGACGTACGCCAGAAGCTGCACCCGTACATAGTAATCCCGACAATGGATGGCGCGACTCGCTCCATACTGAGCACAACAATACCCTCCGATTCGTAGACTGCTATCACCTCGCCAATCCACGGCCAGAGGACTTTGAACGATCATTTATCACGCTCAGATAGGAGCGCAGCCCGCATTCTCGCATCCTTGCATCGCGTTTGTCTCTAGTGGCACCGACGAGAGTGACTGTCCGCGCTTCATGGTCGATTTGCCAAAAAGCCTGGATCCCAGGAGAAGGCTGCCAAGATTCCGATAACGTAAGTCCCATCGGGTCTCTGTGGTCTTCGATGGGCATGCCGACTTTTACTAGGGGAGAGTCAGTCAAATGTTTTCCTCCCACATGTACACCTCAAGTGGCAAAGTCAGCGGTTATTGAGTTACCGGTCACATTCGGTAATGCAGTCCACGATAAACTTTCGCGGCATTGCGATGTTAATCGTGCGTCAAAAATTAAATGCATCGTCAGAACGGACAGTTTACACCCGTTTCACTGGGCCATTCTCGTGGACTTCTGTTAACGGAATGACCAGTTGATGGCTCGTTGCAGCTACAGCGACTGTGACTTAGCCGGCGTATCGAGTTTTAATTGTTACGCAAGAGAAGGGAGATTGCCAAGCAGTATAGTCAGACAGGCATGGCCACAAGATAAACACAGGCGGGGCTTCCAATGCTTGTGTGATGGAGTGCATACACTTTTAGTAGATACAGCTAAAAGTTCCGAATATGGCAAGTTAGTCGCGCCCAGCCTCAACATCATATTCAACATCAGTCCTAATGATATACTTCGCCCCTTTTCTGACCCCGGTGCCCTCATGCAATAATGCCTTAGTCTCCCCATGCGAAAACAGGGCGATGGAGCCCATGACAGGCTTCACCGGATGCGCATTCATGACACCTTCCCTAACGCTTGGAGTAAAGAACGTTGTCTCTCCGCCCTCAAAGTCATCGTTCAGGTAAACGAGGAAAGTGAGAAGACTCGACTGCTTCGCATCAGCCGGCGAAGCATCGTAGAGGTACTTGCCCATGGTAGGGTGAATCCCCGATGGGGGCCAAGCGCCGTCAAAATGCACGCGGTATTCAGCACCTGGGATGTAACGGTAGACCCGGAACCGGCGGTTGATGCTGCGTGCTTTTCTGCCCTCGAGGTGCGATGGGATGAAATGACGCACCCGGTCCCAAAGCACATCATGGAAAGCCTCGTCTACTACCCAGTAGACATTGTGTGCTAGGATACTGGACTCTGAACCGTCATCTCGGAGGGGGGAGTCGGGGAGATATCCGACCGTTTCTGTTGATGCAATGATGGACTTGCACTCTTCGGGTGTCAAGACACCCTTCATGATTGAGAGATCTGGTACGAGGGGATGCTGGTGGTGCGTAATTGGAGGTGGAGTTGGCGAAAGGGGCACCGCATTGTTGTCGCTAAGGTACAGAATAGCAGGATGCAGATTTGGTGGCTTTCGTTCCGGCCCCGGTATCGTTTCGATAGCTGTGAACTTCTCCTTGACACCTGGCGGGCAAGACTCGAACAGGGTCCCGTCCAACACGCTTGCCCTCATAGGGAACGGAGTCCCCTCATCTCGTAGATCCCAGGGCTTCTGAAGCGCAATAGGATCCGATGGTGTTTGTGATGCTAAATATCCAGATCGTAGATCCACTGAGCCTGTCACTCTCAATATTGCGTCCATCACCCTCAGCAGCTCAGGTCGACTCTTGGATCCTGGGGTGTTATCGACTTGCGAAAGCCCACTCGTACAGTCCAGATCTCGCACCCAGCGGCAGAGCGCTCCCAACTTCGGGGTTTCGTTTCGTAGTCGCATCTCAGCAAGGAGAACGAGGGCGTCGATGTATTTGCCATCGACCAATGCCGCTGAGACTCTGGCCGTGAGATTCGCATCGGCTAGAGACAATTTTAGAGATGATAGGACGTCGGCCCGGCCAGCGACACTCACTACTCGTAACCATGCCCGTCGTGCACGCCTGCCTAAAGTCGTAGACGGCGGAGCGCAACTCCCTACATCCCTTCGATTTGATTACACTAGGATACTCTGCCAGACTGCGCAGCGTATCGACAGTGATGTCCACCTCTTCCTCCGACACGACGGCACTGAGGCTCTTCGGTTCGATCCGTTCAGCTCCGTCAGTCAAGTCCGGACATGGAGGCGCTCCGGTCGGCTTGGGTCGCTTCGCATTCAATGCGGCCGGCTTTGCGTCGCGCTTTCTCTTGGCAGCGTTCTTTGATCGTGACATGGTGACGGAAGTGATGTTGGACAACTTGCAACGGTCAAATGACTTCCTGAGCTGCTCGTGACATCAAGAATTCGTGCCGACAGCGATGGCAACCACGCCGTAAAGTCGAATTTGCCCCTCGTTGTGGAGCCCTGCCATTGTGGGACACAGACGACGGGAGCAGTGGTCTTGGCAAGTATGGATTTGACAGCCAGCGGGACGGTGGGTTTCGCTGGGCTTGGACCACATCAAAACTGCGTAGTACATGAATACATAGTACCATAAACAAGTTCCAGTCAGATAAGTTCAACAATGCTCATCCGTGACTACTCTGATAGTCAACTAGTTATCAACGTGGAGAACAGACTGAGGGCCTGTTCCTGCCAGAGTCTGGAGCCACCGACAAACCCAAGGATACTACATATCACCACGGATCAAAGACGAACATCCTTTCGTGCTGATGGTGTCCATCTCGACTTCGGATCGACGGAAAAGGTCTCCTCTATGTGTCAAGCTTTTCCCTGAAGGTCAGATTCTTCGACTGGCTTACTCCTGCCTAGTAACATGCCAGCGGGGGCGATAGGAGGGCAAGCACCTCCCTAAAACAGCATCGCTCCGCTCGACACTTTCGGAATAGATCATTTGTCTATAGACAGCTGGCTGCCTGTCTCTACTCGAGGTAGTATCAAACTCTATGCATCTGTCATCCACACGCTTGAAATAACGTGAACATCTCCATGAGTTCAGATGAAAGCCTTCAATTGAGTCTCTTGAGAACCGAGTCGTCTAAGCTGAGAACCACTCTCGATCAAGGCTCATCACGATGGCGCCTTCGCCAGAGAAGGCATGCTTATCCGCGCACGACCGCGAAGCGAAACAAATGAGACTTTATGGGGCTTACTATCGACTGGGCGCTTCTATTCCCATTGTCGCAACGTTTCTCCTCTTCTGCGCCTATCGCGGTTACTGGACCTCAGTTCCCGGGCTGGGACTATCCAGGTCCTGTCGTGCAGACCCAGATGTGCAAGCCCAAGACGAGTCATTCGACTGGTTGAAAGTGAGAAAAGCACAATATCAACCACCGTACAAGCGAAACTGATAAGCCCGACTGCTTAGATCCAACCCACGGAACAGTTCGAGTTCCATGACTGCTTCGATGGCTTTCAATGTGCTCGACTTTCGGTGCCGATGAACTGGGGCAATGTCTCCATCCCAGATCGAGTCTCCATTACTGTGATTAAACAACCTGCGAAAGTGGCAGTTACAGATCTTCGCTATGGAGGTCCCATTCTGATGAACCCTGGTAAGCCTCCTGGGCGATTGATGGGTGCAGGTTTGACTATACACAGGCGGCCCTGGAGAGTCTGGCATCTTTCAAGTACTTAGCGGAGGACCGTATGTCCAAACTATCGTGGATCCACACGAAGACCCAGCGGACCATGATGCAGACGGAAAATATTTCGATATCGTTGGTTTCGACCCCAGAGGCGTCAATAACACTACTCCTCGCCCGACGTGCTTCCCTGATCCCATTGCGGAGCATAACTGGGCACAGTCTGGGCCTTCTGTCTTCATTTCTGGTGCTTCTGACGTCTTGTTGAACCAGGAATGGGCGAGGAAAGATGCCGTGGGAGCTTCTTGCGCGGCAAATCGTACTGACGGTGCCAACATTGCTTATCATGCCAACACAGCCCAGGTAGTTCAGGACATGGTGGCCATTGTAGAGCGACATGCAGAGTGGCGTGAGAAAGAGGTCAAGAGGCTCATGGCCCCCTCCTGTTCGTCAGTCCTTGCTAGGTTGCCTCGGATGGAACCTGCGGACCACCAGCGCATCGCTGAAAGTTCAGCATGGCAACGAAGCAGGGAAAAGCTCAACTATTGGGGCTTTAGTTACGGTACCGTTCTGGGTCAAACCTTCGCCGCGATGCATCCTGACCGTATTGGTCGTGTTGTCATCGATGGCGTAGTGGACGCTGCTGACTACTACAAGACTGGATGGACGAGGAACTTACAGGACACAGATCAAATCCCAAGGAAGTGGAACGATTACTGTCAGGGAAGTGGCTCGAAAGACCGGTGTTCATTCTACTTTGAAGGCATGCCGGCTAGTTACATGTCGAGTATCATCGGTGTCATCACCAACAGGCTTCGTAACAGTCCTATCGTCCTCCCGGTCAGCGAGGAGGGTCCTATGATCTTTGAACACGCCGATATCATGAGCATGTTGGTCAATGCACTGTATGAGCCATACCGGACTTCTGACGTCTTCTTCGATGTTCTCGGCGGCCTATTGGAGGGCCCGAACGTTACTAGAGCGACGGCGTGGAAAGCGAACCGCGTTCGGCAGAAGGTATTGCTCTCAAATGCATGTGTGGACGACGGGCCCTTCTCCGAAACCTGCGTAGCTGGACAGTCTAGATATGTGCCTGGCGTTGCTATTAGATGTGCAGATGGCGATGATGTCTCCAACGACACCAAAGATGAGTACAAGGAATATCTGCAAAAACTGCAACGGCAGAGCGATATTATGGGGACCATGTGGAGCACGCTACGCCTTGCTTGTATGGGCTGGAAGGCAAGGCCGGCTTGGGCTTACAAAGGTAGGGGTGCCAGGGTTTCCGTCGGTGGCAGATCTTCTCATTAACAATCTAATGTTTCAGGGGCCATTGAAGGGCGGACTACCTCCCCTATCTTGGCGATAGGGAATACGCTAGACCCGGTGACGCCCTTAAGGAAGTATGTCCGAGGGAAGTTGGGCGACAGTGGTGGCTAAGCTAACCTATACATAGCGCACGCGGTATTCCTGCCCTTTTCCCTGGATCGGCGGTCCTCCAGCAAAACACCGAGGGGCACTGCTCTTATTCCAACCCAAGCATTGGAACAGCGAAAATCGTGCGTGCCTATTTCCAGAATGGCTCTCTCCCAGCGCCAGGCACAGTCACGGAGCCGGAATGGCGTCCTTTTCTCGGGTGCGTGAATCCGTCTGGTTGCGATAGTCGGAGAGAAGAAGATGAGAAGTTATGGAAGGCCCAGTCTAGTTGGGCATTGGTATAGCCTGAAGCTGGCTTACATTACTGACCTACTGAGTTTATGTGTGTATTCCCACACTCAGTTTGAGAGTGAGATACCCAGCTGGGTGCACTAGCAACCTATTTGAAGAAACAAACGCCATAAACAATGACAGGGGCTTTGTTATTTGTCGAGCGCCACCCCTGCAATTTCAGAACACTCATGGACCCTCCATTCTTGCGCAAGGGTGTTAGATGTGTCATTAAGGATTCGTCCAAGACCACCTTAGTAGTAGTTGAAAACTATACAACGGCCAGCTTCCAGCTGGCCTTCATGCCGGCTGGAGGATTTTGGGAGCGCATTACCCTCCCTCATTTGGTATCTTTCATTGTGCCCTATCCTTGATGGATGGCCCTGAGGAAGGAGTAACCCGGGACGCATCACATGAAGGATTTTGCGCAACATTGCGCGAGCCACTGCTGCAGGTTCTCGTGCCTCACTATTCTTGCTCATATCGGTTTGCTCACAATAGCCTATCACTTGTCTGCATGTCAAGGCCGTGGTGGCCATCGCCACGAGAAAATAGGGTCGGGCTTTGACGGTTCGCATTGCTCATCCATCAATCGCGTAATGCCATTGTCGGTTCCTGGATTTACCAGCGCAAAGGTCTCAGACCCAAAGCGAGACAGCGACATCGACTGACATGAAAACAAGGCACACAGGCACTGCCTCCACGCGAACAGCAGGAAGAAACAAATGGATGCATATTTAGTCGCCTGGTTATCATGCAGTATCATACCTCCGTAGCCTAATAATACAAGAGCAATACACACACATAAACGCCGTCCAGCGCACCTGTCACAAAATTAGTGCTATGAAGTAATGGACATGAGCTCCAAGTCTAGACTCGGCAAAGCCAAAGCACCCAGGGTCCGTCCAAAGGGCGTACGTATAACCAGCATCCCAATCTCAAAATAGGTATCTTCTCCTCAACGCCAACAAGACGCATCCACACTTGACGCCTATCGCCAGCCCATCGCCGCCCTCTCTCGTCGCGCATTGCCGGCCATGGCAGCACCACCAATAGTGATACGTCGGCCTTTGCCAGCAATACCACCCACTGGCATGCTAGCTTCGCGTTCCCGAGCGCGCTCATTCGGGCTTCCATTAACCCTGACGCTGCCTCCGAACCCCATGCGTCTCGCCTGCCCCGGCGTGAACGACCGGTTGACTTCCTTAACACCAACCCCGGGCGGGCTGCAACTGATGGGTGGGCTCCTACGCCTCTCCGCGCTGCTCCGTCGAAGCCTTGAAATTCCGTTGGTGCTGCTGGCCAGAGGACCGGTGTAGTTATTGGAACCTTTCTGTGCACCGTTCATTGTCGAGACAGAACTGCCAATGGACGACACGCGCCGGGCACCGGCGGCTGCCGAAGGCACGCCCAGAGACGATAGCCGGTCGCGGCGCTTCGTGGCGTGCAGTGCGGAACGCAGCTTATCCGTGTCGAATAAGGAGGAATTTCCTTCCGAGTCGGATGAAGGCGGCTGGTTCTCGTCCGCTGCCGCTGGGGGTGGTGTAGAACGCATGTTAAGCGGTAGAGGCAGAGACGAAGCCTTTGGCGGTGTTGACGAGACGCGCCTGAACATCGCCCTGATATTAGCAGCGCGCGACAAATCCAGGTTGCGCAAGGGACTGTTGCGCTCTTCATCAGATGTGAGGTTGAGGGATAGCGTCGGCGGTACGGGTGACCCGTTGGCCGGGCCAGTCGATGGTCGAGCCTTGGACAAGAAACCTGCTTGAAACCTGTTAGGCTTCGCGGGAGGAATCACTGTCGTCTCGGGTAAGACGAGCGAGATACTTGAGTCCTCGGCTGAGTCATTGCCGAGGTAGGATGGGTCTGAAGGAACCGCTACAGTCTCCTCAGGCGAGCTTTTCCCTGACGAACTCTTTTCTGGAGAGCTCGGCACTGATGTGGATTTGGGCTTCTGGGGTGTCTTCTCAAAGTCGGCCAGCGTGCCCGACTCGCCATCGTCGTCCCTCCATCGGACCATGCGTTTGGAGGGCGACTTTTTCTTTACAGGTGAAAAGGTGACACCTTTCCGCGCGTTCAGCGCTTTGCGGCGTCGCGGTGACCCCTTGCCTGGGGAGACACACAATTGAGATGATTCGACAGGCGCGGTAGACTTAAAGGCAGCCAAGGCAGCGTTGTGGATGGGCAACGCAGCTTCGAGCATAACATTTGCAGCCTTCTTGCGCTTGGGTGTCCCCCGTTTGGATGGAGAAAATCTCTCCACTGGCATCTTGCCACCCTCGGGCTTCACAATGTGCGACGCTGCGGAGTACCCAACATCGAGCAGCCGAGTAATGATTCTTTTCGCATGGGCAACAGCCTCCCCCTCGTCCATGTTCATCGTCTCCGAAAGACACGCGAGGATCTCGAATTGGGCGGTCAGCAAGGCTTGCATCATTCCCGCATCGCCTGCTTTGTCCTGATCCAACACGTCGCGGTATGCTTCACGGGTGAAGTTAGACTTGAGCAGCTCGGCTTCTCTCTGCAGTGTTGAGATCTCGCCGGTGTCGGCATATCCCGCTCCCGTCGGAAGCTGGCTAATACTGTGCTGTAGAGCCGAGTCGATAGCCCGCTCCCAGTTCGTCTTCTCCAGCTTCTGATGGATATGGTGCCGGCTGTTCTCGAGCTCTATCAGTACGCCCTGAGCCGTCTTGCGCAAGGCGGCCAAGTTCGGTGGCATGCAATCATCATCCTCCTTGGTGTCGCAGACGCCGTCGAAGGCGGCAATCCAAGACGAAAGGAGACCGATGCGCCTCTCGATACAGCGGAGTTTCTTCATGTGGGCGACCTTCTCTTGCCTCTCGGGTGAGGAGTTCTCGTAGGCGAGGCGAATTCTCTGAATACCCTCGCGCGTCGCCAGGTCTCTCTTATCCAGCTGCTTTTGGAACTTGGCAAAGGAGAGCTTCTCCGCATTCTTTTGTTGTGCCTTCAGCTCGTTGATGAGAGCCATTTGCTCGTCGATCTTGACCAGGAAGTCCTTGACGTGTCGGTTCACGTTGAAGACATTTCTGGTGACCTTGGTTTGGATATTCTTGGCGCGGTTGGCGTATCTCAGCGTATTCTGTGTCTCGTCGAAATGGGCACTTGAGGGGCTGACGCAAACAATCATGACCGTCTTGCAGTTTCCCCCGAGCGAGAACTTGAGCAATCTGGTCAGCTTGCTGTTCCGGTAGGGCACGTGGTTCTTCTTCCGCGCATCGCAAAGCGCGTTGATGCAGCTTCCAAGAGCGAGCAGCGACTTGTTGATATTGGCGCCCTCCAGTAGGCGCTCGCCACGGTTCTTGGTAGCACTGGCTCGCTCACTGCCTGCAAGGTCGATGATGCTCAGAGTGGCCATGGTGTGCGGCTCGTTGACAGCGGCGTTGCGGTCCTTCTGCGCAATATTGATCTGGAGCACGGCGTGTGATCTCGACGATGTTGCGTTCGCCTCCGTTGGCGACACGGTTCGATATTCGTTTCCTCGCACGATCATATCCATGACCTCTTGGACGTCCTTGGGGTGGTGGCTCGTGAGTCCTGCCACACTGACTCCCTGGTTGGAATCCTCCCGGAGCATCAGTCCTTGCTTGCTGCCGCCCGGCACCAACAGGTCGCGGATCGTCTCGTTGTAGATCTCCAGATAGGACAGTGTGAGTTCGGTGTGTTTCTCGTCGCTGCGGTCGGCAATCTTCTCGAACAGTTCCTGCATGGTGAGGAAGATAATGCCGGGCATTTGCGAAGTACCCGTAATGGTGTGGGTTTTGCCACATCCGGTAGCGCCGTACGCGAATACGGTAGCATTGTAGCCATCGAGGACGCTGTCCAGCAGATTCTTGGTGGTTCCTTCGTACACTTCTGCTTGCGTCACGTTCTCGTCGAATATGCGATCGAAGGCGAAGACTTGATCTTTGACCTTTTTGCCGTTCGGAACCACCGATCTCGAGAACTTCTGGACAGGATTGTCCTCGGGCGGGTCGAAGACTCTGCGAAAGGCGTATGGTCAGTGTCATCCTCAGGTTGTGTTTCTGCTGGGGGGCACGAACAAGCATCTGTCATCGACGACTTTGATGACTGATCTGATACCACTCTGCTTGAGCTTTGGCGTGGGTGCTGCGGCTAAGGAGCCATCTCCCAGGAATATTGTGCCTTCATCGTTGCGATGTCTGCATCCGGTCAGTTCCAGCTAGGTGCATTCGTGTTCGCCAAGATCATAACGTACAGCTGTGCAGCCTCTCGGATTGTGAAGGGTCGCACTCGTACTGGATTGATTGGCATCAGCATCGTCGAACATGGCCTGACGGCATCGTCTCTAATTACCTGCGACGGTGATGGATGAAGCCCCCGGATCCTCAGCTACCATTTTGAAGATTGAAGTGTGTAGTCCTCCGCTAAGAACCCTGCGTCATCCAAAGCTGCGACGACGCGCTCAAAAGTCGTGGGATCGCGTGTCGTCGATGCGTGGGCGATTTTCCAGGCAGCTTCGTGTAGTAAACAAAAACAGCCCAGGGAATTCGTCGTGACCAAAAGTACTCCGTAATGATGGGAACAATGTTCGATGGTGTTTATGTTGACAAGTTCTCGTGTGCCCCTGGATCGTGCAAAGCAATGAGCAGCGTAGATGATGGAATGCAAAGCTCGCAAGGTTCTTCGTGTCGAGTGTGGATCTTCAGCTGCAGATGAAAGCCGCTTCCATCGTCACTCGAATCTTCCCAATTTCCATGTTTGGGCCATTCACCACGGCAACCGGTACCTGCTCTAGCGAAGTTAGCCAGGAGCTCAAGCGGGGCGGAGAGCATGGTTTGTGCTGTCAAAACACGGCGGCGAGTATCCGAACCGCTGATTCGCTGCCTTACCTCGGCATTCCTTGCCCCATGTTTCTCGAAAGCTGCTAGTTTCTCAGCCTTGAAATCCGCTGACTTGGATAACTGCAAGATGTGGCGTCCCTAGGTCAAATCATCTCATGGCAGCTGTGGACATTTGGCTAACTCTTTCCATAACTCTTTCCTGGAGGTGAGTAATCGTGCAGCTACTGCGCATGACGCAGGATCGCTGGCAATGGGGTTGGGTGTAATTGCCGTGAGTACCGTCTCACAAGGCGACCGCAGCAGCCCTAGATGTACGCCGAGGATTTCTCGTCTCAATAATCCGGCACACGCAAGGGGGCAATATTCGATATAACGTCTTGGAGTTTGGGAAATCGGGATACATCTAAACCCCGATTCTGGCTTCTGATAAGCGATACTCCAGGGTAGTCTTTCCCCAAATTGGCTGCCACATCAGTTAAAATCGTCAGGTGTGGGAACTTCACTGCAAGAGCCGCCATGGACCTAGCCCTGTTTTGTTCTTGAGATCACTGTCTTTGCTCTGCATTCTTATTCCGTGTGCCTCTGAATCGTCCTTCAGACTTATTCGCTTCGATGCAACTTGAACTTGGACAGGATGGGTCCAGCTCGCGCGAGAACTGGGAATATTCCTTAGGTATTATCATTTATTGGACAATTAGATTAAGAACGCGAAGGGGCCTTGGAAGAAGCACATGGCAGACCTAAAGGTCATCATCCTACATCATGGCAGCAAGTCCCAACCCCATCGCCAGGGCCATGACCCATCCGCTCACCCTCAACCGCTCACCACCATCCTTCATCTTGGACGAAATCCCTGCTTGCCCCAGCCATCCCACCACACCAGCCTGCTGCGCGAAACTCGTGCCATTGTACTCGCCCTCCTTGTCGCGGCCAACCAAGAAACTCTCCGGTGGCCCAAGATAGCTTGGTCTGACACCGCCCAAGTCCACGATCACCTTCTGCACAATCACGCTGGGAGCCAAGCCCCACACACGGAGTTTGTAAGCACCTTCCTGCGTAACATTCCACCTTGTCGTTGTGTTGTGGCTGGGGTGATGTCCCCAGACGGCATCGCCCACTGCGTAGCCCCAGGACGTCGGCATGTCTTGACCGATACTGTCCCCGATGAATCGGACGGTTTGTGGCGTGGCTTGCGTTGAGCCGGCGGGGAAGAGTGAGACGGCGAAATGCAGAGGGTCGCGGTCAGACAAATAGTTCTGTGTTGGTGAGAGGTAGAGGGTCACGTTGACATTGGTCGTGTTAGTGAAGATGTATACGTCATACTCAAGTGATGGAGCCGAGTCGGCGGTGACAGACGGGGTGTCTTGCGGCCACAAGGTCACGCCTCCAAGGGTACGACCGTAGTTCTTCAAAGTGTGATAGGTAAGTGTAGAGGTGGAGTTGCTGGAGGAGTTATTCAAAGAGGGGTGTATGCGCTGGTAGTTGGGCCCCTCAATGGCAACGTACTTGTCGGACTCGACAAAGCCAGTCGTAAAGTTTTCCGGGATGCTGCGTAGGTTGATGGGAAGCAGAACAATGGGCGCAGGATACCATTGCTGAAAGCCCTGAAGTCCGCAGCCATTGGTAATGTTGATAGTGGCAACGGTGTTGTTCACAATTTGCGGAGCGTTGGCCCAGTCAACAGAGGCGTAGATGCGGGAGTCTGTTCCATTGCCTGGGCCGACGGTCCCGCTCGATTGGGACAGCTTGACCCATTCTAGATCAATCTGAGCCGACCAGTCGCAGGAAAAAGTGCCTCGGGAGAAAATATCAATCCAGCGGCTCGCGGCGCCGTATGGATCAAGTGGGGGCAAAGTAAGACTCGCACCAGAGTTTGTGTGGTACTTGTCATCGCCAGGGATACTAGCATTCAAACCTTCGACTGCGATTCCCACAGCACCTGCAATGGCAGTTACACCCGGCTGAACAAAGGCCATAGCTGGGGCAACATTCCGCATCGGCTGCTGCCAGTACCCATCATAGCCAAGATGTGTTTCTGCAATATAAGTCAGTAAGCTTACCCAAACAACCCAGTCCTAAACACCAAGCTTACGGTCCATCATGCGCGCCCACTTTCCACCCAGGAGACTATCCCACTGGGCTGTGAGGTTTCCATCCTCATTGAAGTCTGAGAATACTTGCATCATCATGTCGTTTGCCGAATTGCGATGTTGGTTGGCATAGACCATGTTCTTCTCGGCGCCGATGTGAATCTTGTGAACAATATGTCCGCCTTGGATGGGGTGCAGAATCATCTCGAAGAAGGAGGCCTTCTGGTTGTCGGCCAGCCGGTCATAGACAGCCAGTGCGTCGTCCATCAATCTGGCCCACTGTTCCAGTACAGCATCGGCCTCGTTGTAGTTGACGACAGAGTAGACATATGGCTCGATCAATTCGAACTTTCTTCTCCCCGCGTACATGCCATATCGCGTCATGATTTCGGTGATATCAGCAGAAAATTGCGAGCCAAACTCGCGAGTAGCCCAAGCCGACAACCAGTCGTCAATATTGTCCACTGTCCACTGCTTCACATCATAGGCCATGTCGAGAAAATGGCTGATTGGCAGCTCGAGGGGTTTCAGGTCCCCGACGTTGACGATCCAGATTCTGTCAGCGCCGTGGGCGTAGGCAAGTTGCATTTGCTCTGCTGTTTTCTCTAGCTGAATGGTATTGATCCACTTGTAGTTCCTCGGATCGCCCACGTAGTCAAAGTGGTAGTACACGCCAGCGCCACCAGACCGGTTCGTCTCGTTCGAAATGGGCACTCTTCGAACGTTTCCCCAATTATCATCGGCCCACAGCAGGGTAACATCCTCAGGAATTTCGAGGCCGTCAAGAATGTAGGTTGCCACCTCTTTATACAGACACCACATCTGGGGCACATCAGTGATGTTCATTTCCAGGACGTCTTCGATGATTGTTCTTTGATTTGCAACCAAAGTTTCCAGCATGCTGACAATGGCATCGGTTCCCAGGTTCTCTATGGCTGTGTCACCAGTGCCTCTCATTCCCATGGTCCACAAGCTGTTTCTGGCATATGGCTTTGCACGCTGGGCGCCGTATTCGAAGTACTTGTTGATGGTCTCGTTGTTGAGGTTATAAGCCCACTCACCCAAGCCGTAGGGTTTGTAAAAGTTGCCAAACTCATTCTGGGCTCTCATCATCGGCTCTGTGTGAGAGCTTCCCAGAACGACTTCAAATGCGTCGGCGAGCGGCTGGTTGGCAGGGTCGTCGACTTCGAACATGCTTCCCCAAACCGTTGGCCACAGGTAGTTGGCACGCAGCCGAAGAAGCACCTCGAAGACCTTGGAGTAGAAGTCGCGGCCATACCCCACGCCATACAGAGTGTCCTCGAAGTTGTTTGCGACCCACCCAGAGAGACCTGGTTGTTCGTCGTTCAGAAAGAAACCGCGGTATTTCACCGATGGCGCGGCCTGGACCTTGTCGCCAGACAAAAACCAGATGTTCTCGTTCTTTCGGACCGAGACATCTGCCCACCAGTACCACGGACTAACACCGATCTGCTCACTAATGTCGTATATACCGAAAATGGTGCCTCGCGGGTCGCTCCCTGCAATGACGACGGCTTGCGAGCAGCCTGGGATTGGGCTGTGCACGATCTTGGTCACGAATGACTCCCATTGGCCCTCAATATCAGACACATCGAGCTTGTCGCTGGATACCAAGTCGTCGATGAATTTGGAATGGCCCAGAGTGCCGGCAATAATGACGGTATCTGCTGCCGCAGGATCGGTAAAGTTGGGCCCATAAAAGTACTCGGTTCCGTTCACCGTGTACTAGGGTTGTCAGAGCCAGCGTATCCCATGCATCGTTGGGCACAACTTACGACAGTGTAGTTGGTGGCGATGGGTTTATATTCGTACACAGCAGGGGAAGCTCGTACTTCACCGTTGCTCAGCGTGAAGTTGATTCCAGTAACCCGTCCAAAGTCTTGGGCTAGATCGCCAGCCGCTCGAATTACACCCCAATAATCATCGCTCGAGACGAGAATCTGGGGAGTTTCGATGTCACCACCAGCCAACTGGAACCCCCCTGATACACTCGTGAAGCTGATGACGGGCTGTTGTCCGAGGGCACAGGCTAAAGGCACAGCCGCTGCTGCCACGAGCAGAGACAGCGGCTCTGCAACGGTGGGGCGCATGATGGAATTTTGACAAACCACACGAACCGTTTGTCGAAAGTTTGGCTGTCAGTTCGCCGCAATTGGGTCTGGCGTGAGCATTCGAGCATCCCCAAGCGCCTGGACCGAACAGGGGCGTATTCGAGAATACAGAGCTGCAGCTGTTCTGGAGGATGCCTAATATATATTCACCCAAACCACTGGAATCTCCATTTTTAAGGGCGCACTATAAAGCCCTTGCGCAGGTTGTCCGAGAAGAATGCGGAAGCGTTCCCATGATCCGAGTCATACAACAGTATTGCCCCAGGCCGCACTAGATGCCAAGGAGCGAGGTGCCTGAAATGGTTCGAGCGGTATCCTATGGCGTGCCATGATGATTGCAAGGGTCCGCAGTCGAAGCCACTGTGAATTGGAGAAACTGAAGGTTGGTGATGGCCGGTTGGCGGGTAATTTGGACCGAATATTGACAAGAAGTCGCGATGCCACGCTCGCTTGGAGAAGAAAGCCGGTGGACCCTAGCGCCACGACGAAATCACTGGAACTCGTGGAGTATGCCCCGCACGAGACTAACCTTTTATAGATAGGTATCCGGCTAGTGCTCAATCTCAGTGTGGGGAAACGCCTCTCCAACCGACCGCTTCATCGGGTACCTAGGTAGTCAACACGATGACAGACGGTTGCGTAAGACAGAAAACTTATGTAGAGCAGAAGAAACCATTGCCATATTTTCAGGGCCTCCGTAATTGAGTGACAATACATTATGTAAGATGGTGGACTCAATGGTCATGCACGGTGGTTCCCTGCGCTCGAGTTCACCTCAATTTTGGTTCAATTTGGGGGAATTGAGGAGTCTGCGGAGAAGTGGATGAGTTGTGCATTTAGCCGACAGGCAAATGTCACCTTGTTCCGAGAGCTATCAGCAGGTCAATCGTCAATTGCTGCAAGGGCCGTTGGGCAGGCAGATGCAGCTTTAACGACCTGACGCGCTGCGCACCTCCATTTTCTCGAGTGTGTGTCTTAGCCGACTCTTGACGTGATGAGAGAGGCTTGGTGTCACAAGCATCTTGGCGGCCATTTTCTCTGTCCAGCAGTATTTCAGCTCCAGATTGTAAGCCCGGCTTGGCATACTACGATATCTGTACAACAGAAGACATCCTCGACAAACCGGGACATGGTATATTAGCAATGAATCTGGGTAGCGAATGGTTGGAATAGGACACATCTGTCCTCGTGAAATGGACTGTTTCCCTGTCCAAGTTACTATCGGCAGATGTGAGCAAGGGAAAAGAGAAGGGAAACGGGAGAGACAAATAATAGAGCCAGCGATCGAGAGTGTTTATAGAATGATTAAGAGAAATGCGTATGCATAAAAGACCATATATCACGATCTTGGGTAAAACTTATGATCATCAAAGTCTTTTACTTTCAATAGTGGTTCAGTCGCCATGAATTTTATACTATTGCACAATGTTTAGCATAGACTACGTTCATTTATCTTTAGCTTGCAAGAAGTGATTCTCCGTATGAGTTGAATGCTTTGGATTGAGCAGCTTGAGCAGCTTGATAGGGAACTGAAGCAATAGTGTGGACTGCATCTCATGTAGATTGTTGCTATCTCAAACCTTTGAGCACTACCGGTCGTGTGGAGGTTCTTCCTAAAAGAAAATTAGTTACAAACATGAAGTCTGTTCTCATTTCACAATCACCATTCCAGTTAAGGACGCTTGATAAAGACCTAATACTCTATAGCTACAGTAAGATATATAAGCTTTGACTATTATTTAACGATACGTAAGATCATAAGACATGATATCCATCCTCTACTTCTTACAGTTTAAATCAAGCATGTCTGCAGTCCCAAAATTACAGTTAATACAACCATGAAAAGCTTATCTTCTCATTTTGCAAAATATCCAACGTCCGTAGGGACAACATAATTCACATGCTTCACCTCCAATTTTATCCGGGCTTCATCTGAGAGGGGTTTCCGTCCGTATAAATATACAGTTAGTTCAAACGGATAACACCTTCAATGGAACCAGGAGGCACCACGAAACCTGGGCAAATGCAGTTTATCTTGAATTATTTGTCGCCAAATACGACGCCGTCGGCTTGGGTCACATTATTAAATGATGCCGCCGCCGCTGACACAAGATGGGCGACTTCCCGTTGAACTGAAGGAAGAGAGACAAAAGTTGAGCATTAGAAACGTGATTCACGATTGCCTTTATCTTTCTTGCTTCTTAATAGCGCCGCCCTCGAACCGTTGCTTTTGCTACTCAGCTGTCTATAAATACGACCCAACTTCTCTCGCGCATGAACCACTCTCAGGATCTGAGTTCGACTTTTCTCCTGACTCTGCTTGTCTTCTAGACCGTGGCGCGCCCGCAGAAACGGTTAGACCTATGCGAACACCAGTTAGCGAATATTTCATGAATAACAGCGAAACTAAACGATAACGAAAGAAGGCGATGCGATGGTGTTACGCGCATTGCCGTCAAGCAACATTATAGTCTGGGGTATGGAGCACCTTGATGCAAGTCCATCATGCAACAATACAAGCAACACCTCTGCCAGACCGCAGTCAGGAATCTACATGGAAAATAACGAGAACAAAAAATCAACTTGAATCAAGATCGTTTCCAATCATAGAAGGCGGCCCAAGAAAGGTGAGTTGATCATTTGAAAAGCAATTACTGACTGAATCTCAAGTTCTAATGACGGGACCTGTTACGCCGTCAGGCAGAGAACACCTCGGTATTCTCATCAACTAGGTTCAGTCTCCCGAGGGAGCATGGCGCTGTGTGGAAAGAGCAACGACCTGATAGTTGGTGGCGATTAGTCTCTGCGCAGTGTGTATCTTGACTTGGGTGGTCTGTCGGCGGAGCATAGTCGCAATTGGATCATATAGACGGTGTGGAGCGATATAATTCGCTGTGGATCATTCGGCCATATTGGCTGCCCGCATCACTCTCCTTGTTCCGTCACTCAGTTGAACCACGTTCACCGGTCGATTAATGGTGACTAGGGCAGAGTGTCTATTCTGTGTTGGTCTGACCTGGTCTGACAACGATAAGATAACTGGGCCTCTGTCTGGTCAGACAGTCAGTCTGGTGCTAAATTGGCTGGTTGATGGATGAGTGAGATAGACCTTCAGACGAAGGAAGCATCAGCTGTGTAGTAGCAAGTATTCTGATTCTCCAAGAACTGGTAACAATGTTACTACTACTGGTTCCGAATCAAAGGAACGATGACTTCTCCAGGATCAATCTTAATTGCATGATGTCGAGGTTTTGCCAAGAAGGAAGCAGTAACGAGGCCCTGGTAGAGATCAACACGGAGATAGGTTCTCAGGAGACAACTTGGAAACCACCACCGGATTGAAACTTGGGATATAGTTGTGACAGCTCAACCTAAGCAGTTGGCACTTAGGAATGCGGGATCGTGTTCTATTTCCTTCATTAACACCATCTATCCAATCCGCACCTTTTTTTACACAAGTGGTCCGTCCTTCTATCAGATCTCCGGCGTCACTACCAATCCCATCTTTCCAAATCACTTTCAACATGCCAGCTTTTTACACCAAAGTAGCCTCAACCTCCGCCACCTCGCCCAGCATCTTAACCACATTATCCTTAACCGCCTGCGTAGGCGGCGCATACGGCCTCCTCGGCTTTAACTTTTCCTCCGCACCCTCCACGCCCGCCTTACCAGCGGTGAAATAACTAGCCGCATACTTAGTAACCGCAATGCCCGCCTTGCACGGCTGCTCAGCCAACGCCTGCTTCTGCTGCAACTCGAGCGCCTCGGCCGTTTTTCCCTCCTTCCAGAGGGTGTAAATCTTGACCAGGGCCCTAGGGAACACATTCGCAAACGCAGCGATGCACCCCGCAGATCCAACCGCAAGCCCACCAACAAGGAAGTCCGACTGCCCTCCAAAAGTCGCAAAGTTCTCAGGCTTCAACACGGCCGCAAGCCGCGTAATCTTAGCCACAGACCCGCACGTAAGCTTGACGCCGACAATATTCTCATGCTTCTGCGCGAGGCGCTGGATAGTATCCGAGTCGAGATCAACGCCGTTACAAACACCCGGGAAATTGTAAATGACGACAGGCAACTTGCTCTTCTCCGCGACCTCAGCGTAGAAGGCCTCGATGACAGGAGCTGAGGTAGCGGCCTTGAAGTAAGCGGGCGGGAGAACGAGGGCGTAGTTTGCGCCCGCCTCGACGGCGTCGCCGATGAACTCGAGCACCTGCCGCGTCGAGTGCCCACTCACGCCGGCCATGATGGGGAAGTCTGGGCCGGTGGCCTGGCGCGCGATTTTGAGGAGCTGTTTGCGCTCCTCGCGCGTGAGAAGGAAGGTCTCGGCGTTAGTACCGAGGATGACGAGGCCGGCTAGCCCAGTAGTTGAGAGGTGCTTGAAGTATTTTGCCTGGTCATCGGGCAGTAGGTTGTCCGTCTCCGGGTCGAAGAACGTCACCGATGGCGCCCAGATGCCCTGGGGTGGAACCTTGGGGAATGGCATAGCTGTGGCTGTGTGTGGTTTCCGGTTTGCGACTCAATTTAGGCGCGAGTGAGGAAAATGTACCACGAGTTCGACAAGGAGGTTGGATCGGAGGAAATGACTGGAGTAATATAAGCAATGAGCCGGTAGTTAGTCGCTACCGTGAGATGCGTGAACTATCTATACATGTGTGAACTGGCTAGAAGTGGGACACACCAAATAGGTGGAGCACCACCACATGCTCCAAGTGCTCCAACATGGACGGATATCGCGTCTCGCAATTTGACATCGGATATGCAGTCATTCGGAAACCCTCTCTAGCCTTGTGGAGCTATGGCCGATAAGCCGAACCCCGGCTAAGCCAGCCCAACTCGCCGCTGTGGGGTAGAGCTCCGCTGTCGGCCGTCCCCTTATCAACACCACAGCAACCTAAAACCGCCTTCGGTAGAGGCCATCATGAGTCGTGTTGAGCGCCCATGTCAAAGAAAGGACATCTTATCTAAGCAGAACCTCGTGAAGAGCGTGAAGACAGGCTCGAAGACCAGTCCCATGAGGGGGAAAACCATCGCATCTAACGTCTCGGCTCCTCTGCGCCCCTTTCGGTCTCTTCCGAAAACCTGACACGCTTCCGCTGACCTCTCGATGACTTCTTCATGCCATCTGAGGTCAACGAAGATGAGCCTGACTGTGTGTCGCTGCTAATGTCTACTGCAGGGCGCGGCCGTCTCTAACGCCTCTCCTCAGTAGCCCCAGCGAATTTGACGCTCTTCCTGCGCTCTCGTTCCGTTTTCTCTATTTTACCGCCTTCGGTGCCACTGCCCGTCCCTTTCGGACTAGAACTGAGCATGCTCAATATACCGCCGGCTCTTCCAAGGCCCGTTCGTTCCTCTCGATCTGCTTCCAAGCCAGACTTAGCCAGTGCTTCTCTAACCCATTCGACAGCTCCACTTTGAGGAACTTCAAGTGCATCACTCTTCACGCCCCCGATGATCAGCGGGGCCGACCCCGAAGCCGTGGAGCCGTCTAAGTTGCTGATAACCCGTTCGTTTGCCTTGAAAGAAGAAATAGATACTCGCGTCTGTTCTCGGACAGCTCGACCCAACTCCTCCGTGCGTGCAGTGTTGGTCTCGTCCCGCCACTTACCCGGGAGGCAAGCGTGGCCACATCCATCAAGGGGACAGCACCCATCGCTGTACGTGTCGGGGAACTGCCCGTCGTGCACAGTTGGAGAACCCCCGACTGATGAACCGCTATTCGACCTGCTAGGTGCGATAGGCGCATGCCAGCCTTGTAGACACGTCGCGTGTCCACCATGGGAGCATCCGGGGCAATACCACCATGATGACAAGATGGGTTCACTTTGAGACGATGCTCTAGCAATCCCATCCGCAACAGGGACGGACGGTAGCGAGGCTGGGGTTGCGTCGCGATGCTTGCATATAGCACAAGGCGCCATGATGTAGCGACAGCGCTCACACTGCCAGACGCCAAGGCCATCTGCCTTTGAGCGATCGACCTCGCGTGGGTTCTTGCATTGTGGACACGTGAAACCAACTGACACGCGTTCTTGTGCCTGGGTGAAAACCGACGTGTAATTCTCACCCCAAATATCAATGCCCTCCGGCCAGTCTCGAACACATAAGTTTCGAAGCAGCGCGGCTTCAATGAAGAACTTCTGACCCATCAGACGGTTATGATACTGTCGCAGGACGGCGGCAGCCTGAAGAGTATCGATCATGTCGTCGGGGAGTAACGGCTTCAGGAGAAGGATCATAGCTGAAGCATTAAGGGATGAACGCTTCGTCTCGAACTCTATGGCTCGTAATAAAAGATTGTACGGTTTAGACGGCGGTGTACTAACTTTCGCATCCATCTCTGATGAGAGGGGATGTGGATAAGGAGGATCGTCGGGCCATGGCATGAAATCCGTTTCTGTAATCTCGGGTGACGTCTCTTCCTCCGGGTGTCCCAAGGCGATACGCTCATTCGAAGTCTTGCGTGATGAAGGAGCACGAGTAACTTCAAGAAGGGGTCTAGCGTGTGTTACATGTTTTGGTGAGTAGTCGTGGGACGGTTCCTGAGAATTCTCTTGCGAGTACTCACTGTCACCGGTGTCGGCAGTAGTCTGAGATATCATGAAGATCTCCTCTAAACTCTCCGTGTCTTCCCCTTCAGGAACCTGAGGCATGTGTTGCCGTCTCCCCTGTGGCGTTTCTTGGATCTGATAACCCCTAACGCGGCTTCCAAATTCATCTTCTGAAGTTCCACTGGTGCTCACGCGCACACTATTATGGCGTATAGCTTGACTTTGACTGGCAAATGAGCCAGTAGTGTCGGTCGTTGGCTGACTCCCGTTGGAGACGAACCGAGTGCCATCAGAAAGGGAGAACATCTGCACAAAGCTCTCATCCGAATCATGCCGAGCCATAACCGCTTTACTTGGTGTCCGCGGTCCTACATAAGCCAGAGAGAAGGGTTCTTTCTTTTTGGGTACCTCAATGGCCATTGGGAGCGCATCGACCGCTAAGAGATCATAGAAGTCATAACCGTCTGTACTAGAAATCTGGCTATCTTGACTCATGACAGAAAGGGGCGCGGAATCAAGCCTTGGCCGGAGACACGGCCGTTCCTGATGGACAGCTGGGGGCAGTGCAAAGCTGGCTATCTCTTGAACCGGCGCAAGTGATTTGCCGGCATCCTCCACCGGGCGTGCCAGAGGTGTGGGTAGATTTGACTCGGTATCAAACTCCTCGGCCAAAAGGGATCTCGCAGGAGTTAGGCGACTTTCTACTGAAATAATCGAGGCAGGTTTCCTAGGTGTCCCTTGCTCGCCTCGTTGTGACTGCCCGAAGCGTTCCATTCCCAAAAGATTTGCCGAGTTACCTTGGTTCTTCCAAACGGGCGACTTGGGATTTTTCCTTCGATTCGTCCGTAGCTCGAGGTGATATTGGGCTCTTCTAGCAAGAAGCAGATTCATGGCGTAAGAGAGGATACGCCAAGTCTGAGCCAGCCGATATTGACTGACGATCTCTGCAGACCTGGCATAGTGCTCCATGATGCCTGCAATTCTTTCATTCAAGGGCTTCGCGCCTGCGCCGAGTGGAAGCTCCTTTTCCAGAGTTTCCAGGTATTGAACAGAGAGAAAGTGGTATACATTTGCCTTGGCTGCAGCAGGAACATGGCCAATAGCCATCACCTGCTGCGGTTTGAAGGTGCCAGTGACACTTATCGCTTGTTCGAGTGATAGTACGGATTCTTCCATGCCATGACCGGACGGCGGTGTAGTACTGAATGTGTGTGACGCACGGGTGCTCGGTCGCCGTCGCCTCCCAGCACGTCGCCTAGGACCTAAGAAGCTTCCGACAACATCGTCTTCTGAGTCACTGCGGCTGATGCTTAACATCTGCGTCGTTGAATTGGAGCTATGGGATGAAGTTGGCGCCAGTTCTGGGGCAACTATTGTTGGTCTTGGTCGTGGCGGCGGTGGCCGCTCTTCGAGAAACATGAGCACGTCACCACGTGGAGAAAAGTCAAGGCTTGATGATGACTGCCGGTCGATGACTTTGGGGGCAAAGGCAACATCACATTGGGTGAAAAGCCCATCTGAGCCACCAGTCCACAAGAGATCCTGGTCATGCCACAGCAGCGCATTAGGCGAGCTATCGAATCGGTCAATCTCTTTGAATGGCATCGTTGGCCGGGCCAGATCCCATATGTGCACCGAGTTGATACCATATTGCTTACGAGTGGAGCCATCTTCATATGACACGGCGACTTGAGCAGCACGTTTACCCTGGGCCGTAGCAGACCACAGTCCCGGGCGCCAGGACACAACTGTGACTGGTGCTGGAGTCGAGATGGTCCACTTTGGCTTTTGCTTCTTGTCGGCATTTTTGGACATGTCCCAGACATGGCATTTACTGTCAAGTCCGCCACTGATCAAGTGATCTCCGTCTGGATGCCAGGAGATGGAAGAAGCTCCTTTCTGTGCATCGTGAGCATTTATCCTCAGCAGAGGTGCCTTGGGGGTCCGGATATCCCATTTGAGGATTGCGCCAGATTCAGTGGCGCAAGCAAATATCACACCTTCCTTGGGTGACCACTTGACATCTCGTACACCCTCGGCGTTGCATCTATAGGCCTGTATGTTGCGAAAGGTTGACCGGCCAGTCTGGTTAGGCACAGGCGCCCTAATGTCAAAGACACGAACTATTCCGTCTTGACTGCCGGACAGGAGCAGAGTGTTCTTGTGGGGATTGATATCGAGCTTGTTGACTTGGCGCGAGTCCTCGCGCATCTGAATGAACTCTAGCCCGTTTCCCCCAGCGGATGCTGATCCCAGGCGGCTGACATCGTACTGGAATATCTTGCCGTTGGCACAAGCAGTGAAGATGGTGGACTTTCCACTTTCGTTGGTGGCCCATTTGACGTCCTTGATGGACAATTGATCTGATGTACTTGAGGCAGAATTCGGCTGGTTTATTTGCTGGGCAGTGATGATTGCGCGGATATCGATTCCGTCCTTTTCCTTGATATTCAACCCATCGAACTTGACCGTCTTGAGGATATGTCGGCCGCCAATCACAGCATATTGACCGTCGCTTGACCTGTCTATGCATGAAATGGGCACACCCGTGTGATGTATAGCATCCTGCGATGCATTGGGTCGATAGGACTGCGAGATGGGCGAGCTCGTGACGCCGAGGTTCGTATCGTTGGACTCATTGGATCGGCCCAGCAGCCTCCTCATGATCTTGCCCTGGTTATACATGATTGTCGCGTGAGGCTATCATGGCCAAGCCTCTGAAGCCCCTCATGATTCAAGAGAAATAAGTGGGATGTTGTTGCGCCATTTGCGGCGAAGGGTAGGCGACTCGGGTCCCTATGTTTTGTGGTTGACGGTCGTTGTTGAGCAGTAGAGAGCATCCGCTCTAGAGTGGCAAAGTGGGCTGCTGCAGGTTGCTCACCAGCATCCGCCAGTAGACCTTTGGACCCTGAAATTGAGCTCTCCATAGCGTCGCACATGCTTCATTCTGCCGTGCACGGCCGCCTTTCAGCTCTACGGAGTACTCCGCTACCCAACCAACTAAGATGACGTCTCGGATTTAAACCCGCTTATGATGCCGTAGCTTGGCAATATTCTTTCACATGTGGCATTGTATGTTGAGGCGAATTTGTCTACTCGCAAAGAGAACAACTGCGCTTGGCTGACAGATCTGATGGTCGCTGATGAGCAACATCGCTCCTGATCTGCTGCCTCTCGCAGCCCGGCACCGATGAAAACATGTCTCTCTCGACCGAATCGACGCGCCCGCTGCTGCTTCCGCAGAACCGACGATTGCGGCATGTTCAGGGGATATACTTGCGAAACTTGAGCTTTGCTCGCGCACAGGGAAAAACTACCGACGACTTGGAACTGAACAAAGACTCGTCTGGAAAGCTTGACGAAATCAAGAGGACCGCTCACCTTCACCATGCCGCGTCCACCGAGTCTTTACGACAGAGACCCGGGAAAGCTCGACGCCGTAGCACCACATTCGCGAGCAAGAGTCCAATCACGCGGCAGAAACAACTGGAGCTCGCTGTCGAAAGTAGAGCTGCAGATGTGTTTTTCTCGTTGCACGTTGCAGATGAAGATGAGCCAGTGTATATAAGCGAGGCCGGAGAACGTTCTATGGTACGTTTCCGTGCGCAACTTCATGCCTGGGCGCAGCTGACAAGTCTGCTCTAGAATTTCGATTTCCGCTTCTTCGATCTCTCACAAGCCGATCCGTTCATCTCGCGCTCTTCGCAGCTGGTGGTTAAAATTTGGGCAAAGCGCCTGCAGGAATGGAGCTTCCTACTGGAAGAGACAGTAGACCTACGACACCTCAACTTCCTTGGTACCCTGCGCAATCAACATTTTCCGCCCAATTGCATTGTGTTCCACCTCATTGATGGCGTTTATACTCTTGACCTACCGGGCAAGTTTGTGGGTCCTAGACGCGCCCCGATCCTACCTACTTCATCGTACAATGCGCTCATGAAGCTCTCCAATCTTGATGCCTCGATCCAAGATGCCATCGCAACACGCGACAGCATCACTGACCAAATCAACAAGATACTCGAGCGAGCACCCACTAACACGGTACCACAAGCTGAACAAAATGCCATTTTGGCCAAGAAGTATGTCTCAGCGCAGCAACGCGCCGTCAAGGCTGCTGAAGCACATCGCGATCAACTGAAGCTCTCCATCGCAGCTCGACGTGCTGCCATAGCTGAAGGGCGTGAAGCACAGAAAAGGGCAGCTGAAGATGTCGAGCACGCCTCAAACAGGCTCCCTGCCTCTCGAGAGGCCGTGGCCAGTATACGCGACCAGATTCGGGGCCAACGGCGGCGAATATGCGAAGATCTCGAGCGAATATTTCCTATCACGCCGTCTCCCACGGGCGTCGTACTATCTTTCCAAATATGCGGTATCACTCTGCCGAATATCGACTATGATCCGACAGCGGGACGCGCTGTCGAGGATGCGTTGTCGGCTGGATTGGGATACGTGGCGCAACTGACAAATGCCCTGCAATACTATCTCGGTGTCCCTCTTCCATACACAATCACAACGTTTGGGAGTCGCAGTAGCATCAGAGACGACATATCGCAAATCCCCGATACCCAGCGGACGTTCCCCCTGTTCTTACGCGGTGGCGCAACAGCGCAGTACCGGTTTGATTATGGGTGGTTCTTGTTGAACAAGGACATTGAAGCACTCTGTGCGTCTGCGGGTCTGAAAGTGGTTGATATACGTCATACCCTTCCGAACCTGAAGTATCTGCTTTACGTTTGCAGCGCAGGCACCGATGAATTGCCGGAGCGCAAGCGAGGTGGTGTCCGTGGTCTCTGGGCTGGGAAGTTGAAGAGCCGTGTAGGCAGCTCAATCACGGGCATTGACGACGGGGCGAGCAGTACTGGAGGCAGCCGCAGAGGCAGTGCCGATAGCGAGGTATTATCACGGCAAAGAGATGAGTTGCGGCGAGCCATTGGCGCCAAGTCTAACGGTGATGGCAACCACGGTGCTACTTCTGTGCCTAGTCCCAAGCTGCCCTTCCAAGATGGCAAGACGCTCTCGTTACGAACCAAAGGTCTCCGAGAGAATATCTTTAACTAGGATATGTCGCCTCGGGGTGGGGGGGTTTGGGCGAAGCAAAGCTGTAAGGATATGCACATAGGACATTCGACCGGAGAGACGCAGGACTTGTTTGAGATACCCCAATAGTTCAACGTTGATAGAAATAGGCACGAGGTTTGAAAAGAGAGTTCCCCTGGAAAGACTTCGACAACTCTGTTCTGGGCAGGAGTGATTGGTGATTCGGGACTGCCATCGCGATGTGGTATCAAGCCTGCTTCGAGCAGTGAAGTGATCTGAAATGTCTTCATTGTACCTGTTAAGAGACAGTCGCTAGATCAAACAACAAGGAGGAAGGTCGAAAGAAGTCGCTGTGACAACCAGACATAGAGCGTTGAACCTCTCCGGTATTCCCGAGCCTATCGCCGAGTTCTTCGTGCTGCGTATTTGCGACTGTAGGAAACCAAAACAGGGTTCTCATCACCTCAAGGGATACGAGGTACATTTCGTTCTCCCCTAACCGGAGTCAATTGCTCACAGCCTCGAAGTGCTCTGTCGAGGAAGCATGCTTACAAATTCCAGCCCAACGCGTCCCACTTTGTTGGTGGAATCGTGTTTGCACTCAATATCCCAATCGAAAAGCAAAGCGGGCGAAACCGTGTTTTCTCCGTCATCGATGAAACACGGTGTGAACAGCATTCGGGAAGATATTAGCGAGAGCAACTGATCTACTCCATAAATATCCTCCCACTTTCCCGATGATCTCTAGTCCCAATGCGACTGGACCCGAACTTGTCGCCATCCGAAGTGCCGTCCCTGCGGCATGGGTTCGCAAAGCGAACGAACTTGCCAATGATCTCAAAAGTTTCGTGTATCAAAATAGGATCAGATGACGATCTGAAGTCGACTCGAAACCATGAAAGACGTTATGGCAGAGGCTGAGCTCCACAAATTCGTCACGCCCACCCTTCCCGCGGCGGCCGTTTTGCCTGGGAACCACCCACATCGGCCCCAGCTGCCCTAGGAAAATTGCGCCCAAGAAACCGGCCCATTGGCGAGTTTCGAAATATTTCTTGCCCATGAAGCACCTCAAACGATGAGCCCCATCCGATGTGGATTTCGACAGACATTCGCATTGTCTTGATAGGATCGACGCGGTTAATCCCCACCACAATGAGGATCTGGAGATCTTGGCGCGAGCTCTGCAGGAGTACCAGGGGTCCTGCCAAGAGCCTCAACACAATAAGTTGGGAATAACCTCAAACAAAACTCCACCCAATCTGGACAGCCAGCCCAAGCAAGCGTCAGCACAGTCGCACGGCGGTCGATGCATTTCTCCACCATGATACCCTATTGGGTCTCTCCTGCCACTTATACTGAGCCTGATCCGGGCTTGCTTACGTCTATGGCCTCGACTTGGCGGTCTCCCGGACTGCGTGGAGTCTTTGAGGAGGCTCTGTAGTGGAGGAGAGCCTCCTAGAATGAGCACATCGGCACCAGAACAAGCGTTGACTGGTTTGCTGTCCACCTCCGAGGAAACCTCTCGGCGCCGACTGGCACCATTATCTGTTCCTGACTAACGGGACCCATTGTATAAGTGAGTATGTATATACTCGAGTTCACCACCTACCTAAATGAACCTTATTTGCTTCTCTCAATCCTTACTCTTTCTTTCCCGGCCAACAGTACTTTCCCCCGTTTCCCTTCTACCCTCCACGCGAGAGCAGCCGTAGACCGGTATTTCTGCATAATAGTTCATCCTTTCTAATTTGGAAAGGCAACCGTTGAGCGGTACTCGGATCAGACTTTCATTTTTTCACACACACCAGTCCTACACTCATAACATTCCAAAATGAAGTTCATCTTGGGAGCATCTCTTTTGGCTGCTACAGTCTCGGCCTTGCCGTCACCTGCACCTCCTGCTGCTGCGGCTCCCGGCCAGCCTAGAAAGTTCACTAGTATGTATACTCTCATCTTTATCACACAAAATGCTTCATAGCCGCTAACACAAGGCACAGTCAGACAAGACTTCCTTGCAACGGCCAACAAGATCATCCCAGTCGTCGTGGGTGGACCCCAAGATACATACGCACCGAACGTTGTGACGGCCGCCGTGGGAGATATCGTGCAGTTCCAGTTCAGCAATGGCAACCATACCGTCACCCAGAGCGCCGCCGAGGCTGCGTGCCAGCCGCTACAAGCCACAGTCGCCACGGGAGTACACAGTGGGCATATTCCCTTTGTGGACGGCCAGACAGAGGTCGGCACCTTCAACATGCCTGTCACAAGTACAGACACTATGTTCCTCTACTGCGCAACGGGGCCTCATTGTCAAGAAGGCCAAGTCATGGTCATCAATCCGTGAGTTCTGCTCTTGTTGCCTTTACCTTTATGCATGATAGACAGTCAGGCTAATGTGCTTCATTACAGTACCGACGATCAACAAATCGTGGATTACGTCAAAGCATCCCAGTCTACGACTGCAAGCGTGGACGGTACCGCTGTCGTCGGAGGCACGGTAGGAACCATTCCCCTGGCGGAGGCGGCTTTCGTCCCTGCTCCAGCAGAGGAAGCTGCTCCCCCGGCTGCTGCTCCCCCGGCTGCTGCTCCCCCGGCTGCTGCTCCCGCGGAACCTGCTGCTGAACCCGCGGAACCCGCTGCACCGGAAACCACTCCTCCTCCTGCGCCAGCTGATCCTGCTGCCCCTGAGCCTCCTACGACCACCATTACCATCACTGTTCCTCCTGTGTAGATGGCCCACCACAGAGCTGAAGCGAATGAAGTGAGCCCAGGAACACCCAGGAATATGCCGGATGCGTACCAGAGGTACCACGGGGCGTTCGGAGATGTATGATGTTGGCTTTGATAGAATTTCTTGTGTGCATAATTTGATGATTAGACAGATGTGGATATATACCCTGGCCGGCACGGATCTGGAATCTGAATATAACCAGGTCTCACACTTAAACTCAAGGCTCACTAACATGGACAGATTGCAACACCGTGATAAGTGTGACGTAAGCTGTGCTAATATTGGCCACGTCGCAAAGCCCAGGCTGTGTCGCATCAGTGATAATACTCAAGGATATGTTGAAAACCAAGCGGCATTAATCATCAGTCCACGATACACGCCCAGCCATTCCCATGTGGAAGGTATCTACCACCGACCCACAGCTGAGAATATGCACCCAAAATCAGTGATTTCAAGATCTTAAAGGACGGTCCCGTATCTTCTCCACGGAATGGCATCGTTTCCTTAATTTCGGCATTCTGTGTTCCCTTGGAGACTCTTCACCCCTTAGGCGTCGCTTCGTCATGGCACTGTAGTACGTGTCAGCTCGGCGTTTCATGAGCTTTGGTAGATAGGCAAGGGAAGACTTACATGTGATGAGCATGATGGCTCTGGTCTTCAGGTGACATGGTAGTCCAGTCGTCTCTGCTAATGACGTTGACCATCTCGTCTATCTCTTGCAATTTTAAGCTGAGTTGCGAAGGTTGCGTTTGTTGATATGTGGGTTCCGGAATCAAGGTGATGGGCATATCATAGATGCCATCAGGGCAACGTGAACTTGGCCAGCCTTCCGGAGTTGACGATCGTAAAAGGGGGTCTGGTATCTCAGCTCCGTGTATCTTCATGCCCAGCGCAAGCTGCTCATGGGATTGGGTCTCGCGGCGATACCGTTCGATTGGCTTGGTGCCTCTTCTCAACGACTTCCGTTGTTTGATAGAGCGTGCAGATAGGGCGATTGCGGTCGGATACATCTGGCGGCTCAGGTATGGATGTACGAAATCGTTCTCTGGGACTGGAACTGGCGATTTATTTTCGAGAAGTGCAAACTGTGTATGCCACGGTGGGAGAACGTCTGCGAGGGTGTCGAAAGCGGGGACTGGATGGTTCAGTCTCCGCATTGTTAGCCAACTACCCCTGGAGTAGAATCCTAGCGAAGCATTATAGATAGTGAAATAGGAGAATCCGCTATGCTCACTCGAACTTCTCTGTATGATCAAAAGTAATTGCCGAGTATCCAGGAGAATGATCGCGGAAGCAGCGTTCGCTCCGCACGCATATATCTTGATCACCTCCAATTCCTTGGTATTCGATATCATGGAACTCGGCCATGATGCCTCAACAATCTCATCAAAGACGGACAATGGGGATGGGAGCTGACGTGGGAGGTCGAAATAGACGGTCAACAGTTCATATACCAACTCGACCAACTACAACCCAGTGCTTGCATCTTCCTGTTCTCGATTAGACAGCAGAGCTGAACATACCAGAAACCATAGGAAAAGAGGCGCCTACTCCAGCACCGCAGCTCCGACCCAGAGCGCCGGGCCGAGTCAAGCTGAATAAGATCTTAGGACCAGAACGTGGGGAGACTTCGCTGGGGTAGAAGGATGGGCGGCAGAAAGACAGGGTTCATTTTTCCCAAAGTTATGCGGGATCCGACATCTACAGTAACACGACAGTCGGGCTTGTGCATCCAATACGCCAATAGAAACCCGGAGAGTGAGCACAGTGTCTTTCAGGAGGGAGCAGAATGAGATAATGCGAACCATTCTATTGGGAAGGGGACCCGAGGATCTAACGCCGACCCTTCGTCATATGCGGCTGGGATACCTAGCTCAAGATGCTGCAGATGGGGTTGTACGACAGGAAACTTGATGATTTGGTGCGAGTTATTCTAGTGATGTGGTTTACAAGCACAGCATCTTGCGCTCAGAGAGATCCTTGTTTTCGACCCCTTGACTGATTCCAAATGTGAGGGCATGGTTTTCGTGGTGACAGAGCAGGAGAGTGATGCAATTGGCAAGAAGACTAATTACGGCCTCTATCCAAAGAAAGCTCCGCCACAGTCCCTTTTCGCCCGTCGTCATCGGGGTCAACTCTAAGAAGGTGCATTTGGAAAAGATAAGACGATTTCCTCTAGCCAGGGTGAACCCTACTTCCATCCTTCTGACCTGACCCTGGACTTGACTTGTACCGTATGACCACTAGCAAATTTTATTTCTAAGGGATGGAGGGATAAATCTATCCTTCAAATTTCACTGGCGCACTGGTAGACGAAAGGAGTGCGTTGGATTTTATGAGATTGTCGCTGTGGCTGTCACTGCCTTTTAGTATGGCTCTCTTAGATGCTACTGAAAGTCGATTAATAACCCATTCAATCTAAATGTATGTTAGGTTACATGGCAACAACACCCGTACTCCCGAAATGTTGTCATTGAAGAAATTCGATTCCAAATCATCACGTGGCAGTAAAAGGGTCACTGAGTCATAGAATAATCCAATGGAGTATCAGCATATTTGCCAGAAAGGAGTACAATTATCCAGGTCCCTGATTGGCAACCCAAGACCATGACCGGTATGTTTATGTACCCAGCGCTATGATTCTTCACGGGAGTACCTGAGGGTCGACAAACTCTAATACTGCTGGTAGCACCCCCTCCCATCGCTATTCGGGTCAACAGAACAGATGAGCTAGCTTTCAGGGAATATTGAGTGAGATCATTTTTTACTAGTGGACTTTCTGCTATTCATGTTATCTGTCGGAACCCAAGTAGTAGGGGCTGTATTGGTACTGTGAAGGTGCGTGAGGGACCAATCCTAAATTAGCCCTGAGGGGTGCCTGCCTGCCTGCCTCATACCCCCCACACCTGAGGCCACAAACTTCCCACATTATCCACAAACCAAAAATAAACCTGAGGATTGGAGGATGACGGTTGCGAATGATTAACCTGGACTTGAGCGGCGAATGTGGTTTGCACACTGTGAAGAGTTTGTGATACTGAACTCTTTAGCTTGACACAGATGTTCGTTTTCGACATAAATGATGGGGATGCTTATGCTAAATCGAGAAATAAAAATTGAAAAGGTAATCTGTATAAAATATACTTCATACTGCTCTCCGTGTAACTCAGGGGCGAAAGGGCACACTCTTGACAATGGATGCTGTAGCTTATAAGAGTCAGGGTTGGAAGGTGAAGAACCGTACTGATATCCTATATCAATTCTTGTCCCAATTGTTTTTTCTAACGCATGGGATAGTCATTGGCTGGTTGCGGAAAATCTTGCTTCCTCTGGATGGGAGGAAAGCACAATATGTCAAGTGGTGGAAAGTGCTCGTCTTCTGGGCCTTCAACTAAGACTCAATGGAAGGCGCTCAACCGCGAGGACGACGGTTATGAGACCCAAGTCTCCTCCAACTTTGATGATGCGCCCATATCTGGCGAACAGGTGGCCCAGTACTACTCTCAGAGCATTGGGTAGGTCATTCGCACCATTAACGCACCCTTGAACAGGTGGCCCAATGTCCTCGTTCCTGAAGCCGATACCAACAACGACGCCAACGACAACCCCGATGGCAACGACGTACAGTCCAAGGGAGACGGCGGAATCGACCAAGCCGCGAAGCGCGAAGCGCGAAGCGTCAAAGATGGCTTTCTGCCGGACCCCAAACGAATATGCCGCCCACTGGTGGCAAAAGGCAATGGACCAAGGGTTGGATCATCAAAGACGGGGACGCAGCAAGGTGCAAAGCTTGGTCCGAAACCATGAAAACGTGATGGCTAGCTTGGCACGCTAGTATCTGGCTTCTGGAGGAGTGACATAGAGAGTCACGAGAGTAAAACCGACCGAATTTGGATAGTTAGAAACACAATGGCTAGCGACCTATGTAGAAGTTGCATAAACGGTTGCGGAGGTGGCATTGACCCAATGGTCGCTCCTGGGTTAGTGGTGGGCCTTCAAGTTATACAGCCTATTTCTACAACCCAACGATCAATGAAGGGATTAGTAGAAGATGAAGTGACGAGGACGGAAGAAACCAACAATAGCTAGCATTGTAGCCATGGAGTTGGCCGGAAGACCAATTGGAAGACTCGGCCCTGTGCTCCTTTCAGTTTGACAAAACTGATGGAGCCTCTGGTATGGAATCGTGTTATCGGTCTTTGGTTCGGGAGAAGACGCCATCCTCCGGGACAATGTCAACAAGCCTGCAAGATGTGAAGAAATAGGATTACAAGTGACGAAGATACCTCCGACAGCAATTTGTCCTTCGGGAAAGTTCTCAGTTTAGCCGTACTTAGCATATCCGCCAGGAACCCGTCCATCATGCTGGCAGTCGGATTATTCATCTGATCGTGCACATGAAGGTCGCAGTAAAGCTGAAGATGTGGCCATTGCAAGCAAGGCATAATTCAGGGCAATCCAGCTTGGCATTGTAGCCAGCACACGCCAGTGCACATCATCACAGATGCCAAGTCTACGAGAGATGTAGGGTCTGGTTTCGTGGATGCCTAGCAATATAGAGTCGAAAAGGTTGAACTCGCAGGTGGTTCGACTCGAAGGATCCAAAATGCTGGGACTAGCTCGCCTAGAGAGACGCACTCCAGGCAACATACTCCGAGAAGTCTGGATTTGAGGTGGTTGTAGTTAAGGTGACCATAGACCCAACCCCCACTTTAATCAAATATTTATGGGGCACTCGTGATAAAAGCCGACCATGGTCGGCTTTTGTCACCGACCACACTTTTCTTTTTAAATCCGTAGAGATTTTTCCTAGTAACATAGTCCACGGTCCAATTGCACACTTCGGCAGATTTTCGTACGCTACCACTTTGACCTGCGGTTTTTCACCACATAACTATGGTTGGTTCTTGGAATGAAAGTGATATGATTCTAGCATTACATGCGCTTCAATCTGATCCAAAATTAAGTGTACGTCGCGCTGGTCAGATCTATAACGTACCTTTTAGAACCCTTGCGTATCGACGCGACGGTAAAACCGCTCGAGCGATTACGCGATCGCCAACGCAAAAGTTGACTCCTTCCGAAGAAGAGGCAATCGTACGACATATTACCGACCTAGATTCGCGAGCATTTCCTCCCCGATTGAGTGGTGTTGAAGATATGGCCAACCGATTACTTCGAAGTCGCGACGCGGGACGCGTCGGCGTCAACTGGGCCTCGAGCTTCGTAAGACGACAACCAGACCTCCGGGCGCGTTTAAATCGAAGGATCGACTATCAGAGAGTCCTCTGCGAAGACCCCGACGCGTATCGCGCGTGGTTTGACCTGGTACGGAATACAATTACGAAATACGCGATCCAGGAGGAGGATATCTACAACTTCGACGAGACCGGTTTTGTGATAGGCCAAATCTCGTCCGAAATGGTCGTGACGACTTCTGATCGGCGCGGAAGGCCTAGAGCAGCCCAGCAAGGAAATCGGGAATGGGTTACAGTTATTCAAGGCGTTGGGTCGTCCGGTTATGCCCTCCCTCCGTACATCATTTTCGCCGGCAAAACCCACCTCTCGTCATGGTACGAAAACAGCCCATTACCGCCTGATTGGGTTATCGCAGTTACTAAAAATGGCTGGACTACGAACGAGAGAGGCGAAGATTGGATAAAACACTTCGATCATCACACCAAGTCTCGTACGAAAGGTACTCATCGCCTATTGATCCTCGACGGTCACGAAAGCCATCACTCGACCGATTTCGAGGTATATTGCAAAGCTAACAATATCGTCACGCTTTGTATGCCTCCTCATTCGTCGCATAAGCTCCAGCCTCTTGATATTGGTTGTTTTCGCGGGTTAAAAAGAGCGTACGGAAAAGAAATCGAAGATCTCATGCGAGCACATATAAGTCATATCTCGAAAGAAGACTTTTTACCGGCGTTTTTAAACGCGTACAACGCAACTTTCACGGTTTCAAATATCCAAGGAGGTTTCCGAGGGGTAGGAATAGTTCCGTACGATGCAGATTATGTCATATCACAGCTCGATGTGAAATTACATACGCCAACACCTCCGGGTAGCTCGGCTGGTCTCCCCGTCCCTTGGGAATCAGAGACTCCGAACAACCCAACCGAAGCCCAATCACAAATCGATTATGTGAAAAATAGAATTGTACGACATCAAAATAGCTCACGAACGTCAATTTTTGCTGGAATAGATCAGATTGCGCGAGGTACAACGAAGGTTATGCATCGGCTTGCCCTTTTAGAAGGCGAGGTCGAATCACTTCGAAAGGCAAATGAGACCTTAAGTCGACGTCGCCGTGCGAAGAAAAAACAGTTACAGAGTGGAGGGTCACTTCGTATACAAGCTGGACAGGACCTACAGTCTCAACGAGAGGTTGATGGGCAGTTACATGACGAATTTCGTCAAATTGGTGGTCGTACGAGGCGGCGAATTGCGCGTGTACGGCGCTGTAGAATCTGTGGCGAGCCCGGACATAATGCGCGCACTTGTGGAAATGATGTAGAGACGTCTGAAGATAACGATTCTGAGTAGTTTCAATTGATGATAGGCGTTGTGGTTGAATTAACTTATACATTGTCGTATAAGGTCTGCCAAAGTGTGCAATTGGACCGTGGACTACGTTATTACTAGGGAAAGCAGAATCGAATCGAAATCGGAATTCAACTTCAATTCAAATTCGATTCTATGGTCAGCTAGACCCAATTTTCACATATTTTCAACTAATAAGAATAGAGGGATTATCTACCCCACTATGGTCACCTGGACCCAGTGTTTTAACATCACGTGAGGTCATCGTCGGCTCAACTGGGGGGGTCTATGGTCACCTTAACTGTAGTCTCTGCTCTCAAACGTTGATACACCTACCCAGCCTAGCGCGAATTACCCCGCTAGTGTCAGATAGGGCACCTGGTTCCTAGGTTCAGAAATAATATGGCACTAGAGAAGACTATTAATAGTCACTTAAAGTTCAGAGGGCGAAAGGAACCCCTTTTCCCAAAAGCAACACCAAAGTTACTGTCCACTTAGGGGTCAGACACCTGAACAATGTACCTCCGATATGTTCTAAAGAATCTATAAAAGACAGAGCAACGGGAGTTCGCGAGAACAGAGAAGACAGAGAACGATACACCTCATTCATATTGTATCTTACGCACTTCTGACTACTCGATTGGACACACGTGATATTCGACAGCTAGCGTCCCCCTCGGTCTGGGATTGGGCTGTGTTTCTTGGCTTGGTCCATGATTTGTAGAAGCTGTGCTCCTCGGTCAAACATGCCATCTACACAGATGGTGCAGGAAATGACGTTCATTTTATCTTGCAACCAATCGCCGGACTGCTTACGCCCCTTTGCTAGCTGATGGCCTTATCCAGCGAGCAACCACCCAACCACAAGTTGGGCTGCTCCATCCTCGCCCTCGGGCTGTAGGACAAAAGAGTAGCGACACTCTAGCGACCTAGTAACATCTCCAGAGAGTAGTCATCCCCCAACCTTGGCGAAGTTCATAGTACAATACTTTATATTGTGCGTCCAGCCCCGGGCTATGCATGTGCATCAAGTTGCAGTCATCTGGTGCACCTGTGCCACTGCGTCGGTAATCGATTTGGACAGGACATATTCCCCCGTCGGTGTCAAAGAGCTTATCTGCCCGACGATGCATAGAAGCTGGTTGCGTTCAAAATCTCTCAGGTAACACTCTCAACCCGCCCATTCCTCTCCTCTCTATTTCACTTCGCCTGTCAACCTTTGCTTCTCCTTCTCATTTCCTATCTTCAGATTCTCGTCCAATGAGCTCGTCGTGAAGCAATACCCACTATGGATGTCAAGGACGGGTATGCCAAGACAGGACCGCCAGTGGAGCACGCTCATAACGGTGCTGATCCACCTGCGTATACCCCTGTCGCAGGCGGCGCACCACCAAATAGCGGACTGCCCAAGAAGCTCGCACCTGAGTTGTCACCAGAGGCTCTCGCCGAGCTAAATTCGGCTTTTGCATCACTCAGTGTTCCCACGCTTGCCACTAAGCCTACCGCTGATACGTGCCTCGCGCATCTGAAACTACTCTCGGCATTCCAGAGCCTCAAGGAGGATGTTGGCTATACAGATGGACTCTGGGACATATATGACTCCCACTCGGTCACAGAAAATAGGGACAGTGTTGAGCCAGGCGTAGATCTGGCAGCCATCTTGGCGAAGCTGCGAGAGAAACGATGGGCTGTCTACATCGCAAGAGCCGTCGACCGCTACGAAGCCTGGTGGAATTCCTTCGTGGCCGATCCACTGATTGCAAGTGACATGGAGGGCGATAGTCCAAAGTACCTCGGCTTCCCCGATATCAATGCTGCCACTAATTGGACTGCTCTTATGCTTCCACCTCTTGACGTGCTCATGGTGTGGCATGCTCACATGCTTAACCCTCGAGTGTATCTGGAGGACTGCATGCGCTATGGTCTCAAAGGGTTATGGAATGGGGGCATGCCGTGGAAGATGGTGAACGAGGCCATCGACACGAGTTTTAACTATACCGCCTCTGAAGAGTGCATCAAGGCTTGGAATAAAACTACTGGTAGGGAGTGGGACAACACCGCCGACTCGATCACCAAGTCTCTTAGATGTCCTGCTTGTGCCGAACCACATCAAGTACCTTGGACCACTTGCCGTGGGCCTGGTCTTGTTGGTGACGGCTACGGCGACGGTGAATTCTCGTATACGTGTTTCAGGTGCGCTACTGTCATCAACGGAGAGTTACTCGAGGTGGCCAAGTTCGTCAAGGATGTCAAGGATCTTCTAGCCAAAGACTGTCCTATGCCCGGGACCATACTGGACTTCAAAACAGGCAAGCCGGAACAACTTACAGCTCGAGACAGTCAGGTGTTCCCTCAAGAACGGCTGTTCCCCAACCGTCTGCTTCAGAGATACCTACGCAGTGCGATACTCGAATTGGTGGACCCCGGTCGCGAATCACCCGCTTCAATGGAGGATGTCCGTGTTTTGATCGAGGATGCAATCAAAGACCAAGCAGTTCTGAAGAAAGTAGAAGGAATCGAGGGTTTAAAATTCAGAGGGTATTACAGACTCACAACAGAGGGGAGGATCTCAATCAGGAAGATGATGTCTCGTTACTGGGGAAACTTCTCTCCTTTTTCTTTGGAATTAGGTGGTGCGGTCCTGCGGCAGGGCATATTCGCAGAGAAGATGCACAAAGTTAGTCGTTACTCGAAATGCCTGGAAGAGCTCGTGAGCTGACGTTTGGTAGATCGATTGGCTTCATAGCCCGACTGCCAAAGACACTATGGATCGACTGATAATCAAGTATCAACGATTCTTCCAGATGATGGGTGCCAATCGAGACCATATCCTTGTACCTACGCTGGACGTTGACTTGGCTTGGCACACCCACCAGCTCAGCCCTGCTGTATACTATCAATACACTGTCGCCAAAACCCAGGTTTTCACCGACCACGACGACAAGATCAGCGAAGATAAGCTGAGCGCTGCTTTTGAATGGACGAGCAGGACCTACCAAGCAGACTTTGGCGAAGTTTACAGCGAATGTACCTGCTGGTATTGCGAAAGCATTCGTTCTTCTCACATCTCATCTATGGGAAAATTGCTTGGTGTATCCAAGAATGAGAAGATTGCCGAGAACTTCTACACCTCGGGACAGGCAAACATGTGTCCGCCAGATAAATCAGCCCACATCTCAGCCCACAATGCCGTCAAGATGGACACAGACGTGAGCAGAGATAGCATCCAGGCCGCGACGTATCGTTCAGTGCACCTCGCGCAGGTCGCCCGCATCGACGAGAACTACAAGAAGGCCAAGAGGCGAGCGGCGAAGAAGGGACGTACCATCCCGCCGCGTGACGAGTACTATTATTATTGGGGGTATCCGTACATGGTGTACGGACCGTGGATGTATCCAGTGGTGAGTAACCCGTTGAAACACTTATGTACCTCTTCTATTTTAAGGTGATGAACCCTGGAAAGAGCAGCTCGCCTCCTTATGAATGATTTGACACCTTCACTTTCACCCTCCTCGAATTCACGGCAGACTGTAAGTGATTAATGCTAACATAGATTAGTACTACGTGAGTCACTCTTAGAGTCCTTGTTCCCTTTGCTTGTCGTGTCTTGGGGGTGACAGACTCTGTACAGAGAAGTTTCATTTACAGAGACATGACTTCGTCGGCCGGGGATAAGATACGACGAGTAATAACTGACTCGGATAGACCCCCGGATTCTACTATGCAGATCCATGCACAGCTGCCATTGGCTCAGGAGGCACAGGCGCGTGTGCTGGCGGAACTTGCGGGGTAAATAATACTCTTCCTATTTATTTTCTGTCCGTTCCGTGGTAACGCTGCATACTCAAACCACTCTCGTGGCATGGCCTATTGTAACCTGACGCGCAACATTCAATGCTGAAAACTGACACCTATTACTACAGAGCGGAGGGGCGGCCGGCGCTTGCGCTGGAGCAGCAGCCGGAGGCTGCGGAGGCCCAGGCGGTTGTGGTGCAGGAGGTGTAAATACCCCTCTTGGATTATGGCGAGAATTTGGCTAACTGGACTTTCAGTGCGGTGCTTCTGGCGGTTCGAGCGGTGGTGGCTGCGGAGGTGGAGCTTGAGGAGGAGTTGTGAGTCCTTTCTTAAAGCATTGCTTGCTGTTAGAAGGAGATGATCTCAAACGTTTACAATTGAGGCCGTTGAGACGGGAGTTGCTACGTTCATGAAACAAGTTCGGTTGAGTTCCCTGGTGCGACAGGCCGCTATATAAATACTTGTGCTGCATGATCTCGGCATCGGCAGTCTTCGTTCGGGATGATTGCTGCAATTATACTATCAAGGAGTAAAGGATTCGCAACCTTGCTTGTATGTTTTCAAAATGTGCTCTCTCTTCGTTCCATGATGGCAACTCTTGCCACTGTAGCAAATGTCAAATTCACGGTTCATGATGCTCCCCGTGATGTGTCCTCTCGACCATCGCTGTTCAACCAATGCAATCATGGTGATGGCACGACATTGACTAAAATATTGTTAGATTTGGTGCAAATCGTGGAGTTTACGACCGTCGGTAGACTTGAGCTGCTTGATGGAAGCGAGCACACCTTACAGGCATTAGCTATTGGCGTCGTGATGTGCCCCGCGAACATGGAAGGTCTAATGACGCAAAAGACATTAGACGATTGTGTAAGAGGCTGAAGCTTATACAGACCCCAACCTCCTCATTTAATTGCAAAGACATAAGGCTAAACATGAAGACATACGGATCCAGGGACAGCACCAGATGACTTCAATCACTTGGCACGGATGTGCAACCCAAAACCTACATCCCACCACTGTGAAGTTCTCCTATAATTTAATATATGCGCATGGAGCAACTGCCCAATATGTCTGGATCAGACCCACATGCGAAAGACCCCGAGGAGCAGCAGGGTGTTGCTGAGACTCAACAAGATTTGCCCGAGGGGGACGAGGAGTATGTCGAGGAGGAAGATGGCGTAGCCGAAAAAGTCAGTGAAGAAGACACTGACGAGGGCGAGTACGAGAGAACAGCGGAAGATCACGAAGGCGACGAGGAACAGGAACAGGAACAAGAGGCAGATAACCAAGATGACGAGAAAGATCAAGTCGACGAGGATGAGGAACAGGAACAAGAAGCAGATAACCAAGATGACGAGAAAGATCAAGTCGACGAGGATGAGGAACAGAAACAAGAAGCAGATAACCAAGATGACGAGAAAGAGAGCCAAGTCAAAGGGAAAGACTACGACGAAATGGACGAATATGCCGAAAAGGGGGAATCCGAAGAACCCCGAGGCACGAAGCGAGGCACAACAGACAAATTCCAAGAAGGTCCACGAAAGAAACAGAAAGGCCAGAACGGCAAAGCCAAGACCTCTAATTCCTCCAAGGTTGAAACGTCCAAGCCAAACGAAGCCGCAGCCAACGGCAAAGTGGGCTCGAAGCACGATGACCCCAAAGATCCGGCCACCCAGGGGTCAGTGGACCGATTGCCGAAGGAGGGGCAGCAGGTGCAGTGGAAAGCCTTGCCTGGGTACGTCGACGGAGAGGTAGTTGAGATTCTGAGGGAGGCGAAGGAGGTCAACGGAAAGAGTGTTAAGGCTAGTGAGAAAGATCCGAGAATTGTTCTGAAGAGCAGCAAGTCGGGGAAGGTTTGTGTACATAAGCCGGAGGCTGTGTATTTTGATGATTGAGTTGTGGATTTGGGGAGCTGAGGTGGACAGTGAATTGAAAATATTTGAATTAAGAAGATTTTGTATTAATCAAGTTCATCTTCGAACTGGTCTCATGTTACAACTTCTCACCGAGATGTGTGAGCTCTTATCAAGCAGCAATGCCCACTCATTGCACGTATAAGTGAGGGACTTCAGTCCTTATATTACATGCGCAGGTAGTGCTGTAGCGAACATGGCGGTTAGTTTTAATAAACTTCTGTTCATATTATGTACTGAAGTAAGCACCTCAGTGGTTGCCTAAGTCGTCCTGTTAACTGTACATCTGATAGACTTCATATATATTGCTAGCTCAATCGACCCACCAAGCCACCTGGTTGCCCTCACAGATCATCGTACCCGAAGCGCTAACCCGTCCGTCACTCCCAAATCGTGAAATCGCCCCATCGTAGATATCCAGGATGTCCTGGTTGTGAAGGGAGAACGCGAGCGGATCTCCCTGACTGGGTCCGCGGCCGATCGAGAAGGTACACGCATAACCAACGAGAAGGGACTTCACTCCCTCAGGCTTGCCAGTCAGATCGGCATACCAGTCCCCTGCATCGGTACTGACTCCGCGGCATGCGTCGTAGCATTCCGAGATGAGCGGCGCGGAGGAGTTGGTGGAGCCGACCCCTTCAACCATTGGGATTAGCATTTACCATTCTAAAATGAATAAACGGTGATCTGGGAGTTCTGAGTCATGTCTTAAGAGCATTGACTCCCGATATATCTCTGTTGGACAGCTTTTGCTCCCGAGACAGACCAGAAGGGAAAGTGGTGGCACCGGGAATTCGTACAGGTCTCTGGAGTGCAGTAGCCGGCGATGGACTTATCCCCGACACACCAGTTCTGTGCTGCGGCGAAAGAGGAGAGAAAGGTGGCGGTGGCGGCGAGGTAGATGATGAGTTGCATCGTGGTTTTTCTTTTCGGTTTTGACTGTTGCGAGAGAGCTATCGCGGTGTTGATACCGGCAGAAACGAGTGCTAGGAGGGGAAGCGATTATGGTCTATAATTAAGTACATTTTGCGAGCCGGTTGGAAGATGACCTACCCTCCCAATATCCAACCGCATGGGTGGGGAGAATGCGATGCTACGCTGGCCAACCTCGACAGGCTGCAGGGTATACCTGTGCCGAGCCATTTCAGATTTGCGTAATCGCTTCTTGGAGGCTGTACTAGTGGGCATTTCAATGCCTGATGTGGTGATATCCGGTAAGCAATGTAAGATGTAAGCGACTACATTCAACAAGGCCAGGCAGCTTGCTGTTCGTCTATTGGCTGCCAATCCATCTCTCGAGAGAACATGACGGTCCAATGCACCTCATCCGCTTCTCGACTTATTCCGGCCCTGTAGTGCAACTGAATATAATATGCGAGGCATTCCTGCCCTTCCTGTAAGCCCAAAATGCGACCTGACTGCGGCTGCAAGTTAATTCATGCAGCATTACAGCCGAAATAATGCTTCTTGATACCGACGTTCTTCTTCAGAGAACTGAAATCCAACAGACTCCCCACACGAAGGAACATCACTGCAGCTACTTATTGGTGTTCAAGTCCAACATGTTGGTTTTAAAAGACTGGAGATAGAATAATATGACCGGAAGAATCGGAAGGATTTCATGCCATTTGCGTTCGTATCCCAGGACAGATACTGGCACCAGGTTCGGATTCGACTGGGCTGGAAGCTGGAAATCTGCTCAGAAGTATGAAAAATTAGACCTCTTACAAACCAGAGCAGAAGCAAGGGATGTTGCACTGGCGCCCAGCTGGTTTTTGTTATGTTGAACAAGTTGAACAACGAGGAAGAAATGGCGTGATGACGGCATGTGCGTGCTCCACTCCTGTTGGGATACGACGTATGACAAGTCTGCAAGGAATGAGGGATGTTTGTCCAGACTGTAGTACGAGATCTCACCCTTGCTGGAGATTGAGTTGAGTGGACTGATCGAGCTCATGTAGATGTATGTGGTTTGGCTTCATAGCAGCGGCCGGAGTTATCGATGGTTGCCTGACGTTCTGGCTATGCTGATATGTATGTATCCCGAATAAAGTGCGCTCCACATATTGTCAGCTGGATACATGCATGTCAGCCCCACCTGAGCTCAACTGTCGTCGAAATTTTCTTTTCACGCTTCTTCCTACTCCGATGTAATCCAACAACACTTTCGGTATCGACGGTGCGGTTGCGCGAATGTGCAGCCGGCACCCCATAGGTAGGATTATATGTTCATCTCGTTTGTTGTGTTGTATCTCTATTTCTTTATCAGCAGCTACCATACTCCGGCCACTCGTCTCCTACGAGTCCCCTTTTGGGGTTCTCTCAGCCACGGCGCGTCTTGTGCAGTGGTGTCGAGACGGTCTGGAGAATTGGGTGATGGGTTCTCGCATTACTCATAAGTAAAACCTGCAAGAACGATTATCTAAATGGACCATCATAGTCCACGCTCGTCAGTTTTGCATCTACATCAGCGTGGCTCCCAGAGTTCCAACATTCATCACCGGGCCATCCCATTTGTGAGGATGGGTCGACTCAGCTTCGTTGGGTCAGTGTGGGAATGCATGTGCGCGTACTTGCACACTTCGGGTTGGCCCGCAAAACCCATTCCCTGCTGTGACTGCCCACTGCCTACCAAGTGATGTAGTGATTTACCTACTATTCCAAGCTTGGCATGAACGACGTCACACTTGATTACCTCTGAGCTTATCACGGTTGCTCATGGCGAACGGCGCCTGCCAAGAAACTGTCAACCTGGAAATAACTATTCTGTAAGTGTCGTGACGTCTTCAGGTTCCGTCGCGCATCTCCACCGGCTGTTTCTTTATGCATTCCAGTAGATCTATTCTGCGACGAAACACTCCTCAGCCACTGTACTGTTCCCGACTGCACTTACCGTTCAAAATGTCCTCGGATACCAAGACCAAGTTCTCCCATCTGCCCCTCAGCGCCAGAGGGCCTATTGAGTGTGCAGTTACTGGTCATTCGTTACTGAACACGCCGTATTTCAATCGAGGATCTGCACATAGTTATGAGGAGCGGCACGAATTCAACCTCACTGGACTGCTTCCCCAAAGTGTCCAGACGCTCGAACAGCAGGTCAATCGAGCGTATGACCAGTATTCAAGCAGGAAGGATGACCTAGCTAAAAATACCTTCCTCACCTCCCTGAAAGACCAGAACCTAGTGTTATACTATAAGGTAAATAACGACCCCTAAATGGGTGATATTCCATTTTAGGTTGCCAGTTCTGGGACTCGGGGGCCCATCCCAAAGGTGCAACTTTTTTGACTGATGAAATGCAGCTTCTGCAAGACCATATGGACGAGATGTTCAGCATCGTCTACACCCCAACGGAAGGAGACGCTATCGAGAACTTCTCGCGACTTTTCCGCCGACCTGAAGGGTGCTTCCTCAATATCAACGATACTGACCGAGTGGAGCACGACCTGGCGGAATGGGGACGGCCGGAAGATATTGACTACATTGTCGTCTCAGGTGAGACCCAGCTCTTTTCGGGTGCTTTGCTGCATATCGAAAACTGCATGCACTCCACCCATATAATATACTAATTAAGCCAGATGGTGAGGAGATTTTGGGCATCGGTGATCAAGGCGCCGGTGGCATCCTGATATCCGTCGCCAAGCTCGTTCTCACGACTCTCTGTGCTGGTATCCATCCGAATCGGACCCTCCCGGTTGTCCTCGACTGTGGTACCAACAACGAAAGGCTGCTCAATGACGAGCTGTACCTGGGCCTAAGGGAGAAGCGAGTCCGCGGGGAGAAATATGACAAGTTTGTTGACATCTTTGTCGAGTCAGCACGAAAATTGTTTCCCCGTGCATACATCCACTTTGAAGACTTCGGTCTAACTAATGGTAAGTTGATGGGATGACGCAGTACTTCAACAACTCCAATAGCTAATGCAAAACCAGCCCGTCGAATTCTGGAAAACTATAGGCCCAAGGTACCGTGTTTCAATGATGATGTTCAGGGCACAGGATGTGTGACACTTGCCGCCATTATGGCTGGGCTGCATGTGAGTAAGCAGAAGTTGTCGGACTTAAAGATGGTGGTCTTTGGGTCAGGGTCTGCGGGTGTTGGCATCGCCGACCAAGTTCGTGACGCTATCGCAGCTCAAGGGAGTATCAGCAAGGAAGATGCCTCGAAGCAAATTTGGTATGCCCATTCAACGTGCCATCGAGGTCTTTCGAAATTATTCTCTTTTGATTTGGCTAACGCTTTGCTAGGCTGGTTGACAAACCTGGCCTGCTCACCACCCAGGTCGAAGACCTGTCGCCTGCCCAAAAGGTGTTTGCGAAAGAAGCCTCGGAGTGGGATGGTAAAACATCGCTGCTGGACGTGGTCAAGTCCGTCAAACCCAACGTCTTGATCGGTACCTCGACAAAGCCGAAAGCTTTCACAGAAGAGATTGTGAGGGCAATGGCGGAAAACACGGAGCGACCGGTCATCCTCCCTCTTTCGAATCCGACCAAACTCCACGAAGCTGTGCCCGAGGACTTGCTGAAGTGGACGAACGGCAAAGCCCTAGTTGCCACCGGCTCCCCATTCCAGCCCGTCAAGGGTCCATGGGGCGCTGATGGATCCGAGATCGAAATTGAAGTTGCCGAATGCAACAATTCAGTAGTATTCCCCGGCATCGGTCTCGGAGCTGTGCTGTCTCGCGCATCTCAAGTGACGGATAAAATGCTCGTCGCGGCCGTTGAGGGCGTCGCCGACCTGAGTCCCGCACTGAAAGATGACACTGCCCCTCTCCTTCCCGGAGTAGGTGTTGTCCGCGACGTCAGTGTTCGAGTTGCACGAAAGGTCATCCTTGCCGCCGTCGAGGAAGGCGTCGCCACTGAAAAGGACATCCCTAGCAACAACGACGAGTTAGATGAATGGATCCGAGAGCAGATGTGGTCGCCCTCATACCGACCTCTAAAGCGGGTCAGTCCGACGGGGGCTAGCCGCCAGGCAAAGGCTGAGTTGCAGGTCGTGGGTACTTTGAAGCAGGCTGAAAGCACAGTTGCCGAAAAGTTAGGTCTGAACAAATGGACAGGGGGTTCTTGAGAGTCATCTGCGTAATTGATACGTTTTAGTGTAAAGTAGGGATATGTTATATGAAACGCTGATGTCTCGAGATTTACGATTTTAATCCGCTACTGTTCTGCGTGCTATCCTCCTACTGCATTGAAAACTTCCTGTCGCTGGAGCTCCTTGAAAAATTACAACATTAAGAACCACTGTGATAACCCACGAGTAAATTCGTAGTCAATGCTTCCCCCCTCCGCAAATCCGCATGTGACTGCGAATAAATGCGACCTCGTCTCGACCATCGTGACACGGCAGTGCCAAGCTTTGTGAACAATCTGTAACTGTAGCATTCGGACTGAGCATCCTCGAAATCATTGACGATATCAAAGAGGAGGGAAAAGAACAACTAGAGAAAATAGAACCACCCTGGTGCTTGAATCACAACCAAATCGGACCATGTCAACTATAGAAGTAGTCGAAAAGTTAGGAGAGACGTAGGGAAAAGAACAAAAGGAAAAAGGAAAACATAAGTCCAAGATAAGTGCCAGGAATCAATAATACAACACCATACACCCACCAACAAAAACAAGGCCACGAAAAAAAAGAAGAAGAAGAAAAAACAGCCTAGGGATGACGGTCTAGGCGAATTGTTCGCTTTCAAGGCTGATACTATTGAAGCAATTTAGAGGAGTTGAACCCCTCGGGGAGGACGGCCAAGAGGGAGAAGGAGAAGGATGAGTTAAACCACAGGCAGATGTGTCAGGTCTGGGAGTGGAGTTAGTTGACAGGGAGGCATATTATTTGACCTTATGAGGTCTTGTCTGACGAAAGAGGAAAGTTTTGATGCGTGCTGGATACTGGATGCTAATGTTATCGAGCATAAGGTTTCTCGTGGCCATGGTTGTGGTAGTGTTGCTCAGGGGTAGCGAGGGACATCTTGTGTTAGATGGAGGACGTGTGAAATCGGACAACTGCTATTACCTGGCTTTCGTTTATTCATCATCATTGGTTAGTGTGGATGGACGAGTATGGAGCCACCAACACTACTGCGTCAGGAAATTCTTGGGAGGGCTGGTTCTGAGGCCAATAAGAACGGCCTATGGCATTGTTGCACAGAAGTAGATGGCACGGAGCCACGAGAAAAGGACGGGCACGGAAATGAATCTGGGTTTGATTCTCGAGTTATTGCATCAGGGCAACATGTATATGGTCAAGGCCCGATAGAATATCCGCGAATGTCGAGAGGATCTCCGCTTGTCTGCTTTTATCACTAGGTGGTTGCGAGTGTGGCGCGGCCTGTGTTGGATCATATACTTACTGGATGACAGCTACCGTTTAATCAGACCTCTGCCAGGTACACAGCCACCATTGACAGGGTTTAGTTCTTTAAAAACTACGTATCGAAGTTATACTACAAACTCTCTAGTTGTATACTAGAGCTGAAATTCCGAACACTGTTGGGTCCGGGTATGACAGAAACAAACAAATACATCCAGCTAACACCGTCAACTCCGCAGAAAACAGAAGCGCCCCTGTCATATTCATGTTGCGTTAAGATCCCGCCGAGATTTAGATCAAGCCGGCCCTGGCAGCCTCACCCCCACCGTCATGCAGAACAGCCTCAATCTTCTGCTTCCCCTTGCCAAAGCCACCCTCGCCGACCCCCATCCGTCTAGCAACGTATCGCTGCGCAACAACGCCCACACTCAAATTCAGGGACTCCTCAACCCACTCGGCGACCCATTCCCGGGGATCGACGCCGCCGCCCTCGACGATCTCGCGGATCTCCTCGGGCACACTCATCACATCGTGGAGTCTTTCCTGCTGGCCCTCGGACTCGGCACTGGCGGGGGTGAGCGGACTGGGCGCATCGAGCCAGCGGATCCATTTGGCGGGTATGCTTTGGCTGACGCTGCTGTACATAATCTCATGGATAGGATCCAGCACATAGACGGCGAAGCAGACTTGGGTGTCTGTATTGTCTTCCGCCACGACACTCTCTTCCTTTTCCTTCTCACTAGTGGTGCTGCCAGCGAATAGCGCAGTGTCCGCATCGACGAGGATAGCCTGGACAGCGAGAAAGATGTCGCTGGTGCGTACGGGATTGTCTTCACTGACTGGCTCCAGTGCTCGCTTCTGAGCCTCCTCAACTCCACCGCTGGCGGCAAAGTAGTCGGTCGAGTAGCTCTCGGCACTGACGCGGCACAGCTTGGTTCCCTCGACGAGTCCCTTAACCACGCCGAGGTCGCGAGGAGTATCAACTTGGCGCCACCAGGGGCCATCCCGCCAACCAGCTGACGACGAGGAACCAGTGTAGAATGCAGTGGCATCTGAGGCACGGCGGGCACTACTTTCGTGGCCTCGCTGGATGACCAACAGATCGCCACCCTCGACTTGTGACATGACACGGCTGAACACCTCGTGGATAAGCGGATCCAGCGAGGGGTAGCCGACCAGGTCGTGGGTGATATGGATCAATAGGCGCTCATGTGAGGAGATAGGAGGCGCCAGGGTGTGGAGGATATTGGTGAAAGTCGGTAGAGCCCGATGACGGAGTTCGTCACCTAGCAAATGATGGGTTAGCGAGTTGTCGTGTACGTCCTAATTTGCGAAGTGTAGAGTGGTGCCGTATCGCAATAGCCTACTGCAAGCCAAGTGCGCACCGTAGCAGGAGAAGCACGTTAATACCGCAGTCTATACTCCGGATACCAGCAATGAAAGAAAACAACGTCCGAACAAATCACCGAAACCGAGTCATCAAACTCACCAAGGCCTTTGATTGCACCAACATTGCCCCGAACTGATTCAAGATATTTCTTTGCTTCCTCGTTTTGCTGAAGCTCCTTGTATGCCGCCTCGGCCTGCTTCACGGCGGCCGAAGCAGTCGCTGTGGCAGTTGCGAAGATGCCTCCCCACCATCCACCCCCAGAGGCAGCGGCTTGGGCATCAGCAGCCTGCTCAACGGGTCCTCTCTTTTCAGCGTCTTGCAGGTCAGAGCTGGTTGCGCTCGGGGTGAAGCTGGCATGGAACGAACGAGTGCTGTCGGCTGACTTGCGGGGTAGGTTTGGCTTGTCTTCGGACAAGCGGCCAGCCGCAGGAGGCGGCGTCGCCGTGCTCGTTCGTTTGGAGGCTGCGTCCTTGATTCGTGGAGTGTGCGGTCGAGCGGGTTGAGTCTCAAGCTGGTTCTCGAGTTCGGCGAGGATATCCTCGGGTTGCTCCCCGCGAGCCTTGGCTGCCGCTGACTTGGCTTTCGTGGTTTTCTTAGGGCCACTGTCGTTGCCAATGCCGGAGAAGAGCTCACCAAGCTCGTCATCAGTTGGTGCCGCCTTGGTGTTTTTGGCAGCCATAGTCAAAGATGAGGATCGCGGTCAATTTCTGGGTTTTGCTGTCAAAGGCGGGTTAGTAATTGCGACAATCAAGAGGGGTTCCCGACCAGACCTACAGGAACTATGTGCAGAAACGTACTATAGTGTGCTATCGTTCAGTTGCCCAGCAGCAGAGGCTTTTCGTAGCCGCAGCAACCTACTCGCCCAGCCGAAGCGACAAAGGTCTGGCGGGACGGATGATTGTTGTTGACCGGCACTATGGGCTCGTTGAACCCGACAAACAAGGCGGGAACAGAGGGGAGCGGGACACAGATGGCAGAAGAATGTAGACGTCGGCTACAGCTAATTGCCTCGCCAGATAAGGACGGAAGAACCGCTCAACGGTTGGGTTTAATGTCGAAGTATGATGGAGTGTTGTATGGACGACGAGAGGCACGCAACTGCAACTCGAACAACCAAGTCCAGCCGCGGAGCTTGTCGTCACAGCTGGACGGAAAGCTACACATGTCACCGGTAGGAGGAAAGTCGCACTAGCCCCAAAGCAGAACTGAAAAAATGGCAAGTGCTCTCATTGGCTGCATCATTAGAAACAAGGCCGACCCATCACAAGGTACGTACACGAGTAAGTGGCACGAACATAGGACAATGGCCTGCTATGGATCTCTCTCTCTGTTTACGGAATCATTCTAGCAGACGTCGAAAAAAATAAATATAGAAAAAAGACCACAAACATCGAGCATAATCCTCATCAGCAATGGCTTGCAGATTGTAGAATATCAGCAATTATTTTTGATGCGCTGCTGATGGATGCTCCGCGGACCCATGAATGCCCCTGGTGTATGGTGGTCCGTGCACAGCTGTGCTGGAACCTCTGAAAATTGGCAACCGGCAAGGTTGGGATGAGTGCGAGTCGTCTCAATAACACGAGAGCTTAGAGTAATAAGTAAGACGACCATCATCTACTGCCTGATGACACTACACAATCACGATAGTCGACAACTATTCTTGTGTCTCTGGTGCAGTCACAACGACTTGTTTCTTCAATTACTTCCTTCCCATTGTTCTGTTATTCGGGCGTTCATCTCATGCACTGTAATAATCTCGGCCATCCATCATCTCTAGTCCAAAGAAAGGGCTGGTCAGTTTTCACCACTTTGACATCCGCTCCCTCTTCACCTCGCACTCACAACCTCAACCTCGCTCTTTTCATCTTGTGTGGTCAGTATACTCTCTGAATTTAACTTGTCCTACCATGCATTTGGCCTTCTCTGGGGTATATTTGACACTATCCCCTTCTTGTTGTGTAAGGCCTGTGTTACATCACCTTCACCCTTTTTCCCTCTCGGACAACCTGCACAATTTCGAGGAGAAGTCAGCTAATCCAGCCAACTCCGATCAGAAGCATACGGATTATATTTTCCGCATCGAACAAAGGCTAGACGAGTGCTCTCTGAATGTCAATCTGACTCCGTGGAAGCTCTCATTTCACACTCACCTGGGCATGAATAAGTCGCCGTCACGTCCATATCCAGCGCTCAAGTGCAACCGACACACCGACAACTATTCCCGGTGGGACGTCCGACTCCCATCATCCATCTATCTGGTAAGTCTCAATCAACTTTCAATTAATCTATTGGTCTTGCTTCTTCCCTGGCTGCCCATTCGCGGATGATCGCCGTCCCATCTACACATCGCTTGACCTGCCCACCAGGTGGCCAAAATGCGGCTTCACCCGCTGCATATAACAAGATTTGCAGCAAATCACTTCAGCCCCGAAAGTCTCTCAACTAACCGCATCTATAGCATTGACGAGAGCGCAAAAAGGCAACGCTGTCTGTTTCATTTGGGCCTTAGTGGGATTTAGCTACTAAGACGGGCGGTATCCCTTCTCAATTTTTGTTCCACTCCAGCAAGGCCATCTATTTCTTGACGGTTCCGCCTTCCGAGTGCTTCCAACTAGCGGCCACTCGCCTTGGACAACGACCATCGCTATTTGCCGCCCGCCACCAATCCAACTTACAATAGATACTACCGGTTTACCTCACATCCTCCATTTTTTGTTGCTGTCTGCTCATTGTCTCTTGAGGCGCGTGCCGACCTTCTTGCACTTTTTACCTTACCTCCCCCACTTACATAATCTCCGACCTCAAACTTCTTTCAACCCTAGCGAAACACCCCGATCACACAATAACCGCCAGCCATGGACTCGCCTAGCAATCGCGGCAGAGGCCGTGGTGGCGGACGAAAGCGTCATACCTTCCCATCGAGATCGTCTTTTCGATCGTCTGAATCTTTTGAAAGCCCTTCGGCCGCTGCCACCACCCCAGTCGCAGTACCCCAGACATCCTCATCCTTCACCTTTGAGACGCCAAGTCCGAATGCTAGAGGCACTCGGATGCGCACCCGTCATCAAGATGACGCCCAACCTTCACCTGATGAGCCAGGAAGCAAGGGCGGGCGCTCTCTTCGAAAGCGTGCTCGTATTGACTATACTAGCTTTGATCAGGCCGATGACGAGGAGGCCGTAGAGGCCAAGTCCACGCCGCTTACAACGCGCTCAGTGAAGAAGCGAAAGGCTGATCCCACACTTCATGACGAAGACTTCAAAGAGGAATTGGAGACTCGCATCAAGCGACGTGCCTCAGAACAGCCTCAAAAAAGTACCACACGCCGCAGCACTGCGCGAAAATCCACCGTTGAACCTCAGCCACCTGTTACGGAGCAACAAGAAGAGGACGTCACAGTCCACGACACGATTGAGGTTGGTGGCCATCACAGTGAGCCATCAGAATCATCTTTCCACCACAGTAATCAAAGCACTAGTTCTGGCGCTTCCCCCAAGAATGAGTCCACTGCAAATGCTTCTGCGCCAACCTCCACCTCCGTTCCAACCCAAATCACCGCCCCGGAACCCACTGCAGAGACAGCGCGCAAGGATTTGCAGCACCGAAAACCCCAGCCTCAGCTTGAAACCCCACCGGAACCGGAGGTTGAGACCAAGGAGCAGGAAATCCCCAAGGTGGAGGTTCATGAAGAGCCTCAACAACTTCCAGCAGAGCTACCGACAGCGCCAGAGAAAACCAAGGCTGAGGAAGCCATCCACGGAACCCAAACGAAGTTTGCCATTAACCAAGTCAATCCACTCGACGCTGCACAAGAAGCCATCGAACCTGCCACTGAACAAGACAAGGTTCAGCCTTCCAATGTCATCCTTAAGCCCAACAGGCTTCTTCCGTCCAGTGCAATTTTCAAGCAAAGCAAGTTTCCGCCTCCCACCAAAGCTGTCGAGCAAGACGATGTCGGCACTTATGCGTACCTCACGCCGTACATTCAAGGTGCCAGGGTCTTCTATCCAGCCAGTCAGACGGAAGTCGAGCCTGAAGCTGAGCCTGAAGCGGTACAGGAGGAAGCTGTACCCGAGGAAACCGTCGAGGATCAACCTGATGTCGGGGACGAAGATACACCTGGAGGCACCCCAGGTGGCGCCGAAGACACTGCGGTCAACTCACCCCTTCTCGATGTTGACGTGCCATCTGTTCAGCCATGCACGAAGAAGCAATTTGCTTTCAAACAAACGCGATCAGCCTCACAGTTCACAGACTTGTTCGAGAACCCAGATTCCTTGTCACAATCTGAACTGTGGGAACGACTGGCGGCTGTGAATAGAGTTTTGGTTGCATGGCAAGATGAGTACAATGAGCTACGCAAAATCACCGATGACGAGGATAATGCACAAAGATATCAGACGGAAGAGGCACACTTCTCACATAAACAAAAGATGCTTCTCAGCAAAGACCCTACCACGAATCCTATCCGTACCAAAGACTTCGTTGTCAAGGGCATCAGAGCAGCCAAGCCGGACCCAATGGTTACCTATGCGCGACAACAGGACAGAATCATGGCAAATGCCTACCTGTTCGACTATGATGACCGAGAGTCCAAGATTGGACTACAGGATCCCGTTGGCCAACGTGGTGGTGCTCACAAGACGCGACTTCGCGACAGACCCAAGCAAACCGCTAAAGCCGCTGAAGCTGATGATGTGAATGTCGTTCATGGCAAGCGCCCTAGGAAAGCACCCAATCTTTTCGGCGATAGTGAAGCTGTTAGCAGAAGCTCTACCCCTGTTCCGGTGCCACAACCACGACGGAGGCGTGGACGCCCCTCGGCAGCGGATAAGGAAAGAGAGAAGGAGGAAGCCGAGGAGCAGCATCTGGACGTGCTGCCCACATCCCAACCTGAGCCTGTTGTTGAAGAGACACCCAAGAAGCGTAAGGGGGGCAGACCCCGAAAGCATCCTCTGCCCCCGCCTATTCCCGAGGACGACTTGCCAACTCCACCTGCCCCGGAATCTGTCGAGGCCGAGGAAGAGAGACCTTCTCGCAAGCGCAGGCGCAGAAACGCTCCTGTCCAAGAGGAGCCTGCCCTGCCCGCCACCAACGGTACAAATGGCCATGCATTGGCAGGACCTACCACGCGTCGACGCAACTCCCGTCTTGCGGAGATTCCGTCGGGTTCCTTCTACAGCACCGCATCTGTCCCTTCTACACAACCTCATGACGAGTCCCGTCCCAACACATCGTCTTCGACAGCTACCGAGTCGACGACAGGTACCTACCAGCTTCGAGAGAAACGTCAAAAGCGGTTCTCTTTGGGTGAGGATGAAGATGATTTTGAAGATGAGATGGAGCAACGCAAACCCAAGCGTGTCCGCCGGACGTCCAAAAAGACCCAAGTTGAGGACTTTGCGCCTGTTCCACACACGTATGCTCCGATCGAGCCCGAGCCTCAGAGGCTGCCCAAGATCAAGATTAAAAACTTTATGCCTGGAAATGGAACGGCTTTCCCACCCGGGCCTGGACCTGCACCGACGTCAGCCCCCGGGGCCATGCCTGTCAGCTACTCGATAAACTTTTCCCAGAGCAACAGCTCGACCCCGCCGCAGCTCGCACCTAGCCAGAGCAACGGCATGGAAAGCCAAAATGGCAGTCAGAATGGCTTTTCGGAGAACGGCTACGAAAACAAAGACTATAGCACCATGACGAAGTCAGAGAAGATGTCTTATTCCATGAAAGGTATGCCTACTCCGAAACTCATGTTTTTATTAATTTGGTGCTTACTCATACGTATAGCTCGATGGGCTTCTGGATCGATGTCACCCGCCGTTGCAAAGCGACGCGCAACTCTCGCGGCTAAGAAGGCCGCGGCGAAGCCTGCCACTGCTGGCGTAGTAGCTGATACACCAGAAATGTCGGACGTACAAGAGGGATCGCAAGGGCCTAATGGACGCGATCGAGTCGAAGTTCCCGATGGGGCTGTCTCCCAATAGGGAGGTCATTACAGCAGACCAAAAGGGGTTAAACAAAGCGAAAAGAAGAAATGCATGAAAGAATTTAGCGAACACAAGGGCAACCTCAGCAAAAGCCCAAGCGAGAAGGTCCCTGGAACAATCCTCACTTCAGCAACTACGTGGAAGGTATCACGTAGAGCGGCACGCTTTACTGTGGGGAAGCGAGTGAGGAATGTAGCATATTTCTTTTCCCAGCATGTTTTTGCAACCACTTGCATGGAGGATTGCATCAGTGCAGTGAACTGCTTATGCAATTTGCAGACTGGCGTTAAGGAACATATAGAGTGGACGATGATACCCACCAGTCTGGGCAGCATTAGTGCATGCGAGGGCACCGAGGGAATGGATATCTAATTGTTTTTACTGTACTATAGGGAGTGTGACATTTCACAAAACTGTTGAGAGATTCTGGCTTTGACTGGTTTAATTTGCTATGTCTTGATCAATAAGTTTCCTTCTCTCCAAGTCATATCGTATTGAAGAAACAACCATTTGGCTCAAAAATTAGCCAGATGTCGGCCTCCCAGGTTTGTACCTCTCGGACAGGCAGGATGGTTATGGTTAGGAACAGTATATTCCATATTGTAAAAGTTGTGTAGACCTGTACAGCGGAGACGGGATCCAAAACCCCAGTGCCGCCAACCTCCCGTCTACCATCGCAACGTCCCCGACGCAGAACGGGCGACCACAAAGTGAAGTCCCACCCAGACTTCCAGATGGCTTAGGATGCCTCCCATTCTTTTCACCAACGAGACAGCCATACCAGGTCAAGACCTAGTAAGTTTGTCCTCTATTTTTATCAGTGGTAGCTGACATACCTGCACCAGTTGTTATGTGGTGTAGGGAGTGGCAGCCTTTCGCAGGTTGACATTACCAGGGCAGGGAAGAAGGGCGAGGACATTGTTAGATTCTTGGTCTGGCCAAGACGCATGGAGAGCTCTGTCCTGGACTCCTGAGTTGGACTGTTTCGAAACGTGATGCAGGTGCTGGATTCCTGACCTGCCTGCTTTTCGGCATGAGTTTTTATGATTCCCCTTTTTGCATAATCATGATGGCTGATATTTTTATGATTGATGAATTCCTTCCTGTTAGCCTTTCTGGCCCGTCTGTCCTTTTGTTGCTGCTCCATGGCAAATCCTACAATCAAAGATGGGTTGTTTGACAGCCTCCAGGCCGCACCCATGAACTCGACAACGTGCCTTGAGGAATAATAACGTAAGTTGCATGGTCCATTTGCTGTGGATTATTATTTATCAGCGGTGGGCAGTGAGGCACGGGATGGAGTTCGCTCCTGACAAGAGTGAGCTAATGCACTTTACTAGGGCCCGAGAGCCCTTGCCGCAAAGTATTCGCCTTGGGGACGCCACAGTGTCGCCGGTAGTCTCAGCGAGATTCCTAGGAGTCTGGTTCGACCGCAAACTGACGTGGCACGCCCATGTTGAGCGTGTTAAAACAAAAATGGCAACTCAAAAGCTAGCCCTGACAAAGCTAGTCAATATGTCATGGGGCTGCGATCTTATACGGGCGAGGCTGTTATATACGGTGGTTATCCGTAGCGCGATCGCCTTCGGGGCGACTGCGTGGCATACTATAAGTAAGGAACCGGCAGGGCCAGCTAAGAGCCTGATGGGGATACAGAACGAGTGCCTCCGGGTAGTCTGTGGCGCCCACAAAGCGACGCCGGTTCGCCACCTGGAAGCAGAAGCAGCAATCCCGCCACTAGACCTCTATCTTAGTGCCCGGGCTGCTAATTTTGAAGAACGGCTACGGCTTAGCGGGAAGAGAAATCTGCTTCGCAGCGCGAGCGCTAAAGCGTCACATATACTCCGGCAGGATAGACCGGCGAAGAGGAAGCAGGCGTCGCAGCTACTCCGACCGGCAGGGTACACTATGGAGAAGGAGGCCCGGGGCTCCGAGTGGATGAGTGAGGAAAAGGAGGTCCCGGCTGCCATCCTCGGCCACTGGAGGAAGAGATGGCTCACCGGAGCAGAGCATCACGATCGCCAGCGACGCGCCATCGCTAAGGAACCGGAGGGCCCTTCGATGCAGATACCGAAAGGGGGCAAGTATTTCGGCCTGAACCGACTGGAGGCGTCTACGCTGTGCCAGATCAGGACGGAAAAAATAGGACTAGCAGCCTTCTTATTTAAGACAGGGGCTTTTGGCGTGTACTCGCCGCTATGCCGCTGTGGCGACGCCCCTGAGACGGCAGAGCACGTAATCCTCTTTTGCGGGCTGTTGGAAGGACCGAGGGAACGATTACGGGCCGCTATCGCACCACGGCCACTATACTCTCGCAGAGACCTCGCAGCGGCAACAGGATAACCAGTAGTTAGTGGGACTATTGTAAGGTGGCTGCTAGGGACGGGTCGGACAGCTTCAAGGCCCAGATAGCATCGATCTTCTCAGAGGGGACTTTGTTGGTAGGTTGAGAACCAACGTAGTATGGTAGTGAACGCAACGCAGTCGCCAATAGGGCAAACCGACGACGCAGCGTATGTATTTAGTCCAGCCATTAGGGCACGGTTTGGCATACGGGAGTACTAGTAGAGGTACCGGGGGCTTCGAGCCTACAGCGTATTTAATAATAATAATATTATTATTTATGTACAACATGTCACTGATTCCAAAAGGCCTGATTTTTCTTGAAGGGACTGGGGCAGGAAGGGACTGGGGCAGACACGGCCGAGCTATGCTTTCTCGTGTCTTGTTTCCACCACGGCCTCGAGAAATCCATCTCCAGTGGGCTTGCAAAGATGGCATAATCATTTCTTCGAGTTGCTGACCGATATGACGAAGTAACCACAGGTTTCGAATCATTTGAAACTCTTTAATGGCATTCACTCGCCACCACAGACGACTGCATGTTTCAGATGTGTTCTTCCTGAATCTCGCAGCCCAGCCATTGGATATTCTCGTACTGAGTACCCCCGGGCAAATTACAGTTATGAATACGTACTATGGGAAGCCAACTTGCAATTCGAAAGACACCCACCCATCGACTTTGCAATTGGAATGGTTGGAGGGTCGACACGGGATTTCAGATTGGTATTTCTTCATGAGACATCAGGAACAAGGGCAGCACATGCCTGACCGCTGTGTACAATGCCGCATTACTTTCACGAACAGAAAGACACAGGTCGCGATGCCAGTCAATGGATTGAGCTCATGCGTTGATGGTCACATTAAAGCCAGACATATCTTTAATCAGCTAACATTTGGTCTTCAACTCTGCGTGCTCGCTCACTCGAAACGCAACAGAAGTGCCTCATGCCAATCCATCAACTCAACACGCATCATACCAGGAGGTTGATTCGGAACTGAACGTCTTCATTTGTCCAGCATGCTATGTTTTGGTATGTCTCCTTTTACGCCCCATAGCCGAAATGCAAAGCTACCAATGCATCAACGAGACCTCATGCCAGCATTTCCTCGCCTTAATGTAGAAAATGTGCTGGCCAACGGTAATCGGTCCCAAATCGTGATTCGTTGGTAGACGGAAATATTCCTCGCTTCCAAACCCTCACAGGCACCCTCTACATGACGACACCAGAGTTGCTGGCAATACGCTGGACAAACAGTTAGTGGGAGCCCTTGGGGTATGGCAGACAGGAAAACTTACGGGCCACAGCTCAGCAGCTTCCTTACCAACAGGGCCAGTGATGGCCGAACCCTTCATCTCACCCTTGGCGTTGACGATCTGTAGAGTTTCGAGTCAGCATGTTGATCAACTCAAAGAATATTCCAGCCCTCCTTTGCGCCGCGCCCTGGTGAATCACTATCTCCTCGTTGCGGTTCTTGCACGCTCTCCAATGGTATCATACGCGTCGTTCTCCTACATATGAAAAGAGTGGATTGACTTACAACACCGGCGTTGTCCTCGAAGTACAGGAAGACACCGTCAGTTCGCTTCCATGGCTTGGACTGCCTGACGATAACGGCGGGGTGGACCTTCTTTCGGAGCTCGGGCTTTCCCTTCTTGACTGTGGCCATCACCATGTCACCTACACCACCAGCGGGCATACGGTTCAGGCGGGCACCGATACCCTTGACGGAGATGATGTAGAGGTTTCGGGCACCGGAGTTGTCGCAGCAGTTCATGATAGCGCCGCTATTCAGCTGTTAGTACCTTTGTATCTCGTGTCGCGTTCTTCGAATCGGCATCATAGCTCATCGTCGAAACCTGGGAGTTTTGGGTACATACACAGGCAGACCGAGGGTCATCTTGAGCTTACCGCCCGGGGCACCACGACTGGCAATATTGTTAGCAAGATACTCCTCGACCCAATAATCGAAATGCAGTCATTGTCCCGTCGTCTTTGAGTCGAGCCGGGTCCCGTCTCTTCCGATTTTCATTGAGCATAGGGTCCAGAACTCCATCGCGCTGACCGTCACATTCCATTTCCGCCAATGGATTCCTCCTCTTGCTGCGCTTTTTCTTCCACAGAAGCTCCCATCCAGAATTTTTCACCCCGCCATTGATTGCTCGAAATACTCGGTCGTTGCTCGAATCGACGGGACAAAGCGAATTTGTATATTCCATTCAACTTACGAGATCTTGGCCATTGCTGCTGATGTGAATGCGACGCTGTACTGATCGAGTAGTCGGGTTGGGGAAGTTGCAGGTTGTTCAGATGTTGCAGTTCGGTAGGGCGAGCCTCAAAATTTCGGTGGGATCTCGAAAACCCTAGCGAGCTGGAAGGTGCGCGCACGAGCATTTCGCTCGCCTCTGTGGACAGAACCGATAAGATAAGACCCACCACTCCCGAACAGTCCTTCGGCAGCTGGCAGGCCTGTCTCGATTCTCAGTTCTCGCAAGTGGGTTTAAACACTCGGAACTTCAATTTCAGGTCTTATAGCAAGGCAGCTTAAGCCTCTGTCTCAGTCCCTCAATCGTTCTCAAGGCTGTCAGACAGCTACCAATCTCATGCAAAATGAAAACTGACCATCTTTTCTATTTCTTCTCATATCGTTGGGCCAGGAATGAGTAATCGTTCAACCAACCAAGCAATGTCGCCCATCGAATGCGGTTTGAAGTTTTGTGATGAAAATGAGTTACAATTTTACACACTACAACGAACCCCCTAACCTAGACTTTGTCCATCTAGCTCCTAACCTCCCACATCTGCTTGGGTCTTATCAATCATCCGCTCACTCGAAGCGTCAAGACAAAATTCAGAGTCGATGCCACGCCTGAGAACGACCAGATCCATGCCCTAACAGCTATACACTATATTCATAATTGGTATCCTATATCTGTTGTGTATCGAAACTGTTTTTTTCCCTGTCCTCATACAAAAGTATCTGTTCAGATCTCATTCTTGTCGTTTCCAGTGCACGTGCTACCCGAGCCCGTGTTTCTAATACCAAAGTGTGGAACCCGAATGCTTCTGTTACCAGCTACAGAGACACTAGTAAGTCTACGTACGGGTCCCATTTCTCCAACAAAACTTACCAAATCTCACTATAGTTGAGAACAGAGTAACTTATGCATTTTTCATAAAAATAGTAGAATACTCAGAAGGAAATTTTATAATAGAGAATTTAGCTAAATTATAACTGTATACTAATTATAACATTGTACATCTTGTAATCGCAAAGTGTTACAAAAAGCTAGTTAGTTAGTGTTAAGAGGCTCTGTAAGGAGCTTTTGCTCTCTCTAAGAAAGGGTCTGACCCACTATCCACAATAGCAATTGTACCACTTTCGGTTTAAGGCATAACTGTGGCGCTCTATCCACAGTACTTGTGGTTTAGTAGGCCGTACACAGACTTATTAAGGTCACTATACCGCACTATCGTTTCTGAGTTGATGAGAAGCCATCGTGTTCCCCACCACTCTGCGTGACCTGAAGCCAATCCGCATGACTTAACAGGAGATAGCGCCGCTCAATTGAAGCTACCGTACATCGCCCTCGACACTGTTTTCGAGCTTCGGCCTCTTTGTCGGCAGGTCTACTCTGGTGGAACTGCCCATGCCTCCGTCGCATGTTGTGCTCCTGGACTAGCGGGGCGTCTTATTCCACCATCTGCGATGCCTGCCAGGCATTTCCGGGTGGAGTTTGGGATGCCAAAGCCATGTCATCCACGGAAATTGCATCTTGATTGCATCTTATGATTCCATCCAGTCAAGGTTCATTCTCGTGCAACCAAGTCCTGTAGTCCCTTTGCCACTCCACGTGCGCTTGCGGACTTGCAGTTATCTTACTATGCGGCCAACGACTCCCGAAGAAACCAGCAAGTCCCCTCGGCGCAGCACAGATGCACCTGTATAGGTAGCGGTGGCCTATCCGAGTTGGCACTGGCATCAAAATTGCACACCGGCAATGCGGAATAATACCAATTGCCGGACTTCCCACACAGACAATCCTGATATGAAAGCATTTATTTTGTGTGTCCCCACGTGGATATCTTGCAAGTACAGCGACTGCATTTGCAGTACGACCTCCCGGCATTTCCGCTCTGTTTGCCGGGAGAGCGTACCGAGCTGGCCCTTGAGATACTTAGGGCAGAACCCGTCTTCAGGGATTTAGATCGAATCGACGTTCGAGCTGCTTGTCGATGTCGCTGATGGCTCTGCCGGAGGTCTCGGGGAAGGAGATAGACTTCATGTCGGTCGAATTATTGTTATGGGAGCGTGACGAAGCCTAGCTGCGCCGTATCTTGCTCGTTGTTCACCCGACGATGCGCTGATTCAGGCCCTCCACATCGTCTCGATAGCGTAGCCGGTGTAGCTGCTGCAAATTCTTCTCGCTCTTTGCCCTTGTTATAACCGTCATCTGGGACAAGATTCTTGGTGCCTGTCAGGAAACTATGCTGTCTCCCAAGCTTGGTGTGTCGTGTCTACTGTGCGCATATTTGTTTTTGCTAATGTGGCTCCTAGAAGGATCAGCGCCTGTCGGCATCGTTCGACTTTTGCTTGGGAAGTCGAACAGATGTACCGAATGAGACTCGAACGAGTCGAACAAGGGGGTTTTATGAGAAGGACAAAAATAAATATGGTTGTAAGTCATGAAGCGGAGGCGGGGGAAGCTGAAGGCCCGGATACGGCACCATGCACAATCTGCAAACTATCTGCAATTCGCCAGTGCGGGAATGGTGTCCCGGTCCGAAGATGTCCAACTCTGCAGGTCGTGGAGGCGGTGCTTGTTATAATTGAAGCCGAGTGTGGTTGCGTTTGGTTATTTGCTTCGTGTTATGAGCGTTATCCTCATCGTGGAAAACATCAGTTTTGAATAATCAATAATCAGACCCAATCTTGATGATGCAAACTTATGCAGATTTATTCTGTAATTAGAACTTCCTTTGAATTACAGAGAAGCACCATCAAATCTGAAAGTAAGCAATTCAACATTCCTGCCTGATATTCACCAACGCCGCTCTCTCGTCACTTCGCCTATAGTACACAAGTAGAGAGCCTATACTAATGAATCCACCATCCGGATGCGTAGCGGCATGAGCGTAAGAAGTATGGGTATCATGGACAAGGAGAGGTTACAGTGGTAACACAAGGACTACAACCCCATACGGGCTCGATCCGATATTACCAACATGGCGGTGCTTGAAATTTAACCTTGTCAGGATAAATTCCACAGCTTGCTGTGAGGTAAATGCGTGTCCGCCTGGCCTACCACCCACTCGACAGTGCGGCCTATGATGTAGTGATACTGGTTCCTGATTAATCCAATGTTATTGGCTTATCGCATGTGCCCTCTTAATTGCTCGCCGCGTTGCCCTCTCCGTTCTCCTTGGGTCCCTTGTCACTTGTGCTGGTCGTAGCCGGCTCGGCGCTCTTTTCCTTGGTGACTTCGGGTTCTCTCGACTCGTCCACATCCATGGCGTCGCCACTCATCTCCGGCTGCTTCTCTTTGGCCGCAGTGGGCACAGTCGCCTCTTCAACGGGCACATCACCTGTTTCTGACGGCTCCTTTTCCGCAGTTGTGACAGGGGCTTGCTCGATAGATGTAGCATCGTTGGTCTCGCTGGGCGCTTTGGCTTCAGGCGATGTCGGTCGCTCCGAGGCGTCATTCTTCGGAGAGTTTTCCTCCTTCTTGACCTGGGCTTCTTTGTCTTCTGTTGGTCCAACTGTAGCGTCGCCCATATTAACATCGCCATCTTTGTCAACTACACTGTCGTCTGCTTGAGCTTCCTTCGCGTCCTTTAATTCTTCCTCTTGCTCGGCAATCCCAGTCGCTTCAGGATCCTCCGTTCCCTTCTCGGCCTCGAGTTCAGCCTCGGGCTCGGCGTCTGGCATCATGACTTCGTCCGTCTCCTTAGACTTGATGATATCACCGCTGCCGTTCGCTGGGGTTGGGGCGCCACTATCATCCTCGACCTCTGCGTCCGACTTGGAGTACTCGTGGTAGCGCTTGGGATTGTCATTGCGGTGGATACCGTTCTGTTTGTCCATATCTTCGTTGTCGCTGTCTTCGTATTCGTTATCTCTCTCGATGCGTTGTTCCCACTGTCGCTGCGTCATGCGCACGTCTTGGTGCTCATCCTCATCCATGTCGTTCAGTGCGGCATCCTCCTCGTCCGATACAACACCCGGTAAATGTGGCGGGATGTCTGTCGACTGAACTGAGGGAACATGGGCCGTCCGACGAAGGTTCTCAATCAGCTGGTTCTTGATCTTTTCCAGATATTCGGGGCTGTTTGCATTCTCCATGTTGGACGCCCGAACATCCAGGGCGTAGTCTGGTCCATAGTACTAGTTTATCTCGGTCAGCATAACATCTCAACACACCATCGCAGCCGCGCTCACCTCGTAATATTCGTTAAATGGCAAAGTACGAGGCATCTCAGCATTAACAAGGAGGCCCGTTTCGAATGCCCACGTTCGAGCAACATTGCGCATCGTATAGCCACCACCCCCGAGAACCAAAGTTGGAAGATTAAAACTCTTTACAAACTTGACACAGTTAGAGTGGCCCGCCATGCTCAGATTGAAGCAACCAAGCCGATCACCTGACAGACTGTCGCCACCACATTGTAGAACAACCGCATCGGGGCTGTAGAACTCCATAACACTCGAAATGACGGGTTCGAATACAGACTTGTACGAAGCATCGTCAATACCATCTCGAAGCGGGAAATTAACAGCGTAATATTTTCCCTGGCCGATACCGATATCCCTAAGCTCGCCCGTGCCTGGGAAGTACTCGCCGTACTTGTGAAATGACACAGTCATAACTCTGTCGGTGGTGTAGAATGCTTCCTCTACACCGTCTCCATGATGGACGTCGATGTCGATGTAGAGAACTCGCTTATTGAAGCGCAAAAGTTCAAGGATGCCGAGGACAATGTCTGGCGGCGTCGCATGTCAGTCACAGTCATCAAACAAATCGCAAAGATTTGGCATCGGGGGCATAATTGGAAGTGGCATACCGTTGACGTAGCAGAAGCCGCTAGCCTCGCTCTTCTTGGCATGATGAAGTCCTCCAGCCCAATTGACAGCAATGTCGCACTTTTGACGGTTCAAACGCGCGGCACCTTCCATGCTTCCACCGGCGCTGATGCCGCAAAACTCGAAGAGGCCATCAAATACTGGACAATCGTCGCCCACGTTAAACTTGGTCTGCTCGCGCTGAAAGTTGTCCATGTTCTCGGGGCTGACTTTTTGCAGGAAATCGATGTACTCGTCGGTATGAAATTGTGTCATCTCGAGTCGGGTGGCAGGCTTCGCTCGGTAGATCTCCATCTTCTTGTAGACACCATAATTCATAATCAGGCTGTGGGCAAGTCGTATCCGATGAGGCTTCATGGGGTGACCGGCGACGTAGGCGAAGTTCCCAATGTCGGAGTCGTAGAAGTAGGCCACCTTCTTGGGAGACGGGGATCCCAAAGCCACGCCATTGCCTGTGGCAATGTCAACAGGGGCGGCGTGCGCCATGGCTCCGTCCACAGCAAGTAGCTTAGGCGTGAGGTTTGCCGCGTACTTGATGAAAATTGGGAATGATGAAGTTGTCGCAAAGCTGGAGAGACAGGACTGTCGACAGGTTTGAGAACCGAACCTAGAAAGAGAAAGCAGCTAACAGCTGAGTCGCGACTTCTTCCAGCCTCTTGTCAGTCAAAACACCAATCGATAAGCCGCGACAGCTAGCCGTAGTGCAGGGTTCAAATTGCGCTAGTTAAGTGGGGCACCAACTTCCAAGCTACCTGCTTCTCATTTCCAGCCAATGAGGGCTTTCCCTGAGTTTCGAGGTTCATCAAGGTCAAGGTCAAGGTGAAGGTCATCCATCACCTCTTCACAAAGTTGTCCTTGAGCAGAGCGGGCCTGTGAGTTTCACTTCCTAGGCTCCTCATAAAAGACACCTCAGTGCTGCAATAATTATTTGCTGGACTAGTTCTGGGGACAGGTGTGTCACTGAATCAGAGATGTATACTTGGGCGTCAATCGAGCATAGTGATCACGGCTTGTGCAAATCGCTGGCTTGACAGGCATGCCACTGATGAAGGTAGTGTTAAGTGGCAATGTTGGAACCACCCTGAGTTCAACCAAACCTAATTTGGAGAGGTCACACCTAGTGATTTGACACTGCTTTGAAATGGGTACCTCTGCTAGTATCAAGGCAGATAAACTAGATGAGTTCACTTATTCATATATCCAAAATAGCTTCATCTGTGGGCCACTACTATTCTTGTGCGGATTTTTAATTCTGAACATTCGATCAAAACGATTGCTCGTGCTGTCTTTTCCAATAAAATGGAGACCGTGATCAGCTAACTTTGAGACTTATGCCGGGTTTACTTCGTAGCGGTGGTGGTGGTAGTGTCTGTGTATAACCAGAGCATTGGGCAGCACACAAAGCATATGCTTTACTCCAGTCACTGCCATTCTGAAAGTGCGTAGTCCGGCCGCCAAGGCGCATATCGCCTGCCATATTCTTGCGATCAAGCTCGGGCATGTAAACGACAACCGGGTCGAGAGGTCTTTCATCAAAATCCACTGAAATCGCGTTTGGGAGGTTGCATAAGTTGCGAGAAAACTCGATGACGGCGATCTGCATACCAAGGCAGATCCACTACACAAAGGACTTTGTTCTGCCTGGCCTATTCGATAGCTTATATCATGCTCTCTTTTCCTCTTGTGCCGAACCCGCCTAAAATGAGAATAACATCTACAGTTCATACTGTCTGCCAAGCTGTCTCGTAGTAGGCAAAGTCTGACGAAGTCGTCAAGGGTTCTTAGTGGGGGTTGAGAAGCTTCCACAAGAGCCAGGTTGAGCTCCCGCTAGCAAGCCATCGCGGCATATTGCAGAGCTTTCATCAACGTCATGTAGGAATCCAGAAAGCTGGTGTATTTGCCAGCCAGAGTAGTAGTCACTCTTTGGGTGTACTTTCTCGGTGTTGTTGATACCATCCATGCTTCCCAGGTGTGTCTACCCTTTTCGAACAAGCTGATTAACGGAACTCCAGATACCAAGACATATCCCATATGGTTGGTTTCCTTCGATTTTGAGGTCGTTTTCTCAGCTACTGAGAGTAGAATGCCATGATATCACACATCTGTTAGATACCCTTGGGAATACTTTTATTCTGTGCATGTTGAAAACTGAAGGAGGGAGCTCTTGGAGTCATCACTTGATGGAAGGTACAACGGGATGCGGGGATATTACAAATCTTAGGTTAGTTCGATGCACGCTCCCCACTTTCACAACAGCATTACAACGACCTATCCATTATGTGACCGTATTGTGTCACCCATGACCTCGACATAACAAAGACAGCCCATACTACCTGCGTCTCTCAATTCTTCATCATAAGACTGTGTTGTCAACATGGATTCGTCGCGGATCATTCTCTTCGACTTGCCAAGCCGTCCTCCGAATAAATGCTGGTCGTTAAATTCCTGGAAGTGTAGGTCCCAGATCCTGATTGAGTAGAAAGGCTCTAACACATGTCCCAAAAGCTCGCCTGCTTCTCAACTTGAAGGGAATCGACTACAAAACTGAATGGGTACACATCTTACAACTGCTCCAAAGTCTGCACAAAGACTAATTCCGATGATACAGCTCGAGTACCCAGATATCAAGCCGCGATTCGTCGAGCAGTGAGTACACATGGCCTATTGATTATCGAAGAATATGCAATCGCCTGTTCTGGGGCTCAAGACCTATATCGTGCATCAAATGGGGTCTACATGGAAGCTGACCGCACTTCCCAGCTTTCCTAAAGACACAGAAGCCTACACAATTCCAACCGTGCTCCTCCCGGATGGCAAATACATCATGGACTCGCGCAAGATCGCCAACCATCTCGAAGCGGCCCACCCTTCGCCACCGCTTCATCTCGACTCGCCATACCTGACCAAGCTCGAGGCCATCATCCCGGGTCTCCGTGATGCCCTCAAGGCAGTGTTCATGTACCTCCTTCCCAAACGACTGCTCAATGAAGCTAGTCTGCCATACTGGTACGAGACGCGCTCGAAACAGCTCAGCATGCCGGTCGACGAGTACCACGCGGAAGAAGGCGGCGATAAGGCGTGGAAAAGAGCCAGGGAGATTCTGCCCAAGGTTACGGAGATGCTGAAGGAGAATGAGGGCCCCTTTTTCTTGGGCAAGACTGCGAGCTATGCGGATTTGGTCTGGGCGGGCTATCTGCTATTCTGGCAGAGGCTCGGAGACGATGTATTCGCGGAGTTGCTGAAGGCTACTGGGGATGCGAAGGTGCATGAGGATCTGTTGGATGCTGTCAAGCCGTGGTCGGAGAGGGCTGACCACTGAGGCCAACAGGTTGACTCCATCGTGGTCAGCAACATTAAATAGTCAAATGATGGTAGGATGGCCGCAGTATCTCAGAAGTCCAAAAACAAAAATGGACCGATGTTTTTTTGTCGTACATCGACCCCTACCATCCAACTTAATAAGGACATGACTTTGATTTCTATACTTAAGTATGAGTCTTCATTTAATGGAATAATCATTACCAAGCGCAGGTTTGTGCTAAATTGATGAGCATTATCGATGTATTCTTTCCCTTTCTTTACCTATTATCATTCATCATAATAGGTGTACCTGCCCCTTGCCGTAACATGTCTAGTGTATTACCTCCTTCCACAGTCCAGCTTGAGGAACAAATGAGCTTACAATATCATTAAGAGTGTCAAGAAACCGAAGCTATCGGCCTCGAAGCGTAATAGAGAGCAAAAGAAACCTTGTTGAACTGGATAATACAACTGAAATGTTGTTGAGCAATCTGACAGTTCGCACTTTGGCTAGTCGAGATATAGAGTAATGCTCGACTCAGCGTATTGCCATACTTTGCTCGATACTTGTGATGGTACGTCTCTTGGAGACTTGTAGGCTGCTGAATATGTCCACAGGGGTGGGACTGAATAGCCAAGCATCAGTCATGGGATTCTGTGAGCTTATGACCTGCAAGGAACTAAAATCACTCAACTCACCAGTCGTCGTTATTCGTAAAGCCGCTGCTAAGAACTCGATGTAGCTTGGTTGCCACCCCAGAGCCGGAATCCGATTCGAGTTGTAGGTGACACGTCCGGTTAGTCATGCATCTTCCTATCCGGTTGTGTCTATCCGGATGCAGATCTGTGGCCGATTCCGGTTCCCCATCCCCTTGAGACTGGAGGTTTGGTCTCGTGATGCGAATACCTTCAGTGGAGGCTGGGACCTATCATCTGCATGACGAACCTTATTGTTTGAAGCAGCGCCCCATTTGTTAATCTTGATAATCTTAAGACTTGTAGTCGCCAAGGAAGATGTCTCTGGCTTGGTCCTTGGTTGAAACTTTCATGACTCAGATAACACAGCAAGGAGCTGCATGGCTTCCTGCAGGCGAAGTGACATTTGAAGCCGCTGTCTGCGGTGTTGTCTCGTTATTGCTCTGCTTCGTGACCTTGTGTTCTGAAGGCACTGCAATCCTATCCGCAAGCCATGCTGAAGGGTCCAATATTCACTCTATTTACGTATATTCCCAAGTCAGAAGGGCTGGCAGCAGTTTATGTAACCATCTAAAGCCCCACGTAGAGACCAGGATGCTTGTTGACGGGAGAATTGGTTGTCCGACAACCCTGGTCCAGTCGATAGATCAACTTTTCTGCGATTATATTCAGCCTCGAATAACTTCAAAGTATAGAACTACAAATATAACACTTTACTATTTGGCCCTTTTAAGATATATGCTTTGGAAGAGATTTTTGATTTTATTTTTCTTATTTTCAATCCTTCTGTTGTAAAGTTATAGAGTTATGGCATATGTTACTGCGAATATTTTGCGGTGATACGTGACCCCAAGAGTGGTTACCTATAGATAAGATAGCTAGCCAACCAAGCTTTCCCAATACAACAATTCACACCCTATATGCACTCGCATCAAGCGGCTAGTTATATCTAGGTACCCTTATCGTTAACATATGCACGGTAAAAGCTAATCTGATTCTAGGCTATCTTGATACTCGAGAATAGCTTCACGAATATCTATCCAGTCAGGGCTGTTTATAACTTGTTATAAAGCATAGAAAAAGGACTTGACGTAATTATACGTACTTTATGTCTCGAACCTTTTCTCTATGGAACTGGAGTTGCTAGGAAAAGTATACAGGGACTCCAGCGGACTCCCTAGTGTTGTTCAAGGGCGTCAACAGGCGGCATACCACCTATTCCGTCTCTCCAGACCCATGATAACTCCACTACAGTTTTCGTGCCTCGGAGGCGCATGCATATTGGCGGTCGGTCATCAGCAGTGAACAAAGCAGCTACAGGGAGTTTCTGGTTTAGCAGGCAGATTTGACAAAGGTAAAATCAGAGCTAGGAGGTATGAAGCTGACAAGTAATTCAATAAATTTGGCAGAAATGTGGGAGGGGAAGAGAAGAGATGACAACAGGGGATCGATACTGCCTAGGCTCCTAAGACTTGATGGATTCACTAACACAACTGGATAAATTCTTCCATGCAAGTTGATTTAATTAATTTCGATCTTCTTTGGTCATCCCGGGAGAGGTGCTATGAAGCTTTGATAAAATAGCCCACGAACAGGCCCATAAGCGAGCTATATACGTGAAATCTTGCTCTAATATCTTTACCTTGTATCGGAAATTTCAGATTTCGGCATTTAACCTCCAAAGCCAAGTTTCCTCTACGCCATAACACCAAGGTCTGTCGATCGAGGTGCGACTTAGTGCATGGGTTATATGCCTGCAGAATGGTAACTATGGCGATCATCAGTTTAGACCCGGGCTAGATAACTAAGGGACTACATCTCCCTATTCTCGTGCCACTCCTTTGGTGAAGTTGGACTTACAATCCTAGTTTGTTGAATCCATAGTAACTCCGTTCTGCTTTACTAACGTTCTAGTATCCTCTTAATCTAGCAAGGAGTAAGCTAATTGTCTATAAAGAATTACAAGCGTTGCCTTGGAGGGCTATTAGGGCAGCCGTTCTAGTCTCTCCTATGAGCGATAGGAATCCTTTCATAAAATAGATGATTGCAGTACGGTAGTTCTTTTAGAAGTGAGTATTTTTATTAGTATAGAAGCCAATAGGGTTATCGATGCTAGGGGTATCATAAATTGTAAGTCTAGGAATTTGAATTTGAATCCTCTGTATATAGGTCTAAATTGAAGGGAAGAAAAATATGCTTGCAGGCAGGTATTACCTGTTGTTTCATCGTTTCGTCTCTTCATAGTCAATTAATATAGGGCACTGTGCATTCCTGATTTCTAACCCACTGCTAGAAATAGGCTTGGCTACAAATTTGGTAAGAGATTTAGGTAGGCCAACTCCTTTCCAGTACTTGACCATACAAGCCAGAGGTCTGGCACGAAGCATGATTCCACGGGTTCTCGTCGCCCAAATTTCTAAATACAGTCTGGAAACGGGATGGTTCTGGTAGAGAACTGCATCCGTCGTAAGTGATGCAGGCATATGGAAGCTCGAGAGAACCCCTCTCGGGAATTGCTAGCATCATATTCTCATCCTGGTCCCTGTCGATTAGACTACGAAGTACACTGATGGAAACTGCTCCTCCACCTGTATAGTATATTACTGTCTGATTGGGCAAGTGTAGCTGAAGGTGGCGGCTGTGGCGGTGCAGCAGACACTTCAATAGTTTCAGCTGCAAGGCTGACAAATGTAATCACGTGCTGTAATCATACTGTCCGCCTTGCACTGTAACTTCCCCAAGGCAGCTCTGGGTGCGTAACGCCAACCCGCGAGCACTTACTTATTTCCGAACCCATCAACCTTTTTCGGCGAATATTCAAGTCTCAATTTTCTACGAATCAGATACCCAAGTGCAAGATTTCCATTGCGCTTCCCATCTCTCCACCACTGACTTACTTCCCTTCTCAACCTAAAGCCGCCCAAAATGGATCGCATCAACCGAATGCTGGCTGGTGCCAGCGGTATGGGCGGTCTTGGAGCTGCGCCAGGAACAGTGAGTCGCCTTTTTAATTCACCCATGTGCCTGCGAGTACGAACTGACGACATGCGTATCGACAGGACAACACGAGTCTCATCGACAACTCCGAGACGGTCTACATTTCGTCGCTAGCCCTCCTCAAGATGTTGCGACACGGCCGCGCAGGTGTACCGATGGAAGTCATGGGTCTGATGCTGGGAGAGTTCGTCGACGACTTCACCGTCCGTGTAGTGGATGTCTTCGCCATGCCGCAAAGTGGTACAGGTGTCAGTGTCGAGGCTGTCGACCCGGTATTCCAGCAGAAGATGATGGACATGTTAACACAGACTGGCAGGTGAGAACAGCCACTGAATCGCTTCGTGATGGACGTTGCTGACATAGCTGAACGTCCCAGGCCCGAGTCCGTCGTAGGCTGGTATCATTCGCATCCCGGATTTGGCTGCTGGCTTTCTTCTGTTGATATAAATACTCAACAGTCGTTTGAACAGCTGACCCCCCGCGCCGTCGCCGTCGTCGTTGATCCCATCCAATCCGTGAAGGGCAAGGTCGTCATAGATGCATTCCGCCTCATCAACCCACAGAGTCTCATGCTCGGCCAAGAACCAAGGCAGAGCACATCCAACTTGGGCCACCTGAACAAACCGTCCATTCAAGCGCTTATTCACGGCCTAAACCGACACTACTACTCCATAGGTATCAACTACCGCAAGACGGCCCTGGAGGAGAATATGTTGATGAATCTACACAAGCACGTCTGGACCGAGGCTCTGCAGATGGAGGACTTTAGGCAGGAGGGATGTCGCAACAAGGACGCATTCGAGAAACTGGTGTCGCTGGCAGAAGGCTACGAGAAGCGAGTTAAGGAGGAGACGGAGCTGACTAAGGATCAGCTCAAGACCCGATATGTTGGCAAGCTTGACCCCAAGAAGCACTTGGAGGACGTCGGCCAGCAGCTGATCGAGGACAACATCGTCTCGGTGTCGCGGCAAATGATTGACAAGGAGGCCACGATGCCCAAGGACACCGCGGCCAACGGTCAAGCGAATGGTGATCACATGGACGTCGAGGAGCTGTAGCGTGACCCTCGAACCGATACCGGAGTTGACCTTCAAGTTCGCTCGCGCGTGGCTGCCGAACCCATGGACGACGATGAAGAACTCTAAGGAAGTTTATGCATGGCGAAAATAGAGCATTAATCGCATCTGGGAAATACGTCCCCGACTGTGTACCATAGGCGTTGGAGGGCTAGCGGACCTGGGCTAGAGGCTTTGGCAGTGGAATGACTTAATTTTCAGCTTGGACTCTACAAGCCAATTCGTTCAATTTTTTCCCTGGCAACATGTTCTCTACCTTTGGGTTAATCAGTCCATACTGACAAACTAACTGACGATACTTCAGCAGAAGAGCCTGTGCTCGACGGCTGTTTCTTCCCTTCATCATGGGCAGAGCTTGTACTAACATACAAACATCTGCTGTAGGCGGTTTCCTGGATCTAGAATCATCAACGTCGTCACCTCGTTGCTGGCGTTCGGGTTCACAAAAACGGATCCAATCAAGCTTTGTTCTCGGTTCGACGTCGCGGCTAAGTGGCGGATCACGCATCGTGGTCTGGGCTCTCTTGTCTTTCATCCATTGTTATGGCTCCCTTGTTTGTTATCATGAATCTGGTAAATGATTCTTTGACCTTACTCAAAGCAACCTTCGATATCCGAGGACAAGAAAGCAGTCAATAAAGGCATTGCAACTGGCTTTAGGACCTCGAACATGTAAAGACATTGACTCTGACACAAGAACCTGTTCTCGTTTGTTCGAACCATTGAAAATAGACATAGCACCACGAGCATCGGATATCTATTTTGATGGTAAGTATCCCTCCAACGAGCAAAAAAGCTGCTTCCAATTCTACTACTTTTACTGCCAGTACGTTATCATGAACTACCTCATCCCTTTACGCTTCGGTGCTCCCAAGAAGACGCAAGCACCAACTGGATTATACAAGGCCGAGGCTTACAACGCTCAAGTACGCCGAAACCTCAAGCTTCCAGAGAAGCCAGCGAAGTCCCTACCCGACTTGCCCCAGTCGCCCACGGTGGTGCCAATTCCCATGCGGACGCCCTTGACCAGGCGCCCACAGTATGCCGCTGAACTTCGCGACCAGTCAGGTCCAAGTTCGAAAAAGACGTGGTGCACTGAGTCCCTGAGCGAGGAAGGCCTAGCCGAGCTCTTCGGCCGCATCCACCGCCATTTCGGCCACATCCGGTACGCCATCTGCGGTCTCTCCTGCATGATCGACCACGGCTTCCAAGGTCGCGCTGTCGCCGTAAGCAGCATCCTCTGCCCTGTCGAGTCCAAAGACGTCATCAAGTCGTGGGCTGCGTCATGGGGATGCGACACGCAGCGTACGCCGCAGGACAGTATCTTCATCACGATGAAAGACGGCTCGGTGCGTCGTGTGCGGGTTAAGTATCTTGAGCACGGCTTTGAGCGGCTCCAGCTCCAGGAGAGCCGCATCAGTAGCGCCACGGTGCTCAGCCTCGCCAGCCAGATCGAGTACTTCACTGAAGCCCTCATCAAACACGGTCCTAACACCCCTGACAAGCATCACCGCAATACGGCCCAGGGTTCCTTGAGCGACGTCATGTGGTGTCTGCGCCATGCGGCTGATACCCGTGCTGCCCTGCACCCCAGCTACATGGAGTCGTTCCTCAGCGACCCCTTCTTCACACTCTTCACTGACGCGCATGAGGACGCCAAGTTTGAGATGCAGCGCGCGGGGATTGACGTCGCGAGCGTGCTGGCCTCGATCCGGCAAGCGGCCGATATCCGCGAGCACGCCGAGCTACTCAGATCGGCTGGCGTTTCGCCGGCCGCCGATGCCCTGGCCCCTGTCCAGCAACCTAGGATGTTCCATGGGACGAACCGTCTCGGTGACGAGAAGCCGACGCCGGTCGCGGGGAAGAAGGATAGCATCTATACGCTTCGGAGCAAGGGCAGCCGCACTGATGTCAGCACTAACCCCACTGCTGGCTCGCTGCAGGAGTCGACTAGCACGGCGGCGCGGATACTACTGCTGCAGCGCGCTATGAAGACGAGGAGGCCGCCCCTGGTTGGACGGCATCATCAGAGAACCGTTTCTATCGATTCAGTGTCGGAGCGTGTGTCGGTTGATCTTGTGAGTGGCAGGAACACGCCGGCTGACTGGTTGTGAGGGTGGGTAGCCCTATTTGGTGAGTGCACTACTGTAGATATACTACTAGACTGCCAGGTAAGTCCGTCTGTGATGGCGTATCTGCGGTAGGTAAGCAGGCTGTTTTTCTATTCATGTAAATAGAGTTGAGCAACCCAGTTTGTGTGATTATTTGCCACGTTTTCCTGTTCTGGAATTGCCTGTTGTTTTTGTTCAAGCTACATGATTGTATAGCGTCCGGCGTAGTTGCCATACATGTATGGAATCTCTTGATAGACATGATTCATAAACACTATAGAGCCGGTCGTGTGACCGTAAATGTGTATATACCCGTGTTTAAGCCCTGAGACATTGCGCCTTGCTTGAGAAGAGCGGAGTATCACACGAATGTGTGCTTGACACATGTGGAATTAGAAACAGAGGTTGCCGTCCTACAACAACTTTGGCCGGGTCCATATGAGTGGGACAAGTGGTAGAACGTAGTATCAATAACCAAGCAGGCTTAGCAGAAAGTCCTCCCAAGCTTCCGGGGACACACGCGTTGAAGTCTTGTAGGGCCAACTCCTACAAGAGCACAGCAAACCCAACGAAGAGTGCGGCGATCATGCTGCCGTGAGAAATAGAAGCATAAGAGGCAGCGCTGTCGGAGTCCTAGCCAGGAATGGTCAGCATGATGAGGTCAAGAACCAGATATTTGCACTCACATCCGAGTCCGAGCCTGTACTGTTAGTCGAAGACTGCGTGGTCGAGGCAATGAACCCGCAGGTAACCATCTGGGTCTCCAAGTCTGTATGACGAATTACATAAGCTCATATGATCCTGAACTAGATATTTCAGGGGAACGAACCAATATCTGTCTCGTTCGCGGACGAGATGCACGAGTTGCACTGAAGCAGTTCCACGTGAGCCAGGGTGTCGTTGCAAATACAGTCGTTGTAGCCGCTAGTGCTGTTGGTGTTTGTACTGCACGAAGACGAAAGCACGATGGCGTTATGGCAGGGCAGCAGGCAGGTTTCAGGCACATCGCTGCTGTCGATGACAGACTTGGCAAGCTGAACGACGGTCTGGGCCAGACCAGTCGTGGCCAGGGCAAGGAGGACAGTGAACTTGGACTGCATTCTGGATAGCTGAACGAACTTTAGGTAGATGATGGATTGCCGTGAAGACCTTTGAATGAATGCTTAACGAGTGGACCGACGGAGGCTAGCCTATTGTCGCTGGAACGAATGTGTGATTTGTGTATTAAAGAATGACTGACTCGCTGGGAGTTGGATATGATGGCAAACAAACAGCCCGTGTGATGGAGAATAGATTCGATTTCCGTGATGGATGAAGAAGTAAAAGACCAGAAAGTAAACAACGAAACAAAGGTTTTCTACGAAGCCATTCGCATGAACGTGCAATTCCATTTGAGTACTTCAAGTCTGTGCTTGGTACCCATATAGTGCGTTTCCAAAGAGGCCCACTTTGTTCATGAGAGCAATCTATTTGTGACGAACCACACTATAGCACTCATTTCCGGGGATACTCTAAAGCAGCCAATGGGATTGAGTACTTTCTGTTTCCACACGTCAAATGCAATGCCGGCTTGGCTCGGGGGCCTATGTTTTAAAACGGCCCAACCGCCAGCCTTAATTCTAGTTCGTTCTTTAATTTGATCTCACATTTCCGAAATGAGATGAAGGAGGCAACTCAACTCCTGCTGCTCAGCACAGATTGGGACCAAAAGTCCAGGCTTGGTACCTTCCATGTCATTACTGCCATCTAGTGACGGACCGTCCGAGGTTCCACTGTGGTCCGGACCTCTATAGCAGCCGGTGATTATGGCTTTCTCGCTATGACCCGACTGGTTGGTTTACACCGCCCGCAGCTAGTCATAGTTAAAGCAAGCGAACTTCGAGAAGTCAACAGTTTTGGAAGTATTTCTCAATGTCATATTGTCCTTGTGACCTTGCCCTCCTGTATATCGAACCCACAATCTATCAATACGCCGACACCTGCCCATCCTTCTCATCCATCGTCCGCCTATCAATCTGCAACCTCCGCTCAAAGTATTCCCCCGCCGTAAACGGCTCATACTTCACCCCGGGCTTCCGAAACTTCTCCAAGACGTTCACCAACCCATCCTCATTAGGACTATAAAAGAAAGGAATTGAGTACCTCTCCTCTCCTGTCATATTACGTACTCGATGCACAGTACTCTGCCACTCGCCCCCGGTAAGCAACTTGAGAAAATCCCCGATGTTGACGACAAATGTGCGGCGATCTGGGTAAGCAGGCACCCAGACCCCATTGCCATTGAGCACCTCGAGCGCGGGCTTGGTCGTCTCTTGCTGGCATACCAGAGTGAACCAGCAGAAATCAGTGTGGGCACCGATTCCCACGTCAGCGTCGCGCTCCTGAGGCGGATAGTGTAGCGCCCGGATGTTGGTCATGGGAAACGTCGTCACGCTATCGAAATAGTCCTCGTCCAGCTCGAGCGCCAGCGCAAAAAGCTGCAGAAGTCGCTTGGCGAAGGCGAGGATGTGCTCGTAGTACCGATAGATAGCAGTCCGCCAGAACTTGGACTCAGGCAGGGAAGGCCACTGATTCCGTGGTCCCTCGGCCGCTTGCGTAGCTTGGACAGGGGATGCCCCTTGTTCCGCATCGAAGACGTCTTCTCCCATGAGGAACCCTTCTTTGAGATCTCCTCGAGTGCTGGGGTCCAGCTTCGTTGAGAAGATGGGCTCGTAGCCCCGGAATTTGTGATTCTTTCGCGAGTGCGTCTCCAGTTTGGTCTCTTCGGGTAGGGAAAAGAACTTGTGCATTGCGCTGAAGGTGTCGTCGATGACTTTTGGGTCTACCCCGTGGTTGGTGGCGTAGAAAAAGCCGACAGATCGGAAGGCTTTGTTCACTTCGGCTGCTAGTGCTTTTCGCTCTTCAAGTGATGAGGAGTATAGCCGGGCCATGTCGATCTTGGGGAGCTCAGTGAAAGTGGGCTTGGCTGCATCGCCAGTGAGGATGGGACGCCGCCCTGGGATGCCGCCATCGTGATAGTGCACATATTGTGTCGTTTCCGCATTGGTTGACGACATCTCTGCTATTCTGGCTCTGGAATAAGATTGGAGTTGAGCAAGAGGTGGGTGATTACTGATGTCTATGCTGTTGTAGCGGGGCTGGAAAGTCCACTGCATGACAACCAATCATAACCAATCCTAATCTGCATGTTGCGCATGTCATCGGTAGCGAGACGGCCGCTTACAACCACGAAGTCCGGCTGTCGAATTAAGTAGGCCTGCGATTGTGTCCATTATCGAATTAAAAGAAAATATCTACGCTATCACTTTGAGCCGCCTTATATGTACAGACTACGTCGTCCGTGAGCAACCTGTTAATGCCCCTTTTCGTAACTTATCCTAGTGGTTACGGAAATCATAGGATATTATACTGTCCATATCTCGTGGTGGATGGAAGTGGAAAGGTACATAATTTATCGGCAAGATCCCTTCCTTCGACTATAGTCTAAAACCAACACTCGCCAGAGATTCCTTTGTAGCTTGAGTAGCACGAGGCACATCATATACCCTCGAGTTGCCTAGCAAGCGGTTGCCACGAAGTTCGTCTGTGAAACGGCATGTAAATTACAACGCGGAGCTCTTCATAAAGAACCCGGAATTCTGTTATGGTATGAAAATAATCAGATATCAAAGCCTATCCCTTGCCGGGGGTAACCCTCAAAGATCAGATGCGGCGGTGCATGGCATAGCTGGAAAGGTACCGTCGGACAACATACAAAGCGCCGCATCTGACCGGTCGAGCAGACAGGAACGGAAAGAAAACGTTCTATTTTCTTGAATCTATGAATCTGCCATCTATCTTACAAGTCGTGGTTTTTGCTATCCATTGTGTATCAGGACTCTGCAGCAAGATCGTCCATACCAGCCAAAGAGCCTTATCCAACCCAGGGCAGTTAGATGACATCCACTTGAGGAGCGTGTCCTCATTGTTGAGTTGCAATACCCCTTTCGAAACGATAGCTCCAACAAGATCATATCCATCTATTCAAACACAGCCGATATTTTCTTCCGACCCTAGGTTCTCATCTTGGTTCGAGCCCTTTCCGTCTGGTTTATTGCCCTCCCCCACGCCAGAAATCCCGGAATCCCGAAAGTCTCCCTCAGACTGAGCTCCTCTTGCTTGTAATTAACAAAAAGCGGAATTCTGACCAACTTAGGCAAGATCTTGATCGTAAGCCTCGCATCGTAATCAAAATAACCCCGCCATGTCAATGTGTTGCGCGTACATGTCAACTGGCATGCGCATGCACGCGATTCAAATAGAAACAATGGAACCCCCTGAGCTTTCAGAGTGATGTAGAGGCCCAATGCCTGTATTGTTCAATGTTAGACTGATTTTTCGTGGTCTGAAAGATGGTTGTGGGGAGCGAAAAGGGGGAATGGTCAGTGCACATTGCTTTGGCGGCAGCTAGGGCTCTACAGGAAGTAACATGTCTCAGACAATTCTCATGTAATCATGATTTCTTGTGTGAAAGTGAAGGAAAATGCAATGATGCTGGGGTATCTTACAGAATTTGATCAGATACGCATTCGCTTCGCGCCTACCAGCCCAACAAAGGCGATAATCCGATAGACCGTCCCAATGGCCAACAAAATCAAGATATTCCTCCGCATCCAGCTCAGTTGAAACCCAGCCAGATCCGCCGCCAGGCCAACATCATACAAGTGTCCAAACGGCTCAACCAGCTGGCCAAAGTAGATTTCCGCGAGCCATACACCTGGCGATAGGCGCCACAACCACTCAAGATGCCACTTCTTGACCTGCGACAGCGGCGGCGCGGAGCCCGACAGTATGCCCACGATCAAACTGACCATAGTAGCGAACAGGGGTGCCTCCTCACGACGGACAATCATACTGACGCAGCTGGCAAGTCCATAGATGCAGTAGAAGTAAGCCAGATTGGTAACAAAAGCGATGCCCCAGCTGATAACGGGCAAGGCGAGAAGCAAGATCAGCGTGGAGAAGTGCATGCAGGCGAAAAGCATGCGCGGGATGACAGAAATGGCTTTGGCCAAGAAGTAGGCGATCCGCGAGTGTCCCGCCTCGGCCTCGCGCCGGTACATGAGCAGCTCTTCGGAGAAAACCTTGACGCCAGGGGCACCGGCCACGAGGCCAATGGCGATGGCGATGAGGAGGGCGAACTCGGGGGCGGAGCGGAGGTCGGTGGCCACGGACAGGTCCTCGAAGGGTTTGTTGTAAATTCCCACGAAGAGGACGCCCTTCTTGGAGTTCTCGGCTAGACCTAGGAGGAAGCCAGCGAGGGAAGCGAGGCCCATTTCGAACCAGAAAGCGGACTTGGCGCGCCATTGCTGCAGCATAGCCCTGCGGAAACAGAGCCAAACTTTCTTGAAACGGGGGGCGCCGCGTTGCTTGAGGGCGGCGGACATGGAAGGGTCTCGGGGGGCACCGAGGAGGAAGCCGCGCTTGTTACTAATGAAGTCGTTGACTGAGCTAAGCAAGTGGCTGTCCGAATCCGCCCTTGGTCTTCCCGAGCCTAGAGGGACACCAAGGCTGGCGTGATTCTTCTTGATGGAGGCATTTTGGCGGGAACTGGCCCAGTATGTGATGAGGGACTCTTTCGAGATGTCACCGCTTCGCTTGTACGGTCGCCCATTGCCGGTGATGATGTCGGTAACAACGTCACCATAGTTACTATGCTCCGGGAAATGGAACCCGATGTTCTCAAAAAAAGGCTGCACCTCACTCTCAGGGCCTTCATAGATGATTTGACCATTACCTAGCAAGATAAGGTCATCCAATAGCTCAAAGATTTCCATTCGTGGCTGGTGGATGATGACGATGACAGAGATACCTAAGCGAGCAATGGCCTTTAGGGTTCTCATGATGGACACTGCCGCTGTGGCGTCCAATCCGCTCCTTGGTTCGTCAAGAAAGATGGCCATAGGAGCTGCCGCCAGTTCCATTCCGATGCTGGCACGCTTCCTCTGGCCACCGCTTATGACGGGGTTTCCAATACTCCCAACCAAAGAGTCGCGCACATGGGATAACTCCAGGCAATCGATGACCGAGTTGACATGGGCTTGAATATCCACATCAGCCCAGGTTCGAGGCAACCGGATCCTGGCCGCGTGAAGAATATTCTCGTAGACAGTTAACTCTGGCATGACAACATCGTCCTGTGAGGCACATAACCGATAAGCTTCTTGTAGCGTTTGATCTTCCTCGGAGTATTATTCACTATGACAGATCCGCCGGTATTGGTCGATTTTCCCATGAGCACATTGACGAACGTCGACTTGCCAGCTCCTGATCCACCCATGACGGCTACAAGCGAGCCTCTTTCGATAGAGCCCGTTATATTCTGCAGAATCGGCCTAGACGAACTTTTAGGATGGAAGCTGAGATCAGAGTACCTGAAAGACAGACCAAATTGGGCACCGTCCGTTGCTTTCTTCATAGACTCGACGAAAACGCGAAGTTGCGGCGAAAGCCCACTGTCAAGGTCATTCGCGCCACCACCCTCACAGCCCGGGGGGGCCAACGCAGCTTCGAAGCCCATCCATGTTTCTGAGCGCGGCACGTAAGTTGCCTGCATCGGGGCCATCTCCGTGCCGTCATCCCTCTCATACGGAAGCTGCTTGTAGCCTCTACCGGTGACCGTCACCCGAGGCTTCTTCACAGCGCCGTTATGCGATTTCGAACTGGATCGGAAGCGATTCCGGAGACTTGTCAAGAAGATTCCCAATAATAGAGCGACGTCGAGGATGATGAGGATGGCGATCGGGATGGCGATCGGGATGGCGAGCCGTGCATATGATGACCCCTCGGGGCACGGCGTGGGCGTCGCGGCGCCGGGTTGACAGTACGAGCCCGCTGGACACGGGAGCATCGTCCTGCCCTTGTCCTCGGTCGGGCAGTAGTGTCCCGTTTGACATATGACAGGCTCAAAGGGCCCCATTCCCATGTTGACGCCGTCGAACGAGCAGACGGCCCCGGACACCCGCGACTTCTGGCACACTGTCAGAGGAGGGCAGTACTGCGGTAACGAGTTGATGGTGTTGTTCTGGCCTGCGTCTAGTTAGCGCCCTCGTTTCTAGAAATCCCCTCGCATCCGTGGACATACACAGGAAACCATCGGGGCATCCATTGGATTGCCAGAAACTCTCATTCACCAGCGGTATCGGCACCGCCCCAGGTCTCCAACACGGCCCAACATCACCCAGCGGGTACTCTTTGCGGCTCAAACTGTCAAATGCGCGCAAATATGCCGTCGTGAATGTGGTTTGATTTATTCCTGTGCACGCCTTGTCATAAATGGTCAGAGAGGAGTCGTCGTCGTCCAAGGGCACCAGGGCTTTCTCCTTCGAGTCGTACTTGAGAGGTTCGTTGGTATTAGGCGGATTCGAGGCATCGTTGTAGGGCAAGTCGACCTTGTTTCCGCCATGTACAGACTTGAACCATTTGCCTTTACCCACTGATACCTCGTAGACTTCCTGCGTTTGATTTCCAATGCACTGCCATACTGCATCCCTGCCCTCAGCTGGCGTTTCCTGCAAAGCGCAGAGGCATGCTTCAGTGTCGAGGAAGACCGGTCCTTCTAATGTCGTCTCTCTTGGGTAATAAGGGTCTTGTAGGTCATTCAGATCGTACCCGTCAAAGACCGCGTCCGTGGAGAACTCCATGATGGAATCTCCTCGTCAGACTCGATGCCAAAGACCAGATCGAGAAAATGTTGCCTCCTCACGCCCCCGCGGGAAACTGCCGTATTTCTGTCTAACCTGAGATCGCCGAGCCGGAAACTTCGAAGCCGCCCGAAACATGCTGACAATTGAGTTCTTATAAACCAGGCATCGGGGCTGAACTTGGCATCATGTCGAAACGAGTGTAGCGTAGGATCAAGCGGATGTGGCTTGGAAAGGATCTTGGTAGACCGCGCATATACGACACAAGTGTCTTGATACTTGGTCTCTCAAATACACGGTTTATGTTAACTTCATCTTTCGGAATTGACACTATATAACCTGCGGTCTGACATTAAACAGGGCAGATAGAGCGGCGGATTCAAAGACCATTCTTTGCGAGGACGGTAGCTGCGCAGCCCTTACTGGATGAAAAGTGTGAGATGTCATGGCCAATTCATAGTTCGGTTGGGTTATGGCGAGGCAGAGAGAAGCACAGGATCAAATGATCGACCGCATCCGCAATGTTACGGGGCATCCATATAGGTGTTGGAAATTATTCTGCCTTGCGCCATGCGCATGCGCTAAAATTACTCCATAATCCATCCCACTATATTAGGGATTCACGTCAGAAGGGATTTGAATCCTGGGCCTGGTACAGAGCCTCTAGAAAAAGAGTGTGAGAATCAGATCCACTTTCCATCCCAGTGTCATCAAGGCTTAGATAGGGGTTCGAGTTTAGCGCAAATCCTTACCGCATTGGCCACCTTGTTTTTGTATAAAATCCCTTTTACAGGACAGTTATACGACCGTAACAATAACGCTTCTCTCGTTCACTTCGCGATTATTCTACAACTGTGGGAGGTTGTGGCCTCAGGTGTGGAGGGGTACGGGCAGACAGGCTGGCGTTGTAGTATTTAGGGACCTCGGCGCCAACTTGGGATTGGTCCCTTACGCACCTTTATAGTATCAATGCAGCGCCTAACACTTGGATTCCGACAACAACCAGACGGAAAATTGCCGATTCAGTGCAATTACATGTTGGTGATTTGGAGCCGCAAATCATGCGCTAAGGAGTTTGTCATTCAGGGCTATTCGCAGGTCACGGTAGCCTTCCGGTACGGTATAAAAGAGACTATATTATCCTACCGTATTCGTAACGGTAATTTGCACCGCGACGTAGCAGCATTGCTAATTTACGCTGAGTACGTATGTTAAAGTCTAATACTTCGTCGTAGTACTCCTCATTAGAGTATATTTCATATACCCAAAGGGACACGCTTATATATGTATCTTTCGGTGAGAGGGTCAAGGCTAGTAGTACTAGGCTAAAATATCCTCAAGTATGGATAAACCGTGATTAATCAGAGCTAGAGAATAGTTTTATCGCGAATCGGTGGTTGGACTAGGCTTTCCTCTCTAAGACGAAACCTGGGGATATGAAATAGCGATTCCTTTAATCAACAGGCTACTAGATCTATAGTTACGCCAAATTTATACAGAAACTGAGGTATTCACTCCTCTGTTAATGAATATGTGTGGATCTCGTATCGATTTCTGTGTCTGCTCTGCGCTTTGTGCTACATTGGTTGCTAGAAGCGCTCTTGCTCTCTATGTAGAGGGGGGAGGGGAGGGTTGGTTGCACTAGCTACACTTGCCGCTACACCACCTTCGGCCTAGGACATAAGGGTGGCGCTTAATCCCCAAACTATGAGAAGCTGTGGCCTTAGATGTAAAGGGGTACGAGGTAGGTGGACATGGATCATGGTATTTAGGGACCCCTCGGAGTTAATTTAGGATTAGTCCCTCACGTACCTTCGTAGTACTAATACAGCTCCTAATACTTGGAATACGACAGAAAGCATACAACAAAATAGTCGCTATATTCTATTTACCCTCGTAGTACAGTAATGATACCTGAGCCCATAGGGCGTCACGCTACTCTGTAGAGTAGATAAGATTATGTACGATAAGATAGGGCTGCAAGGGTGCCAGCCAGCTAGCCAACCAATGTCCCCTAATACACTCACCTTACCCCCCATATGCATTTGCATCAAGTAACTATCTCTAGGTATACGACGTCGGGCTATTCTTATCTCACAAGACGTACTACTGCGAAGAGCTTATAGCTTGTAATTTCTGCAAGGTTATAGCATTACTTTACTAGTATATACTAGAAGTATATCTACGTACCTCTGAGAGAGCCTTCACTACGGAGAATCTTACGTCTAGCTAGTTAAAGACTAGTATTCAGCCCCTTGTATGGAATGGTTGCCCGTAACCACTGCCCTACGTTGACCAAAAGATCTAGCAATCCGAGCACTTCATACTGGAATCCGGGCTCGTCCATGCTTCTAAGCTCTGCATTCCCCCTACCCCTTTAAACTCCGAAATACTACTTAAAGTACCTATTAATACTCTGGAACCTTATTTAATAGATAAGACTTCGGGCGAGCCCTTGATTGGGTTGGTGATCATTGGTGTCCACACATCGTGGTGCATTTGATGAGTGATGATCTTTCGACACATTTTGTCAGCCTTTTCGACATCCTTCCCACGAAAAATGAGGCAAAGAGTTTTGAGGCGGGACCTGGGTCCAGACACAAACAGAACTGATTCTGTAGAAGGCAGGTAAGGTCAGACATCACTTACCTTTTCAAGTACTGCGAGCCAAGAACACACTCGGACTTGTGAAGAAGATGACGATGGGGTCGACAAGGGAACTCTACATCTATATCCATATCTCAAACCGGTAATCTGGTACAGAATCCCCCCTCGTCCGCCCCCGGTGGTGGAAATCTTGAACCAATGTTTCACCTTTCTCGGATTACTTCCGCAGAAAAAAGGGTTGTATAGTCTCTCAATTATATACCAGCTCGAGTCTTTGAGACTTGGTATGGCTGGCGTGCCATATCTGACAAGCGATTGCTTACCACATATCCTTGCTACAAGTATCGCAAAAATGAAGACAAAGAATATGAACCAGGGGATTGCTGGAGTCTTGATGAATTTAGATGCCACAAAGGCTGAGCATTCGCCACGGGTTTGATATAATTCCATGAGTGAGGCCGGAGATAGACATTATATTCTACAATGATTCGCGGGGGAATCTATTGTGAGCACACGAGAGTTCTGCTGATGGTCATATCCAAGCCTTCGGTTGAAGGGAGTTGACAGTGACAGCGGCCTAATGCAACTTGTTTACTACCAGGAATCAAAACGTACCGACCCAATCGTATCTAAAGCCGAAAAACCTCCTTGATCCATCTCCTAGGCAAATCCATTAGTTTCGCTTGCTGGCAGCGTGTGAACTCATCTGAGAAGACGGTTTCGGCAGCGGATTGCTGGGACTGGCTGTGGTTGTGCTTGTAGGAGCTGTCTGCGCGATCGAGTGCGAGACTTCAGAGCCAGACAAACCACGTGTGCCTGTCATATTTGCCCAGCATGTCGTCGCAGGCGACATGTTGCTGGTCTTAGGCTGCGCGTTCTTGTCCCAGGACATGTTGATTTATGCCAGTAGTCGTATTCTTTAGTTGTGTTGGGCGTGTCTGATATGATATTCTGTTGTTTGTGGTGGGCAAAGGGGACAATTCTTTCGACAACAAGGGACTTGCATATATGATTTTCACAAACTACCTGGACAGGTTCACCGTGAGAATTTAGTGTCCTCATCAATGTCAATGCATGTCATAAAATCAACTCGGGTGTAGAAATTCAACTCACTAGACTTTTCACAAACGTTTGGTGATTTGCTGCTCATGTGCTTTGTTCGAAACAAGAGCCAGAGGGAAGGTGAAAAGGAGCCTGACCAACTCATCATGGTTGAGTCATATTCACGCTAATAAATACAATAGGTATGAACCAAAGTTTGTAGCATATTTTGACATGGCTAATACCATCCTAGACATGACTCGAGTAATAAACCCTAAAAGGATGCATCCATACAGGATCTCTGGGTTTTACCGCCAGATGGCTCTAGAGACATAGTGTATTGGAAAATCCAGCCTCTCTGCACCGTTTTGTCTGTCACTGCCTTGCCAAACTGGATACTCTACGGGATCTGTAGTACTTCTTTGTAATTCATCATTTCTTGTAATGGGCTTAAACCAGCCGTTAGGTACAGCTCCTCCCTACAAATTAATCGGACATGCTTGATTTGTTCCTACACTCAGCCCCCGGAACTGATCGCAAATTTATCTTAACTTGCCGAACACTGCAGCACGTCCGCATTTTTCTAAAGATAGATAGGTTCATAACTATCCTTCGCAAATGGCGGGGGCACAACCCTCGACTTGACCGACTCTATGCTCCTTGGGCCAATATTCGGCTTCTTTTTGATGTCCCGCTCATCCTCACCGCTCTCTAGCCGCTTGACAAGCTCCTCAGGATCGAAGTCGACACCGATGGGATTCTCGGTGAAGTCGGTGCTTGTCATGTAAGCATTCGCTTCTTCGACCGTGTCGAAATTTTGCACCTGCGTCTCAATCTTGTTCCCATCGGGATCTTGGTAATACATGCTCGTCGTTATGCCGTGGTTGACACACCAGATGGGGACGATACCCCGTGTTTTGCGCTGTTTATAAGCCAGGACGAGATCCTGCAGCGAGTCAAAGGTGAAGGCGACGTGATCCACTGCGAAAAAGGGGTATCAGTAAGCCGATCACACATCAGGGTATATCGAATCATAATTGAGCAGACAAGGCGGAAATGACAAAGCTTCTAACTCTCGCAAGATATCGAGTTCCCGAGGCCCAACCGAATTTCCCCAAGACGGGAAACTGCTTACATCCTGCGCCTTGCTTGGGACCAAGGGTCGGGAAGTTGATGATGGCGATACGATGATGCTCTTCGTCGTATGCCAAAAAACATATCGTCTCGTTTTCGTACTGGATATGGGCCCCGAGGAAGGCCTTGTAATAGGCAACCATGGGTTTAGGTTTCCCAGTCTTGAGGACGACATGTGCTATCGTCAAGGGCGAGATGACCTTTTCCGTGAGGATATTTCTTTGTTCGTTGGCCATAATGAATAGTTTCGGATTAATGACACTGGGCTGAAAGGGCTCCGTTACGAGATATAACTTGACGTAAAACTTGACGTCGAGCTCAAGTATTTTATAAAGACGCGAACGGGTATGTGAAACATCGTCTGATCGAACGTCTCAAGGGATTCCCCAGGAAAGTTAGAAAGTTTCCCATGTGGGAAGTAGACTCCCGTTTCGCTACTAACAGATCACCAATCTTTCCACATCAGCTTACCAAATTGTTTATGAGACTATCTGGAGTCAGGAATCATGCAGACATGGCGGTGGTTCGTGGGGACATGATCAATAGATCGACTACAATAGACCTGCCTACTTGAATGACCTAGAAAGCTATTTCGTCCAAGTTGTAGGCAGGGTTTTGACGATAAGCCACATACCTATGCATATGCAATACTCCACTTTATCGAAGTATTTAGCACACTAACCACCCTAGCGGCGGGGAACAGGTGGACTCCAATAACGTTGAAAGCTACTCCACGCCAAGCTCTTCAGACCTCTACACATCCACGATGCCAAGTCGCAATCAGCACATTCAGTGGCACACACTTCATCTCATAAAACAAACCGAGCCTGGCCAAAATGGATCAACTAACACCCGAGATCATCCATGTCGTGTGCTCATTCCTGGAAATCAAGGATCTGCGGAACTTCCGCTTGACGTGCCGCGCTTACGGTGACATCGCGGCGTGCCACGCTCTACGAGAGGTCGTTTTCTACCTGCATTATGAGGATTTCAAGGCGCTCGAGGCCATCTCGCGGCATCCCATAGTGTCCAAAAACGTTAACTCGCTGGTCTACGTTGCGCACGCCTTGCCCACGCCCATGCTGTCTTTCGATGAATTCGTAGCCGACTACTACTCTGAGCGGGAGGATCATCAAGCCTACATGGACCTGCACTCGCTTTTGCGGAATCGGCCATCCCCGCCGTTGAAAACGCGTCAACTGCGTGCAAGTTACCGGAAGTATAAAGAGACCATGGAGCATCAGATTCGCATCATCGAGAACAGGGAGGACTACCACTGCCTCCGCGACGTGATTAGTCGGCTCCCTGCTCTGCAGGAAATCATGATATCGTCAGACAACTGGGAGCGTGAAGCCGCAACCTACAAAACACCGTTTGACGGCTGCATGCAGCGGCCCTACGTTGAACTTAGGCCCGAGGGTTGTCGCCAGTTAGTCACCGTTCTCGAGGCTGTTGCCAGTGCTGGAACCCAGCTCCGGAAGCTAGCAGCTGGCTCTCTCGACTGGCGTTTCTTCCGGGATGAGTGCGACCTTGTAAAACGATCCTGGGCTTCGCTTGCCAATCTCACAGTGGTGGAATTTTACATTGACACCGCCATCGATGACGACATGGAGACAGCCGGCGTCGAAGTTCCGGAATGCCGCGACGTCTTGAGAACAGGGGTGCTTAGGAAGTTCCTCACGTCGCTCAAACACCTCAAGGGCATCTACGTCAAGTTCACCTACCATTCAGAAGACCATGGCTATGCTGCGAGAGTGGGAGACATCATCGAGAACGGCCATTACTGGCCTCAACTGAGTAGCATTGGCCTGGGCAACGTGGAAGGAGAGCGCCAGGATCTGGAGCATATTTTTGATCTGCACAAACCCACCCTCAAACATGTGTGCCTCGAGGATTTCTGCCTTCGGAACACCTCCTGGAAGTATCTCCTTCCCAATATGCGGCAAATCCTACAGTTGGAGACTGTGTGCATCTGCGGGGCAATACAGGGCTGCGACGAACACTCTGATCCTCCAGTGGAAGAAAGCTGGGTATGTGGCAGCTCGTTCTGGGGACCGACTGAGGTAGGGGTTGCAGTCAATGATTTTCTCAAGGGCGAGGGTTCAGAGATGCCATTGAAGGACAAAGATATGGAGTGGCTGGGCGAGTTCGAATGAGGAAGGCATGGTGTTACGGGTCGAATACAACATAACGATTGCCTGAAAACACAGTGTATGGTCCATGGCAACTACAACGACACCTAGACCACCACCTTACCAAAATGTCCACCACTGAACAAATACTTCAGCGCCTCCTTCGCATCTCCAAAGCCGAAGACACAATCCAACACCGGGGGGTTGACCTCCTTGCCTTTGTAGGTGTTGAGTATCTCCTCAAATCTCACCTTGGGCCCATTCGAAATCCCCTTCAACGAGACATTCCGCGCGAGTGCGGGGACGTTTCTGTTCGCATTGACACCTGCCGCAGCTTCTTTCCCAGATAGGTAGCCGATGCAGCTGATCAAGCCCAAATGCTACACATTTGAAGGACTTCTCCAGCGTCTGCGCCCCACCGCACTCAAATATGATGTCGGCACCTTTGCCATTCGTAATGGAGAGGACTGTCTCTTGCCAGCCGGGTGTCGTCTTGTAGTTGATGGTATGGCCAGCGACCAGTTCGCGGGCCTTTTCCAATTTGGCGTCTGAAGATGACGTTGACTCGCGGGTGAATCAGTAATAAGATTAACAGCCACGCAGATTTAGAGCTACTTAGCCTTCATCCTAAGTGCCTTTGCAATCTGTAACCCCGATATGGAGATGCCGCCATTGCCCTATACCAGCACCACTTTATCCTTTCCCGTCATCGACTGCCCAATCGGCTGGAAAGCATTGATACTCATCAACGCCGTCACAGCAGCAATGGGCAGACCGATGGCCTCCTCGTCAGTCAAGTAACCGGGCGCCTTGACCAGTCCCGTGGCGGGAAGATGCGGTACTCGGTCAGCAGCCGGGAAGCGGATGACAGAGCTCGGAGGCCATGTCCTTCTCGACGATCTGGCCCTCGAGAAGTCTGGGTTAAGATAGACACGACGCGGTCGCCTTCCTTGAGAACTTCGGCGTTCACAGTTCCAACATTGGCCACCGTGCCGCAGATGTCGGAACATAGAATTGGGGCGTTCTTGCCTTGGTTTATGGATCTGTGGTGGCCGTACAGACCCATGATGACTTGTTCGTCCAAGTTGCTGACGCCACGTTTCGGCTGGTAGAGATGAGTATGGCGATGTGTCTATTCACCTTCGGTGTCACAGTAGTTGAGCGAAACGCAACGCACTTTGATGAGCACCTCATCTGTCAGCTCCTCGGGTGCGGGCACACGCACTATCGTGATTCGTGACCCCCTGCTTCATCTTGGGCAGTTTCTATGGCCTCATAACGCATATATCCCAAATATGCTGGCTTTAGTTTTCTAAACCGTGTTACTCGGGATGCCAGCCAGTATGTGAAGTTTCGCAATCCGAATCAAAGCTTGCATTCATCTGTTCATCGTCCGATCAAATTCCGGGTGACTTGTCGTTCTATCATTTCCCCGATCTCATTGCAAATCCTCGTCGAGTCAGGCCAGCGGTTTCGGTATCGTTAGCGCAACCCCGCGATTTAAGATTCTCGAGGCGGTTACCTGCGTATATCGGAGCCATCCGCACCGATCAGTCGCCAGATCCCGGTATCCCGATGCGAAACCGAACATCAGCAGATCGCGTTGATCGACACATCACGCCAAGCGTCCGAAGCTAATGACTTCAGTTTGGACTCGGAGTGCGGCAGCTGCAGCTGGTTGTTGATTGATCCTGGTACATTCACATAATAGGAAGCTAAGAGATCTCCGTAGTATGATTGTGGCATGTCGGAATTGCACCGAGTCCACCATAAATGAATATCTACACACGCCTTGGGTGTTTCCAAGGCCCGGGACGTCCTGGTCCAGTCTCATGATTGAGATTTTCGTACGTACATAGCCTCATAGCCCCAGATGCCCAATGTGTAAATGCCGCAAGCAATATGTAAGGGGAACTTGCCCCCGTCATTCTCTTCCGCCTTCCAATGCTAAATTATCGATGAGGTATTTCCCTCCCGTGAATTACTCAACGAGTAGAGCGCCATGATTCAGTAGATATCAACAATCCACCCTTTCTCCAGTCGTTGCTCGTTGCGACTTTTCCTGAACAACAGTAACCAGGTAGGATATTGCACCACCGAAACATGCCCAGTCCGAAAGACCAGTAACCAGTGAGGGAATCGAACCATAGCTACCTGTCTTGGCGGAGCGCATTAGACAGTAGAGGAATTGAACCACAGGCACACACACATCCGATTCTTCAGCGAAGACCCCCAGGCCCCTTCTCGACCACAAACGCCACCGGTTTCCTCGCCCTGCGACTCCTCGACGCCCTCGGCGGCAACATGCTCCCCCTACTCATCGCAGGACTCAAGCCCGGTCTCATTCCATCCCTATATGCGCGCTCATCGTACCCCCACTTCTGCACGCCTCCGGCGTTGACCCAGCCTTCGATATTCCGACACTGGCTGACATCGGTCCAGACGAGCCGCGAACACCCGTCCAGTATGTTCTCCATGCCCACAGCCGTGACTCTGACGCAGCCCCTGACGCTCAAGCGTTCGAGATCGTTAAGATGGAGCGCGATACAGGCCAGGCTGTTGTCGCTGACTGCGCTGCCGCAGAAAGCCATCTTGAGTTCCTGTAGCTGCGGTAGGCCGAGCGCGACGACTTCGGTAGCAGTGTCAGAGAGCGCGCAACAGAAGGAAAGGTCGAGATGAGTAAGCGATTTAGCGGCGTTGACGAGCGCGACAATGGCGTTGTCCGAGAGGTATGTACAGTCAGCCAGGCACAGATGTGTAAGATTGTGGAAGCGAAACTGGGTCCAGGATTGGAAGCCAGCATCTGTAATGGATGTACAGCGGGTCAAAGAGAGCATCTCGAGTCGGTTCGAAGCATGCGCAGCCAGATGGGCCATGGAGCGATCGGTGATGTGTTTGCAGTAGGATAGGTTGAGTCGCTTGAGTTTCGGACAGCCGACGACAGTACCAGCAGGCGGTAACGTCACCGTCTGTGTCTGTGGTTTCTGGCCTTTGACGCGCGAATTAGAGATGACAACTTGTTTGGCGGTCTGCGGGGCGTGCTTGGGTACAACCCAACCCACGACGCGGGCGAGCAGGTTATCGCCAACTTTACGGCAATTGCTCCAGTCTACCTCCTCGAGATCTTTGGCATGTTCGCTCATTTCCAAAATTTGGTTAGCCGAGACGTCCCATACCGACTTCATCTTCCATGACTTGACGTTCTTGCCGCACACCTTCCAGAGCGTGGAGAAGCCTTCATCAGTAACGTGGAAGCAATTACTAATGTCAACAGAGAGAAGGCGCGGGCCGATAAAGGGGGCAATGATTGTTACCAGGACCTTGTCCGTCAACGTGCGATTATGAGGAGTAAGATCAACATCCGTGCACAGTTTGGGGGACGTTGCCAAAAGTTTGCGCCAGTGTATCGATACTCGTCTGAGACGGAGGAGCTCGACGAGATCGAGCCATTGGAAAATCGAGACAAGTATGTCGTCAGGCAAGGCAGCTGGGTGAGCTCGCGCCGGCCGCCTGGGAAGTATCCTAGCCTTTTTAGACGGACCTTCAGAGTTAGGAGACGTGGAGGGAATTGCGAACTTGACGGGTGCAGAGGTGTCAACAATCATGCGGTGCCGAAGGTCATTCGCGGTAGGCGCGCTGGAAGCCTCAGAGGTAACTGCTGGCGGGGCAAGGGACCCTCGACGTCTGCGTAAATTTTCCATGTCGACGCTGAGGTAAGGGTCCGGATCTTTGGGCTTCAACTGATCCGATTCGTCTTTTACAGGTGATGCGGATTTTGAGGGCGTGGTAAAGATGACTTGCGGGCTGCCGTTGACTGGGGTTGAGGACGATTCAGAGCTCCCTACATTTGTCATCTGCACATCTTCATCTTCCGGCTTGATTCTAGTTCTTGCCGTGTCTTCGATTTCCTTCCTGATTGCGGGCGGCGACTTCCTCCACAGTTCCTCCAATACCTCGCCAGATACCACGAGGCACTCGACGGTTGTGATTGATCTCACCGTCGCAGTTCGCCCACGGGACAAGCCCAAGCTGGCCACTTCGCCAAAATACTGGCCCTGTCGCAGCCGGGGTCTTATGTACGATGAACGCGTCATTCGCTTTTCTGGCTGTCCTTTAGGCAGGTCGTGTATCACCTCAGCTTCGCCGCGCACAATAAAGTATATGTCAACACCTGGAGTTCCCTGGCTGATAATGTCGGTAAAGGGAGTGTATGTTTTCGGTTGCGCGTTCATACCGAGGAAGTGAAGGATGTCTGGAGGGAGTGCCGAGAAGAGAGGAAGCTCTCGGAGTGTTTGCCGCACATTCACAAAACCGCTGCCCAGGGCGCTCCCAGCTACGGGATCTTCGATAACTCCTGGGCTGGGAGATTTCCTCTTCTTGTTGTTCACAACCGAACCTTCCTTAATAACACCCATCTCGCCAGTCGACACCTCACCCGGAGCCGCCTCACGGGATATTGTTGACCCCTTGGCCGCCTTGAGACCATGTCCGATTTCTTGCCGTTTCTTATTCAATATCGTCAGGCGTTCATGCGCTTCGTGCCGTATCGTCTTTTCCATGTCGGAAAATTGGGGAAGTTCTAGCTGAAGATCCTCCTTTTTGAGCGAAAGCAAAAGACATTTGCTGCGCGCAATAATGGTGGCAGTTCGAGGCATATTCATCAGCACTCCAATTTCACCAAAAAAAGATCCAGGCTTGAGCTCAGCGTACACAGCTTCTCCGTCGCGGGATGTAACAGCGACAACCCCGCGGACCAGCCAATACATGGCCTTTGCTTCATCGCCCTCGGTCAAAATCAAATCGTGAGCCGAGTGAACCTGGGGTCTCAAGTGCTTGCCAATGGCCACGAGGAAGTCCTCAGGGGCTGACATAAACAGCGGGAAGGTTCTCATACGGTCCAACAGATCTAATGGCATGTCAGGTATAGTAGATGCCGTCAGAGGCGATGGGCGCATGGGCCGCGTTGGATTCGTCTCGACATTGAACGACCTGAGCAGAGATACGGTGTCGGGCATCTGGCCATTAGCTGGATGGTGAGCCAAAGCCCTGTAGGGCGATGGCGGCCCCCTGCTCCGTCTCATGGCTGCGAGATATCGCCCTGACTGGGCAATGCGGTCTGTTCTCTCCTCTTGCGAAGGTGCTCGTTCTCGAATCCCGTTGACATACAACTGGGGCTTGCACTGACACTACAAGCCCGGATATCGTTTCTCCGTTCACCGCAAGTTCAGGTGAAGCGATGAAGCTGCAGTTTAGGCTTGAGTATGTTTATGCCATAGCCTGTCGAGAGGGCGAATTTCCTTCCCACACATGCACAACCAAAGATGGGAAACGGGGCGACAGCGGGTTGGAAGGAATTGGTTATGTTGCTATATCGTCCCCAGTGAAGCCCAATATGTCGTTTCGAAATAGAACGGTAGGCGGAGACTTGTTGACAGTGAATGGGAGTCAGATCTTGTCGGGTTGGAGCTGAGCCTCGGCTGGTTTCGTGGGTGAAGTTTTCGAGATCTTAGGGTTCCGGCGCAACGGTTGTTGATTTGGAGATACTGTTACGTTCGAGGAACAAAATACATAGCCGGGGGTGGGGGAAGAATCAAGGGCTTTGGATTCGGTGCTGGTCGTCGTCCGAGCTTCTTCGCGATGGAATCACTGGAGGCTGTGTCTGTGCCGGGAAAATCGGTCAGTCGTTATACAGAATATACATGCGCGACGCCTCGAGACTACACCAATGAGACATACAACGAGAGCACTACTGCTGACACCAGATAAGCAGTAGAGACGAGCAAGTGCAATTCAATGCGAACTTGAACAGGTGCGCCGCGTAGCAGAGATGCAAGCACACACAAGACCACAGTTGAGTTGGAGGTGAAGGGTGAGGCGGCGTGGGGCCTATCGGTTCCGATTTACTCTGGGGGTGGTGGTTATACAAACAGACGGCGGCAACAACAAACATGTAGCATAGAGGCAAGCCAGCAACATTCTTGAAAGAGCGAGGAATAGGGCCAAAGAGGAGAGGGGTGGGGGGAGCAATTGGATGTAGGTAAGCTAGTAGAGGAGTCGTGGATGGTGTTATTATCTCATGGAACCCACTCTGCGAACGAGCCTGGCACGAGTAGAAGGTACCTCAAAGCCGTACGAAGTAATTGTGTTGATGATGTTAGCTGCAGGCTGGTTTCTTTGGTTTCTTTGTCGCATGCCCTGGTGGCAGCGGTAGCGGCAGTGGCTGAGAATGAACCAGCCGTTGGAGAAAGAGAAGCTGTGTGGAATGCGATAGACCGTCTCACCCTTCTAGGTGTCGTCAGTGAGCTGTCTACTTCTCGTTGAGGTTTCCCAGAATCTGACGGTCAATGTGTACCTGAGGGGAACTGAGGGAGCTGCGGGAGCACGGGTCACAGAGTGGCTTTCTGCTATGACAGTTTCCGGTGGGCCCGCCTGTGAGGGGCCGTCGCGACAAGTTTAATGCTATTCAAGTACAGACTACTTAAGTATACCCAACTTCACCTGAATATGAGATGGTGGAGGAGCTACTTTACATCGTACATGAATATTGAATGAGTGGAAATGATGGTGACAGCCCGCAATGAGTGGGGACTACTCCCAAATGCTGCAATTGTTCTAGAAACATTAAACCTTGCTACTCGTTCTACCCATGGTCAGGCCTTGAGGCTTGCCTGCAATTGCTCCCACCGGCAACACCCCTGCACGTTTTGATTTATTGCATCCCTGCACAGCACCACTCTGAGGTGACGTTGGGGGAGCTCCCACAAACCCGTGTGTGGAAGCCAATATCAGAAAATCACAGGAAATGTGTTGGGAATCTGGACCTGTGTAACAACGATGTAGCGTCGTCTTTCAACGGTGGCTGCAAGCTTTCAATCCTAAATTGCGGTGAGTGTCTAAATAAAACTATGAGAAAGCTTAGATAGAGGAATGACGGAGGCGGACGGTAGATGCTGCAACGTTCTAAAGAGCTAGCTGCCCAAATTTGTCGCTGGATTCACCGCAGCAAAGCCAAGCAAGATGCACAATGACGAGATCTACGTAGAATTGTCGGCATGTGGCCTCCCATATTTCTTTGCCCGTCTCACTTGTGTCATGACAGGCAAAGCGGCCTCCACATGCTTCTTCCCCAAGTTTTCTACACCGTTGACACCACAGTTCAACGGCAGCAAGTTGCAGATAGTCTAGTTGGTGGCTGAAGTACCTGATACTTGACAAGTCCCCTGTCCGTTTCTGGTTTTCTCGCAAGTCGTAAAGGGGTCTTCCATAGCTCTCTCAGCTCTCGCACTTCATCCCCTATGCAGCCTTATCAGAATCACACACAAGGCCGCGACTTTTGCGTCCGTTATCTCGCAGTCGTTTGTTCACGTGCTGTTCTCACCAATTGTTATGCGATTCAGCAATATCTCGTGACTGTCTCGTTGATAGGGCATGCCAAACCCGATGCATACCTTTCCTGTCTTGTGGTTGCGCAGGTTCGCGCGTTTCACATCTTTCAACAGCTCAAGCTTCTCTTGTCGAGGTATTCTCGCTGAGTCCTTGACTCGCATTAATGGCTTTTGCTGAAAGAACAGTCCTGGCGGAAAAGCCTTCGAGAACAATTCTAGCGCATCCGAAAGACCGAGCATACCCCACCTCTGTTTATATGCTAGTTTCACCCTTGGATGTTTCTCGAGCGTTTCTAATAATTGCCCTGGTCAGGTCTTGTGCCACAAGATGAAAGTTGTGCATCAGTCATGGTACTTTATCAAGGCACCGTTGTTGAAGCTCACATGTGATACATGCAAAAAGGTCGATAAGTCGGAATGCCATTCAACCATGTCACTTGAGCTCCACCTGAAAGGACGGCAAATCTAGATCCGGAACTGCAAATCCTCTCGGCGATGTTGCCATGATGATGGAATGAGAGGTAGGCCAATCAACGCATAGCAATGCACAGTGGTGTTTCTCAAAGCTGGGTTTATTCCATAGACCTCCTCGAAAGGTTCTAGAACAATTCAACTCCTGGCAGCTTTGTCGTAGTTGGCATGAGGGGCTTGACTTGGGGTCCGATTCCTCAATTTCCGGGTATTTGAGCGAATCTCATCAGTCTTGAGCCCACTATTAATCAGCGGCAAGTTCGCAATCATTCTGTCTCAGAAGTCTGTGTTTCTAATCCCTTGGTACAACTCTATGGCGGATCTCGATCTGGCAGGTGGAGTCTGAAACCGGGCTGGGAGAGCTGACAGCGATCATACCAAATCTAGAAAGTCCTCAGCTTGTGCGACTCGTGTGTATATGCCTGTATCGCTCGTGGGCTCCAACCCCTAGCCCAAAATAAGTTAGCAACTTCCGTTGTCGTGGAATTAAATACCAGGCAGAAGAACCACGACCTATTGCTTGACTGCCTCGGCTAGCAATTGCAGCACTTTTATTATGCGAGTTTGCTATATCTCTTTACCTGCCCCTGCTTCATGCTGCCTTGCGATTTCCTCAGCTGCACACAACCCTTGTTTGATGCCTATCTTACGGTATGTAATAGAGGACGCAGCGAAAATCGAGACTGCGCGAGCCGATGGACGCTTTTCATGAGACAGGCTAGGATAGGAGCTACCGCCCTCCAGACATCAATGAGTTCCCCTCGTCATAAGTTCCGAAATTGCAGCCCCTTGATTCCAGCGTCACGCATCTCATTGGTTAACAGCACACCGTATTTATGCCCATCGGGAGCTGTGGTCAACCCTTGTATTGGGAAGAGAAATGTGGTGGATTGAAGGGATTGTTAATGCCGCCGAGCCCCTTATATCTCCATCTTGAAGCCATTTAAAGGCCTTTCTTTGCGAGTATTTCTTTCCCATCGTCTCCTCTCAGAGGGTGAATGAAGCCTAAGTATGTTAGAAAACAACAAGAGAACCGAACGACCGAACAGGCGTCAATCCCGCACATTTCCAGAGGCACCCATCCCACGAGGTTTCCTAGTCAGTTCCTTTGGTGGCCCAACAACAGAATCAGTTTCATTGCTGGCAACATCATAATCCCTTTCTCTTCGTCCAGGTCCTCTTGGCTGCTGATGCGGCGTACGATTGGGATATATGTACCGGAGGAAGCAAGTTTGGCGACACCAGGCTGCCAGGGCTGACGCCTTGACAAGTGAGCAGCGGCCCGACGAGTTTGGAAGTATTCAAACAATGCTTTATGCGCGATAACTAGATGCCTCAAATTGAATTCTCCCAGATCTACCGTCATACCAATGAGGTAGGATTGATCATGGGACCACGGATTTTACAATGAGTTGCATGTAAGAAGACAAAGGGTTGACGGAGTTGGATTTGGAGAGGGGCCAGTGCGGCTCAGTAGGCTTCGCCTTCGCCCCTGCTGGGAGAAAGAATGTTCCACCAGCTTCACTGCACCTTGAACCAATCAAATGAGCTTACAATAAGCACCCAAGCTCTCCGGGGCTCCACCTCCCTCTGACCCACAGTCAAACATCGTCATTTACCCGCCTCTCGACGGAGTTAATATCGATAAAAAGAAGACCTCGCGCAACCTCTCCCTCTCCAGACTTCCACCCCTTCCTTTAGTCTCCTCGCCGGAGCATCGAAATTATGTCATTCACCATCGCGATCCGTCAAGGGCCAACGCGCCTGGCGAACAAGCTGCCTGTGCTCACCAAAACCGCCTTCAGAAGCAGTGCGCCTGCGCGTGCATTTCATCAATCATCGACAAAGTCGTGGAGCTTCTTCACGCCGAAAACTGCCATCTCTCCAATCCTTCGATCGGCGCCCCGGAATGCCTTCGCACGGCAGACGCGATTCTACCAGTCTCAGGCACCGCCCGTCGATTCCGGCTCGTTCATGAAGAAGTTGCTCACTGGAGGCGCCATCTTTGGTGGAACGCTTGTAGCTGTCAATATTGTCTTCAACCGCGAGACTCGTGATGATGGCGGCATGCCTGCTTTTGAGCGAGAATACCTCAACTCGACTTTCTTGCATACGGGTCTGGGCATTGGAATCATCGGCTTGACTGCCCGCCAGATGGTCCAGTCTGGTTTTGTCTACAGACTGATGGTGACGAACCCCTGGGTTTTCGCCATCGGTGGTCTAGCTCTTAGTTTCGGTACTATGATGGGAACCCGTATGGTCGACCCTGACAAGTGAGTTGCAGCCCGCATCCTCTGTACCACCTCTATCTCTAACCTTGCTGCAGCTACCTGCCAAAATACGCCCTCTGGACTGCGTTCAACGCCACCCAAGCCGCGTTTGTCGCACCTCTGCTCGCCTTTGCCCCTGGTGCCCTGATTGCCCGCGCTGGTCTTTATACCGTGGCCATGATGGGCTCCATCTCGTTTGTCGGTGCAACTGCGAAACAAGAGAAGTACCTGTACATTGGCGGCCCTCTCCTCGCGGGTGCTGCCATCGTCGCCGTCTCCGGGCTCGCCCCGCTCGTCATCCCTGCCACGGCTGCCCGAACATTAGCTATGACTGAGAACATCTGGTTGTACGGTGGTTTGGCAGTCTTTGGCGGATTCACCCTGTACGATGTCCAGAAGATTCTGCACCACGCGCGACTGGCGGAGCGGGGTGTCATCAAGAAGGACCCTGTCAATGAAAGCATCTCTCTCGAGCTGGACTTCCTCAACATCTTCATCAGAATGGTTCAGATCTTGATGATGCAACAAAACCGACGCAAGTAAACATGGTGAGTTGGCGGCAGGAACAAAGAACAGCTGATCTGAACCTCCCAATGTGGGTGGTATTGGGTGGTTAGATATGTGTTGGACGATGGTTGACAGAGTTCAACTTCCACCTCGTCACTTCCAAAAAGTGGCCACTCGAGGTAAAATAAGAAGCTCCTCTCTTGCAGATATATTACTGCGGTCTTATCTGTCTAGTGTATGTTAGATGTAAAGCAAGCATATCCATCAAACCCACTCTTCCAAACTAATAATAGCCATCTAAGTAACTACCAAGGGATAAACTGCAAGCTGCCAACCTCACGTTTGAACGGTAGTCGATGTGAATGTGCCTGCCGTGCCGATTCCAAGTTGTAATTCTTGTGTAACCCGAAAGGAATTTATTCCAGCGACAGATCGTTAAGTGAATATTGGGAATAGAAATGGCCGCTTCTAGTGAATTAGCCTCCACCTCCGACGTACATAAAAACGCAGTAGGACTGGCAGCCACCCCAACCATCCCAGCCACCGACTAACAACTCGTGATTTGTTGCAAGCATCTTTACTTTCAAGTTGCTCAAGCTCCAGCCTTTTAACAGGTAAGTCTAAACTCTGGCCGTTGTGTTCACAACGGCAACCTCCATTTTCCCCGCAACGCTGCCCGACGAACACCTTGGATTATGCAAGACTGCGCAGCCTTGAGTGGTCCAATGACTGCGCAATTCGTCTCATAGTCAGATCCTGTCGAGGTGGCTTACCTGATTTACTGGCTCATTTTGGGTTAGACAACGACCCAGCCTATGCACCTTATTCAGACTCGCAGGGTGCCTGGTCGACGAGTGGTGGGCGGCTCATAAGATCCTCCAACGACCGAGAGCCATGGAGCCAAAAGACGAGGCCGAGGATGACGCTCACGGCCGCCAAATATCCACCTTCAATTACTACATTGTTGGCATGCTCACGAGGCTCAGCACCATTATCCCGGTCTTTGGGCAGAGATTTAAAGACGAGGGAGACCGGAAGGAGCGATGGAGCATGTCTTCCATTCATGCAGCGTCGTCCCTCACGGGAGGCAGGCGCGCCTTCGAGTAAGTCGATTGCTTGCGGTTGCGGTCGCGGTCGCGGTCATTGTGTCTCTGGAATGCGCGCGCGAGTGACCGCATCCAGCACAACAATAGGCCCAACCTGAGAAAACCAGAAGCTTGGACTGACATAATCAGCTCTGTTCGATTCAAAATTCGGCATTCTAAACGTATTGAAAGTCTCATGGACAGGCTGGCCATGTTTCGGTTCTCGTCAAGCCGCAGCGATGATTCGCACGACGGCCAGGACGAATGTGACAGCCAGCTTTTGACCGACGACAGCCGTGAGCTGAAGATGAAGACTTTGGTCAAAGTCGCGCGAGATGCCGAATCGGTCATCTCCAGTTCGTCGACGGACTCTGCCAGCCTTGTATCAATGCCGCATCCTGGAACCCCATCGAAATTACTCGAGCTACCACAGGAGCTCTTCGATGAGATCACCAGCTACCTCGGGCCGGCGAACATTGTCGTGCTCGCGCTCGTCAATAAGGAGTTGCTCGGTCGGTTCATTCGCACTTGCCCTCCCTCTCCGAGTCTGCCAACCCCGGGTCCGAATGCTGGCCCCTTGACGCAGGCATCCCAATGGAAAGCTTTGGGCGATTTCATAAAGAGAGCAGATGGAGCCAAGGCCAAATCCCGAGGCACGTTGTTGAGTCTTCTGGATCTTGACCTGGTCGACCTAGTCTATTGCTACAAATGTAAGAAGATGCACGATCCCTTCGTGACTTTTATCGACCGGGCCTACGCACCAAAGAAGTCGAGCCGCTGTGTGGACTACGGTGCGGATCACCACATGCCACCCAGGGCTACGCGAAAGCTTCTCCGAGCCATCACCAAGCGACGGAAACGGGGAGCGCCGTACAAGGATCTGATTCCCCAAGTCAATAACACCGTCACAACATATCGCAACGGTATCATGGTGCAAGCTTCTCTGCGCATGCGCTATCGTGGCGACCTACTTCTGTTGCGACGACAACAAATTGTGTCCTCAATCGACAAGACGTCGTTAGCGTTGTGGGTATTTAGACAGCAATTAAGGGATCAGGCGCTGCCCTCCCAAGCCGCTATGACCAGTCCCAAGGTACACAAGATCTGTAATCACATCATTTGGAACGAAAAGTATATATCGCTCCTGCAGGCGATGACAGATCCACTGTGCAAATGCAAAGAGAATCACAGTGGCCCCGCGTCGCTGCCCCTACATTCACCGGCATGCTTCAGTCGAGCTCCGTACGATGCGTCCAAGGATAATAACCACATAGTTGGGAAGCAGTTCGATGCCATCTCACGCGAGCTCAAGCACCTGCCAGATGACGCAAACGCCACTACGGCGCGGCTTGGAGACGTCTTTGGCTGTACACAATGTACGACCGACTTTCAGATGGACGTAGTTGCTCTTCCTGATCCTTTCGGGTGGGGCTTCGTTCTCACGACATGGCTAGACCTGGGTCCAGTTGATTTCTGTGCCAAGTGGGACAGTCATCGTGATGCCCGGCCAGGACGTCTCTACGGGCGCCAGCCACCCCATGGAGACATTTGCAGCAGCTTCGAGAACTTGTCCGACGAGACGCAGTATCGACCGCAGATCAGCGAAATCAACTTGGAAAGGTTGACCAACTATGGATGGGGGCCACGTGCCGCCAAGGGAACGGATCGGTACATCACATGGAGTTCGGGACACAGCGCAGATCCGGTTACCGGACGTTTTTTGGATCCGGATCCGCTTGAGCCCGACGACTTGGAAGGAGATTCTTTAGCGGTGTAATGGGAGCAATATCAACAGATTCAGGCGGGGTTTACCAGGTATGGGGGGAAGGGTATAGGCGTCAATGTCAAGGCATCGATGCACTCAGGGGCGTTCATGTTATAGGAGATTCGGATTCGGTTATCAAAGATGATGAAGGCAGATCATTCAACGGACACAAAGATCATGTACGGTACTGTGGCTGTACGCTTACATGATGATGAGATACAGACATCTACATAATCGAGACCGACCTAACCACTGCTATGCGGAATATAGGGGGCTAGTGGTGGCCATGTGTACGATCCCGTGGAATGAACTTCACGATCTAATCAGTTTGAGAGGCGTGGGATAAGACGGCACTTTGCGAATATGGCGAGTCTATATTTCTGTCAAAAATACATTTTCTATTAATTCTTCTGTGTGTTTTCACCTCAACAAATCAACATCTCACTCGTGCCTTTCCCTATTGCAGTGGAGGGAAATTCCTCAACCGGTGACTCGGGCACTCATAACCGCCAGGATTCTTGTCCAAGTATAACTGATGGTACGTCTCGGCATCCCACCACTGTCCAGCGGGAATGACTTCCGTGACGACCTTGCCGTTCCACCACTGCTGGTTAACCTTCTCCGTGACCTCAAGCGCTATGCGCGCCTGCTCCTCGCCATGCGTGTAAATGCCCGATCGGTACTGCGAGCCCCGATCAGGGCCCTGCGCGTCTTTCGTCGTCGGATCGTGGATCTTGTAAAAGAACTCCACAAGCTGTTTGTACGTAATTTTGGTAGGGTCGAATATTATTTGTGCGGCTTCAGCGTCTGGTCCGATAACATGGTCAGTTGATTGGTCTTCCATAATACCATTGCGAATAGCCTCCAGTAGGAGCAAGTAAAGAGCAAGAATAATTACATCCGGTAGAACCGCTACAGACGGCACGGTACGTCGGGTTGCGCGTGTCGCCGCCTATGTAGCCTACTTTTGCATCATACAACCCGTTTCCGCCAAAGTGCTTGCGGTACAGATGCTCGACGCCCCAGAAACAGCCCGCGGCTACGGTGCACCGCTCGGCGCCCTCGGGAACCGAAGCAGGGAAGCCGCTGGCTGTGTCGACACTAATTCCGAGTCGAGTCGACGATGTCAACGGCCGAAATAGGCGCGAGAAGAAGCCGTACTGGAAGACCATGGCGATGGCGATTGCGACAGCGGCCGTCGACAAGTAAATGACAATAGGTTTCGTATCGGAAAGAAATCGCAATATACTATTACGCATGTGGTGGAAATGCTCTGCAATGCTTTTATGAGAAAAGGCAACTGATTAATCACCCGATTTGCATAGATATCAGCGCGTGAAAATGGTGACGTTTGCCATATTGTCCATAAAAGTCGATGACAAATCGTTGGGGGCAAATAAGCCGCCACTCAGCTAATGGCAGGGCAACGGCAACGGCAACTTGCAAGATCCCTACAAAGAGCGTTCAAGCTTCAGGGTCTAAGAGGCCCGTGCTTGACAAATCCGCTTCTTCGGGTCCACCGTCGTCTACCTTTATATCAACGTTCATTGTATTCATTCCTTGTTGCCAAGGTTGCCTCGGTCTTTGCAGCGCTACGAAGGCTCGACCAGCATACATAGCAAATGTTCATTGGCACTAACTCATTGCTGGCCCATCCTCGCGAAATGTGCTATGCTGTATCGTCCCCTTCTCTTACACGCACGCTATTTGCTTTGATCGGTGACCTCTCCACTTTGGTTAGCTTGGTCAAAGATGGTTTGGACGGTTTGCTCGAAGACTCGCCTTACTTAGTCTCCATGATGTTCCTCCGATAGTTATCAGGGCTCGCTAAAAGCCCCCTGCGGTCATGAGAGATCAAATGAGAGCTCTTGCCAAGGTTCACGGATAATAATTCCTATCACAGATATCGTGTTAGGCAACCTTGTGGGCTTTGCCAAGACAACCAAGGTTACCACGTGACTTAGCCCTACCATTGCGTGTAACATATCGTATGGCTGTGAGTGCCAGATGAAGAGACATGGTACGTGGTATTGATGAGTAAGACAATGCTACGCCCTCAGGCTGCAAGAAGAACGGGGGTGGCGAAAACTGATTGTAGAGGTCGATATTTCTCTCGTTCAAGATATGGCCTGAATCATCGCGGATGCATCCATATGGCCCATTGTCTCCTACTCTATTACCACAATGGAGAAACGCCACGCGAAGCGCTTTTCTCTAGGTTCGGCATCGTGCCGTCATTAGCCAACTTATAAAGAGCATCAGTAACACTTGAGTAGACCTATAGCAGCTTACCGAAGGTGGCAAGCTGACTTGTTATTAGGCATTTGAGAATTACTTTCGAAGAACTTCATGTTTAATATGGCAGTCTGGCCTGATGGTGATTAGTGAATTGTAGCGAATTGTAGTGGGATGACGGTAGTGTTGAAGCCGTAATTTACCGAAATGGCGTCTATATACATTTCTGGGTCATTATAACATGTAAATAACTAGGTAGGTATCAAGCCAGAACGGCCTATCATGAAAACTAGTTTATTATATGCGATATTTTGAGACATAGCATTAAGTAGATGCTAACTTTAGGCTTCCAATGTGTATCAACCCAAATTTTCAAACCGAAGAGCGCTATATCCAGCCAGTCGCGGTGCAGTGTATGGCGCACATATGACTAGCACTGCGCTGAAACGCCGACATGGTGCCGTCTGATGTTGACCGAGAAAGCTACCACGTTGTGTATGCGGCATTATAGGGTTATGGATCGCACGTCGCCGCTGGACCCTCAGAGCGGTCCGTGACGCGAACACAAGCATCAAACGATAATACTCGGCGTCGACCTGCATGTACGCCGTGTTTCGGGTTTGGAGTGGTTCATCTCTGTCTTTGTGAGTCTAGTGGTGGCACAGTTCACTGGTTGCAGTTGTGCTGCTATTGCCGGTTATCATTCAATTTGTCAGGGTCAGGGAGATGAGATGACCATGACGAATCTTGATCAAATTGCTGAATATACCCTGCGAACGCAATAGTATAGTTCGTTTCAAAGAATGTTAGTAACAAACTAAGCTGGCAGAGTCGTGACCACATTTGCAGGCATCAGATTTTGAATCGATGAGAGATCATACAGAATCAAAATCCTTCGAATATCATGGCCCCATTGAGGGAAGCTGCCATTCCCTGCCACCCTTTTTAGTAACACCACCCTAACCCTAACCTTATTCAAGTAGGCTACAATGATAACACAATATATTTACTTTATAACGTGGTTAAAAAGCAAGTAGCATACCTAACCGAGTCGCGGCATTTTCCTTAAGGTTTATAACTTATCCTTTCATACGTAAATAAAGAGCTTACCGAAAGGATGATGTGCGGTGTTATACGAGCGACGCAGTTCTAGTAGGATCCGATGGAAGATGTGGCTGAGTTTTGTAGTGTTACCAATTCAGTGCCCCGTGGCATTGTCCTTCGGCTGTAACTGGTAACATACTACACATACAATATTTCCATAGTTGAGTACACATAAATTCATCCGGTAATATGTATAAGCCAAGATTGGCAAGCTTTTTTGTAGCGGGTCATCCCGCCACGCCATTGTGCATCGTCTCACTCGGCGGAGTTACAGACCGAGAAACAATTCATTGACACTTGGTGTTATTTGCCGCCGTCCGCACTTTGCACCATTTCTGATTGAGAAAACCAAGTCGACTCGACCGAATAAAATGGTTCTTTCGGTCTTCCCCAGTCTACAAGTGTTTCCGACCTCGTAAAGGAAAATCATCTCGTCTTTTCTTTGCTGAGGGGCAATGGTTCGAGAACACCGCCCCACTGATCTGCACCAACAGCGGCACTTCTCAGCAGGCCTCGGGGTGGCACAGACTTCCCCTAAATGCTTTTAAGGCGGCCGTGTTTCGCAATGATTTCAGATGCTCGGGCTGTGCAATGGCCCCATTGGGACCGTATTTAGCTTCTGCTATTCCCCTGTTCATGATACCATACACTATCGATTCTTCCGCTTCAACAAGCCAGGGGCAGAGCCCTTTTAACTCACCCACATTCTACATATTTCCATCATGCATCCCGGTCCCGAAGATATGGAGATGGCGGTTCCGCTGAAGAAGAGTGAGTCCGACAAGGCGGCGAACGAAATAGAACACGACTACCGACCGATCAATTGGAAGAGGGTCTTCTTGACGCCAAAGTACATACGTGAGCGCGCCTCATGGTGGTCTGAGGGACGAAATAAGCATCATGGCTGACATGACACCAGCACTCCACATTATTGGTATCCTCGTTGCCGTTGCTACGGCTCTCATTACCATTCACCACGATGAAGTAGTCGATGTAAGTGCTCAACACTGAAATCGTAATGGCATAATGTGAACGAAAAAGTAACCTGCTATTGCAGAAATTGCTGCCGTTCTCAGAGAAGGTCCGCGACCTTCCAGGTGGCTTCCTTATCCCTATCTTCATCTTGATTATAATTTCGTTCCCGCCTCTGTTCGGCCACGAGATCGTCGCACTCCTATGCGGTATCGTGTATGGACTATGGATCGGTTTCGGCGTCGTGTCCGCCGGCACGTTCTTCGGCGAGAGTGAGTTACACACATGCGCTTGTCATCTCCATGACGTGTGCTTACTATTTCATTGCAGTTGGGACCTGGTTTGCCTTCAAGAAATTCTTGAGGAATAAGGCTATCAAGATGGAACGGACAAATCTCAACTACGGCGCCATGGCACGCATCACTCGAGATGGCGGATTCTGGGTATGTGCACACTGCATCCAGAGGTTCCTATGGGAGTGAACTAATACCATCACAGATTGTCTTTATCATCCGACTGTCCGTGATACCTTCGCATTTCTCGACGGCAGTGTTTTCGACATGCGATGTCAAATTCTGGCACTTCACTGTCTCGACCTTCCTAACGCTCCCGAAGCAACTCATCCTCGTCTACCTGGGTGTGCTACTCGTACAACAAGGCAAGCAAGATAGTAACAGCACGATCAAGACCGTTGTTTTCATCGCCGCTTTTATTATCACGATCGCGCTGGGCGTCTATATTTGGTACAAGATGCGGAAGGTCAAGAAGGTGTTATTGGACGAGCAAGCGGATAGGAGGATGCAGCGTGATGCCGCCAAGGCTTATGATCAAGTGCTGGCTAATGATGACGAGTCTATGAGGCGGCAAGGGTTTATTTAGTGACGACACGTAAGTAGCACTTTCTTTCTAATCATGATTATTTTAGCGTTACTTACATCATCTCCTCGTGCATCTGGTCGGCCGTAATCAAAGCCAATGTCTCGTAGCCATGCCCCCAGTAACAATTGATTGGGCTTCGATCATTTCCCTTGATCTACGTGAGTACTGGGTGGACACACTCCTTGCGTAGAGTTTAATTTGACGGCGCAACGGGTGGAACTGCACGAGGTACGGGATAACCCGATCCCGATATTTCAGTGTGATGTACATGTCCACCGTTCGGCTTCATCGCTAAGCGCTTGCCATCCTTCACATGAGTTGTTGGGCCATTCGTTATTTGATGATGACGGATTTCCAACCAATCGGGCACCATTTGGTCTAACACCTCCTCGTTTCTTCATTCGGTGAAAAGACCGAACCATCTGACGATGCCTAGTCCAGATGCCATATCTTAGTGCCGCAATCCACTTTGAGCGTGGAAGATCTACATCTCGATCGCACAATTGGTTATCAGTGATTCTCCAGTTGCCCGATGACTGGATGACCCCCAAATCGATTTCCCCGCATCCGCATCCGCCGCTCGCGATGATAAGACGTCCCCCGCCAATGGATGTGGCCAGGGTAAGGGTAGCCGTGTGAGAAACAGTTAGTAGAAAAGTCTGGGGTGATGTGCTATATACTTTTTCCGTCATGAAATGTTGATAGAGTGTTTGTTCATTTGTTGTTCAAGTAAATATCATCTTTGGTGAGCAACATGAGTTCAGTCAGCACACCAAACAAGGCGGAAGCCCTCGTCGCCGAAGCAGTGCATCACGAGCACCAATATCATGGGCATTCCCGGGAGAAAGCCGAGATCGACCGCATTGACGCCTTGGCAACGGCACCAGGGACCACCATGGAGTCCTTTGCCCACCTGGACGAGAAGAAGATATTGCGCAAGGTTGGCCATTTTGAATTCCGTCCAGGCTTGGAACCGGTCTGTTAACGAGAGAAACTGTAGATGGACATTCGTTTGATCCCCATGCTCGCCCTGCTGTACCTTCTTTCGTTTCTTGATCGTAAGTTTCACCGTAGAGTCATCTTCAATTGGCAGCAAAGTCTCATTCAACCCAACCCATCTAGGCGGTAATATTGGTAACGCCAAGATCGAAGGGTTGCAGGAAGATCTGGGCATGTCGCCAGACCAATACAATTGGTGCCTTACGATATTCTTCTTCAGCTATGCGGCGTTTGAGGTTCCCAGCAATCTGCTTCTGAAAAAGCTTCGGCCGAGTCGGTGGTTACCGTTCATTATGGTGGCTTGGGGGACTGTTATGACGCTTATGGGTATAGTCCAGAATTACCGCGGGTTAATGGCAGCGCGATTCTTCCTCGGGGTCGCAGAAGCAGGACTATACCCTGGATGTGCTGTGCGCTTTTCCCTCTAAGATGACATCGCGGTGCTTTCTGACATGGACGCAGTACTATCTCACCATGTGGTATTGCCGCCATGAGATCCAGCTACGCCAGGCCATGTTTTTCTCGGCCGCCTCCATCGCTGGTGCCTTCAGTGGACTTCTGGCGTTTGCGATTTCCAAGATGGATGGCGTAGGCGGGCTCCAAGGATGGCGGTGGATTTTTATTCTCGAAGGGATAGCCACCGTTATCGCCGCTGTGCTCGCGTTCTTCGTCTTGCACGACTTCCCCGAAATCGCAACCTTTCTTTCCGAGGAAGAGAGAGCTTTTGTTGTTTATCGACTCAAGTACGGACAAGACAAGAAGGGGAAAGACGAAGGCCGGAGACAGGTCGCAGAAGCTGATGAGTTTGATTGGAAGTACATCTGGCAAGCCTTCAGCGATTGGCAGATATGGCTTAACATCGTTGTTTACTGGGGTGTGAGTGAAGCTCAGGTGCAACGACAACATTGGATATATGATGCTAATTGTCCCTAGATCGTCTGTCCCCTATACGGGATCAGCCTGTTCCTCCCAACGATCGTCAAAAACTTGGGCTACTCCTCAAGCACCGCCCAACTCATGACAGTCCCTATCTACATCACGGCGGCCATTCTGGCGGTTGTGGTTGCGTACATATCTGATCGGATAGGCAAACGAAGCCCGTTCGTCATCTCTTTCCTCTGCATGATGGTTGTTGGATTCGCCATGTAAGTCCCACAATCCTTCCCAGCCACCAATGACTGACGCAGCCCTTTTAGGTGCATATCAACTTCCAATCCCCGAGTCGTATACGGAGGTGTCTTCATCACTGCATGTGCCATCTATCCCGCCTTCCCCGGTAACATTGCCTGGCTAAGTAACAATCTCGCCGGAAGCTACAAGCGTAGTGCCGGGATGGCCATTCAAATCGGCATTGGGAACCTAGGTGGAGCGATGGCATCCAACTTTTATCGACAGAACGACTCACCACGCTATGTACTAGGACACGGACTTGAACTCGGGTTCATCAGCGCTGGGATAGTCGCAGCTTTTGTGCTAATCATCAGCTACTCGTCCATCAACAAGAAGCGAGAGAGGGCGATACAAGAGAGTGGACACATCCATTTCACCGAGGACGACCTTGCGGCGAGGGGCGACAAGGCGGTTACATTCAGATACATGTACTAATAGCTGGCTGGTGCTTCGTCGGGACCTGATATAGATTAAGAGGGCAGTTTATTCCAGCGGAGTTGTAGAAGCTAAAGACACTTGGATTTGTTTATTAACCGGGGAAAGAGGCTGCTTTTGTCCACAGGGGCGTGTCGTGCATTCGCATCCTCAGGGCTTGATACTTCCCTTTTGGGAACGTGGAAAGGGTTGTTGTACTGTTGGAGAACATTTTGCCCATGGCTATTAGAATAGACGTATATGAAGTCCTTGCCGCCATAGATGAGTAATAGTTGGAATGCGACGATGTACAACCCAAGCAGGGCTTGAGAAATGGGCCCGAGAAATAAGCTCTCAATTCCAGGGGGGGAGCCTGCCTAGATGAGCTATACTTACTTCGCACAGCAGAATTCTGCTCGACAACGAATAAAAACAGCTGAAAATTGGTAGAAAAAGAATTTGTTGTTCTACAGACGCAAACTTGAGTATTGAAACTTAAACCCAAGGTAGGCATATTTAGACGCGCCAGCTTCGAGTGGCAAAGAATCGCATCATATTTCATATGATATCTGTGAGCTAGACTGGATGTATTTAAGTACCTGCGTTGGAACTCTTGTATAAAGATATAGCCGAGTGATTTGATATCAGCTCGCAGCTTGAGCACAATGTAAGTAATGTAGGGCTGTGAATCAAGTCCTGAAGCCAAAGCTTTTGAATGCAAAGTGTCGCATGCAACCTTGGGGAATAGTAGGATCCAGGCAGATAAGAACGATACTAGATTGGTCACGTAAAAGTCCCCGGTGAGGTCCTGCACAAGGCTCCCACACTCTGTGTAGTTAGTGACGGGGCTCACCGAAATATTGGCGCGGATTATACTGCACGTGACTATCAAGGACTCCAGAGCTATCCGAAGGATGCACGAAACCCACACGAGGGTTGGAGTGAATTCTATTCCTTCGAGAAGACCAAGTTGTTGCTGCTATGGCCATATATGCAAGTGATGATCTGAGACTAGTGTGGATGAGATCGTGTTGAGGAGCGGGTTGATAGTTGGTTGTGGCAGGCAGGGGTCGGTGGAATACGGATGCTGATTGGATGGTTGAGGCAGATGTCGTCCTCAGTCGCACGCCCGCCCTGTCATATAAAATCCATTTCGCACCCGGTACCCTCCTCTCCATATCCCTCTCTTCTTCATCCCCAAAGGATCCGTATCAATCAAATCCATCAATAAGACTCCACAAAACAGCTTAATCCTTCATGCATCATCAAGATTCGGCCGTACACCCTCCTCAGGCCTTCTACCAGTATCAGAACACATATTCCACGTAAGCCACGACCACCAACAGCCTTGAAGATCATTATGATGCCGATCATGCTTGAAGATGACCTCGACAAGATGGACGTGAAAACTAGGCAACACTACCTTAAGTATTCATGTCCTGGCATGGGCATGGTCGGCAGGGGGCCACGTGACCCCAGAGAAATGACGATGCCTCGTAGGACCCCCACCACCATACTACAGCATCTGCGTGTAGCACAATAATACGTGCTAGCCAATCATGAACTTCCTCGTGCTAATTTATCCTTCTTTACAGAAACGCATGAGATCGAGCATGGCTCCATATCGACCCATACGAGCAAGATCCTGGGATGCTCTAGGGCTCATGGATATCGCGGCCTTGGAAGTCGCCAGCGGACATACTCTGCCTCAGAGGAAGTTTTATCCATCCCGGACAATAGAATTTCTAGTCTCAAGACACTCAAACGAGCCCATCAGCCTATTGAGTTCAATTCCAAGCCGATGCTTGAGGAGAGGTTCTCCCAAGATCATCATACTCACTGGAGACCACAACGACAAGTCCCTGGAGTCCACTTTGATAATAATGGCTACTCTAGTCAGAGAAAAACAACGAAGAGTGGCTTCTCCTATGGTAACTCATTACGAACTCCCCGGCAACTGGATTGTGGTTCAGTCTCACGCACAGAATTATGTCCTGATGAAAGTCAGCTGGATAGCAGCATGGAATTGAGGAGGCATCGGCCAAACCCCAGTCATGACCAACAAGTTCCTTCGCCTCCGAGAACACCGCGAATATCCCGAATGCCGACTCCAGACCTCGAACCTCTTTTCATGCACCGATTCTGCCCCTGTTGTTCTCAAGAAAAGAGTGACGGCGATGACGACAATGATGACGATGAGGATTATGGTCGTTGGCGCAGAGAAAGAGCGAAAATGGATCAACAGAGTAAGTTACTTGGCCCAACATCTTGCATAGTGCCTTTTCTTACTAATGTCCATGAAGTAAATGATGCGAAGGCATACATAGCTAGCAAGTCAAAGGGACCAAAAGAGCCCGGGTTGTTGCTAGATCGGTGAAACCTGGAGCAACACAGTAGGGACTGGGCACGCGGATCAGAAGTCCCATAAATAGTCTTACAGGGAGGAACTCGGTTCGGGTTGCAAAATGAGGCTTGTATCTGTATGAATTAACGACTATAGTGAATATCAATACTCTAAGTGCAATCTAAAGTTGCGGGGGAAATGAACGAAACAGTCCTTTCTCCACTGAAATCTATCCTCCTATAAAAGGTAGTCGCCCATCAGTAACCCGTGATTTCATACCCATGAAGTATCCGAGATCGCTTTGACCGAGGAACTAGGACGTGGGGGTATCAGTTGCGCTAGAGATGGTGGGCGCGACGGTCCAGAATCCATTCTCCTAAGGCGATGATGCGGCATAGGTGATTTCTCGACCCCTATCACAACCACTGTAACAGGACACCAATATAGCTAAAGTACTTATAATTGATCGCACAGAAATGAGAAGGCTACAGTAAGGAGATAATCCCCATCAGTCACCTGGGAGTTGCTGACGCGCGCCAGCACGAGCTCTATCTCGCAATTCTTCATTTCCTCGCCGAAGATACTAGTGCAATTAGCTCCGAAGTAGGTGATATGAGTTCCATATTTGTTAACATAGCTCAAACCGAGCACGTTGAATGCTGAATTCTCCCGCCAGCTCCGCCTTAACAATCATATAAATTGAATCAAATCAAGTGTTCTGCTGTGTCTCCCATGAGATTTGACAGCCTTCCATTAGATAATAGCAACTTCCATTCAATGAAACACGTAGGCGGAGATTGGTTGTACAGCTCATTGGGGTTCCAGTCCCCAGTTCGAAGCAACGTTAAACTCGCAGGACTACTCTAAACTTGGCTATGGACTTGTATATCATGATCTGAAAAAATATACCCTTGCTTTTCAGTGTAAAGCTAGGCCGTTATAGCCCCTAATTCGTGCCTGAATTATAGATTGGACATTGTCCTACTACCTGCCACTATATGAAATCATAAGCCCTAGAACAGAGCAGATGTTAGCTACCTCGGTGACGACAGCATCTGCAGCCGTGCTAGAGAGTAAATCAACAGTTTTAGAGACAGGCATAACGTCTGAGAGCTTTGTGACTTAACAGCTAGTCTTTATCGGCGTCCTCATAATATATGCTTCGTTTTTCCCATATCTTTCTTGAACCTTTCCACCAATCCCTTACAGCACTCTGCTCGTAGGGTGTTGCTAATAAAGACAACGATAAGGAAAATATGCGCTCTGATAAACTTTTATATCTTTCACTCTCGCAGCCAAAGACAATGCAAATGCCCTTTTGTGCTCGTTCATAATGCAGCCTTGCTTTATATTGGATTGTGGGCAAATGGTCTTGTATTGAAAGTGTCATGATCTCTGGAGAGTCCTGAGAGAAGTGAAGGGCGGCCATAGGGGCCTTATATAGGTAGAAATGACTGATGCCTGTCCCACAGCCAGGACTTGTGTGGTTCAATGGGTAGAGGTCATATTGACCCATACCTTGTACGGTTTGCGGCTTTACTTTTCTCCTTTGACTTAGCAGTCTTGACGGAGTAGCCTTGAAGGTCCGACACTTTATCTACCTTTTTAAGACCGTTAAACAGATCACCAAGATTTTGAAGGGTATTAAGAGCAGGGATATAAGAGTTTACGGCATCTGACCCTAGTGATTTCTTGTAGCCTCAAAGCGCCCGCTCGTACATCGTCTCGGCTTCTTGAAGTCGGCCTTGGTCTGCATAGAGAAGGCCCAGCTGACGCATCGCATTTACAACATTTGTATTATAAAATTGATCATCGGTACTGAAAATCTTTCCTAACCACCATGAACAACTTTCCGCATGAGAGAGAAGTCACCGCTGCAGTATCCAGAAGCTTTTCCGAGTACTACTGGGCACTAACGATCCAACCACAGTTACCGCTAGTTGTACGAACTCTCTTCTCTGTGCCTCATTCTGTATATACGATGTCCATTTATGCACTACTGGATGTATAATGTAACTGCCTGGTATAGATTCCTGGGTCTTGATCAACGAATAGTGGAGCAGAAGTCGAGTTGTGTCCAAAACCGTGACCTCGTTATGCGCCATCTCGCAGAGCCATTGAGGCCACCACTCTTGGTCTTGTGAATCTGATTGCAGCAGCCCGTGCCACATATCTTGATTATCAGCAAAAGCCCAAAGGAGGAGGAGATTTGCGGCGTTTTCGTTCTTTCTCTCAATCGCTTTAAAGGATAGCATCCAGGTCGTGCCGGCATGGTTTCGCCCGCCTATCCGGGGCAACCCCACGTCGAGTCCTTGTTGTTGTCATACCCTGACTTTTGTGACACTTATCCCACGTATACTTCTTTTTGAAAGCTTGAATAATAAAATAAGTATTGTAGTCGCACCATCGTATCCAGAGAGAAGTATTTGTTACATTTAGTCTGTGGATACCGTATTCAGAGTAAACCTCTTCAAATATCTCAAGGTATTCTATAATGTTCTCCCTACTGGCGGGCGGTAGGTCGATACCATGTCCTGGACATAGTAACGGGAGAATGAATATCTTCAGAAGGGTCGCGGGATCTAAGTTACTAATTGGGTATCCATCTAGCTCGACTTTCTCTCGGATAGGTATGTGGATTCGGTAGGTTCGACAGGATTCACAGATCCGACAGAATTAACGGAATAAACAGAACCGACAGGATTGAAATAATCGATAGGATCGATAGGATTCAAAGCAGAATGAATGAAACGTTCAGTGTTAACACTTAACAGTAACACCTTAGCAGGTTATTAGAACAACTGGTACCTCAGCAGGCAAAGGGAATGAAATCAATTACTACTTGCTTAGCCGATTAGTGAGCTGCTGGCTTGGCTGCTTGCATTTATCTCTTTTTCTTCTTAATAGATTGACTACCTACACAGGTCCTTAAATACCATCGAGAAAACGCTCATATAATTAATCCGGAAACCGAAAAGCAAGAGCCAAAAAATGAGCCGTCCCACCAGTTGCTTAAGTGTAGTTTATATATGAATAGTATCGTGTTTATTACCATGGCATTGTCATGCTTGCCCAAGTTCCTACCAAGTGGTGAAGGGATCGGGAGGGTATGACTGCGCATCAAGCCACTTGAGCAGTTACATCGGGAACCACAAAAACAGCGCCTGACAGGAAATGGTTAATGAATATGACGCACCACTGGTGATATGTTTAAACAGGAATGGAGCGCCCCACTACGCGTAGTGCATCATGTCGTCAGCTACTATCAAACAATACTTTGTTGACAAATATCGACATGCCAACGGAGTAAAGATAAGTCTGATAGTACCTGAATAGAGTTACATCATGTAAATCTGTCCATACGAGCTAGACTTTGTTTGGACAGAGACGCTCACTTTTGCATTTGGAGGGGGGACTCCATGTACGGTATATCGATATTGTCTATGTTTTCAGTATGGTCCTCAGAGCATCGCAGATAGCATCCCCAATCTCGGTTGTGCTTGCCTTGCCGCCCATATCAGCAGTTCTGATATCCATGCCCCCGGCTTCCTTCGAGTTTAATATACGAGTGACGGCGTCTTCGATCGCCGCAGCCTCTCTGGTGAGATGAAAGGAGTACCTGAGCATCATAGCCAGACTCAGGATCTGCGCAACGGGATTGACGATCCCTTTACCCGAAATGTCTGGCGCACTTCCGTGGACAGGCTCATAAATGCCATTACACCGACCCTCACCAGGGATACCAGATATACTGGCACTAGGCAGAATACCTAGCGTTCCAGTAATGCCACCAGATATGTCGGAAAGAATATCTCCAAAGGTGTTATCCGTATGGACGACACCGTTGAAGCCCCTGGGGTTTTTAACCATCAACATAGCCATGCTGTCCGCGAGTTGGTGACGCAACTCGATATCTGGAAACTCCTCGTCGAAGATATTTTGGGTTACTTTCCTCCAGAGCCGTCCGCTGGCGAGCACATTGGCCTTATCTGCACTCCAGACGATGGCAGGACCTCCACCACCTTGTCCATCACCGTTGCGACCCAGCATGCGCGCGACGGCAGCGCTCACACGGCAACACCGCTCGACCTCTCGTTTAGTGTAAACCCAGAGATCAGATGCGATGTCCGGCTCTTCGACCTTTTGGCCAAAATACGCGCCCCCGCAGTTCTCACGAACCACAACGAACTTGGTTCCCAATACCAAGTCTGCCTTGATCGGTGAAGCGTCCACCAATGACGGGATGAATACCTCACAAGGCCTGAGGTTGGCAAATGCATCGAGACGCTGCCGAAGCTGTAGGAGACCCGATTCGGGATTGGGATGCGCGTTGGTCCATTCGGGGCCACCAACGCTGCCGAACAATACGGCGTCGCTCTTCGCGGCTTTTTCTAGCACTGCATCTGTGACTGGCACGCCATGAGCGTCAATGCTGCATCCTCCCACGAGGTCGCTATCTCGTTCGAATCGCAGACCGGGCTGGCACTCTTCGACTACGTCGAGGACCTTGAGGGCCTCTGTCATGACTTCTGGGCCGACGTGGTCTCCCGGAAGGACAAGGATGCGGTAAGTCGTTGAGTTGGCCATAATGATCGATATTAAGTCTAAAGCAATCTTGATTGACGAAGGGACAGGTATCAACGAGAGAGAAAGAGCGTCTCATTGGCGTCAATAATATATCTACAACTTCAATGCTCCAAGGGCATGCAACGGCCGCCGAAGTCGCCGTATCGGAACCGGTGTCGTTCTACATCTGTACCTCCGCTCGTCTTGGCTGCATCAGAGTAACATGTTGACCGCATAAAACTGGCTCACCCCGCATACTCGGGGGATCTACCCCAGAAACTCAATCAGAGCTGCCGTTGCTACAAAGAAATCGATAATAACTACTTAAGTAGCTTGAAAATTACCAAATACTGGCTGTTGGAAGGTAACTGCTCCGATCAAGTCACAGTTAATCGGTTTATCCTCTATTCTAATTCTGAATTCATAGCGCCTACAACAAACCCCTTACCCGGTTAAGAATAGCCACTATCATGGCACCCGGAACCAGACTAGCCGGCAAAGTCGCCATCGTCACGGGTGGAGCATCCGGGTTTGGCCGTGGCATCGCAACCAAGTTCGTCCAAGAAGGAGCCAATGTCATCATCGCCGACTTGTCCGCAGAAGCCGGCCAGGCGCTAGCCAAAGAATTGCAATGCAACTTCACATTGGCTGATGTGACGAAACGGGATTGCTGGGAACACCTGCTAAAAGTAGCCATTGACAACTTCAAACAGCTCGATATCGTCGTCAACAACGCCGGCATCACTTACCCCAACAAAGCGACGGCGGACGTCACCGACAAAGACTTCGATCTCGTCATGAACGTCAATGTCAAATCCATATATCTCTCGACGAATATTCTGCTGCCATACTTCCTTGAGAACAAGAAGCCGGCATGCTTCATCACGGTGGCTTCGACCGCCGGGGTTCGACCACGACCCAGATTGACGTGGTACAATGCGTCCAAGGCGGCAGCCATCAATGCGACCAAGGCGAGTCCCCTGCTATTGTCATATGATGAATGATGACCAGTTCCTACTTCACATATTGAATAGTACGGCATTCACCATTCGCTGAAATGTTTACTGACTTGTTTCCTAATATAGACCATGGCGGTCGAGTATGGCCCTCAACAAATTCGCTTCAACTCCGTTTCTCCGGTTATAGGGACTACGGGAATGTGAGTTTTCTAGTATATTGATGAACGCCGCTTAATCATGGTTTAGGACACATCTGTTCTTAGGGAAGCCAGATACCGAAGAGAACCGTAAACAATTCCTGTCGGTTGTGCCACTTGGTAGAGGTTCTACACCATCGGACGTAGCCAATGCTTGTTGCTACCTTGCAAGCGAGGAGGCCGCTTTCATCACTGGAGTCAATATCGAAGTTGATGGTGGGAGATGTGTTTGAGAAGAGGCCGAGAGAGCGTTGTGGGCTCAAACCTGTTGGCCGCCACTATTTCGTAACGCTGCACTTTTGAATTGCAACAGGCTTTTGTTTTTCTCCCGTGAGGCGGCTTTCTGGGTCTCGGTCAGGATGTTTAATTACATTATGCCTTAACATACAAAGTTAATTGCCGTAGGCCTTGCCTGAGGGGCCGGAGTGCTAATGAGTAACTCAAACATCCTGTTTTAACTTCTGAGATTATGGCCTGCTCCTCCGCTTCTTGTTCCTCTAGTGGACCTCCATCCATATCCTGATACTCATCGTGACTCTGATGTGTGTAACCCCACATTCTCCGCACTTATCCACCATTCTGCCGTCAGTCTTACCGTTAATGCAAGTCATGGTTCGACAGTGTCGTCACTGATGCGGGGATCTCAATACATTTCCTCTGGTCCTTTTAGTGACAGGAACTCGTTACCTTCACCTCTGCATTCCTATTCACCTGCTAGAAACAATCACTAGTATTTTCTCTAGCTGCTATTTTCAGGGAGCCATAATAAAGTGCTCTCCTCTATTATCAGGCCGCCGGTTCCGGCACGACCCCACTCCTTTCTCGACGGCACTACAACATGGCCAACGCAGACTTCCCAAAGTTGTTTGAGCTCAAGGACCAGGAACTTCTCCAAAACCACTGTTACATCCACGGAAAATGGGCCACAGCACGTCGAGGCCAAAATTTCCCCGTCACTGACCCTGGGTCGGGTCAAATCTGGGCAGAATGTGCAGACGGCACGAAGGATGACGTTGAGCCCGCCGTGCACTCATCACACATAGCGTTTGAGAAGTACTCGAAGGTGACCCCAAGACAGCGAGCGCAAATTCTCCTGAAATGGCATCAGCTTATTGACAGCAACCGTGAGGATTTGGCTAAAATACTTGTCTATGAAACGGGCAAGCCACTTACCGAAGCGTACGGCGAGATTGACTATGCGCTCACATTCGTGTGGTGGTTCGTAGGTGAGGCGGAGAGGATTCAGGGGTCCGTGATAACATCCGCTGTCCCGGGGCGACGCTCCATAGTCATCAAGCAGCCCATCGGTGTCGTCGCTGGTCTGGTCCCCTGGAACTTCCCCGTCGCCTTGATGCTCCGTAAGGCCAGCGCTGCTCTGGCTGCCGGCTGCACCATGGTTGTGAAGCCATCACCGGAGACTCCCTTCACTGCGCTGTCCCTAGGATTTCTTGCCACGCGAGCTGGTTTCCCAGCCGGTGCCCTGAATGTTGTCACGACGAGCCTTGAAAATACCCCCGAGGTCGCGGAGGCGCTGTGTCTTCACCCTATAGTCAAGAAAGTCACTTTCACAGGCAGCACAAGGGTGGGCAAGATAATCTCAGGTCTTTGTGCCAGGAACCTGAAAAAGGCGACTTTTGAACTCGGTGGAAACTGCCCATTCATCGTCTTTGATGATGCCAACCTGGATCAAGCTCTCGAGCAACTGATGGCCCTAAAATGGAGACATGCAGGTCAGGCATGTGTCACTGCGAATCGCGTTTACGTCCAACAGGGGATCCATGATAACCTGGTAAAAGCCCTGGTTGAAAAGTCGTCATCAATCCGGGTGGGCCATGGCATGGGTGAGGGCACGACAATAGGCCCTGTAACCACTGCTAGAGGACTCGAAAGGGCTGAAGCGCTTGTGAAGGATGCCATTGATAACGGTGCACAACTCATGCTGGGAACAGGGAAGCGACATCGGGTGGAGGGGCATGTCGATGGTTACTACATGGCACCGACCATCCTGACAGGGATGACTCGTGACATGACCATGAGCTGTGAAGAAATATTCGCACCTATCTTGACTGTGTACGCATTTGAAGATGAAGACGAGGTCGTCACACGGGCAAACAATACAAGCATGGGCTTGACTAGCTACGTCTTCACCAAGAGTGTTGATCGATTATGGCGCCTCTTTGAAAAGCTGGAGGCTGGTATGATCGGATTGGTAAGTAGACCCCTTTGCAACAACACTTCGTTACCCGCCTTCGTCTCATCTGATTGAAAAATCTACAGAACACTGGAAATTGTTCAGCAGCGGAAGCTCCCTTTGGTGGAATTAAGGATAGTGGTGTTGGGAAGGAAAGTGGGAAGGACGTTGCTATCAATGAGTTCATGGTGACCAAGACTGGGACATTGACCGTTGAGGACCACTATTGAAACAAAGGCTACAGAAGGATTGGCTGCCGTGAATGTAAATCTATAATGTAATCGAGTGAGTGGCTTGTAGACGTTTGTGCAAGAAGCTCGACTTCAAGGCTTAGTATAAGCGCCGGAGGATTCTGGACGTGGCAATGTAAGCTCAATTGTGTGAAATGACGCCGCATCTACAGGAAATTGCCACAGGAGACGTGCCTGTATGGCTTCTTATGGCTACTGTAGATGGATTTCCTTGAATGCTGCGCCCCAAGAACGGTCTGTCAATAATAATCTGCACCATTTTGCTGATATAACCCTTGGGATACTTCTTCTTTTCAGTATTATGGAGCATGGCGACACGGAATCCCAGTCTATCATATCATTTCTACGCCATGCCCGAAAGAAACTCTATATCGTTGAATAGCAAGGATCTGGCACTGTAATGGTTGTTGGACTTGGAGAAGCTCGGTCTGCCCCTGGCCATGTCGAAGTACACTCCAGCCTCTCTGAGCTTGGAACACCGACACCGTCGGCTGGAAACTTAACAAATATAAACCCCATCCTGTAAAGAGATAACAAGAAGTTGGACTAGAGGTCTGCTGCAGGACCCGAATGCTTGTGTATCCTGGTCGATCTGACCTCACAGGACTCAAGTCACGAATATCAGGATTGATTTCGTGCCAAGTCAGTTGTGTGGTTCAGATCTCTTTTGATGGTGTTTTTTCTAGAAAGCTCAGCTATTTCCGAAGCTACGAAATGTTGCTTAAGAGCAATGATGTAGCCAATCAGATCCTCTGATTTGGATCCACATGCTTATGGCGAATTTGACTCTAACCCCTTTTTCTCTTTTCTTTTTCTAAGGCTAATGCACTACTGATTTCACGCAGCCAAAAAGGCCAACAAAAGCACTCGATAGAAACCACAGAAAATACCACAATAGCCACATAACCATGGCGAACACAGTAATCTACGCAGTTAACTTCCTTCGATGAACTCCAGTACACCATGAACGCGACCAACGATTCAGAAGGATTCGAACAAGCTCAATAAGTCTCCCGTACTTCACGCAAGGATGACTCCCTACAATTGCACCTTATGGATGAATAAAATCCGTATTAAAGTTTCCGCTACATTCTTGGACATCGGTTACAACTACGCTGGAGACACCGCTTTCAACATCCCGCGAAAGTGCATCTGTGACAAAGGGAGCCGATATATTTCAGCCTTCTGACTGATGCGAGCTCTATATAGAGCTATCCCATATTAGCACACTCTTGGTGCGCAGTTTATTTTCTCTCCTGGCTGGTGGACAAGCTCTCAGATGTATCGGAGATTGACATGCCCTGTTGTGAGAACAGCATTCACGTACGAAACGAACGCATAGTCGAGTGAGTTCCTAAAGGTAGATTTCTACAGCCACGAAGCCTTAAAAATTTTATTTTTGGGTCGATAAGCACAAATATGATGTTAGTTGCCGCATGATGAACAACGTGGGCACACCTGATCGAGCCGAAGCTCGTGGCACAGATAATGTTCGCTGGAGTATTTTCCCTTAACGTAGTCCACGGTCCAATTGCACACTTCGGCAGATTTTCGTACGCTACCACTTTGACCTGCGGTTTTTCACCACATAACTATGGTTAGTTCTTGGAATGAAAGTGATATGATTCTAGCATTACATACGCTTCAATCTGATCAAAAATTAAGTGTACGTCGCGCCGGTCAGATCTATAACGTACCTTTTAGAAGCCTTGTGTATCGACGCGACGGTAAGACCGCTCGAGCGATTACGCGATTGCCAACGCAAAATTTGACTCCTTCCGAAGAAGAGGCAATCGTACGACATATAACCGACCTAGATTCGCGAGAATTTCCTCCCCGATTGAGTGGTGTTGAAGATATGGCCAACCGATTACTTCGAAGTCGCGACGCGGGACGCGTCGGCGTCAACTGGGCCTCGAGCTTCGTAAGACGACAACCAGACCTCCGGACGCGTTTAAATCGAAGGATCGACTATCAGAGAGTCCTCTGCGAAGACCCCGACGCGTATCGCGCGTGGTTTAACCTAGTACGGAATATAATTGCGAAATACGCGATCTAGGAGGAGGATATCTACAACTTCGACGAGACCGGTTTTGTGATAGGCCAAATCTCGTCCAAAATGGTCATAACGACTTCTAATCGGCACAAAAGGCCTAGAAAAGCCCAGCAAGAAAATCAAGAATGGGTTATAGTTATTCAAGGCATTAGGTCGTCCAATTATGCCCTCCCTCCGTATATCATTTTCGCCGGCAAAACCCACCTCTCGTCATGGTACGAAAATAGCCTATTACCGCCTGATTGGGTTATCGCAGTTACTAAAAATGGCTGTACTACGAACGAGAGAGGCGAAGATTGGATAAAACACTTCGATCATCACACCAAGTCTCGTACGAAAGGTACTCATCGCCTATTGATCCTCGACGGTCACGAAAGCCATCACTCGACCGATTTCGAGGTATATTGCAAAGCTAACAATATCGTCACGCTTTGTATGCCTCCTTATTCGTCGCATAAGTTCCAGCCTCTTGATGTTGGTTGTTTTCGCGGGTTAAAAAGAGCGTACGGAAAAGAAATCGAAGATCTCATGCGAGCACATATAAGTCATATCTCGAAAGAAGACTTTTTACCGGCGTGTTTAAACGCGTACAACGCAACTTTCACGGTTTCAAATATCCAAGGAGGTTTCCGAGAGGTATTAATAGTTCCGTACGATGCAGATTATGTCATATCACAGCTCGATGTGAAATTACATACGCCAACACCTCCGGGTAGCTCGGCTGGTCTCCCCGTCCCTTGGGAATCAAAGACTCCGAACAACCCAACCGAAGCCCAATCACAAACCGATTATGTGAAAAATAGGATTGTACGACATCAAAATAGCTCACCAACGTCAATTTTTGCTGGAACAGATCAGATTGCGCGAGGTACAACGAAGGTTATCCATCGGCTTGCCCTTTTAGAAGGCGAGGTCGAATGACTTCGAAAGGCAAATGAGACCTTAAGTCGACGTCGCCGTGCGAAGAAAAAACAGCTACAGAGTGGAGGGTCACTTCGTATACAAGCTGGACAGGACCTACAGTCTCAACGAGAGGTTGATGGGCAGTTACATGACGAATTTCGTCAAATTGGTGGTTGTATGAGGCGGCGAATTGCGCGTGTACGGCGCTGTAGAATCTGCGGCGAGCCCGGAAATAATGCGCGCACTTATGGAAGTGATGTAGAGACGTCTGAAGATAACGATTCTGAGTAGTTTCAATTGATGATAGGCGTTGTGGTTGAATTAACTTATACATTGTCGTATAAGGTCTGCCAAAGTGTGCAATTGGACCGTGTGTGCAATTCGACCGTGGACTACGTGATCTCTTATATTTGCAATGGCGGTCAGAAACTTGGCGTCACAACAGCAAATCATCAAATACACACGATACGATATGATACTACTTTATGTTGGCCAATATCACGAATAGGAAGATGGAGGAACGCGTAATTTCCGCTGTCACACGATGCGTAACAAAACAAGAGGTGGGGGTTACACCCTTCGGCTATGCGACTCAGAAGCGAGATGCAGTAAATGGAATGATTGGTGAAGTTCGCAGTCAGGCCTGAAATCTTTCATCATTCGGTCATAATTCGTGTAGCTGGTTCGAGTTGATGATGACTTCTCTTATCAGTTACGTTGCACCATCTGGTAAGCCCTTTTCTGGGTATACAAATTGCGACACGACCGACTGCCTGTACTCTTCCAAAAAATAGTCTAGATCGAGTGGTTATCTTTCAGTGGATATCTGGGGAACCGTATGCTGGTCCGCTAGCTGTTTGACGCAGGCACGACAGTCACAAAGAACACATCTGAATAATGTGACGAGAACTGGCAGTTATTCGCAAATAATATCATAAATAAAGTAGGAAAAACCATCTAAACTCGAAGACCAGCCACTAGGATGTCAACGGTAACACTCGCTCAGGAGCCGTTGCGGGGCCCTCAGCTGTCCGTGGTACTAAACCGGTAGGGCACATACTTGTACTAGGTCATCATCACCGAGAACAACCGAGTTGCAAAATTACAGCATTGAGGAATTATATGAACACGCTTGGATGATATTAACATGCAACCAGGGCCTACTCTGACTTATGGTCGTGGCGGCAGGTCTATCTTTGCCATCTCCCCTAACCAACAACCTTTCGACCGGTGGTGTGGAAGACAGGTTGGAAACCAAGTAATCCACCTTCTTACCCTTCTACACAAAATTATATTGCGATGAATTCCAACTCAGAACAGTCGGAATCACCCCGTCAGCGAAATTCAGACAGAATAGCCAGGTGGCTGGCACCGAGTGACTACCTTGGCGATTCCAGCGAGTACCAGCGACAACTCGCCTTAAGAATCCCTGACACCGCTCTATGGCTGCTTGAAACAGAACAGTATAATCGATGGCAACAGTCACGAATGTTCGGCACCTTGTGGGTCAAGGGTTCCCCTGGGTGCGGGAAATCGGTGCTAGCGGCCTCGACGATTGATCATTTCCGAAAGATCGGGAATTCCCCAGTACTTTTCTGTTTCTTCCGAAAGCCAGAAGGAACAGAAGTTAATATTATCCAAAGCTCGAGGACCCTCATCCAAGACTGGCTTGCCCAGTTGCTTCCTTGGAGTGCCTGTCTCGAGGAGGACCTCCGTGGTCTGACTGGCTCGACTTCTGCCAACGCATCGGAAGAAGATCTGTGGAAATGCCTCTTTGATGCCCTCAAATACTTCCCAAAGGTTTACTGCGTTGTAGATGGAGTTGATGACATCGATAATTCGCACAACGAAGAGATATTCCGACGTCTGAAGGAGTTGGCCAGCTTGAAACCCCATGCAGTCAAGCTCCTCGTGACAAGCAGACAGAGGGACTCTCTCCAAAGCAACTTTGAACTCGGGAAGATACGATGGATCATCGAGCTCAACATGGATGCCGATGTTACACGACGAGACATCAAAGCTTATGTTCTATTTCGACTAAACCAACAGATTCCAAACCGGGCTCAATCAAAGTCAGGACAGGCGCTTGCCAACATGATCTCCGAGCTCTCTGATGGCTCATTCTTGTACGTCAAGGCTTTAACCGACGAGCTTCTTCCGCGGCTTGATGAGTATCAGAAAACAAAAGGCGACGAGTCTTTGTCGCTCGCCAATCGAACCCCAAATATCCCAACGCCTGTGAAATCGGACACAGCCACCGAAGATCTGGCGGAAAGAATTCAGGTTTGCAAAATCATCACCGGCCTACAAGCAAAGTAACTAACAGGATATAGAAGAGTCTCAAGACAGGGGATGCTTCCGGCCCCGGCTTTGAAAATGGGGCAGGCCATGTCAATAACATGAGCGTCCAAACATCTGTCAAAGCCCAGATGAATGGAGTCGTCGCAGAAGCCAGGCGCATCTGCAAATGGGGAGCAGGCTCGAATGACACACGGCCCATACTGGTGCGATTGCTGATTGAACGTGGCATGGAACGGGCAGTTCCCTTCGGACAACGCCAGCGACGCTGGCTCCACTCCATGTTCGAGGTGGTGAATTGCAGCAACTCGGTTCTGGACGTCTTGTTTGAATACCCGGATCGTATCGACTTCAACACAAGAGATGTCAAGAACCGATCCGTGTTTCACGCGGCTTGCAACGTCACTGTTCATGAGGCTTGCTACACGTTGCCGGGAAACATCCGTGAGCCACCAAGGGATGTATGGGTTAAGGCAACTTCCATGTTCCTCAAGATAGCTGCGTATGGGGTTGATATCAAGGCGCTTGACGGCCAAGGCAGAACCGGTCTCGTAAGTATCCCCCACCCATCTGAACATTGAATCAATTAATATTAAAATAATTTAAAGCATATCATCCTCGACAACCCTATGATTTACGAAGGGCACATTATCAAGTTCCTTCAAACCAAAGGCGGTAAGGAGCTGGCCCATATTAGGGATATAAAAGGGTTCACCCCTCTTCACTACGCCCTACGTACCCTTCGGCCGGCGATATGCGAGGCACTCGTGGACCTCGGCGCCAACATACTTAGCCCAGACCCAGACGGAAACACAGCACTGCACCATATTGCTCGACAGTGCCTCAACTTCTCACAGGCACCTTACATGACGGATGACTTCTTCCTGCACCCACCCGACTACTTCGATAGGTGTCTCAGGCTCTGGCGTTGCTACCTATTTGCAGGTGGTTCCATCAATGTGCGCGATACCCGATACAATGCGCCGCCCCTTTTCAGCTACCTTGCCCACCACAACCCAACCGTCGTTCGACAAGAAGCGGACGAAGACGCAAATGGTGATGAAGGCTCGGGTGAAACTGTGAAAAACCGTCATGCGGAGCACATGAAGGTACTCTTCGATGCCCACCCTAGCTTCGACCTGTTTGCTCATGATAAACATGGCTTCACTGCCTTACACACCGTCGCTTCACGGGGTAGGAAGGTCGACGCCAACTCGTTTCGTGCCGAGTACGACGCCGCCCTCTTCAAGTATCTGCTTGGGAGGGGGCTCGATCCCCTGAGAAAGGATGATGATGGGCATACTAGCTTAGCTATCGCTAAGGTCTATGGGAAACAGGCCGTACTTGGTCTGATGCAGTAGGCTTGGAGGGGTATTTTGGCGTGCATTCTTGATGATAGGCTGTGCTGATCATCTATGCTCTTTGGGCTGTTTCTGTTTGTCATGTGATAGATGATCTTCGGGTTTATAGTCGTGAAATCTATGGTCCGTACTAGATAAGATTGAAAATCTCGGACCTTATTCCCTTCTCTCGCGCATCTTCAAGACCTTCTCCGTGCATATATCCGTGCAGAAAACACTCACCAACGAAGTGGAATTCTCGCGGGCGCTTGTCCTCGTTTTCTGCATTTGCATCCTCCCCTTCCACCGGTCTAAGCAGATAAAGAACTGACCCACCGTACAACATCACGACCACATCGCCAGGCAAGGCATTATGCGGACACAGACCAGGGTGACCAGTCGCAAAGTCAGTGGCAAACCCATCTGTGATACCGTCGCCATCATTGGTGGTAAACAGACAATCGCTGTAGCACGGAATGGCAGGACTCTCACGTTGGAATCCCCGGGAATAATGGTAAGTGAAATGGCGGTCATAGAAATCGCTCTCCTGTTGATCATCCAGCCTCTGAATCTCCTGGTTATCTCTGTCGTGCAGCCATACTCTCATGTTAGCCGTGGGGTTAAAGATGCGGACAAAGGCATGAAACAATTCCCTTGGTAGGTCATTTCCCCACTTCCAGAACGGAAAGGGCGCAATCTGGGCGATGGTGCCGAGATGGTGTCCGCGGACACGAAGGACGCCGGGACGCGAGACGGCATTGGAAGATATGAGTGCCAAATCTGGCGTGGATGAGCCGCTGGCGGTATAAGGGGCATCCGGAGCAAGCCCCAAGGTGGCTTTGGCCCAGTTGGCTTCACCGCCGTGCCACAGACACCATATAGGATATGGTATGGCTTTCAGGTCCGGAGGCTGCCCGTAGTACATCTGCTGCCAGCTGCGGCCTTGTAGGGTGTGGACTGCTGACAGTATGCGCAGCGACTTATGCTCGAGGATCCACCAGCGTACAAAGTCAGAAAAGACGCGCTGGACGGGCTTTTGATAGTCGGGACGAATTTCGGGAGGGAGCGAAGCGACGTTGCTCGTCTCGTGCCCAAACTGCAGTAGGGCGAAGATTTTGTCGCGCGGGTCGCTGGCTTTGAGGCTGTGTGCCTTCAACAGGAAGTCGAGAATCTCTTCGTCAGGATCAGCAGCTTTGTCCTCATGGCTATCTATGAAACTGGCGAATTTGAAAAAGACGGTAGGCATGACGCCGTACCGGATCAGGGGCGAACCCCTCTTGGCATCGAGCATGCGTCGGGCGAAGGCCGAAAATGCAGGCCAGGTCACTGCTATAGAACCGGAGCACACGATGGCAGTTCTGGCGTTAGCGACTTCCTGCAGTACCCACGTGCGCTTGAACCAGTCGAAGTCGCACTCTCGCCATATGTTCGCAAAGCCCATCAGGTCGTTGACGGAGATCTCAGCATTTACTGCACGGAACTCGAGGCCCTTCATTTCCGCACGAGTGTACGTCCTGGAGGCGTCGTATTCTTGCTGCAAATGCTCTTGTATAGAGACAATCTTATTCAAGCACGCTCGTCTTGTAGCATCCAAGGCTCCAAGCCAGATGATGACGCGCTTGGCCAGGTTGTATATAGACGCCATCTGAGGAACTTGCTGTGAACGCTCGTCATCGCAGGCCTGGTTGATGCAAATTGCATTCACCCAGAGTCTGCGTCCTGGTCCACTGGCGGGTCGGAGATGCACCAGTGCTTCGTAAAGACTTGAGTTGACAGGGAAGTCCTGAAACGTGCTCAGTTCTGACCATGTAGCCCGTACCCTGATTGTGTCTTTCCTGCTTGCCTCGCCCCAGCAGTACGACAAGGCCTCGTATTGTTCATCATGAACAGAGTCGCCGAGTGATATGGTCGTGACATCACAGGCGACGGGATCATCTGGCTGCCCTACATGCAAAGACAGGATCCGAACTTGCCGCTTTAAGGGATCCAGTTCATTGTAGAATTTGGGTTTGCTGCTGATGTTTTGGGGCTCGGTGGCGGCCATATCAAGCGCTGCTCTTTTCTCTCCCTCTACTTGGATCGTAGCGCTGTATACGTAGTTCACCCATAACATGAAGTCTAAGAGATCAATATCCTCAGAATTTTCTCAAATAAGAGGTTAAGAGGGAACGGAAAACCCCCGAAGGAAAGGCCGAGTAGACTCACCTGCTCTTGGGATGACCTGAATGATGTCTCCCGCTTGAATATCAGCCAACCACTTCCTCGTCGTAAGGTCACCGGATGCGACGTCCCAAACATTTTCATGTTCGCACTTCTCAAAGAGTGCATGTACGTTGTATTGGAACATCTTTGAGGGTCTCCTTTCGTGGTAGGAGGGGGTGACGATGGCCACTTCGAACCCCGAGTGACTGTCGTTGTACGTGCCGCCGTTGGACTGCTCGCTGTTGCTGAAACCTGCAGAGGTTTGTCATACTCGTATAGTATGTACCGTCCAGGCATTTAAGTCTTACCTTGGTCATGCGAAACTGTTGTCAAGACCAAGCGCCGCACCGATGTCGCAAGCTCAGGCACTACAGCCTCGAGATATGGCTGGCGAGGACAAAACTCGCCAACTTCAATTTCATCAGATCTACTCACCAATACAGTCCATTCATTCCCTTCATGATTTTCACTCATTGTGAAGTTAAGGGAGTTGTCACCTCGAATTGTCGACTGAACTTCGACGATGCCTGGATCTGGCTTCCCAGTCCTGTTTGATCAGAGGGATGCGATATCTAAAATCTCTTCCAGCCAAAATGACAAGCGTGGTCTCCAACGTACAGTTAAGTCGCGGGGCTGTGAGGGTCGGCAAAGGTCAGATTATGTCAGCAGTCAAGCTGAATGCACGCACCGCTATCCCTGCAGGTATCACTATGCAACGGTCATAGAACCATTGATCAAGTACTTACTCTTTTTCAGAGAGGTCCCTGGTTTATTGCAAGGGATGTGCAGCTTTCCAGGATCGATAAAACGAGTATCATTTTATACCTAGGTACCATATACTTCCTGAATACCACGGAGCCCGACCCCTGTGATCACTGAACGTCACCGAAATTTCTTGATTCGTTATATTAGAGAGCCTCTGACCATATACCGTTGTGTTTTTCCAATTATTAGGCAGCAGGGGGGATTCCGAATATGGCTGTTAGGCAGTATAGCACAAGCTGCGATGAAAGAGTCGCCATAGGCTAATTTGGTGGCCGGTCAGACGTACGCGTCATTTGGACCCATTGAGCTATGTGCCTTGAACTCAGAGATCATCTTGTCCTTCATGATGCAGAAATCAAAACAACCCCAAAGGACATACACTTCGTGCTTCTTCTTCTTTGTTGGTTTCCTAGCTTGTCGAAATTAAGTCAATTTCTTCTGGAAGTACAATTCGACCATGTAGCCATCGGCCCAAATGTCGATAGTGCCTTCTTTCCTGTTCCCCAGTTTTCGATTCTTCGGCCCGCGATGAGAGAATCGGGTGTCGACCTGAACTAGTGTGATAAGTTTGCACCCCATTAGAGGACAAGGACCCTCACAACCGCACAAGATAACTACAATTTCATTCCAATCCTTCGCCTATATACAAGAGTCCCTTCCCGTATTATTTCCAAGACCTTAAAACGTCATATTGTGTCCCTTTCCAACATATCAATCAGAATCAGAAGTAATAACTGCGGATGTGACATTGGCAACCTTCCAGATGTGATTCTTGTCACCAGCTATGCACTGCCAAATGACGACCCTGGTGTTATCTTTGACAGTACCCATGTAGAGATCAGCGCAAAGATCTGTGGGGTGAATCAGCTTAGAATCGTTCTATGGTAGCATTAGTTGTAACAGGACTTACTTGTGCCTGTCTGGTCGAGGACAATTTGGCTGTCAGTATTATAAAGCCATTTCTGCGACGCTGAAGTGTCGGCGCAGGTGGCGACAGTCAGAGGGCTTCCGTTACTACGGCCTAACACCGAAAATGAGTCCATGCCCTGTTGGAATATACATGGATAGTACTCGCCTGTGCCAGCGTCTAGGCAGAGTGTCGAGCTGGCTAGTTGGATCTTGGTACTGCCATCCTTTAGGTACCACTGTTGCCCGATGTTGGTGCTATTTAAGGTAAACCTTGAGCGAATATATTAGTATGAGTTCTATTGGTGGCTTTGAGGAACGTTAGACCAACAGTACGATTGAACTGCCACTCGCGACTGGAGTTGCTGGCTGTAGAACGAAATTGTCGTTCCAGGAGGAGGTAATCACGACTTGACGATAGCCCTCAGGTATCTGGGCGAAGCTCGTTGCTGCGAGCGCAAGCGCAAGAAGAGATGTGTACAGCATCTTGAAAAAATCAAGCTATTCTTAGCTATCGATCGACACAAGAATAAGAATTCGGGACCCCGCGAAACCTCTTAAGGTCATCAGCCAGGCTTTATATACAAGTGGGGTGAGGACTTACAAGTCTGGATCTTGGCGGCTAATATACCTTGCCGGCAATCCAGGCTGTGACTCCCAGCAAGGCGAATCAAGCGAGTGGTAATTAGGATTGAACCAATGGCTGACCTCAAGTGACTTTATTAACACAAATCTGACACTGACATATTGCGTTGATGAGGGTACCCATAGGGAGTTTGAGCCTCCGGGGAAGTGGGGTTGGTAATTTGTTGAAAACAGTTAGGTAGTATCAATGAATCAGAATTGCTTTATGAACATCCCACCTCACCAAGTTTCCATTGATTAAGTGGCGTAATCAGGCTAGAACCAACGAGACCGGCAGTTGGAAAGTGACATATGGATTGAATAACTCCACTTCGCCACCTACCCATCTTCCTGACCCGGCATATGGAAGCTGTCGGCGGCAGTGGTTTTTAAATGTATTCAAGTCGGCTTCCTTACAACACGATAGATCATAAACCCTGGAAAACAATCACTGAACTAGCAAGGCATTTTCTTTTATGGATTAAAGCAAAACTGTGCTGTTATAGAGGCCAAATTTTGCTAGCACGGGATTCTTGTTTTGCCTTGAACCGGAGGGCCCTTCGATGCAGATACCGAAAGGGGGCAGGTATTTCGGCCTGAACCGACTGGAGGCGTCTACGCTGTGCCAGATCAGGACGGAAAAAATAGGACTAGCAGCCTTCTTATTCAAGACAGGGGCTTTTGGCGTGTACTCGCCGCTATGCCGCTGTGGCGACGCCCCTGAGACGGCAGAGCACGTAATCCTCTTTTGCGGGCTGTTGGAAGGACCGAGGGAACGATTACGGGCCGCCATCGCACCACGGCCACTATACTCTCGCAGAGACCTCGCAACGGCAACAGGAGAACCAGTAGTTAGTGGGACTATTGTAAGGTGGCTGCTAGGGACGGGTCGGACAGCTTCAAGGCCCAGATAGCATCGATCTTCTCAGGGGGGACTTTGTTGGTAGGTTGAGAACCAACGTAATATGGTAGTGGACGTAACGCAGTCGCCAATAGGGCGAACCGACGACGCAGCGTATGTATTTAGTCCAGCCATTAGGGCACGGTTTGACATACGGGAGTACTAGTAGAGGTACCGGGGGCTTCGAGCCTACGGCGTATTTAATAATAATAAAAAAATAATGTTTTGCCTGATGGCATGATAGCGATGCAGGAGATGGATGATGGTTGCTCTCATGTACTGGGTATATTCGTCTATCTAACTGGGCTTTGTATAACTCAATGTAGCTTGAGGTGGCTTAGCAGGATTGAAGAATAAGTTTTTTGTGTCCTTGCTACATATATTTAGCTCCCTTAAAGCTGTTATTGTTGTCGGCTCCAGTTAAAATGGATATTCATCGAGATTTCGTAAAGAGTTATGAATGCTTTACGATCTGGTATAAATAGTAAGGTGCATCTTTACTATAATATCTTCCTTTATTTACGACTCTCACCTTAGTTTCATACTGGATGGATAGTACCTATATCATGCTGTCCTCAATAGGCACGAGCAACAGGATAAGACCTCAACAGGTCATCAGAACAACTGGTGCCTCAACAGGCGAAGAGAATGAAATCAATTGCTACTTGCCTGGCCGATTGCGTTTTCTTCCTCTTCTTACACAGGTCCTTCAATACTCCTAAGAACACGCTTACATAATTCATCCGAAAACTGAAAAGAAAGACCCAAAAGCCCGGTCCCTAAGTCAATATAATAAAGGATTTCTAGAGTTACTTTACTCCTACGTTAGCATTACGGGCTAATATATATATATATTATTATTAATTACGCCGTAGGCTCAAAGCCCCTGGTACCTCTACCAGTACTCCCGTATGTTAAACCGTGCCCTAATGGCTGGACTAAATACATACGCTGCGTCGTCGGTTCGCCCTATTGGCGATTGCGTTGCGTTCACTACCACACTACGTTGGTTCTCAACCTACCAACAAAGTCCCCCCTGAGAAGATCGATGCTATCTGGGCCTTGAAGCTGTCCGACCCGTCCCTAGCAGCCACCTTACAATAGTCCCACTAACTACTGGTTCTCCTGTTGCCGTTGCGAGGTCTCTGCGAGAGTATAGTGGCCGTGGTGCGATAGCGGCCCGTAATCGTTCCCTCGGTCCTTCCAACAGCCCGCAAAAGAGGATTACGTGCTCTGCCGTCTCAGGGGCGTCGCCACAGCGGCATAGCGGCGAGTACACGCCAAAAGCCCCTGTCTTGAATAAGAAGGCTGCTAGTCCTATTTTTTCCGTCCTGATCTGGCACAGCGTAGACGCCTCCAGTCGGTTCAGGCCGAAATACCTGCCCCCTTTCGGTATCTGCATCGAAGGGCCCTCCGGTTCCTCAGCGATAGCGCGTCGCTGGCGATCGTGATGCTCTGCTCCGGTGAGCCATCTCTTCCTCCAGTGGCCGAGGAGGGCAGCCGGGACCTCCTTTTCCTCACTCATCCACTCGGGGCCCCGGGCCTCCTTCTCCATAGTGTACCCTGCCGGTCGGAGTAGCTGCGATGTCTGCTTCCTCTTCGCCGGCCTATCCTGCCGGAGTATATGTGACGCTTTAGCGCTCGCGCTGCGAAGCAGATTTCTCTTCCCGCTAAGCCGTAGCCGTTCTTCAAACTTAGCAGCCCGGGCACTAAGATAGAGGTCTAGTGGCGGGATTGCTGCTTCTGCTTCCAGGTGGCGAACCGACGTCGCTTTGTGGGCGCCACAGACTACCCGGAGGCACTCGTTCTGTATCCCCATAAGGCTCTTAGCTGGCCCTGCCGGTTCCTCACTTATAGTATGCCACGCAGTCGCCCCGAAGGCGATCGCGCTACGGATAACCACCGTATATAACAGCCTCGCCCGTATAAGATCGCAGCCCCACGACATATTGACTAGCTTTGTCAGGGCTAGCTTTTGAGTTGCCATTTTTGTTTTAACACGCTCAACATGGGCGTGCCACGTCAGTTTGCGGTCGAACCAGACTCCTAGGAACCTCACTGAGACTACCGGCGACACTGTGGCGTCCCCAAGGCGAATACTTTGCGGCAAGGGCTCTCGGGCCCTAGTAAAGTGCATTAGCTCACTCTTGTCAGGGGCGAACTCCATCCCGTGCCTCACTGCCCACCGCTGACACGTAGCCCATGCGTCCTCCAACCAGCGGCAGGTCGTGTCTGGATCGGTGCCGACGCTTAGCAGGTTCGTGTCGTCCGCGAACCCGACTACTAAAAGTAGTGGGTGCTGCTCCGCTAGCTCCTCGTACAGCGTTGAAATGTATAATATAAACAATATCGGGGATAGCGGTGACCCCTGGGTGACGCCAGCTCGTAGGGGGATTGGCTCTGACTCCTTGCCATCGAACCGGAGGCGTAACGTCCTATCCTCCACGAAGCTGCGTACCCACTCCTGAACCCACTCCGGGTAGCCTTTCCGGGCTAATATGGAAATCAGCCGTCTGTAATTGACCGTATCGAATGCCCCCTTGATGTCTAGCTGTAGCAGCGAGGCGATGCCCCCGCGTCTCCACGCCGTATAGACCACGTCCTCAACTATACGTATTGCCAGTTCGGTGGACCTCCCAGCGCGGTTACCCATTTGGCCGTTTGGTAGTAGGCCGGCCGCCTCAGCTACTTTGGTGATACGCTGGCTCATCGCCGTCTCTATTACCTTCCCTACCGTGCTAAGCAGGGCGATGGGGCGCCAGCCGCCAGGGGTCTGCTTCTGAGCTGTCGTTTTATTAGGCTTAAGGATAACAACCATACTCGCTGAGCGGAAGCGCTCCGGGTAGTACCCCAGCCTAAAGCTAGCTGTTGCCAGATCCGCTAGGATCTCCCATAGGGGTTCACCGCAGGCCTTTAGCAGGCCAGTGGGTATCAGGTCGTCGCCGGGAGCCTTCCAAGCAGCCGTTCCTTTGATGATAGACTCGATATCCATTGTGGTCACCTCCCTAGGGACGTTCAGCTCTGGTCTCGTCTGTAATAGGCCGCGATCGAGGTCCGATAGATCTATACACGGATCTGGGAAGAACCTCTCAGCTAGTAATTTTGCCTTCTCATCATGTGTACGTGCCGTAAGCATATCGCCGGCGTCCCTCCGGAGATCTGGCAACCCGTGGGCCTCAGGGGGGGCCCAGCTCCGTAGCCTAGCCCACCTCTGCAGTGCCCACAGGCTTTTGTGATCCTTCGCCGTCCCCTCGAGCTTCTCGTGCCAGATACGCGTCTGCGCTTCGCTGATTTCGAGCCCTTGTTTTTGGCCGGCTCTTGTATATTCGTCCCACTTGTTCTGCGACCTTCCCTGGAGGTAGTCCCGCCGTCGTCTCTTCGTCTCAGCGCAAGCCTTGCTAACCTGTGGGCACCACCACGGGACCCCAGCGCCTCGGCCAACGGTGCGTCTCGGGACCGCCACGTCGGCGATCTCTTGGAGGTTCCGGATAACCCAGTCAACAGCCTGGTCCAACTCCGTTATCGTCTCAACCAGCAAATAATTCATAAATCTCTGGCGTGATTCGGCTACGATGAGCCACTTATCCGCCATCGCCCAGTTCCACCCTTCGACACTGCGGCGGCCCTCCTTGACTGCTTCCCCGTTGGATATTACCCTAATCACTTGCGCTCTGTGGTCTGAGCCCTCTAGGCCCGGGTCCCCATCGTAATCAATCCTAGCCCCTTTCGTCACCCAGGCTAGGTCGATAGTTGAGTCTCGTTGTTTGTGCCTTTGCCGTGTGATTTCCCCGAACGGCGTAACGAGCTCTAATCGCCAGCGTCGCGCAAACTCCACTACGTTGTCGCTGCCCCGTGACGACCGTCCGTGGACGTCCCACAGCGGGTGATGTGTATTGAAGTCCCCTACGAGGACCTGTGTATATATATAATTCGCCAGTTACGTAAATGTTAGGCAACCTTGGTGGGCTTTGCCAAGACCACCAAGGTTACCACATGACTTAGCCCTTCGGGACTAAGTCCAACCTTCGCGCTCCATAGGACTACATAAAATGGCATGCTTTTACAACCTCACAAATCTTTGACCACCTTTGCGTGTAACAGTAAAGAAGTATCATATTAATACGGCTAAAAGAGTAGTAATACGAACTTAGTAATATACCTCCGTTTAACCGGAGAGTAGATATAGGTTCGATTAGGTTAAGTAGATAGCCAGCCTTAAGCGTTATAGATTGAGGACCCTTCATAGTTAGAACCAAATAAGACAGAGAAGTTAAGTCTCATATATGTAAAGGGCCCAGTGCAACGATACACAGCCGCGCGATACCGAATTAGGAATAAGGGCTAAATCCGGGATGTACGACAGCGTGTTCTCGACTATGTAGAGGGTTATCCCTACGCAACAATAAGACCGGTACTTATGTACCGTCTATCTACGTGATTCTCAAATAATAAACGATAAATGGGCGTAGTTAGGCACAATCTGTTCCTTGTAGGAGTTATCACATAACAAGGAAACCTGGCCCTTCCAACCCACCCCACAGAGCCCTTTAAGGTGCTATTAAAGGTTCAAGCCCGAAATGTGACCGACCCTACGGAGGTCCGATTCCTGAGGTCTGACCCACCCAGTATTCCATATTTCCTTATTCTCCATATTCCATGACAGTGATAATAAGGTGTGATAATTCGGGATAGCTTAGATCAACGACATTCTATTCGCTGTTATTCAAATTCTGTTCCGTTATGATTCCACTGCTGGTTTAATTTCTCTACTATTATTTATTGAACGAATAATAGTAAGTAAATCGGCGGCTATCTTGTTCTATTATAGACGATGCTATACGTCCTGTCGTCTCCATTTGCTTTGTTACACGCAATGGTGGTCGAATATTTGTGAGTTGTAAAAGCATGTTGCCTAACATGCTTTTTAGTTGTGTTTAGCTCTTCCAATGTGTATGTATCTGTCCCTGTCCATACTTGGTATGCCCCTTGACGCATATGTATGCCTGATAGAACGTGTTTCTAATGCATACACTTATTTCCCCCCTATTCCTATTGATATCTACGGCACTAATACCGCTGACAGGATCACTTTGTGGGGCTTACGTGATACTTCGACACGTCGCACAGTTTCTTGCAATAATGAGTCGACTCGGTAAAGCAGAGCCCGAATAGTAAGTCCTAAAATTTCACCTTCAACAACTGGAGCACGGATCTGTAAAGCGAAGGGTTGTCTCTTCCTCCACTTCATCATAGTGTCGAGGCCCACTGCCAAAGTTACACGGTTTCTGACCATTTTGCAAATGACATTCCGCAAACATCTGTCTGCAATACCTCTATGAGCATTGCAAAATCATCTCGAGATACCGTGACACTCCCTACCCATTGAGTCCCATGCGGTGATGGCAGGATTTAAAGCCATCATCATCGGCGGCGGCCCAGTGGGCCTGTATCTAGCTCACGCCTTCCAAGCATCCGGCATCGAGTATGCCCTTTTCGAACAACACGATGCTATCCCACCAATCACCTCCTTCGGCATCTTCTTCTGGCCTCAAGCTATAAGGCTGTTCCACCAGCTGGGGCTTTTGGACAAGCTCCAGAGCATAGGAGTCTCGATGGAAAAGACGATACATCGATTATTTGACGGCACATATCTAAACAAGACTACGGACTATGCACTACTTTCAAAGCTGTGAGTATCCGGAGGCTTTCAAATTGGGCGGGGTATACTAATCATGCTGACAGCCATGGATATGAGATGCTTCTGTTTGATCGAGGGTCCTTTGCTCAGCTTCTCCTGGATAACCTACACGATCACCAGACGCGTGTGAAAACTGGGAAACGACTGAACAAAATCATTAGCAATCCTGATGGGGTCAAAGTAGAGTTTTCGGACGGCTCGTCTCAGCAAGAATCCATCGTCATTGGATGTGATGGAATTTGGAGCACTGTGCGACAAATAATGAGACGAATGGTCCCCAAAGAGCTCTTCCCAGCAAACCCCTTCACAGCGTCATATCGCGGTGTATTCGGGCGTGCTCCGACATTGAAAGGCTTCAAGCCGGGCCATCTAATCAATATCCATGGGAATGGGCGAGACTTGCAGCTCGTCACCTCGGATAAGGAGACACATGTCATCACCTATGAAAAGATTGAGACCACCAACGAGCAGAGAAACTTCTCCGAGAAAGGTACGGAAGAGTATGTGACACCTTTGCTGGATATCCCCGTGGCGGACGGCGTGGTTTTCGGTGACCTGTGGAAGAATAGACACGCCGAAGGCATACTCGGCATGTGGCATTGGGATCGCGTGGTGCTCGTGGGCGATTCGGCTCATAAGATGATGCCCCACCAAGGCACCGAGGCGAATAATGGCATCGAATCTGCGGCCTCCCTGACGAACAATCTTGCAGCACTATTGCGGTACAGACCTGAACCCAAGAACCATGACCTTAGACGGGCATTCGCTGCATACCAATCCGAAAGAGAGGGCCCCGCCAGCATTTGGGCAAACATGGCGCGTTTTAGTCTCGATCGCACGACGCAAAACGAAGGGCCGTTTCTCGATGCGGTTCGCGTAATAGACGAACGAATACCGCCTTTGGTTGCCGCTAGTGTACGCTTAAATACGATTCTATTTGAGAATGAAAAGCAGGGCACGCTTCCTTGGTCTTACAAACGGGATGGGCGAAATCCCTCCAAAACGCCCACCCCAAAGCTGTAGGCCTGTTGCAAATGTGTTAGGGCCCAGAGCATGGTTCGAAGAACACACCGCCTTATGGTTGTACCATGACACTAGAATAGCGAGGATTCTCATAGAATCGCATCTGAAGGTCACAAAATTGCGTGTTGACACGCGATCTTGACAGGATATTAGTCGGCTGCTGGCCGAATTCGTTGGCCTACGAGATCCTGACAACACAGTCCAAGCTAGATGAAATCTTGTCACTCGTAAGGAAAATTATAATCAAATGTATGTGCTTGCATGTATGCATCCCAATACTCAGCCTTGTGTAGTTCCGATGGAGGTTCTGAATGACCAAAATCACCGCTGTTCCGAGTGCCTTTCCTTGCTCCAATTTACCCATGATGAACGCCCCAAGCCAAATCAGTGACTGAACTCAACGGTACCCTTTTCCACCAAGCCACATTGGGCAGCGTCTTTGTGCTCGTCATTGCTCTTCATTCTGCGCAGATTTCCGGCATTGAGTTTGTCTGGGGCCGTCGGTTGCGGCGCCTGGATCTGGAGCAATGAAAATAATACTTCCTGAACAGCACGCAGGCCATCTAGGTCTGCTCTATTAAACTGCAGTGTCTCGTGTGAATCCAGCAGGGAGTCGGGATCGTTCAAGTAGCGGGTCCCTCGTAGACGACGGTGCTCAGTACTCAGGTTATCGACCAATTGCTTAAGCTGCAAGTTGAGTGATCGAATGGTATCGAGGTTCAGTTGGCAGAACTCAGGATACGTCATACCCCCAGCCATGCTGTACTCGAGCCAGTCAGAACCGTGGTTTGACAGCAACAACCCAAGCGATTTCTTGATCTGTTCGTATGACCGAATCAACTTGTCTCGGCTGATAGCATCATCCCGTGGCAGGATTACAAACCCAGACGCACATCCCTTGAGCTCGTTCACGCATACGGCGATCTGATCCTTGAGAGAGTAAAGCTCACGTCGCAGGTGAAAGAGGTCACTGGTGGGAGTTCTGCCGGCGAGTCGGTGTATCGCATTTGAGGATGAGGAAGTTGAGGCAAAGGGTATACTGGCAGCGTGGAAATCGTCATAATCGGCCTGCAGGACGGGGAGGAAAGCTGAGATCTGGCCAGAGAAGTCGAGCATAGTGGCGTGATATTGATTGATCTCAGATTGTACAGTAGGATGCTTAAAACTGGCGGGTATCTCGCTCATTTGTTTTAGAATGAGAGCTTGTAGTCCTAAAAGCTTGACTTTGAGACCAGACATCCACTCGTACAAGCCGGGGTCAAGGGGAATATCCACCGTCGCCTTCTGGGGACTCCAATGCTTCGAGTATCCTTCCATGATGGGCTCAAGGCACTTCAAGTTTTTCCTCAGCGTATCGCAATCTTCTACAATCTCGGAGGTACCGGCCATCGGCCTGCGATTCGTTCGAAAGGTGAGTGCGCTCTTGATCTCGTCGACTAGCTTGATGAGCGATGTGGTAACCTTGTGTAGAAACACGGGATCCACGACATCCAGCATGTCGCTCATGCGTGGGTTACTGGACGAATCATCCGAAGCAACGATGTCCTTAATGTTACCGCCGTATTGCTCCACTTCGTTCTCCACGGCATGTTCATCGTCGAATGGGTTCGACTCGGTAGGCAAAGAGGATTTGGCGCGGATCGGAAACGAGGACTTATTGGATTTAGTGCCATCTCGACCAGTCTCGGGGTATTTGGTCGTGTCGTCAGAGCATTCGGAATGTTCATCTGATGTTGGGAGGGAGACAATAGAAAACGCATCGTCCGATACGTCCTGCCAGTCGTCGGCAATACTAGCCGGAGCCACCATTTTGGATCGTGTTGCTCGCTGGATAGTGGATGGAAGTGACAGTGGAGATGTATCTCTCTGGGTCGTTCAAAGTGGCAAGGGAGAGGGGCTGTAGTTTGATCTCACGGGAGGGGAAGCTAGGTGACGAAACTTGTGCAACCGTTAGGTTCGTGGATGATGGCAAGGCTCTCAGGCTTCACCACGGCGCTGATTGGTTTAGGAATTGTTTGACTCGTTTTCCCGCCTCCGTTTAGTATGGTGCACTTCTGTACAGATCGCTTCAGCCGGGAAAGAGCTACCCACTACCCCTACAGCCCTGCGTGTTGGCTACCCTAGAGTGCATGTAGGACGGGCAGGTGGTCAGCTTCAGGCCTATCAGAAGCTCTGAAGAGATCACAGTGGGGTGCGAACGTTGGCTAACGTCCATGGGGAAGGTGGGGTCGAGCTTTCAGGTAACGACGCTAAGTAAGCACCGACCACCGATCCCGATCTACCTTGCATCTCATTTGGGAATTTAGCTTCGGGGTTGTCCAGAAACAATCTTCAATGGATGGATTTCATTTTTGCTTTAGAGTATAATAACAAGATGGTATGCTGTACTTGCCTCTTCTCCAAGTTCTTCCTTCCGGTCGAATCTCGACTCAACTCAGTCTCAATTTGTTCTTAATCGCCTTCGATTCCTGATCTTCTTCTTCTATATTTTCGCGTAAGTGCCTACGGCAGACGGCATTCCCAATACCGCTCATTGTCAAGCCACTTCGCTGTTGTGTACATAATTCAGAGTCACAGTGAGAACGAAGACAGCCCCTATCCAGTGATTCAAATTACGCGTTCGACCTCACTCCGTCAACCAAGAGGCGACATCCAAGGGTCTAGCAGCATCAAAGTACGACCTGTGTTCTTCAATGCCGGGTAATCAAGCGACGACAAAACCTAATTCGGTCAGCCGTAACGAGGCGCCGAGACGGTTCTGATCGCAACCCTTGACGTCCGAGTGGATCCGCCCTAATACCAGCTCATAAACACAACCGTCGGTTGGCGCTGTCAATCGGGTTTCGGCTTGTAGGGCAAGCATCACGACTTGCCTTGCATGAAGGGCGAGGGAAGCCATTGGAAAACCGGGCGCGTTTATCAATCAGTGGGCCGCGTGAGGTCGTGCATAAGATCACATTGGCAGGGAGAGGCTACGCTTCTATTTTCAAAGAGTGTTCGACAAGGCAATCAACTAAAGTATAGACTCTCTGTCGTGTTGTTGGGAGGTTGCAATGTGCACACATCACTTGCCGATACCCACCGCTTGATGCGCCGTCTTGAGCTCACATAGCACCAACCTACACAAGTCCATTGGACGGACCCGCAACAGACAGCGGAAGGATAGCATGCGTCAGTACGCGGGCTCATGGCACCTTGTCCAGAAGTCTTATATGATAAGTGACGTCCGAGGGTATATATGGAAAACTTGCCGGCCGACTGCCGGACCACTTCGAACATTGAGCGATTTTAAATACTGCTCTGCTCTTGTCACTAACATGCTGGGATGCCCGGAATTTTGACGAAAAACCGGCGTTACATTTGCGAGCACGCAATTATCGTGAGTCGTCGAGTGCTCACGTGGTGCCATCTCTCTTCAGTATTACCCCGCCCTAGTTCTCCGCTGTTGCTCCAACTCGGAACCGTAAATAAACAAGTAGAAATTGGCAATATCGATCAGCGTCGGAGCCATTGGAGGAGACTAAATTCAGACTTCGCTCCCCGATGACTCGAAAGATGGCCAACCAGCACAAACCAGCCTTATGGGATGATCCTAGGAGAACCTTGCACTTGTTCGTCCAACGCCAGGGCTACCTGGACAGAGTATTGGCCAAGTCCGTCCATAGCCCCACGAGCACCACTTATAGCAGCAAAGCTCCACCCAGAGCCCCTATGGCAACTTTCTAGCTCATGCAAAATGTCGTCGTGGGCTGTTCACGAGGTGGAAGTTCACCCCAAGTTCTACGCTGCGATGCAACCAGCACACCATCTTGCACGAACCCCTCTTCATGTTATAGGCGGACGCTAGATGCAGCTTATGTCCCTTCCAGAAAATGATTTTCAAAGACCCGACCTTGAACATGGTCGAACGCCCTCCTGGGCCAGCTCAGGAGGGACCGGGCCATCACAGGAAGTTTCTCACCTCGCCGCTTATCCATATACTCTCCTCAGCCTTTTTCTGTATCGTCATTGTGGTAATAGCTTTTTGTCTTGTGATATACCTACCAGACTCTCAAAACGACAGGACCGGCCAATGTTTCACTATGGTTCATAAGCTATCGCCATTTTTAGGACTGGGAGCATTGGGGTTATGCGCGACGATTCCAAGGGATGGGGCGTTTGCACTCAGTGTACCCCCGAATTCATCAGAAACAGCATATGTGGATACTGCCTTCATTGGGTTTGCCTTCGAGCAGGCTTCCTTCAACGAGTATGCCAGAGACAATGACGGCACCATCAATGCTTTCTCCACCAACCTCATCGACAATACCATGTCTCGCACTGGCGGAACACCCCTCATACGTGTCGGTGGGACGTCCGCCGATTATGGGAGATATGTCCCTGGCCAGGATGCTGTTGCCATTCCCAAAGCCGAGGTTGACAACTACCAGAATGTTGGCAACACCACTATCGGGCCGGGGTATTGGGAACTGTGTCAAAATTTCCCCAACGCCCAGTACATCATTCAAATACCGCTGGCAACGACAAATGTCAATGAGACAGTGGCATGGGCCAAGAGCGCTGTTGAAATTGTTGGAATAGACAAGATACAGGCGATCGAACTAGGCAATGAACCAGACCTATACTCCCCGAACTTCACAGAGGACCAAGACGGGGTTTCAGTCACTTTGGGACCGCCAGACTACCAAGGAAAATTCACAAACGAGACATATGTTCGGAACTGGACCACATACGCTGCTGCGGTCATTGCAGGAGTCGACCTACCCACAGAGCCCATTTTCCAAGCGTTCGATGTTGCAGCACACGTAGGCGCTGACATAGGAAAGACGGCATACGTCCTGGATACTGAGACATGCTTCAACCTGGGCATCAATCAGGATAATATCATCAAAACCGTGGCACATCATTATTACCAGAATCAGGCTGGGTCTGCTGAGACCCTCGCCACTGGCCTCATGACCATGAGTGTCACACATAACCGTCTCGATCTGCATAAGAGACGCATCAACTGGCTAAAGGCAAACAGGCCGGAAATCCCCTTTATCCTATCTGAGGTGGGAAACTCGCTCAAGAAAACGCACACCTACGAGTACCAAAATCGCCTCGGCAGCGCGCTGTGGCAGGTTGACTTCTATCTATACGCCATGGCCATTGGCGTGACACGAATCAACTACCAGCAGATTATGCACGCGGGGTATAATCTCTGGCTGCCAGTCGAGAGCGCCGGGATGCCAGCACAGGTCTTTGCGAATTACTACTCGCAGCCGTTCGTGGCCGACTTCATTGGATCATCTGGGAAGACGACCATGCAGAAGGTCGAGTTTACCAATGCAGGCTCGGAGACTAACGTCGCCGCCTATGTAGCGTTTGAAGACGGTGCGCCGAAGAGGGTCGCTATTACAAATCTGCATTATTGGAACGCAACGTCATCGGGGATTGATAGGCCAAGCGTGCAAGTTGGAATCACTGTGCCTGATGGAGTGGCTTCTGTCAAGGTGTATCATCTGAGTAGCCCGGACGGTGCTGGCGCTGGTGCTGAGAGTATTACGTATGGTGGGAGTCAGTGGACGTACGAGAGTGTGGGCAAGGAGATCACAGGGGTACAGGATGATACTGAAACTATAGATGTGATGGATGGTGTTGCTATGGTAGCGGTTAACAGCAGTGAAGCTGTGCTAGTTTGGTTATAAGTAGTGAGGATTGATATGAAAGGACAACATCATAGGTAAATTGGTTCAAATAGCCTGACTGCGTGTGCGAGCCTGTTGGTTCTGTCACGAACCAATGACGATGAATATTCCACCTTCTAGGGAAGCCGCGTACGCAGTAGGTTGTGTGAGCTCCAGCTTGCCGTTGTCAAAAGTAATATTGGAATGATGTTACTTCACAAAATCGATTGAAAGATGTGGTTGTCCGCCTAATGTTTTGTTTCACTTTGCCTTCGTGGCTTGGTTCGTGGTTGGAAAGGTTACTAGCTAGATAGAGCATGGTAAGACAAGAAACATATTTATGGTAACAGAAATGAACTTTCCCCTCAATTTTCTGGTAAAGGAAAATGGGGGTGTGAATTCACAACATGCCATAGTTTCAGTTATAGTTGGTAGACATGGTAGATACTGAAAGTAGATGCTGAAAGGCAATACTAGTTTGTGACTAGAACGAGTGTCAAAACTGTGACGTGGCAGAATGAAAGATGAAATGAGATTACAGGCTAGGGATACTGGTAGAACCGTCTTAATATGATTATCTTCGAGAACTTCTTGTAGAATAGCTACTTATCACTTACAACCATCGTAATATACTTGTAGGTCTTTCATACGCTCAGCCGGACTTCCGATTGGCGTTTGTCGTGAGTCGAAGACAGATAAAGTGTCCGGCCTTTTACACTGTAAGCTAATCTTCCTTCATCGCGAACCTTCCCTTCCCATAGGAACAGGATTGATTAGCACCCGCCACTAAGCATAAGTAAGTTTGTTGCAAGTGTGTCCAATAGGTGTCACTGAAATCAGTTCTAATCTACTGTCACGACCTGGGTTGCATCGCATTGGTAGAGACCTCGATTAGGTGCTATCGACGAAGATTCTACTCTAAGGAGCGAAGGAAAGAAGATGACAACTTAGGTTTGAGGGAGCGCGACTAAGTCATCCACGCTTGGCGGGGCTCCTACAAGGGTTATGATTGGCTTCCCATCTGACACTGCCATGGCAGGTGTTCCAGCTGTAAGTCACCTGGTTGTAGTGAGTCTGCGAGGGTTGACCTTCACATTCTCCTAACAAGGTAGCTAGTTATTCCCTAATTCATCCTATCTACGCCTGAAGAAAAAATAAAATAAAGACTCTCCAAGTCTCGAAGTTGATGCGTTTCCGATAGCGGAAGGGCTTTACCTATTTAGGAAGAGCGACGGGTACCCGTCGCCCTATGTGGCCCCCACCAAGCGCCGTTGATTAAGTAAGGCATAGCTCGTTGTGGAGACACCGCCTAGAGCTGGCGGCCATGGGAATAACATTATGAACACTCCACCGAAGATGAGAGTGGAAATTGCCCCACACCTTATGCAAATCAAACTAGAGCCGAGATTATTCCTTACCACAGGATCTTCGATGCAGACCAACTGTATAATTTCGATAAATCTTGTTTGCTTCTTCCAGGTTGAATCATTGGAACTCAGATCCCTGTTCCCGGCCTGTTGTCAGGCGGGCCGGCTAGCCTGACGGGTCCTTCTACCATTTCTTACACCTTCTATGCCTGACCCAAACATTGACCATAACTTGGGACAAACGTTTCATAGATTTCTAGCTGTTATCGTAATATGGGTATACTAGTAATATGCCTGTCAACCATACGGTAACTCGGCTCTGTGATATCGCGCTGTCTGGTACTCCTACACTTGACGCGCCATTAGTTTCTTTATGTACTCCTCCTTTTCGCAGGAATATTGTTTGAATATGCCGCAAAGATGGCTTAGACGGTCCAGAATAGACGGCTGGTGCAAATTACTGCAGATGTGAGCGGAAAATTTGATTTATTGCCAATCTGCCAAGCGTCAATTGGCTGACGGGCTATAATTAGTGTAGTGTTGTATCGGATGCCCCATGAAAACTTCGGACTACCATCAGCACGATGAGCGAGGACCCGACCCTGTGCTAGGTTCAGATAGATGCTAAGCGAGAAATCCACCAACACATCAGGTCATTTGGGCCGCGCTTGCATGCTCTAAGCACATGTGCAGCTCCAAGCCCATGGGTCGAGAGGGACCCACTCCGTCTTACATGATGACCAACACCTTCCTCTTTCTGGACTCGCTGGGCCGATTAGATGCGGCTATCTGGGGTTTCCGGGGCCTTCCAGTGTTGTTAGCGTACTTTGGGTGAGATGGAGCTGACTTTAGCTTCCTAGTTGCCGCGTTTGCAACCAACAGCATTCGCAGCTGCTGATGCTAAAGAGTTAGCAGCAACGAGTGGTTTGGGAATTCCCTTACAAATTCCAGGTCTCCCCTCCCCGCACTTGCCTGCTGGATCGTCTTACCTGGTTTTCTGGCCTTCTCGAACGAAATCTCATCTGGGTTGGTCCACCATTTGTCGCGAGCAGGACAGCGAGAACGCAATCGACCTCGTCTGCAATGGGTTTCTTTCGATCGTTAACCGCCATTGTCGTCGGCATATCGATTGCCGTGGCTCAATCAACCACCAGTACCATTGAGAGCAGTGCGTCGTCAAGCGCAGCCGCTACTCACACGGTTTTGGTGGGCGCACAGCATGACTTCCGCCCAGATTCCATAGTAGCCAACGCAGGCGACAAAATCTGTGAGTGTCAATCGTTCTACGCCAATGGGTTTGCGTACTGATTAAAGCTTTCCAGTATTCAAATTTTACCCCCAGAACCATTCCGTGGTTCGGGCTGAGTACAAATTCCCCTGCGTACCATACAATTACATCAACCCCGGCGGTGATACCTTCTTTAGTGGACCCATGGAGTCGCAGGATGGAGACGACCAACCATCATGGACGTTGGAAGTGAACAACACCGAGCCCACGTTCTTCTATTGGTACGCCAACCCTCGCAGTCCGAATTGACTAGTGAAGCGATACTAATATGACTCCAGCTCGGCGCCCGGGTCATGTATCGACTACGCAATGGTCGGGGTCATTAATCCGGTATTTTCCCAAAACGAATCAGCAAAGACCCATCTAACACCATCACAGAATGAGACGATGACATTGGATACCCAAAAAGCATGGCAAAAGAACGTGACATTTCAACTCAGTCCTGGCGAAGATCCCCCGCTGGAATCGCCGAGCGCATCAACACCTTCAGGTGGCCCGGCCTCAGAAACTGCGTCGCCGCCGGCTTCTTCGGGGGGCGGTTCGGGTCTCTCTGGGGGCGCAATTGCCGGAATTGCTGTTGGCGGAGCTGCCGTTGTCATCATTGCCGTGGCTCTGATTTATATTTGTGGACGTAAGGGTGGAATCGAAAAGGGCTACAGGCGAAGTGCGGTGAATCCAGCATCGGCACCAATGGTCGAGGCCCAGTACGGCAACCAACCGAAGAGCCCCCCGCCCGGGTCCATGAACTCGCCGTACGCAGCAGCAGGACAGATGGATCCGCTCCGTCCAGGGAGTCCAGCGCAATGGAGCTCGTATATGGGCAGTCCGCACAACTCGTACATGGGTCATCCGAGCCCAGGAATGCCGGGTTACAACGCCGCAAGTTCATTTGGTCCCGGCCAGGATCGTAATTCCATCTAGTAAGTGTAGTTGGTGGGCATAAATGCGACGTGTTTTCTAACGATCCCCTGTAGTGAACCATCCAAGTCACCGGAGCCTTTCCAACCACCACCCGTAGAACTTCCCGGAAGTATCGGCCAAGGCGGATTTGATCGATCACAGTACCAGACCGAGCTCCCTGGGAGTCACCCCGGCAGTCCCGATCCGGATTCCAATACATGGCAACACCCAACGCACCGTCAGGATTGACCAAAAGAAGAAATTATTGACCGAAAACGCCATATGTACGAGATGGGCTAATTTTCTGGGGTTACATTAGGTTACATGCGAGAAGTTATTGAATACTTCGCACAGCCAAGGTGTTTGGGGTCTGCTTTAACCAGGGGAGATACCCGTGAGGAGGTTGGAAACGGGTATGCACAACTCGTAGTTTCCCACGATACCTTCAAATAAAACAACTGACGAAATGGATCAAGACGAATATGTTCGTACGCTCATCCGACTTGTGCAACTTCAGTTGATTAATGGTTCATGCGATCCCATGCGAGCCGTCGCAGAAGCAACTATAGACAAATTCGCTTATAGGTTGACACCTGTTACACTCGCGACTAGGTCGGGATCCACTAAGGCACAAGGCCTCGACTCACATCATACGCCGTGGAACTGCAAGTACCCGATCGTTACCAATCCCTAGGATTCTTGTACATTAGACCCATGAAAGCCCGTTACACCAAGTTATACATGAAAGAGTAAACAGTATAGATAGGAAAACAGTATTGGTGATGATAGTGGTACCAATTCCCAGGAATCGGCAGCTAAGGAAGGGTTATTTATGGGCAATTGGCCCAGCATTCTACCCAGCACCTAGCCGGCATGCCTGAGGCACGCAACAGAACGTGGCACGACGCAACGAGACGCCACTAAGACCATGGTTTGTGTGTCGAAGCATCTTTCCGCAAGACATAACGTCGAACGCTGGGAAGCTAGAGATTTGTCATATGCACACACTCCTGGCACAGCCAATCCCCATTGTTCACGTCACCTATCTAGTGCCTGCGATTGACACTGTAGGAGTTAGCATTGCCAAATGATCAAATCGCATAGAAACGCTTACCATTTGGAAATACAGTCCTCTCTGCGCAATAAGGCTCGCATGGTTCCCCCTTTCCACTACCCTCCCCTCGCCCATGACGAAGATTATATCAGCATTCTGCACGGTGGCCAACCGATGCGCCACAACCACCATAGTCCTGCCTCCCCTAGTCGCTTCTAGCGTGTCCTGCACCGCGCGCTCCGTCTCACTATCCAAACTGCTAGTTGCCTCATCTAACAGCAACAGCGATGGTCTCCGTACAAGTGCGCGCGCAATGGAAACCCTCTGTTTCTGGCCCCCTGAAAGTGCGAGCCCAGCGGGGCCGAGGGGTGTCTCATAGCCCTCGGGCAGCGAGACAATGAAGTCGTGGATTCCGGCATCTCTCGCCGCGGCGTGTAGATCAGCCAGGGGTACCGTGGCATCGTTGGGGATGCCGAGGAGTATGTTGTCGCGGATAGAGCCGCTAAAGAGGCTGGCTTCTTGGGCTACGAGGGAGATGCCCTTGCGATATTGGGATAGGTCCAGGGTGGTGATATCCAGGCCGTTATGGAGGATTTGGCCGAAGGTAGCGGTGTAGAAGCGTTCGAGGAGGGAGATGATGGTGGATTTTCCTGCGCCTGTTTGAATAAGTCAGTGCGACAGTCTTTGTGATGAACGTGGCTGGCTGGCTGGCTAGCTAGCGTGTACCTGACGGCCCAACAATAGCGGCGAATTGGCCTCGCTCAATCTGGAATACGATGCTGTCAGTAACCTGTCTTGAGCTGTGGGTACAATAGGGTATAATGACCTTCATGTCTAAACCGTTCAATACCGGTGCAGACCTGGTCGGGTATTCAAACCAGACGTTCTTGAACTCCAACTCAACCCCTTTCTCACTGTCACCATTATCGGCCGTGGTGTCTTCCGTAAACAGAACATGGTCACCATCACCTTCTCGAATGCTCAAGATACGATCAGCCGCGGCTGTTGCGCTTGCGATATCTGTTTCTGTCAGCGGGCCGCAGTATCTTGGAGCTGCGAACAACACTCACTTGGTCCGAAGCTCAGCCACTGGCCGGCACTCATCCCACCCTGGGAAGATAGTTAGCTTCATAGTTGTGATTCATGATCGCATGACAAACCTGTACGACTGCGATGTATACGACCACTGCAGGTATCTTAGATATGGTTTCTCCAGAGGAATGGTACCTATACTCACTATACTGAAATGGTGAGTACTCATGAGTCGCAAGCAATTGACCTCCATACCTGGCGCAAGTTAGCCCAAGCCCCACAGTTCATGAGGGCTATACCCACCACAGTACGAAAGCCATACAGAGCAGAGAAATACTATCGCTAAAAGAAAACAACAAAACGGAAAATCTCGCCTTGCGAAAAGCATCCTTGATGTGCTGCCGTAGAAGGTTTTCGTAGCGCTGGCAAATGCCCTCTTCCATGGTGAGACTAGAGACGGTACGAATAGCCCCAATACTCTCCGTGGCGAACTTGGCACTCTCCGCGAATACAGCGTTGTTCATGGACTCGAATTGAATCTCATGACGCACGCGGTAGAACATAGCGGCCACGACGACGGGCATGGACGAGCCCAGTGCCACGATTGTCAGCTTCCAACCGAAGGCGAGACTGATGACTATGCACCCGACTAGATTGAGGAAGGAGATGAGAACGAATGCCATGTTGGTACCAAGGAGTTGTTGAAGCTGGGTTGGATCCGTGGCCAGTCGGCCGGTGAGAGCGCCGGCTGAGTGGCCTTCTTCGTCGAAAAAGGAGGCGGATTTGGCCATGATGCTGGCGAAATATTCTTTACGGTATGTGCGTGTTATCGCCTGAATTGTCAGTCTGTTACACAGCATAGTAGAATTGGAGTAGACCATGGGAAAACATACAAAGCCAAGAGTTGTGGTGGACCAAGCCAGGGCCATGTGACTGAGGCCAACTCCCGTCGCAAGGTAGACGAACATCAGGCACCAGAAGTTGACCTGGCTGGTTAAGTATGGACCCCAAAGGGAAAAGAGGGACACAAGCATCGCGAAGAGGTATGCCTGCAATGGTGTGCTGGCTGTAGTGATGACATGTTAGAAGTGGTTTCGTATAAAGCGGAAAGGAGAAGGCAGTAGGAGACTCACCACCAGCGCCGAGCGCCGCCAGAAGTATCAGCACATACAGCTTCCACTTTGACATCTGCTCGCCAAGCAGCATGCCGAAGCTACCAAATGGCCTTCCAGAGTCCTTACCAGCTACTTTAAGCAGCGTCTCATCCACGCTTTCACAATCCTCAGAGCTCCGTCTTCTATGAGGCCGTAACCTGTTATTACGACGAGGTTTCTCATACTCGCCTGAGCTCTCCACCTCCTCAGAGTAAGTCTTGTCAACCATTGTTCCCTCAGCCCAACTTCCCAGCGACATCTTCTCGTCCTCATCTCCCATTTCCAAATTCTGGGCAGTTGCAAGGAGACTGTAAGCGCCTCCCACCTCTGCCAGTAGTCTCTCGTGGGACCCCTGTTGGACCACTTTGCCATGGCGCAGCACGATGATATTGTCTGCTTTTCGGATAGTCCCTAGACGATGTGCTATCATGATGGTCGTGCGGCCAAGACTGGCGCGGTCGAGCGCCGCTTGGACGATCTGTTCGCTGCGCACGTCAATGGCGGACGTGGCTTCGTCCAAAATCAAGATCTTGGGTTGTTTCACTATAGCGCGCGCGATGGCAAGGCGCTGGCGCTGGCCCCCGCTAAGCTTGATCCCAGATTCCCCTACTGTCGTTCGGTAGCCCTGAAGGCGGTCAGTTGTGAAATATTCAGGGGAAGGGATGCGACTTACGTCAGGAAGGCGAGAGATGAACTCGTCCGCAAATGCGTCTTTGCAGGCTGCTTTGATCAGCTTGGCCTTTTTTCGGTCACTTTCGAACTCCCATTCTGTGCCTATCAGGCCGTACTCTACGTTCTTGTAGATGGTCGTGTTGAAGAGAGCGTTATCCTGCTGGACCATGCCGATCTGGTTGCGCCACCACTTGATATCGATCTCACGGAGTTCTCGACCTGAAACGGAGACGAGGCCGTTCCTCAGCCAGAGGACCTCGAGGCTACGTCAATACATCGTGAGCAAATTAGGGTTTGTTCTAACTTACAAGCTGGTTCGTGGCCATATCTCCATTGAATTCATACCACCTCTGCAAGATACCAACTATGGTGCTCTTCCCGGACCCAGATGGGCCCACAATTGCCGTTACCTTGCCCGCCGGGAACCGGAGACACAGGCCTTCGATAATTTTAACGTCTGGCCGCGTGGGATAGACAAAGTTAACATTCTCGAATACGATATCGCCATCAGCCCGAACACCAGGACCTTTAGCAGTACCGTATGTAGGCTTTGGGGCATCAATGATGGAGTGAAAGATGACACTCGCGTCGGCTGCCTGTGATGCGGCAGATAACGGTGCGGTAATTTGGCCGATGGAGCTGGCCATCAACATGACACAGAGGAGTACTCTGGGTTTGGAGAGTTAGTCAAGTTGGGTGAGTCTATTAAGCGCTGCGAACTTACACAATTAGGGGCTCCGAGCTAGTTATGGAAAATATGAGGTACAGCCTGAAGGCATACCAAAATGCCAGGGCAAACGTACTAGGTGTGTTAGTGGACATTCCCGGACACCTCTTAAAGCAGGGGTGCGGTACTTACGCATAGATGCCAAAGTAAACTGCAAAGTGTCAGTCGAAGTTTCTAGGTTTGATCTGTGTCACGAAACTCACTTAATGCCTGTTGGACTGCCACCATCCACGCCATCCCCCTACCTCGCTGCCGCAATTGGTCAGCAATCATAGCATACCGCTCGTAAATCTTCAACTCAGCGCCACACGCGGCCAGCATCCGATTCGAGGAAAATGCCTCGGTAGCAACAGAAGCGGCTTTGACGTCCATTTCCTGTACCTCTGTCATCCTCTCCGTCAGAAAAGGGGTGGTGAGGTAATAAACCAGACCGATGAACATGATACCCATGCTCGTGGCCAGCGTAAGAAGCCAGTTGTAGAAGAATGCTACGGCGAGAGCGGTAAGCACCGCGGATAGGCTCGAGAAGAATTGACCGATCTTCTCGGATATGCCGAGCTGCAGTGTGCTGGCCGTAATAGTTATGATGGCGGCCGTTTGACCTGTTGGCAGCATATCCAAAGTTGATATGGGGAGGCTGAATAGAGATCTTAGGTAGACCAGCCGGATTGCTGCTGAGATTCGTAGACTTGTCATGCGGAAGCCTAGCTGGAGTTCTATTAGTTGAGGTGCTTAGGTTCAAGCTGTGCTGTGAACCACTAACATTCGAGAGGTAGGAGAGTACCAGTCTTGCAGTGAACAGGTACACGATGTACAAGCTGGATGGAGCAGTCAGTAATGGCTTGCACTGATATTAGTCTACATACACGCATTGGTTGACGGCATGAATGAATTCGTCTACAGTCTCCTGTTCGCCTTGTTTAAAAAAGCTGGTAAAAGTACCGACGAGCTGACCTGAACCTCAATGAGTGACTGGTAGTGATGTGTGTTGAGGACCAGACGTACCGAAGAGGATGTTCATCAAGGGCATAGTCAGCCCTGCTCCCAGGGAACAACATAGTGATCCGGCTAGTACAACCCTGTCAAGTGTACTCCCGTAGGATAATATCCTCTATGCATATGTTAGTAGCTATTCCATCGTGGTAAGGTTGCACGTCAATGGACTTACCACAAAACTTCGGATTGTTGCGATGTACTTTGGCGGGATAGTAATGGGTGAACGTTGTTCGGCAGGTTCACCGGCGGTTGGTGCCGTACCCGTAGCGGTAGACATTCGAGCGGTCGTTGATCTGGTCGGCTTTACTGATCATGTGGCTGTACTTGCAGCAGAATCGACGAAGGCACAAAGTCGTGGCTTTGGAGACAGTAGCAGCAATAAACGACGATCCACTGACTTTGGGGGGTCGATCGCTATGACTGTATCCCAACCGCTGCTCATTTGGATCAAGGCAGGACCAGAGTCAGCGATTTCAAGTGCCAAACCTGCCATACGTGACTTGGCGTTATAAGTTTAGCATCCACACCAGACACGGAAGAAAGCGCGGATTGTAAGAGGGACCTTGGGTACTGCGGAGCGGAGGTCATGATTTCTAAGAATCGTTTTTTTGTAACAAGGATGAGCCTCGGATCTAAAGGTGTGGGATATAATGAGGGAACTGACACACATCACTAAAGTAAAACGTGAAACGGAACACCGCGGCCCCCTGCGCCCAAAAGCATACATAGGATTAAGTGGCGTTTGGATGAATCAGGGCCCAAAACTCGCTGCCACGGATTCCCGTGGCGGGAAGATCGCATGGAATACCCTGTCGCATGCAGGCTGTAAATCACAAATAGTCAGTTTGCGGGGCGGCGAAGCGATGGTCGGCTTCGGTATCGCCACAGTGATGCACAATGCAAAGGATTGCCGCTGGCTGCATTGGTGGGGCAGTGTAAATTAACAGTCACCGAATATCACTGAGCCTAGTCCCGGAGGACGGAGTTAGGTGGTGGGTATGTGTCAGGAAAGTCTTGCTATTTGAGTTGTAACCGGATGCATCGCCAGAAGCATCTCTACGTGTATGAAATATTTCTGATGTCTTCGAACTCAACTACGTAGAATACAACATGATAGGAAATAACGAAATTCTTCCGATGTAGACAACAAATGTTTTCCCAAAATCCGACACCCATGATGCCATCATCCCCGTGAAATCACAATATGCCTTCATCCTCCATATCGGCGATAGCATCCCGAATCACATCTCCAAGCTCCTTAATAGTGCCCTTATCTCGAGGCAGCGTATGCCCTTTGGAGTGATCGAACAGATAGGCAGTGTCGGCGTCACAGACATTGTACAGCGCCATCGATCCATCGATATAGGGGTCTAGCGAGCCAACTACATACACATGTTTAGTAACCGTCTCTGAAAGTTGAGGAATATAACTTACCAATATGCAAACTCCGGCATTCTATCCTCTCCTCACTTTCATCCGCCAGAACCAGGTGATGCGACTTTGGATCGACTGGAGGCCAGCCAGCAAAGAAAATGGCATACTTGAACATAGGAATAGTGCCGGAGCGCTTGAATCGTCTCTGCTCGTACAGAAGCATTGTCGCGGCGACGGTTGCTCCTTCGGAGTATCCAATAATGCCGTCAAAAGGCCCACGCTTGGCCATGATATCGGCCACATATTTGATAGCTCTGTCAGTACTCCGGTGTGCTGTTGCCACTCCTTCACTCATCAACTCTCTCATCGTGTCTTCTGCCGTCTCGCATTCGGGAAAGTTTCGAATACGTGTGAGAAGGTCGTCCTCGCTTGTTCTCGCCACGTCCTTGTCGGGCTCAATAAAGCGGTGGTAGGGTGGCTTTCCGAAGAAATCCTCGAACCCTTTAGGGGGGACTGCTTTGCATGGTCCGTGGATGAAGTAGAAGCTGGCACTTCCGTCGTCCGTAAGCTCTTTCAAGATAGGAGCTCTCATGACTTAGCACACATCGAATAAGCACATCGCATCCGGCGTACACATACCTAGTTGGACTTGAAATTTCTATCAACTCGTTAGTGAAGGTCTGGCCAACTTTGGAAATGATGACGCACATCAGAGCTTCCATAGGCCCCTGGTAGACACAGGAACCTCATATTGCGAACTTTATGACCGAGCTATTTCAGTCACTCTCGCAAGTTGATACCACCAACTCTTGAGTTGTAGGATGGACTGAGGGCTTGATATTGGATATATGGCCACGTTGTATGTCGTTCGTTTGCCACGCCAAACTCTTAATCTTGCCGAAGTGAGATTAGATGTTGCCATGAGCTGAAAGGACCACACTGCCTCTACAATGACTCGGTGCGGGAGGATGCCAAGGGTAATATTTGAGATTCGACACCCCAGCCGACAGGGTCTATTATCCAAATACCTTTACTGCGGCCGGATTTCTAGTTTCGCCACTAATATACGAGACGGACAAAACACCGCCTGATTAAGTCACACGGACTATGGGTTGTGCTCAGTTTCCTTTGTGGCATTGTCTGGAGCGACTGTACAATGCTTCAGAAACGACCCGCTTCTGGCCATAGTGGTTTTAGATATGATATTTGGAAATGCATGAACAGCCGTCGTACACACTCACGCAACCACATACTCATCACGTAAATCTCCGCCCAGTCATTTCAAACATTGCGGAAACCTGACCGACGTAGGGGCAAGTTCTCGTAGAAGTGATATCAGTGCAGAGCTCAAACCTTAACCTTGCCGGCAACCAAGATCTCTCGTGACAGCTGCCAAACTCTATTTCGGGAGCGTTTTAGAAGTATCGTCAATGCTAAGAAACTCAATATGTTCTATAATTTATTCCACGACGATTCGGGCCCGAAACACCATGTTGGGCGGCTGCTGGCATATCCGCTCCCTTAACTTTCTTTTCCCAGCCTCGGTTTCTAAGTCGGTAACAATCTCAGCCCATCATCAAGAAGAAACAGCAGCTGGAAGCTGAATCATCCAAGATGGGCAGGCGGATGGGGAGATCCGTTTCGGTCCGTTGCTGCAAGGTTTGGCGCGTCTCGAGTTTCCCCAGATTTGCCAAATCCCCACAGCGGATCCCCGTCTCTGCAAAGACGCCCAATTGACCAGCAGGTCGCGACATTTGGCTTAAAGATTAACATAGCCTAGGCGCGGCCGTTAAATATGAGAGTGTTAGTAAGATTCCCCGTCCCCTCGCACTTTCAGTTGAACATCAGGATCCCAGAGGTCCGGCCTGCCTTGATTCGACATGCCTCCTTCAACGCAGCCCTTCAGCGCCGACGTGCCAGAGCCGAGTCCTCGTTTCCGCAAATCAGCTGCTAATATGGCACCGGCCGTCTTGTGTTCGTCATCTTCGGGAACTTCGCCCGTGGACAGTCCTGGTCCCATGACGCCAACAGAGGAACAGACTGACTGCTTTCCAAATCGTCATGGGTTTGACGCCGACTCTTTGAATGGCGCTTGCCTTCATGGCGGTAATTATGGAGATCCCATCAGCGAAGAGCATTCAATGGGAAAGAATATGCCCATTGCTATCGTTGGCATGGCATGTAGACTTCCAGGGAGTGTGTCCAGCACAGCAGAGTTTTGGGAGTTATGTGCGCGAGCACGCAGTGGCTTCAGTTCAGTGCCCAAAACTCGATTCAACCACGATGCCTTCTACCACCCAAATCCAGGAAAGGCTGGAGCATATCATGCTGCCGGTGGTTACTTCCTTGATGGCGATCTGGCAGCTTTCGACGCCCCTTTCTTTGGCTTGACCGAAAAGGAAGCCATTTCTATGGATCCACAACAACGACTACTGCTCGAGTGCACATTCGAGGCATTGGAAAATGCTGGTATTCCCAAGCACTCGATTGTGGGACAGGACATTGGTGTCTTCGTGGGCGGCAGTCTTGCGGAATACGACAGCCACTTGTCCCGGGACAGTGACAATATCCCTATGCATCAGGCGACAGGTACCTATGCTATTTTCACCCAAAGTCCGAGTTCAGAACTGACAAATCTGCTTAGGTTGCGCCAACGCAATGCAGTCGAACCGACTTTCACATTTCTTCGACCTTAGAGGTCCTAGTTTCACGACAGACACCGCATGTTCGTCAAGTTTGACCACACTCCACCTGGCGTGTCAAAGTCTCCGAAGTGGCGAATCTTCACAGGCCATTGTCGGTGGCTGCCACCTTAACTTACTGCCAGAATCATGGATATCCTTCTCCACGTGCCGGTAAGATTTACTTATGGAATTCTGTTTTCTCTCATGGCATTGTGAAATTGACTAAATGTTAACTATAGATTATTATCTGATTCTGGCCGATCAATGGCTTTTGATAACCGAGGCACGGGATTTGGAAGAGGCGAAGGCTGCGGCATAATCATCTTGAAGCCTCTGGATCAAGCGCTGCGGGATAACGATTCCATACGCGCTGTTATCATGGGCAGTGGCATCAACCAAGATGGAAAGACCCCTGGCATTACGATGCCGAACGGGGCAGCCCAAGGTACGCCCGGGCAAAGTCAGGCTCGTCGCCCCGAACCGTGGAATATCGCTGACTCTCTGCTGCACAGAAAAACTGATCAATCAGATTTACCGAAACGCAGGTCTCGATCCGTCGGACTGCGGTTTTGTTGAAGCCCACGGAACAGGAACCAAAGTGGGAGACCCAATCGAGGCCACTGCCATCCACCACACCCTAGGCCAAGGTAGAAGCGTGAAAGATACGCTCTACATCGGGTCCGTCAAGTCCAATATCGGTCATTTGGAAGCGGCCTCTGGGATCGCCGCCGTGATCAAAGCGGCTTTGATGCTGGAAAGGGGATTCCTTCTGCCTAACCACGACTTCAAAAAGCCCAACGAGAAAATTCCCTGGAAGCAATGGCACCTCAAAGTGCCGCCCACCCAACGGCCGTGGCCGAAGGGGAAGAAGTACATCTCTGTGAACAACTTCGGATTCGGTGGCACAAACGCCCACGTGGTTCTGGGAAAGGCGCCATTCCCTCCTAAGCAATCAAATGGACGAGCAACTGAGAAACAGGTCCAGACTGGCAGAAGGCTCTTTGTCTTGACTGCCAACGACAAGCAATCATTGGAGATCGTAATGAAGAAACTCGTCATCTACCTCGAGCAACGACCCGAAATATTTCAGAACGACCTGCTCAATAATTTGGCATACACCCTAGGGCAACGACGATCTCAACTCCAATGGAGAGTCGCCGTTCCCGCCATGACTTCATTTGACTTGATTGAGGCACTGAACAGTAACAACGTCTCGTCAGGCAAAGAAGTAGGGTTGCTCCGTATAGGGTTCATATTCACAGGTCAAGGTGCCCAGTGGTATGGCATGGGCCGGGAGCTTCTCTCACAATATCCAGTCTATGCCTCCGCCATTATTCGTGCCGATGAATGCCTCCGGCGACTCGGCGCGAAATGGTCCCTGTTTGAGGAGTTAAGCAGAGATATTGTCACCTCCCAGGTGTCTGAGGCCTACATCAGTCAACCAGCATGCACCGCCGTGCAACTAGCTTTGACCGACTTGCTGCGGGTGTGGGGGATCCTACCTGTAGCTGTTGCTGGGCACTCTAGTGGTGAAATTGGCGCGGCCTATGCGGCGGGCTTTATTTCTTTCGAATCGGCCATGTCGATTGCATATCATCGTGGTCGTCTGATTCCTGTCTTGAAGCAGAGATTTCCCACCCTCGATGGTGCCATGATGGCAGTTGGGGCCACCAAGGATGCGGTTCAGCCGTTGATTGATGCCTTGCAGGCGGAGCAAGTCCGAATTGCTTGCTACAACAGTCCTTCAAGTCTCACTATCTCAGGCGATGCCGCAGCTCTGTCCGAGTTGGAAACGATGATCGAGCAAACACACCCTAATATCTTTCACCGACGCTTACAGGTTGACGTTGCTTATCATTCCCACCACATGAACCTTCTTGCCAAAGAGTACCGCGAATCTATCCAATGCCTCCCGCATGCGACGTCAAACGAGGCCGTTCGCTTTCACTCTTCACTCTATGGTCGTCAAGTAGACGGCTCCGAGTGCTGGGCAAAATACTGGGTTGACAATCTCATGTGCCCAGTGCGATTTTCCGAAGCCCTAGAGACGATGCTCGAGCCGGTTGGGGACCACAAGACAGGTGTCAATATGTTGATCGAGTTGGGACCACATTCTGCCCTCCAGGGGCCTATTAAACAAATCTTGAAGTCCGTAGGCGGAGTGGCACCGAAGATACCGTACCTACCGTCTTTGGTCCGGAATAAGGATGCCGTTGAGACAGCCATGGACTTAGCTGCGAGCGTCATCGTTAAAGGGGCACTGCTCCAAATGGATGCCATCAACTTCCCCAAACCCACCAAGACCATGTTATTGACAGATCTCCCGCGGTACTCCTGGAACCACCAGAACAGCTATTGGCAGGATTCACGCATGGCTCACAAGCACAACCATCGCACCTCGCCGCGTAGCGACTTGATCGGCCTCGAAGCGATCTATTCTAACGAGCATGAGCCCACATGGAGAAATATCATCTCCTTGGACGACCTCCCGTGGCTCAGGCACCATCAAATTCAGTCCGTCACCGTGTTCCCTATATCTGGTTTCATCGCCATGTCTCTAGAAGCGGCAGCCCAATGGGCTGAACGCAGGGAGATACCTTTCGACAAGTTCGAGCTGAGGAATGTCTCCGTGCTCAAGCCCTTGGCCATCACAAGTTCAGAAGTTGAGATAGCTATCAACTTGACACCACAACTTGAAGCAACCATTGCTGGAGGTTGGATCCATTTCCGCATATGCTCTTGGAGGCAGGGAACTGGGTGGACGAAGCACTGCGTCGGCCTGATCGCCACACAATGCCACGAGTTCAATGATGTCGATGGCCCTCGGCAGAAAATGGATGCACGTCAGAGGTCAGTGACGATCATTCAGGCTGCCCTCGAGTCCAAAGTTGTTGATGTCGCTGAGGCCGGCATGTATGAGGATCTCTCTGAGCTCGGGGTTGTGTATGGCGCATCATTCCAAGGCATCACGAACTGCAAGGCTTCGAGCAAGTATTCAATTGGAAAAATCGCCGTCGCTAATGTTGCGCAAGACATGCCCAACCACAGCATGACGAGTACCATCGTCCATCCTACATTCCTCGAATCAATGATTCAGATGTACTGGCCAATTCTCGGCGCTGGACGATCTACTGCTGACGCCCTCTACCTCCCGTCATCTATCGGCAAACTGTCGATATCGCGCGGAATCACGTCTTTGACAAGTCAGCCGGGCAGCACTATGCAAGCCTACTGCCAAGCCGACTTCCCAGTCTCCGGACCGCGGCCAACGAAGGTCACACTATTCGCGACGGCTTCTGAAGACGTACAGGAGTCTATCATCGAGATTGATGATCTTACTGTTTCCCCAATCATTGACGGAGAGACAGAGCTTGAGACCAACTCTATTCGCGAGCTTTGCTACAAGCTTGAATGGGAGCCCGTTTCGGAGCCACCGAGTGCGACAATGACCGGAAATACTACCATGACTGGGACGTCAACCATTAGCGGATCATTGCTGGAAATTGACATTGCTATTATCCATGGGGACTCGGACCTTCAGTACCTGGTGGCCAATGGACTTGCTCTCACTCTGGAAAGTGTCACATCAAGACTACCTGACTTGGGTAACCTCCATGACGTCGACCCCAAAGGAAAGCTATGCGTCGTCTTGACAGAGATAGACGAGCCTTTCCTTGCCAATGTGACAGAAGATCAATTTGCTACGGTACAGAGGATGTTACTGGCAGCACAAGCCGTATTATGGGTCACTCGTGGCGCTTATGACAAGTCCACATCTCCAGAGTCCAATATGATAAGCGGTCTGAGCAGGACGGTGCGGTCTGAGACGTTACTGCCTTTCGCAACGCTTGATTTGGACGGGAACCACAAGCTTGATGATGAAGACGCCGCCAATATTATCGTGGATATTATCAAGCTTGCATGTGGCGTCGGTTCGTCAGCAACCACTGAGCTGGAGTTCATGGAGCGATCCGGGAAATTGTTCACGCCTCGGGTCATCAACGACGATGAAATGAATGACTTTGTCCACCACCAGACAAACCCCAGGGCAGTTGAACCCCAGCGCTTTGGACAGGACAACCGACCCCTTAGGTTGGAATTCTCGGCTTCCAGGTCTATCGACAAATTGCATTTTGTCGACGATGAGCTGCTCAACACACCCCTACTAGATGACCATATTGAATTTGAGGTCAAGGCAGTTGGGATGAACTCACGGGATGCGGCGCTCACCAAAGACCATTCCATCGATTCGGGACACCTCGCTCCCGGTTTTGAGGCCTCGGGCGTCATAACCAGCATCGGTAGCGCTGTCAAGTCCCTGAACGTTGGCGACCGCATTGCTGGACTTACGACAACCAACGGCGCCTTCGCCACACGGACATGTACCCGTGCATCTATGGCCTTCGCTATCCCCTCGGGGCTTTCTTTCGAAGAAGCATCCACCCTCCCATTAGCATATTGTACTGCTTACTATAGCCTCATGTGGCAGGCACGTCTGCAAAAGAGTCACCGCGTCCTAATTCACTCAGCCGGAGGCGGCGTTGGACAAGCGGCCATAATGATCGCACAAATGGTTGAAGCTGACGTGTTCGTGACAGTGGGCTCTGCCGAGAAAAAGGCTTTGCTCATAGCCAAGTACAACATCCCCGAGGATCGCATTTTCTACAGCCGTAGCTCCGCCTTTGGCACGGCAGTGCGCCGCGCCACCGACGGCGAGGGCGTTGATGTGGTGCTTAACCTCTCTCCAGGTTGTGCGGAGACGCAACGGGCACTATGGGCGAGTGTGAGCCGCTTCGGGTGCCTTGTTGACGTGGCACAGAGCATTTCACGACTCGAGACAGGCCAGGCTGACAGCAACGCTAGCTATATCAGCATTGACATCTTTGGGTTGGCAGTTGAGAGACCCATGGTGATGGCTAGCCTGGTGGTTGATGTTGCGCGGCTGTTGCACGAAAGCAAAATTGGGCCAGTCACACCTATCACTGTCTTCCCCATCTCCGACATCCATGGCGCGTTCAAGAAGCTCCATAGTACTGATCGGACTGCTGGAAGGTTGGTGGTCGTTCCCCACGCTGACGACATGGTGTTGGTAAGTTTGCCTAAACCTTTCATGAACCGAGATTTGTGACTAACTTGCATTAGGCAACCCCATCGAAGACACCAGAGAAACTGCTTCGTGCCGACAGCACGTATGTGCTAATCGGCGGTACCGGTGGCCTTGGCCGTAGTATGGCGCAATGGATGGCCTCGAAAGGGGCTGGCAACATCGTCCTGCTTTCACGAAGAGCATCCACATCCGGTCAAATTAAGGACCTGGTAGAAGATGCGTGTGCTTTGGGAACCAACATTGTTGTTCGGAGCTGCAACGTCGCCGACAAGGCCAGTGTGGATGAGTTGTTCGCAACCGGGCTTATTGGGCTGCCGCCTGTGCGAGGTGTCGTCCATGGTGCCATGGTCCTTCATGTAAGTCATTGTCTGGGAGATTCCCACATGACATTCACTTCATATTTTGTCGAGGCATCAACTTGGAACTAACATCATGACAGGACGTTATTTTCGAAAAGATGACTTGGAGCGACTACACCACAGTCATCGAGTCCAAAGTTCAAGGCGCCTGGAATTTCCATTTGGCCCTGCGAGACCGTAACGTCTGTCTTGATTTCTTTGTCGCAATTTCTTCTGCTTCGGGAGTTGTCGGAAATCGCGGGCAAGCTGCATATGCCGCGGCCAACACCTATCTCAATGCTCTCGTGCAACACCGACTCGCGCAGGGCTTACCAGCCGCATCTCTCGACCTCACTGCCGTGTCAGATGCGGGATATTTGGCTGAAGACGCCGAACGCGCTGCCGAGGTGGCTCGGAACCTAGGGTCCGATAGTATTAGCGAAGCCGAAGTACTCGCCTTGCTGGGCGCCGCCATCACCGGCCGCACGGCGACATGTAACCACCAAGTCATAACGGGCATGCGCATTACCCCCACCATGAAGCCCTTCTGGACGACCGACGCCAAATTCAAGGCGCTGCGCCTGGCCGCAGAGGAAGCCGGCATCGCTAACACGAGCGCTGCTGTACTCTCGCCCCATGAGGCACTCAAGGCAGCTCAGACTGTTGCAGCAGCCGAAGATGTAGTTAGCGCGGGGCTTGTCGACAAGATTGCCGCAGTGCTGATGATGGAGCCGGAGGAGTTAGACGTAACGCGCAGCTTGTCACATTACCCGCTCGACTCCTTGGTCGCCATTGAGATACGCAACTTCATTACGCGCGAGTTCGAGGCTAATATGCAGGTGCTTGAACTGTTGAGCAGCGGCAGCATTCAGACACTGACAAGGGCGGTGTGTGGGAAGAGCAAGCTTGTTTGTGGATTGAGCTAGAGGCTGGCCTCCGGTTCATCCTTATTTGAACCAGCTCTCTTTTGGATTTGGGTCTGTGTTATTCGATTGGAAGGTGTTTGTGAAGGCCGCCGTGCCGTCGCACTGAGTCTTTTGGGGGTTTTTGGACTTTGGCTGAGGTTAATACCAGGTCGTTGGCTTGTTGCTGATGTACCAAAGAGACCGACATCGCGGACATGATAGAATAGCGCATCGAAGGATGACTTGCGTTTGCGTCTCACTTTATTCATTTACATATTTTGATTCTTTTATCGCGAAGTCCACACGTCGGGTTTTGCTGACTTCGTGAGGAGAAACACTGCCAAACACTATGGAATTCCGTCCGATTCAACCCCATCCACCCAATAACATTATAAGCCTGACAGGTGACGATCCATTGATCTTTGTAGGGCCATCCTCCCAAGGGGCCATTAGAATGTATGTAATCAGCTTTTCAAGAGTGGAATACTATTGTGTCCATAATTTAATGTAGTCGATGGATAGAACCTGAAATGTTGACCCACTCGCGACGTTTCAATACCGCACTGTTCTATAATTTCCTATACTTGAGACGTCCTTGACTCAGTGATCCATGTCTAAAGTTACGTTATGCTTATTGTGTTTATCATATACACCTTGCAAGTGATTGAACGCACCGACTTACAACAGACTCTGGGCCAGTCAGCACTCGAACGTTTCATTGTTCGCAAACATTGATTACTTTCAGGGGAAAAATGCCAAATGCGGTATGAAAGGCCGTCCACTCAGTTTCATCGCTGTACCACCAACCCGGACACTTCATTGGGCATTCTATTTGGCCCAATCCAATGTACTAACCGTATTAATCACCTTCTTGCATACGCCCCCATTTTGGGAGGTTCGGCTGAATTATCCCTAATACTTCATCCTTATTTATGACATATAAAACACGCTTGATTTAACGTGATCCACAAGTCATTTTCGCACACAAGTCACTTTCGCACTTTTCTTGGCACCTTCAAGTAATTCAGTAATATCCTATGCATAACCCACATTTTATCCTTTAAATTACTCAAAATCTTCTTCATTATCAGTTTCTACTTCTATTGAACAAGTCCTTGCATTATGTCCAGTCCCTCCGCAAATACCACAGCGCCTTATACCGGTCTGCCGGCGCTTTACAGGACGACTGCTTTCCCCTTCTTCCTCCTCCATAACCTTGATATCACCCCTCAAGGCCCGTAAAACTTGTGCATCACCTATACTAAGTTGATGCGAGTGCATATGGGGTGTGAATTGTTGTATTGGAAAAGGATGGCCAGATCAGCTATTCTGGCCTGGCAGAGCTCTTTTATAGCTCTTATCTATCTTATCTCTAGCTATAGGGCAACCCCCCATGGGGTCACGTATCATAAGTGCTCCTCCATATTGGATTTGCTTATTTTTCGTCCTACGACGCTTACTTAGTATATGGTTCGTCTCACGAAGCTCTTCGTTCTCCCGACGTAATAACGCATTCTCATGCATCATTGCATGCGTAGCCTTCGTAGTCGAGTTAATTGAGTTCAAAATATGCGTCGGCGAGCTGTCTTGATGCCTCTGGACGCTACTTTTAATCAAAGTTGACTGCGATTCGGCTTCGAGGGTGTTGGGAGGCGTCTTAGAAACCCAGACGGAGGGAGGCAATTGGGGGTCGGGTGTCGGTGTTCGTACTACTTTTGCGATATCCAACGTAGATATGACCCTATCCGGGTTAAAAGGAACAAGTCCAGCTGCTTCGAATCCTGATCTGATGTTTTTTTCGTGAAAAGCACCAATGAAAGCTTCTAAAAACCCAGCTAAGAAATCCTGCTTCTCAATATGGGTTTGATGCCTTCGCATTAAACCCTCCACGAACGCACCGTACAGCCGTTTCAGCACACTAAAAGGTACCAAATCCAAAGGCTGGAGCTTGTGGGATGAATGGGAAGGCATACACAATGTAATTACGCCGTACGCCGCGAGGTAAGTCTCAAAATCCATCGAGTGGTGGCTCTCGTGACCATCCAATATTAAGAGACTTTTCGCACCCTTCCGACGGCTAATAATATGTTGAACAAAGTGATTTGCCCATTCCACACCAATATTATTAGTAGTCCAACCGTTATGGGAAAGGTCGACCTTCCAGTTGGCCGGTAGGTCGTTACCGCGATACCACGAAGCAAGATGAACCTTGCCCGCGAAGATGATGTACGGCGGTACCGCCCAACCTTGCGAATTAATAGCCTGGATCACCGTAACCCATTCCCGATCTCCTTGTGTAGCCTGTCTAGGCCGTCCGTGTCTTTCTGCACTCGTTACAACCATTCCGGTTGTGATTATGCCCATTAGGAAGCCCGTCTCGTCAAAGTTGTAGATATCCTCCGGTAGGATACCGTATTTAGCGATTGTGTCCCTAACAAGCTCAAACCACGCGTAATACGCGATAGGATCTTCGCTAAATACCCTCTGGTAATCAATTCGACGATTTAAACGCGTTCAGAGGTCTTGTCGGCGGTTAACGAAGTTCGTGGTCCAGTTCTTGCCGACGGGGGGCGCGTCGCGTACGCGTCGTAGGATATTCGCCATTTCTTCAACGTATCGAAGCCGAGGAGGAAATGCTCGCGCATCTAGCTCAATTATACGTCGGGCAATCGTATCCTCTTCGGTTTGAGTTAGATTTCGTTTTAACATATTAGCTTCGTGTCGTTTGGTCGCCGTCGAATCGATTCTTTAGTGTACGGTCGCAAACGTTGTAGATACGGCCAAGCTTACGCCATGAAATTTCAGGGTTGCGCTTTTTAGCTTGGATAGTGAAACGGGGTCAGGCGGTCAGTAGGATATACCTACCACCTAACACACTGCACAGACGGCTCCAGTACCAACAGATCCCATCTGTTGGTCTTATCAGACGAAGATCGTGGTACTGGTTAAAGAGTGAAGCTCTTATACGTCTGGTGCGCGAGTTGGTGTCAGAGAACAGAATGCCATAGGCACCAGTGGGTGTCAGGACACTGAACGCAAGACACCGGTGGGGCGCCGGAGGGGTGTTTCGGACAAAAGACTCCCGAGTCATGATTACAATCTATGTGAAGCTTTGGGATGACGAGAGTCAAGATCCTTGGCATCGCCGACCCTGCTGTTATGCCGGGTCCAAGCGGCGGCCTAGCTATCTATATAAGGACCATCTCGAAGTAGGATAGGGAAGGAGCAGAGATCAATGCATCACCGTGGGCACCCCTACCTGAGACCGCCAGTGACCACCCGGTGCTACGTAGGAGGGACGCCCGTTACTCCCCATCACTCTGTACTATTGCCTTCGGCCTAGCCGTACCCTGACAGTTGGTCGGATGTGCCTCTGATACTCGTATCGTGATAATAGGACCTCGAACGTAAAGATAAGCTGAATAACTAAAATAACTAAATAACTGACTGAAAAGCGAAGGTGAAGATATAGATAAGAAGGAGATGATGATATGAAGATGAGGATGATGATGCATGAAGATGAGGGACTCGTGTCCTACTCTGCCTCTGTGCCTCTTAAAGAAGAGAAAATAAACTTTCCCCTAGCCCCGTAACCTATTTCCCTGATGTCCGGCCTTACCCCGTTACAATACACTTCTATTTTACGTTACTTGTAAATTAGGGTTGCAGCCTCATAGCGTAATCCCTAAGTTCTTAGTAGTAGCAGGTCTTTAAAGGCGAGAACAACCCGACGTCGTATAGCCGTCTAGTACAAGGAGTCGCTATTCGGTATCCCTAGCCTTTATCTTGTGGAGGAAAACCTAATCTAACTACCTTTTCTATATCTTGACCCTCTTACCTGAAATACGCAGATAGGTATACCCCTTCAGCTATTGATGCGAGTGCATATTGTGACGGGGTAAGGCCGGACATCAGGGAAATAGGTTACGGGGCTAGGAGAAAGTTTGTTTTCTCTTCTTTAAGAGGCACAGAGGCAGAGTAGGTGTCACGCCGTGCTAGGGGTTGCAATCCTTGCCACTACGCCACCGTACCAGATGTCTTCACCAAAAGAGACCAATATCAAAGTCCCTGACTTTGATATCTGCAACCACTTATCAATCTGTTCAGACCAGTGTAGGTCAATCACGTGACAACCGTCACAGTAGGACACGAGTCCCCCATCTTCACGCATCTTTTTTCATCATCTTTCATCATCTTATTCAACCAACTTGACTTTTGTTTTCTATTCTAGTTAGCTAGCCCTTCAATTATGCGGTTCATTCCTACGTGCACTTAGACACTACTTTCGAAATCCTATTATTCTGCCCTCATCCTAGCCTTGACAATGACAGAGGATTGTATCTTGCTCTGATCAGAGCAAGATCAGAGCAATCTAGTGCTAGTGAGAGCTTCAATTCGACTTCCAGGGCCAGACGTCTTGTTCTGAGAATCATTCCGACGAGAGTCTCAGAGGCACATCCGACCAACTCGGGCACCAGACGTATAAGAGCTTCACTCTTATAACCAGTACCACGATCTTCGTCTGATAAGACCAACAGATGGGATCTGTTGGTACTGGAGCCATCTGTTCAGTGTGTTAGGTGGTAGGTATATCCTACTGACCGCCTGACCCCGTTTCAATATGGGGTGTGAATTGTTGTATTGGAAAAGGATGGCCAGGTCAGCTATTCTGGCCTGGCAGAGCTCTTTTATAGCTCTTATCTTATCTTATCTGTCTTATCTGTAGCTATAGGGTAACCCCCCATGGGGTCACGTATCAGCTATACAAAATACACTCTAATTAGGAGTACTACGACGACGCGTGTTACACGCAAAGGTGGTCAAAGATTTGTGAGGTTGTAAAAGCATGACATTCTATCTAGTCCTATGGAGCACGAAGGTTGGACTTAGTCCCGAAGCGCTAAGTCACGTGGTAACCTTGGTGGTCTTGGCAAAGCCCACCAAGGTTGCCTAACAACGCGTCCGACTGTGACGGTTGTCACGTGATTGACCTACACTGGTCTGAACAGATTGATAAGTGGTTGCAGATATTAAAGTCAGGGACTTTGATATTGGTCTCTTTTGGTGAAGACATCTGGTACGGTGGCGTAGTGGCAAGGATTGCAACCCCCAGCACGGCGTGACACCGACTTTAATACACATAGTCGGCTGGTGTAGTTGGTCACTTCGCTGGTAGATAAGTCCCGATTTCAGCCTCGCCCACTTGGGTCGGTGACGAGTCGCGGGTTCGAATCCTGCAGCTGACACACAAGGGGGTTTAGTCAACCCTTATGGCGCGCTGCCCACCTTGTTGACTTCGCCTACCTAGCGATAATAGGGAGATTGGTGCAGTTTAGGATTACGAGCATCCTAGCCAGTCGACCGTCAAGCACTACGTCGGCGGAATATAACTCGACAGCCGGTCCAGAATTCGAATCGTTAATCCGACCCCTTATCGGACCTCGCCTATCCGATAACGCTCGTCGGCGAACCCGTCCCCTCACGATAGAAGGCGCGCAGCACGCCCTCTCGCCGCGATTCTTGCGAGCGTCTAGACCACGTTACGGTCTATCCACTTGAGCGTATGGTTGAGATGTATACGCTCGACGAGAACCCCAATTAGCAGATACTACGACTTGTCGCGACAAAAAAAAATAGTCGAGCATCTTCTGCACATCAGCAGCATCCCACCCCTGAGGACGAATTTAAGTGCCACATTACCACACTTATCGGTAGTTCAGGCAGGGGTTGTAGCACAGACTTAGGGAGGGACAGGAGGTTTAGTAGTCGTTTGGCTACAAGTTTACCTGTATAACCGCCCGACGCGGCTTAAGGGCCCGCTATATCATCTATAGCCCCTTAAGGGAGTACTTGTAGAGGTACCGAGGGTTAACACCTACGGCGTATTTAATATTATTTTTAATACACATACCTGGCGTAAATTTGACGTACCAATAACCGTACTATATCTAGATTATCCCTATTAGACACCTGTCTTATCCATATTATACTTATTATCAGGTTTAACACTGTTCTTTGTACGCAAGCGTTCGAGGAGGGCATGAAAGTCTCGGATCTTATTTGTCAGAGAACAGAATAAGAGACTGCGTGTAAACGGAGTTCTAGTCATCGATGCCACTCCACTCGCTGTCTTGGCCACCACCAGCACGCCCCGTAGTCGTCTCATCCAACTTCCGCTTTTTGCTTCCAGCAATGGCACCCTTCCTATTATCCTCCCTCTTCTTCTCCCAAGCACTCTTAGACGAGATCTGCGCCTTACTCCCCCGCCGCGACTCCACACCGCGCTCCTTGAGCTTCTTCTTGTCTTCCTTACGGACCTTGGGCAGGGCGTCCATCAGCCACTTGGGCAATCCCTCCTCGCTGCTCTTCCCGGCCTGTTTTTCGCTCAGCGCGATGACGTTGGCAATAAGCGCGAGGTGAGGCACGTCTTCCTTGGTATAGAAGGTGACGGCAACGCCACCTTCGTGACCGGCACGACCGGTGCGTCCAACTCGGTGGACGTAAGCCGCAGAGGATGCTGGTACATCGTAATTGATGACGCCGTTTACACCGCGAAAGTCGATACCGCGCATCAAGAGGTCGGTGGTGATGAGGACCCAGATCTCGCCCGCGCGGAATCGAGTAATGATACTTGATCGCGCCGCGTCCGAAAGTGACGAATGAAGGGATGCGATGCGGGTGGAGCCCCCTGCTTCCACCGGAAACTCAAACTTCAGCTCATCGTGAAGAGACACGGCTCGCTCAATGCTTTGTACGAACACCAAGAAGGGTAGACGCATGTCAGGAAGGGAGTCGCTTGCGACATTTGGATGTAAAAGCTGACGGAGAGTAAACAGCTTACCCCTCTCATTATCACCTGTGAATATGAGACGATGGTTGATGCTGGGAACGGCGGTGTCCTTGAGACCCACCACAAGCCGAATGAGGGGAACGGGCGACGATGAGACTTGCCGCGAGGCAAGTTGCTCCATCACCAACGTCTCGATATTAGACCCCATGGTCGCAGACCAGCACGTCAACCTCAACAGTTCGTGGGTGCAGGATGTCCATATTCCCAGCACCTGATCTCGAAATAAGGGGTCAAGCAGCACATCTCCCTCATCCAATATCAGACTCCTCACATTAGGTAACGTCCTCTTCGACCTGGCCCTTTTGGTCAGAAAATTGAGTAGTAATAATGGGGTTGTGACCAGAATGTCCGCTCTAGTCACTGGCCGAGAACTGGCCTTGTCTGTGCCACCAGGTGCTTCGTCCTCCGAGGGAACTGAAGCATCATCCTCAGAATCTGAACTGTTCCCATCGTCGGGCTCCACCTCTTGCCCTTCCACAGGTATTCTCATGCCCTTCTTGAAAGCCACAATCTTCACACCTGTTCCAACCGCGAGCTTTCGTCCTTCGTTGGCAATTTGGTGAGCCAACTCGCGAGTCGGGGCGACAATAATGGCTTCCAAAGAATGCTCGTTCTGCTGGCCTATTTCAGCTCGTCTCCTCATGATGCTGTTCATGGTCGGTATCAGGAACGACAAGGTTTTGCCGCTGCCGGTAGGGGCCACGGCGAGGAAATGGACGCCTTCATCAGCCGTAATGTTGTTGGTTCCCCCCAATGTGCCCGCCAAAGCTGTTTCTGGCTGCATCAATAAAGGTAAACTGCCCAGTTGCACCTCTGTGGGTATACGATAGCCTTGCTTCGCAATATTCTCGATCAACCTCGCCGAGGCGTTGTATTTGGATTTGAGTTCATTGAACGAAGTCATCAGTTGGGGGAAGAGCGGTTGCTTGGTATCTTTCGTCTTAGCTTTAATTTTCTCCTTCTTCTTGCACTTCTTTATTTTTGCTAGCTTCTCTTCGTGGGAGGATAATAGGGTAAACTTGAGTCGATGTGACCGCAGCACCTGGCGCACGTCCTCTTCGTCGAGCTGCGCCGAAGGGACCAGATTCTCAGCCTGGACTGCTGGAGTATTTTCGATTGCTTCGGGTGTGATAGCTTGTTTCTTGTTCTCCTTTGGTGCAAAGAAGTCGACATCGTCGGCCCCGTCGTCGGTGGAAGGTTGCGCTAGTGGGGCTTCGTTGGCTCGTTTCCGCTTGACTCCTCGCGTTGGGTCATGGTAAAGCTGGGGGTTTGTCGGTTTTTGTGGGAGAGTGGCAGCGCTGGATTTACCAGCGCCCTTTTTAGTTCCTCTGGACAGAATCTTGAGGATATCCATGGTTTCGTTGCTTATATTCTGAGCAATGTGAGGTCCTCGGATCGTGACGGTCGCCTTGACCTCTACTGGTGTAAAAGATTTTGGCGGTGAGACTTGGCAGTAGCGAAGATACGAAGTACTATGTACCTCGAGCTTTAATAGTGGGGCTTAACCTAAATGCTTACTGTAGACTAGGGCTTCGGGATTGATTTGTACTGTTTTCTAACAGAGGACTAGTGGCACACAGTCCACTGGCGGAGCCCTAGTTACTCCGTAACAATGTACACTAGTTAGATAGGTAACATTCTACCGTTACACCTGACGGAGGTTAACTTAGCTCAATCAACATCACAATCCTCCATGAGGTTATGAGCCCTCTCGCTAACGCGCATCACGAATAATCGCATTTCTGAAGCGTTATTCGTCATCATCATCATCATTTCGATCAGTTGCCCAATTTTCGGCCTCTGATTCGACCTTTATTTCGCAAAGTTGGCCATCGAAGGTCCGCTAAGGTAGGTACACGAATCTGCTGCAACCTGCAGCATCTGCAACTTCGGCAGCATCATCAACATCATCTGCATCATCTGCAGAATCATCATCAACATCACCTGCATCATTTGCAGCATCATCCATCATCATCATTGTTCAAATTTGACGATAATCCATTCTATTTGACACCAAACTGCAGTGCAGCAGAAACCTGCCTGCTGTTGCAAACCTTCGTTGCAACATCTGGTGAATCGCGCGTGAAAAACACGTGAAAAACACCAAGCCGAATCATCATCATCATCATCATCATCGCGAAATTTCGTATCTCCGTACAAGATGGAGAGCTTCGCACCAAGAATCTCGATTAAACCCTTGACGGGCCAAATTACCCACGAAGCATGGACGCAATCCATCCTCGATGTCTCCAAGATCATGAAATCAACACAAGTCTTGGAAATGAGCAATAGACCACCCGATGCCCAGAAGAATGAGCAGGAAGAATGGGATCAAAAGGAAGTGACCCTTCGCTACATGCTAGAGCAGTCGATAGCGGAAAATATCATGAATGACATGATAAACCTTGGCTATACAAACGAATCAGTCCAAGACTGCTTGACAAAAGCAGAACAGGCTGTTTGGCAGAATCAATTCGGCAACAACTACAATCAACAGGGGAGATTTCTGACCATTTGTCTTGATATGTCTAAATTCAAGGATACAAGAGCATGGGTTAAAGAGCTTCTCTTCCTCAAGATAAAGATGGAGAAGGAACACGACATGAAGTTCTCCGAAAGCTTTATGATAGGAATCATTCATCAAGCAATGACGAAACAAGACAAGCACCTTGGCGATCGTCTCAAGGATTTGATCGCAGCTACCAAGATGGATTTCCAGAAAGTCCTTGCTTTTCTTCACGAAAACACAACAACAGTCGGCAAATCTCTGTCAAATGTTCATTCTGGCAGAGACAATGGCAGAGACAATGGCAGAAACAACAGCAACAACGGAAGAGTAAGTCGAGATGGATATATGAAACCTGACAAGAAGAAGGAAGCCCAAAAGAAGACCGAAAATGAGTCATACTGCAGAATTTGCAACCGCGATCATTCTGAGAATGAAGAAGGCAAGAAAGGCGAAAAGATCTGCAAACATATGACACAACCAGAGGGATGGAAGACAAATCAAGCAACGAGAACACGAATGGAGGTCCTTCTCGGTAAAGAAGCTGTGACCAAGATATTGAACAAGAAGGTACGGTTTGAGAACACCACTATACCGAGCAATAATTATTGTAGACCGTTGAAGCCAGCCACAAGTGTATTCAACGAGACGAATTGGGATGATCAACCACAGGAAACTCCATCTCACACGGAAACGCGCCCACGTCGTGAGAAAAAGAAACCAGAGAAGTTTCCTGGTATGACTGACTGGTATGAAGCCAGAGAACAACAGAAGAAGCAGAATAAGCAGAAGGATCAACCAAAACCAAAGCTAAAGAGACTGACGAATCTAAATCTGGGTTCGGATCAGGACGAACACGATCTTCCTATTGAAGGTTTTAGTGCCTTCAATATGATGAGAATAGACGAATTAGCTCATCTTGATGGCTTGGTTTTCTCATGCTTAAGACTATCTTCGGATGAAATCTTTCCCGTTGAATGCCCATTACAAATGAGAAGCTTTCTCAATCAATATGAACGACAGATAATCGCGAAGAACGACATTGCAATTCCCAAAGGGTACAAGGGAGCCATGAAATCACCAGAGAAGGATTTTTGGCAGGAAGCAATGGAGAATCAGGTCCAGAAACTCCAAGACAAGGGCACATGGACATTGATTCACAAGGAAGAGGTTCCTGTCGGCCATAAAGTGTTACCAGGCCAATGGGTTCACGATACAAAAGATGACAAAGGAATGATCGACTCATTTCGGAGCAGATGGGTCGTTTGTGGCAATTTCCAAGAAGTTGATCCTAATGGAACAGATACATATGCAATGGTTGCATTCCAGATGTCTGTTAAGGTCTTCTTGGTCAACGTTGCTTTGAAAGATCTCGAATGCGTTGTTTGGGATATCGAAACTGCTTTTCTCAACGCAAATATCAAATCAGACAAACCGATATACGTTCAACAGCCAACAGGATTCCATAAGGGACGAGACATGGTATGCAAGTTGAATAAAGCACTCTATGGATTGCGAACATCAGCAATGCTTTGGAACGAAGATATTGTAGTTGAAATCAATAAGCTTGGATTTAAGCAGATGTCAACGGATCTCTGCGTTTTCCACAACGAACCAGTCGACGTATATCTGCTAATTTATGTCGACGACTTCCTTATTGGTGCTAAGAAGAAAGGACTAGAATATATGGAAGCCAACTTTACCAAATACAAGTACAAGGACCATGGTAATGTTACAAAGTTCCTTGGTATTGAGGTAATTAGGGATCGTCCGAATCGCCGAATTCTGATGCATCAAAAGACATACATCCAATCAATGTTTCACAAATTCGCAAAGGGACCTCAACGACAGCAAAGGACACCAGGCAACGTCGCTGAGTTTGATGACGATGAGGATCCAGTTGGTGACCAAGAGAAAGGCTTATATAGCCAGATTATCGGAAAACTCCATTGGTGTGGCATTACAAGGCCAGATATCTGCCAGAGATTGAATCAACTGGCTAGAGCGTTGTCAAAACCAACACGCCAGCATTTGATAGCTGTTGACGAGATGATTCATTATTTGAATCTGACAGCAACATTGGGAATATGCTTTGGCGGGTTGCAATATGACACTAGCAACACAGGCCTTATGGCAATGGCAGACGCGAGTTTTGCTGATGACAAGAAAACTCGTTATTCAACAGCGGGCCATATCGTATTTCTGACTGGCGGTGCCTTGTACTGGAAATCAGCGCTACAAGGACTCGTCACTTTATCGACAACGGAGGCAGAAGGCATAAATCTCACTCCAACTGCCAAGTCACTATTGTATACAGCCGAAATGCTTAAGGAATATGATATGGATCCGGAGAGACCATATCTACTCTATACCGATAGCGCGAATGCGATGATGCTCATCAAGGATCGCCAAACCAACGCCCGAACACGTCACATTGATGTTCGCCTCAAATGGATTTAACAAACGATCAAAGAAGGCAAAATAGATGTCAAACACATCAGCGGCATGTTGATGGCAGCAGACGGGTTGACGAAGCTATTGAAGAAGGCGAAACACGAGAAGTTTATCGAGATGCTGGGCATGGTCACAATCAACGAATTCACAAATGGCAGATGAATTGAAAGTTGAGCGGTCACGAGCGGCAGAATCGCTATGAGATTTATTGACAAAAGTCGCTAAATTGACGATTTGACGGCTGAAATTCATCAAATTGGAATATCAGCTTACGCTGGGAGGCAGTAACAGAGGACTAGTGGCACACAGTCCACTGGCGGAGCCCTAGTTACTCCGTAACAATGTACACTAGTTAGATAGGTAACATTCTACCGTTACACCTGACGGAGGTTAACTTAGCTCAATCAACATCACAATCCTCCATGATTTTCCAACGGTTATAACATAAAAGGCTGTCAGTATGTTAGGTCTGTCTGAGTTGTTACGCAAAAGTGAGATTAAGACCTCGGCGGCGTTCAGAAAGCTGCGCGTAGAAACGCTACTGCTATGTAACTTTAGCGCAGATGAATTTCTACATATAACTTACGTGTTTTCATATTAACGAGAGGCTTAGCAAATACGCCGATAAACCTAGCGTCCGTGTCCGGTGTTCTGGAGAAACGAGTCGCTCCTAACTGCTCAAGCTTTTACATCTGTTGCTCTAATCACTCTCTTCACGACACCTGTGTTGATATTCATACAGACCATGCCCATACTGTCCAGTGTGTTAGTAGCTTCGATCGTATTTAGGAGTACTACAGCTACACCATTGGTCCAAATGATGGTAATAACTTGAAAGTTGACTAGCAGCAAAATAAATCCGCTATCAGCCTGCAGTCTTTAACACAACAGCCAACGCAGCCCGAGTAGATGCAAAAAAGGCATTTTATCATATTCAAAAGCCAGAAATTCGGATAGGACGCATGAAAGGGTGCCAATTTGACGGATATTAACATCAGGATTAAACGTGGGTCTATCACCATACTCATCGGGCCCGTAGGGAGTGGCAAGTCTATGTTCTTCGACAGTATCCTCGGCGAGACAGTCTCCCAGATCCAGACGCGAGAGCAAACACCCGCTCATATAGCATACTGTGCGCAACAGCGATAGCTCGAGAACATTTTAATTCGTGGGAACATTTTCGGGGTATCACCATATGCAGGAAGTGGTACAGCATTGTAAAGTTTGCCTGTGGCTTGGATGCCGACGTGGAGCAACTTGAGAAAGGAGATCAAACCAAGGTCTCAAGCAAGTGGCTAAATCTTTTAGGAGGCCAGAAACAGCGCATTGCAAGCTGAAATCTCATATTTTCACGAGTTTTACTTACAAAGGTTATCAATTTCTAGGCCCTGGTCAGAGCAACAGTCTACTCAAGACGCAATATACTACGGTATCAGGCCAAAGTTTTCACCCCTTTGACAAGTACCAGTGGACCACTGTCAAGGTAACGCTATACTGATTCTTGCCTAGCCTACTCATGGTAACGAAAAGGTACTTCCACCTCTGATTCCAACTTGCTGTTAACGCGTCCTAACTATCGCGTATTCAGCAACTACAATGGGGACTAAACACCTTACAGAAGCGGATCGCCAACGAATTCGAACCCTATATTTCGACGGTGGTAAATCGAAAGCCGAAATTCACACTACTACAACGTTTTTTCTTAATCATATTCAGACGGCTATGAAGGTCCCTTCAAGCCAGGTAGCAAAAAGTTAGCGCGTGCCTAGGTGGGGCATGGTACAAACACGCAATAGAAAACTTACAAGTGGGCGCTGGTCGGCTGAATGGAGTTTGCATATTTAGTTGCTGCACACAGGTAGTTAACTGTGTTCAGTCTCTTCATCTCGAATGTATCACTAACTTGAAACCAGGCCCGACTTGGAACCAGTTCTGAAGGGCATCTTAATTTATATGGAGCCCCAACAGCACATTGCCATCTGCGGTCGCTCAAGCAGCGGGAAAAGCTCTCTGGTCCTTTGTCTCCTGAAGATGTTCGACACCCAAGCCGGTCACATCAGCATCGACGGTGTCGACACCGAGTCTTTCCCATGTGCCGAGGCTCGCTCACATATCAACCTGGTGCCCCAAGACACTTTTCTCTTGCCGGGAACCGTGTGATTCAATATCAGCAATCCCTTCGGCCGCGCGTCAGACGACATCATCTAAGCCTTGGGGCGCGTGAGACTATGGGAGATTGTGAGGGAGCAAGACGGCCTAGACAAGGAAATGGACACGCCGCTTGGCCGGCTGGGTAGGAACAACTACTCTGTTTTGCGAGGGCTATGGTCAGACATAATAGAATCCTGATACTCGATGAGGCTACCAGCAGGTACGTATCCAAACCACCTTTCGCAGATATGAGACATCAAGTTAATCATTTCTAGTGTCGACAGCGACACAGAAGCCATAATGCAGGATATGATTGACACTGGATTCAAACAGTGCACCGTTCTTGCTGCCATGCATCGCGTGAAGCACATTGCGATGTATGAAAAGGTCGCGTTATTGGATAATGGCGTATTGGCTGACTTTGACGAGACTAAGAAGTTGCTGGACATGGAGTCAAGGTTTGCGGATCTTTACAGGTCGAACACCAAGGGAGATGGACCTCGAATACCTTCAATTCGAGGGCTTGCCAGATCTCCGGAGGGACGCCGGCGACACGCTTACAGCACGTACACATGATGAGAAGGCAAAATTACTAGCTGAGAGGTTCTTCCCAGACCCGTATATAGATCTATCGGACCTCGATCGCGGCCTATTACAGACGAGACCAGAGCTGAACGTCCCTAGGGAGGTGACCACAATGGATATCGAGTCTATCATCAAAGGAACGGCTGCTCGGAAGGCTCCCGGCGACGACCTGATCCCCACTGGCCTGCTAAAGGCCTGCGGTGAACCCCTATGGGAGATCCTAGCGGATCTGGCAACAGCTAGCTTTAGGCTGGGGTACTACCCGGAGCGCTTCCGCTCAGCGAGGGTGGTTATTATCCCTAAGCCTAATAAAACGACAGCTCAGAAGCAGACCCCTGGCGGCTGGCGCCCCATTGCCCTGCTTAGCACGGTAGGGAAGGTAATAGAGACGGCGATGAGCCAGCGTATCACCAAAGTAGCTGAGGCGGCCGGCCTACTACCAAACGGCCAAATGGGTAACCGCGCTGGGAGGTCCACCGAGCTGGCAATACGTATAGTTGAGGACGTGGTCTATACGGCGTGGAGACGCGGGGGCATCGCCTCGCTGCTACAGCTAGACATCAAGGGGGCATTCGATACGGTCAATTACAGACGGCTGATTTCCATATTAGCCCGGAAAGGCTACCCGGAGTGGGTTCAGGAGTGGGTACGCAGCTTCGTGGAGGATAGAACGGTACGCCTCCGGTTCGATGGCAAGGAGTCAGAGCCAATCCCCCTACGAGCTGGCGTCCCCCAGGGGTCACCGCTATCCCCGATACTGTTTATATTATACATTTCAACGCTGTACGAGGAGCTAGCGGAGCAGCATCCACTACTTTTAGTAGTCGGGTTCGCGGACGACACGAACCTGCTAAGCGTCGGCACCGATCCAGACACGACCTGCCGCCGCTGGAGAGCGCATGGGCTACGTGTCAGCGGTGGGCAGTGAGGCACGGGATGGAGTTCGCTCCTGACAAGAGTGAGCTAATGCACTTTACTAGGGCCCGAGAGCCCTTGCCGCAAAGTATTCGCCTTGGGGACGCCACAGTGTCGCCGGTAGTCTCAGCGAGGTTCCTAGGAGTCTGGTTCGACCGCAAACTGACGTGGCACGCCCATGTTGAGCGTGTTAAAACAAAAATGGCAACTCAAAAGCTAGCCCTGACAAAGCTAGTCAATATGTCGTGGGGCTGCGATCTTATACGGGCGAGGCTGTTATATACGGTGGTTATCCGTAGCGCGATTGCCTTCGGGGCGACTGCGTGGCATACTATAAGTGAGGAACCGGCAGGGCCAGCTAAGAGCCTGATGGGGATACAGAACGAGTGCCTCCGGGTAGTCTGTGGTGCCCACAAAGCGACGCCGGTTCGCCACCTGGAAGCAGAAGCAGCAATCCCGCCACTAGACCTCTATCTTAGTGCCCGGGCTGCTAAGTTTGAAGAACGGCTACGGCTTAGCGGGAAGAGAAATCTGCTTCGCAGCGCGAGCGCTAAAGCGTCACATATACTCCGGCAGGATAGGCCGGCGAAGAGGAAGCAGGCGTCGCAGCTACTCCGACCGGCAGGGTACACTATGGAGAAGGAGGCCCGGGGCTCCGAGTGGATGAGTGAGGAAAAGGAGGTCCCGGCTGCCCTCCTCGACCACTGGAGGAAGAGATGGCTCACCGGAGCAGAGCATCACGATCGCCAGCGACGCGCTATCGCTGAGGAACCGGAGGGCCCTTCGATGCAGATACCGAAAGGGGGCAAGTATTTCGGCCTGAACCGACTGGAGGCGTCTACGCTGTGCCAGATCAGGACGGAAAAAATAGGACTAGCAGCCTTCTTATTCAAGACAGGGGCTTTTGGCGTGTACTCGCCGCTATGCCGCTGTGGCGATGCCCCTGAGACGGCAGAGCACGTAATCCTCTTTTGCGGGCTGTTGGAAGGACCGAGGGAACGATTACGGGCCGCCATCGCACCACGGCCACTATACTCTCGCAGAGACCTCGCAACGGCAACAGGAGAACCAGTAGTTAGTGGGACTATTGTAAGATGGCTGCTAGGGACGGGTCGGACAGCTTCAAGGCCCAGATAGCATCGATCTTCTCAGGGGGGACTTTGTTGGTAGGTTGAGAACCAACGTAGTATGGTAGTGAACGCAACGCAGTCGCCAATAGGGCGAACCGACGACGCAGCGTATGTATTTAGTCCAGCCATTAGGGCACGGTTTGACATACGGGAGTACTAGTAGAGGTACCGGGGGCTTCGAGCCTACGGCGTATTTAATAATAATAATAATATATATTAGCCCGTAATGCTAACGTAGGAGTAAAGTAACTCTAGAAATCCTTTATTATATTGACTTAGGGACCGGGCTTTTGGGTCTTTCTTTTCAGTTTTTGGATGAATTATGTAAGCGTGTTCTTAGGAGTATTGAAGGACCTGTGTAAGAAGAGGAAGAAAACGCAATCGGCCAGGCAAGTAGCAATTGATTTCATTCTCTTCGCCTGTTGAGGCACCAGTTGTTCTGATGACCTGTTGAGGTCTTATCCTGTTGCTCGTGCCTATTGAGGACAGCATGATATAGGTACTATCCATCCAGTATGAAACTAAGGTGAGAGTCGTAAATAAAGGAAGATATTATAGTAAAGATGCACCTTACTATTTATACCAGATCGTAAAGCATTCATAACTCTTTACGAAATCTCGATGAATATCCATTTTAACTGGAGCCGACAACAATAACAGCTTTAAGGGAGCTAAATATATGTAGCAAGGACACAAAAAACTTATTCTTCAATCCTGCTAAGCCACCTCAAGCTACATTGAGTTATCCAAAGCCCAGTTAGATAGACGAATATACCCAGTACATGAGAGCAACCATCATCCATCTCCTGCATCGCTATCATGCCATAAGGCAAAACATTATTTTTTTATTATTATTAAATACGCCGTAGGCTCGAAGCCCCCGGTACCTCTACTAGTACTCCCGTATGTCAAACCGTGCCCTAATGGCTGGACTAAATACATACGCTGCGTCGTCGGTTCGCCCTATTGGCGACTGCGTTACGTCCACTACCATACTACGTTGGTTCTCAACCTACCAACAAAGTCCCCCCTGAGAAGATCGATGCTATCTGGGCCTTGAAGCTGTCCGACCCGTCCCTAGCAGCCACCTTACAATAGTCCCACTAACTACTGGTTCTCTTGTTGCCGTTGCGAGGTCTCTGCGAGAGTATAGTGGCCGTGGTGCGATGGCGGCCCGTAATCGTTCCCTCGGTCCTTCCAACAGCCCGCAAAAGAGGATTACATGCTCTGCCGTCTCAGGGGCATCGCTACAGCGGCATAGCGGCGAGTACACGCCAAAAGCCCCTGTCTTGAATAAGAAGGCTGCTAGTCCTATTTTTTCCGTCCTGATCTGGCACAGCGTAGACGCCTCCAGTCGGTTCAGGCCGAAATACTTGCCCCCTTTCGGTATCTGCATCGAAGGGCCCTCCGGTTCCTCAGCGATAGCGCGTCGCTGGCGATCGTGATGCTCTGCTCCGGTGAGCCATCTCTTCCTCCAGTGGTCGAGGAGGGCAGCCGGGACCTCCTTTTCCTCACTCATCCACTCGGAGCCCCGGGCCTCTTTCTCCATAGTGTACCCTGCCGGTCGGAGTAGCTGCGACGCCTGCTTCCTCTTCGCCGGCCTATCCTGCCGGAGTATATGTGACGCTTTAGCGCTCGCGCTGCGAAGCAGATTTCTCTTCCCGCTAAGTCGTAGCCGTTCTTCAAACTTAGCAGCCCGGGCACTAAGATAGAGGTCTAGTGGCGGGATTGCTGCTTCTGCTTCCAGGTGGCGAACCGGCGTCGCTTTGTGGGCACCACAGACTACCCGGAGGCACTCGTTCTGTATCCCCATCAGGCTCTTAGCTGGCCCTGCCGGTTCCTCACTTATAGTATGCCACGCAGTCGCCCCGAAGGCAATCGCGCTACGGATAACCACCGTATATAACAGCCTCGCCCGTATAAGATCGCAGCCCCACGACATATTGACTAGCTTTGTCAGGGCTAGCTTTTGAGTTGCCATTTTTGTTTTAACACGCTCAACATGGGCGTGCCACGTCAGTTTGCGGTCGAACCAGACTCCTAGGAACCTCGCTGAGACTACCGGCGACACTGTGGCGTCCCCAAGGCGAATACTTTGCGGCAAGGGCTCTCGGGCCCTAGTAAAGTGCATTAGCTCACTCTTGTCAGGAGCGAACTCCATCCCGTGCCTCACTGCCCACCGCTGACACGTAGCCCATGCGCTCTCCAGCGGCGGCAGGTCGTGTCTGGATCGGTGCCGACGCTTAGCAGGTTCGTGTCGTCCGCGAACCCGACTACTAAAAGTAGTGGATGCTGCTCCGCTAGCTCCTCGTACAGCGTTGAAATGTATAATATAAACAGTATCGGGGATAGCGGTGACCCCTGGGGGACGCCAGCTCGTAGGGGGATTGGCTCTGACTCCTTGCCATCGAACCGGAGGCGTACCGTCCTATCCTCCACGAAGCTGCGTACCCACTCCTGAACCCACTCCGGGTAGCCTTTCCGGGCTAATATGGAAATCAGCCGTCTGTAATTGACCGTATCGAATGCCCCCTTGATGTCTAGCTGTAGCAGCGAGGCGATGCCCCCGCGTCTCCACGCCGTATAGACCACGTCCTCAACTATACGTATTGCCAGTTCGGTGGACCTCCCAGCGCGGTTACCCATTTGGCCGTTTGGTAGTAGGCCGGCCGCCTCAGCTACTTTGGTGATACGCTGGCTCATCGCCGTCTCTATTACCTTCCCTACCGTGCTAAGCAGGGCAATGGGGCGCCAGCCGCCAGGGGTCTGCTTCTGAGCTGTCGTTTTATTAGGCTTAGGGATAACAACCACCCTCGCTGAGCGGAAGCGCTCCGGTTCCCAATACAATTCACACCCCATATGCACTCGCATCATGCTATCTCGTGATATTATTGGTTGAATCAAGCATGACTCCTTCCCCCCGTTACCCAGTTCGGCACCGCGTGTGAATCTCAACTGGCATGCTTATCTCCATACTTATTGAGTCTGTCAGAGTGCTGGATGCATAGCACCAGTATAGGGACGTGCAGTCATGGCCCAATATGGAAGTCTTGGTATACCGAAGAATTGGAGGAACTAGTGCCCTACGGCTTCGATATACGGGGTCTACAGCTCCGACTCCGGGCTCAAGCTATCTATGTAAGGGAAGGTATCTGGGAAGAAGATAGGAAGGTTAGAGATCAATGAAACACTTTGGGCACCCCTACCTGAGACCGCTGGTGACCTCTAGTGACCACCCGGTGCTAAGCGGGAGGGACGCGTACTACTCCCCATCACTCTGTGCTATTGCCTTCGGCCTCGCCGTACCCTGAAAGAGTCCTTGTGTGGCTCCTGTGGGCATATTCCTGAAGGCCTAGGTTCACTCCATCTCCAGAGGCTTTGATGATGATGGTGACTATCATAGAGGCTGGCTCGATTGAGCCACCCGGCGGATTTCGCAAATTTCAGTACCTAAGCTAAATCTATACGACCAGATTATATACCTCACAGATTGAGGACTGAATAAGCATAAACTGCTGGCTAGACATGCATTCCTGGTTCACATTTTTCACGTGATATCCTGGCTAACATCACACAAGTACTGACATGCGGTTAATATTGCGCCTATTCGACAACTTTCTTCTTTTCTTTCTAGGTCTCCTTTTTATACGGGTTGAATATTGTAACGGGGTAAGGCCGGACATCAGGGAAATAGGTTACGGGGGCTAGGGAGGGCTCCCCTGTCTTCCTTACTTCAAAAAGGGACACGGAGATAACAGGCGACTTTCAACTCGTCACCTTTTTCATCATCTTATTCAATCAACTTGACTTTTGCACTCCATTCTAGTTAGCCAGATCTTCAATCATGTGGTTCTTTTCTATATGCATTTAGACACTATTTTCGAAATCCTATTATTCTGCCCTCATCCTAGCCTTGATAATGACAGAGGATTGTATCTTTCTCTGATCAGAGCAATCTAGTGCCAGTAAGAGCTTCAATTCGACTTACAGAGCCAGACGTCTTGTTCTGAGAATTATCCCGCCACGAGTATCAGAGGCACATCCGACCAACTCGCGCACCAGACTTGCAAGAGCGAAGCTCTTGCAACCAGTACCACGATCTTCGTCTGATCAGACCAACAGATGGGATCTGTTGGTACTGGAGCCGTCTGTTCAGTGTGTTAGGTGGTAGGTATATCCTACTGACCGCCTGACCCCATTTCACTATAAGAAAGATGATAGAAATACAGAAAGTCCCTGTAATGCTAGAACTATATGAATACGAAGAATGCCACAGCGCTGGCGATTACAGAACCACATAGTGCTGTATATAGCAGTTAGTGGGACCAAATGTCAGTAACACTGACATTTCTAGATCTTTTGATCTATTGGCTTAGGGGCTTGGTCCTCCTCTTGTGACAAAGATGTGAAGCAAATCGTATTTAGCGAAGTCGTGAACTTTTCACAACGAGCTTATCAACAAAACGTAATTTATGAATCATGTTTCTCCTCGCAGAAATATACATAATACACCATCGCTAATTCAACTGTTATCATACTATGGGCCAATTGCCATCGAGATTAGTTATGGAGGAAGATGCATCACACTGCAATCCACCTCAACCAATTGCAGAATGGAGGAATTGAGGCGAGTTGCAGGAAGGAAAGGCTTTCAGGAATAAACTGGTTGTTTGCACCGCTTCGTCAACTTAATCTTTCGGGGAATGTGCGTTGGTTGCATGTACGTGGTGTGGTGTTGGTTAGCGACTCCGCTAGTCCGGTTACGGCACAAACAAAACCCGGACAGTGACAGATATAAGTACTGCTTCATACCTACGTAAATAATACCGCGTGCTAGGAAATAGCTCATGGTGAGTTGGCTGGTCATTAATATTTACAATTTCATGGATTGCCTACTTTCCTAGGTTCTACGTCTTCAGTCGTCTGCTTCCTCAGTCTTCTACTTGACGCAGTTGCCTTCTCGACGGAAACTCCACTCGATGAAGCGCAAATTAGAATACTATTGATACGTGACCCCATGGGGGGTTACCCTACAGCAATAGATAAGATAGATAAGATAAGATAAGAGCTATAAAAGAGCTCTGCCAGGCCAGAATAGCTGACCTGGCCATCCTTTTCCAATACAACAATTCACACCCCATATGCACTCGCATCAGACACGGAAGTTCCGGAAAAGAGCCAAGACTAGCGAGCTTAGTAGGGCGGGGCCCCAAGGCTTCTAGCCATGAGACGATAACCAGGATAGCGAATATAGGAGTTCGAAGAGGAAATGCAGAAGGTCCCGAGACTACCAAGGTAATGCAGCGGTTATCAGACTAACGAGTTTTGGACTTCGAGCCTGTTGTATCCCGACCGATATCAAGACGCATTTTTCGTACTTTTCTGAGTCTGCTCTGAAAACTCCTAACCTACGGAAGCCTGTCGGGATTTTAAATAGTTTAAATACTGATCAGACGCCATTGAACCGGAGTTTTCCAACGCTGAGTCGCTTAGCATTTCTACTACTGGTAATCATCCCAACCCACCCCCGGTGCCCCTGTAACACCACCAGCAGTCAAGCCCCCTCATTGTACTATTCCTGCGGCTGCTGTGCCTCCCACGCCAGGACTTCCGCAAACCACTGCTGACATTCCGCCCTGACGCAAGCTTCGTTCATTGGGTAGTCTTATTTCACGAGATTGTCTCCTGTACAGCGCAGAAGTTTACCTTTCTTGCTCCGTCGATTCGCTTCAACAGCATTGTTGCATTCTTCAGGAGAGCCGGGATCGTATTAGGTTTCATAACCTGGAATCAAGTGGCCACAACGACCCTTGTAGGTATACTTGATACACATCGCGAGTGTCTGGTTGTAAGAAGCGTTAGTACACATGCAAGAATGCTTAGATAAACTTACTGAGATAGGTAATAGCTAAGTGGAATAAAAAGTTTAATTTGCTCTTTTGGATAGACCATTATTGAATAGAACGAGAAAAGGGCATGAGAGACCGGTTGGAATTTATAACCGGAACTTCAGGACCGGAATTTCGATTACATCGTCGCAGCGGTTGATGTACCAAGACTCTCTCATCTTTGAAGAATATGATATCTTGCAGTCCGGCTTGCCACATTTGATCCCGGGCAAAATATTTCTGCATAAACTTATGCGGGTTTACACATTGGCTCGCCGTTGCAGCCACGAGGATTGACAGTCAGTATGCGGGGCCAACATCCATCACTTGCCAGTCCCAGATGCACCATCTGCATATAATTAATTCCTGTTGCATATCGCTTAGTTTGGTGTGTTCTCGAATTTTACAGCTGCACCATTGGGTGCTCGAAACACTGCACCACTAGGTGCTTAGGTTAGCGCACCTTCCATGCATATAGTGAAACCACCCTGTTTCGGGAACTGGTGCGCATGAATTGAGGTATGTAATTGGGCAGTCCCTTCTTGAGCACTGACACTGTTACCGGTTCTTAAATAGACCGTGATTCGGTGGTCATTGCTCGAGTCGGCACTTTGCACCGCGGCTTGTTTGACAGTGTACATTTGGGGAAATATTGACATGCTAGTATTCATCCCTGCTTGCACATAATGACGGCGTCGGCATTAGGTTTATACTTGGATTTTATGTTCCCGTTGAAGGAGCAAAAGGAGGGCACATATGCCTAACCTGTATGTATTGTAGCTAACTCTGGTCCTCTCTTCGAGGGTCTATGTATGGAAACAAAAGGGTTCTTATATAGTCAATGAATGGTAGACTTGCTGATTAATTCAGACAAGTTGTAGAAGCATATAGATAAGTAGGGAATGTTCTATCCTCGCCACATTTCTCGTAATAGAGGTATGTGGGGATGGTCGCCGTTCTAGGTGGCGATAGTGGCAAGTATAGGACCCACATAGCCCACAGGGCCCATATTGTCCAACTTTTATCCATGGCGGCTTTTGAGCTGGTGGCTTCTCGCCATTCCGAACTCTTACTGCGACAACCAGGGAAGATATTCCCTCGAATTCAAACCCAGCCGCTCAAACTCCAGCTTACATAGATGCAGATTCACTTCATGCAACCCTTCTAGGCGTGGCTGTCGCCGCGGCCTGGAATTAGTGGCCAAGGTTTCTTTGAGCCGCAGCCGACAGCTTCCGCGGATATAACATGCATGCTTCATATTCAGTCTCCTTCGATCTTCAAAGTCACATAGGTAGAGAAATCGACATCCTCAAGCAACATCCACACTCTCCATTTACTCCTTTTCAAGGATACAGAGCACACACTGGCTCGGTAACAATATTTGCCAATGCCCTCTTCATGCCGTCCGGTGAGTTGGGCAAGTTATCCGTCCCCAGCATGCACATACCCGTAACCTTCTTAATCGTGCCCATTCTGCCCTCAACCACCTTGCCCAACTTAGCAAGATCATCCGTTTTCATCGCCCTGCGCCAATCAGCCGCCTTGCCCACCTTGACTACATCCAGCAGCGCCAACGGCGCCAAGATAATCCCAAAGATCGCCATGGGCGCATTGTCCTTGTCGTCCACAATATCATACACCCCCATGGCCACCTCTCCCGCGACACCCAGGAGAGCAATAATACGCGCCACGCCCGCCATGGCGGCAATGGATCCCACCACCTCCCCGACGATGGGGACGAAGAACAGCAACGCGCTCAAGAAAGCCATAATGATAGCCTTGCGCTTCTGCTCGTCGATGTCGTGCGCAATCTCCTGGACCTGCTTCATGTTCTCCACGGCCTCGACAACCATGAAGATGGGCAGCGACACGGCATCAATAATATCATCTGCAACGCCGCGGAAGGAATTCATGCGCATATCCTTGACAATACCCGACAACTGGGGACCCAAGCCGTGCAGCTCGTTCTGTCCCTTCGACACAACCTCCTTGGGATTTGTCACGTCCTCCTTACTATACCCCTTCGGCGAAGGCACGCCGTAATCCCAATGCTGATGCCTACAGTCCTTATCCGTGGGCGCACATTCCCAGTAATGAATGTCCTTGAACTCTATATTCTCCTCGGTGATCCCGGTCTCCGTCAGCAAGTCCGCCCAGAACTTTTCCTGCTTCCCCGACTGCCACGTGTAATACACCGACTGCATATACCGGATATGCTCCGGATCGCTATTCCACTCCCCCCGCTGCGAGTAATCCGGCGGACACGGCTGCGTGAAGTTCTTGTACCGAAATTCCGTCGTGCACCCCAAGTCTGGATTGCACACGTCTTCACGGCAGTCGTAGTCCTCGCAGTACCGGCAGTTCTTGTCTACCTCGGGCTGGCTCCAGTCGGATCGGCAGGCTGAGCAGCAGTAAATGGTTTCGGTGACCACGCAGTTCCAGTACTTGTTTCCGTTATCCATATAGAACTTCTCGACTTGTTTTCCTGCTGATCCGACTACAGCGTTGGCGTACGTGTTGAAGCTATTATCGTACCCATCGCGCAGCAGGCCGTCGTATCCGTCCAAGGCGCCCTTGAGAAGCTTGTCTAGAACGTTGAGAGTATATTGCGCTTTGCAATGCTCCAGGATTCCCGCTAGTGCCGCATCGAGCTCTTCGAGTGTGTTGTAGGATGCCGTGCAGGGGGGCAGGGGTTCAGTGTCGGGCAAGTCATCGCCGCTTTGCGAATCCGGATTGGTGAAATCATCAGCATTAGAAAATCGTTGTAGATCAACAGCCCAATCGATGGTTCCGGCGAAGTTCTTGCTCCTCCAGCTGTCGCGGCGCTTCTTCTTGGTGTCAGTCGACATGAAGGCCACCCATTCAGTCTGGTTGTACACCAGGTAGTCTGTGTCTGTCTTCTCATCGTACCAGCTCTTGATGGGCGTTTCCTGGAGCTCTATGATGGCTTTGATCTCGGCATTGGCGATGTATCCACTCGTGCCTGTGCAGCGGCCCTTGGCGGCGAGGGAGTTGGTGCCATCACCCAAGTATCTGCACATGGGGCCATCACATCCGGCTTTGGCCATCTTGAAGGACCGACCGTAGCTTGACTCTCCCACGAAGATCTGGTTGGTCGACACGCCGGCTTTGGTGATCATGGCAAGGGCAATATTGGTCTCCGTGATATTGACGTGGCTGCGAAGACAGTTTCCCTCGGGGCAACCTTCGGTGGCCCATTTGTTGCCCGCATCCCATTGGCCGTGCAGATCGTACGTCATGTAAACGATGTAGTCGATTGTCTTGGCCATTTTATCAATTGGAAATGCCTTGAGGTACCAATAAGACGCAGGCGCCGCTATAGACAGTGTCTTGCCTTGTGGCATCTTTGGCTTAATGATCTCGAGGAACTTCAGGTAGTTTGGACCATCAGATGCCAGGCCCGGAGGAACTCCAGGGATATCAGGGGCACCGGGGTACTCCCAGTCGAAGTCGGCACCGTCCAGCCCCTCTCTATTGAGAAAGTCGACTACATTCTTTGCGAATTTGTCGCGGTTGGCAGGGTCCATGGCCTGTCGCAAGATGTTGTAAGTGGCAGGCTCGGTCGAGTAACCCCAGCCTCCAAAAGAGACGACCTTTTTCACGTCAGGGATCTTCTTGAATTGATTCCACTGCTTATAAGTGTCATTGATGACAACAGTGTAATCGGGTCCGATGTTGGCGAAGGCCCAGTGGATAATTGAGTAGCCGAGTGTGTTGGCGTCCCGGGCGTTCATGCGAAGGCACGGTCGACTCCAACTCCACGACTCGTAGTACCCAACACGACCGTAATTAGGTGGTTTCTTGCTGGTATTGACGATATCCAGGCCGCAGTTGGAGACGCAGCCGTTCTTTCCGGGTGGTGAAGTGCCGGGGTTGTTCGATGGGCCCCTTTTCAAGACGCAAAAGTCGGAGTTGATGCCGCACTGTCCCCAAATGTTGCAGCAGGCGTTAAGGGGGCAGGGGTTGAGTGATGTTCTGCAGCGCCATAGATCAGTATGTTCTGTAGCTTGAAATATGGAATCATAATGCTTGAGATCCAGGAAGGCAAGATGAACTTACAAGTTTTGACCTTTTCCAGGGGGTTGTGATCCAGGCTTCGTGGGCCCGCACAGCGCATTTGAGACCGGTGCAGGCATCGGTGGGTTGCCTTTTGACAAGCAGATGTTCATGCCGGCCATCAAGTTGTAGCATCCGTTCCACTAAGAATGCGCGCACGTTAGCATGCCCCTTTCCAACATGCTAGGGTGGATATGATAATTACTTACACCCCAAGTTCCACTAGACCCGTTATTAAAAGTGTCAATATCTACCAACTTCAAACCATTCGCCGCTGCCAGCGAAGAACAAGTATCACCCGACTTCACCAGATGCGTTGCACAAGTCCCATCAGCGCCCGGCTTGGGCCTCACGTCAGGCAGAGTTCCCGCCGAGCAGCAAACTCGCTGCCCCGGAGCTAATGTGGAGCATAGCTTCGGGTCGCTATTGTACTTCGTAAAATCACTCGTCGAAATACCGCACCGCGATACCAGGGCACCGCACGAGTCTCCTGCAACAACTGTGGTGGTTCGGCAGTCGGCACGAGCATTGAGGGTGTGCTTGGAGGATGTCGAATTATCAGTGATGGGAATGAGTTCTGAGCGTTCTTCGAAAACTGGCAGATCCCTCGTCTCAGTTGTTCCCACGTTGGAGACGCACTTGGCTTCATTCCATGATCTGACCGCCTTTTGGACGTCTCCGATATTGGTAGAGGCGAGCACGCCAAACACGTGATTGGCATTGCGTCCTTCGCCGCAGAGTTGGGCGAGAATACTTCCTGGGGCGGTCTTGGATATTTGATCAGACACGGAGTCAATGACGGAGGAGGCGGTGGCCTTGTTGAATGCGCGTCCGGAGTAGACTCCTATGATGGCGCCGTTGGAGTACCCAAAGAGAACTTTGGTGGCGCAATTACCTGATGGATTTGTCAGAGAGGGTGGCAATGGGACATGGAACAATTGCAGACTCACGTTTATCAGCGAGATGCTTCTGCACCTTCTCCAGAGCGACCAGAAATGCAGTCTGATTACTGGTGTCTGACCCGTAGCTGGAAACCTGCACAGGGACCTTGGACGACTCAGTGGCAACAACACATTTAGGCTCATCACGCGGGGTCTTTTGAGCCGATAATTCTTCCTCTAAGAGTGCATTGGTCGTATCGTTGGCGTCTCCATCGGTGCAGACACGGAGTTTGGTATCGGTGTTGGGATTCAGGACGTCGTTGTAGATAGAAAAGTCCAGCAGAAGCGGCTGGTTACAGACAGCGAGGCGGTCAAAATCTGAGTAAACGGTCCAGTTCTCGGGCTTCTGTCCTGCACAGGAAGCTGGACAAGGCTTCAGCTGAGACTGAAAGGTCTGGGGAGTGTCCAACGGCACATATTCCTCTGCGGTGCTACATTGTAGGAATGAACCCCAAATGACAACCGAAGCCGAGGCCAGGAAGGCCTTGGCCGTCCGCATTTTTCAAAATTGAGTGAGATCAAGGTAGTGAGAAAGTAAGGACTGCAGTTGTTCCCCCTCGAGGCGTACAGATGAAGTGACTGGGTAAGATTTGATAGCATATCACTTCCAGGTTGATGCAAACATGTCTGTCTCTATAAAGAAGTCATTCGATGTGCTTGTAGAACTTCCCCTTTCTCGCCTCAGTCTCACTCAGTCTTGGCGGTCGTAGTGTGGAATTGATGCTTATGTCTTGGCAAGCCAGAAGGAATGGCGCAGTAATGTCCCAATTTCCACCAGGCGGAATTTTCCATGACGAAAGCTGTGGTGCGCGGCTATTGTAACTGCGTGTACTCCATTGCCATTGACCGTTCGCAGAGGAGAGAACACAGTGGTTCGAGATTGAGACATATCACAAGGCATCGACTAGATATCTCAAATGAAGTTCTGCTACTTAAGATAATCGCAAGCTGTCCTAAGTATGTAGGTGATCAATACGAATACGGAAGTTTTGTGAGATCTATGTTAAACTTCTATCGTAGTCCCTATCACTCCACAGCAACCTCTCACCTGCCAATGATTCCTAAATTTGAGAGCATCGAAGGTTACCACCCGATCAGAAACAATATGTTCGCCCTTCGTGGTTTCGAACTTCTCCAAGCGCTTACTGCGGCTTTGGGTTTTAGTGTCCAGATTAGGGGCGGACTGTTGCCAAGCTAGACCGATTGACCCTTTACATCCCACCAGGGGCGAAGTTAAGATGTCTTAGCCCGAGCCCACTTCTGAATCTGCAAAAATTACTTTTCTGGGAACTTGGCTTCCCGAAAAGGCTCTGACTGTACTGCATTCCCGACACTGTTTCAAACAATCAGGGCGACTTGCAGAGAGGCTGAGATAAAGGTCTCGCACACGATGCCGGGTTTAGACTGGAGTATTAGTCCCTCCACAGAATCTGAACTCTTAATTTAGAATTATACTATTATTATCCATTGTTGCTGAACCGCATGTTGTCGTGTCTGTTCAGAGGTATATACTAGTGTAGGGCCTTGGCAAAGGGCATTAATCTTTGACACAAAACAGTCTAGTCAAGGCGCATCAACCAGGTACTTGATATAATTTCGTCTCGTTCACGCAATTTTCATACAATTAGCGAATGAACCCTCCATGTTGTCTTAATATCTCGCATTGCAGCGAGCAGGCCACACTCATTTGCCACCGGGAGACATTCTGTTCTCCAGCCACTCGTTACATTCTACTTGTCACTCGTTTTATTTCTTTTTGCTGCTTTTGCACAGTGTTTCAGTTTTTCAAACCTATAATGAAGTCAGTTTACCTGCTGGTACTATACCAGCTTTTTGCTTCTGTTGTAGCATTCGGCCCAAAGGGAGGTTGGGAGCGGTAAGCAAACACACTTATATACTTTCGCCACTTGTAGCTGCTTATCATTATCAGAGCCACGTACTTTTACGCCTATATCGCCGAAGAAACCCATAAGACATCTGGCTGGAGTGTGGCTCCTAGCTGTGCCAATCCCTCACGCAACGTGAAACTCGTCGATGGCAGCACCATTAAACGATGTTCCTTGGCCGAATTCCTGCACTATATCTGGGCCCCAGACAAGGACGCCGAACCCCCCCAAACGGAAAAAGATCGCCCTAATCTAAACGAAATCAAAGCGAACATCGGCAAGAAAGCCGACACCTTGACCAGCCTGACTCCCGAGAAGCTGGCTCAAGCAATTATGTTGACGGGCATGACGGGGTACTCTGACTCGCAACGCATCATGCCCGGAACTGTCGACTACTACGACACGCTCCGCAACATCGGCGCCCCCATACAAGCCGCCAAGCGTCCCGCCGTAGACCGCGCCCGCGTCAAAGCTCAAGCCTGGGAAACTCGCAATAACGTCCCGCCCGGCACCAACCCACCCGAGGCCTTCCTTACCAAATACGAGCGTGGTATCCTCTGGCGCTGGCCCCAAGACGCCATGGAAGTCGTGACCCACCTCCGCAACAAGGATATGGACAACTACCGCATCAACCAAGGCGGGCTGAAAAGCAAGTTCGGCGGCCGCAACATCGTAACCAAGTGGACGCTAGCAACGAAGACAAGGACGGGACTGACGACTCTGCCCGAGGGGCCGTATAGTACGTTGGATTTTGACAGAACTGTGGCGGCGAATGGGGGAGGGGCCGATATGGAGAGGCAGCTGACCGCTGCGAATGATGCGTATTTGGCTACTAGGGGACATCCTGCGAATCATAACAAGGCGATTAAGTCAGCTGAATTTGCTTTGGCTTCGTTGAACTGTGATAGGAGGGGGAATTGGAATCCGCCGAAGGGGAGGAGGTTTATTACCGATGCAGAGTTGGAGTTTCTTGAGAGGAGAGAGGGGACCAGTGGGTGTGTTGGTGCTTAGCTTTGTTTTGTATATATCATTCAAGTCCTGCATCCGTGGGTCTGTGTGCAGTTACGAGTTCAGGAGAGACATCCTAGTAATATATCTCGTTTACTCTTCAAACCCAATTTTGTTGCCCTCGAGTTGGGGATTAGATCCGCTTCGACGTGGAGATCTGCTCAACCTAATCACTATATTTGGGTTTTACATACCACTGAGAAAAACGGACATGTGCGATTGGAGTCTGTGGATCGATGAGAAATAAAAATGGGTAAGTAGTTGGCCAATTCCGTTGAAGAAATGGGCCGTGGCATTCTCCAGTACAGCCAAAGCTTGACAGCAAAATGCTACTCGCAGCCCAATCGGGTGTCAAATTTTACGTCGGCCGATGTTCTGCATAAAGGTAGGTGCTGGGTCCGATAGCGAGTGACAACCCTCTGTTGGGTTGGCAGCCCGTTGATGACGGTCACATATCCTGTGATCGGGTACTTACTAGGATCGATCAACTTGGTGACGCTATAAGCCGACACTGGGCATTCCGGTATGACGCTGAACCACTAGGGATCCATACCAAATCGGGCAGCTGGGATCTTGTTAGCTTTCAGAATGTCTCATCCACAAGAAGGTCACACGGGGTTCACAAGGTCCTAGAACTTTTGATGCAATCCAATCTTCGCCGAAAGGGCTATAACAGAGCCCCAGGATAACAAGAACTACCTTGCCTGGAAGCCAAAACCACAACAAGATGCCATGAATCCCATGGTCAGAAGCGACCAGTAAATCATGAAATTACACAACCATTTCTAGGGACCATACATATCTTGTGAAATAGTATCAAGAAAAGTTTTTGGGTAGACCGCAGACCCAAACTCCAACCATCCGCGTCAACGTTTGACTAGTCGCCATCATTTCGACCAATTACCTAGAAATCAACAAGAAACGAGAGCGCAAACAGAGAGTGGGTTTGGCCATAAGATCCTTAAATACACAAAGTCACGAATTCAATCCGTCATGATAGACGATGTGGCCCCATTTGACGGGTGATTTTAATCATGCTACATACCAGCGGTGGCCATTGCCAAGGTTTGATGTGCAGGGTCCAATAAGATACGAGTCCCAATTATAGTTATGGCCGCTACTCTGGCTCCGAAAATGACCCTTACCAACCCACTATACTTGGTCAGGTAGATGACGAGGACGACGACAAGGTCAAAAGCTGCAAAGCAGAGGCAGAGAAAAGAAATAAACAGAAAGAGGAGAGCGAAGCGAAAAGCATCTGGAGGATTTTGAAAGATGGTCGACAGCCTAATGGCTTGTATGCTTGGTTTGAACTTATTTTCTCACATGGAGCATTTTGTTTCTGCTACTTGAGGTGAAGGGGAAAATGCGGAGTTGGCGGGCCTTTCTCAGATTAGCTTGGCGTATATTCATTTTATTCACTCATTCGTTATCGAAGTTAGGTGAGGATAGTGGACACGTTGGTAAAGTTCAGAAAAAGTATCAATGAAACATCAGGAGAAGTCAATAGAACCAAGGTAAGGTGCTGCAGGTTATTCTATAATCACGCCGTCCTAATCACAAGCAGTTTCATAGCTTCGTTTGTATTGAACAATTGGCACGTCATCGCTGCCTCAGTCACAAGGTATTTCGTCTCTTCAGTGAAACATCAGAGCGATGATTGGCGTACTAATGAAAGTGAGCGTTTACAGATATTTAACCTAGGACTCATCTGGAGTGACGCAACTTGAATGTCTAATCGCGAGGGACTCAGTATAGTAGTGAATTCTCTCAGATGCGTAAATTTGCAAAATTCTGTAGATAGTAACCCAGACACCCGACGGTTCTATTCCTCCCTTGGGACTCCTTACCGCCTTGGCTATCTTCTACCTGAGTGGGTTAATATGCATATTGCCTTTTCTCTAAGTATCCCTCTCAAAATGACCTTTTCATAACTCACTCTCTCACCAACACCTCTCTGGATGCTACTACTCCCGCGTATTAACAATATCTCATTTATCGCTATCCCTTTCTCTCATCCCTGCCTTTTCTACTGCTACTCTCCTCACGACTTCCGCTTTTATCATCAGTGTTCTCACTAATACCTCACTTGACGACAACTTTTCATCCGATTCGCTTATTATTGTATCATTAAATCTTACGTGGTGACGTAAATACTGATCTCACAATAGGTGGGCCATCGGCTACTGGTAAAATATCACTCTGTATTGCACTAGCTAGGACCATCAAGCTTTCTTGTTGTACGTAATTCGATTGTTAACACTGAAGTTCAACGAAACAAAGGAGGCGAATCATAGCGAAATGTGGATTTCCGCCAAGGCTTATGTGGTTGCACTCACTTAGGTCTGCCCAATACTCTACATGAAATCATGTTTTTTGAAGGCCGCATTATTATCATGGCAGCAAATCAGCCTAAAAACTAGACCGAGCCCTTGTCAGGCCGGGAAGAATCTGCAAGTAGATTGAGGGAACTACGGGTATCATAAGCGACGGTTCTCTAAGGGCACTTCCCCATGAGTTCAGCGCTCATATTCCCCAATGATACGAAAAGGTAGAGGGCCCACTGGTTAGGTGAATCCCATTCAATTAGATACTATAACGTTGCGCACTGCTGCATTATAGCATCCTCCCCCCTAGGTGCACGCATCACCCAACAACTTGACCCTTTCAAATTTAGGAATACCTGCTGGATCACCGCGCTAATCCTACCCAGGCAATTCTTGAGAACTCGACTTGTGATGAGAAGGAAATCATAAGAAGTGCGCTGAAAGCCAGCCAAGGCGGATGTGGAACTCGTCTATACCCCAATAGCGGATGAGGGAAAGGGTTTGATCTTGACTGGATCTTACAAGGGCAGGGATCAATAAACGGCGCACACCCAAGGGTGGAACACTAAGGGATAGCCTGATATTCGAGTGTAACAAAATCATATAACGAATTTACTCCACTGAGTCCATCATTTATTGTACTTCGCTTGCTTGTATAGATATCAAAATCCTTGCATGAATCGTACCAGATGGGTTGATCATCAGAGTTCAGGGAACTTATTTTCAGCCCTAGGGATCTAACCCACCCTGGTGCGGCATGATTCTCGTTAGGTTGCCTTCCCGCAGTACCTGGCAACGAGGATCATCGTCCGAGGACATAGGGTGAAATTCAAACTTAACTTCATTTTCTGCACTTCAACATTTTTAGTACGGAAACGGCCTGCTGGAAGTTCGGTTCTTCATGTTCGGAACCCTTTCAGCTGCGATATACCACGGTGCTACGTATTTAACGGCTAGCAGCAGCAGATTGATGCTGATGACTAAAAACAACGAAGGAATGGACCATGAAATGCCAAGCGTGGCACTGCGCCCGCATGGTAGTATAAACGGGGGCTTATATCTTTTAGGCACATGCGAGGGCGTTATTTGGAAGCTGAAGTGTTCCTTAAAAAAGCCTTGTACTTCCCTAACAGCTGTTGGACATATCAAGACTCCAAAAGCGCCAACGCGCGCCCCTCATTTGAAGCTTTTGGTCGTTCCCTCCACGTTTGCGAGAGTCAACCATCGTATCATTGCCCAAGCTTCATATCTTTTCAACCAGACACCTATTAATTTGCTTTCTTGCAGGTATATCACTCAAAATCAACAGAAAACATCTGGCATACACAGCAATAATTCTGCACTGCTTTGCCCTTCCAATATTATTCTCCTCCATAGTCCGCTTCGCGATGGCTTACCAACCGCAAACACCCATGCAACCCATACAGCCCGCTCAGGACCAAGCTGTCATGGGCGGCAAGTGGCAGCAGAATCTTTGCGACTGCTCGCCTGCGAGTCCTGCGTTATCAGCACTTTCATTCCATGTCTCCGTAAGCCTCGAATCACCCCAACAAATTCGATCACTATCACGTGAATCTAACCCCGCCAATAGTTGTTGGCCAAACCGCAGATCGTCTGCGAGACCCCACGATGCAGACAGCTGAAGCCTTGAACACCGAGTGCCTAATTTACGGAGGCCTGCTATTCTTCACCGGCTTCCATTGGGTCTACCTAATGTTAAAGAGAACCGAAATCCGCGAGCATTTTGGCATCCCTGGCAGCACAGTTGAAGACTGCTGTACTACCTACTGGTGTCATTGCTGTGCTGCCATTCAGCAAGATGGCGAGGTCAGGAAGCGGATCCCCATCAGTGGGCCGATTCAGCAGGGATGTCATACAAATAAGGCCGGGATGCTGATGCCTCGTCAGACGGGCCACTCCAACATGCCGTAGTAAGGGGCTAAATTTTTGGGGATAAAAGGAAGAGAATTAGTGGACGCAAAGTGAAAAGACTCGGTCGGTTGTGTTGATGCCCAGAAAGACGTGGAGGCTAAGGCTCCAGGTTAGGTGATGGTGAAGATCGACGAACTTCGCGATATTGGCGCGGCTTTAGTATCAAACCTTCCTTGTAATGATAATCAGCATAGGTTATGGCTAAAAGTGGTGAATATGAAGTCTCCCTGAGCCTCATTTGATCAATCTTCTCGATTATGTGTGCCAGCACATCTGTCCAGGTAATGACCATAACAGGGCCATAACATGTTTTCCTTAGCAACGTCTTCTCCTTGCTTGTATTTTATCTAGGGTGACGCATTTATATGTTCTATACCATTGAGCATGAGCTCTAAGATCACTAATTGTTGTCTATATCGCCATGTAAGGGCAGGCAGAACGCATATTCGGAAGCCTGAGATCTACAAGTAGTTGATCATAGCTTTTGACATAACTTACACTACTCGTTATAATAGCATCATCGGCACGAAAGGAACACTGCCAGTATGATACCGCAGATATGCTTACTCTTAACCCTCGTAGCAGCATACAATGGCAGCTCCTAATTTGTTTCCAATCAATCCAACGCTTCACAGCCACCAAATCCGGTATTTGCAACTTGCCCAGCATTGTAAGTCTGGTCATCTTCTCCCTCGTAGGTGGTGGCCTTGTCATCGCCGTAGAATACTATACGCCATTCCTCGTCGTCTCCTCTGTCATCACTGCCATGAGAGCTGGCACGATAAGCACTCTCAAAACCAGGGAATCACGCTTGATACTGTAGAGCGAGCTGATATCACACAGGAGATGCTATCAAAAACCGATTGTGACGCTTGGCAGCTATGGCTAAGTCAAAGCCGCCGCAACTATAGCTTAATCACACTCACAATGAAGACAGTGAAAACGCCAGTGGCTGTTACAATTTGCTGGCACTGAGAAGCATACTAAAAATACCAAATGACAGGGTGACACTGTCAAGGCCACGTCCAGGGGTGGAGGACTCATTGTGAGGGTCTGTCCGGATCTAAAACCAGGTTATCACATCATCTTGAGTAGCATAACCTTGAAAACAACAATCTCCATAAAATATAGTGAAGACCTGCCACTTAGAAACCCCTCTGCGTACTAAGTCAAGATGAGTCGCGTCGGACCGCACCAGCCGTTGACCCGTAACGGCCGTTTTTTCCTCTTCCGGCTACAAGAGCCGGTTGACAGGATGTTGGACCCTGTACCCCAAATTCTATTGTGTATCAGCCACTGTTATGCTCACACATGATGAGCACTCTCAAAATGTGCAAGCCAAGAGGCACGTTTTCCTATATTGAAGGCCCTTGCGGCCACTTTTTCTCGTTCTATCCGATAAGTTACTATATTTTGCATTCATAGCAGAATTTTCAGGCCTTGCTTTGTACTGAAACTTAGTGAACGAAAAAGAAATTTGATCTGATGCTAAAGTTGGATTTTCGAAGTTTGGTCTGGGGTTTGGATGGTCGAATTTCTAGATTCACCAGTTGAATTTCCACCAACTTGAGTGCAAATGTGGTCTCCACTGCAGGGCATTCAAGCATGTAAAACTCGACCCCAACAGGTGTCTGCGGTCTCACGAAAGGGAGGCGAACAAGAAGCTATCGCGACTCATTCAATGGGGATAGGGATAGAAAAGAGGAACATAGGATTTATTGTCCAAAAGTTATTTCATTATTTCAATCTGCTCCATTTCATTTTCACTGTTGCAACTTGCACTATTGCACTGAGTACTGCTGAAACTTGCGAACAAGGACTGAGTACTTGATGTAGCAATTTAATACTATGAGATAACCTAGGAATGTAGTGGGTCCAAGAGGCATAACTATTAGATCAAACATATGTAAATTCAAGTAAAAGCTGATGCTATTCTCCTGACTATACTAGTCTTCATGCTTACTACTGCCTAAGTATCTAGACGAAGGTACTTGGTGAAGAAGTACTTTAGCGGTCCGCACTAAGCCGAGTCTGTGGCGCGTGCGGAAGACGTGCCTCCGCTGCGCTAAGAGCCACCGCTGGGACGAGATTGATGATACGCTGATCCCGAAATAGTGAAAACAGCTTGGGAATTATTTACGATCCTCATCTCTGTCGAGGAAGCATGTAGATGGGCCGATGAGCTTCATTCGGGCGAGCTGTGAGCCCTCCCTCACTCATTCAATATTCCATTATATTTTATCCTTCCGTCAGTCACCAGACACCAGCAGGTGCCGCCCACGGATTGTCGGCACGTAGTTCCTAAATCTGCAGTTTTCAGACTGATGATGACGAAAGCCTATGGATCCCCTCTCCAATTAGCCCGCCTATCTCGGTCACACTTGCAGAATATACTTACTACACGAGGATGGTTTCCCTGTACGATGACCTCTTGTGGGGAATGCGGTGAATACTAGAGCCTCGGCGCGTGTTCTGCCGCCTCGACTGTTGCCGACGATTACAATCACGAGATATTCCGTCCTCCTCAAGTAGGGATTTAACCATCTACCCCTCCTGTTCTTGATTCAATTGCTCTTTCGTCTCTCTGTCTCCTTAGTAGGATTTCATACTGCGCAGTTTGTCACCCAATTGCTCCCTCAAAAGCTCCAGGGATACTCATCTACCCCGCCACAATCATCCCGCAAGAGCCTCCAACAATCTCCGCCTCCACGATGGAGCCCCGCACCGTGATCCCCATCGACAGGAATTGGGAGTTCAAACAGGCGGACAAGGAGGACAGCAAATATCTGCCCGTCAGCCAGTTTCCGACTCATGTGCACCTGGACCTTATGCACCACAAGCTCATACCCGATCCCAACATTGGTAAGAATGAGTTGGAAGTACAATGGATTGGCGAGGCCGTCTGGGTCTACAAGACGACGTTTTCGTCGCCGACAGTCGAAGAGTCTGCTAAAGCAGTCTTGGCCTTCGATGGATTGGATACCTTTGCCACCGTGGTGCTGAATGGGAAGACAATCCTTGAGACCGAGAACATGTTCGTTCCTGAGCGGGTAGACGTGACAAGCGAATTGAAAAAGGACAGCGACAATGAGCTGGTCATAACTTTTGACAGTGCATACCTGAGAGGGTGGAAGCTTGTTGAGGAACATCCTGATCATAAATGGGGTTGCTGGAACGGGGATAGTTCACGGCTGGCTGTTCGAAAATCTCAATACCACTGGGTAGGTCTTGCTCGCACTCACCACGTAAACAAATGTCATGAAACTGAAATTTTCAGGGCTGGGACTGGGGCCCAACGCTTCTGACATGCGGACCCTGGAGACCTATCAATCTCGAAGTCTACGAGTCAAGATTGACCGATCTGTGGTGCGACATCAATGTCGACAAGTCGCTGAAGGCTGCTACAGTAAAAGCCTACACCTCAGTCGAAGGCAAAGCATGCAAGATCCGATTTGATGTTTTATTGGGTGGGAATTCTGTAGCCAGGCAAGAAGTCGATGGCACGGATGCAACATTCACGGTCAGCGATCCTGAGCTCTGGTACCCAGTTCGATACGGGAAACAGCCGTTGTACACAGTCAAGGCCACTCTGGTGGACGCCGGCAAGGATGTCGACTCGATTTCGAAAAAGATCGGTCTGAGACGAGCTGAGCTTGTTCAACGGCCTCTGAAAGAGCAGCCCGGCACGTCGTTCTTCTTCGAGATCAACGGCATACCAATATTCTGCGGTGGCAGCGACTGGATCCCCGCAGACAACTTCATCCCCCGAATAAGCCGAGAGCGATACTTCGATTGGGTCAAGCTTGTGGCCGAAGGGAATCAGTTCATGATTAGAGTATGGGGAGGCGGTATTTACGAAGAGCAAGATTTCTATGATGCCTGCGACGAGTTCGGAATTCTTGTATGGCAAGACTTCATGTTCGGCTGTGGCAACTACCCAGCGTGGTCCGGATTCCTTGATTCGATCAAGCGTGAAGCCGAAGAGAATGTCAAACTGCTGAGACATCATCCTAGTATCGTAATCTGGGCTGGAAACAACGAGGATTACCAATACGCCGAGAGCGTCAACCTGACATGGAAACAAGACGACCACGACGCCGAGGGCTGGCTAAATACCGACTTCCCCGCCCGTTACATCTACGAGAAGATCCTCCCCGACACGTGCGAGAAGTTCACCCCCGGGACATGTTACCACCCCGGCAGTCCCTGGGGCGGCGTCGACACGCACGACCCCACAGTAGGTGATATTCACCAATGGAACGTCTGGCACGGTACTCAAGAAAAGTACCAAAACTTCGACAAGCTCGTCGGCCGTTTCGTATCCGAATTCGGCATGGAAGCCTTTCCATCCGTCAAGACCATCGACGCCTTCCTACCACTGGGCAAAGACGACCCTGACCGCTACCCCCAATCCTCCACCATCGACTTCCACAACAAAGCTGATGGCCATGAGCGGCGCATCGCGCTCTACCTCGTAGAGAATATGCGCTACGCCCCTGAACCCTTGGAGCAGTTTGTCTACTGCACCCAACTGATGCAAGCCGAGTGTCTAGCGTCGGCCTACCGCCTCTGGAAGCGACAGTGGAAGGGCCCCGGCCGCGAGTACTGCTCCGGAGCGTTGGTGTGGCAGATCAACGACTGCTGGCCCGTCACGAGCTGGGCTATCGTGGATTACTATCTCCGACCTAAACACGCCTATTTCACCGTAAAGCGAGAAATGGCGCCCCTGAGCGTCGGCATGACGAGGAAGGAGCACAAGCACCCCCGGAACAAGTACACGCGCGTCGACATCGAGACTACGATCCAGATCGAGGCGTGGGGGTCGAACTTGACGCTCGAGGATCTGACGGTGGACTGTGTGGTCAAGGCGTGGGATGTGGAGACGGGTAAGGAGACGTATTCCAAGACCATAGCGGAGGGGCTTGTGCTGCCCAAGAATCAAAGTACGGAGATCTACGCTATAGATGTGCCCGCGACGCACAAGGGCGATGAGGGCAAGACGGTTGTGGCGACATACTTGGTTCAGGACGGGAAGCAGGTTGCGAGGTATGTCAATTGGCCTGAGCCTTTGAAATATCTCCACTTGCAGAAACCGGAGCAGCTCAAGGCCGAATTGACTGCCGACTTCAAGTTCGTGGGGATCAGTGCCGAGGTTCCAGTGAAGGGTGTAGCTCTGGAGTGTGACGACGAAGAAGTCAAGTTCGAGGATAACTTGGTGGACATTGTTCCAGGTGAGACCGTCAAGATAGCCGTTAGAGGGGCCAAGGAGTCGAGCAACATCACGACACGATATCTGGGGATGATATAGATGCGATCACCTGAAGACTCGGTCGAAGGAGTCGTATATACGGCATAGAGAATTTAGGGTTCTTTCAAGACTACAAACACCACAAGTCGACAGACAGCCTCTCCAATGGGCCGTTGCTATGCAACTGGATAGACCCAATATACTTCGTTCAATCACCCGTAACACCTTGATCCCTCTCACAAGTCATACTATCGTCAACCCCGCGCTCAACAACCTGTAGGCAAATTATGACGCTTTATATCATCCCCTGGTGCAAATAGACCCTCGAGCCTACGTTTCTTGACATTTGGACGAGGAGCCATGCCCGGCTCCTTCGCTGTAGTAGCCACTCGGCCCTCCTAGAGCTTCTCATTTGGCCCTGCAATCAACACCTTAATGACTTGCCCCTCCTTGACCTTCTCAAACGCCTGCTCAGCGTCCTTGAACGCCACAGTTTCGCTGATCAACTTTTTGACATTCACCTTGCCGCTAGCAACCAGCTCAACGGCCAGCTTGTAGTCTCCACTGCCGTATCGGAACGAGCCCTTGGCCGTTACCTCCTTGAGACACAACTCCATAATGGGGAAGGTGATATCGGACTTGCCCATACCGCCCTGCACATACGTACCGCCCATGCGCACCGTATGCAGCGACGTCTGGATCGAGGGTTCCGCCCCAGAGGCGTCAAGAACGACATCTGCACCCTCAGGAAGCCCACACGTTTTTTTTATGTTGGCGGCGTTCTCTGCGGCCGACACACGTTGCGAGATGTACGTGTGGGTGCTGGAGAATTCCTTGGCGAACTGGAGCTTTGAATCGACAATATCGACTGAGCACACCTTGGTCGCGCCAAATGACCTCGCCACCGCCGCGCAGAAAAGTCCTACAGGGCCGGCGCCCATGACCACTACGGACTGTCCCGGCGTGATAACAGCCTGGCGTACGATGTGCACCGCGACAGCAAGGGGCTCGATCAGGGCTCCCTCCTGCAGACTTACGTGCTCGGGCAATTTGAAGCAGAAATCAGACGGCGCAACCCAGAAGCCCGTCAGTGTGCCGTCGTGGGGCGGGGTAGCCGCGAACCGCATCTCGGGACAGAGGTTGTAATGCCCGCTGAGGCATGGCGGGCAGCGACGGCACGGGTATCCGGGTTCGATGGTGACGCGGTCACCAGCTTTGAGACTGGTGACGGAGGAGCCGACTTCGACAACGGTGCCAGCCGATTCGTGGCCCAAAATCATAGGTTTCTTGACAGCGAAATGGCCAATGGCGCCGTGCTGCCAGTAGTGTACGTCGGAACCACAGATTCCAGTATAGTTAACAGCGACGAGGACATCGTGGGGCCCGGAGAGGGATGGCAGGGGGCGGTTGGCGAAGCATAGATCCTTTTGCTTGTTGAGGATGAAGGAGAGGTTCTGTGGGTGGTCATGTTAGGTTGGTGGTGTTGAGACGCGAGGACGAAGAGCCTTACACTGGCGGACTTGGGATCCATGACGGTTAAGGTAAGGGGAACAAATATAAAGTTTGAGGTTCAGATAGATAAGGAGAAGATTGGATGGAGGATGTGACGACCAGAATGTTGACTTCAAAAGGCGGGTTGAAAATGGAAACCAGAAACGACAGCAGTTGAAAACTCCTATCTGCAGGAAAGAAGTGGAATCCGTCCTTACCTATTGTGCCGATAGTCGGATGAGTATCAGCAGGTGCCTACAGTGTCCGGTTCTGTTGACGATGATTCGACATGGTGTAGCTCTCTTGCCGTCCCAATTGCATTCACGATCGTAGGCTGCGTCGATGCGGGGCAACGTAAAGTCGAGCAGTTCAATACCCCCCCACCAGAGGGTCGACACTTCAGCAGTAACGATGGAGCTTTTGTCGGGATCCGGCCATGCAAGAGCCACATTTAACCTTTATCCATATAATTTAGCCGCACCAATCAGAAAGCGGGTTGCCCCAGCTTACACCAGTGAAGACTGGGAAACCGCTGCAAGCCTTCTAACGAGGATCGTGCTACCCGAATCTCCATCGTAATTTCGAGATTCAGACGGCCTTCACTAGAATATGGAGCACGAGGCTCGCTAACTAAAAGTTAGCGCTAACATTTGTCCTCACTGTGCTAGAATCCATTGGCAATCTCACCGACACCCGACATCAGGACAGCCACATTGCAAATACTCCTAATCCAGGAAATTTCTCGCAAGTCTAGAATGGACGTGTCTCGTCCACAAGACAAGAGACCTCGAATAAATGGGGTATTATAGTAGGTACCTCTAAGAGTTCATTTAGAAGTAATGTAGATAATGTGGGATTGAGCACCACAGTTGTGCCCTAGGCCGAAGGCGGTACAATTGCTAGTGTAGATAGTGGGCCAGACCCTTCCTTCCTCCCAGAGAGAATAAGAGCACCTTATAGAGCCTCTAAACACCAACCTACGTAGCACAACGTATAGAGTAGGTATAGCGATCAACATGACATGCATCCAGAGTCATCAATCGAGGGCCGATTCTGTCAAGAATCGGATTTTAATTATATACGACCAAGGGAAAGATACGAGTAAAGCCCATTGTTATCCCTCAGATCTACTCTGTCGTCCGCTCGAATTGATTATTATTATTATTATTAAATACGCCGTAGGCTCGAAGCCCCCGGTACCTCTACTAGTACTCCCGTATGTCAAACCGTGCCCTAATGGCTGGACTAAATACATACGCTGCGTCGTCGGTTCGCCCTATTGGCGACTGCGTTGCGTTCACTACCATACTACGTTGGTTCTCAACCTACCAACAAAGTCCCCCCTGAGAAGATCGATGCTATCTGGGCCTTGAAGCTGTCCGACCCGTCCCTAGCAGCCATCTTACAATAGTCCCACTAACTACTGGTTCTCCTGTTGCCGTTGCGAGGTCTCTGCGAGAGTATAGTGGCCGTGGTGCGATGGCGGCCCGTAATCGTTCCCTCGGTCCTTCCAACAGCCCGCAAAAGAGGATTACGTGCTCTGCCGTCTCAGGGGCATCGCCACAGCGGCATAGCGGCGAGTACACGCCAAAAGCCCCTGTCTTGAATAAGAAGGCTGCTAGTCCTATTTTTTCCGTCCTGATCTGGCACAGCGTAGACGCCTCCAGTCGGTTCAGGCCGAAATACTTGCCCCCTTTCGGTATCTGCATCGAAGGGCCCTCCGGTTCCTCAGCGATAGCGCGTCGCTGGCGATCGTGATGCTCTGCTCCGGTGAGCCATCTCTTCCTCCAGTGGTCGAGGAGGGCAGCCGGGACCTCCTTTTCCTCACTCATCCACTCGGAGCCCCGGGCCTCCTTCTCCATAGTGTACCCTGCCGGTCGGAGTAGCTGCGACGCCTGCTTCCTCTTCGCCGGCCTATCCTGCCGGAGTATATGTGACGCTTTAGCGCTCGCGCTGCGAAGCAGATTTCTCTTCCCGCTAAGCCGTAGCCGTTCTTCAAACTTAGCAGCCCGGGCACTAAGATAGAGGTCTAGTGGCGGGATTGCTGCTTCTGCTTCCAGGTGGCGAACCGGCGTCGCTTTGTGGGCACCACAGACTACCCGGAGGCACTCGTTCTGTATCCCCATCAGGCTCTTAGCTGGCCCTGCCGGTTCCTCACTTATAGTATGCCACGCAGTCGCCCCGAAGGCAATCGCGCTACGGATAACCACCGTATATAACAGCCTCGCCCGTATAAGATCGCAGCCCCACGACATATTGACTAGCTTTGTCAGGGCTAGCTTTTGAGTTGCCATTTTTGTTTTAACACGCTCAACATGGGCGTGCCACGTCAGTTTGCGGTCGAACTAATAATAATAAATGTATTGGGAAAGGATGGCCAGGTCAGCTATTCTGGCCTGGCAGAGCTCTTTTATAGCTCTTATCTATCTTGTCTGTAGCTACAGGGTAACCCCCAATGGGGTCACGTATCATAGCAATAATTTTGGAAATATATGAGACAGTTCAAATTGAAGACCAGGAATGGTGAGAGCAGTGGATGTTGTAGGGCCGTTGGGGGCCAAAGCCCCCAATACTTGAAATGCGGCAAGAACCCCGTGAGATTTGAATAGCTTGGTAAACACAACTCGTAGTAATTAATAATAACGAAGATGAACTGACAGCGAAGGTCTGATTTTCCTTAACTTTTGAATATCATGATCCCTCCATCAATTTACTGCTTGGATGTCCAAGCAGATACACGCGTGTGCCGGGCTGGGTCGGCGACTCCGTTTCACGGTGTATCGGCATGTAGAGACTTGGGAGGCGTAAACGCCAACCATTCAAAGGTAATTTGCAATATTCCAGGGACCCCAAGATATCCACCTTTTAATTAACATCTTTACATATGCTAAGACAGGATCAAATTAGAAAGAAAGCGACATAATTCTAGCGTGTTAGGCGCTTTAATCGTAACCCGAATTAAGCGTCCGACGCGCTGTCTAACTCTGTAATATGCCTCGTGTTGGAAACTGAGGCAGCATAGGCAGTGTGGGAGTGATACCTTGCTGGTTAAGGCACTGAGGTTCAATTAACTAGAAGCTATCACCATTGGCATGTTAGTTGATTTCTGAGGAGTCTTTACGTCATGACTGAGTCGGGCCTTCCATCTTAATCACAGTAACAACCTCCCACCGGAGCTGTTAACCACAGAAGTCACCACCTTGTACAATTCTAGCTAACCTATAACGTGGAATAGTACCTCGATGTGTCAGATAGGGCACCTGGTTCCTAGGTTCAGAAATACTATGGCACTAGAGAAGACTATTGTCACTTAAAGTTCAGAAGGCGAAAGGAACCCCCTTTTCTCAAAAGTAACACCAAAGTTACTGTCCACTTAGGGGTCAGATACCTGAACAATGTACCTCCGACATGTTCTAAAGAATCTATAAAAGACAGAGCAACGGGAGTTCGAGAGGACAGAGAACGATACACCTCATTAATATACAATCTTACGCACTTCTGACTACTCGATTGGACACACGTGATATTCGACACGATGCGATAGTCGATGATTCAGTTGTAAAGATGCATACTAGTGAGACGACTCCGATTAGTCTGAATTGATTTTTCTGTTATTTTTAAGTTATTGAAGTTATCCGTACCGTGCCAAGACAAGGCGGCGAACTTGCTCGTGGGGTACGGGTACGTTATCTCATTTTAAATATATAGTAGTATACCCTCTTCTAGGGCCTTGATAACCTTCGTGTTGGGGTAAAGCGGTCCCCACCTTTGGGTCTGCCGTAATTAATGGGTGACGTACACCTCCCAGGGATTATATTTGTTAGTGCAGTGACTTACCAGGGTCCTGGCCAGTGCACTTAACCCTTTTCGGTCAGAAGTCACTTTTCTAGTAATTTCTATGGAAAGGAACCTCCAATACAAATTGGCACCCAGTACGACAGCAAGACAGCACTGCAGCCCTACAGTACCTTTGACAATGACTTTAGATCTTATTCGTGCCCCCGCGAGGTATACGTATTAGCAGTTTATTAAACCCTTCAACTCTAACAAAGCCTCGACAATACTGTACCGAACTTACGTGCGATGAATGGATCGAAATTCAAGCTCTTCGCAAATAGGCTAAGTGATCGTACGACGATATCGCTATGAAGACACCCTACTCATATAGACAAGTCTAATAGTCTTGTAATAAACCAGTCACACCTTAGCAGAACAAGCTAGAGAAAGCTATAATCAGGACCCCCTAAAAGGCATAATTACAGCAATAGTTCTATGAGAACAACGAATATGTAAGGTGACAGCAAGCCTAGACTATCACGTCACATAGACCAAAAGATCTAGTAATTCTGTCACTTAGTGACAGAATTGGGGCTTAACCCTGCTTATAGCTCTGTATTCCCTTACAGAATACCGCTATATTCCTTGTGTGACGGTTGTCACGTGATTGACCTATACTGGTCTGAAAACATTGATAAGTGGTTGCAGATACCAAAGTCAGGGACTTCGGTATTGGTCTCTTTTGGTGAAGACATCTGGTACGGTGGCGTAGTGGCAAGGATTGCAACCCCTAGCGCGGCGTGACACCTTGGTGTGATCTCCGATTCTTTTTACCGTCTAGTCTCTCAGGATATGACTACATAGTATTATAGCGGCGTTAAGGTTACTAGGCTATCGAAGAGCTATTCGGCTCCGAAAAATCGACCTCTCAGAAATAACTAGGCGTAATAAGGTTTCCTTTGCTAAGAGGTTACATTGTCTTAAGCTAAATCCAGAAGACTAGGATGTGGTCTTGGTTACAATTCATGATACAGAAGACCTAAATACCTTTGCTCTCTTACATAGGTGTAACAACTGTCACGACCTGGGTTGCATCGCATTGGTAGAGACCTCGATTAGGTGCTATCGACGAAGATTCTACTCTAAGGAGCGAAGGAAAGAAGATGACAACTTAGGTTTGAGGGAGCGCGACTAAGTCATCCACGCTTGGCGGGGCTCCTACAAGGGTTATGATTGGCTTCCCATCTGACACTGCCATGGCAGGTGTTCCAGCTGTAAGTCACCTGGTTGTAGTGAGTCTGCGAGGGTTGACCTTCACAACAACAGATACAGATTTGGGGAAGGCCAGGCACAATCATAAATCCCTAACGCCAGTAGTAATTGAATACAAAGAAGTAAACTTGCCCCCCTAAGTTTCCATGGTGTCTTGAGCACCATCTGAAGGGCCTGGAAGGTTTTTATGAAACGCCAATGGACCGGCATGGTTTCGCCCGCCTATCCGGGGTAACTGTCGAATATCACGTGTGTCCAATCGAGTAGTCAGAAGTGCATAAGATTGTATATGAATGAGGTGTGTTCTTGTCTGTGTTCTATTCTCGCGAACTCCCGTTGCTCTGCCCTTTATAGATTCTTTCGGAAATGTCGGAGGTGCATTGTTCAGGTGTCTGACCCCGAACTTCGGAGTTACTTTCGGGAAGAGGGGTTCATTTCGCCGTCTGAACTTCAAGTGACACTAGTCTTCTCTAGTGCCATATTATTTCTGAACCTAGGAACCAGGTGTCCTATCTGACAGTAACCCCACATCGAGTCCCTTTTGTTGTCATACCCTGACTTTTGTGACAGTACGACACCTCACGGCTGGATGTTCTGGGGCTAATCTGATGGTAGAAAAAAGGGACCCTGTTTCTTTTAGGAAAAGGAATTCGGAGGAATAAAAGCACAGAAGTATTTCAACTATATACTTCCTCTCATCCACAACTTCTTCCAAAATAACCCAGAACTCCGATTTGAACCCCATTGAAAATGTATAGGGTTGGATTAAGTCGAATTACGATTGATGCGAGTGCATATGGGGTGTGAATTGTTGTATTGGGAAAGGATGGCCAGGTCAGCTATTCTGGCCTGGCAGAGCTCTTTTATAGCTCTTATCTATCTTATCTATAGCTATAGGGTAACCCCCCATGGGGTCACGTATCAACGATATTCAAAGCCTTCCTAACAGAAGAGCTCTGCGTAGGAATTCAGAGAGCGTGGAAAGCGATTCCAGAAGACTGGCTTTTAGAGGTAGCCTATTCAATGCCTCGAAGCCTCCAGGTGGTTATCAACAGAAATAGTGAAGGTACTGGGTACTAGAAAGTGCTGGAAAATAGGTGTAAGTAGATGTCTATGGGCTTGACTTAATTTGGAGTAGTGTATCTTGGCATGTACCAAATTAACAATTATAATCCCTGGGGAAGTGTAGAATCCTTATCAGCACGACGATCTGACCACGAGTTTAATTATATTATATGGCACGTTTCTCCCCTGGCCCAGCCAGGTGGATTCATCAACCGTTGAACGGAGTGCAGCAAACCTTAATCTAATTCTCTTCCCCAGCGTCTAAATTGCACGTGGCACAATATCTGCTTGCTACTAAGTGACACGAACCACCAGGCAAAGTTCTGACAAATTGTTACCTTTGCCGCTGCCCTCGCCTCCAGACGTAGAAGGGATCATGTGGCATGACTGCATATGCAGCACTCAGCTGCACCGCTAGCTTCTCCTCCCAGGATTCGGCAACCGGGTTTCTGGGTGGATCGCGGGTGCGGCCAGATTGCGTAACAGTTCTTATTTGTATCCATCTGTTTCTTGGCATATCTTACCATCCTCGTGGCCCAGCGTACTGGACTGTTTGCGGCTGAACAGAATCGCAACGGCAAGGGTTCACAACGGTGTCGATTCTCAGACTTGACGAAGAGGCGCTAGCACACGAGGCTGTCATAGGTGCGGCGCTATGTGCCTTGATACCGACCCATCTCAAGTGGATTTTGAGCTGTTCCGCGTCTTCATCTTCCGATCCGCCATCTCGTTCCCGCGAAGCTCTGTCTCGCCCATTTCAAGGCGCTGTGCCTGAATCAGGCTCTCGCTCCATTCTCTCGTTCCAACCCGTCGTCAAGGATCGCGAATCCAAGATGACTACCAAAACCAATCAGTCCCATGCTGGCTACCAGCATGTGCAGAACTCAGGCGTCCCCGAGTACATCCCGCATGATCAAAAGAGTCCAGGTCCATACTCACACGGCCAACAATATGAGTTCAACCACTCCTCCGAAGAGAAAAGCAGTCATATCTACTACTCTACCAGTCCAGGAGACGGCACGCCCTACTCAACCACGCCGGCTCGCACGTACTCCCCGGGTGAGAAGATGGGTGATGCCTATGAACTGCTTTCGTACCCAAACTCCAACATGAACTTCCGCCGCACATCGACGTTTTCCAAAGAGAAGCCTAAGAAAGTGTTGCAAAAAGGGTTCGGGTTTGCTGCCTACCTCATCCACATCATCACGCTCGGCATCTCGGCCGCCGTCCTCCAACTCAGCTTCCGCTTCGTTTACTGGTCCGACGATGACAAGTGGAACGAGAACAGATGGACGCTTGGTTTAAGTCAGGAGGAGGTGTCCAACATGCTGCAGTTTCCTGCCAAGATCCATGAGATCTTCATCGTTACTTCCATGTCGGCTATTATCTTCGCCATTATTCGCAGGATGCTCATTGGGCGCCGAGGTGTTCCCTTTGGCCTACTCATGGGCGGCTATCAGATCTATTCGGCTGAGTACCTGTTCAGCTCGGGCTTTTGGGGCCCCTTGACTTATGCAATGTGGAAGAAGAAAATAGGCATGCTGGCGCTCAGTGCTTTCATTGGTATTGCAATCGTCTATGCCAACGTCGTTGGTCCATGCTCAGCTGTTCTCGTCGTACCAAGCCTGAAATGGTGGCATGTCCCGGATCCTTTCGATAGTCGCCTTCTTACCTCATATGTCACTGGACCTGCGACGAACGTGTTTCCTACGGAACTCACCTCGGCCGACGCTACGTGGTACAGTGATGACTGTTCAACATCTAACTTGACCTCGGTGTGCCCTGGAGGGGGCACTCACGATATCCGTGAGTTGGCGCACGCTTACGCAAAAGAAGGGGTCCCGCCTACCATCAGCATGGCCGCGACTTATGGTCGAGCTCGAAGGAACCTGTGGGCAACTCATTTCAAAGATACCGCCAGTGTGAACAGTAGCTCTGTCGTCATGGCATCTACAGTACATGCTGACATAATCGAACTGGTTGGCCTTTTCTGGCATTACGTTAACTCCAATGACGGTATCGGTTTGATCAATGAAATTGGACGGCCCCGGCTCACACCCAGGAAGGGTGACAAAATCTTCAGTCCAATTGTTCAGGTCCAGTGCGAATCTGTTGACTACTACCTGGCTCGTGAGGGGTCCGTAAACGTAACCTTTCCAATGCATCTACTCGACGGCTTCACCCCTACCCCGGATATGGCTCCCGGCGCATTCGCGCCTCCCGTGCCTGCCATGTATTGGGATTTCGACCATGCCTACAATTCCACCAACTTCACCTGGATCGATCTGCAAAACATGGAATGGGAGGGGCAGAAATTGTATAGTAGCATCGCAGCTTTGACAAGCCTTCCTTATATCACGCCCTATACCAATGACGAGGGGTTGGTTTGGTTTGAACAATCATCGTTGTTAGTGACCTGTGTGCTAGACGCACGCTGGGCGGGAACGGAGATCGCATACGACCCCGTAGTGAATGATCTCGTCATAACCAACATCACCAACCTTCTCAATTTCCAGGATGCTTCCAAAGATGAAAAGGTTCGGGCAAAGTATGGAATTGGGTCATATATCCCCATCGGCCCCCCGTGGGCGGATTTGCTCAACCCCGCAGGCATATGGTCTTGGTCCAAGAACTACACCGAACTCAACGAACTACCAGCTATTGAGGCCATCTTCTCCCAGTTTACCACCTCTGGGTATGCTAATATAACCGTCTCTGGTCAAGACCCATCCGATATCCGCGAAGACACTTTCCGTGTCTTCGGCCCACCGACGTGGGGTGCATTGGCGACGTACGAAAAGCATGTCTCCGAAACTGTCTCAACAATGCTGAGCCTCGTGCTAGCCGATGGCCTGTCACGTCTCTCATATGACTGGTACATTTATGTCACCATGCTTGAAGACTCGAACCCCAATAAACTCGTCTCGGTTGACCTTTACACCCAAGCCGGTGAGGCTAATATCACCAGACTGTATTCCAACCGAACAGCGTGGGACCTGGACAACTGGGTCACTCTCACCTTCGAGGTGCAGCGGTATGGCTGGGGCTACGGGATCTCGTCCAAGACGGTCATTTTCGCCATTTCCATCATCTTGTTGCATGCCGCGGTGGCCATCAGCTACGTTATATTTGGCATCTGGCACTGGGCGCGTAGCCGGTGGTACAGCAGCTCATGGGGAAGCATCGGAGAGCTGGTGGCGTTGGCAACATTGTCTCGCGAGACTCGGGGGCTTTATGGAACTGGAGGTGGTATTTCGAAGTGGGATACGTGGAAGTTGGATGTAAGAATCAGAGAGACGGGGACAGAACGGGTCGAGCTCTTATTCGGAGACAGAGATGGCGTGAAGGCTTGGGGTGACCATAATATTATTCAGCCTGGCAGGAAGTATAGGTAGGCGATCCCAAGAGGGTACAGTTAGTCCAGGTAGTCATAGGATAACTGTAATCATCATGGATTGCATTTAATTTCTGCCGTATATTCTTACCATTTTCCAATGCGTCGCGTGGTTTCAAACTGTCTCCGTCTCAATCGATGATTGTGTTTCGGCACGGAGAACGCGATGCAAGTCCATTCTGTAATCCTAATTGTGAACGTGTTGGCGGAGCAATCCTCCATCCCCATCTTGGCCATGCCGTGCTGCGCCATGCCACAGCGTTACATGTACGAGTGCTGGAGTTTCTCTTCAAAATCCCTCCAGGAATGATATTACTTATAGATTTAATACCTATGGGTGACTCCGTGAAAGGGCTCATCATCCGGTAGTTCATTCTTTTGTTTCTCCAAAAGCTTGACCGGGCTTGAGTCGTCTCCCAAGAACTTGTAGTTATATGCTGCTTCCTGTTGGCTGAGAAACCATGTGATTGCGTTCTATGCTTTCTCCTCGGTTAAAAATTGCTCCTTGTCTAGGTCAGCTGCCGGCTATCATTTCAGCTGAAGATGAAGCTTGACCACAGGACTTTGGTCAAGATCCATCGAATACATTCCGCACGGGTCTAACCGGGCTTTGAGCTTCGTTCCCCAATGGAAGCGTCCATCTTCAAGTCATCGACTAATATCAGCCAACAACGGTAACGAAGGGGCAAACACGATCATGGTGACCATTTTACCTCCGTAATTTGGTTATTAGGGCCTTTAGCGCCCTGTTAGGGACTACGATCGTCGTTCTTAAGGTATTGTCTGGCGTCTCTAAGCAACGAAAAGGCTTAGTTGAAACACGGCGAGGGCGGAAGCAACTTTGGTAGTATGATCCGACTGCTATTTTGGCGACGACGGCCATCTGGGCACGTGTGGAATAGTCAGAAAAGATCACATCTTCATGGGCTAGCCGTCATTCACAAAGTTATAAAGGAAAAATATCTGGAAAGGAGCCCACTCTTCTTGATTACATTGTTTTATTCCCGCTTGCAGTAACCTATGGCGTCGTTCAGGGCCGTAGCTGGTTCTTTACCGCGAGTTCTACTGTTCCCTGCTGCTCTTGGGCCTGGTCTTACGGTCCAATTTACGTTTCAGTCTCTTTCCCCCCTGGACGACTGGTTCGGTACCGATACGCATGGGGTACAAGTCAATTTGTGGACGATCCCGCCCGGTTCGAACCCCTATCTCCGACATTCCAACACGAGCGGTATTCAATACGACTTATAAAGAGCACATTGCCATCTTGGCACCCGTCCACTGCGGAAATCCAGGGCTCGATCGAAATGCCGCGTTCTTCACTAGCCGAGACGGGGATATGCTGCTTTTGAACATGACCAACATGACGGCCTTACCATTTAAATCTATTCGAAGATATCACATCGTATCGCTAAATGTGTAAAAGGATCTAGATGGAGTCCAGAGAGGGGCTCCCCCGGGCGTTCCACCGAGAACATGACGAGCCTGCGTCCGCGACACAGGATCTCAGACGAGTTCACTTTTGAACGCTACGCTGGTCATCACGGCACTCACCAAACACTATGACCGCTACAATGTTTTTCTTCTGAAACAGAGGCTCATGGAAGAAGAGGCCGAGATACCTTGGAACGGTGCTGCCACGGAAGCCGACGAGCGTTGCGAGTGTGCTCGCTCTGTTTGGCGCGGCAATGTTGTGGAGTATCTTTACCGGGACGGGAACAGGCAGTGGACCGATGTGGAAGAGATACGAGACTGGGAATTTCACTGGGGATGGGTCAGTGCACCTCATGATTGGTGTTCGGAGAAAAATACGCAAGAGCGATTTGGGGTTTGGGTGTTGAAGGATCAGGATGATAATTGTAAATGCTAGAGGAGCAACTACTATCTCGGAGCTATAGTTACGATGCTCTTCGCCAGTTAAAAAAAACATCCGGCAACTACGTGCAGGTTGACTTGCGTAGATAAATCACTGCATATAAACTATGTCGCTCGCTGGTTCTCACTAACACTCGGGTTTGTGACTTTTGCGAAACCTAGTCGCTTCATCATGTCGCAGGCAATTTATATTTTTCGGAACAGCTTACACAAATTCCATTCACTAACGAGAAAAGTTAAGAATACATACTATCCTGACACATTAAATTTGCCGTTGGAAATTACATACGAGATTACGAAATTACGAGTCAAGCCCTACTTAAGCATCAGGTCTCCAAACACCGGCCTATGGTCGCTAATGTACACATCATTTACAACATTCGGCAATACGTTATAGCTCTCAACCAACCACCTGTCCTCCAACGCAGGACCCAGCCAAATAAAGTCGATGCGCGTGCCGACTTCCTCCTCCTGGTCGGGTAGAAACCCCGTGTAGGTGATATATGGCCCAAACCTCTGCCCCGTATCCGCCATGGTATAAAGCTCGGTCAAATACTTGCTATTCACCGCAGTCGAGTACGCATCCTCACCAGGCTGGGAATTGAAATCCCCCGTTAGCACAACCCCCAAAGGACCCCACGTCTCCTGCACCGCCTGAATCGTCGCGATAACGATTTTAATCCCCTCGGTCCTCGCCTGCGAACTCGCATTGTCCAAATGCGTATTCGCAGCAATAAAGCGTCTCCCCGAGGCAACATGCTCGAAAACACCGATATTGATCATGCGCCGGCTCCCCGCGCCCCATCCGAACGACGGCACGTCCGGCGTTGGGGACAGCCACCGCGTCTCGTTGTACAAGAGGCTCAGGACAGCGGGCCGGTATAGAATCGGGTTGTATTCGCCGCGTTGGGCGCCGTCGTCGCGGCCCACGCCGATGTGCATCCATTCAGGACCTACCCCCGATTCAATGTCGAGGAGTTGCTTGTGGAGCACTTCTTGTAGGCCGATGACGGTCTCAGCGCCGGCAGGGGCGGAGGCGGATGTCTCCATTAGCCGGCTGACGACGAGGGGCGCGCGGGTGGACCAGAGTTGTTCGTTTTTGGAGGGAGAGGTAGTTGCGTAGCGGATGTTGAAGGTTATCATGCGCAGGGGGAGGGTGCCATTTGTGGTTTGGGCCATGGTGACTTGGGCCGCTTGCGCGCTGAAGAGGAGGCTGCTGACGATACCGATGAGCAGCATTTTGTCAATTCCAGATTCTAAAGTCCTGGGGAGAAGAAGAGCCTGGGAATCAAACTGAATTCAGAGCATAATACCTCAGTTACTTAAGAATTATCTAACCAAGTAGTAACTGCTCCAAGATGCTCAAGTTGGCAGAAATCGTGGCTCGGGGAACTACAACAATGGAGAAGTCCTCGTTCCCCGCATCCCCCACAACGCAGATAGCAAGGATGTTAGGAAGTAAGAGCGCTGATCTCGGAATGCTCGGAATTAGTATGCGCTACGCTGACATGTGAGTAGCACTAACAGCTTTACTTCGAGGAGAAACCCGGATCCAATCGGAATTGTTCTTGTCGAGATCCACAGAAGGAGATGAGATAATAAACGGCGCACTGAGGCTATACCGTATACGATGACCGAGGGATTCAGTCCTCTAATGATGACTCTGCGTATATCCTGTCTTGATTGGTGTATCTGTCTACTGTTCGGGTGGCTATTTTTGTGAAGGCTCTGGCCCCACTAGACTACAACTGCCGCTACACCGCCTTTGGCCTAGGGTATAACCGTGGCATTCAATCCCACAATAACTCGTCCCACCTAATCCCGCCACTTATTTCATCGTCGAGTTGCCAGACATGGGCTTTAGTCAGAGAATTATCCCACGTTCAGTAACTTAACCCAAAGGCATTTATAGGCTCTCGTATTTAAAGTTCGCTATATAATGGACTTTCCTACTATGGACTTAGCTGGCTCAACGCTATTCATAGTTCAGAATTATAGCGAACATTTTCTTGTGCTTCTCCATTTGGGGGAACTATAATGCAACGGGGTAAATTCCACGACATCTCATGAATTCTGTTACTTATATCCGCAGATAAGACCCGAGGTCTGACACAAAGTGAGCGATGCCGTGGTTTCATCGGAGTATACGTTGGTTTTCAGCGCATTAGACTCGGGTAGAGGTATATTCCGAACGGATAATTTAATGTCTTATTGGTTGCTACATATGGGATAAATCAAGTGATCCATGACTGCGGGTCATCTACTCAAGGCATGGCTTGTTTGAAAAGACCAAAAACTCTCCCTTTGAATGTCATGTTGGCTTCCCAAAGTATTTGAACTCGGAAAATCTGCTACATATATCTGACTTGCAGCGTGTTGAATGAGTTCCCAGTTCCTACAGTTACTAAGTAGTGGGCTAGGAACGTATCACCACTCTAGCTAGTGCATTATATTCCACCATCAGGTAGCTTGTGTTCATTTGTGATGATCAGGAGTAATGCTAATGTTTCGTTTTGTGTCTTATGACAGGCTGGGTTTGTACTTATGGACTGTGTTTGATGATAGTGGCATCTGCTGGAGCATATTCAAGACACTCGTTTGGTAATGTGTTTTGGGCTAAAGGCTTGAAGCCAAATTGATGGCATGGCATGTGAGTCAGGTCTGCAAATGTTTTAGGTGGTGGCTCTTGTTTCTTGACCCTTGATGCATGAGGAAGCGGGATAGATTTCATTGTTTGCTAACATTGTTTATGGTCTTGAGCAATAAAGCTGGTGGTGCTGCCTTCAGGCCAGCATGATGTGCCCCAATCTTTGCAGTCTGACAATGCTGCGTGCGACCTGTTCCGGGTGCTCGAGACATCATCCATTGAAAGTCCAATCAACAGTGGCTGGGGCATGGTTGGGGTCGGCGTCAGGGGCAAGGGCTGCCAATCCGGCAGTAGTCAACTGAATGGCATCGCCAACCGCATCGGTTTCTTGGCTGACGACAGTAGCGACCACATTCTTCCCCGTATCTAATGAATGTAAGTAACGCAGCGTTCAGAATGGGACCTAGAGACTTACTAGGGTTGGTAACAGTAATTGCCATGGCGCAAGGGGCCTCATCGTGAGGAGTCCAGAAAGAAGCAGGAATAGATGCAGCGATATTGGGCAAAGTTTCAACACAGATCTTCGTGGTGTTCCAATATAGACTCACTATGTCTGTCAGTCGCGAGGCTTGGTACGAAAAAAGGCCAACTAACCTGCTCCGGTGAAGTTCCCTGGATGGACACACTGGGTGCAAGCTTCTGCCAAAGCGGCCACGTAGGAGATCGTTGCAATATGTGAGGAGCGCATAACGATGATTGAGTATTGGTTAGCTACTTAGTTGTTCGACTTGGTCTTCGAATTTCAGAGTTTTCCAAGATTTCTTAGCCCTCTATATACTTAGTACTCACTGGAATGCTTACTCAGTACCCAGGTGAGGCTATCATTCTCATTACTACACAGATTTATAAAACATCGTGCCCCTACGTAAACATGCCATATCCTCGGTGTGTAACCGGTAAGAGAAAGGTTTTCCCTGAGGATTAGGCGGCGCGTAGCGGGACTTTTCCCCGGACCAATAGCCATGTCAAGATCAGACGCACAGGAGTTTGAACGAGGTGGGGCATACACTTGATGTGGTAGGTGATGCAGACACCGTTGTGTGAGGCGCATCAATAGATGCATAAGCTGACTTTATTGGTTCACAGTTCGACGCCACGATAACTCCTACGAAAATTGTCTCGTCCAGTGTGCAAAGTTGATGCTCGTTTTGCTCGTTCTTCCGGGTGGCGTCACCGCATCAAGGTCAATGTCTTGGAAAGACGGGCCGCAAAGGCCAATGCTATCACTATTTCCTCCCCTTGAGAGTTTCGTGGGCGTGGAAATGACATGAGCAAGTCAACTCTAGCTATTTGCTACGTTTGATGGCATCCTGATAACCACGTCAAGATCAACTAAACTTAACTGAAACGTCTCTTCTACTTTCTCCTATGGAAATAAAGGAACGAGTGCGTGTGTAGGCGATCTAGGATGTATTTTATGGTAATGACGATAGAGGAAAGGAATTAGGAAGCTGCAGTGGAAGAGGGGCCTAACTATCCCAGCAGTGGCCCGCGCACCACACTGTACACACAGCAGCTTGCTTAGTTGATTCTATGGCAGAGAGAAAATTCAGCTTATACAGACGGTCAAAATGATCTTGAGAGTCGACTGTCAAAGCCTCTCTATATCAGCCACTGTTAGACCTTCAGGGACAGTAATTCTTAAAGTGCTATTATACCTAATATGCTCAGACATGATCAAACTTGAAGTGAGAGCTCCGGTATGGGTCCATTACCGTAATCGCGACAGATCCAGTTGGCCCGAATATTTTCACTAGGAAATTAAACGTGGGAAATTATGAAACCTCCAAACCCAAGCTTCAGGATAGTCGATCTAATTTTTATAGTTTACAGAAAGGCAGCAATTGCACAGACATAGTGCATTTGCAGTACACTGCCACTGGTAGGGCATTGCATATTATCCCTGCAAAACATGCCTTGCAGACAACCTCAGAAATCCGAGGTGACGAAGCAGACTGTCTGATAAGGATCCAGTCGAAGGCGAGGACCATGCAACACTAGCAACCCCGAGATCCCGCAGAGCCAGATGTCTAGGGGATGCAAATTAATCCATTCAGTGGTCATATCGAGCTAATCTACCAGATGACCTGCGCAAAGTGCTCATATCGCCCACATGGAGTTCTATGTCGGACCTTGCCGAAGTTATAACTTAACGCCAACTTTACAGTACACTGTCCACCTTATCGCAGCCTGGCCGTGAGGAAGATTCAGAACAATATCTATGCCCTTAGGAATAATAAAATAATAAGGGCATCCCCGTTCTGCAGAGTTCAAAGATGCTTAACGTGCAAGGGTATGATGCCACTGGTCAGGAAGGCTCCCTTGGAATGAACCATGTGGATCGAGTATGGCGTTCGAACCCCAAAACACCACACCTCTTTTCGAAGGTCACAATTTCCAATTCCAGGCTAGATGACTATTGCTGGTGATACGGAGCAGGAGGACAAGCGCTCACATAAAATACCCTATTCACACAAACAATGCTAAGTTTAGACTGACGTTTCCAAAACTTTGAACCTTATGGTTCCCTCACGCGCCAGAGACAACGAATTTTGCCGCTGGATTCCATTTGGGATTTGGTGGAAATCGTGAGGTACAGGAATCATGGCTGGCCCCAATGAGAAGATCGTACCAGGGACTTAACAGTGTTGTTAACATAGCTAAACATGTCACGAATTCTGGCGTTGGAGGAACAGCGGCCGTGCCGGAATCTCCGACAGAGGCCTCATAATTAACAGGAAGATCTCACGCGAGTGGTATGCGTCCGGGGGGTTGCAAGGGAGTAAACATTAAGATATTGCTGGTTGGAGTGGTATCAGTGGGTGACTTAGAGGTATAAGCGTATTACAAGATAGCTAAGAGAACGCGAATATATTTAATTCAATTGTAGCTGCTATAGCTTTGGCGAAATGCATGTTACGTCGTTGGGGAGGTCAGGGTGAAATGGAGTCTCGGGCCTAGGGGTAAAGTCCGTTGCCGTTTGATTGGACATGCTCCAACGAGGCCGATTATTAATACAATGCCGTGGTTTGCCGCATGCATGCGATGCTGGCCATAGGGAAGGATGCAACATACGTGAGGCCCGCAGACGGATTGAAAGTCATTTTATCTGTCGAGTTGTAAATCCTGTCTTACAGTGCCGCGATTGTGAAATGATAGACTTATTCTATCGCAAAGGGGAGTCAATCGTCTGTACTGGGTAGTTGTAACGTACCGACTTGTGGAGACTCTAGAGCCTGGATACACAGGACAGGCTCTGCCACCATTCTCAATTCTGCAAATCCATGCCAGGCGTTCTGAGAAAGGAGAAAGAAAATGTAAACATCAAATATCCTGGGAAGTGAGATGGGAGTCAGAAGGGAATCAGCGCTTCCAAACTATGAGGCTCTGCGATAACAGAATCCTCCTTATCAGGTTTCATGCCTTGTACATTCCTGTGTGGTAGTATACAGTAAGAAACCACCCTCGTGGCTGGCTTTGGAACCATAGCCAATGGATACGCACTGCCTGCATGCGACTGACTACTTGCTGCATGATAGGATGCCAAGGCAGCCACCCAAAGAGTCCGCCTACCTACGTTATGCATAGTGAGAAGAAGGCAGCCCCCAGGCAGAAATACAAGAAAAGGCCTGCCGCTGAGTACGAAAGACACAAATCGCCACCATTATGCCTCGGCGCAGCATTAGTAATACTAGCTATTGTAATACAAATTTTCTACTCAAGTTCGAGTTTGTGCCTTTCAACCTCATCGTGCCCTGACCTGCTGAAATTACGTAGATTTTAAGAAGCCTACGGTAACCATGGCTGAGCGAAGCAACACCAATTACTCCATTCAATCGTATCCCGAGTCGATTGGCCGACAAGGCTCCTTCTCCACCAGATATGCAACAAATTCAGCGGCAGATCAGCGAGTCCAGGAACAAATCAAGTCGTACAAAAACCAGCTTGACTGGGCTACTCTACAGGACTATCTGACCCGCATTGCTCCTAGTGAGACGTACGAGACACTTAACCCAGCAAAGGTGAGCGACTGGCGTGCGTAAAGCATTTTGCATAGCAAAAGTCCGAGATGCTGATAACGATATTCAGGTAGACGATAGCTGGGTTTTCTACTTTTCTAGATCTCTGACCGAGGTAAGAGTGCAGAGGCTCTCTCGTTCTGGGCACCAGGCTGAAATACGACCAGAGTGAGAGGAAGGAGATTGTGCGGATCAGGGACAGGAAGCGAAAGGCCCACCGACGAAAGGGCCGTTCGGAGTCGCCAGAGTGATGGAAATTGGTGCTCAGCCTGCATAGGTTGAATGAGGGGTAAACAAGCACGAAGTAGAGGAAGGACGGAGGGTGTGTAGCAGAGCAGGCTGCACACTGTGGGGGGAAATACTTGATCACCGTGTCACCTCAATGGCTCCTTTTGGCGCCACTAAGGTATCTTATGCATTCGTTTCGGTAACTCAGCCAAACGCAATGCCCACCCTTGGGCTGCTTCAGGAGGCTTCTTAACTATGTTTCAATTGGTCTACTTATCGCGAGTTGGCAAGTTCAATCGTTCAGTTTGCTTTTATTTATACATGGAGAAGTGAATCCAAATACTGCAAATTTTGTTCCAGTCGCATTCAGTTTCCCAACCAGAGCCTTCCTTCGGATCGCCCAACAAACATGGCTTCTTCTTGTGTATCTAACACTTTCCAGAAATCATGGCTCGATATGGATATTTACCCACTGAATCTAGCCCATAAACCTGCAAATGCATACCCTGCAGCCCTCAGAGCTTTGCAGAAGCGGTTCGACGATGCAAGTACTGACATGTTTGTTGCTGACGAAGTCGACGTTGAGGTTCCGTGGCGCGATCTGAAACCAACATCTGGTGAAGGTAAGATGGAAGCGTCTTCTATTCCTTGTCCAGTTTGACTGATATGTTGTAGATGCGAAAAGTTGGAACATCCATAGTGAAGCCAAATTAATGCAAATCTTGGGCCTTGACGTCACTAACGGCCCAAACGGTGAACGGCTTGTTGGTGTCAGACACAAAGATTCAAAGTGCAGATTTATGTGAGCTTGATCGTAAGGTATTCGCCGAACATGCTGCTCATAGTCTTTCAGATACATATACGGGCATACATCGCGGAGCGCCCTTAACATTACCAAGAGCATGCTCGTCAAAATCCTAACCTTCCACCAAGTAATGCCCGTTTACCTGGATTTCATGTTAGTATTTGGTCTCCAGGAAGAACCCGACGATCTACGCTTCGCGAGTTTCCGAGAACAGAAGTCATTCGCTGCGAACTCTCTGGCACCGGAGATACCGTCTCTCGGGAGGAGTGGACACCAGTACCAATTATGCTACAACTTGAAGAGCATAAGTCAGTTAGATGGTGGAGACTTCTCTGCAATACGACAAGCCGCGATATACCACCAATTTGATGTGAAAAGCGGCAACGCGGTGTGGATTGTGACTAAAGGCCGACTTGATCTTCAGCAGCGATTCAAGGAATTGACAGGCAAAGACGGGAGACAGGAGGACAAGTCTTTCGAAACGCCTATTGAATGCTTTCGATCAAGTCTTGCGGCTCATCTAATGTTTTGTTTCTGGTCAACAGAAAACTGGAGATTTTATATAAAGCAGCTTGAACAAGATCTGGAACATGGCGTACGTGTCCCATAACAAATGGGTGTACATTTTCACTAACATATCGCAGACTGGATTGGCTCTTCTTGGGCCGAGAGGCCCAGGCAGTAAACACAAGTGGTATGAGCCAACAGACGTTCAAGCCCTGCAAATACTGGAAGACAAAACCAACGAAATCATCATGGTACTTCAGGCGAATATCGACATCATATCCGCACTGTCAAGATTCTATCAAAGGCTTGTAACTAATGCGCAGTTTCCTCTGAGCCATTCCTGCGAGGAAGACTTATCGGGTTTCGTCGCACAATTGGACGACATGATCTCAGATTTGAAGATCCAAATCAATCGTGCGAGTACTCTTGTAAAGATTACCAATGACCGGAAAGAGCTTGTACGTATAGAGGGGACTTTCCATCCCATTGTCACGACTCGGATCCTGATGCGTCACTAGATCATTCAACACATTCAGAGTCAGTCAACTGAGAGAATGGAAGAGCTCAACGCAAACATGGAGAAAGAAGCCATAATGGTCCGTATCATCACCATAGTGACGTTGGTCTACCTCCCCGCCACTTTTGTTTCTGTGAGTATCCCGACAAATGAATAGAACATCGCTGATTAACCCTGGGAAGACATTCTTCAGCACTGACATCATCAAGTACCAGGGCCAAGGTAGTGAAGCTGGGAACTTCTCAAATATGGCGATGAGTAGATGGCTAGAGGTGGCATTACCACTGACATTCCTCACACTCCTAATTGCTTGGGCTGGGAGAAGTTGGGCAGAGCACCAGAGAGGAATTCGAAAGCGAGGGAGGAGTCTAGCAAATGCTTTATGGCCATTCCCTAGGAGAACCGAAGAGAGCTGTCTACCTTTATACATAGAGAAGGCACCGAACCGTACCATGTTGTGCGGAAGGACATTGCTTTGGGGCAAGAGGATGACTTAACCAGTTGAGAAGACACTGAATCATTCTATCAAGTCTGGAATGGCTTTTTCTTAGTGGCTATCAAACAAGATTGAAAGCTGAGATAATAGGTATACAGTAGATTTCAAAGTGCTCATTGAGCGTCCGGAGTTTTGGATTTGCTTTATTTGACTAAAATGGGAAGTATTAAGCAGGTCAAATAGAGAAAAGGGGAAATGTCGTTGTTTATTTACATGCATAAGTTATGCAAATAATCATTATCTCACTCCCAGGGGAGACAAGGGTAGGGGCTACAACCCGATTTTGGACAGTATTCCACTCGCTGGCTACGTCTGCCTGCTATTGAGACAATCGGCCATTGGCTGACGACTAATGGGGAGACAGCGTCACAGTGTTATTTGAGCAAGTACAAACTGAGGTCCATGGTGGGGTACTCACAACCTGGAGGAGGAATGCAGGTGGCGTATGCGTGCGCCATGAGTTGCAAGGCATAGAACTGAACATGTTCCCCGCGGAGTGTTATATCTTGAGTGTCGATCTTTGCCTTGCGGGGAGGCAGTCGGTACTCTAGGTACCACCGTGACGAGCTTCCTCTTCGTCCCGCCTTGCCATGATGGGGCCGCCTCGATCTTACTATTCTACCACAGGACTGAGTTTTTTTTGTTGACTTTTTAATGAGAAATTTTCATCGCCATGGTGCTTCAGGTTTGAGCTGCCCCGTATTTATTGACTACACTTCCCTCCACAACTGACGAGACACGAAATCCCCCGGCCTTTAAAGTACTTGCACTTACATCACTGAGTTCGAACCACCGATTCGGTACTCGATATTCTGCGCTTGCAACCCCGCACCCAACATGTCTCTCGGCGCTGGGTCACAGAAAGGCCTTGATGTTCTTCAAAGGTACCATACATTATTAGGGACCAAGTGGACATCTAAAATATCCGAAAAGCAAACATACCTCCTCACAAGCGATATCATTGAGTGGCTGAAGAAAAAGGAACCCGATGAAAGGATCAGTAATTGCGATCTGCTGCTTGACCAAGTGTATTCGACGGAAATGACACAAAAGTCCTCAGAGGATATCGTCGACTGCATGAAACTATTCTGTGTACTGTTGGAGATTAACTGTGGCAATCTGGTGCACATATTCAAGAGAGCTGGAGTCAACGACGAGAACCTCCGTCGTCCTAGCCGCGATGCAGTTGAGCATGTGCTTCGCGGGAGACCGCATCACGACGCTGCGAAACTCGTCGACGAGTTTGAAGAACGCAAATGGCGATACTTCCCGGTCGTATTCAAATACAACGATGATCAGATTTACCGGAAGGGCACCCTTTTTCCGTTCTGCAGATTTGAACGAATCAATCACAAGGGGGCTACTGCGCGGCTCTTTCAAGCGTCTGTGAAGGAGGAATTAGTGGATAGTTCACTAAAAAGGGTCATTCGCACATCGCGCTATGAAGACAAAGACTATGGTTTTGTAGGAGCTTCCCATCAACCCCCAATGATGGCTATTGCTTACTCATTCCTGAAGTGCTACCGATTCGTCGTCAAGTCATTCAATGCCGACAACCGAGACACCTTCGAGGCTGAGCGAGACGCTTTTGCCGGTATACATGGCGAGACAAGAGTTATCCGCTACCTTGGACAATACCAGGAAGAATTTCAACAGAACCAATGGACGTATAATATCCTCCTGGAGTACGGCGAATTCGACCTCGACGAGTACTTCTATGACCATTACCCACCAGTACTGGGTGCGGAGATTGTTGATTTCTGGAAAGAGCTTTTTGAGGTAGCAGTGGCGGTACGGGGCTTGCACAACTTGGAGCAAATCAACAACGCCGGCAGGACTACGTCATACGATGGGTAGGTTACTTTCATCGTCACACGATCCGTGACTGATAATTAGTAGATGGCACTCCGATATCAAGCCAGACAACATCTTAAGAGTCGACGACAGATGGAAACTAGCTGATTTTGGCTTTGCAAGATTCGAGAAGCATGGTCATGGGAAACAGCCCATGACTCGACTTGCGGGAGGCACTGCAACGTATGGTAGGTCACCACCTAGCACCACGCAAAGCAACGGATTGACATTTTAGGGGCCCCTGAATGTCACCAACTGTCACTTAACCCAGATATACTGGGCTCCGTTTCACAAACGATTGACACTTGGTCACTCGGATGTGTTTTTTCGGTTGCGGCGACTTGGGTCATCCTCGGATCTCAAGGCATGAAGCAGTTTCAGGATGTTCGTCGAGCAGCAATCTGCGACCTAAAGAAAAAGGACCGGATCGACTCGGATCCTGACAAGTCGGTAGCCGACGATGCGTTTCATGATGGATCCAATCCCTTGCTTGATGTCAAGTATTGGCACGATTGTCTCCGCCAAGTCATCAGGTCTTCCGACACTACGTCAGCATTGGTCCTAGACTTGATCGACAAGAAAATGCTATTAGCTGATCCGAAGGACCGCCTCGTAGCTTCTGAAATATGCGACGAGCTGAAACTCCTTTTGTGTAAAGCCAGGAAGCGTACTGATGCCCTGGACGAGTCGAACCCCATCGAAAACTCGATTCTGAACAGCATGATAAATTTTGACAACAACGCACCCGTGACCAAGGAACAACGGCAGGCTCGTCAGAATGACATAGCCGCAAGCCGCAGACTTCAAGACGACGGCTCAAAGCAGGCGACCAAATCAGGCCTCCTTAAAAACATTATACCAGGAAAGGTGGCCAACAGAGGCGGCGCTCTGGGGGCCGCCATGGGCCGCCGGTATGGGAAACCTGCGATATCCTTGCCTAGTCCTGGTCCACCACAAATGGCCTCCGATGAAATTCCTTTCGTACCCAGATTTTTGAGCAACAAGAGCACATCATCCAATCAACCGACATATTCTCTGGACACCGGATTCACAACATCCTCGTCAAATGGCTTATCCTTTTCAGACGACTCCCTAGAGTCGCTGACCACTCAATCTTTGGCATCGGCTCCACTCAAAATGGATGAATCTATGCCGATATACCAAGAGTGGTTAAGTCTTCAAAAGAAGACGAAGTCGATTCTCCCACAAATCTTCACGCGGCGGAAAATTGACGACTACCTTTCCCGATTCGTCAGCGACCGTGATTTGGTATTTGGTCCTTTCTTGGCATCATATGCAATAAATACTAACAGCATGTTAAGATATTCGTTGTCGATAATGGTAAGACCATGTCGCCCCTCTGGAATGAAGTCACTATTACGCTTCAAGTCCTGGCCGCAAAGGTCGAAGGGCTGGACAATGACGGCATAGACTTGATTTTCACCTTTAACGATCGGAACAACGTCAGAAATTCCAAACGCAACGCGTCTTATGTATTTCGAGACGCCATGAACCGCGCCAAGGCACCCCAAGATGACTCGAAACCATATGGAACAGATATGGCCAGGACGTTGGGTGAAATATTTCAGCAATACCTGAAGAGGCCAAGCAAGAAAATGACGCTTCTCATTCTCACTGATGGGGTATGGGAAGGCTCCCCTGACCCGAATGAAGTCGAGAATAAGATCGCGACGTTCCTGAAGTCACCGGTAATAGAAAGCACGTTCCGCGACCGCGCATTCAGCATCCAGTTCATATCATTTGGTCAATCAGGTATTAGCAGGCTTGAAGCTCTGGATGATGACATGACCAAAAAGTATCATATAACGTAAGTGCAGCTCGTATCTCGTCGAGCTAGAATATGATTAACAGTTCAATAGCGACGTCATAGATCACGAGCCCTACAGTGGCGATGTCTATAAAATGATTCTCGGAAGCTTCGAAAAATCATTTGATGTGAAGAAGACGCCTACGCTCCCCGTGCCAGGCAGTTCACCCACCGCCGGGGAAAACATGTCACGGAGTCCTTCCCAGAACTCACGAAGGCCCTCGCAGTACCGACAGAACACTACTGAGACTGGCAATCGAAGAAGGAGCATTTTTAGAAGCTGAATCTGGCTGGTTAATGGCTAATTCAAAGACGGACCTCGCTTCTCTTTGCACACCTGAAGGATATCATACATTTCTTGAGCTGCTAAGGTATCTCGCAAGCAAAAAACGGTGAGGTGACAGGATAGAGTGGTCGATGGGTACCATCTTGGGCTGATTTATATGATGTCTCCTACGAGCGATTTGAGGCTGTTTCTACTTTCAGCTCCTCCTTGTTTTATCTTTTGTTCTTTTCCCACTCCGGCATATACCTCACCTTGATTTTAGTGCCATGCACAGTCATGTAAAGTTTCCAATATACTCCTAGATGTATGTAGAAGTCGTGAATTTCTTTTGTTGAACAAAGAGTTAAACACAAGGTTGTATCTGTGTGGTATTTTAATATGGCGTCATCTCCGGAAGCGTAGGTGACACCCGGGGATATAATTTCTAAATCTGCACGACATACAAAAGTATATTTGATATCGATGATATCTTTCAGATGTTTGAAAATGATTCCCTGTAAATACATAGGGGTTGAGAATATACTAAATAGGATCTAGGCCCCGTAGTTGAACTACGCATCGAAAGCTTTAGTTGTCCAATTCTGCTCCAAGTCTTCCATATTTCTGTTCATAAATGCCATCACCAGCCCAAAAAACCTCGTTAACTCGAACTAAACCGTCCCTGTCTCAATGCGAGTCGCCTTTTCATCGTTAATCGAGTTGTGCCTTCGTTTTGCCTTCGTTTTCTAGTGTCATTTATCCACTCTACGGCTTGCTGTGAGCGAAGTACGGAAAAAAGGGCGACTTGCATCCGCGGTATGGCTCTCAGGAGTCATTAGAGAATGGGCTTCGGCGTAGTTTAGCTTGAGGATACCCCTTTTTTTGCTCTGTTAGTTTTGCACTAGCTGGGCACTAGGCAACATGAATCGTGGATTTTGGGGGTTTGAAGTGAAGTGCAGCTTCATAGGAAAGATTCTATTATGGTTTTCAATGACAAGTCAGTCCTACACTACGAGTGCTGATAGACTAAATCACTGTGATGCCGGATCCTTGCGGGTGCATACGACCCACAGGTCCGAACCCGGGGGGCCCACCGGACTAGCCGACTATGTAGCATCCGGCAGCGGACTCCGTCCACCTATCAACATAGCGTTGTTTTAAAAGCGGGGAGTGAGCCGTGAAAGACCCATCCTGTGTCTAAATTTTTTAACTTTCACTTGCTATTCCTTCCGAGACCTTAGTGACTGGTGTTGCTTGAGAGTTGTTTAATTTTCTTAATTCCGTCTCTTGTGTTTAGTCCTTCATATCATGGCAGCCGATGACTTCGATGCTAACAATGGGGTCGAAGCCAACTCTAGAGTTCCCGATGAGTCCTCACCGCTACTGCCAGGCTCGAAAGATGCTCTGTCGCGAGTATTGAGTGATAGGTCGGAGTTATGGCTTCTGTTCCAGTTCTCCATCCCTCTCATCGCCACCTACTTGCTTCAATATTCCAACAGCGTCATTACCACCATCGTGGCGGGTCATCTGAGCGCCGACGACCTCGCCGCCACGAGTATCGGGCTCACTACCATGAACATCATCGGCTATGCTATTTTCGAGGGCATGGCAACCGCACTAGATACTCTTTGCGCTCAGTCATATGGGTCCGGCAACCTCACAGATGTTGGGCTACACGTGCAGCGAATGACCCTCCTCATGGGCCTTGCTGCCATTCCCATCGGCACGTCGTGGATCTTCTCGCCTTCGATCCTTTCCGTCTTCGTCAAGCAAACCCATTTAGCCCTGAAGGCCGGAAGCTTTCTCCGGTACAGCTTGGTAGGTCTCCCTGGGTACGCCCTTTTCGAGGCTGGCAAACGGTTCCTGCAAGCACAAGGAGACTGCAATGCTGGGATGGTCATCTTGATCATATGCACACCGATCAATGCGTTGCTCGGCTGGCTGTTTGCCTTCAAGCTAAATATGGGCCTCGAAGGTGCGGCTTTAGGAGCGGCTCTGACCAACGATCTCCGCCCTATTCTGCTCCTAATTTATGTTGCCTTCTTTGGTAAATGGTCGCACTCATGTTGGGGTGGCTTATCAAAAGACGCATTCCACAAATGGGGCCCCATGGCCAGGCTCTCGCTCGCCGGGTCCGCTGTGAACATCGGGGAGTGGTCCGCATTCGAGATATTGACGTTCAGTACCTCGTATATCAGCACCAACCATCTCGCGGCTCAAACCATCTTGACGACTGTATCCGTGGTGGCCTGGCATATCCCTTTCTCCGTCAGCGTAGCCATTAGTACTCGGATTGGCCATCTTATCGGAGCGGGATTTGTTGCGGCTGCTCGACGAGCCGCTGTTCTCTACGCCATTGTGTTTGTTTCTATCGGTGTCTTCGACGGCATCTTCCTCTTTGCTCTACGAAGTCAACTTGCACAAATTTTCTCAGAGGACCGGGCTGTCCGCGATATTGCGACCGGATCCATGCTTGCCGTAGTCGCATTCCAGATCATTGATTCCATCATGTGTGGATGCAACGGCATGTTACGTGGACTCGGTCGCCAATCCATTGCTGGCTGGATAATCTTTCCCGTCAACTACCTGGGCGCCGTCCCACTTGCAATTTGGCTGGAGCTGGGCGAGCCACAAATGGAGTTATATGGCCTCTGGCTTGGTCTCGGAGTTGGCTTGTTGTCAATTGCCGTGATTGAGTGTATTTATCTGAAAGTCATTAACTGGCAGGACTGTGTGGAGAGTGCTAAGACGAGGGAGGACGCGTAGTTGGTCATTGCGTATTCCGAAGAACCACCAGGGCCAACAGCAATTCGAAGCTTGTAAGCAATTCGGATCAGAGTCAGTTTGACAAACTTTCAGGGTAAAACACTTGGTTACAACCGGACGTCAAATGTAGCGCGTGTGCTGTGGATCAAACCGCAGGATTAGCCTGTGATTGGGGCATAAGAGTTGCCACCACCGTGAAAGGCATGTGGCCGTCAAACACATCAACCCCTTATACAGTGTAAAGAGGCTATAAGTCAAAATATGAATGCCCATACTTGTTTGATAAACTCTGGAAAGATGAACTAATAAGGCGTTGACGTGTGGCAGGACGTAACAATCAGTCCAAGATAGTGAGGACCCAGAATAAAACAAACCACAGCAAAACAACTCGTGTCAAAATATTATTATTATTATTAAATACGCCGTAGGCTCGAAGCCCCCGGTACCTCTACTAGTACTCCCGTATGTCAAACCGTGCCCTAATGGCTGGACTAAATACATACGCTGCGTCGTCGGTTCGCCCTATTGGCGACTGCGTTGCGTTCACTACCATACTACGTTGGTTCTCAACCTACCAACAAAGTCCCCCCTGAGAAGATCGATGCTATCTGGGCCTTGAAGCTGTCCGACCCGTCCCTAGCAGCCATCTTACAATAGTCCCACTAACTACTGGTTCTCCTGTTGCCGTTGCGAGGTCTCTGCGAGAGTATAGTGGCCGTGGTGCGATGGCGGCCCGTAATCGTTCCCTCGGTCCTTCCAACAGCCCGCAAAAGAGGATTACGTGCTCTGCCGTCTCAGGGGCATCGCCACAGCGGCATAGCGGCGAGTACACGCCAAAAGCCCCTGTCTTGAATAAGAAGGCTGCTAGTCCTATTTTTTCCGTCCTGATCTGGCACAGCGTAGACGCCTCCAGTCGGTTCAGGCCGAAATACTTGCCCCCTTTCGGTATCTGCATCGAAGGGCCCTCCGGTTCCTCAGCGATAGCGCGTCGCTGGCGATCGTGATGCTCTGCTCCGGTGAGCCATCTCTTCCTCCAGTGGTCGAGGAGGGCAGCCGGGACCTCCTTTTCCTCACTCATCCACTCGGAGCCCCGGGCCTCCTTCTCCATAGTGTACCCTGCCGGTCGGAGTAGCTGCGACGCCTGCTTCCTCTTCGCCGGCCTATCCTGCCGGAGTATATGTGACGCTTTAGCGCTCGCGCTGCGAAGCAGATTTCTCTTCCCGCTAAGCCGTAGCCGTTCTTCAAACTTAGCAGCCCGGGCACTAAGATAGAGGTCTAGTGGCGGGATTGCTGCTTCTGCTTCCAGGTGGCGAACCGGCGTCGCTTTGTGGGCACCACAGACTACCCGGAGGCACTCGTTCTGTATCCCCATCAGGCTCTTAGCTGGCCCTGCCGGTTCCTCACTTATAGTATGCCACGCAGTCGCCCCGAAGGCAATCGCGCTACGGATAACCACCGTATATAACAGCCTCGCCCGTATAAGATCGCAGCCCCACGACATATTGACTAGCTTTGTCAGGGCTAGCTTTTGAGTTGCCATTTTTGTTTTAACACGCTCAACATGGGCGTGCCACGTCAGTTTGCGGTCGAACCAGACTCCTAGGAACCTGGCTGAGACTACCGGCGACACTGTGGCGTCCCCAAGGCGAATACTTTGCGGCAAGGGCTCTCGGGCCCTAGTAAAGTGCATTAGCTCACTCTTGTCAGGAGCGAACTCCATCCCGTGCCTCACTGCCCACCGCTGACACGTAGCCCATGCGCTCTCCAACCGGCGGCAGGTCGTGTCTGGATCGGTGCCGACGCTTAGCAGGTTCGTGTCGTCCGCGAACCCGACTACTAAAAGTAGTGGATGCTGCTCCGCTAGCTCCTCGTACAGCGTTGAAATGTATAATATAAACAGTATCGGGGATAGCGGTGACCCCTGGGGGACGCCAGCTCGTAGGGGGATTGGCTCTGACTCCTTGCCATCGAACCGGAGGCGTACCGTTCTATCCTCCACGAAGCTGCGTACCCACTCCTGAACCCACTCCGGGTAGCCTTTCCGGGCTAATATGGAAATCAGCCGTCTGTAATTGACCGTATCGAATGCCCCCTTGATGTCTAGCTGTAGCAGCGAGGCGATGCCCCCGCGTCTCCACGCCGTATAGACCACGTCCTCAACTATACGTATTGCCAGTTCGGTGGACCTCCCAGCGCGGTTACCCATTTGGCCGTTTGGTAGTAGGCCGGCCGCCTCAGCTACTTTGGTGATACGCTGGCTCATCGCCGTCTCTATTACCTTCCCTACCGTGCTAAGCAGGGCAATGGGGCGCCAGCCGCCAGGGGTCTGCTTCTGAGCTGTCGTTTTATTAGGCTTAGGGATAACAACCACCCTCGCTGAGCGGAAGCGCGTGTCAAAATAACCAGTACCATAATGCTTAGGCCAAGACACAGAAAAACGCTCGCGCAAAGCAGAACTATCAGATAAGCAGAAAACAAAGGGAAAGAACAAAACCACAACTACACCCCTCTCTTTCGTCACGCCGTATGTGGCACATCCAAAACGCAAGCGGATTTCCATTATTTCCATTACAGATTCATAAATATAATCTGTGCACAGCGGAAGCAAGTAAGAGAGCTCAGCCATAATCTTCTGTCCACATGCATATTGTAGTCTTCTGTGAAAGGGTTAAAAATGGGAACATACAGGGGTAACTACTTCGTACTTACCCCACTGCTTCAACCTGCCGGCTTGTCAGAATTTCCATCGGGGTGTAGATGACGCACTTGAAGTTTGTCTCCATACAATTAAGTTCTCAATATAATCTGCCATACTGTCTTTGCATTGTCGCCTTTGGTGCTGTGCTGCGATGCGAGTAAAATACTAGTTGGCTACTCCTCAATATGAGGCCGTGTGAAGGTATGCTCAAGCACTTTTACAGCTTGAAAGGACCCCTTTAACTATTGCTAGTTTATTTGGAAGGCAATCTACATCAGAACCAAATGACGTTTCCTGCTTAGAGCACATCATGTACGCCACCAGGACTTTCCCGGCAATGTACTAAGCAAACAAAGAACATCTCGTACATGGCGATACCAAAGAGCCGACGAATTTGGAACGTTTTGGCGACTTGAAGCAAAATTCTGAGGCGAGTAACCAGATTGAGCAAGACATATTGTTGGTTGTGTGTCATTGGGAAATTGTGATGGTGGCAAGGTCTCCAGGGACCGTTTTTCACTTTATTGACAAGTCAGGTGAGATTCCTACGAACCAACATCAGTGCTACCAACGCGACCACATGGCGTGCATTCCAAGTCCAACTGATGGAAACCACAAAACAAGGATATTAGCATGCTCGTATGTGATGGTATTCATCTGTTTGATTCCCATGTCACTAGGTTGTTAAGGGGTTTGAAGACAAGATGCACCTAGTGGAGATTACAGGGATATGCTGCCCTCAATGTTTAGATCTTACTGGACAGACACTCCGCGCTGAATGGCCACTGGATTTTAACATAGGGTCTCTGTGACAAAATGTGTGCTAAATAATCTATACCTGGTTGTTGTAGAAAGGGGCTGTGGGCTCTGGTGAAGATTATAGTTCAGGTAATGGAGCAGATGTGATGCAGATTGGGCGCAGAAAAACTCCGCACTGGAACGGCATAGAAAAAAGTACATGTGCATGACTGGCGGCTTGTGTATGACTCACTAGGAAGTAGACCAGCTAAAGTGCTCTACCTTCAAACTCTAGTATCGTCCCGGAGAAACTAGGATGGCAACGAGGAATACGACTAATATTCGTTAGTAGGAGGATACATTTATGCAATATTGTATTCAGAAAAGGTTGCGACTGTGCTTGACTATTCTGTTATGAAATGAACTGCACGATGGCCGGTTCTCTTATCCGACAACGTGATTCAGAAGTACTGAAGCCTCATTCTACGCAGTAAATTTCAAGTCAATTGCTGCCAGATTTCTATAAAGTAGGGCCATTCAGCTGGTCTAACCTCTCCCTAAAAACTTCAAACCCAAAACTTGTTACCATCGTGAGATGAGATGAACAAATCCATTTCTGAAAGAACAACAGGACTGCCAGACTGGGAATCCTTCACCCTCTTCCGAAACCTTCCAACTGAGCTCCGGATAATCATCTGGCGCTTTGCGATATACGAATCTCTTGGCTCTGTCCGCACTTTGGTATATAACCAAGTTAATGACAGCGTCTCGGTCCTTACACGCCATCTGCAAGTACAGCACAGTTCTCCCGTATGGGGAACTTGCAGAGAAGCGCAGTATGAGGTCGAAATGGCCCTCAACAAAATAGAGGCCGAATTCTTGGTATTTGAAGGCGGCGATATCTTTCAAGGCCAGGCAATAGTATCACAGCCGATCGTCACCATCGCCGCGGGAACGATCGCAGTCAGTCCCAACACCACCTTCAACCTGAGCGATGCCAACGCAGTGAGCCTCTTCAACGGGCTGAATACTCGTGTTATGCAGGCTTCGCACCTGCGCTGGTTAACGCATTTGTTATTCGGCATTGTCACGTGGATGAACATTGGTACATTCTATCGGCTCCCTCATCTTAGTGAGTGTCCTTTGTTAGAACTTCCTAATCTGCGTAGGGTCTTGGTAGGGTTTGCCTATCGCTGGCGGGATGTCGCCATGGTCGAAGGCCGATACGCCGATGTTGTTGAAGAATTACGGGTAGATGATTCGGGAGATGGGGCAGAAGTCACTGCAGTTACTGCAAGATCGATGAGGGAAATTCACCCTATTGTCGAGCTTACAGTTGTGACTGCAGTTCAGGCCACTCGGCCACTAATGCAGGCACTTAGACAAGCCGGTATAGAAGTTGCATGGGGTGAAATTCGCAGCGGCATCACGAGGAGGAGAGATCGCGTGTAGCTCAGACATCAAACCCATGTTATACAGTAGTTTATTACGATGCTGGTCGAGAACTGCAGGCTTGTTTGTGCTGTGTTTGATGCTACTAGAGGAGTAAGTTACGTTACAGAAGATTCCACTGCACCCTGGAAAGGCGCCAAAGTGCCGAGATTGAATCCAGTCTTCGTTTCTCAGCTAAAATAGACCAAAACTTAGGTCATAACTATTACGATTTACATCGTTCGACTTGGATATGGTAATCATCACTGTATGCAGTAATTTACATCGCAAGGACTAATCCAGTTGCTCAAGTCATCCTGGTCGTCTTTTGTCCCCTAATTACCTGTTTGGGAAGCTTGATCCAGAATTGGTCAAGCGTAAGAACTAGGCCACATCATAGGGCTTAGCGCTGAGCAGCGGCCCAGAGCTCCGGAACCCACCTGCGATGACAGCTTTCCATTCCTCTAATGAGAATCATCCCACCACGCCTCAAGCACCTTCTGAGAAAGATGGGGCAATCACATTCAATTGACGAGCCTCGCTCCAAGGAGGAGATAGCGGGCGAGCTGGTGAGTATAATCGTTCCCACTCGACATTAACGGATCGCTCTGATCAGACGATGACAAGCTGGAATGAAGCTGACAGCCCGGGATCTAGGCAGAGAAGTTCGCCCGCAAATGCTTCGAACCCCTCGAGCTTTACTCCTTCAAGGATAACTTCAAAAACCTCGCCGACCACGAACAAGATGTTCGATATCTCAAGGAGGATACGATTGCGCGATTTCTTGAGCTCCCCGACATACTCGACGTCTCGCCCGTCGTCTTTCACATGCTCAGCTACATCGGCGCATTCCCCTTCCTGAGCGATGCGCCCGCCGTCCTCGGATTCGAACAGATGATCAGCGTCGTGGCAATTATGACGGAGAGGTACACCAAGATATTGGTCAAGGGCGCAGCGACTCGCAGGAAACTGCTATTCAAAAGCCTGGCTGTGTATGATCGCGACATGTCTGAGAAGCAGACGGAGACGGCGGAGAAGGCGGGGCTGAAAGGCGAACCCAGCGACGCTCGGAGTCACGTTGCTGGGTTCCCTGTCGATGAGCCGGGCGAGGAATTCGACGAGCACGAGACCGCTGATGATGACGAGCTTGTGCTGGCTGCACTCGACTCGTTGGACTTGATTGATGCTTTCAAGACAGGTGATAAACACTCCGCGACAACACACGGAGCCATGATCCCCGCGGATAACTTCCGAAGACTGATCATGTTACTCTTACTGGTTGCCCCTCTCGATGCCCAGGAGACCTTATCCAATTACGCCGAAAGGGTCCTTGGGGAGGAGCTAGAGAGCCTCCGGGCAACCGCAGAGAACATCCTGTCGACTTTCCTCAACGTGGAGAAGTCTCCTGGGATTACCTTTGCGCAGTTTAATAGAGTGTTGCCGCTCAACTTCCCTTTCCTGTTCAATGGCTTCAATGCGTTGTTCGAACATTTCTTATTCTCTAATAATCTGGACCTCTCGAGACGAAAAGACAGCATATCGAAGTCAATCCCACCCCTCATCGCAAAACCTCCACTCTTGCAAGACAAGGGTCAAATACTTAACCTGAACGTGCTATCTCAGCTATCTTTTTTCATACCAGGCGACGAGCTTTTCTGGAAACTTCGCCTCCTATACTCTGGTGCCGATGCCGGGTTTTCCATGGGTAGTTTCGAGACCAAAGTCTTTAACTGGCGCGCCCCAACCATCTTGCTCGTGTCTGGCACGAGGTTGAATGCGTCGTCACAAGCCCACGGATCAGAGGCAACATTCACAGAATCGCTACCTCCCAAACGCTTTCCGAATGGCACCCCGCCTGGTCGAGACCGTGTTGTTTTCGGTGTCATGGTGCGGCAGCCATGGCGGCACACGCACAAGGAGTGTTTCGGCGACAGCGACACGATTTTGTTCCAACTAAGCCCAACCCACGACGTCTTCCCGGCGTCCATCGTGAATAAAGACTACATCGACTTCTCAAGGACACCGGGGACGTTTTCAGGTATCACTATCGGGTGTCCGCATCCCAAATCTGCGCAATCATCTCGACATCCGACGGTGCGGGCGTTGGGTCCGGTATCTCTGGTCATTGACTCAAGCTTCGAGTTTGGCATCTTCACACACGACTATACCTCCCGAGGCGGGGCGTTTGCCACGAGCACTTCGAGAAAGTTCAATTTCCAGGACAGGTTCGCGATAGAGGATATCGAAGTCTGGGGGTGCGGCGGCGATGCCGAAGCCAAGATCCAAAAGGAGAGATGGGATTGGGAGGCCCGAGAGGCGGAGGCCAGACGCAGGATCAACCTGAGTACAGGTGATCAAGAGGCAGATCGTGCGCTACTGGAGATGGCGGGTTTGATTGGAAATAACCGGAGCGGAGGGTCCATCGCATAAACGGAATGACATGTGGCATTTTCAACGGTGGCGGTAATGGGTTTTGGATTATAATGGTTGGGGTTACACGGCGTTTGGACACAACAGAAACTGTACTTCTTTCAGGGGGTTGACCGATAATTAACAGGTTTTATGCCGTGTAAGTCCCAAGAGATTGGCTCTCTGTCACTTAAACAAGGCCAAAGGCGCAAGTGAGTCATGATTTGACGATCTGGATGGATCATTTCCCAACCACCTTGCTCATGATAACATAATCGGGTACAACCTCCTTCCCGTACCTCAATCTCCTAGGCTCGGGTGATATATCGTCCTTCTTAAACCCGAGTTTCTTGTAAAAGTCCAGTGCTCGCTTGTTGCTCGTGAAACACGTCAACATGACCTTCTCAACCGTCGGCACATTCACCGCCACATCCTCCAAGAAACTTATGAGGAGTTTGCCAAGTCGGGTGCTAGTCGTCTCAGTCAGCTACATGGCTTGACTTCGTGTTGGACTTACACGCGAAAAGCTCAGTGAACACAGCCAAGAATGAGGGCAGGAGAACATATACCTACCCTTGCAGCTCTCCCTTCAAGTGGATCTCATAGCAATAAACCACCGGCTGTCCCTCCTCATACGTTGGCATCAGCGACGTGAACCCTCTTATGTCGCCTTGGCCATCTTTGACCACGATGTATCTCAGCTCAGGCGACTTCATCTCGTCGAGCTTCTTGGCGGGTTTCCAGCCTAGTGACGAAGGTTCGTAGTCCGCACGACTGGTTTCTTCTACTAGGGAGAGGCACGATTTCAAGTCTTTCTCTGCCAGGGCGCCTGAGGATATGAGACTGATGGTGTACTTGGCATCGGTTCGAGGGTGTATCCACTCGGTCCAGGACGGGCTATGGATAGGTCAGATGGTCGGTTGCATTTGCCATTTTTGATGATTGAGGCTTGTGGTCTCTGGGCTCCGAGAAACTTCATTGTGCTACTGGCGATCGGGGTGAATTGGGTAACCAACCTAGGTTGCAGATACTGCGCAATGAATTCTTCATCGCTCTTCCGGATGGCATGTTCGATAGCGTTGGCGGTTGTGCGCCGCCGTTTCGCCGTGCTCTTCAGGTCCGACATTTCGTAACCTTCGATATAGAAGAAGGGGATAACCAGAAAAACCAAGCCGAAACTTCATAGCCTCACAAAGAGATGTTGTCATGACATGAGAGAGAGAAATGGATTCTTGACTGACACTCGGCAACTGTGAATGCTAGTGCCGACGGCCCCACTTAAAACTCGGCGCCGTTCCATCTCCAGATTGGATCATCATCGTTCTTCGACCCCTACGACCAAACGACATCTGGAGATCTCAGACTTCCCCACGGAACGCTTCAATGTCTCGATAGACTATTTTTACTCATGCGCTCCTTCCGTTCACCTATCCCGAGTCCCGCCTGGAGACTTCAGAACTATGCGACTATTGCACCCAAGGGGGCCCGTCTCGGCACGGCACTGAGCCTCGATCACGTCAGTATTCGGCCGCTTCTGGTCCTGCCCCTCCGAGTTACTGGGCCTTTGCTGATCCTTCCGATACTCAGTTCCTCCTCCGTGCCCGAGTCATCTCCCTCTACCGAACCATCCTTCGAGGCACCAAGCACATCGCTGACCCTACCACTCGAACCGAGACGCGTGGCTTTGCGCGCGCCGAGTTTGAGCGGCATCGTGGAGTTACGGATCTAGGCCACATTCGCTACCTTCTATCAACGGGAAAGACGGAGTGGGAGGGTATGGAGCGGTCCATTGGGGGGCTGTAGAGATAACTACGCTATTGCAGATGTAGACCAGCCCAATATTTGTTGTGTTTATAGACCAGACGCCGAAACATGTACATGTAATATCTGCAGGACAACCTCGCAGCATTTCCCCAGTGAATAGTGGTCATGAATCAATGCAAGATGCCACAGAAATTGCTGCCTGCTTTTGTTGTACAAGTGCATTATGACACAGCTCGTCGACTCGTATGGCCGCTTCCTCTCGAGCCCTCTGACGCTCGTTTATAGCCTGAACGCAGCCAGGCTTCCCATCATGCGGCTTCCTCTATCCTTGCCGTTGCTTGTGTCTCGGGTTTGCACTGCAAATGATGTAGATATAGCCTCGGTGTCGCTTGTTCGCCTTTCTTCGCACGACCTGTGACGCGTTATGGTCAGCCGATGAATGCCTACACCTATACTTGTAGATTTATTTGGACCAAGCAGGAATTTTCATTTCTTATCCAAGCTCAAGCTCGCGCTTTCCTGTCCAATTCCAGGGTCTCAGATCCAGTGCGCACTCCCACTCACCTTGCAATGCTCGCACCGCCTCTTGACGGAGCTGTGTACCTTCATCCCCCGCATCTGCTGCTTGACAGCCGCCACCGCCTTCACCGCACCCATGACAGCCGTCGTCGTGGGCCTCGTGGACGTTTTGAGTCCGGGAAGAGCGTAGGAAATGGATCGCACGGATTGCTTCGTCCGGATAGCGGCGTAGGGGGCGGCTGGCTTGCCCGTTCGGAGGGACAATGCCCGCATAGACGACAGAAGCAACTTCGTCGTCATCTTGGATGCTGAGCCGCACATGATTGGTAATCGTTTGTCGAGTCGAAGCACTGGAGAAGAAATTGGGTCAAGTCGGCATGTTGCGATTTGGGGATGGTAGCCGGGCCGAAAATTTGGTGGTCTGAGCTTCCTAACGGTTAAGGATCGTCGTTCGGAGCTACCCTATATCGCATTAAGGCGATTGAACCTATGGCCTTCACAACCACGATCTTCAGGTTCAGGTACTGAAGGCGAAAGCTGCACTCAGTAGTGAACAAGCGCAACTAATATCATTTCTGCCAAGTTACCCTATTTCAAAATTTATGCTGCGATTGCTCCAAGTCTACATGTTAATTGTTAGTAGCAACGTATACTTAGATATACATAGAGAAGTGGTGAAGGATTTGGCAAGGAGCTCGAGAAACCGCTTCCAGATCGTGAGATATTGCATCCTACAACAAACAAGCCTTCCAAAGGTCTCTTTGCAAGTAGCTTTCAACTGCGCCACAGAGTATAGTATGAAATTATGCGCAGTGTACTTATGGGATTGACGGTGAAGTAATTGGTATCTACCAGACACGGATGATTACTTGGTAATGTGGTGTTCCGTAATGATCCCATTCGTCACACCTTGATAAGATACATTATCGCTTGTTATGCTATCCCTTTCACCTTCACGTATTGATGTCGTCTTGTTTTCCCTAACCCAAGCTCCATCTATGTATCAGAGTTCTAATACCCCGTATCAGTGTAAATTTATTTGGTTCTTAATGCCGGAGATACCTCCTGTTCGGGCTTGGATCGGTTGGATGATATTATCTTGACCACCTCTCCTGTCTCTAGCGTTGGCGTATATTGGCTCAATTAGTTTTAGTGCCTTTCATCGACTACATGACAGGCACGACAACCGAAGCAATGGGAAAGCAGTTAACTTTATTTGTATGAAGCAAAAACACTTTTAGTTTGAGGCTAAGAGTTGAGAACGCAGAAGCTAGAAACGCCTACTTCAGAGAGCCAAATTAGTCCTTGAGAAGTCAGCCAGGTCCTACTTTTTTCCCCAGTCTATTTCACATCTCGCTCATCATCCGGCTTGAAAACTTCTCAAACAAATCCGCTTATCCACCTCCTGAAACTTCAATAATTCTGGAACCGAAAAGCTACATTCATCCTCAGATAGAATGGTAAAAGGACACAGTATCCGTACTGTTATCGTAATCGACCTGACACCTCTCCGAGAAGCCACCAAACATGGCCTCTCTCTCCTGCAAGAATTTCAGAAATCCGCTTTCCGAACAGCTCGTCCCCGGCCCATCGGTGCACCCCGGTAGCGCTTGTGGTGCACGATTCACCAGGGCACGGTAGTAGTTCCCATCATCAAACCCGTAGCTTCCAGTGCAAGACAAACGCTCAAGGGCCAGGTTTCCCAGACACGGCGTTATCTCCGATGTCCGCCACGCCCGACGCGGGTTGATGCGATCGAGTGGCATCGTGTCGTTGATAGATGCCGCCGTGCCCCCGAACGCCGAGTTATTGAACAGGCCCATAGCGACGAAGACCATAGACGGCAGCGTGCGGTGCGAGATACCGACGTAGATGTCCTCGTCAGCGCTCTCGGCCATCAACATATTGGCGGTGACGTTGAGCCAGGGAAATCCGATGGTGCCGGATAGGGGGTTGCCGTAACCGACATCGTAGTGGTATCGAATGTCGTCAGCATACTCCCAACCGAGTCGTTCGTCGGGTGTGAAGAGTGCGGGATCGCAAAAGGGAGACTGGCCGCGGATGACGGACTCATAACCGCATAGAAGTATCATCCCCACTATATCCGTCGTGGTGAAGTTGTATGCAGGGGCTAGGGCGTTGTAACGTGCCTTGATGGGCTTGGTGAAGAGTTCACGGTAAGTGGAAGCCTCGTCATTCCCTTCGTGGTAGATGGTACAAGCCTGGTATGGAACTAAGCTGTTGGCACCACCGAGGTTTCCTTCGACGACACTGACGAGGTCGACTGGGTGGTCCTCGGTATGCAGCCCGCGCACAAACGCCTTGCCCGAGTCGAATGTGCGCGGTGGCGCCGAAGCCCAGACCCGAGAGGGAACTCTGAGGTGTGGATATCGCAAGGTGATGTCAATGGCAAGTTCTATGGCCTCCATTTCGCCGATTTTAGTGACCTGTTCCGGCGTGTCGGCCCCGGGCGGGAATGGTGTCTTGTAGTCGGCCAAGAAGCTCAATGGCGCTACATGAGCCCAGTCTGTACCCGTGTGGTTCGCCCATTTTGACAGGAATGGTTGGATCCAATCCTCATAATCATCGTCGTTTACGTTGATAGCGCCATGGCGGGTTAGGTAGGAAGCGCGAGTCACCGTGCAGCCCTGAGGGGCTTCTGGGGATGCAGGTTGTGAATCTAGAAGCTCAAAATATGGGGATGCCCGGCCGAGGTGCTTCAAGGCATTGAAGTTGTAAGGTTCGTAGAACGCGGCATGGGATACCGCCGCCAAGATGATGAGTACGAGTTGGCGGCTCAGGGAACATCCAAGAGGAGACATGATACTTGGTATAACACTGTCGTGACCGTGACAGAAATTCAGGACACTGACAGCAGGAGTTACAGCATGGACATGACTCCAATTTGTATCGCATTTGCCGTTTTGTCAGTGATAGCCCAGCATATCTCATTTAGTCAGTGTCATGTAGAGGTCGCCATCATTGAGACGTGAATATCCTGCTAGATCGGGCCTTAGTTTTGAGCCGTTAGCGCTCTTTCCTTAACCGGAAGGTAGTGACTGAGGAGGATGATCGTGTTCTTGTCTTCACCCACGTCATTCGACATCTCTCGGACATAACATAAACAGCCGAAGTCAAACTGCAGTTCCAATATAAATTGCGCCAAGAATGCCCAGAAGATATTCCAAATGCAAGCAGGTGGATGTATTCTTACCCGCCGTGCAAGTAGGCTATACCTAAGATGGAGTTTCTAGGAACTAAGAGTTTGTCCGCACTTCAAGATATAACTCACTATTTAACTTTTCTCAATGAATCGAGCAAGAAATATCTACGTGGACTCTCCCTAAGATCTCAGCTGTGTGCCTGGTAATGGGTATAGTAATCTCTAGCAGGTGGCCTATAGTCTAAGACCCCATCAATTGACCTACCTATGCAATTTGGAAATTAGCCCGCAATTCCCAACACGCTACAGGCCGCTAATTGGTTCGAGCAAGGTGTAAATACGAAATCAACTTTTTCAAGCACAATCGAATTAATGCGACGATCCAACACAGCATAATAGCTCCAGCCTGTCCCTAATTGTTTGTACGGGACGGGTCGTCTACTTGCCTCATGCATCAGCATAGTGTAATTGTGCAGCTAGTTCTGCAAGTCAATCTTTGACAGGGTCTCATGCATTGCAGATCCCCGGCAGTCTTAAGTACGCCATATGGCGGAAGCGTGACCAGCTGCCTGAAAAGCTCAATAGTGTCATGCGACCACTTGCCAAATTCGGTATTTGAAATATTCCTGGCTGAAACATTCCTGGCCCCTACTCAACTTCGGTGATGTTGCACAACTGCACGGCAAATTTGATGGATCTACAAGTGCCTGCATAATGTCGACAAGTTATCAACTTCCGCGATAACCTTCTTTGCTTTAGGATGTCAAATTCAGCTACTACTCGCTATGATCCCTGCTCGTATTTCTCTTACTTTGCAGGGTCGATCATTAGTGCCGGCGGCAATACGATGCAGCAGAAACTTGGAGTATCAATGTATTTCGCTATCAACAGACCACGGATGGATCGGATAGGTAATAATTCATGACAGTGCCTATTTTCACAACACTCAAAAGCTAATGACATAATGAGAGGACTACGAAAGGCCTTGTCCTTAAGCAATGCCTGAGCACTTCCGCTGTCAGAAAGTTCATATTCGAGTCGCTGTCTCACCATGGGGCTTAATTGTGCGACGGTAAATTCGCACTGCTTTGCATCACCCGTTTCTTTGCGATGAAGGGTTTTTCTTAGCACCTTTTTTGAAATGCGGGAAACCGAAATAATTCTGAAACACGAATCTGTTGATGTAACAGATGCAAGTGTCGTTAGGTTTAAGCCTGGCATCCGCCGTGACCGAAGGAAGGTGGTATGCTAAGACATGCCATTGCATCGGCACTTGGCAGATAATACTATGAGGTTTTGAAGTGATAAGGTATGCACTACAACTCCCATCTGTAACGGTAAGGAAGTTTGAAGAAGGTGAGGCCACTTGCTACGTCATAAGACTTACTATACATACATTCCAAGGCGTATGCCACCATGATACGTAGATATGCATAGTTTGGGCACTGGTCATGTCCAAGGCGATAGATCCGCAACCATGATACGCGTATACATGCATTCAAACACCATCATGCTCTAATTGACGAGGTGCCCGGTGGGTTTCACGATAGTCGGTGGTTTTATTTCCGAGGGAAACAGATCGATACCTTCCTATGTAGAACTTATAGTCACATCACTGATAACAGGGATAACTGAGACCGAAAAGTCACTGATTGAGGGCGTATTGTAACTAGAACATAGAAACAGATCGATGCATTTCACAAGGCCTATTCAGGCACCTATCACAGCAATATAAGGAGACAGAAGAGGTCCTAATTTGCTAGACTTTTCCACCATAGTATATAAGCGAACCTGCTCGATAATCTTCTCACACAACAAGACAAACCAGGATCCTTCAATCATGAAATCACAGACTCTTACACAGCCACCAAACAACATGGAACCGCTTACTTCTCGACGGGACGGGCCTTCAAATCAACACAACGAATATGTCAAATCTCATCCAACAGAGTCCACCCTGACGACCAGACGCTCCGAGTCAAGCATTGACGGCCTAACCCTAGCCCCAAGCATCGAGGCCGCAATATCAAGGTCCTCCGAAAAGCCATCCATCACCGACGGCGAGGCCGGCCGCTGCCCCCAATCACTCGAAGACCAGACCTTACGCCTCCCCTTCTCACGTCTCATCACCGCCTACCTCTGTCTCGCCTCTATATACTTCATCTCCATCCTCGACGTGAACTCCGTCGCCACTGCTCTCCCCGCCATCTCAAAATCCCTAGGCGGCGGTAACTCCATCACATGGACCGGCACGGCCTACGTGATGGGCCAGACGGCCTTCCAGGCTTTGTACGGGCGACTATCGGATATTTTCGGTCGCAAACCCGTGCTGATGGCGTGCATCGGGTCGTTGATTATCGGAGATGTGCTGTGCGGGTTTGCAAGAAATGTGACATGGTTGTATGTTTGTCGAGCGCTGAGCGGGATCGGTGGAGGAGGCATTAGCTCGCTTGTGCAAATAACGGCGAGTGATCTGGTTAGTTTGAAAAAGAGGGGGAAATATCAAGGGATACTTAGCTGCGCCATTGGACTGGGGGCTAGTACGGGGCCTTTCGTCACGGCTGGTTTGTTAAGTACTGGGCGTGAGGGCTGGAGGTGGGTTTTCTGGGTGCCTCCAATGCTGGCTGCCGTTTGTATGGCGGTCATGTGGGTTTACCTACCTCTGAAGCCTGTCGCCGGCTGTTATTCCGATAAACTTCGGAAGATCGACTGGTTCGGCCTGGTGACTGTAGTAAATGGCGTGCTATTTGTCTTGGTCAGTATAGCCTCTGGCGTCTTGTTGTCCTGGATTGTGGTCTACCTCTTACTAACATCATCCAGATCCCAATAAACTCAGGCGGAAGCATCTTCCCCTGGAATAGTGCCCTCGTTATCACACTAATAGTTGTGGGCGCCGCACTTTTGGTTCTTTTCGTTGTGGTCGAAATATGGATCGCCAAAATCCCTATGATCCCCTTACGGTTGTTCAAAAGGCTGTCCACGACTACTATCTATCTCCAAAGTGCCCTGTACAACGGGGTATGGCAGATAGACTTGTATTTCTTGCCCATTTACTTTCAGGATGTGAGGAGTTTTACCCCTCTGCAAAGTGCATTGTATATCTTGCCTCTTCTCCTCACCCAAAGCATTGCTGGAATAGCCGCCGGACAAATCATGTCCAGACTGTCTCGGTATGTCACATCCAAATTCCCTTTCTGTGCTTTTTTCTTTGAATTCTTCTGGCTGACAGTATTTCTTCCAGACCAGGGCCCGTGATATATGGCGGACTGGCACTTTGGTTGCTCGGTGCTGGCTTAAAAGTCCTCTTCTCACGTACTACGCCAATAGGTGTATACGTTATTTCGTTAATCATTGAAGGAGCTGGCGTTGGGTTTATTCTGCAACCAGGTTAGCCCCAGCTTCGAAACATGGAATAACCCTTTTACTAAGACATATTCAGCCCTGGTCGCGTTACAAGCTCTGTCCAACCCGGAGGATCGTGCAGTGGCCACGTCGACACGGAACCTGATGCGGATGTTAGGATCCGTTTTCGGTCTGGCAATCTCAACTACTGTCTCATTCGAGGTTATGAAGTCAGGATTGCCGACCGAGATCCCTGCTTCTCTCCGGGATCGTGTAATCGCAGGTACTTGGGAAAGGGGCGAACTGGGTTCGGAGCTATGGGAGTCGGATATTATGAACGCAAAATTGAAAGGCCTGCACACCGTGTTTATTATGTTGGTCCCAATTATGGCACTATGTCTCCTGAGTTGCATTTTCATTCCTAATGTGGTGTTGAAGGGGGATCCGAAGAAGATTGACGCGAAGAAGAAGGTGGAAAACATTATATCAGAACAGGGTATTAGATAGACTTTCACTGGCATTCATCGGCAGGTTGGGGCAATTCACATTTTTTCTGGCATTCAAGAGAAAGGAGAAACAGGATAATTGCATCTAGGCAAGGTCGTTGGAATAAAAAGTAGATTGTCAGCAGAAATGTATTATGTCAAGTTGAAGCCCATGCATTCGAAGTATACCGGTCCATGTGGCTCGAGAAGAGTGAGTGTGACACTGACCCGACAAATATTTCCTGGATGGACGCTGGATTAATTTGAGATACACGCGCTATGTACGTCCTCTTATGCTTCGGCACTGCTTTGCATGTTCTTGGATATGGATTTATTCAGTGCGTATTCGATGACCCAACCCTTCCTCAATCCAAGAAATCCCAAGTTGACCAATAGACCAACACCTTTAACGGATTATTGGTCAGAGTTTGTGAAACAAACAAAGTCTTCGCTAGGTGCAGCAGGTCCAGATCAGATCGCCATGACCGCAAGCTGTGGAGCAGGCAGCCGCACAAGCCTCAGCGCTTCGGTAGATTGCGCAAGCCCTAGCCATATCAGCAAGAGAGCTCTGTTGGTTGATCCGAAGATAGCGAAGCCATGCTTCGGAGTAAGCTTTGAATGAAATGCTTACCGTTCTTCAAGTCGGCTTGGGGCCGCCAGAGCTAGGCCGAAGGCCATAGCGAGAAGGGCAGTTCGGGTGGTGTTGAGGATTTGCATTTTGCGTTGTTATCTGGAGGAATTGTAGGGAAGATAAAGATTGAGAAACAGGTTGATCTTGAACTGATGTCATGTGAGACCAAGCCTTATATACAACACATGTCAGCAGATTTTCATTGCGCATTATGCGGGCGCCGTATCGAATCCTTCGAGACAACTGATACACATCATCTTACGGTTCTTGTCGGACCTTCCCTTTAGGCATTGGTCGCATTCAGCCGTATTACCTGGCTTGGATTAAAAAGGCCATGGGCTCTCAGTAGGATGATAAACCCTGCCAATGCTCGCTCATTGGACTGGTGAACTCCCTAATCGGTGGTAGGTATACGAACTCCATAGCGGGATATTCTGGGCCTCCTGTCAAACGATTAGATGGGACTGCTTGCTATACCAAAACTGTGGGAAGCGATATGCGGCCTGGAAACTCGCATGGTTGTATGTCAGATCTCGGTGTTCGACACATTGCACAGGTCGGTGCGGGTTGCTCAGGGGTAGGCCGAATCTCGCCAAGTTAGGAATTGTAGTAATACAAGCCGAGACCACCATGGCATCAAGTAGGCATGCAGCATATAGATGCAGTTCGATCGTGTGTTACGCCGGGGGCATATTCTATATTGGCTGCAGTTGGTAAATCATGCGTGTTGGTGTCGGTGACCCGATCAATTCGATGGCATCTGGATATTGAACATTGTCGGTTTTCTTCCGCACGCTCTAGATAAACTCCGTACGCCTCTAACTCCGGCGGAAATCTCACAGCAAATACGTTTTATTTCCGCACCAAATCATAGACATCCATATTAACCTTCTGCCACTTGCCATCCATTACTAGAATCTAATTTCGTAAGAAAGTCTGGAACACTGAGCTCTGCGTGCAATCACTCCACGGGTAGCCAATTTCCCTGAGGAACTTCTCCAGCTCGGGCACTTCGGCATCGGGGCACTGTATTCCCGCGACGATCTTGCCTACGTCACTTCCACCGTTGCGGTACTGGAAGAGGCTGATGTTGTACCTTAACTTAAGTACGGTTAAGAACTTTATCAGAGCGCCCGGCCGCTCGGGGAAATTGAACATGTATAACCGCTCATCTGCGACGTCGGAACGTCCGCCGACTAGGTACCGAATGTGCGACTTGGCGAGCTCGTCACCCGAGAGATCTGTCACCGTCATGCCGACAGACGTCATACGGTTCATCAACGTCTGAAGCTCGGACGCGCGCTGAGATGCTGCACCTGCGAGTGACATACCCACCAGCACGTTGGCAACCTCGTTCGTAGCATAACGATAGCTGAACTCGGTCACGTCGTGGGGCATGATGGTATTGACGAGTTCGTGGAAGGCTCCAGGGCGCTCGGGGATGCTGACGGAGAGTAGGGCCTCCTTGCCCTCACCCAGGGCAGCGCGTTCAGCAACAAAGCGCAGGCGATCGAAATTCATGTTCGCACCGCTCGTGATGGCAATGACGGAGCGGTTGGGGTCGCCGGATGGATTGTTCGTAACCCATTTCTTCAAACCAGCAAGGGCAAGCGCACCGGCGGGCTCGACGATGGATCGAGTGTCTTCGAAAACGTCCTTGATGGCCGCGCATGTTTCATCGGTGTTGACTTGGACGACCTCGTCTACCACTTCTTGGCAGATGCGGAATGTCTCTTCGCCCACCGTCTTGACTGCTGCGCCGTCGGCGAAAAGTCCAACTTCTTTCAACACAACCCTCTTGCCCTGTCGCAAGGACTGAGCCATGGCATTGGCATCCTCTGTCTCCACGCCAATGATTTTGACGTGGGGCGCTATGCGCTTCACGTAGACGCCGATTCCGGCAATCAGACCACCGCCACCTACACAGCAGAAAATGGCCTCGAGCTTTTGGATGTTCGTTTGTCGCAACAGTTCCATGCCAATAGTACCTTGCCCAGCAATAACGTACGGATCGTCAAAGGGTGGAATGTTAATTAGGCCATGAACCTTTTCTAACCTCATACATTCCTCCTGCGCGGCGTCAAAGTCTGGGCCGTGCAATACCACGCACCCACCCATTCTCGAGACATTTCGAAGCTTGATACTCGGGGTACCCTCGGGCATAACAATAGTCGCGGGAATCTTAAGTTTTCGTGCAGAGTAGGCGACGCCTTGTGCATGGTTCCCAGCACTGCACGCTACCACGCCTTTCCAGCTCAGGTTCCTGTCCAGATGTGCCATCTTGTTATAGGCGCCGCGCAGCTTGAAGCTGAACACGGGCTGTTCGTCCTCTCGCTTGAGCAAGACATTGCATTCGAGTCGGTTTGAGATATTGACGGCAGGCATAAGCGAGGTTTCTTTGCAGACTTCGTAGACTCGAGACGTAAGGATCAAGCGGAGGTACTACAGCAAGAGCATCGATATTAGTCACACGAAGAGAAGGCTCCCCAAGGGTAAAAGTATCAATTGATGCCGGTTTCGAGCCAATTGAGAAACCGGGTTACTAACATCGGGATGTCCGTTAGGAAGCAGATACTCTGCTGGTACGGTCTTCTTCATCCGCTCCCTCTTGGCCTCTGAAGGCGGCGACGGGTTGGCGCTGTACTCTGTGAGAGACAGGCCCGACATTGACGGTGTGCGCGGGACATGGCCGTTGACATGGCCGGTACCATTGGCGACACCATTGGCTAGAACTGTATCAATTGGAACGGCGTTGGGACCTGCCATCGTGACTTTCTGTGCGAGCCTCAGATGTTGTAGGAGGGAGATGCGACTTCGCAGCTACCGTTCTTGTAGTCACAGTGTTTGCTGGGGATTTTTTTTTGGTGGGGCAATGATACGATACAGGGGTCCATGGTTCGAGCTCCTGGAGGGGTTCTTGAGGTCTTAGCGGGCAGACGGCGGCAGGCCCCATCGGTGATTAGATAGTGGTTCCAGCTTGCCCGTTCGGCAGAAGCTACGAATCCATGTCATCATTGATTTTTACAGTCATTTACTCGAGCACCCGTCGTACAACGACGTTGATATCAGCGCAACCTAATTCGACCGAGAAACCACAGAGCTCAACATGGCTGACGATCGGTCTATGCCGTCGTCATTCGACGACGACAAGTGCGTCATATTGCTCCAGGAGCCATTCCACAGCGCGCGAAGCTCACGTATAGCAGAGAGTACAATGAAACTGGCTGGCAGAAAGTGTCCCGGAAGCTGCGGGAAGAACCTCTGGTACCCCTAGGTCAGCCTACATTCGATCCATTGTGGCCTCACTAGCCGTAATTGACATATGTTCGCAGGAACGGTCCTGACGTGTGCCGCCCTTTACAACGCCTGGATAGGAATGCGACGTGGTGACCATGCTCAAGTCCAACGAATGTTCCGGGCGCGTATCGGTGCCCAAGCATTCACAATTTGCGCCATAGTCGCCGGAGGAGCCTACTACGGAGCCGATCGTGAGAAGCGCAAGGAGTTGATCAAGTTAGAGGCACAGCAGCGGGCAGAGGAACGCCACCAGAAGTGGTTACGCGAACTCGAGATACGAGACGACGAGGACAAACAATTGAAGGAGCACTTGAAACGGAGAAAGGAGCGTGTACTGCAGAAGAGGGCCGAGGACAAGGAGAAAGAGGGTGTTATAGACGGTTTGAAAGCCGAGACGACGCCAGACGCTGAGGGACAGGTGCCAGTGCAGGAAATCAAAGAGGGCTCGACTGTGCTGGGCGCTTTATCACAGGCTGGTGGGTGGTTTGGCACAGGCAAGAAAGAAGATCCCAAACATGCCGAGAAGGAACAAGAAAAGCCGAAGAAATGATCTGGACCGGCATGGAGTCTCGGGTCTTGGCGCAAATGTATTATATTGTTCGTAGTTGAGCTGGTAGGGTCAAGTCGTAAACTTTGCATCCATGCTTAGTCTACAGCCAGGGTTACACATGAATCTGTTTGGACTCCGGAAATTGGCGGCTGTGGCTATCACAGGCGAGATATATGCGAAGCATACCACTTCACTCGAGGATTTACGTCACTGTGCTGTTATACTTGTAGTAATGCAAGGATGAATTGACCGATTCTTCACCTGGGTGTGTTTATCAATAGGATAACGTGATTGAAAAGTGCAGTCCTTGCCTCTTTTAGAAATACAAGATGATCTTTCCTGGCTGCAACGAATGTTAACAAACGCGCCGTTCCAGTATTTTGAGTTTGATCCAGTGCCACTGCTGAGTCTATTAATACCGTAGGTTCACTATGATGCCTCCACAGCTGGGGATGGAACGAACATGACACAACAAGGGAGTCAAATCCTAATCAGTCGTAGATCTTCTCGAAATGATGTTATAATTTGCAGTGCACCATTGAGGGTACATAAGTAATTAAGCTTAGTCAGCACCATAGAAATTCACAATGATCAGGCTACGTAGTTTCCAAGTGTGATAAAAACCTGTATTCGACGCCACGGCCATATACATATTCAAACGAGCTGGTAATGAAGCTAGAGGAAGTTTGTGAGACGCATAGATACGGGAGCTTTCCTACGTGTACTTGTTTCTGTCCGTGTCAAAGTTGGGTTATGTGGTCAAATTTTCACAATTGGCCTAAACGGACTCAATAATAAGATAGTCAGGGCTTGTTGGATGACAGGTTGGACTGACGCCATAGTCAACTAATTGGACCTCAAGGTTATATGTTCAGTCTATTTAAGCATAGGTGACCTTGCAGAATCAATCAAATAGTCATTGCTTCATCATTTTAGTCCTCCTGACCAACCTTTTTACTTCATCTCCATTGATCAAGTTCGTCCTGCACCAGTTGAAATGCGCATCACACCATTCGGTGTTTTTGGCGCTTTTGCCCTTCAATTAGCAGCCTTAGCACGAGGAACTCCGTTAGAACAAAACGATCGGGTTAGCATCAAGGGTATCATTCCAGAGGTTGAGGTTGAATATTGGGATGGAATCAAGTTCGACGCCCATGACGCGCAAAAGGCCAAGGAGACCTTGATTGCATGGGGCGAAGTAGGTGAAGTTTCCATGTTTCTTCTCGGAAAATCCTGCTTATATTCATTAGGTAACACGGTTGAGGGCAAGCACGCACACAAAGAGGTCTGGTCCTCTGCCTGCTGGTTCGTGTGTAATTGCAAGCATTTCTATCGAGATCCCGTACCGAGAGAGGAACTAGACGAGGTGGAGGAACTCATTAAAAATAAATGTGGAGACAACGCGGCTGGGTGGGTGTACAGCCTCAGGTGGGAAAAGTCCTATAATATCCAGAACTGGCATAGCATGTCCTACCGTATTCGTCACGGTAATTCGCATCGCGACGCGGCCTCCAGGCAACAAAAGTTGACTCCAGAGCAAGATGAGGTTATCGTGAACTGGATCCTACAAGAAGAAGTGTGTGGACGGGCTCCTAGCAAGCGTTATGTGGCCGACTTCGCTGCCGAAATCCTCCTTGCTCAAGGGGATAACAATACACTCGGCCAACACTGGGTGGATCACTTCGTTAGCCGCCATCCACAGATACGTACCAAAAATTGGGCGCGTCGTAGATGCTAGCCGAGTTAGAGCGTCCGATTCGAACAAGATCCGAGACTTCTACACCCTCCTCGAACGCTTACGTACGAAGTATCGTATCAAACCCGACAACGAGTATAATATGGATGAGACAGGTGTCAAAGAGGGGGAACCTGGGCATGGTACGTTATTGGGACGTCTAATTCACGCCGGGTACGCGTATCAAAGTCGGACGCTTCGTCGTGGTGCTCCTGGTTAGAGTACATTTCGCATACCCAACGGGGTACACCTGTCTGCGTATTTTCCGACAAGAGAGTCCAAGCACAGTGGTTCCCAGACCAAAATATCCCTGAGTGAGGATACACCGCGACGAGTAAGGGCTGGAGTAATAAAGTTATCGCAAATAGGTTTAGATCAGGTTTTTCTCCCCGAGACGAAGCCTAGGGGTACCGAATGGCGACTCCTTATCCTCGACGGCCACCAGACACATATTCATGCCGAATTTATGTGGAAAGCCTACTCGAATAGAGTCGCCGTGCTGTACTTACCCTCACACTGCAGTGACGATCTCCAGCCGTGCGATGTCGGGCCGTTCTCACCTTTGAAGACCTACTACCGCCAAGAGCTCAGGGCTTACGCTTCCTACAAGGCTACAGCCCCAATTTACAAGCAACGTATGCTAGAAGCATATCTACGTGCCTCGGAGAGAGCCTGTACTACGGAAAATATTAAATCTGGCTGGCGGAAGACTGGTATATGGCCCCTAGGCTCCGAAGGACTAGTCGACGTATCTTGTGATCCTCCGGAGCCTCATACACCAGATCCTCCGCCTCATATATCACCACCTTTAGTTGCTTTTACTCCTCAGAAATCGCATCAGCTATCTAGCCAATACAGTCGATAGAGGAAGCCGAGGGCGGGGTATCTCGTAAGATTCGTACCCTAGTAGGCAAGGCGGGCAAGGCCCTTACCCTCCAGGCCGCTGAGAATGCCAAATTACGTATCGAAAACGAGCAACTATATAAAGAACTGTCGGCTGGTGTAGTTGGTCACTTCGCTGGTAGATAAGTCCCGACTTGAGCCTCGCCCACTTGGGTCGGTGACGAGTCGCGGGTTCGAATCCCGCAGCTGACACACAAGGGGGTTTAGTCAACCCTTACGGCGCGCTGCCCACCTTGTTGACTTCGCCTACCTAGCGATAATAGGGAGATTGGTGCAGTTTAGGATTACGAGCATCCTAGCCAGTCGACCGTCAAGCACTACGTCGGCGGAATATAACTCGACAGCCGGTCCAGAATTCGAATCGTTAATCCGACCCCTTATCGGACCTCGCCTATCCGATAACGCTCGTCGGCGAACCCGTCCCCTCACGATAGAAGGCGCGCAGCACGCCCTCTCGCCGCGATTCTTGCGAGCGTCTAGACCACGTTACGGTCTATCCACTTGAGCGTATGGTTGAGATGTATACGCTCCAAGAGAACCCCAATTAGCAGATACTACGACTTGTCGCGACAAAAAATAGTCGAGCATCTTCTGCACATCAGCAGCATCCCACCCCTGAGGACGAATTTAAGTGCCACATTACCACACTTATCGGTAGTTCAGGCAGGGGTTGTAGCACAGACTTAGGGAGGGACAGGAGGTTTAGTAGTCGTTTGGCTACAAGTTTACCTGTATAACCGCCCGACGCGGCTTAAGGGCCCGCTATATCATCTATAGCCCCTTAAGGGAGTACTTGTAGAGGTACCGAGGGTTAACACCTACGGCGTATTTAATATTATTTATAAAGAACTGGATAAATACGCTCCAGATATACGCCAGCCCGTCGAGCCAGACCCGAATAAAGTATTCGTTAACTTATCAGCGATCCGAACAGCCCAGGACAAGCGAAATAAGCGAATACGGCCTATTTTACCGGATAAGCAGTTAGAAATTGATACTTTTCTCGAAGGAAGGGTCCCTCCTAAAAAGAGGGCTCGAAAGAATATATCTAAGTCCTCGGACACTTAAATTAAGTATGTTCTGTATATAAATAATATGGACGAAGTATTTAGGTTGATTCAGTTAGACCCTGCAAAATGGGGGTGCATGCAAAAAGGTGGTCAATGCGGTTAGACAAGTCCAAGTAACCACACCGATGAGTAGCGTTCCCTAGAACGTTGCCTCGTTTTTATCCATTCACCAGAATCAGTATAAAACCTGGAAACTTACTTCAGTATGCTTCAGGCTTTCTCTTCATGCGACGTAAGATATCGGACTTCTTGGTTGCAAATAAGAATCGAATTGAAGATCTCCGAAGAGTCTGAAATACCAAAGCGAGTAGACTTGGCCATAATGGCCCCAAATACATCAAGGAGTGACCGCTGCCTCCGAATTCAGCAGTAACATACATAAAAGATCGAGATCCGTGAATTCCGTCATATATGATCGTTGGGGCCTGAAAGCAAACGGCCCAACGGCTTGGAAAAGTTGGAAGATAAGACAATAACAGTAAGTTGGCTGTCGAGGTCCACACAAGACCAGTACTTGCATATGTTGGTTTCCCATATTGGTAGCAATATCGAATTTGTGCAATTTATTACTACCTGGATCTCGTCATAACGTCTTTGGCTTCTATTCACCTATATCATTCATTTCTCGTAGCATAAGGATAATGGCGAAACGCTTGTGATTACCCCAAAATGACATTCTGAACTTGGCCTTAGATTTCAAGTAACACGTTAATTGCTGTCATGGTTTGGCATTCGTAAATATTTCTTCGGTCCTCAAGCATTAACTTCCGAAGGCAACAGTGGCTCTGGTGAACTGCATTGTTCGTAACTAGGCCCACAACAACCATGGACTATACACAATAAACGCAGAAATCCCATCGAAGATAGATTCGCTGAATTGGTATGTGTTTCTTCAGTCGCCGCCCTCTAGTCACCTATTCATCCTGATGGAAATTTGGCCTTGGGTAGGTGTAGCGAACTTGAACTTCCAAGCTAGCCACGACGCGAAGAATTAACTGGAGTCGGGATCATTCAGTTTGCTGCACTGCAGCTTGAGAAACCTAACATACGAATCGGGTAACTCGAAACATGGAACGAGGCTCTGAAGCTGGAGAATCTAAAACTCAAGCACCTACTCGAAAGGGCACACCTTTCGCGCCCCACCGGAGCTGCCGGGTGTCATCGAAACCAAATCATCCCGTAGTGGCTCGTCACCATCATACCAGCGATCTGCTATAACATTGCGGAACAAAAACCGTCAATACTACTTTGTCACGACGACAGAGTCTTTGTAAGGCATATCCCAACGCTTGAACTCTGGTCAAACAGGCTACTCTGCCTAAGGCGCCTATTCGCCCTTTCGGGGATTAGGAACGGTCTCCGTGGATAACTTCGGCTAGGAAAACCGAAAGACGGAATAAGGTTTCGTCTGGAACGAGAACTGCTATCGACCAGTTGTTGGCTACGGCTCATGAGCTTTAGGTCAAGTCGGCACTAGACGACAAGGACTGGCTGTGCGGACCAGGGGCAAAAAGTGTAACTTGTAGACAAGGCTGGGCAAAAGCTCCTTGCCCGTGGGTTGAGCTTATCTCGGAGGCATTCTACCACGCTGCGAGGGAGTACGGGGCCGAATTTGGGCGTAGATTTTGCTTGCCAGCGCCCCGCCAAATGCAGTCTGGAAACCAGAAGTCGGAACGGGTTCTAGCCACCGACCGGATACGCAATAACCACTTCAACCTGAGTAGCAAAGGATCTGCACATGAAGATGCGTGAGGCAATGTTCAACATGATAGAACTTTGCAGTGAGGCCTATCAATTCCCAACTAGATCGATCCAGCGATAGGACCATCTGCTGAAGAAGGTCCAAAGGCTGACTGCCGTATTCCTTGACGAACCTCGGACCTTCCAGGCCGAAAGCATATGAGACTCCCCGCGGGCCAAAGCGAAGTGGAGAAGACCGAATCCTTCGAATTGGTCGCTGAATTTCTGTTTACGCGCCCTTGGAAGATGCACTACGACGAGATGTTCTATGCTATTAGCCGATATGAATATTCCTACCGAAGGGACGGGCTTTCGCCATCAATTGCACGCGCTGCCTTCAAGCCAGGTGAGCGACCCTAGAAACCTTGGGACGGAATGCTGTGAGTACTCTCTAGGGAAGAGATGATATTTTATCCAGGCTTGCCAGCTACGTTGAATATCGGGAGCGGAGTCGCCCGCGTCGTGCCACGAAAGAGGTTCACGGATGCACACTAAAGGCACAAGGTTGGTGCCCACCGATTTCTATTGGTCCCGAGTCCCAACACGATTCATGGCGGTGAGGACCGGACCAATCTTCGAAATAAATGGAGCGTGGTAGAACCATCGACACAACAGCGACTGGCTCTTGACCAAACGAACGATGGTGGCTCGTTTAAGCTGCTGCCGGGATCATTAGCATCCGCCCTAGCGTCTGGTGGATCGGGCTGCGCTATCGCTTGGTCTGAAGTTTGTGTGCCTGATGCGCAACTAGTGTGGGTGAACAACTTGCCTCGGCATTTGCCTGACCTACAATTGACGTTCTGAATATGATCGGCAAAGGAGACGCGATGGACGTGATCAATGAGGTCACGTTAGGAGGAATGTCTAAATTAGTCGATCCAAAGGTTGTTCCACCTGAGTGACAAGTTTCTACTGCGCTGGTATACAAAATAGAGTAACTCCCGCATAATAACAAAATGCTGCTGGTTTCTAAGTTACTGGAGAAAGCTGTTGACCAGGGTGATAATCGTCGTGTACACCATGCAGACGAGACCTAGCACCATAAGGGCAATGTCACCGGCCTTTGCCTGCCACGTTGTAGCGATGCCAATGTAATGCAAGTACGGGGGGTAGATGTACACCAGCGGTACGCAAGCAAAGGACCCAATCAAAGCAACGAATCGATCCAGATTGCCGGCGCCGAGTATCGAAATGCCACCACAGACGAACACCAGAAGGGTTCGGAAGGCGTTCTTCAGCCACTTGTCCTTAGTGCTCTTCTTTCCCGACCGCTTGCCGAAGAACTTAGCCTCGAGGATACGCAGCGCAGGGAAAAGTTGAACAGGCGTCCCAATCAAGACCGCCAGCGAGTAGAGGAACTGCACCGCATTGACGAACTTGTTGTCCTGCGGGTAGTTGTTGATGATCTCGATGTATGTGTTGTCTCCGAAGGTAGCGTAGCAAAGAGCTCCGACGGATGTGAATATCACGGTGATGATGAGCATGACGACTCCGAGGAGGTACTCGAAGCGATGTGGCTTGGCCATGGAGGATTGGATGGGCAGGATGAGCCCAATGCCCTCGAAGGTGAAAATGGCCGCGCCTATTGTCAACGTATACTTCTCCGGGTTGAACAGCGCCACCGACTTGTGGACTCCATGGGTTGCGATGGCCGCGATATCGAAGTAGTAAATGTAGATCAACCCGATCATAATAAAAACGTCGGCCAGGAGGGCGGCTGGGCCGAGCTTCGAAATGTTTCGAATCCAAGCCAGAGGAACGAGGAGAATGAGCTGTATGAGAATAAGAGTGGCTGTGGACAGCCCGTTGTTTCCCTGGGTGACAGCTTCTAGGAAGGACGTGAGGTTCTCGGCCACGAAGACAATTCCAGCACACACGAAGCCAAGCTGAGAGAGCGTGATGGACCCCAGGATCACCGCACGCATGCGCTTGCCGGCGATGGCCCCACCGAGCTCACCGTACCCACCGGCGTATCGCTTCTTACACTGAAGCAGAAGATGGAACGACACCATGGAGATGGCTGCGACCAACAGCATGGTGACGGACGAGAAAAGAATACCACCGTTGCTAAAGGCTTTGGGAAGAAACATGATGCCGGTCCCGATGAATGCCTTCAGAAGCGTGAAGAAAGTTTTGGTCATACCAGCATCCGCAGACCTCGGAGCCCTTGTGCTCTTGCGGTGCCCGAGCAATGGTCTGGTTTCGGTCGGTCGCCGGTCCTCGTGATCCTCTTCCTCGTCGGACATAACAGCCTCGTCATCGGAATCCGCGAGATCCTCTCCGGCAAAACTGCCATACAAATCCAGAAACTCGACAAAGTTTCGCGTCACCGGCATCCTTGCCGCCAGGAATTGTTGCCGTGATTGGTGTTGTTGCTGGATGTAGGCTCTCCGGAAACCTCCGGGGGCTAATTGATTGCTGACAGCCAGGAGTTCATCGTCCTCTTCCTGGTGCTGGTGATGATGAAAAGTGGCCGCTCGCCTGTGCATCCTGGCCCTGGCTGCCGTCTTGAACAGGTCCCGGTGAATGTCACCTCCCTGCAGGGTCAAGGACGATTCCTCGGTGTCTGTCAGGTTGGGGGCCAACGAGGACGCCGTAGCAGTGATGCCAGACATTCCATCGAACGAAGCCCCATAGCCAGAGGGAAGATGCTCCGAGACCACCTCGGCCTCTCGCTGCAATTGTGTTGTTGGAGGGGTATCAGCCATGATGACTTTTGGAGATACGTTTGGGGGAGCAAGAAGGTTGAATTGCAAGTCAACAGAGATTTCCAGAAGCCATGAAGCGATTGCATCCTGTTGGCGGGGATGCACTAATCGGGCAAGTGGGGCTCGGGCCTGCAGCTGCCCTTGCGCTTGCAGCTGGTGTGGGGAAGAACGGGTGCGCTACGGCCTACTACTGCTGCACTGGAGAAAACTGGTACGTCACTGCCTCTGGGATGAGGGATGGGATGACTCCCGGATGGCTTCTTCCCAAGTGCGCTTTGCAACAGCAGGGTGTGTTACACATGGACCCATTTTCATTCACTGATATTATGTACGAGATCTTTCGGCGGGAACTTCATTTTTATTTTTTTTATTTTTTTTTATTTTTATTTCTTTTTTCAAATGTGGCCGGTCCCATTAATCCCGTGCGTCGTTGCTCCACCTCACACTCGCGACCGATCACAAGCCATTATGTAGCTCTGCATATGCTCAGTCGCCCTCATCGCCTTTTTACTCTACCCCAAGCCGCCTTTTCCGCGGTCTTCAAAACAGGCAATATCAGCCTCTACGTTGACACCAAATGCACTAGCCGCATCTATGTTGACTCTTTCATTCTAGGCCTTGAGCACTGCGGCACGGCGAAAATTACGACCGGCGAGTTTGAAGCGTTCGTGCTGAATAAGAGGCCTTGGTGCGAGACTCGTGCGAGGCCGTCTTTTAATGTTTAGGCTGATGAGGAGTGTCTCATGTTGAGTAGATCGTACGAGCCGGGGCCTTTGTATAAGCCAGAGGGGGGATGTCGATGGGACTTGTGTTACGCCAGATGGGTTTATAGGGATGGCATGTATCTGTGAGAAGGTTGAGGGCGGAGGAGGGGAGTGGATGACGGGGGTAGGTAGTACGGTTTCTGTTACTGATGTTGTGTCTACGTCGCTCAAGATGACATCGTTGGAGCAAGGTACCACGGCGACGGATTCTGCTTCGACTACTGTCACTTCGAGCTCAGCGACGATGGGTATTGCCGATCTGACCACGACGGTGTCAAGCTCCAGCGGGGACGCGTCCAGCTCTGCGACTACGGTATCGCCAGCACGCTGTTCTAACATTCAGATTGCCTGGATCATCTCCATTGCTGCTGGCTTCACCACCATGACGAGCATACTGTTGAGGGCATGACTAGGACTTCCATTGCCAGTTAGACATTTGGGCTCGCTGATCAAGAAGACTCCTGTCTACAGCCCCATCAGTCGCTTTACTTTGCGGAAACCCCAGCGCTGGACGGATGTTTGGTTTGCGACACCAGTCATTCCGGGAGACAGCTCAGCGTACATTCTGGGACGAAATGACGGTACCTACTTCATACCAAACCTTGAAGGTTTGCACTGTTCCAACGGCAAGTCCCAAAAGCAAATCCCAGAACTCAAAACTCTTTTAGAATACCGAACTCTACCAAGTTGTTCCCGTGGTTTTCTATGCATTGTTTCCGTCAACGGCTTGTTGCAACTTGCCCATGCACTTGAACCGATCGCTCTCCACGTCCGCGTCCTCGAACCCAACACACTTCCAACACTTCAGCAAGCCATCGGGGTCGTATTTCTTCTTCGTCTCCAGCAGCTCCTCATAATGGCTTCCCCACCATGAGTCCTTCCAGTTCTGAGTGAACGGATTTGCTTCATTCATATACGTGCCACTTCCTGGACCCGCCAGATCCTCCTGCAATTTAGTCCACTTCGCCAGCGCCGTCAGATTCCGCACTCGGTCGTCAAACGTGGCGTTCCACGGTACGTTGACGCTGGCCGAAATCTCCCAGAGCGCATTGTACCAAGCAGGATGGACAGATGTTCCGGGTTGGCCTTTTGGCATCCGTTCCATCGCGTCGTTGGCGACGAAAGGTGCGTTGACGGGCACGTACAGTTCTCTTGGATCGAAGCCGAGGTCATACACCTCATCAACGTATTCCATGACCTTGGTGATGCCTTCTTCGCTGGCAAACAAATGCTGTGGCAGTAGTCGGCTGGTGACGAGTCTGATCCGGCCTGCTGAGTTGGACGTAACCGATGCACCGTACTTGTTCCAGACGTCCAGCCAGTCGGGTAAGACCTCTACAACGCTGGTGCCGCCAACTGATTGTGCGAACTGAGTAGCATTGCGCATCGACTCTCGCGCCGCGGCGCCGCGGTCGCTGAGATTGGCAATGCTCGGCAGCGGGTTCATGTATGTAAGATAGGTGCCAGCCACATGTCCACCCCAACCATCCTTTCCCCATCTGAGTGATTCACGAGCTTGTAGTTCGATCCAGTCCTTCGAAGTATCGACCGTAATGTCACTCGGCAGTTGTATGGCCGCAACCGCAATTGGCGCCACCGGCTCGACTCGATGCGTGGCCTCCAGTACGACGCCAAATGTCCCACCGCCGCCACCGCGTAGAGCCTTGAACAAGTCCGTATTCTGATGACTGTTTGCCGTCCTGATGACCCCGTCCGGTGTGACGATCTTGAACTCAACCACCCGATCAGCAGCCAATCCCAAAACAGGGGCAAGTACGCCATGGCCGCCCCCCTGGATGTAGCCACCAGAGAGCGCGATGGTAGGCGAGTAACCACTGAGAATCATGCTGCCGTGATCGGACGCAAACTCAAACACATCGCCTGTTAACTCGCCCGCAGCGACCGTCATAGCGCGTCCAACCGACTCGTTGCTGCCCTCGGGCTGGAAGTCATCGTGGTATGTCATGCCTTTCAGCTTGTGCAGCCACAGGGCCAGGGAGCCTTTCTGGCTGTTTCTTGTCATGAAGTCGTGACCGCTGTTCTTGATGGAAAGTGGCATGCTATTTGCCTTGGCGAACTCGAGCCCAGCTGCAACGTCTAACTCCGATTGCACCTCGATGTAGTAGTCTGGTACGCTGCCCTGGTTGCACGACGCATAGCTGGAAGGCACGCCCGTTGAAGTGGTGGCAGGATCCAACAGGCATTGATCCGACGGGTCGGAGAGACACACCTCGCTCTGGAGGTACATGTAGCCTACTGGCTCGTTGACGTGGACCGTGTTATTGGTGTAGTCGGCTCCGACAAGAGAGCATGCTGCTTCGTCGCTGGATACCAGGTTGCCGTTGTAGATGGTGAAGCACGGTTTGGAGAATGGCTCCGCGCGGTAGAGACGGCCGTTGACTGAGTAATTGAGGGCAGTCCAAATATCGTCTGCGTCTACCATTTGGGCAGTGAAAACGACGAGGAGCCAGGCGAGAAACCAGGGAAAGAACGATCTTAGCTTCGCCATGTTGGACAATTCAACCAAGTGGTGGTCACCGAAGTCTTGGTCGAGACCTTGATGAGTTTGACAACCTTTCTTTGCCTGGGACTGCCCAAGTCCGAGTATCGATGCTGGCAGCCGCGTAATTTTTAGCAGACAATCTGGGTACCAAAAGCTCTATGTGCGAGAATCGAAGGGGACGCTGGCGCCATTCATTCCTAACGCATCATGCAGATAAGATCGTGAGCGTGCCGTAATTGGTCGGTGATTTCAAGGCGCGCGAAAGCTCAATAATAGATGCATTTGATGTTGCACTACCTATTATTACTCATCATTGGATCTGTGGATTTCTGGGCCAGCTTCACTCGAGAATGTCTTGCCCGTGATTGGGCAAATTAGCCTATAAGCAGCCACCCACTTGTCTGTTCTATGTAAGTCATGATTCGATCACCACCATTATCGGTACCATCCTGCGAATTGTTTTCTTCATCACGCTGTATAGACCTTGGCACTATGGTAAATCCCACGGTACTTACATACCTGGGCTAGCTTGGAGAACAGCTGGTTCAATCTGATTATTTGAGGGGTGCTCGGCTGGCTTTGACGACGAGGGGTTTTCAATCGCGTCTACTTGTTGCTGAAGCCTAAAGAATGAGCCAACACGAGCCATTTGGGCGTATCGCTGCCTCGGAGAATTCAAGGCGGCGCCCCTTCGAAGCAGTGAAGCCGTTTCATCATTTATCGTTTAAGTTGAAGCCCCTATTTTCATTCTAGACATCGCGAAATAAGCAGTTGATTTAGTCGTCTTGTTGAAGAAGATAACTATGAAGACGTAAGATAATGGATTTTAGTGAGCAATATGCGATTAAGCGCTGCCTATTGTGACAAAGGTCATTTGATGATCACTGTTACCGTACACTGTTGTTGTATGTATTGTATGTATTGTATGTAACGTAGTCCACAAGCGAACGGGTCACCCAACCGAACGTGTCACGCCAACTAGCAAAACATGGAATTCAACACGATTTCGCAACCACAACGCCGTAAATCAATTAAAACTACTCAGAATACTCTTGCCCAGATGATTCTATCTCTACCTGACAGGCTCGCGCATTATGCCCGGTCTTCCCGCATACGCCACAGCGCCGTTGCCGTGGCTGGCCACGATTTGATCCAGCGCTATTTCCACGCATTTCCTGCTGTACTTGCTGCGCAACGTCCTTTTGATCTTGAAGATCTTGTAAGTCTTGTGAATTAAGTGATCCTCCAAGCCGTACTCGTGTTTTTTGGCCCTGCGCCGCTTGCTAATTAGAGCATTTGCCTCTCGAAGTTCGGCGACCTCAGCTTGGAGTAAAGCCATCTTATGCATAATACTCCGCGCTCCTTTCGAAAACTGATCGATAGCATTGTAAATTGACGTCGGGGAGCTATTTTTATGCCTAGAAATTCGAGATTTAATGAATTCGGATTGCGAAGTAGCCTCGGTTGGGTTGTTTGGCGTCCGAGAAGCCTAAGGAAGGGTTTCCCGCGTAGGGGGCCGGGAGGACGTTGGAGTCTGTAATTTCACATCCAGCTTCTCAATAACAATATCTGGGCTTAAAGGCACAAGCCCAGCCCCTTGAAAGCCTGCAAGAATATTGCTTTCGGTCAGGCTCTTCTTGAACGCGTCGCAAAATGCCGGAAGAAAGTCCTCCTTTGTGATATGCGAAATCCGGGCTTGGACGAGCTTCTCAATTTGCGAGCCGCAGGCTTTTTTTAACGGCGCAAAACATGCCACATCTAGTGGCTGGAGGATATGAGAAGAGTGGGCAGGCATACAAAGTGTAATAATCTTGTTCTCTTTGCAATATTGCTCAAAGGCGTCGGAATGGTGGCTTTCGTGGCCGTCCAGGATAAGAAGGCAATATACACCCGATTTCCGGCCTTTGGTGTATTTGTCAAAATGTTTTAGCTAATCTGCGGTCAATTCGTTCGTATTCCAACCATTTGGGCTCACGGCGATCCTCCAGTCCTTCGGCAACGCGTCGTTTTCGTACCAGGAAGAGAGGTGGTATTGGCCCTTGACAATGATGTATGGCGGGACCGTCCAGCCTTGGGAATTGACGCCCTGGATCACCGTAGCCTATTCCCGATTGCTAGGCTGGGCTAGCTTAGGCTTAATTTTCCTTTCAGAGCTCGTAACAACCATCGATGCGGTAATCTGACCTATCATAAAGCCGGTCTCGTCGAAATTGTAGATGTCGGTATCGGCGATCCCATATTTCGCAATTGTATTGCGCACAAGGTCAAAACAGCCTTGAATAAGCTCTGGATCTTCGCATAAGGCCCGAGAATAGTCGTATTTACGGCTAAATACCGTCTTGAGCTGTGGTTGTCGCTTAACGAAGTTGGAGGCCCAGTTCTTGCCGACGCGTAACACGTCGCGGTTGCGTAGCTGTTGCAGGATCACGTGTTGAATGATCACGTGACCTGAGTGCATTAAAGCTATATCTCTGCGAAAGATGCATCGCGAGAAAACACTTACTTTTTCAATCACATATATACTTCGATTTAACACCTTTTCTGCAACAGTAGCAGTCGGTTTGCCATATCTTCAACAGCACTTAGCCGGGGAGGAAATGCTTGCGAATCTAGCTCAATTATCCTTTGAATAATCGTGTTTTCTTCTAGTTTTGTTAAATTCCGACCGTTAGCTTCGATATTGCGACGTGATTGACGTTTGTGAAGACGCGCCTGGAGAGTAGTATTCGAGACTTTGTAGATTGTTGCAGCACGTCGGATACTAAGTGTTAAGTCATTTCGGATAGCCTGAGTTGCAAGGAGTAATTGAGATTCTTTTTGAGCAGAATCCATCGAGAATTAGTTGCGTGGTAAAGTTAGGAAGTTTAGTTCTATTTTTTGCTATGGGCGTGACCCGTTCGGTTGGGTGACCCGTTCGCTTGTGGACTACGTTATTATATGTAACTATATATTTGTTTTGATATTAACTAAATTTCAGATAATTGAATCCTGCTTCATTACGTTCCCTAACTCCTCGCCATATTGCACATTAAAATACATTTTTCACGTTTGCGCCCATAGATGATTTGGTTTCGTAGAATCCGGTGGAGTAGGATGAATCCCGGCTGTGGTCCACTAGACCGTGGGTTGTTGCATGACCTCCTCGTGGCTGCTGTTCTCCATAGTACCGTGGGGAACCTTGCTCCCGTCCCAGCTTCCGGACTTGATGGGGTTGACGTGGAGCAGGTACATGGTGTCAATCTCCTCCAGACTGCGGTCCTTCGTCTCAATCATGAAGAAGAAGACGATGGCAACGAGGGCAGCGCAGCATCCGGCGAAGACCATGCCGTACCAGTAGTTAATAGCGTCGGTGATGAATCGGGTGAAGAAAGAGATCAAGAAGTTCCAGAACCTGTAGTTTTCGAGTCAGTGATAGTTCGGGGCAAAGGGGGCTGTTGAAACGCGGTGATGACTTACCAGTTGGTAGCAGTAGCAAGAGCCATGCAAGGAGCTCTGTAGCGAGCGGGGTAGAGCTCGGCGACGACAGCCCAGACAAGGGGTCCCCATGTGCTGGCGAATGCGGCAATGGCGAGGCAAGAGAAGACAATGAGGACAGAGCCAGCCTTGGGGGTGTTGGCGGGGTTCTCCTGGTCAAGAGCGAAGCTGCCAACAAATGCGTAGACAAAGAAGCACATCATCATCCAAGCGGCACCAACGATGAGGGCCTTGCGACGGCCAACCTTCTGGACGACGTAGAGACCACCGAAAGTAGAGATGACATTGACAGATCCGAGAATGATCTGGGTAACGTAACTGTTGCTGAGACCGGTAGCGGCGAAGACGGTGGTTCCGTAGTAGAAGAAGTAGTTGGCACCGGTGAGTTGCTGACCAGCTTGGAGGACCATGCCGAGCAGCGTTCGGTAGAGCATGCGAGGGCCAGTGAAAATCTGGACGATGGAGGTGTCGGCACCAGCCATTTCCTCATCAAGCTTGACGCGGATCTCGATGATTTGGTCGTTGACGCTGCGGTGGTTGGGGTCGACGCCTGCGAGTCTAGCAATGGTTGCGCGGGCCTCATCCTCGCGGCCCTTGCGGTAGGCAAATCGGGGGGACTCGGGCAGTAAGAGAATGCCAGCACCGAGGACCAAGGCCCAGAGGAATCCAAGGCCGTTGGGGATACGCCAAGAAGCGGTCGATGTCATCTTGGAAGTACCGAAATCGACCATGTAACTGGTCCAGATACCGAAGGTGATGAAGAGCTGGTAAGTAGAGACCAAGATACCACGGATCAAAGCAGGACTGCTCTCTGACTGGTACATGGGGACCAAGACACTGAGGGCGCCGATGGATATGCCAGTGACGAGGCGGCCGATGGCGAACTGGTACCAAGCAGTCGTGGAGGTGATTTCGATGATGTTGCCGACGCAAGCCCACAAGGCTGAGACGGAGATGGCAAGGCGGCGACCGAGAGAATCGGCGATGTTTCCGGCGATCAAGGCGCCGAACAAGGCACCAACGGGCAATAATCCGACGATGGTACCCTGGCGAGCGGCGCTGAACTCGAGGTTCTCGCCGAACCGGGAGGCGAAGTCGGACATTTGGAAGTAACCGGAGATTTGACCACTGAGTTAGACATTAGCATCAGCCATAATGGTAGGTGGGCTTGGGGGGGGACGGGCAATGCAGAGAACAAGGGGAACGCCATACCTGACATAGCCAAACATGAAGCCTCCGATACTGGCCACCACGCCCAGGAAGCAGGCAAGGAAGGTGATCTTCTGCCCTGAAGCAGAACCCGAGCCCTCTGGCTTGGTTTCTACTCCTGTCGAGGCCTCGCCCACGCCGCCGTGGGGAGTCTCGACCTGATCTGTATTTTTCTTGAGGAAAGGCATAGTTGTGTGAGTGTTGAGTAACTTGGGACTGGGACACAATCTGGAGTCGAAAGGAGAGAGAAAACTCGGGGGCGGATAAGCTTATAAGTAGCGGTTACGTGCTCTATACAGAAGCACGTCTCTTCTCATCTAGGCACGAGATGACGCTCCATCCGCCGTCCGCCGTGTCTCCGCGAGTCGCGAATATCCGGGCAGCAGCCCACGTCCAGCCCACCGGGGGAAAGCTGGGAAAGTTGGGAAGACTGGGCCATGGTGCAATCCACAAAATATGGGACTGTCGTGTGGTGTATCGCGTTGTACCGCCGTGTTGCGCGTTGTTCCTCGTTATCCTCGACTGACAATTATGAACCGAGCTTTGGCCACTGTGGAAAGTGGGAAATTCTGCAACTTGATTGTCGGAGCTGCCGGACGCAGCTCGTCACTTGTCAGTTGAGACGTTGGTCGGCCCCCCGAGCCGAGAGCGGGCCCAGCATTCTCGCCCGCCTCGATCACAGCTGCACATGAGTCGCGGCATTCCTGCGCCGTCCGAGCCTGACGTACATACTATAGTCGTTGGATTCAATTCACGACAGAATCCCATCGTTGAAATCCTCCCATTTCTCGAAACGATGCACAACCTGTCAGAGCCCTGCGGTCGAAGCCTGTGCAGGCCTTTGCCGTTGCATTGGTAGCATTGGTAGCTGCAATCACTGAAACCGGTGGGTTTTGGCGAGGACCGCCGAGGGAAGAACCGAAAATCGGTCCTGTTATGGAGAGAAAAGCGGCTCTACAGTCGAAGTCGCGGCCTCGATAATCAACGATAACTAAGCTTTTCGCATGTCCCCGTGCACAGTTTTTGTGAATTTAACGTGGCAGACCATTTTGACGCTTCGTGCTTGGCGCTTTCGACCAAAGCCAAAAAGCGGATTTCCTTCTAGAAAACTTTGAAACGTCGCAACGAGGTGGGATCGTAATCATCAATAAGGTGATGGGAATCGGGGTTCAACCGACAAGTGCTGCCAACTTACCACAGCACAAGAGCGAAAAACTTCTTCGAGCCGAAGGACGCGAAATGCAAGTTCTGCCATTATGGACGAGTCCAGGCCTTCGATACATGCAGATTGGTACCTTGATCGGGCCGTGCAGGGTCACGTGCGAGACCCCTATAAACCTCTTCCGTCATGCGGTTTCTTGAAAAAAAAATCATCCGATCCACTCTACGAACACTCTGATGATTGTGGGCCGATAAGATGTTCCAGGCGCTAGCCCTGCATCCAATCGTTCATGTTTTTCTCCTGTTCTCGTCTTAATGCTCAATTGCAGCAATAGCATTGGATGGGGAAACCCGAATATTGGTCGGAAACTTTGGTGATATCCATAGATTTCATGTAGCAACATGGCATTCCTTCTCCCATGGCAGATCCTCAGGTTCTCGTACGCTTTTCAACGAAACCCTCCACGTATTCCGCATTCCCACGAAATTCATAATCATTATCGAGACTGTACCTGAATAAAAACAATAAAACAAATAAGCAGGCTACTACTCAATCCTCTATATCCACCATCCACCACCACCAGATTTGACCGAGGAACCACCCGACGCTCCCTAATGCTCCTAAGTTCCATCCACTCGTGCCCCAAGTACATTTCCGAATCCTCTGGGGCAAGGAACAAGGAGGGTTTGGGGCACTCGTGACACTAAAAAGAATTTCTGGAGGACCCGGCATCCGTCAAGAGTGATGGGTAGCAGAAAGTCACCCGACCCCGGAACAAAATCTCGCGGTGTACCGTGTGGCACAGTTCGTGACGATGGGGACACTTTCCGGACCGACTCTAACTGCGGTCCCACCCTTACCCCGGATGTCCCGAACCTTGAGTCCCGCAGCGAACTTTGGAGACGATGAAGAAGAAAACCCGGAGCACGAGAGCTAGGTTGGAATGCAGGAGGTCCGCTTCAGGTCTGGATCATGGGGATGGTTCGATGGTGCCACCGTGGAAATACGGGGATGGCTCGATAGCGGTATCCCAGGTGCGCGGTAGTGTAACTGTAGGTCAGCCTGCCGAACGGGATCGTAGGTACTGCTGGAGATCAAAGGTATGTCGAGAAACCAAGTGATATCTGTTTGGAAGCGAAACTCGAGTAAATTGACACGTGTGTTCGGTATGTGGGATGTATGTTCTACGGAACCTGAGTCCACGTCGTTAAAATCTGACAGCCCTCAGTCGAAGGGAAAAGGAGAGACATGGGACTGTGAGAAATGTTGTATCTAGCGCCAACTTATACAATGCATTTCCCTTCGGTCGCAAAGTTTGGCATCGTAGGAACATTCCCCTGCACGGCCGTTCACACAGACTTATATGCAGGCAGTGGCTTGTATTATAGATTCCGCAATCGGATAAGCCACAGCACAATGCAATAGGATTTACCTCGGACCGTATCATAGGTACAGTTTGGCTCAAAGCTATGACTGGCGATCACTGGCGATCTAATGCTACGATCAATCTAGGTCTATACATGTGAAATCAACAACCCTGGGATCATCGGTGTTAGTCTTACTTGTTCCTGTTCACCAGTCTCTGGCCTATTAGCAAGTTCGCTCTGTTTTATCTCGAACATCTAATCTTGTCACATGAGTTGCAGAAGTGGTTTATGGCGAGCAAGCAAGAGGGATCATTTCCTTCATTCGTGCACGGTTATAGTTGCAATTCTCTAAGATTATCAGCTACATGGTCTCGAAACAATTGTATTTTTGTGACTCGCGCATTAAATCGGACATTGAGAGCAACTGGACTGCTAATTCAGGGCCGGTTTAATCGTGCTGTCGGCAAATATGCGACTAATTCCTCTATGCCGCCCAGTATTTGTAGGTTTGGTGACAGGATTGTGGTCGTCCACGTGTTAGACCCTCAAGACTTGAATACATCAAAGTATACTAATAGAATGTCTCAGGACCCGAGAGGTGGTTCCTAGCTCGATAGGAACTACTCTAGAAATCCTCCAGCTTATACACCGCATATGAAGGCTGTTCATACGGATGTGCACTTAGACGGATATATTGTCAGACTTATCTGTCATCTCACGGAAGTTTAAATGTCCCTGGGTCCTCACCTCTTCAACGCCGCAACAGACCTTTTAGCAATCTCCATGTCAAGGCACAAAGTCTCGACTCGAACCTCCTCGGTGTGCTCTAGCTCACCCACTGTCCCAATATGCGGGTTGGCCGTATCTCCAGGGCGGAACTGCCCAGTCCCTGTGGCCGTCCAGCAACATTCGGTATATTTACCTCCCGGATACCTGCCGGCACCAGCACCGAAGATGGCAGTCTTGCACGCTGCGAGATTCGAGGGGGGCACGAAAAAGACTAGTTTGTAGTGAGCTGGTTTAGAGCTCAACGACATAGCTGCCCCCATGGTGGATATGTTTTCGAGGTGAAGACGAGGCGAGAATCGGTGAGCTACGTTTTATTTCCAGTTCCGTCAAGGGCGGACTTACGCACAGAACCGTAATCAAAGTTTCGATCCCTGGAACCGATCGAGATATCAAGATAAACGGGCAGCGAAAAGCACCTGATGTCGTTAAGTCTAGGTTGTGTTGCCGGCTGGGCAATGTACCCCGCACGAACTTGGCATCACACGCTGATTGGCCCGTAGATGGTGACGAGGGTTGATCCTTGTCTACTTGGGTGGAAGCGTGGGGGTCGCTCTCCAGTCATTTAGTCACCTTACCCATGGACTTTTCTGTATGAAAGCTTTGCTTGAAAGTGAGTAGCTGGCCTTCGTACTGAAGTTCTCATCACTTCAGCCCTGACGCTGTCCTATGGTGAATGGTAATGGACATAACATCGGGAAGGCCCCGGAGTTCGAACGGCAGAATATTACTTTTTATAATGTCACTATGGTATGTTACGTCATAGAAATAGACTGGTACGGACCCTATAAGCATGGTGTTATACTATAACTGGCAATGTCATAATGTCGTAAAATCATGTGAACCAACAAATGTCAAAACCTACTTGGCTCGTTGATACTAAACAGTGTGTGCATTTACGTGCCCTATGATGAATTTGTCCGCCAAATTCCACAGATACACGTTTCAACATGCATTGCCACGTACATGTGACCAGCCACGGCATAATTTCCTCTTGTTAGGAACCAGGGGCCTCTTCATAGCCAACACGAAGTGGTAAAAAGGGAAGTATCTCTTCTTGCGGGTGTCTTCCTTGCAGTCTGCCCTGTTCATGAGTACGGGGCAACTCTTGTTGATATCAACTCCCTTGTCGAGCAGGTATGCACTTACCATGACCATATATCCGTTGTTGATGGCGATGATCCGCCGGGCCCCTCGTTCAAAACGTCGACCAACCCTCGTTGAATCGTTTCACCAAGTTGAACCAGTCTTCCTCTCTCGGTTCTTCCACGAAACTGTTCTTGTATTTTTGTTCTTCCACGGGACTTTTCAGTTTGCTGGGCACCATATTGTCCGTCTCCCAACTCTCATCGACCCTGGAGTATAGAGGGGCGCATGAAGCAACTAGGGTGACCGAGTGATGCTCTCGAGATAGGCTGAGAGCTCGGCCGTTGGTGCTTTGAAGGACTGGGTTAAGCCCAGCGTTGTTATATCTGGCTCACTATGAGTAGACCAGGCAAAAGAGGCTTCTCGCTTATGAGTGGAGACTTACATGAAACTGTTGATATTCCTCTTAACTTCCCTAGTCTTTAGGTGTGGTAGTCTCGCAACAGGATTTGTCGAGTAGAAACTGAACGGAGGCTATTCTCGGTGACGCTGACTTGACCGTCGGTATTTGTCTGTATACTCAACAATTGCTGATGCTGCTTGCCGCCTCGCTCCTTTTGCAACTGTAGAGTGAGGAGGGAGGTCGGGACTTGTCGTGATGCATCAGGGCTTCGGTATAATGTTGGCGGTCGTCGCTTGAAGCCGTCTTTGCTAAATTTGGTATTTCTAATTCCCCAGTTGAGGAAAATTTGAGATCTGCCACAGCAGCCTGAAATTTTGGCCCTTCTGTTGTGACGGTAGTCAGATTCGCGACCGCTATGTTGCCTGAATTCTGACAGTTAGGCCTAGATTCTGTAGCCGGTTTCGAAACAGCCTCACAAGCCTGTGGCATATCACTGATTAAGTGTCAGGAACTGCAACTGGATCGGATGCTTGTTATACACTTACCTGGCATGACTGTCTGGTCCATCTCTCACGTCAGCCTCTGCCACAAGCTCATTGAGGATTCTTTCCTAAAGAATCTCTTCGTTTGAGCTAGGTGCGTATTTGTATAGGTAAGACTCTTTTTGTGCGAAATTTTGCCTAGTGGTAATCTCAAATCCATCCTGATTTACGTATCTAAAAGTATTCGATCGATCTGCGACTATAGCGAGAGGTAGAAATTTGCCGCTTATGGGGTGCGCGAGACTCCAGTCTCTGCCATTCCACAAGATTTGGTGAGCAGAAGGCTCAAGAACAGTGTCATCTGTCTTTGAGCTGTTTCTCATTACTTCAGCAATTCTAGTGAACTTGGTTTGGATGGCGATAGGGTGGAAGACGAAGGATGCTATAACGATAGGGGAACTGATACTGTGTTGGAGTTTTCTCTAAAGATATTCTGAAGATTGTGCCATGCTGATCTAAGAAATCAAGATTGATAGAGAGTAAATTAATCGGAAAGGTGCTTAAATCCTTGGAAATTGCAGTGATGATGTGTAATTTTATGAATGAAGAGATTTGTGCAAATCCTTGATCTGAGTTACAACAGATGTATTAAAAGCTGGCTGTGGGGATTTGATTGCTCAAAATGACAAACGGTTTTCCCGAACAGCAGATGGCTAGTATGATGTGAATCACGGTATGTCCAGTCTCCAGATGAAATATGCGGAGCCTCAGGTTTCGGCTGTAGATGTTGCCAAGAATGCTTAGCTATATCCGATAAGGACGCATCTTCTTCTTGGAGTTCATTGTTGCAAAGTCAGCTACCGATAATGGGCTGATACGTGTCTGCATTGCTTAAATATTACGTTTAAGACGATTGACCATGTGACGCGGAATCTCATTGAACAGCAAGTAAACACTTCTCAGCTCTCTTAAGTCGCGACATGTTTCCTATGCTCGGATAGTACGCAGAGATACTTAGAAAATCCTGTCATATAGACAAGTCGTAATACTCATTGTATGTATAGTTTTATATGCCCTTGTATACCCCTGGGAAACGACCAAGGATGACTGAATATACAAATCTAGAGTTTATCGTTAAAGACCAAATCTGGTATAAACAGGGCTTTCGTTCTTTTAATGAAACTTCAACTTAGCCACTTTATTTACTCTGTTTCCCCTCCAACTCCCAACGGTGGCAAATAGTGCCTTGAGTCAAGAAGATTCATCGTTCCTGAATGCAAAGAACATGTGAATATAAGCTACCACACTAATATGACATATAGGCGATGAAGTAGTCTACGCGTATGAAGTCTCTAAATAAGCAATGAGTCATGTGAGTATCGTAAGTTCCACCATGAAGAATCCCTAAGTAGGAATCTCTTCTTTCATAATTACCAAAGCAGCACATAATAACTTGTCGCTATTACCCCTATATAAATATAGACCCCAGACCAGATGCCCTTATCATATATTCATACCCTTGATATAGGCTAACTCTGCAGTAACACACTCGTGACTCTGACCAAAATAATTATTTTAGACCTCCAGTCCAAGAAGAATAATATATCTATTAAGACTCCCTTGAAGGGACTTTTGAGCAAACTCTGCCACCTCATCCCCAGCAGCCGTGGCTTAAGAAATAACCACAAAAAGAAGAGCATTGTTTTACTGGAATATTCGTGAGCTTTCCGGACGTGGTGGTCCCAACAAGTAAAAACGTCAGAGAGTGCTACGTTGCTGGATTTCTCACTAGAATAAGTCGACAAAATAGTTATCTCCTGTTCTTTATCTCGATTGGAGAGTTGCTGTGGAGAAGTTGAATAGATGCTTGATTTCCATTATCATAGTAAATGTCACCTACTCGACAGTCGGTTTATTTTTGTACAAATCTCCTGGATCAGTGTGAATTGCAATACGGTACGGTATACGGCCTGAGAATTCCCGTATAATTTACGCGCAAGGACGGTTATTCGACTAAACCTTACTAGTAGAGGCCTGGTTTTCCATTCTATCACGCTTAAAAGTCAAAAAAAGTGGTGTGATACTGTTGTCGCTTGTAGCTCATTATGATGACCAATTTCATATCCCTGCTTGATTAGTGCGATCAAAGTGAGTGTTTGAGATGGTCGTTTTGGCGTCATCTTGCTATAATTTCATACTTTGCCAGAGTTGTTATGTTGACCTTTGGACTGTTTCCTCCCTTTGTGTGCTTATATTTGTCTTCTCAGTGAATCTGATGCGAAACCCAACACTTAGCTATCGCCTAGACTATACACCTTCGTTAACTCGGACGGGTACAAAGCTAGGCCATAATATAGTAATAAGTCCTCCTTGCCACTTACGAGTTGATTAGCCGACGGGGTAATCTCACATTCCGATATTTCAGCCAGACGACATCAGCCAGATGACACGTCTTATGCCACTGAGGCAGTCACGAGTTGTGACAGCGGACAGGTATTTACATTGGTCACAAAAATACGACGTGGTGTCTAACTGATGCTAGACTAATAAACTTGCAATCTGAGACCTAGCAATTGTATCAAGTGGCTTACTTAGCAACATCAACAAGAGTTGAATAATTCTGTTTGAATTCTGCCTATTTTCGCAATATATTAGAGTAATATATAATCTATGCTACTGCTGACGGTCCACGCGAGAAAACACATATCGAGTTTCAAGACGCATTGTAATGTCATAGTGAATCATTCACTGAATCCTTCGGCGATGAACGCAAGACGCCACTCTTTACCGGCTGCCCGGAAGGTGGCCTGGGCGATGCATTAGCTCAAACGTTCCACGAGCGCGGCTAGAGGGTCATCGCAATGGCAAGAAACTTGATCAAAGTCAAAACATCTGCAGGACACGGGCCTCGATATCGTGCAGCTTGATGTTGCCTATTGCGTCGATCAAAAGCGCAGTCGAGCAAGGTAACATCTTGTCAGGTGCCATATTGGACATCTTGGTCAACAATTCCGGGTCAGGGACATGTCTCACAATAGTCATATACGGCATATTGGTGCTGTACAAGAGCCTGTTATTGGGTCCCAAGGATGTATAACACCTCCCCTGGACATTGACTTCGATATCGCCAAGAGATCGTTCAGTATCAACTTTTGGGGTCTTATCACGATAACGAACGCATTCGTACCCCTCCTCGCTCGTACGAAAGGACGGGTCATCAACGTTGACTCCAATGCGGCTCGGATTTCGGCGCCATGACAGGGCGTCTACAATACCAGCAACGGTGCCCTAGCTGTCTTGAACAAAACGATGTCTTCAGAGCTAGAAATTTTCGGCATTGACGCACTTCACGTATGTATGAGACCTTGTCGCTGACTTATTGACGCTGACAGTCATTTCAAAGTTCGTGACCGGTCCTGTGGCGAGCAAATTCTTCGAAAATGGTGCCCCGTGGAAGTTTCTGGAAGGCTTGTTATACGAACCAGCGCGTGCAGAAGTAAAAGAGCGCTTCAATGCTGATACATTGGAGAACTCCTAGCAGAAATGGAAGTAAACAAGATCACAGCGCACAAATTTCATATGTTTCTAACACACCCATAGGCCCCAGCAGAGAAGTGGGTCAGGAATGTCTCAGGAAATGCCTCTAGTTCTTGGTCGACGAACAACACCTTCTTGGGCCATATGGCCTATTCGAGATGGTTCCTGATCACGGCTTTCGACCCAAATGCAAGTGCCGTGGTTAGTTGACACTAGATAATCTGAAACGTAGCCCTGCTGATATATATCAGTATTCCACTTTCCCACGGATGCTGGGACAAACAAGCTTATGCCAGCGACGAAGGAAAATATCTTGTTTCTGGGGTGAAAATGATGATTTGCCAGTGGAATTGAGCGTATGTGCTCGTCGCATTCTCACGATGGGCATATCTGCAAGAACTAGTGGTATCTGTGACGCCATGCCTTGGTCTTCCCTAGCTTTTCCATAAATCTGAACGCCTCATTTCTTCCTTAATATGCGGCCTGAGGCTGACCACTCTTTCTCGACGGTAAATCGTGGTTATCAGAGCCCCGTTTCATCCTGACGCTGTGTGCCTTCCATTGACTCTTGTTCAAGCTCATTTGTCGCGATCACCGCCAATTCTCTCGAGCGCTTCCAACATGACGACCGAGTTTCCTCGAATGACCTATGAGGTATGTTAGTCCAGCTTCAGAAGTACCATATTACCGCTTGTTATCTCCTCGTGATACATACGACCATGCCTAACCGGACCTTCTCGCCGCCCTCCTTCTCCTCGACTGCGTCGTCGAGGACGATGTTCAGGAACACCTACGAAGTATGTCAGAACCGTATTATTCGTGCTCGGTAGGGAATTGCAAGGAGATCGTGGAATACGTACGTCATATCCTCGCAGCAAGCCAATGACCTTGCGACTGCCGTTCAGCTGGACGAACAACCTCTTGTCAAGGTACTGCGTCCGTCAAATGTGGTGAGCATTTGCGCATATCTTCAAGCCTCCCGAGGATGGGAGCATACAGAGGCAGACGTACCTTCTTGAGTTCTGGCTGAGCAGGAGCCATCTTGTCGCGTTTACAGGGGGAGATAGGTGTATATGTTCTTTGCCTTCGTAGCTGCCGTAGGTGTGATGTCGAAACTTTGGGAGTCCTGCCTTGCGATAAGAGCTTTTTATCGATAACGCGATAAGGATTTCGTGATTAACTGCTGATTGAAAGAGCAACTGACACTCGGTATCAACACTACGACAGTACCTGAAGATTAAGCAAGTTTAAGAGCACTGATCTTTAAGCCCAACTGTCAAATTCTGAAAATTAGCTCGTACTCAAACTATATGTCCCCGCACAATCTGTTGGAGCGCCCCAGGCAACGATTGCTGCCACTTTGAGGAACCTCGAACATCTCAGGCCCTTGTGCCGCCGAAAATCATGAGCGCATTCGGTTCAAAACGCCAGCCGCGAAAGATTACGGTCCAAGATGAAGAAGAGGAGGACGGCGGTGCACCATTGCGCGTCCGCCCATTTTTGGGCAGTCGAAGCAGCTCTTCTAAGCCGAAGAAGAAGCCCAGCTCGCGACTCTCATTCGGTCTCGGCGAAGGCGCATCCATAGAGGATAGTACGGCAGCTTTGGGGGGCGAGCTTCCCATATTCACCCCGAAGAAGACGTCTTTGGCGGCAGCGGTGGTGGGGAACAGTGCTTACAAGAAGGGGCTGAAAGGCGTGGCGAAGAACAATATTCTACCTGTACGGTCCTCCGAGACAGATGAGGACCGCCCCCGGTACAGCAAAGAATACCTATCCGAGCTACAGAATTCGACGCCCAGTACTCCCGCTCGCGGCAGCTCACTACAGATTGCGGACGATGATGGCGACATTGAGATGGTGCTCGACCCCTCCGAGCTCGAGGGCGCCACCGTAGTCGAGGTGACCTCGAACGCTCTCTCAGTCGAACCTGCAACGACCCCCCATATCCTGACCGAATCCGAAATAGCCGAGAAGAAGGCAAGGAGAGAACGCCAGCGGGAGCGCCTCGCAGCTCAATCCGACGACTTCATCCCTCTCGATGCCTCGGACGATGACTCGCGCCAAGTCGGGGATTCCTACCTAACGCTCCTATCCCGTTCGTCCAAATCAAAACCGAAAGAAAAACGTCTCACCACCGATGACGACCTGGTAGAGGACGACTCCTTTTTCGTCGAAGATGGGGGGCTGTCACTAGGCAAAAAGGCGGAACGTGATGCAGCGCGGAAGAAACGGGCCGACATGGCGAACATGATCGCAGCAGCAGAGGGCAACTCAGACGGCGAGACGTCGGACGATAGTGAGGCGGAACGAAGGGCGGCGTATGAAAAGGCGCAGACGCGGGCTGGTATGGACGGGCTGGCTGAGGAGCGAGAGGCGCAGCAGCGACGGCTGAATAAGAATGGAGGGGTGCAGGTACCGCCCAAAATCACGCCTTTGCCGGACTTGAGTGTGCTGGTGGAAGAGTTCAAGGCTAGAATGGGGCGGAAGGAGGTAGAGGCGCAGAGGATGAAGGATAAGATCGCGCAGTTAAAGCGCGAGAGGGAAGGCATCATGAAGCGGGAACCAGAAGTGCAAACCCTGTTGAATGAGGCCGGCGAGAGGTACCAGAGCCTTATGGGTGGCAACATAGGCACCGTCGAAAATGGGGTTATGGAAGGCCAAGATAGTGTGGCTGCTGCTAAGTCATTGCTTGATCGGGCTAGGGGAGGAGATACAGCTATTGGAGCTGCGAGGGGACTTGATAGCTTAGGGACAACGCCTATAGGACAGGACAGGATGGAAATGTGATGACCGTACGTATGATACCCGAGGCATGAGTACAGTACTCCTAATTACCACTCAACATATCTAACTGCTCATTGTCGTGAGGCTTCAAGTTGAACATTGGAAACGCAACATGGCCATCATACTGGACGCGAGTTTGAAACACGATGAGCCTTGTATTGATCTTCTACTTGAAATATGAAATGCTAGACCCCCTTGGAGGGGACATATGCTTCCTACGCCGATCCCGGTACCGTATCATGAAACTATGATACAAGAGCATCCCCAATCAAAGCGCACCTCTTCTTCGCACCTACCCATTCCGTACACTATCATAGGCTAGCGTTTACTTCGACCTGGAAACACCAGCCCCAATGACGCCGGGCAGCTTCTCCTCACCTACACTGAACAGCAGTCCAATGCTGCCTCCAAGCACGCCGATCATGACAATCGCAAAGCCGGCAAGAAGCCAGAATTGAGCGCTCACGTCGATCTTTTGGCAGCTCTGTCCACCCCAGTAGTGATGTATCTTGGAGCCGGGGTGGCGCTGGTCTTCCTCATAGGTTCCGGCAAAATGGCACAAGCACGACCAGCATTCTGAGTTGCCCGCGTTCGCATCCGTATTCTTGTACTTGAGGGTGCATTTACCGTGGCGGCTGCAGTCACCAGTATCGGTCATGCATGTGTTGAACGACTTAAAACAGGCCGGAAGCACGCCATTCTTGGCGACAAAGGGGTGGGTTTTAAGGTCGGAAGTCTGGGGCTTCGAGAACGATGAGTCGGTCGAGCCCGTGGTAGATTCTTCCGTGAGAACCTCCTCGGCCTTGACGCCAAACTCTCGGCGGCGGAGTTCGGAGGTCGCGTCTGATGTGGAGGGCACGAGTACGATCATCGTCTCCATCTTGCTGGCCTCGGCCAGGCTTTGCAGCCTCTCGAAATTTTTCGATAGTTTGGACACAGCATCGCGGGTCTACCGGAGGTAAGTCAGTATTGGCCTACAACACGTAATTGAGAGACCAGTGTCCCGCGTACCTTCGTGACATCATACTCGAGGTACTGCGATGAGCCCATCCAACACTTGCCCAGCTCGGGATCTGTGGATTCCTCAAAACTGCATCGCCCGCTAGCTGGAAGGGACGCTAGGTGGGCGGTGGTCATGTCATCGGAGTAGAATGCTGGACTCAAATGCATTACGTCCCTGAAGGCCTGCGCGCTCTGATCGTTGACACCCTTGTAGACAATCACCAACTGGTTTGGCTCGTCTGCGCTGTGAAATAGAGGCCGGGAACCCACACCGACCGAGTTCATCAACGAGATGGACGATTCATCTTGAGGAAGCTGTTGATTGGCACCCAGTCGTTGTTGGATGATGGCTTGGGCGACGTCGTTGGAGATGTGTGGGAAACCTTGGGATTTGAAATCTGGGGACTTGCGCAGAAGGTAACCTTCGGTTTGTTGTGATGCGGCGGTAACTACGCCAGCCAGGGCCGGTAGCAGAAAGCTCGAGAGCTTCATGGTGTAGAATTAATGCCGCGAAGTCCCAATATGAACGGTGTCATGGAAGAAAAATCCGCTTCATCAATTAAATCGTAAAAAGGCGTTGTCTGGACTTGCTGGAAGTAGCTCCGGCTGCTACCAGGGAAGAGCGATGTCAAAAGCTCCTACACGTGATCCTTACTGATAAAGCTACCGATAAGATTTTGGCTTGACAGGAAACACACGCACTGTCTCCATGTTGTCCGTTGAATTCAACAACCAGGCTTGCCAGTTTAAATGTAGGGGTTAACATTGACATTTCCACAAGCAGCGTTGTTGGTAGGATGGATTTATTTTTATTTTTATTTTTTCCATCATGTCACGAAGCAATATTGAAAACACTGCCGCAGGTTTGGATATCAAGAGCATTTAAGAAGTCAAGCTGATTGGGACTTCTGAGAGCACACAGTCCGTGTGAATGTATCTTACTGTCCAGCACTACTGCGGCGAGAAGCTGCGACAGGGGTCTTAATCTATCGGGGAATGTGAATGATCTAAGTGCATCAGTGATCAAAGGCGTCTGAATCTTGGGCAAGCTTGCCTGGCCTCGTCGAGTACGATTAAAAATAACGACATCCACACACAATAATGGTATAGACTTTTTGCGTTGTTATAATAATACCTGAACGACATCATTACCCAAGACTTTCACACTCGATCCGAAGTCCGATCGCACGCCGCCCTGTCACTGCTGAAGTCCACGATCAAATCGCCTTCCCCGGTCCATCCCTGGCCACTGATTCGGGCGTGCCTCGATGATTGCCCGCCATGTCCTGGCTCCGACACATGCGCTGGCAACGTAACGTCTTCAACCTTGGCGTCCGAGCCAATGGTGGCATATTGGCAAGGCCCGGCGTCGCTCAAGGCCCTCACCCCCAGACTATACAGCTACAACGGGTCAAGATTCGACGGAAATGGCTGAAGCGCGCAGCTACGGCTGGCGTCATCTACGTCGTCTGCTATGAGGTCTGGACAACTTCTGTGTCTAGCGTTCTCACCAAGTTTCTCAAAGACGTAGAACCGATCGAAAAGGAGGAAGATACAGAACCGCTCTTCATTGCCTTGCCTTTCACGCAGAAAATGGTCGAGCCCAAACCGTACAGGGGCTCCGATCCCGAATGGCAGGCGTTCGCTAAGTTCAGCCGCGATGTTCCGCTTATGACGGGTGTGCACAAGGCTGTGGCGGCGTATGCGAAGAGACAGGTCGAGCTTCATCCTCCAACAATCAGAGCATGTGGTCAAGAAATCAAGGTTAGTCGGTTATGGGTGGAGTTTCAATACCCATACAAACCGCCACCAACATTTGAGAGACTAGGGTACGTATTCATGGCATCGTGCAGGGGGATGCAACGTGCTGATTGTCCATAGAATCATGATAGATGACGAGGGCATCTCCATCGCCTCCGAAGAGATCGATCCCGCTCTTGCCTTCAAGATCAATCGCGCTCTATGGCCCTCGGCACTCACACAATCCCTATGGAGCTTTAGCACAGCTCTGATGAAACAGAATTTCTTGGGCGTGGTGCAATATCTTGGCTTCAATCCCAATCCAAACAATACCTCGGCCAATGTACAACAGGCAATCGACAAAATGCGTCAGCGGATCGACAAATCACAGCAACCCATGGAGAAGACAGAATCGAAGCATCCGAGCCCAAATACGCTTCCACAGGCAACAAAACCGCAGGGAGCCGAGGGCTCTTCGGCGTCAATAGATAGATCCTCTGCTGATACCCCCCATACAACCACGCGACCGCTACCAACCAGCGGCTCCGTCTCACCAAATGGACCACCACTTGGCAAGCCACAGTCTGCAAAAGACATCTACGGCATCAACCAAGTGTCGGAACACACGAGCGGTCCGTTGCAGGCTTTCAAGAAGAAGTTTGCCCAAACGTGGAGGCCGTGGCGGATGCCACCCAACTACCCGCCACGGGGCTCCTTAAAGGTTTTAGGCATGGTGGAGCTTACGGGACCACGTGGGAAAGTCGTGGTGGACGTCTTCGCCTGGTTTAATCCCGCAACAAACACCATTGACACGAGTACCATAAAAATATTCTTGCGGAGTGTGTCGCCAAAGGTACAGGAGCCATTGAGAAATTGAGTCTGGCGCCACCTGGACGGCCTACAGTGGAGGCTATACCGTGGTTGAGCTTGCGTTAAGTCAATGCATTCACGGCGGCAAAGCATTGGACGCCAAGTTGAAAACAGTTCAGGGTGAGATGCCCTGCGGATCACGAGACACACATTTTATACTACTATAGCGCGAAACGCAAAACATCAGGTGGCGTTTACCCAGCCCTCATTTGTTTTGGAATGGACTGGTGATTGAGCAAGCGATTTTTGATTTGCCGGATGGAAAAGGGAGACGAGATAGCAGAGAGCACCAGGGATACCAAAGAGCCAGCATGCACGCTAGCAGATTTTACAGGATATTAATCAGAAAATTAAGATCTGGTTGATGAGACCACTTAATTTAGCCTACCGACATGGGGAAGCGGTTGTCCAAACGACTGACGGTTTATGAAAGCGAAGGAGTCCAGGTGGCACACGAAGATAGAGGGCGTCCTACATAAAAACCATCAATTACAGCTGATATGTCAGATTGGAGTGCCGTCGCTGGCGACACCACGGGAGCTACATGACGGAAGACTGCGTGTTCATTTGAGGATGCCCAGTTGCCCACTGGATCATGGCCCAACCTGAATGACTACTACCGAGGCAACCGACACTGAACGATACATTCTTGATCAAGACACCGATTCTAAGCCAGTGATGTGAGTCGTTCGGGAGATTTAATCTCAATTTTGTTTGCGTGGTGGGCCTCCTACATCCCCACTACGTGTCAAGACACTCACTGATATCAAGAGGATCTATCTCGCTTGGAAGTCTGCCTATTTTTCTGCGGACGGGCCATTGCTTCATCTGAACGGCTTCGATGAGGGGAAAGGGGCAGGGGGGAGGCATGGGGTTTGTTTCTGGTAAGCCTGCTATACTGTTCCGTTTGCATGGTTTGCTGCTCAGGTTGTACGTACTATGACGATAGTTTTGTTGCCCGTGAGGTTGTAAGCCGAAGGGAGATTCATCACATAACTACAGTTGACTCGTTTGTCGACACTGAGGAAGCCAACAGAGAAACGGCTCAGGGGTTCTCAGGCCAATCCAGTAGATATAACCTGGTTTCAGCACTAACATATAATGCATCCCTTCGGCCACGGTTCAACTCGCCAGCCGTGTTGTCTTGACAACTTATCTCATAGAAACATCGTCAATACCACCTACAGAGAACCTCACATTTCAGCAAAATGAGTTGGTTTCTTGTCGCCATTGTTGGCGTTCCACTGCTCGTCGTACTGTTCACTCGCCTATTCATGGCTGAAAACGACCGACTTGATGAAAACTGCCTAAGTCGAGCTCGCATCCTCCAACATAGGAGCATTGCCGACTTTAGCTATTTCGGCGCGAAGACCCTGAGAGACCGGCTCCAGCTTAGAGCTGCGCCCAATGCTCGTCTTATCACTGCTTTTGGTATCAACAATTCCTTCACAACGGTCGACGAGAAACTCCATGAGGAGTTTATACACACTGCTCGACTATCCATCAACTCGGTCGACAACAGGAAATGGGCCAAACTCTCTGAGCGAGCAGCTTTTGCACTGAATACATATATTCTGTATTCCAACGCCAACAGAGGTAATTGGAAAGATGCCGGCTTACCGCTTGCCGAAGCCATTCGTGTGGTCTCTCTCGACGTTGTTCTGGAACTTCTCTACCCCACCAATCGCGGCCGTTTGAGCGTTGTTGATGCCATAACCGTCACTTCATCCATCAATACTCTCTGGGTTGAATCGAAGGTGCATGAAAACACGCCGGAGACCGAAGCTTCGAAACGGACAAAAGCTCAGTTGCACAAATCTCTGGCTTGTCTTCTCGCGGTAAGGCAACTGTCAGGCTCAGATGCCAACCCCCTCAACCTCATAATGCCGGCGTATGAGACACTTTGGAGGGTTATCTTGAGTACGTATATACATGTTGCCTTGCTATCTGGTGGTGAGGTCCGGGAGGAAACCCTCGACGAACTGGTAGAAATTGTCCCCCTATATCTTGGTACAAGTTTAGATTTGGAAGGGCCAGTGGTCGCCTTTGGCAAAGTAAGTGTTGAGAAAATCAAGATTCAGCAACACAGGATAATAATGACTGATTGTTCTCGTGTTATAGGAAGCGCTTCGCTTGTATGCGCCCACAAAACGTATCTATCGGGGAAAATCGGAGCATGAAGTTGTTGCTGCTGATGTCGAAGCTCTACACCATGATCTCCTGATTTGGGGTCCGGATGCTCTCGAGTTCAATCCTGGTCGATTTAAAGATATCAAGCGGTTGACCAAGCAACAGCGGGATGCTTATATGCCCTTTGGTATCGGCACGCACCGCTGTCCTGCAGCTCATGGGTTCGGCGAGCGCATGATTTCATTGCTGGTCGTGGTTCTGTTCAGGAGACTTGGGAGCAAGGATATGGGACTGCAGATCGACTTCGGTGACAGTGAGCAGCAGGATCGAGGTATGCCGCTGCCCACTGGCCGGCTGGATATGGAGACCTGGGCGGTCAAGGGGCAATGAGGTACCGTCATGGTGAACGGGCCTTGAGCAAGGTATTTTGGGGGATTCTTGAAATTCGGGAGATGAGTGGATGGCTAGAGTGAGTTTTGAAAGGTATGGTTAGAGTCTTTAACCAATCTATGATATCGGAGTTAGTAACTTTCTTTCTGTGCATATCTATGGTACGCTCAAAATACAAAAGTAGGGATTCATTAAACTATATCAAGACAACATGTCGTGAGAAGTGCAGTTACCGAAGTCCCAACTTTACTCCCGCTCCATCTTCTTCAACAGCGGCACAGCACTTTAGGGGTGATTGGGAGTCGTCTTTTTGGATTGTATTCCACAGTCCAGTCGACAGAATATAACTGTCTGAACTGGTCCTGGGCTTGAAACTTGTCGCTGAAGTCAGGATTGCATCGAGCATACTTATGGACGAGACGAGGCGGGACCCGAGCGAAAGGAGCGGTGGCAACCGTCACGTTTGCTGGGGAAGAGCTTATTCTTGAGACTATGCCTGGAACAGTGCGCAGATAAGCCTTCTGAGAGGCCTAGAGTCAGAGTAGTGAAGGAACTTCGACTGAATCCCAGTGTGAACTATGTGTCAGGAACGGCTAAGACGCAAGGCGATAGTACAGAGTGAAGGGGAGCAACAGACATCCCTACTGATTATCACCGGGTGGTCACTAGTAGTTACTAGTGGTCTCAGGTAGGGGTGCCCGGAATAGTTCATCGATCTCCAACCTTCCCCCTATTCTCCTCGATATCTCCCTTACATAGATAGCCAGAGCCTGTATTCGGAGTAGCAGAGCCCTAGTTCCTGCGGCTGCTCGATATTCCAAGACTTCCATATTATGCTATGACTCATAGGCACCTATGCTAGTGCTCCACTGGCACCCCACAAGTATCTTGCACTCAGCACTACTCTAACACGACGGCCTCCTGACAACGCCTGCCCTCAGGGTCTTCGCTCCGTAATCCTGCATCTCCGGTCCGTCGTGACGGAGAGCTAACGCGTACATCCGTACCGCTAGTATTGACCCCTGTACCTTAAGCCGCACCAATACCCGCCTTCCGGTAGCGCACGTCGTAATAATAGTCCAGTAATCGCTTAAAAACTAATATTTAATACTCGGTTGTAGTAGCGTATATACTAGGTCCTAACCCGAGTGTTTCGAGCTATCGCCTGCCTACACACGTTATAATAATTGTGACAGGTTGTGTCTGAAATGGGATCCGGAGCTGCAAGAACCTTGCGTCCGGATCCACCAAAGGAACCATCGAGGGCATATAAAAACATGGTTTGTGTTCTCGGAAAACTCGCTTTTTTACTTTCCTCCTCAGTTAGATAATTAACAGTATTTGGCCATGTTGAGCTGTATAGTTTCGCAGTGAGCCCGTCACAATAATAGCCTAGTATTTGCTCGAAGCTACTCGCGTACGATAGCGTATATACTAGGCTCTAACCTAAGTGCTTCGCGCTATCGCTCGCCTTCGGTGCTATAGGTGCTAACTAGCGTCCCCCGGTGGCCCTTACCCCCCTCAACGGTATAATAATAGTCTAGTAATCGCTTGAAAACTATTATTCGATACTCGCGTGTAATAGCGTATACAGTTATCACCGGGTGGTTACTAGTGGTTATGTTGGATTACAGCCACTGTACAAGCCACACAGCCACATAGGAACGATTACCCCTCCCTACCCGAAGACAACCACGTACATCAGTCAATCACTTGAACACCTACTATTGATCAGATACACTTGTAATACGACAGGTCACCAGTAGTCTTAGATAGCTAGAGCCCGTATTCGGAGTAAGAGAGCCCTAGTTCCCTCGGTTCCTCGGTATTCTAAGACTTCCGTATTACGCTATGACTCAGGCAATTATGCCGGTACCCCACCGGCACCGTTGTCCTGCACTCGGCACTCTGACACTATGCCAGGGAATTGGAGGTAATCGTCAACTTCTCTCAACCCGAGGTGCGTATCATCCCCAATTGAACTTACTGAAGGCTGCAGGGCTGAGATTGAAACGGCAGTTCGAATCTCATTTTATCCGATCACTGGGGTGGTTCCCCGCGGTCGACTCAATTTACACCACGATCCCAGTATTTGCAAGTGGCAAAACCAACCCGCGATTAGCAGACCCCTGGTGGATTTTCCCTCAAGCACCTCGTCCTCTTACATAAGGCCCTCCAATGTTGTGATTACATCACACAAACACATGTCGATACAAGCGTTGCGGTAGACCTGAGCCGTCGTCATATAGGTTAAGTGGTGTTACCAGATATGAACACGACGGCTGAGCAGACGCGCAACTTCGGTTCACCTAGCAGCCCTGTTTTCAACACCCGTTGTACCTTCGTTGATCTATAAGTTGCGCCCCTAGAGAACCGCGAAAGGGAGTTCGTGTACTTCCGTTAGTCTGGAAATCCATAACAGTAGTGAGAATCAGCAGCAGCAGACGCACCAGCAAATAGAGCAGTCGTTAAATCATCGCCATCTTTCGGCAGAGTGCAGTCCAGTCTCATCCTCTCGACCCCGCAATTCCTCAACGTTTTCAGGAGATTCGCCAGCTCCAGTTCTGACAGTCTCATACACGTCATCGACCAAAGGCATGAGGAGCAGTATCCTCCTTCACCGAAACATATTTCCAGGACTGGGATTCCCACGCTAGGCACATTACTGAAGTACGAGTTTAAAGTGCGACGGACATAGGTGCCTATGAGTCATAGCATAATATGGAAGTCTTGGAATATCGAGCAGCCGTAGGAACTAGGGCTCTGCTACTCCGAATACAGGCTCTAGCTATCTATATAAGGGAGATATCGAGGAGGATAGGAGGAAGGTTAGAGATTAATAAACTATTCCGGGCACCCCTACCTAAGACTACTAGTAACTACTAGTAACTACCCGGTAATAATTAGTAGGGACGTTTATTACTGTCAGGGTCGTGTATGGGGGTACCAGTAGTTTATTGTTGTAGCATGAAGAATGGAACATCAGCCAGCTCGTGCAGTACCAATATACATGCGGTGCACGGCCCTAGCCCCGTGACAATTACTCCCCTTTACTCTATACTATCGCCTTACGTATTAGCTATTCCTAATACATAGTTCACACTAGGATTTAGTCGAAGTTCCTTCACTACTCTGACTCTAGGCCTCTCAGAAGGCTTATCTACGCACTTTTCTAGGTATAGTCTCAAGAATAAGCTCTTCCCTAGTAAGCGTGACGGTTGCCACCGCTCCTTTCGCTCGGGTCCCGCCTCGTCTCGTCTATAAGTATGATCTGCTGGCTTCAACTCGGATGGGATGCAGTTAAGTATAAAGGAGTTGACAGGGGGCATATTGCCTGTCTACATTGTATAGTCTAACGGGGTAAGGCCGGACGCCAGGGAAAATAGGTGACGGAATGGGGAGGATCTTTTGCTTTGATCAAGGCTTGTGGCTGCAACTTTCTTTTCGAGGACGGACCCTTTTTAATCACTACTTCATCTCTTCGATTCTACACAGTTGGTAATCATCAGTTATCGTATTCTTTTCTATGCATGCAATTCAAAGCTTCAGTTCATGATTCACTTATACGTTCAGGCGCAGCTTCCAAGAATCTATCTATTCCTTCCATTTCTAGCCTTGAAAACTACGAGGAATTGTGTCTTGCTCTGATCAGAGCAATCCAGTGCTAGTGACAGCGTCAATTCGACTCCCAGAGCAGCCAGACGTCATGTTCTGAGAATTATCCCGATGCGAGTCTCAGAGGCACATCCGACCAAATCAACCATAAGACGTATAAGAGCTTCGCTCTTGTAACTAGTACCACGATATTCGTCTGATCAGACCAACAGATGGATCTATTGGTACTGGAGCCATCTATTCAGTGCGTTAGGTGATAGGTACATCCTACCGACCGCCTGACCCCGTTTCAATAGTAACTCGGAAAAAAACACTTTCATGTTGAATTATGAGCCTTAAAATCTATGGTACTTCGGTCTTAAATGAGAGATAACTAGTAAAAGTTGCTCCCCAGAAAACATAATAATTATGCAAGTACTAGAAAGAAGTAGCTCCCTTTAGTTCAACAATGAGGGAATCAGTCCTCTGTTGATGACTTTAAATGGATGTCGTATGGATCGCTATATCTGCTGTAGATGTTGTGCTCCGTATATTAGTGCTGACAGGCGCTGTAAGGTGCTCGTGTTGAAGGAAGGAAGGAAGGAAGGAAGGGTCCAACCCACTAACCTACACTAGCAACCGCACCGCCTTAGGCCTATGACATGACTGTGGCGCTCATTCCCACAAATAATAGCCTCTAATGCTGATATGGGAATCAAGCGTTTTTATACAGTACGGGAAGGTGGGAATGTGATAACCGAGTTACATAATCTTTTCAGAGAGTTATAGGCGGAACAGAGCAGGGTGCGGCACTTCACCCGTTCAACCTGTGGTTTGCATAAATTGAGATTAGTATATCACAAATTCCATTAACGCTAGCATTATATACTATGGCAGTTCAAAGCACCTTTCCTCACTGATGGAGATCAGACAAGATCTAATTTGGAAGCCTCTTCTATATCATATCGCTGTTATAGTGAAAGTGGTCCTTCTGAGCAGGGTGCATCAGTCGAGGGTTTCTTGGACGAACCAAAGTAGTCCCTTTCCCATTCGTTCCTTTTGCTTCTCCTATCCTATTGAAGAGCTCCCTCAACCATCCCTGCCTCGCAGCAAAGACTAACATAATCACGTTCCTATAGCAAATTGAATTTAACCAACAGCCAAAGAAAGATGTTTGGGGGCTTAAGGTGCTATTCTGTACACCATAGGTGAATTTAAAATCGTCCCATATGAAATTCCTTGACTCCAACTGTCGGTGTGGTGGCTTTCCTTTTCAACAAATATGGATGCAGCATACCCTGCTGTCTGCTGTTGCTAAGTGACGTCAGTACGAATGTTGACGTTGTATTGGCCTGTTAGCGAAGTCAATTTCGCCAAGAGCAAGACCATGAGATGCCACGCACAGCATAATCAATTCTTGCTATATCTCAAGTGATCTTTATAAATGATTTGTCAGAATCCTCGTTCGGAGTGCAAGGTTTGGCCGATTGCGTTCGGAATTTGCTTAACCCCGAGTTCTTCATCAGCTGTAGAATACGCATTGACGTGGAATGCAGGTATAAAGCTGTCAGGGTACGGCTAGGCCGAAGGCAATAGTACAGAGTGATGGGGAGTAACGGGCGTCCCTCCTACGTAGCACCGGGTGGTCACTGGCGGTCTCAGGTAGGGGTGCCCACGGTGATGCATTGATCTCTGCCATCTCCATCTTCCTCCGTCTCGACTCCTTACTTATAGCCAGCCGAGGTTCTCTCTTGGATTCTGGATGTTTGCTTCCGTATGTCTGTGTTCCTCCGACTTCGGCCAATATCTTGGACAGCGGCTCCTTATCTGCAACCAAGCGATTCCCTATCCGCTGCAAACGGCTTCAACGGCTCTCATTCGCCACAAGCGGCTCTCTAGCCGCCACAAACGGCTTCCTACCTGGTGGAAGCCGGCCCGCCTCGGATGACACTTGTGGCTCTGACAACTCCTTCCCTATCCTACTTCGAGATGGTCCTTATATAGATAGCTAGGCCGCCGCTTGGACCCGGCATAACAGCAGGGTCGGCGATGCCAAGGATCTTGACTCTCGTCATCCCAAAGCTTCACATAGATTGTAATCATGATTCGGGAGTCTTTTGTCCGAAACACCCCTCCGGCGGCCCGCCGGTGTCCTGCGTTCAGTGTCCTGACACCCACTGGTGCCTATGGCATTCTGTTCTCTGACAAAAGCCCCCAACGCTTCGCGATGTCTCTGGGAAATTATCTACAACTTCACCAATAAAATTTAACACCGTTATCTTCTTCTGCAGAGCACGATGCCTCCCACAAGAGGAACACCCAATTTCTTAGAGGGCCCATGCCACAAGATGTTAGCCCTAACTTGGAGACAGCCGACTACAACATGACCTCCGTCGTGCACAACGATACCTACCCAGCCATCGACTCCGCCAAGGCCGATCTGAGCGGCAAACATGTCTTCTTCAGCGGCGCCTCCAAGGGCCTAGGCAAAGCGATGAGCATCTCTTTCGCCAAAGCCGGCGCATCCATGATCGCCATCGGCGCCAGGTCCGACCTGCCAGGCACAGCCAAGAAGATGGAGGAAGCGGCGACAGCACTCGGTAAACCGGCTCCCAAGATCTTGCTCCTGCAGTTGGATGTTACAGATACCAAGAGTGCCGAAAATGCCGCGGCACAGGTGAAGAAGGCTTTCGGCAGGCTTGACATCGTCATCAACAATGCCGGCATAGTCACATATGGTAAGATTGTCGACAGCGACCCGGACGAGTGGATGCGGGTGTTTGATGTCAACCTCAAGGGTCCGTACCTCGTCCTACGGTCCTTTATCCCTCTGCTGCTAGAAGGAGGCGATAAAACGGCCATCACCGTCTCCAGTGTCGGGGCGCATATAATTCTTCCGGGATACAGCGCGTACCAGACATCTAAGTTGGCCGAGTTGCGGCTTTGCGAGTTCGTGAATGTCTAGTATGGGGACCAGGGGGTCTTGTCGTACTGTATTCATCCGGGGAATGTTCAAACCGATATTTTTGGCATGGATGGGGTACCACCGGAGCTTAAGCAACGTCAGTATTTTGACTCTTTCACTCCCCTTTGCGCATTTACACTAACCCCTTATGCTTTAGTTTTTGTGGAAACCGCTGAGCTGAGCGGAGACTCTTTGGTGTACTTGACATCCGAGAAGCGCAACTGGTTGGCTGGTCGCTATGTGAATGTCACATGGGATCTTCCGGAGCTGATGACCAAGGAAGCTGAAATTGTCAAGGATAATAAGTTGGTGGTTCGACTGGTCGTCTGAGTCAGCTGTGCCTGGCAAATTCAATGCAGTAACATTAAGTACGTCTCCCGGACACGACCAATTATGCACTCTTGTAACCTATATCAGCGAAGCCGCGTAACCCATGTCTTTCAATTCCCTATTCAATCCCAATACATGTGAATTCTATGAAGGCTTCAATGTCGCATCAGATACCTGATATGAACCCTCAGCGCAGAAATATCCACTAGCTTGCTTAACATATTGACATACCTTCCTTGGTCATATTTTCTGCAATTATGCCTGCTTGTTTCACATCCAATCTGGCTCGCCACACCGGCCTCCTGTCAACCTTTGAGTTAGCGCCAGGTATTCCCCGAGCGTTAAGCCGGTTGATCATAGATTCCCGTATGACTTTAAAGGACATACGTTCCTGATTGGGACCATTTAAATCTTGGAAGATATCATAGCTAAGCAAAGATTGAGGATACCGAGGATGGGGCTCTGTTAGAGGGTATCCTCGGCATCGCATACGTCAAGACTGCAAATACTGCAAAGATTTCCATGGAAAAAGTTCTCATACGCTTGACCGAGCCCGTATGACTGGCCAAGAAATAATCCGAGCCAGCGTCAGCTGCGCCTGAAGGCACCAACTCCCGATCGGCCAGCAAGATGGAAACCATGGTACCCTCAACCGCATGCCAAACGCAAGCAGCCCAAGGCCAGTAAGCAAGCACCGCAGAACGACGTCGTAATGGGAGTGAAGGCTGTCATGGCGGAATTATCATATCTGAAGGTCGCCGAGATTCACGAAGACCGTGAGCTGGCAGATATGGGTATTGACTCGGCTGGTATAGAAACTATATCCCAGATAGAGAATAAACTTTTATGTGACACTCCTGGAGAGTGAAGTCTTCAACGTCACCGACCTCCCGGGTCTGATGAGACGCGTAATGGGTGCATTGGGCATGGACATGGATGATGGATGTGACGAGCGGACCGACGACACAGACAGCAACATACCAAGCGCGAAATCATCGGGTGGTGCAGGCACAGTTTATTTAAATATGCCGGCTCCTGGATCAGAAATGGACAAAGACGATCATACAATCTCAGCTAGAAGCGCGCTTGACCATCCCTTTTCAACAGTCATGGCCACCTTCAATGAGACAAAAGAGCTGACGGACATACGCGTGGCCGAGTATCTACCGCTGCAGAATGAGCTGAAGGTTTAATTCACGCTTGAAGCCCTTGCAGAGTTGGGAAATAGGCTCTGTGATGCAGGGCCGGGCCAGCAGCTCTCGCGCATACCACATGGCAAAGAGCACCTACATTTCGTGACATATCTTTACGAGATGCTCAAGACGGAGGCACATATTATAAAAATGGAAGGAGACAAGATTACCCACACCGCATTGCCACTTTCAGAGACAAGGGCCAAGGATATATACGGGTAGATGATCGAATGTTTTTCACAACAGCAGGCGGCCGACAAACTCCCCTATTACGCGGGTTCCAGTCTGGCTCGTATGCTTTAGGGTAATACGGATGGATGGTGTGAAATTGATATTCGACAGTGCTAAGGGCTGGGTATTGGTCAACACCTTCTATACCGAATGGCCACTAAACAGAGTGCTTTATGCGAAGATCGAAGACTTCCTTAAACGGCTGACAGCGAAGCTCTAAGCCGGCCCGCGAAATCAGCGAAAGTTTACTGCTACACGTCTTAGAAATGAGAGTCAGCACCGGGGGCACGACAAGGCGCCCTTGCCGCTGCTGGCACAGCTCAAGGGGCCAGTTGATTACACCTTCACGGAGCCGGTCAACAGTACCACTGTGTCATCGCGAGCAACGCAGTGCACGCGATTCATTCCCTGTGCAAAATTACACGAAGCGTGCGCAAGGTTTGGGGCTCGGACGGGTTCCTTCTCATGCTCGAAATGATGCGTATATCGTCTTGGGTGGGCTTGATCTTTGGTTTATTTGTTTGAAGGAAGGCGGTTGTCTGATGATGGGCATCGGCATGCGCTAACATGTGCATCAAGTTGGAAAACAAACTTGCAGGCCGTAAGCCACGGCCACGTAGATTGAACGGACAGCGTGAGCGTGAGGCCGGAAAGTAATATTAAAAAGTTGATACTGGCCACTGCGGACTCGACCAGCCAGTAAGTAGGAATACGGCTCTGGGTCTTGGAACGTCGCAAGGGTCCTCGAAGCATTCTGAAATTTTGGCTAGCTGTGATCGCTTGCTAAGCCCGGCCATTCCGGGTTACCAGACTAAGAAGGGCGTTTCAAACAACTGTGGAACGTGCAAAATCATTTTTGCCCGCTATGCCTATGACCACACTGACGGGCTGTGCACCTGTCGCCATGTTCATTTCCAAACATAAATGTCCCAAGTTCGCAGTGCGTCTTGATAACAGGCGTCACGGGTGGCTTGGGTGCACACTTGATTGCCGTATCTGCACTTCAGAAGGACGTAACGCGTGTCGTCTGCCTCAACCGTCGGGGCAAACAAGACCCTCGACAAGAACAAGAGCAGGTTTTGCGCAAGAAGGGCGTTGAGCTGCCCTCGAAGCCCAACTTTGGCCTGCCCGATGACCGGTACCGTGTACAACGCCTGGCTGATGCAGTCCAAGTGGCCAGTTAAGCGCTTTGAGCCTCAATGCGCATCGTGACATACATGCTTGGTCTGGCACGCGATATTTTTATCTTGACTGGGCGTCTGGTCACATTCGACTTCATCTTAATTATCGCTAGTTTCGGCTATCCCCCGCTCTATATATACATTCCAGTCGTACCTAAGGAAAATATACTCGTAGAAGCGTTCTGTCAACCGGCTATGGAGACGCAACATATATTTACGAACGTATGGTCTCCACCCTGCGGTGGTGTGCGGATCGATTTCGTGCCACAGCCGTGTGCCTTGGCCTTGGCCAGATTGCCGCTGCAGCAACGGTCAGCAGAATCCCATGGATCATATTTCGTTCTTTACAAAGTCGTTGCAGACAATGAGCGCGCTGCTAGTCCTTCGGGGCAGCTTGGGCTGGACGTTGATCGGGGTTTGACAAAGACGGACGCCGTAGCGCCGCATCCAATCTACCACATCGAGAACCTAATCCGTCAGCTATGGGCTGAAGTCATCGCCATCTTGGCGGACGCACACGAGATTCCTCGAGACAAGATCGGCATCACACTGGTCTTTTGCCTGCATTGACCTATCTTCACATGAAGTATTCACAGCAGCGAGCACCAATAGGATAGGTTCGTACTGGTTGCAAAGCGCAATCAGCGCGAAACGCAGTCGAAAATCCGGAAAATTTGATGCAAACGCAGTAGTCTGGTTTCCAGGTCCAATTCAGTTGCTAGTCTTTCAGCATACTCTACCAGGAGTTGTTGACGCTGGATTAAGCTGTGGCTCGTGCGCCTTGGGCCCCTGCTTTTTGCCCTCTTAGAGCCGGGTGGCGGGATCAAGGTACCTACCTTCGACCTTTTTTTGGCAATAGAACATGCAGAAATATATATATAAAGGCCATATAAATGGTCGGGGTTGTGTTCCTTCGTATTTCATTGCCCCTAGTTATTGTGGTAAGATCGTCTACAGGAGGACAAATCGATGAAGGTTTAGTAGATGTCGATTATACCATTTCCGTCTCCAATCGTATACATTTGCAGCTTCTCAGTGTTGAACCTGTTACTGTAGTACAAAAGAATCACAAATTGAGATTTTAATACACGGTCCCCACTTCATAACCTGGATTTAATGGAGATTACAAGCTGGCCTTTCTACATGGCAATTTCGGAAGAAAGGGATAAAGCATCTGCCAGGAGATGGGTCATTGGGTATCATAGTTATTGATGAGGGCACCGGTGATCGGAGTTCCAGCCAGGCCCGCGAAACCAATGATGAAAGTCGACTGACCGACATAGGCACCGATCTTTGACAGGTTAGAAAAGTTCCACTAGCCAATACGTGTAAAGAGGGGATAGGGTGGGTGGAAAGGGAAGGAAAATGTCTGACAATTTCGCACATACTTTGCTTGGATGGGGTGCACAGTGCGCAACCGTCGACATCATCAGTGCGATGATCCCGCTGGTCGCCCCAAAGAAAACTGACAGCACGATCAGTCCAGCAGACGAAGTGATGACAAGCCAGCAGAACAGCAAGAGGCCAGAGCTGTAGCAGGAAAAGGCGACGACGTTGAACTGGCCAGCGTGCTGTGCGAAGGTATCGCCTAGAATGCGCCCGACGAAGGGGCCTGCGTTGATGATGGCGAACAGGTAAGCTGCGAGGTTGGCTGACATGCCGTGTGCCTGACCATACGCGGCGAGATAGAAGTACGGCGTCCAGAAGCCGAGGATGACCAAGAAGAGGCCTACAACCTGGAGGGAGTAGGCGGGATTCTTGAAAGCTTCCAGCACGACCAGATTGCCCCTCCGCGTCATCAGCTCGGGGATGGATGGTAACCACAGCCAAGTTCACTTGCGCACAAAGGTTCTTAGATATACATTACAAGCATTTCACAAGACAACAGACGACTCCGCGCCACCAATTCTATCCAAAATCTAGCAAAGCCTCTGCTAATGTAAGTATCACCACTCGAATCTGCTATGAGTTGGCCGCCTCTTTGACGAGAACTCGAATGGCATCATATTTCCCTTTATACTCGGTAAACACATACTGAGCTGACCACGCTGCTTTAGACTGGCGTTGTTTGTCAACAACCTAAACCTGGCTCATCCGTCGTTCAAACGATAAAGCAGCAAGACTTTGATTATGCTGATGTGAGTGTCCATAGTTTTTTTTTTTTTTTACCAAACCCGTCAAGACTGCTAATTTCCAATGCAGCTCAGCCTTGAAACATTCGATTTTGACATGGATTGGGATACCGGTAGCTTCTGGGGGTCGCCGTGGAATTCGTTGGGGACGCAATGAAAACTTAAACCTTCCATAAGCGTCACTTGTAACGTTCGTTGTAGCTAGAAACGAACGTCGTCTCAAGAAACAGATGGTCTGTGCCCTATAACTAATTGCCGTAACTTATATCTAGATAGTGTTTGAGCCTATCTCTTATAGCCAGGGACTCCAGTGTACGTTGAAAGTTCAACATTTAATTACGATCTAAAGTGGCTGTCAAAGAACAGAGGATAAGGACGAATCTAAATGCATTTTACAAAAGAAATCATTCAAACTCAAACGTCCCCCTTCTACTTTACTAATTGGATATTTCGGGGCTAGAATAGAGTCTAGTAGTGAGAACCATTAAAGAAATGCAGCGGCGACTTCTGGAAAGTGAGTGAATATGATGCTACAAAGCGTGTGCATTTTACCAAATCAACAAGCTGTTACGAAGGTCAACTGACTCTAGGAAGCCCGTTTTCTTTCTTATATTTGGTAGAGACCGTACAATTCCGTCTCGACTGACAACAACGCTCCTGGTATAATGATATTCGCATTGACGGAAATAGCAGATATTCCAGCCATAATTACATAACAAACTTTCTGGTCAGTCAGAACCCTCCCAAAGGCTGATGCGGTTGGCTTTGCAATGTCTGTTGAGTTCAAGCTACCTGCAACAATGAATTGTTCCGCCCCTGTCGGTGAGATCTTCTCGATGTTTCCCCCCTTCCGTCGCCAAGAATATGTTGACCTCACAGTATAGATAAGCCACTGCAGCGTATCGCCAACGAGAAGACATGTCTCCGAGAACTCTGAGAGAGTGTTCAAGAGCTGGCCCTCGCAGATCAGTCCGATCTTGGAAACCTTTGGCTGAGGCAGAAGGGTGCCATTGGTGACTTGAACACCACGCAAACCGATGGTCCGAAGTGACCATGTTCCTGAAACGAAGTTGATATTCACCCACCAAGGACGGCAAAGACGTCAAGGGTATTCAGTGATGCCGGTGAGAACACGTGCTTCTATAAAATTGTGGACCAAGGCGGAATGTCCTGGCTGGTCTGGGTCGACTAAGACCAGTTCCGTACTCGCCATAACCGTTACGAGTACCTGCCCGCTGAAACGGACAGATAGGTTCTCCACAAAAGAGTTGTTTGAGAATTGGAATAGGGTCTGTACATCGCGGTCTGGTGCGGGGCCAGAGATTGGACCTGTTGTCCCTCGACCCAGAAGGGCAGTACAACATGATGAACAGCACCAAGGACATCGTGATTGGTATGCTCTACACGGGATACTCAGATTGTGAGAAGATAATAAAACTTACACGAGCCAGGAGACCGACTTAAGAATTACTAAAAGGACACCTTGGGCCAAGTATCATAGCATTGTAGCGATTAATACTGGAATTTATTTTTCAATATTGGGTATTGTATTTTCGGCTTTGAGGTGCAACAACACGTAGTCTTGTGAGCTTCAATTACAGCCTGTAATGATTCTTAACAGTATAAAGGCTGAAAATTGTGGCTGGAACAATTCTATGTTAATAATCGGCATTTTTGGAAATACGAGGACGACAATGTGCACCTCATAGCAGATCCTCATAGCAGATCCTTCGGCCAATTAACTTTTACGAAACTGAAATAGTAGACGAGGAGAAAAATGAGAAGAAAAAGTATCCGATCGATTAGTCTGACATAATCAGCAATGAGGAATTAACATGATCGCCACGCATACTTTGCTGGCTGACCTTGAATAAGGACAATATTCATTGTATCAAATTATATAAGATATATTATTATTATTATTATTATTAAATACGCCGTAGGCTCGAAGCCCCCGGTACCTCTACTAGTACTCCCGTATGTCAAACCGTGCCCTAATGGCTGGACTAAATACATACGCTGCGTCGTCGGTTCGCCCTATTGGCGACTGCGTTGCGTTCACTACCATACTACGTTGGTTCTCAACCTACCAACAAAGTCCCCCCTGAGAAGATCGATGCTATCTGGGCCTTGAAGCTGTCCGACCCGTCCCTAGCAGCCATCTTACAATAGTCCCACTAACTACTGGTTCTCCTGTTGCCGTTGCGAGGTCTCTGCGAGAGTATAGTGGCCGTGGTGCGATGGCGGCCCGTAATCGTTCCCTCGGTCCTTCCAACAGCCCGCAAAAGAGGATTACGTGCTCTGCCGTCTCAGGGGCATCGCCACAGCGGCATAGCGGCGAGTACACGCCAAAAGCCCCTGTCTTGAATAAGAAGGCTGCTAGTCCTATTTTTTCCGTCCTGATCTGGCACAGCGTAGACGCCTCCAGTCGGTTCAGGCCGAAATACTTGCCCCCTTTCGGTATCTGCATCGAAGGGCCCTCCGGTTCCTCAGCGATAGCGCGTCGCTGGCGATCGTGATGCTCTGCTCCGGTGAGCCATCTCTTCCTCCAGTGGTCGAGGAGGGCAGCCGGGACCTCCTTTTCCTCACTCATCCACTCGGAGCCCCGGGCCTCCTTCTCCATAGTGTACCCTGCCGGTCGGAGTAGCTGCGACGCCTGCTTCCTCTTCGCCGGCCTATCCTGCCGGAGTATATGTGACGCTTTAGCGCTCGCGCTGCGAAGCAGATTTCTCTTCCCGCTAAGCCGTAGCCGTTCTTCAAACTTAGCAGCCCGGGCACTAAGATAGAGGTCTAGTGGCGGGATTGCTGCTTCTGCTTCCAGGTGGCGAACCGGCGTCGCTTTGTGGGCACCACAGACTACCCGGAGGCACTCGTTCTGTATCCCCATCAGGCTCTTAGCTGGCCCTGCCGGTTCCTCACTTATAGTATGCCACGCAGTCGCCCCGAAGGCAATCGCGCTACGGATAACCACCGTATATAACAGCCTCGCCCGTATAAGATCGCAGCCCCACGACATATTGACTAGCTTTGTCAGGGCTAGCTTTTGAGTTGCCATTTTTGTTTTAACACGCTCAACATGGGCGTGCCACGTCAGTTTGCGGTCGAACCAGACTCCTAGGAACCTGGCTGAGACTACCGGCGACACTGTGGCGTCCCCAAGGCGAATACTTTGCGGCAAGGGCTCTCGGGCCCTAGTAAAGTGCATTAGCTCACTCTTGTCAGGAGCGAACTCCATCCCGTGCCTCACTGCCCACCGCTGACACGTAGCCCATGCGCTCTCCAGCGGCGGCAGGTCGTGTCTGGATCGGTGCCGACGCTTAGCAGGTTCGTGTCGTCCGCGAACCCGACTACTAAAAGTAGTGGATGCTGCTCCGCTAGCTCCTCGTACAGCGTTGAAATGTATAATATAAACAGTATCGGGGATAGCGGTGACCCCTGGGGGACGCCAGCTCGTAGGGGGATTGGCTCTGACTCCTTGCCATCGAACCGGAGGCGTACCGTCCTATCCTCCACGAAGCTGCGTACCCACTCCTGAACCCACTCCGGGTAGCCTTTCCGGGCTAATATGGAAATCAGCCGTCTGTAATTGACCGTATCGAATGCCCCTTGATGTCTAGCTGTAGCAGCGAGGCGATGCCCCCGCGTCTCCACGCCGTATAGACCACGTCCTCAACTATACGTATTGCCAGTTCGGTGGACCTCCCAGCGCGGTTACCCATTTGGCCGTTTGGTAGTAGGCCGGCCGCCTCAGCTACTTTGGTGATACGCTGGCTCATCGCCGTCTCTATTACCTTCCCTACCGTGCTAAGCAGGGCAATGGGGCGCCAGCCGCCAGGGGTCTGCTTCTGAGCTGTCGTTTTATTAGGCTTAGGGATAACAACCACCCTCGCTGAGCGGAAGCGCTCCGGGTAGTACCCCAGCCTAAAGCTAGCTGTTGCCAGATCCGCTAGGATCTCCTATAGGGGTTCACCGCAGGCCTTTAGCAGGCCAGTGGGGATCAGGTCGTCGCCGGGAGCCTTCCGAGCAGCCGTTCCTTTGATGATAGACTCGATATCCATTGTGGTCACCTCCCTAGGGACGTTCAGCTCTGGTCTCGTCTGTAATAGGCCGCGATCGAGGTCCGATAGATCTATATACGGGTCTGGGAAGAACCTCTCAGCTAGTAATTTTGCCTTCTCATCATGTGTACGTGCCGTAAGCGTGTCGCCGGCGTCCCTCCGGAGATCTGGCAAGCCGTGGGCCTCAGGGGGGGCCCAGCTCCGTAGCCTAGCCCACCTCTGCAGTGCCCACAGGCTTTTGTGATCCTTCGCCGTCCCCTCGAGCTTCTCGTGCCAGCTACGCGTCTGCGCTTCGCTGATTTCGAGCCGTTGTTTTTGGCCGGCTCTTGTATATTCGTCCCAGTTGGTCTGCGACCTTGCCTGGAGGTAGTCCCGCCGTCGTCTCTTCGTCTCAGCGCAAGCCTTGCTAACCTGCGGGCACCACCACGGGACCCCAGCGCCTCGGCCAACGGTGCGTCTCGGGACCGCCACGTCGGCGATCTCTTGGAGGTTCCGGATAACCCAGTCAACAGCCTGGTCCAACTCCGTTATCGTCTCAACCGGCAAATAATTCATAAATCTCTGGCTTGATTCGGCTACGATGAGCCACTTATCCGCCATCGCCCAGTTCCACCCTTCAACACTGCGGCGGCCCTCCTTGACTGCTTCCCCGTTGGATATTACCCTAATCACTTGCGCTCTGTGGTCTGAGCCCTCTAGGCCCGGGTCCCCATCGTAATCAATCCTAGCCCCTTTCGTCACCCAGGCTAGGTCGATAGTTGAGTCTCGTTGTTTGTGCCTTTGCCGTGTGATTTCCCCGAACGGCGTAACGAGCTCTAATCGCCAGCATCGCGCAAACTCCACTACGTTGTCGCTGCCCCGTGATGACCGTCCGTGGACGTCCCACAGCGGGTGATGTGTATTGAAGTCCCCTACGAGGACCTGTGTCCCCTCCGGCGCCCCATTAGGGAGGTCTTGGAGCGGGCTGACCCAGCGGCTCCCGGTCTGGCTTGGTGAATAGATAGACCAGATTGTAAGGGCGTCCGGGCCTGCCCCGAACGTAATACTGCTCCAGTCCATCCCGGTACGGGGTCGCAACGTAGCCACGTCGTATCGTTTATGGACGTATAGCGCAGCTCTGCCGCTGCTGTACACTACTTCGTACCTGGAAGACTTCGGGCAATAAATCGCCTTCGTCTGCCGGTTGATCCATGGCTCTTGAACCGCTATTATATCATAGTCACCCCCCTTATCCAGCGCTAGCGTTGCGTTCGCCTTTGAATCTGCGATATTCCAGTAGAGAATAGAGACTACCATTAAGCTGTCGATGGTATATCTTCGTTCGTACGTCCCTTAGTGAGGAAGCTACGCATTGCTGACGCAGACCGTTCGGTTCGCTCCTGCTCCACTCGCGATCCGCCCAGGGGGCGGCCCCGGGGTCGTACAACTGTAAACCCGTCGCTGGTCAATGAGCTAGGTGGTGTGAGCCTGCCCTCACTAGATAACCCGTCCGAGTAGCTGCGGACCTCAAATTGTCGGGGGCGGTGAGCGTACGCCTCGCGTACGCGTAGCCGCTGCTGTTCTGCCGTAGGGCAGTCCCTGTCCCACGCCGTGTGCTTCCCTTTGCAGTTCACACAACGTTTTTTGCCGCTAGGTGCCTTCTCGGGGCAGTCTTTTTCACCCCCTGGGTGTGCCGTTGCAGCGCAGACGCCGCAACGCGCCGTCTTCTTGCAGTGTTTCGCGATATGGCCGTATTCGTAGCACCGGTAGCACTGCCGAACCCGAAGATTGCCGTCGTACGGCTCGCAATCGAATATCTGGGCCTCCCAAATAAGCCCTTCGGAGCATAGTTCCATCGCCGCCTCCACGCTATCCACGTGTAGTATCAGGGCCGCATACGGTGCTTGCGGCGCCCGGGGGAGGTTTCTTTTAGCCTTAGAGAGGTGCTTTGTATTGTCCCGCTTCAGGTCTTTAAGTAGCTGGCTCTCGTCGTGGACCTCTCGCAGCCGTTTCGCAGGCAGCCCCTTCGCGATCACTGCAACTTCTCTGCGGTTGAGAAGTGCCTTATCGCCGAAGGCACTACGCACCCACCTGCTGTCCGTGGTCGCCGCTGAGGCCGACTGCTTAAACGTCACTACGGTATCGCCACTGCGCAGCCTGCGGGCCGCCACTGCATCGGTGCTGCCGCGTGCACTGTTCACCGCTTTTACGACCTCAGCCGCCGATCTGTTCTTCATATTAGGGTCCTCTGTCCCCCGGATCACTACCTCTCTCTCCCTTCGCTGGGGCACTACAACCCGCTGCTGCCACACTGGGGCTTCACCGGGTCCCCGTCCCTGGGCCGATCCTGAGGCGATTGAGGCCCAGGATCGAGTTGTAGGCAAGGCCACGTTCTTCACCGTATCCTGCATGGTCTTCTCAACCATCGTCTGGATCGCCGCAGGAATTTCGGCAAGGGCCAGAGTCACTGCCAGTACGTCGGCATGTGTGGCGGGTCTGTCGCCCCCCTCCTCCAGCGTCCTGCCGGCTAGTTTCAACCCCAGCCAACGCTCCATCAAACCCCCCATGACCTCAATCTTCTCACGTGGGACCAAGTCGGCAATCTCTTGTTCTACCTTTTGTAGTTCTCTTCCGATCCCTTCCCTCTCTGCGTTCTTTCTGCTGGTGCGCTCCACGTTCGGTGCGTGGGCACTTTCGTTGGCGTGGGGGTGGTGAAAACTCTGTTCGAGTCCCGCCCGTCCCCCGTCGATCACCATCGGCGCCGCCATCGCTTGCGTCCTCGCTTCGCGTGCGATGCGAGGTCACTGTCCGACGTAAACGGTCGTTAGGAATCGAATGCCGCAATCGGTTTGATGATTTGACGCTGTTCGAAGAAGTTATCGATGAAAGTCAGAAATCTCCCTTCTTGCAAAAAAAAATATAAGATATAAAGATAGATTCCATGCCATGAATACGAGGAAATGGTGGTCACGTAACTAGGTCCTATCACACATATCTGGGCACCGAGTCTGATCCAAAGAAATAAAATAATTCCACTTGTCAGAGAACAGAATGCGATAGGCACCAGTGGGTGTCAGGACACTGAACGCAAGACACCGGTGGGGCGCCGGAGGGGTGTTTCGGACAAAAGACTCCCGAGTCATGATTACAATCTATGTGAAGCTTTGGGATGACGAGAGTCAAGATCCTTGGCATCGCCGACCCTGCTGTTATGCCGGGTCCAAGCGGCGGCCTAGCTATCTATATAAGGACCATCTTGAAGTAGGATAGGGAAGGAGCAGAGATCAATGCATCACCGTGGGCACCCCTACCTGAGACCGCCAGTGACCACCCGGTATTACGTAGGAGGGACGCCCGTTACTCCCCATCACTCTGTACTATTGCCTTCGGCCTAGCCGTACCCTGACACCACTCCGCTCGAATTCGTCATGAAACGTTAAATTATTCTATCCTCATTATGATATATGGCACTGTCTCTGATTGTGCCTCTGCTGAGCATGTGCTTTTGAATATATCCTGAAGAAACCGATTTTGCACTGATAATTATGGGCATTTTCATTGTGCTCATGGTACTCTCTAGAAGAAACGGCTAACAAAAGAAACTGTAACATGCTGATCTAAAATCTGCTGAGTCTTACAGTACTCTTCTCAATTTCATCCAAACTTTTCCATCATTTTCATGAGAGTAACGCAAACCCCCAAACATCGAGCGAAGCTAGCTCAAGCTGACAACGTGGTCCGTTAAAATTGAAAATGAAAATTAAAATATATGTGAAGGCCACTTGGGGCTTGAAGCTTCTAGTGATGGACAGTCTAGAAGACTGTATATAAACGACTGTCTAGTCACGACCAAGCCTCTAAGGCTTACTAACTTGTTCCTTGCGAAAGAACTTGAAGAACCCAACACATAGCACCAGCTGAGCCAACATGACAACCCAGAACCAACCCTTTGAAGCCGCAATTCCGGCGCCCTCAGAGAAGTCAGGGAACACATCCCCCGGCCCAAGATTATCAGGCGCCGAAGCTCTTCCAACCATCGTCGCGACGCTACCGATGACCTGTGCGGCTACAATAGCCGCCGCGACGTGAGCACGAGTAAGAACCAGCATAAGGATCATGCCAATTCCTGCTCCTTGGATTCCATCAAGCAGTCCAAGCCACAACCAAAGCGCCCTACTGGTAAGTGCAGACGATACAGCACTTCCAGTCCAGGGGAGGTATAGTCCAACCCCTGACGTGCCCCAAAGCATCTGCGCCCAACGCGGTGCTCCCAATCCCACAGCGAACAGTGGGAAAAGCCACGAGTGACTACGGCTAGCCATGGACAACAATTTCAACACCACGACCCACCCCACCCCAAAGAAAGCTAGTGCGAGCAAGGCAATCGCCCACGTGGGCACATGCTGCGAGCTAAACAAGAAGAACCAATTCCTACCATACGGGGCGGAGAGAAAATAGTTCTGAATCACAACCGCGAAGAAATACCACATAACCGTGCGCCTCTTCAGCAGAGAGCGCCACAGCATAGGAAGCGCGCCTGGCGTCTCGCGGTAGTAATCCGGCAGTCCGGCGAAAAGCACTACGCCTGTGGCCCAGAGGGCCATGGAGATGGGGAAACAGACTCCCAAAAGGGCAGGCGAGGTGGCGAGACTGAATTTCTGCCTATACCCCGCTGCGCTGGCCGACGAGATCAGACTGCCCCAATACCAGAGCATGATGGCGTAGACTTGCTGGAAGCCCTGGATGACGGTAGCGCGGAGGATCCACACTGTGAGGGGGGAACCACCTTCGTCGCCGAAATTGAGAGCGAAAGCTAATCCGCCACTGGACGAAGCTACTGCGTAGAACCCGGTTGCTACGTTTTGCATCGAGCCCCTGCTTGCATATGATGAAGCGAAGGGGGACAAGCCCAGGATAAAGAAGGCGAACCCGTAGATGAAGAAGGGGACGCAGAGCACGTAGAGGGATTTACACGTCCGGGAGAGGACGTACCAGACTATGGTGCTAATAAGGTAGATGGTGGCGATGACGTAGAGTTTGGTGGCGGTTTGTCCCAGTTCGCCGGTGAGGAGGGTGATTTGGTAGGAGTTGGAGGAGATGATTTGGCCAATGGCGAGAAGGATACCGTAGATGGGCCAGTCCCAGACGCGGCGTTGGAGGTGTCTGATATGTTCGGTTAGTTATCTGGCTTCTAGATATTTTGGTCGAAAACAGCGGTGGCGATGATCAGGGGGGATATGGAATAAGAATGGAACTCACTTCTTCAACCCACTGGGCGGCTTGTAATCATCCGCCAGGCCAAAGTACTCCTTATCAGCCGGCTCGATCTTGTCGGTAATATTAGCCCATAGCTTCTTGGGCTTCTGCTTGTGTTTGTCGCCTCCGCAGCCGCAACTGGTGCACGGTGGAGGAGCGACAGGCGGAGGCCCCGGAAGTCTTCCCAGCTTGGCGTTGCGGTAGTTGGTGAACCACTCCTTCTCGCTCTTGACGAGGTAGTCCTCGATGCAGAGCTCCGTGGTGGAGTTGTGCGAGTTGAGGCTCTGCAGCATTTTGTCGAAAGCGTCGTAGAACTCACCGCGCGAGTCGGTGAAGAAGGGGTCCACCTTGAGAAGATTGAAGTCGCTGCGGTCGCCGACAACATCCTGCAGGCTGAGGGCGGATGTTCGGCCGGAGTGGACATGGCCATCATGAGTTTCTGCTATGGTGGGAGACAGGTACAAGTTTTGCTGGCCCGGGGTCAAGGGTGGTGTAACCAGCTCGTCGGCTGGTGTGGCCAGACCCGAAGTAGGCATGGATATTGTAAGACCGGGTGTGACCGGGACAGATGCGGGTGTCATGAGATCGAAATCCGACTCCGAGTCCGATTCGGGTGTTCCTGGTCTAGACTGAGGTGTTAAGTATCCTGACAAGTCGCTGCCTGGCCTATCTTCATCTCCGTAGTCATGAACATCCACGGTCGGCACCACTTGGCCGCACTCGTCAGCGAAATGGGCATGCGCTAAAATTCCAAACTTCTTCGGGCGCTTCTTGGGCTTCTCGTGGACTTTGATGGCAGTTGACTGCAGTTCATCAAGCTTCTCGAGCCATTGGGCCACGGGGAACCGCTGTTTCGCCGACCACGCACGCATCATGGCGCGAGTCTTCACCTTGGTTGCCAACGCCGACACAATTGCCTCCCGAAATTGGGCTAGCAAATGCGCAGCCGCCATGGATTCAACCGTGAACCACCATCCTGGCATTTGACCAAGCCCGCCAACACGGGCCCCAACGCCGAGTGCCCCCTTTCGCCCGAATTCAACAGCCACCAGGCCAAATGGTTCATCCCGGGAGGGAATCAAGGCGAACTCTGCTCCGCTAAATATACAAGGTGGCAGTGCCGTGAATTCCGGCTTGCTGAAGACTCGTTCGGGATACTTTTCCATTAGTTTTGACAACTTGAGCGCCGCGAACTTGCCGTAGAGATCAATTACCGGCCCCACGCAGATGAGTTGCGTCTCAGGGAACTGTTCGAGCACCGATGGGAATATGTCAGCGATGAGGTCAATCCCCTTCTGCAATGACCACCGCCCGACGAAAACGAAGAGTTCCGCCTCGGGGTTGACTTCCAGTCCGGCCCACTCCTGCGCCTGTCGTCTCAGGCCCGCTCTACCGGCCTCGAAGTTATTGTCTATCTTGACGTTGGTCTCCTGCAAGAATGCGTCTTTGTCCCAGGCGGCCGTGTCTGTAGGATCGGGATTGGGAAGCTGGCCAATTTTGGTCAGGCCCCAGAAGATAGGGTAGCGGGCGAAGGACCGGTCGCCATACTTTTTCGAGACGCCGACGGCGCCGAAGCCGTCTTGATGCACGCGGAGATAGCTGGCTCCGGCGTGCAGCAGGTTGAACACTGATCCGTATTGCACGTATTTGGCTACGACGTCCGGGTCGAGATTGTACACTTCGCAGACCTCTTTGGTTTCTGCTGGGGTTCTCATGGGCCACATGCCTTGGAATTCGGCATTGTGTAGTGATAGGGCGCAGGGGATGGTTTTGGGAAGCAGGTACAAGGGAGCAGCGGCGCCGTGGTAGTCGTTGATGTGATACAGGTCGATGGGGAATCGTTGGGCCGCTTGAGCAATGCACTGATTCCAAGCGGAATAGTAGATGGCACTCTCGAGGTCGTCCCTGTAGCATGATCAGCGATAAATTTTTGGATTATGTATTGGGTGATCGTCGCGCGTGTTGACCACGATCAAATTGATGAATTGGTGTGAATCAAGGTGAAAAGGGGCCTAGGTTGGAGAATGAAAAGGGGGATACTCACATGCGCGGCGGATACGGCTCAGCCTTGCTCTGTTTCCTGAACACAGGCGCATCAAGCAGCACGTAGGTGATATTCTCGACCTTATGATACTGCACCTTGATCTCATATCGCTTGCCCAGGATGACAACGAACATGGAGTCGGTCACCTCGTCAATGGGGTACTCAATCCCCCCAACGCAAGGCACGACCCAAATGAGATCCTGATGCGTCAGCGACTTCCCCATTAACTGAGCCATCACACCAAGGCCGCCAATTTTGATGCGGATATTCCAATCGTCGATGTTGTACTCCATGGTCCCGATAAGCACCATGCGCCTCTTCTCCGTCTCGGCAACGTTGGTGGCGCATTTGCCACTATCGCACTTGCAGGTTCCGAAGTGGACACGCGGCGTCATGGCCTGAATCGTCTTGCGGGCGTAGGAACGGAACGTGGATTTGACGCCGTTCAGACCCCGTTCGACGAACTTGACCTTGTAGAATGAACCCCGGAAGGCGAGGATGGTTATGCATCCTGTGATTAGGGGGAAGATCCACAGCAGTATGTACAGCGCTAGCTGTACCCATCGATTTCCTGCAGGCACCATGTCAAAGCGTAGTGCACCGTCGTTGAGAACTAGGCGATAGGAGAGGTATGGTGATGGAGGGACGTCGGTGACATTGACAGCGCTCTCGACCAAGCTCGAAGGGGGTAGGCGGTCGAGGACGAAATCGCCATCGATGTCGCCATACACAAAGGACTGGTCTGGTTGCATGTCGGGATTCATGCCCCAGACATTGAGCTGAAAGCGACTCGGCCATTCATCCATGAAATGCCATTCCCACTGGGAGGCCGACACGAGTGTCAATTCATTCCGAAGTCCGGCATCGAAACCGAACTGATTGAAAGGGCCGTTGGCAAAGAGGTGTGGAAATCGCCGAGGAGTCTTGAAGCTGAAATCCCCGTGTTGAACGAAACTGCTGCTGCCCAGAAGCTGGCTCCAGTACTGAACAATGACGTGGTGGCCTGGCCATGATTGCGTATTGGTGCCAGACCACTCCTGGCGCTCAATCGCCGCGTGGCCCTGCTTGTAATCCATCCAGTCACTCCACGTAGATGCCCAGTTGAGAGAGTACCTCCACTTGCTAGCACCGGGGGCGTTGTGGTTGACCGAGTATGTGCCGGACCCGTCTTTCATCAGAAGACTCGACGAATAATTTCCGGTCGAGGGAAAGACGAGGGGGTTGTCAGCCGTCCCGATTCGGAGCAGGAAGCGATCCACTGAGTTGGTGAAAGAACCCAAGTCAATGGTCGTCGCGTTGCGGACTGTGATCTCGTGGATGCCGTCTGCAAAATTAGTCACATCTGCAGACCAGCTCCAAGCGGAGGCAACGGCGCCGACATAAGGGGATCGTTCAACGTTTTCTTTGGACATGTTGTTACAGACTATGGTAGATTTGTCGATCTGGGGCACCGCTAAGCTAGAGGTGATGGAGTTGAATTCAATGACGTCGGTGAATCTGTCGCAGTCCATGCCTGCAGAGGCGTGGAACTCGATTTTCACCGTCATGATCTGTCCCTGAGAAGGAATCCGAAAATCATGGCCGGGCAGGAATTTGGTTATCATGGCCGGGGGAGGAACGAAGAACTTTGTGGGTACGTAGGCCTTGAACTCATACGGCAGCATGTTCACAGTGGGACTGCAGCCATTGATGTCCTCGGACCCGTTGAGTCCAAGCTTCTTGGGCGACTTAACCAGCATCAGCTCGTCGTGGGGGAAGAAGAGGTTCTTGACTGAAATTCCTGACGAATAGGGGGATATCAGCGCTTCCGTGTCTGATGAGCAGTCGAAGGTGTACTGAGTCGACTCGTTGCGGTTGTGGTACACTAGCCAGACGGGGATCGAGCCGAGAGACTGCACCCCCGACACCTCGGATCGCACCACACTCCACAAACCAGTCTCCGTCTGGACGCCGCTACTACCGGGGTACTGGATCATCTCGGTCTGGTTGGAAAGCTGCTGTAAGGCTAAGCCGTCTCGTAGAGTTGGGAAGTCGAGTCTCATCCTGTACATAGCTTTGATGATATTTCGAATGGGGTGACTCGGGTCTCGATGATCCCACGAGTTCTTCGGGTCCTGGCACCCACGTCGTGCTGAATCGAGTGGCATGCGGTAGTACTGGTCGCTGCCTCCCTTATAACATCCATGCGCTTCCCAAGCGGGCGAGGAGCTCATCGACTGTCTTCCGTAGATGTAATTGTCTGCTGTTGAATCCAGCAGGTAGTAGGCTTGTTCTTCGCCCCAGAGCAGAAGCGGAATGCCAGGCATGTGCAAGGTGGTGATGAATTGACCGAGAAGCATTCGCTCGATACCCTGTTGAATACCCGGCCATCGGAAGACATCCTGGTTTGTCACGCCAAACATATGCCGCGGATCGACTAAACCTGTATTGGGGTTCAGAAAATCGTTGGACAGCATCATCTGGTTCCAAGCATCGACCCAATTATGAGGCAAGTCAAAGCCGGCCTCCAAGTTGCCATCCATACCCAAGAACCGGGTCAGTGAGCGGTAGATGGAGTAATGGAACGCAGCTGCGTCGAGTGCTCCCTGGTTTTCGTCCCGCAGGAACTTGACGTTGGTTGACTCGTTAGTCACGGACGCCGCACTGGTCAAGTCCTTGACGTACTGGTCCGGCTGTCGCCCGCGGCCAACGTACAAACTGCCGAACGTGTTGCCGCCGGTGATTTCGCCAGGCAGGAAGAAGTTCTCCTTTCCCAGTCGACGGGCGCAAGCTCGGAGATGAGATGAAAAGTGACCCGATGCGTCGAGGGTGACCTGAGTAGCCTTATCGTATCGAAAACCGTCGATATCGAGCATGGCGATGGCTATGCACGAGAAGTGCGAGATTCGAGCTTGGACGGATGGCACCCATTCTCGAAGTCGGTCTTGAACACTGGCGAACTTGGTGAGTTGACGGCGGTAGTCTGGAAACACACCAAAGGCTTCCGTGTCACCGAACTATGATTTGGTCATTGGTGAGGTTCATCGAGTGGTTTTTCACGTGGGTGCATAAGACTTACCTGATCGAAGTCGCCGTTGTAGCAACCTTTGAATTGGCTCGTGACTTCAGGACCAACCAAGTATCCTTTTTCGTCCCACAGTCTGGGAAAATCGCAAGTCTCGTTGTAGTCGACGCCGAAATTGAAGTCGTGATATCTCCTGTGGCCTTTCCACATGACAGCATGCTCATCTGTTTTGAAAGGTGTGGATTCATTCAGGTAGCCATCAAAGCCGATGAGGTCACCCATACTGGATAATGTGAGTAAATTGGACATTGCCTATTGATCTCATACTAAGGGCGAATAATGAGCTGGGAACACGTACGTGGCAACTGTATTATCCAACAATATGTACATTCCCCGTTTGTGTATTTCGGTAATCGCATAACGCCATTCGGTGATGTTACCATAGTGAAAATCAAGCAATGTGTGGTCAAGTGGCTCTCTACGTTAGCTATTTCGGTTTTCCAGTTGTCTTCTGGCTGACTTACAGAATATGAATCTGGTACCCAGGGCTGATTGATGAAAGGGGAGCCAGCAATGTAGAGACCCCTGACACCCATGCCCTGGATGTAGTCAAGACTATCGACCAAACCTTGGAGGTCGCCGCCGTGTCGGAGCTGTGTGCTCATGATGTCTTGCTCGTAAAGTGTGCCATTAGCGTTGTCGTTCGTGGGATCCCCATTGACAAATCTGTCAAGAAAGAGTGTATAGAATGGGAACCGCCAGCTTTCCGGCGATGGATTGTAAGTGTGATCCTCCCATTCTCCCCAGTAGTCTAAAGGATTCTCCGCATCAGGGTTTTCGTTGAGATTGTACCCTTCGTATGCTGGGTCGAACCTGAGGCCCTGCACTAGAAGCCCTGGTAGTATGAAGGTGGGGAGGGTAAGAAGGCCGGTGGTCAACATCTTGGGCTGCTTGGATGTGCAATGCAGCAGTAAAGGAAAGGGTATTTGGGAACGAAAAGCCCTCTATGGTATTTCGAGCCCAAGGGATTGGACAGAGCATGCATGAATGCTCCTGTAGCGAGGAGGGAACGATATCTTGCTACAGCTAACGACGGATGAGGCAGAGATGGCATTTGGAAGAATCTCGACGAAACTTCACAAAGAAGAGAGCAAGGGCATTTAAGAGGAAGACCAGAGTTTGAGAAAGTTCGGCGCCGGTGATAAATGGGCTACAGAAACACTGAATGGCACGAATTTTGGTCAAAATTGATGACTAGTAAAGCTAGGCACGATTCTGGGTAGATAGGGATGTTGGACTTCACGTGGGTCTTCGTCTTGCTTGGTCTCTGTTCGACCAATGCGCGGCTTGAATCTTGCAGTAATTAAAAACAGCAAGCGCGTCATCTTGTGATCGGTCTCATTACTACGGGACCAGCGAGCCACGACTGGCAGCGGCGAGATACTCTCACCGATAGGTCATATTCCCTAAGATCTACCAGTGAAAGAAAGTCGACCCGGATTAGTGCAAGATGTAATCGAGCACATATGTGGTCGGTAAAGCCACATTCGAATCGTTGTGGTTGAGTCCTTGAAAGCTGCGACAGGCACAATGGACACGCTTCACATGTCACGTTTGTTTAACTACCCTGGCTGATTTGCAGCAGTATAGCTTGAACGACAGGGCCCCCAAACTGTAGAATTCTAGCTCATGCGACCGCCAAGAACGGCGAACAAGTTGGCGACACCAAGACTAGCTGACTCTGCAGTATAGAACTACCGGAGTTGATCTTGGGTCGGCAGTTTCCCGGCTGGCTAGCCTTGCCTTTCGAGCTACACCTGATCCATATGTGTTGGGCGGCCTCGGCGAATGTTAGACTCAACGACTGCATCTTAGTTGAAATGGCCGATGCGCTTTAGAGCTGGGCTTTCGAGGCTGCCACATGTTTGATGTGTTCTTCACTCCAGATGGCGTCAGATTTGTGAGCTACTAGTGCTTATAGGGCTGACGCTAAATACTTGCAGAAGTATATCTCGTCTTGGCCGTTCGATACACCTTGAGGGACTACGGAAAATCGTTGAAAACAAACGAAAGCGCAATACACCAAGAAGGCCTTTTTAGTTCACCATGATCTTAAATTAGGGGAATCACCGTTGTGGTTAATTGATTGCCTGCGATAGGGGTAGGCACCAGAGCAACGTACTCTAGCATATTAGGAAAGTGGCACCAAGGTCATTGAGGAGAATCCGGAGAAACAGCCAAAGCTATCCTCCAAAGCCTGCTGTAAGCGAAGCCCTCGGTGTTCTGCAGGATACGAGACGCTTTACCTCAAGCTTTTGTTAAGCTGAATCAAGTGCCAAGGCTTGTAAGATGGATATATTCTGGAATCCATCGCACGTTGAGTTTGACCAAAATTGCCAAGCCAGAAACTGCCTCTTATCCCTGTCATCGGGGCGTCCCGAGCGGGAGCGGCAATTATCTTCAAAGCCATGTTGTGGCGTTTATGGGGTAGCCGACGCATTTGGTACCTGAGCACAAGCCATTGAGGGGGAGCATGTCTGAAATGGGAGGTGACATGAACTCGTTAACACTTGTAATAACCGGCCCGAAAAAGGCCTCAGCCAGGCATTGATTTAATCGGGGTTGCTCTGCCATGGCAACACGGAACCAGCGGTAACGAGTGCTTCTGGAACATAACGACTAATATACATGATATTTTTGCTGATGGCTGACAATTACTGGCTTGAGCGTTGGGAATCAGCAACACATAAGCTGTACCAATCGTGAGACAAGGCTGGAATATTCTAGTTCCATGTCTCTAATGAGTGCGAATCGGCACGTGCTAATCTCTGGATAGTCACTGAGGCCAGTGACCTGAAGGGGGTTGATAACGTTTGACCGGTGAAGCCTTCAATCCCAGAGTTATTAGGCGGGAAGCCACATGGTTCCAAATAAAATACTGGAAGGCGTAATGGATTCAGACTCGTTACCATATATGTGTGAAGTACATCTGGTACAGTGCTGGCCCATCTGCATTGTAGACAGCTCGCAGTTTTCTCTCTTAGGTATGCGTTAATTGAGTGAATATAAATATAGAGAAGTAAAGAAACATGTACAGATCTATACTCATATAGGATTCAGGTGTTGTTTTAATGTATTATTATAGGCAGTACCGGCAAGAGAGCTGTATTAGTAACCATAATAATAACAAATCCTATGTATCTAGCGCGACAAATCGTCGATCGATCTGACAGCGGGGCTGTATCCACAACTCAATCTTACCGGCATCGACGATTGCCAACTATAGTAAGATGTCTTCTGGGATTGCGGACATGTCTGAGAAACCTACTATTAACTACCTGTCACATATACTCCACTCTCTGCGCAGCAAATTAAAATTCGGACAAAGACCAGAATCGACACCAGATCAACACACCACAACGCACCGGCTCTTCCGGGTTGGCTTTGCCTCCGCAGCAAAATCCCCAGATTTGGCGTTGGGTGGTGGAAGTGTTGGGTGTGCACCAGGTGGACCCTGGTTGGGTTGAGCAACAGACAAGCCCACCAAAGAGTCAGCCTCTCTGCCTGTTTCTCGTAATGTACGTCACAGCCGGTTTCATACTTACTCGGACCGGGTTAGATTATGGGTGGTCAATCACAAACAACCACAGGGGACTTGTTCTTTCCTACCACTTGCGTAGGGGCGGGTCTATTCGTGGGCAGTGGGTCAACCGTCGTGTTTAGGCTTGGCGAGTAACCTTAGTCCACCCCCGATGATAAAACGTTCCTGGCCCGAATGTCAGTCCTGTCATACTTTATCATTATTCGTATATCGTCCCAATGATGCACCGTCTAAATGCTGACCCTCGCCTGCTAGCCTTGCTTTGGTTTTACCTCCCCAACGCCAATCCACAAGCTCCCTTCCAGATAACCAAGACTCCCGGTTCATAGGACACTATTTTGGCCGACGGCAAGTGAGCTTCATTTTTCTGCATGGTGGAACCAATTCTGATCTGTGTAGCCGAGCGTTTGGTGGCCGGATATGATTATTCAGAGGTAATTTCTAGTTCTTTTGCGGGAGATTGCGCAACCGGGAGCCCAAAATGTACCTTCGGTTCTTCATGCTCGGCCAACACGCTTTACATCGACGATGGAGGGTGCTAAGTGTTGCGTTGCGTCAAAGCTCGACGATCTAACATCGCATATGACGACCGTCAGACTGGAAGTAATACCGCGACCAGTTCAACGCGATGACTTCGCATGCGTAACATTCATAATGTTCCAGTCCTCCCCAGATGGACTGCCCTCAGCAAGAAATCTCAGCTGCAAAGATGGGTGGTCTACATTTACTGTAAGCCCACTTTTGGTTACCATTGCTTCCCTCCTAACCTAGTCATGTCCTGGGAGGTCTCGAGTCAATGGGCCATAGCACTATTCTCAAGTTGCAGCTGAAGTATCACAGAAGGTTTATGCATGGGGGCAAGTTCTGGCCGTGAGCTCTCCTTTTTTCGGGTCTACAAGTAGTTGCCCGTGGCTATCAGCACATTGAGTGCAGAATCAAGTACGAAATAGAGCACGGCGAGTCCATCATCTTCCGCCCCTGCTCCCGCTTCTGCCTCTACTACCCTAAACAGCGACACGAATGATGACAGTGAGTCGGAGAAGAAGAACTGGACGTGGGCGCCGTTATAGGATCCATTGCCCTCATTGCTGGCCTTGGGTTGCTAGCGGCATTCATCTCAAAGCGCCGTAGAAAACAGCAGGTTTCGCTGCCAGGATATAGAGCAAAGGCAAAAGAGCCTGGCTAAAAACAGGAAGGATAACTCTTTGAAGCCCATTGGTGACTCGATACGCTACCTCTACGTCACTGGATGCCACATGAGCTGCCTGCTAAACGGAACTATTTCTAAGCATCGCACAGCTGTTTTAATCACAGTGGTGCACTAACAATAGACAACGAGTGAACGTCAATAATTGATTCATATAACTGGAACTTGCTATACTCATCACTCGCTGCCCAGAAACGCCCGGTGCGCTCCATGGAGTCTCTTAAGACGTGGAGTTTAGTGTAAGTAATGCACCGCTAAAAACGGGCCCAACCCTGACAACCGGTGCTGTATAGATTTACATGGGCTGCATGCGGTGCCAAACAGTTGAACACGATCAAGACGCAAGTGACAAAGAAATTTGAGTCAACTACATAACAGCATCGCGGTACTCGGGGGTGCAACCTCAAAAGGGATCCAGACAATATCCACACAGCCTCCATTGCACAGGGCTACAGGTTTGCACAAAGGGTGGGAAGAATGAAACGATTTTGCCTCATACCAACGAGAGTATCTCGGACCGTATATCACCAAAGTCGAATTGCGGCAGCTGCGTGTGGTCACGCAGAAGATGACTGACTCATTGCACTTCTGATGACAGGGATGTCAATATAATCCCGATTGTGCGGCGCAACGAGACTTTTCGAGGGAAGATAATGGCTCTTGACCAGGATCCATATGACAAACTGCCTCGCTGCAAAAGCCAAGGATAAGCCCACTTGGATATCGACCCGTCAAAAATTATCCCGAGAGATAGAGAACTCAGACGATGATGAAGTTTCCACTTCGACGAGACAGGGTTCGCGATAGGCTTAATCTTCTGAGATAGTAGTTACAAGTGCCGAACGACGCGGAAGGCCTCGTACAGTCCAACAAGGCAATCTAGAATGGGCTACAGTAATCCAGGGTATTTGTCAGGGTACGGCTAGGCCGAAGGCGATAGTACAGAGTGATGGGGAGTAACGGGCGTCCCTCCTACGTAATACCGGGTGGTCACTGGCGGTCTCAGGTAGGGGTGCCCACGGTGATGCATTGATCTCTACTCTCCCTCTATCTTCTTCCCGGGCCTCCGCCCCTTACATAGATAGCTAGAACCCGACGTCGGAGCCGCGGAGCACTAGTTTCCCCGATTGTTCCGCAAACCAAGACTTCCATATCGTGTCATGACTCGCACATTCCTACACCAGAGCCCCCACCGGTGTCCCACCGGTGCCTATGGCATTCTGTTCTCTGACAGTATTAATTCGCCCGGCTGGGCTATCCCGCCGTATATTATTGTCGCGGGTCAAAACCACCTCTTATCCTGGTATGAGAATAGCCCATTCCCGTCCGATTGGGTAATCGCTGTAACCAAAAACGATTGGACAACAAATGAGTGAGGCGTAGACTGGATTCAGCACTTTGATCGCTATACGAAGGATCATACGAAGGGTGTTTATCGTCTTCTTATCCTCGACGGGCATGAGAGCCACCACTCGACTGACTTCGAGCTATATTGTAAAGAGCATACTATTATTACACTTAGTATGCCTGCTCATTCGTCACATAAGCTCCAGCCTCTCGATGTAGGCTGTTTTAGAGCTTTGAAAAGGTCGTACGGCAAAGAAATTGAAGACTTAATACGGGCGCATATAACCCATATCTCGAAGGAGGATTTCTTTTCGGCATTCTGTAGCGCGTATCGTACGACTATAACTAAGTCGAATATCCAGGCAGGTTTCAGGGGGATAGGACTTATTCCGTACGACCCGGAATATGTGATTTCACAGCTGGATATTAAGCTACATATGCCTACACCTCCTGGAAGCTCGTCTGGCGTCCCCTTAATCTGGGAATCAAAGACTCCAAATAACCCAACCGAGGCGCAATCCCAGTCTGAATACGTTAAAAACAGAATCGTACAGCATCATAATATCTCCCCGACGACAATACTTACGGCTATTGACCAATTTTCACGTGGTGCGACGGCTGTTATGCATCGGTTAGTTTTACTTGAGGATGAGGTTACTACACTTCGGAAGGCCAATCAAGAGCTAAGCCGTCGTCGAAGGACTAAAAATCGACAGCTACAAGATGGAAGATCTCTTAGTTTACGAGACGCTCAGGACTTACAGTCTCAACGGGATATTGAACAGCAGCTACAGGATGATATACGTGTAAGTCGTCGTCGTACGAGACCGGCCGAACCACGCCGACGGCGCTGTAGGATCTGCGGAGAGCCCGGACATAATGCTCGTACTTGTGAGAATGATGAAGATACGTACGAGGAAGAGGATTCCGATTAGTTTGAATTATTGTTTTTTAGTTTAGTTAAGTTATTGAAGTTATTCATACGGTGCCAAGAAAAAGTGGCCAACTTGCTTGTGTGGCCAACTTGCTTGTGGGGTACATTACTCTCTTATTAGCCACCAAGGTACCTCCTCATTATATTCACTTGTGTCAAAAACGACGGGTCACATGGTATTGGAGCATAGAAGCACCATATCATTAGTTCTAGCTTTGTCTAGACTGTTGTTTGATATTAAATGTGGGATTGAGCACCACAGTGATTCCTAAGGTTGAAAGGCGCTTTATGCTTAGAATAAAAGCGCTTTGTGCTTCAGGATAAAGGCGGGATAGAGGTAGCCTAGTAAGGCTGGACCCTTCAGATTACTTAAAGGCAATGCACACAGCCAAGAGAACAGAGACAGGGGATCGAGCATGGAAAAAACGGTGACCTAACCATAACCACCAAATTATTCTTTTCATATAACCGTCATATCACGGTCATACTGCAAGATACGTGAATATCTAACAACTTGTCCCCAATCTCTTACTAATAATAGCCCGGGCTGCTAAGTTTGAAGAACGGCTACGGCTTAGCGGGAAGAGAAATCTACTTCGCAGCGCGAGCGCTAAAGCGTCACATATATTCCGGCAGGATACGCCGGCGAAGAGGAAGCAGGCGTCGCAGCTACTCCGACCGGCAGGGTACACTATGGAGAAGGAGGCCCGGGGCTCCGAGTGGATGAGTGAGGAAAAGGAGGTCCCGGCTGCCCTCCTCGGCCACTGGAGGAAGAGATGGCTCACCGGAGCAGAGCATCACAATCGCCAGCGACGCGCCATCGCTGAGGAACCGGAGGGCCCTTCGATGCAGATACCGAAAGGGGGCAAGTATTTCGGCCTGAACCGACTGGAAGCGTCTACGCTGTGCCAGATCAGGACGGAAAAAATAGGACTAGCAGCCTTCTTATTCAAGACAGGGGCTTTTGGCGTGTACTCGCCGCTATGCCGCTGTGGCGACGCCCCTGAGACGGCAGAGCACGTAATCCTCTTTTGCGGGCTGTTGGAAGGACCGAGGGAACGATTACGGGCCGCTATCGCACCACGGCCACTATACTCTCGCAGAGACCTCGCAACGGCAACAGGAGAACCAGTAGTTAGTGGGACTATTGTAAGGTGGCTGCTAGGGACGGGTCGGACAGCTTCAAGGCCCAGATAGCATCGATCTTCTCAGGGGGGACTTTGTTGGTAGGTTGAGAACCAACGTAGTATGGTAGTGAACGCAACGCAGTCGCCAATAGGGCGAACCGACGACGCAGCGTATGTATTTATTCCAGCCATTAGGGCACGGTTTGACATACGGGAGTACTGGTAGAGGTACCGGGGGCTTCGAGCCTACGGCGTATTTAATAATAATAATAATAATAATAATACTAATAATAATACTAATAATAAACATATAGACACTATCGTCGCCGGACTATCAATAGAGTCGATGAGCAGCGAGCAGATATTCTACATGATTTTCAACGGGAAACTCAACGTTGTTTTCCGTCTTGTTTTGGTAGCCATGTACAGCTTCGATTCTACATGCTAATTGGAACGATGGCTAATCAATATACAGCTACTGGGCTTTCAAGATGGCAGTCATGGATCTCCTAAAGCTACTCACGAGAAGGAGTCTACAGGAGCCGTACATCTTGCATGGGTTCTACCTAGCGCTGGGTCTCACGTTTGCCGGTGCATTCATTAGCGTTTTCGTCGACTGCCGTCCGCTGAAGCTCAATTGGCAGGTTGATCCAGACCCCGGACCTTGGTACTCAGATACCCGCATGACATTACGATACTGGTACTGATGACGATGTAGTGTCGAAGGCCAGATCTGGCTAATATCTTATGGCAAGCACATCTGGCATTTATCTCCAACTTCACTCACTTACCACGCATGAAGAGGCCGGAAATATCGTCACCGACATCATGCTCTTAATTCTGCCGTTTCCCATCATCTTCGGGGCTAGGATGGGATTTTGAAAGTAAGCTTACTGCCTGAAAGACGAGATGCGGAGACCAGTTGGCCAATATTGACTTAATTCCATTATCCTAGGAGACTCCGACTCTACTTCTTGTTCAGCCCCGGGAATCACGAGGTCGATATGGGAGGGGAGTGGAACCAACACCACATCGCACATTGGCAGCAACACTTCGTCTCAGAAAACAGGGAGGAAAAACATTGCTTTAGAAGACCGACTGTATCCCACGACGCAAATCGAGGGAGGCAGATTCAGTCATCATAGTGCGGGAGGACACACAAATCAAACATCTGGCGAGGGGGCCGAAATTAGAGCAAATGGCCTGCTTGCAGCAGCGAAGGAGAAGGGACAACCTCGATCCTTGAGGGAGTCTTCTGTCACAACAAGACGGTTATCTATACCTAGGACTATCCGCTAGAGGCAACACATTTACACAATTAAGGCTGTAGCCTGTGCAGAAAATAGAGTAGAAGATCGGATGAGGCTCTCTAGCAATGCCTCTACCATGTACCTTGAATACCGCGTAACAGAGTCAATATGACATAGTAATTCTCTTAATTTCAAGCACGTGGTCAGCCGTGGCGTCCGTCTTGATGGCAGATTAAGCACCAACTACTGCAGCCGCAACAACGTTGCATAGAACGAATTTCCCTAGCTCGAGGCCTTCAGCAGACTTGTTCTGTTGTTGCAAAGCTCACTGTTCATTCCTCGACAAAGGGCATGTTAGGGTGGCAACGACTTGCTGTTTTGCATTGGTGGCGCCTTTCGTCTTATGCCCCATTTGTACACAGCAAACAGAGCCCGATCATTCCCATACGGCCATGGCCACTCGGGTGCATGGAAAAAGAGGCAGAACGAATTGTCTTGGTGAAGTGTTATACATTGTTTGGACTTGGACCCCGAGCCAAGTCCGACTGTCTACATGCTGTGCAATATTACAAGTCTAATCGTGATGATACACAATCGTAATACAAAGTTGAGATCTTTCCTGCCGACAGAGAAGTGGGTGCAGGTCAACTTGCCTTCAGATGATATGTAGCCAGCTGCTCATCGGTAACCTTCGTCGGACTCTTGACGAACATGTCCTCACCCTTCATGTTCTTGGGGAATGCAATCACATCTCGGACGCTCTCAGTGTCGCAGAGGACTGCGATCAGACGATCAAACCCGAGCGCAAACCCGGCATGCGGAGGACAGCCTGCTCGCAGTGCCTCGAGCAAGTGGGCAAACTGGTCAACTCCCTCCTGGGGCATTTGCAATACATGGCGCATCACGTACTCCTGGATCTCGGGTATGTGTATACGTCGGCTACCACCACCAATTTCCACGCCATTGCAGACGAGATCGTAGTGGTCTGCTTTGGCGCTTAGAGGATCTGTCTCCAACAGAGCAAAGTCTTTAGCACTTAAGGGGGCGGTAAAGGGGTGGTGCGTGGCAGAGAAACCGGCGCGGCCACCCTGACCCTCGCCTGGGGCGATATTTTGCGGATCGTTGGGCGTGAAGAGGGGAAATTCGGTGACCCAAAGAAATCGGAAGCTGTGGTCCCGTGGGAGAAGTCCCTTTTCCACGGCAGCGTCATAAATGGCTTTGCGGAGGCGACCAAGATCAGTCGAGCCCTCACCATGGAAGGGGATTTTCTTGCGGGCTTGTACGATGAGCACGTCGCCATCCTGAAGCTTGTGCCAGTGTGGACCTTTGACCGCTGCCATCTTCTCTGCGGCCTCGTGTCCGAAAGCAGATAGGCCATTTAGAGGTTTGGCCTCGTCAATGACGAAGACGCCAGGGGTGCTATCGCCGCTGAACTTGAGGGACGTTTTGGGCAGGTTGTCCATGAATTCACGGATGAACGCCAGGTTCTCGCTCGGACTACCCTGCAGGCGAAATTGAGCAGCGTCTACAATAGGATCTTTAAGCTTGCTTATCATGCTGACCAATTCGGTTGGAAGGAAGCTGTCTATGCGGACAATCTAGTTCTGTTAATAAGAACCCCCATCAGAAAGGCATACACACTCCTTACATCAGATGGGATGCGCAAGTCTGGTTTGTCCACGCCAAACTTGGACATGACTTCATCATAGGTCCTGACCGGGACCGATAAATTTGCAGGATACCGAAGACTTCCAACTTGAAATTCCCCAAGCTTTTTACTTGAATGAACGGGATGCGTCACACCATTGACATCCGTGGGTACGAAGTGATCGTGAAGGAACCGGAACACCGACGACATGACAGACTGCACAGTTGTCATAACTTCGCGGCCAGAGGCAAACGACATTTCAAGATCCAGCTGCGTGAATTCTGGCTGCCTGTCGGCTCGCAAGTCCTCGTCGCGGAAACACCTAGCGAACTGGAAGTAATTGGGTACACCACCGGCCATCAAAATTTGCTTGTACTGCTGCGGACTCTGTGGGAGAGCGTACGTGTAGCCAGCACGCCTTGTCGGCACGAGAAACTCTCGGGCGCCTTCCGGCGTCGACTTAAAGAGCATGGGTGTTTCGACCTCGGTAAATCCTAGGCTTCGTAGAGCTTTGCTGATCCTGAATGCAATTGAACTCCGGAAGCGTAGTCGATCTCGTAGCAGTGGGTCGAATCGCATCTGCAGGTGTCGCTGTTTAGGCGACCAGACGGCATCCTGGGATACAATGATGTCATTGGGAAAGGGGTTAAGACACTGGATGGAATTGAGTTTCAGGTCCCAATACTGCGGCAGAGCATCAGAGACGCTGGTCTCCTCGACCCTTCGGGGCCGAACTTCCAGTATGCCCGTAACAGCAACTGGGCTTTGAGCAGGGATGCTCCTCAGGGACTTGTGAGCCTCGATGCGGTCATCTGTCAACTCTTCAGAACCGCTGGTGATTTTCTGGTGCAACGAAGAGACAATTTGAATCACATTCCCCTGGTCCCTGGAAAGGTCACAAAAGATCAACTTGGATCCTTTTACCCTCGGTTTGCCGAGCCATCCATGGACAGTGACTTCTCGGCCTGCCTTGTATGACCATTCAGGAGAGGCTTGCGGGTATTCAACTTGAATTGTCATGAGCAAGTGTTTATGTGTGGAGTGCGATTTCGATCTTACAAGCCTCCCTGAATCGCTGAAGTCTTGATTCAGGGGATTTTGTGAGTAGTATACTCTCGTTTTCGACTTCTGGTTCTTGAGAGGGTAGAAGTAGTGGTGTCCGGGACCTTTCCAACTCCGACTGAGGGGGGGTTAGACGTGCCCTTGTCTCTGGGTCTGAGGGACAGCACGCCATCGACTTCCCATCTGGTGAATTGTCCGACTTAGACGCATCGTCGTGCGTGTACCGGCGCCATGGTGAAGGAAGCCGTGATAAACCCGAAACGTAAAGTCTCGACGGCGGCCGCCTCCCGATGCCAGAGATACAATGTGAGGCGACGAGGCGCAAGTTGTTAGAAAGCATCTGGGGCATAAATTACGGCCCAACTGTCAGTTTCAGACTAGAATCAAACATCATTATGTATTCTAGTTTGAGGCGGATCTCATAAACTGGAAGCCCCCCAGACGCTCGGGTGGAACGATTTGATGGAGCCCAGCGTTGGCGGATCAACCAAGCTCCGCTCCGGCGCAAATTCCCAAATGCTTTTGAAGCTCAAATGGAGCTCGAGCTTCACAAGAATCTTTTCTTTTCTCTTTATCCTTCCAACTTCAAATAAATGTAAGTTCAAGCACCGGCAAAAGCCCTGGACTCTGACAACTCAAGCCGATTACTGACCTGTTTTTCTGCAGATGATGAAAGCTGCGTGACTACATGATGTGTTCCTTCTCTCGAAGCGGCAGAACTCTCCCCTTGTGGGCTCAAGTGGTTCTGTGGCGACGGAAGTTGGGATCATGAAATAAGCGTTCGACACATCAGGACCTTGTTAAAACATCGATCGCGAAAAGGCAACTCTGACTTATCATGAAGCTGGAAACGTCTGCAGCAATTGGAGCGGCCTGGACTTTCTGTGTCCTTTGTCGCCTCACTATCTCAGACTTGGAGAACCCCGCCCTACTATTTGGCAAACTCAATTCCATGTCCTATGCGTTCGTTTCAAAGAGCGACAGGTACGGCCAGGTCTCAGACCGGCTGACCTCGGACTCACAAGCGTGAGATCTAGAGGCATTGCCGCTAACTGTTTTCATGGCAACTCACTGACCAGCTTGGACCGGTGATGATACCCACTGCAAAAGCGGACTCGTGTTGATCCATGATCCCTGGTAATCTCATACCTAGTATTCAGCTATCCCAAATTAAGCATGAACCCGTCATCTCACCTTCAACGTCATTGACTGGTTCCGTCATGGGATGTCTCTCTGGTGTTATTTATGCAATTCATTTGGTGTTGTCCTATTGTGATAAAAGTCCTGCGGTCTATTCTTGAAAAGAGTGTGTTTGGGCCACACGTGACTTGGGGCTTACCTAGCCTCTTGGAAGAGAGTAGCTATAATGAAATTGAGTGTCAGACTCTGGGGTGTTAACTGTAGAAGTTAGGAAGCGTTGTGTATTTCCCCTGGGCAGTCAAATGCGTGTCGTTTCGCACCCCGCCGTCATTGGCCCGTGATACACTTGGGCAAAACGGGACTCGAAAGTTGTCCGCCGCCCTGACCTCTTCCTGCACTTCATACCACGCCCAATTTCCCAAAGGATCCGCAGCCGACGACATCCACGTTTGAACGACTACGATATGGTTAACAAGCGCGTTGCGCCTTTGAGATAACCAATATCATTAATTCGAATTCCTCGTTACCCACGCCCGAAGTCACCGACCACGCGAAATGTATTTGCTGTGATGCCCCTGCTTTAAATGCCTTGCGTGTGCGCCGCTGCCGTTGGCCTCCCGAAGCCCAACTCAAATCGCTGATCTATCGACGTCGCATCCCGGCGTTGATCATCGCCCTTGTCCGACGACACACAATAATTGCTGGGCTGTGTTTGCCTTGCCTCTCCCTCCGCTCGAGGCACCACCCCTTCTGCTGCTCAATCCCACCAGTTCGATCTCTGACTGTACCGGACTTCCGGTCGCTAAAACCGGAGCGCGACTTCTATCATGGCAAGCTCGTTCGAGAAATCGGTCAAGGGGGCGACCAAAACCAAAGTCAGTCAAGACCCCGCCTGCGGCATAGGGCCATTGTCTAGCTGCAGAGACACTGACTCAGACCTGCCAGGCTGCTCCCCCGAAAACCAAATACATCGAACACATCCTAATCGCGACGCACGCTGGCGAAGCTGGAGTGGGTGAGGTCTTCAGAGCGCTGCAATTCCGACTACGAGACTCGACATGGACTGTCGTCTTCAAGAGCTTGATCACGATACACTTGATGATCCGGGAGGGTTCGCCTGATGCGACATTAGCCTACCTCGCGAAGCACCGGAACATGCTAGCCATCAGTTCATTCACCGACGGTACGTGTACTGTGAGATTTGGTATGAGCGACGACAGACTGATAAGAAGTAGCGCAATTACAAGGCCGGAACATTAAACACTATTCCGCCTACCTCGCCGAACGAGCGCGAGCCTACAGAGACACCAAGGTGGATTGGGTGCGGGTGACAGAGACGCGGCTAGAGAAGCTGTCGGTGGAGAAGGGACTGTTGAGGGAAACCGAGGCCGTTCAACATCAGTTGACTGCGCTGTTGAAATGTGACGTGCTGGACGAACCGGAAAACGAAATTACAATAACGGTCTTCCGACTTCTCGTATTGGACTTGTTGTCCTTATTCCAGATTCTCAACCAGGCCATGATAAATATCCTAGGTATGCCCATGGTGCGGGCGAACGAGACTATCGAGGGTTACTGACGTGTAGTACAGGGCATTTTTTCGAGATGTCCAAACCCGATGCCGAAAGAGCCATGGATATATACCGCAACTTCACCCGCCAAACCGATTTCGTAGTACAATATCTAGGAGTAGCAAGGCAGTACGAACACCACACAAGGGTCGAGGTTCCTAAGCTGAAACATGCACCCGTCAATCTCGGACGCCAGCTAGAGGAGTACCTCAAAGACACTGACTTCGAAATACACCGGAGACAATACCTGGCCGAGTTGGAGGCGAAGAAGAAAGGCGGGACTGCATCGTCATCGTTCAACCCGCTTACAAAGAGTGAGGCTGCGGCGAAACTATTCCCAGATGCAAACACAAACATAAACGGAGCATCCTCAACCATGTCGAAACCCCCGCAACCTGCCAAGGGACCCGATCCTGATTTGATCGATTTCTTCGACTCGATAGAGCAAAACCAGACAACCATGGCGACCAACGGCCAACAGCAACAGCCGCCGCCGCAGGCACCTCAGATGCCAATGAACAACCAGTGGGCATCGAACAGCCCCTTCAACAACATGCAGCAGACAGGCCAGCAGTTCCAAAGCAGTGGGTTTGCGCCACAACCAACAGGTTTCCAGAGTAACAGTCCTTTCCAAGAGCAGAATGTTGGCGCTTTTGGGAATCAGCAGCAAATGCAACCCAATTTTACTGTCACTGGCTTCGGCGGCTACGCGCCACAGCAGACATTCTCACCAGGCGGTCTCTCCTCGATTCCCGACGGGTCAGTCGCCAATTTCCAGACAGGGGTGTCGCCACCAATGCAGACCGCAATGCCGACCGGTCTCCAACCTCAGCAGACCGCAAACCCATTCCGCCAATCCATGCTCATGTCTAATCCGACGGGCATGTCGAACGTTTCGTCGTTCGCCAGCCCGCCACCACCAGTGCCACCAGTGCCACCAATGCCATCAATGCCCTCCGCGGCGACTGGGGGCCCGCAGCGCCAATCCACGAATCCCTTCGCACGCCCAGCGACTTCCACATCGGCGAGCCCCTTTTCGAACTCGACCTCGAACCCCCCTTTCCAGTCTGCACTCAGTAATTCCTCGCCTTTTCAATCTCAACCGGCCATGCAAGCACCAGCGCCTCTCCAGCCCATGGCCACAGGCACGAACCCCTTTGCGAAGAACTTTGGGGGTAACCAATTGCAAAATCAGCAGCAGCGTCCCCAGACTTCTGGTGTCTTGATGCCACAACCAACTGGCAGCACGAATCCGTTTAGGCAAGGCGCTTTCACGAATCACCAGACCGGAATGGGATGGTAGCACGGACAACAGCCTATAGGTGGTGGACTGGACCAACTAGAAACCGTGCCGGTTTTCCCTAGACCGGCTACAGGTACAGCTTGGCAGTCTTAGAATGATTGTTCGTGTAAAAAGACGGGAGAAGAGGTCGAGATGCAGAATGCCATTCCAAGGCGGCGTTGGAGTTTTCTGCGGACATGGCACGCATAGAGCGAGGCGTTTGTTTTCACTTGGTTTATTACTTTCCGAAAACCCACGGCGAGAACAATACAACGGACAACCGACCGATACGAATAGGGTTAGGCAAGGCAACGAGTAGATGCCAAGAATGAGACTGAAAACGGAAGGTGCAAGATGCTGAGACAATGTACATCGTTTTGGATTCAGTCATAAGACAGTTGGGGTCTGGGGTGGTCATAAGGTCTAAAGATCCCACGGAAGCATTGCAGGACACGGCTTGTACAGCAAGACCACTTTTTCCCATTTCCAGTTGAAGAAGTATTGTAGTGTATTATATGATATGTCGAAGTCAATAACTGTGAGCCACATTGGGCTTTTGTTCCCGTTCAGCCACCTGTGGCCGCGCACCTCTTTCCTTTGTCCCGTGCACCTATTGAGCCCATTAGTTCGTTGACACATTCGTTGACACATTCGTTGACACATTCGTTGACACATTGGTAATTGATCCCCATGCTTCTCCATCCCTCTCCCTCAGAGATTACCTCGCTGCCGATCGTCATGAAATATTCCATCTCTTGTGTCTGTAGTCACTCGTAGCTGACGGAACATCATTTGTTGTCTACAATACAGCAACAACTTTCACAAGATAGCTGGTTGCCAAGTGAGAGATTAGACCCTTGATACGGATTTGGGATCGAATGCTTTCATTTCCCCAGAACACATCGTACGAAACTACCCTGGCTCCGCACGACCCCGGCTATGGACCACCTCATGGTGAAGCTGACCGCTGCCTATCATGACACGAGTTTGATGCCACTTGCGTCGCTCACATTGGAGTGTCCACATAATCCTTGATTTCATGAATACTACCAGAGGTGTAAAGTTCCGATCAATCTACGAATCTCGGTAACCTGTCTACAGATCCGATTCTATAGCCTAGCCTCTTGCTATCAATTCAAAAACGCCATCGCTATGCAAAGTGGTGAAAGCATGCCCCTCACTGCCCATCAATGCCCATTGCCATTGTGACTGTCTAGTTCTCGTCATGCCTTGGACCGGACATGCTTTATGCCGCCGCTGGTTTCTGGCGAGTGTCTTTGTCGTCCTCTATCACAATTCCCAGCCCCGCAAAAGCCTCAAACATGGATCGTGACACGTACTCATCGACGCTATAACCAGGAATACGATGGTCGTCCCTCGTGCGCGCCAGGTCGAGGAATGAGTTCTCGTAACGGTCGTGCAGGACGTATCTCTGAGGCTCCATTCTCAAGCCCATGAGGGGATCGTACGGCTTGCTTTCATCCTCATCCTGGTCATTCTTCTTCGGCTTCAGCCCGCGAATCGACAGCAAGCTCGACTGCTTCGAGGCCGTCAGCGCGAACATGCTCGGGTTGAGCTGCGCAATCTTGGCCTTCTTAGCCGCCAGTATGCGGTCCTGTATCTCCGCCGCGGACCCTGGTTCCCCCCTCGCAAGCGCCTCCATAACCTCCTGATTCAAGCTCGCCTCTTCGGCCTTCGCGCGCTCCTCATCCCGCAGCTCCTCCAGCCGTCGCGCTTCAGCTGCCGCCCGAGCGTCCGCCTCCATCTTCTTGCGCTCGCTCTCCCGCATGCCGGCCTTCTTACGGTTCTTCTCAATCTCAGCTTTATTCTTCAGCTCGTACGCGAGCACCTCGTCATCGGCCTTGCGCCGCTCGTCGTCGTCCCCGTACACCAGCGCAAAGATCAGGTCTTCCTTGTCTTGCAGGTAGTTGTTCCAGTCGCGCAGCGTCTCGAAGTCGTCTTGCGTCATGTTGAAGACGGCTTCAACACGGCGGCGGAGGTCGACTTCACGCTCGGTGCCGAGGTCTGAGAAGAAGGACTCCCGGAAGCCTTTGAAGCGCAGGGTTTGATTGCAGGTCGCGTAGGGGCATTGCGCCGGGCCCGTTTTGAAGATGTTGGTTACGCAGTTGCTGCACATGGGGTGGTAGCACTCTGGGTTGATGAGGAAGCGCATGTCGGTGTTGAGGTAGCGGACGCGCTTGCAGACGGGGCAGATGTCGGATGGAAGGGCCGTCGAGGGTGCGCCGTTGGAGCCCCGGCTGTTGGTTGTGGGTTTTCGCGACATCTTGGACGGTTTTGCTAGCCGCAGGTGAAATACTCGTGATCAAGCTCAGGAGGTCGCAAGTTATGTTGCAAGACGAAAGAGCGCACGTTACAACTTATCACGACGGTGACCCCAACCCAAATCTAGAATCGCGGCAGATCAGGACGACCAGAATTGGTAATCTGAACGCCGGAGTCAACAACGACCTTTCCAGACTGCTGTGATTACCCTTTGAAGGGGATTGAATCGTTGTTGGAATGTCAAGATCAAGGTTGCGTTGTAGCTGAAGTTGGCGAGGCTGCTCAAGAAAGCTGGTAATTGGTCATACTCGACAGGGGTTACGCCACCTAGCTCCTGGTACCTGACCCCGCTGTGGATTTTGGTAAGCCTTCTGGAGATTTCGATAGCTCCGTATTGAACTGGACGTCGTGCAACATTCCAACTACCACAGGACCAGAAGCCTGCAAACAAACATGGTTGACAAAGGTGAGTTTTCTATGGCACGCACTCTCTCTTGGTCTATCGCGTTTGTGTACACACTCAAGGCCCCTCGCTCAAACCGCCGACTTTGCGTCCCACAATACCCCGTTATACTCAACTAACACACCCCTTCAGATCCCACCCCCGAGCAAGAGGCCGCTGCCCGCGCCAAGGAAGCTGAGGAACAGGCCGCCCTGCCCTACAAATGGACTCAGCTGATCGACGAGCTCGACATCACCATCAGCGTCCCCGGTAACCTGAAGAGCCGGGACCTCGTCGTCGACATCAAGAAGCAGAAGCTGAAAGTAGGGATCAAGGGACAGGAGCCTATCATAAATGTGCGTCTGCTGCACAAATTATGCAACAAGCAGTAGTAGTGTCTAACTTGGATGATAACCACAGGGCGACCTCCCACACCCCGTCCACGTCGACGACAGCACCTGGACCCTGACCTCCGCCCCCGACGGCACCAAGACGATCGAGATCCACCTCGACAAGGTGAACAAGATGGAGTGGTGGGCACACGTCGTCACCGACGCCCCCAAAATCGACGTGACCAAGATCCAGCCCGATAACAGCAAGCTGTCGGACCTGGACGGCGAGACGAGGGGTATGGTCGAGAAGATGATGTTTGACCAGCGCCAGAAGGAGCAAGGGCTCCCCACGAGCGACGAACAGAAAAAGGCGGATATTTTGAAGAAGTTCCAAGCTCAGCACCCGGAGATGGACTTTAGCAATGCCAAGATGAGTTAGGCGACGGCGTGGGGTGGTGGCGGTATGGATAGGTCACAAATGAGATGAACGTCCAAAGTACGTGGTCATGAGCAAATGAGTATGTTGAAAGCTACAGCGTGAGTCTAAGAGGAAGAATGTTGTTAGCTACATGGGAAGTGTACATGAAGCAGACCAGAAAGCATGGAGCAATGGGGATGTGCAGGGTGAAACGAATCGCGCAAAACCACGAAGTCATAACCAAGGGTCAAGGCGTCAGAGAGCCCTACTGCTTTGTTCTTGGAATCGCGAGTAACGCCATAGCAGACTGGTAGCAGCTATGCATCAATTGTCAGATATTGAGGCGTTCCGTTACGTTGATGGCCATGTTGTGAGCCCGAATGACGAATAATAATGGAGAGAATGAAAAGAAAAATGAGATTTGCTCACCGTGAGTTCTAGATACGAACCGGTCTGTTCTGAAGAGCTCAAAGATGGGGCTGTCTAGGATACTACTTGGGTATTGGATGGAGCCCAGAGGAAGGCCCTAGCTCTCTTCATGCCCGTCCTGATCGACGGCGCTGGCCATTTGACTCCCCCCCCCCCCCCCCCCAACCCCCCAATACGAGTATCTGGGCAATAGACTTGACCAGCGTGGGAGAGTAGTCGACAAGACCTTGCTCACTCTCTTCCCCCACTCATTCACAGAACCGGACCCCACAAGAACTCAGAATGTGTTGATCATGAGCTGCTAAGTTCTGATCTACGATCTAGCCAGCCTCGCTGCCTTGAACTTGCTCATGCGTTTCGGGCCACCCTCCTCTTCATCCAATGGCCGAATCACCGATTCGTCCTCCTTCATGAAGCCACCCTGGCGTTGAATCATCTTGTTTCGCATCCTGTTATATTCCACCGCGACTTCTTGCTGCAACAAGCTGGCATCAAGCTCATCTGGTTCCTGGGCTTCTAACGGGCCGTCGCGCTCGAGAACGGTGGTCGCAAGAGTCTGACCCTCAGGACCAGATGGGGCAGTTGGGCGCTCCGCCACAGGTCTTTCGGGGAGAATGAATGTTCCTCCTGTGGCCGCGGGACTGGCAAAAAGATGATTTGGTTCCGCCGACGCTCTTTCCTTCTTGAACCTCGATGCTTTCTTCGTCGGCCCGGGTGCAGGCGTGGTGTCTTGAATACCACTTCGCTCAACTACGTCAGAAAGAGGGTCGACCACGGGCTTCGTTGGTGGTTTCACCGGGGTAGTATCTGGTCTCGAAGCGGGTTTGTCGGAAATATCCAGCTTTTCCGCAAATCTGACGCTTTTCTTGGCCTCGGATTCCCCAGTTGGCTCGGCTTGGGCTGGGGACTCCATACTAGAAGGGATCGGCGTGAAAGCTTTGATCCTGATCCTGCCAATACCCTCCATTTCATCTTGGTCGCTTTCGTCATCTTCCTTGCCAGCATCTCCACCGGCGCGGTTGGATGATTCATCTTCGAGGGCATCGGCCTGCCCAGACATTTGCTTCATCAGTCGTTCTTGGATCTCAATCATCTTCTGGCGGTACTCTTCATCGATAACCCGTCCAGTCGACCTGCCCCATTGGTCTTCGTCCTCGTCATCATCTTCATCTTCATCTTCCTCGAATTCGGAGTAGTCGAGGGTATCAAATTCATCATCTGAAAAGGGCCCCTCGTCGATTTGTAGTTCGGCAACCACTGGGGCAGGATCTGCGAGGTTGTACGCCAGCATGTCCCTCCGAAGCTGGGCATACTCGTCTGGCTCATCAACTGGTATCACTGGTTGATCTATCACGCTTTCTTGCTCTTCAGCCATGCGCATGATTTCCTCAACCTTTTTGGCGGTCTTAGACAGGGGCTGTTTCTCTCCAGACACTGTATCTTCAGCAAACGTCACGCCCTTCTTTTTCTTCGGCTGAGCCTGGGTTTCCGCACTGGGCGCTGGAGACTTCGTCACCGCCATCGAGGTCTGGTTTTGCTTTTGTGTAGCGGGTGTAGGCGTTTCAGGGTCGCGAGCCGCGTCTTCCGTGATGCCGGCTTTCTCCAGTGCCTCGAGAAGTCGGGTTTGGTTGCTTCCAGCAGTTCGCAAATCAAATGAAACTACATTATCGTCATCATCCAGCTCCTCCACAATCTCAGTGATAGGTAGGCCGTCTTCATCTTCTGCTTCTGGGTTGGTCACAACGCGGGCGGCCGCCAGTTTGTTCTCAGCCATCGTAAGCTGCTTCGCCAGCGTCTCGACGTTTCTTGCGACATAATCAATGCGATTCGAGACGACGCCGATAATTTGGGAGGGCTTCCCGGAGTCGTTCTTTCCAAATATTTCGACCAAGACTTTGTCATCTACGAGATCACCTTTGAAGGATTGTCGCGTTCGAGTGAGTTCCTTGCGCCGGGCTTCGGGGGGGAGCAACTTGACTTCGTCCCTCAGGGTTTCGTACTCGCGTTTCCATTGTCGCCACTCGTCCAGAGACTCCTCCAGTCTGGTGACACTCTGCTCAAGTATTTGGCGATGACGCTCGAGGTCTGCCAGACTGTCTCGAACTGAACCCATGGTTTCACGTGCGATAACAAAATCGCAACAGTCAACCATCGACAGACTTCTACGGAGTACGGCCAAGTCAAAATTTGGATGGGGCTGGACGCTTTGGCCACATATTGCCCGATCTACAGTGGTCAATATGACCTCATAGGCAAGTGCAACCTGACCATCTAAACGGTGTATTTTTGATCTTCATGACGGGAGATTTATTATGATACTTGGTTATAAAGGCTTCCTTGCTGGCGAAGCTTGACTTGCTGTGTCTCAGGTGCACACTGAAGAGACTGGTCGGCACCAGCACTTGCAGCCGTGCACACAGGCGGCGCCCTCAAAACATAATCCATGGCATTGACAAAGATGTGCCATCACAGCTCTCAATAACCTTAGCGGGGGTGGCCCGGATAGCGCGCAACTATATACCTGCCAAGTGGCTCGCTTCATCTCGTTGTCACAACGGTTGGGATCACTCAAGACCCTGCCCCAAGCATGCACAACTGGAGAACATGCCTTCGCAAATGAGATAGAGCCAGGCATATTGGCAGTCCAAAATGGGCTGTTGAACCGCAGCTAAGAACACACAATGGGCCACTCATTATGGTTGTCGCCTCATACTTGTTAGAAACGTCATATCATAACTTACTAATATCATCAAACATCCACTTCAATACACCACTCAAGCCCCAATGGGCCCTCAAAGGTTACATTAATAATTGTGAGGCAGCTTGCCACCCGACAGTCTGACAAGCTCAGGGAATATCTACCAAACAGATCAAGTCAGTCAACAACTCGTAGTGAGGAAGATGGCGAAGTATCAAGGCCAATGTGAAACAAGAGTTTGGGTTACTCACAGGCGTGCCCAGCCCCGTAACTGGATCCCAACCCTTAACAGCAGGGAAACCATCCACATCGCAACCGTGAGCACTGCCGCTCACAATGTCGGTCAGCCCCTTCCACCCCTTCTTGTACAGCCAAGGATTCAAGAAGCCCAACGTTGGCTTCCCAGCCGCAATCAGCGCATCGTTGACCAGTGAAATGACACCAGTCAGGAGCGGTGTGCTGGCACTGGTGCCACTGATAACACCCTCCGTGCCGTTCCAGAAATAGGCAAAGTACAAGCCCTGAGCCGAGATGTCGGGATATCCGCGGCCTTCCTTGTTGTAAAGCCCGTCGTACAGTCCATCGAGGCTGTCGACGTAGTGCTTGGTAACGGCTTCCTGGTAATACGGGGCAGGGAAGTAGTTGCTGAAGCCGCCGCCTGAAGTGTAGTTGCCGTGGGCGACCCCGTCCGGTCCGACAAACGCGGGACGGTAGGCGACGACCTCGGGCTCGAAATTCTGGGTTGCGCCCACGGTGGTGACAAAGGGGCAGCTCGACGGGAAAAGCGACAGGAACATCGTCGTGTTCTGTCCATCGTTGCTGATGCACTCCGCGGGGTCACTCGGACCTACACCATCGTCACCGCTGGCGAAGAAGAGCGAGGTTCCTCGGGCGCCGACTTGGGCGAACTGTTGGCAGACACGGCGGGCGTACGCGATGGGTACGGTCTGCTCGTCGTCGGCGTAACTTGTGCTGATGGCTTGCGGGAATGACTCCTGGGAAAGCAGGTAATTGACCCAGACCAAGTAGGGCTCGTTCGAGTTGTCGGGTGTGCTTGCAGACGGGATAAAAGGCGGGCTGCCGCCTGTCGACCAACTGGTGATGGGCGTCTTCCAGCTGATGCCGGCAATGGCTTGCACATCCAAGTTTGCCTCCTTGGAGGTGCTGTCCTCGAGGTCGGAGGGGGACAGAGGGATGTCTCCCGGCCCATCGGCGATTACGATCTGCTCAAAATCTTGGGCGCTCGAGACAGCCTCAGGGCGATACTTCTTGAGGAAGAGGTCCAAGTCGGTGCGGATCGGGTGCTCGCCCAGGTAGTTGGTAAAGCCGACTTGATTCTTGCCCGCCGCTTGGGTGTGGTAACCCTTGGTCGAGTATAAAGCCTGGAAACACTCGGGCGTTACGGAGCTAACGTTGCAGACCTGGTTGAGCGTCCCATTGCTAGGAGGCGCGTAATTCGGATCCCGCCAGAGCGCACCGTCAATGTGTTCGAACGCGTTGGCGCGGGCGCGGAAGAACGAGGTCGTCGGCTGGATGGTGTCGATGTGGGCGTGCAGGTGAGCCGGCAGAGACCATGCAGAGGTTCGCACAACACGGGTCTTGTCGTCGGCATGCTCGTAGGTGTGGTACTCGGTGTCGAGGAGGGACTCGACAGCGGAGACGGGCAGGGCCACCATAAGCCAGTCCTTAGAGGAGCTGTAAGACGACGGGACGATGCCATGGTCCTCGAGCCATTCGTGCACCAGACCCCACGTCTCCTCTGTAGGCTTGACGAGCTCTGTGACAGCGTCGGCGGAGAGATGTTGGCCGTAGCGGTGGTGGTCCGGGTCAGAAACTGCGTTGAAGTCAGATTGAGGGTCTCCCAAGACTGCATGTGCCCAATTGGCTCGATGGGCCACAGTCTCGATGCCGGTTGGGTAGGTTTCATGCCCTACCTTCGTATAACTGTCTCTCCAACTCGGCATAGTTGCTCTGCTTGACACCGATCTGCAGGTTGATCACATGGTCCTGCGGCGCGCGTTCCACCCGTTTCCACTTCCTCGGAACATTGTGCGTTTCCTTGACTTGGTAGGCTGTACGCGAGCGCACAGGAGTCGCAATGACTGCCTGCGCAGCAATGAGCGCCGAGACGACGGCAGCAATGAGGCCGACCATGATGCCTTCTGCTTGGTGGAATCTGCTTGACTGGAGCTCCAAGGGAGAGCAACCAGGTCACCCAGGTAGGATCAGAGGTGCTTATATGTTCCAAAACAAATCAACCGACAGGCAGGCACAGAGAGGCAAGACAACGCCCCGCATCATGCCGAGGGGGGGCAATGGCCCCAATTGCCCAATTGACGCGATCGACAGGAAACTGATGACATGCGAAAGATTGTCATCCTGCGCCGTTATACCACCGCGGACATAAGCTATCCGCCCTGCCTGGATCATCAGCCTAGATAAGCTCCCACTTGACATATTGAGAAGGTGCAGGAGCTTCCAATAGCTCATGTGGAGTTAATCAGGTTCAATACCACGCTTGGCACTGTACGGTCGTAGTGCTGATTGGCGGCGGTCAAGCCCTGGGTAAGCAAATACGACGCTGTGCCATCATGATTGATAACGGCCTGCCGCTTTCTGCTATTCACAGTCGAAGCCGGATCTAGTTTCCACTCTTCACATTCTGCCCCTGATGCGGCGCAACTGTGGATGAGCGCTCATTGGGTGGTCGGCCGAGTCCAAAGCTTGTTTCGGGTGACCCCGATTACACAAGCCTTTACTAGGAAGGCTTACTTTTCGAGTTGTGTTGCGCCAATCGACAATGGACCGCATGGCGCGGGCTTGTCGAGTACGACAGCCAAGCAGCGGGGCAAGCCACGGTGACACCTCGCAGATGCGTTGTAATGCTATATTGACCTCTGCAGTCCATGATGCGCGGAAACATGCATCTGCGAAAGAAATGGTTGGTTGGTTGATCATGTCGCGTAGGAAAGGCAAGGTGCGGGCTGAGCTAAGACAGTAATCTTGCCGAGGCCAAGCCTGCAAATGCCCGCTAGAGAACTGTGGATTTGGTCAGCGTACTACTTGGCATCTCGTCGAACGATGCCTTGCCATTGGGTAAGATCAGGTTGTCGCACTCAATTATCCTATCATAATCCTGTAGTACACCGCCTAAGCCCGCGCAGGTCGCTCCATTTCCCTATATAGGGCCCCTAATTGGACATTAATAACTGACCCGATTCATGAATTACCGCCGGGCAACAGTAGCAATTATCCTCGCTACCAGCGAAATTACTGTTGTATATCCAGCCCGATTCCTGTCAGGTATTCACACCGACTCCTCAATCCATTCTCGACACTTTCCATCACTGTTCTGCCACCAGTCTCAAACAGCATCCTAAGCTGCCCCTCCCTGGTATATGGTTCCCAGATGGCGGTGCCGGGATATCGGTGTTTGTTGGGGTCGAATGTCCTGATAAAACTAGTCCAGTAGGACTGGATCACCGGCACGACCATGGCATTCGTGCCGTTGGAATAGTAGCTAGTCGGAGGATCTCCCTGGATGTTTTCAGGCCCAAACAAGGGGTTGATCTCGGTCGTGTGCGGGACGCCGTACCCCTGGGCGAGGAGCTTCGGATCCTCCACGTTATACCTATAGTTGAAAGTACGACCAGTGCCATACTTGGCAAATGCGGAGGCGACGTACAGGTTCGGGCACATATACCGCAACTCTCCGTACGCGTTGGACGCCTGTCGCCAGTAGCACCCCAGGTTGGGGCAAGTCTGATTGGGGTTGGGGAAAAGCTCGTTGATCTTTCCGATTTGCTCCAGTGTCAGCTTAGGAAACTGATTCTTGAGGAACGCGTCGCTCTCGCCGAGCGTCGAGGTCTTGGAGGGCACGAATACCGTCCCGCCGTTAGTGTCATCCCCGGACAAGATCGGAACCCTCATGAAGTTACCCTTGGCGTACACGTTGTAAGTGTAGTCGATTATCAAATCGCCGTCGATGGTGGGGTTATACATGTACAGCGGTGCTGACGATGCACCAGGGTATGGAATCCCGATGTTAGCAGCCTGGAACTCCGCTATGGGCTTGCTCCGCAGGCAATCCAGCGAGTCTTGGGCCGAACCGACGCAGCCAAGACGGATGGCGAGGTTTTCGTATTGGTACTGTGATTGCTCTACCGTCCGCACCGGAGCGAACGAGATTGACTCGGCTGCAGCTGCGTGGAAGAGGCTGCTCCTGTCTCGGCCAGTCTTGGCGAGGAGGAGGCTGATGCTGGCTGCTCCTGCCGAGCTGCCTCCCAACACCACGTGGTCGGGGTTGCCGCCGAACTGAGATATGTGCTCATGTACCCATTCTAGAGCCTTGATTTGGTCACGAAGGCCGTTGTTAGCGGTGATCAGATGGCCGTCTGTGAGGAAGCCGTATGGTCCCACTCGGTAATTCAGTGTTACGACGACCATGGAGTAGCCACTTGCGGCAATCAGGCCTGCGCCGTTTAAGTTTGGGTTGCCGTTGACGTTGAAGCCTCCACCTTGGATGAAGAAAAATACAGGGAATTTCGAACTACTTGTTGCGTTGCTCGGTGCGTAGATGTCAAGAAAGAGGCAATCCTCGGAGTTGGTCGTCTCACTCAGTGGGCTGTTGGTGGCCAAGCAGACCTTCCCATGCTATGATGTCCTGTCAGCTCATATTCATTCCAGAGCATCCAGTTACACCCAACCTCAGTTGCTAGTTGGACTTCATTGTTGCAAGGCGGATCCTGTGGCGGCATGAATCTCAAATCGCCAATCGGTGGTGCAGCGTAGCGAACCCCCAGCCAGTAGCTGATACCGTTAGGCAGCGCAAGCCCAGTGTAGATGTTGCAGCCCGTCGTCACGGACAAGCTGACGGCTTCAACCACGGTGGAGAGGGCACATAGCGCTGCTACCAGGGGATACTGCATTGTGTCGGCAGCTTGAAAGACAGTTTGGTCCCCACCAAGTGTCGTCCGAGGGGAAATGGTCCAAGATGATGATGCAGAGGTGTTCGAATCACCATGATAAATATCTTCATCCGATACCCCTCACATTTTCATAAACCACGAGACTTGTCTAGTCCCACCCGCCCACGTGTGTAATGAAGGAGGCAACTAAGTCACATATCCATCCAATCACCATGTCGTGGCCCTGGTATTTATATAACAGTTGCATATTATCGGTTTGTCGTTCATTTATTGTCAGCAGAATCCTGTCTCTTTCAATATTGGCACATGTCTAGCTAAGCCGAGCGCTCTCCGATATTGGATGCTTCTATGTTTGCACGACGTCCCGTTGTAGGAAGCCGTGATGCCCATCTATCCGAAATTCCCCAACATTCCCCCGCGTCTGAATATGTCCATACGGTTCACCCTAGCCCAGTCTAACGATAGGATGCAATAAATGCGGTCTCCACGGCAGCAGTGTGAATCCCCGACTTTACATACGGGTATTGAGGTCGCCAAAACCTCTAGCATCCCACCATGAGATACAGTCTAGATTGCCAATGTAAGGGGATCCATGACTATAGTATGTTTTAATTGATTGTGGGAGGAATGGAGTTCAGACGCCTTGGCGATGACTATACCTGCATATATCGTGTGCGGGGAAATTGTTGGACCAAATTGACCGTCAAAAGACGAGGGACCCACTCGTTGTAGAATGAGGTATTTTTGGTAGTTATAAGGTCTGACAGAAATATCACTAGTCCACTCGGAACCGCCGGCAATTTCATCATCCTCGAAGATTCTGCGGGTTGCCGTGCTAGGTAATTCCAAATCCCGCTCGCAAGTTCAAGTAGTCGGCCATTATCGGCATGCAAGTAGGGCATCTGACTGAACACGGCTGTCCAGTAGCAACCCTGCGGTCATCCCTTGCTTGTGATCATGTCATGCCTGATCATGTACAGGCATCGTCATGTTACCCCTCCCATGTGGTGGTTCTCCTTATCTTCCAGCTCCTGGTAGTCTTCCTGGCTACGATGGGTTTTCTTGAATACCTTTTGATGACAGCACCCGCGTGTGGGATAGCCATGCCGAATCTGATGGGCAGACGTGTGCTTCCCAACATTGGCTCGAGATTCTACAGTCCACTTCAGAAAGAGGAACGAGAGCACTGCTTGAGGCCACCAAAAAAAGCGTTGAATTAAGGAGCAGAATGCCCGTACTGTTCACAGGTTCTGTTGAGATTCGTTGAGACGCGCTTCTCCTAGCCATCTTTACCCTGATACAGATCATTGAAAATGTGCAGTTAACGTAATTTCAAAATGGGCATCAAGATAGAGGTTCGCAGACTCGCAGAGTAATTAGGAACCAGAGTCTCTGGAGTCGAAATGGCACGTGGTCATGTCCTGGTTGTTCACAGTTTGTCCCAGATTCTCCAAGTCACCAAGCTAGAGATAGGATTCTGTTTTGGGGGCTCCTCGAGACTTTGAAGATGCGCAATAGTCGGCTGTGGACGGATATATATTTGCGCTTCAATGAAGGATATATATATATATTCCGGGATGGCGTTCTTGATGCGAGTGCATATGGGGTGTGAATTGTTGTATTGGGAAAGGATGCCAGGTCAGCTATTCTGGCCTGGCAGAGCTCTTTTATAGCTCTTATCTATCTTATCTATAGCTATAGGGTAACCCCCCATTGGGTCACGTATCAGTTCTATAACATCTCAAAGAGGTGAACGGTCTAATAGTTACCGGCTTAGTCTAGTCTTATAAATTTCAGTGGCGTTATGTCTTGTGCTGACGTTTGTCGTATGCTTGTGTGTTGATGGTATTGGTCTTTATTTTAGATATCATGTAAATGGCTGCCTGCTATAGCCATATCACTGCCCCGGCAACCCTGAATAGTCGGTATTTTCAGACAGACGTAAGTGAAGCATGTAATTGAAACCAATGTTTTCGGATAGGCTGTCATAGTCTGATATTGGGATATGCTGCAATCAGTTCCGTACTTTCTGCTATACCTCTACCGCTGGCGCTGCCCCCAGTATGTTAGCCGTTGAGGGCAATAATAGATTCCCAGGTGGGCGGATGAACGATACGATCTCCACAATAATATGATTAACGTAACATAATTCTTATAGAAAATCCGTTCTGCGGAAGTCAAACCAGACCAGTCTAACCTGTTTGACTTACCACTTGTTTTTTGGAAGAAGCTCAAATTACAAAACTTCCGTCATGAACAAGAACCTCAAATCACACGGCTCATACCCAGGTCGATTGATCAGCTCTTGTAGTGCTGTGTAAAGTCGTACCGAACATCAAACATAGCCTTGAAAGCCGCAAGCTGCGCCTCCTTATCGCTCTCCGCCTTCTTACAAGCCAGCATGACGGGGTCCCGGTCCAGAATCGTGGCAGGGTCACTATCAGACACCCTCCTAAAGTTATCCGAGGACACCACGTTGATAACCTTCTTCCACTTCTCGATTCTCTTCTCGCTGTACAAGTCCAAAATTGACTCGTCTGCTTTCCCATCCCAAATACCAATCAGACAGTCGTAGAGGCCGCCGATGTCGATAAAGCCGCCGGTGATGCCCATGCCGCCCCACGGGTTGCAGAGATGAGCTGCGTCGGCGGCGAGGAGCACTTTTCCGACACGGAAGGAGGGCGCACAGCGCTGGTGCATTTTGTAGGGCGCAATACTAACTAACTTGTAGTCCCCCGGTTTTGGGTGACCTGGAAGGATCGTTTCGTATTTCCAGGGTTGTCGCTCGCGCAACTCCTCATTGCTAAGTCCGGGGGTTTCGCCGTATGTCACACGGTAAAGGCCGTCAACGGTGATTTTTGCAATCATCTGATTGTGAACTCAGCTGACTGTTGAATTCCGTTCGAGAGGTCTAGGGACTTACAGTAAAGTGTTCAGGGTGCACGATGAAGTTTGCGTTGGAAAGGCCATACTTCGCTTCGAAGTCATAATAGACCTGTGACGCAATGTTAATTTGAGTCTTGGTTTTCAAATTGCCTTTCAACTCACATTCGTTGCCACAACTTGCTTGTCCCACGTGAACCCTGGAAAGTCGTCCCCAAATAGAGATTTTCGAACGCTGCTGTTGGCGCCATCACAGCCAACCACATAGTCTCCATAGACTTTTGTAGGTCCGTCAGGGGTCTCAACGTCGACCCAAGCGGTCTTCTCGTCTTGTCCAACGGTCACCACCTTGTGATTCCAACTGATGGAGCCGTTGTATTTATTCAGAAACTCGTCGAGCAACAGCTGGTCTAATTGGTCCAAGACCAGACAAGTCGTTCTCAGGTCTTCACCGTCCATATCCGCCAAGATCGCACCGTCCAGGCCGGTGATATAGCTGTGGTCCTCGATGCGTCGCCATGCCATGGTGTTGAGTGTCATCCCACGCCGACGAATTTTATCCAGGACGCCGGCGCGTTTGAGATCTACCATGGCGGGAGGTCCGTAGATGGCTGCGCGTGGCCGGTCATCGAGCTTGTCGGATGCTTCGAGGAGGCAAACGGGAATTCCATGCTTGGACAAGAATATGCACAACAGCAAACCCGATGGGCCAGCTCCCACGACAATCACCTGAGTTTTGATTAGTCATTATAGGTGATGCAATGTGCCTTTCTACGTACCTTCTGAAATGGACGCGCCATGATCGATAATGCCCGCTACAAGCCACACTTTATTCGAAGACGGGCACGGAAAAGCACAATACTTGTAATTATATGTCCAATTTTTGAGAGGCACGACGGAAACTTCGGCCATAAATCTTGCTAGATACTCCCGATGGCTCGGGATAAATGCCGAACAGCTGGCTTACAAGTATCATTTTCCCCGCATTCTACCTAATGATATATATCTCCATTGGGATATTCAATATGCCTTCCCTTCCTCCTCTCTTGTGGCCACCTAGACGGGATAATCTGCCGGTTGAATTCCACGCAGATGATTCATGAGTCTGCGTGCTGCGGGGGTCCTCTCATCGGCTGTTGTTGCGTCTTTGCCATTGGCCAATCCCGTCTTTGAGTTTCTCGCCTTGGTGTGCTTAGCCCAATTCTTGACAGTCGCCGATGTTGCCAAACACGCGAGATGTCACAGAAATCCTTTTTGAGCACGGTTGCTACTTGTGGTGCTATGGCGTGAGACCGGCCTTAGTACACACACACTAAGCCCCTGACGACTGAAATGGCTACTTGAAGACCTATTATCTAGGCGCATACCTAACGTGAATGATTTTGTGAGGCCTGCTTCTTGATAGTTGTATCTCGGACCATAGAATTGAACAGCTCCATCGCACTATTCACCTATTTATTACAGTGCTGTATGCTGTGTTTGTAAAGTAATTGATACAGTTGCTAATGCATTCAAAGTGACCAACATGTATACTATAAAATCGGTTGTCCTCCATGGAATTATACTGCGAGTATCTCTGGTGGCCCAGGAGAGACGCAGGAAAGCGCTGCATTCCCTGTGACGAGAACGGTTCGCCTAATGCTATTGTTGCTTGGACCTAAAGCACAGCTTGACCATGTTGCTTTCCTTTCCTTCTCTTATTACCCCGAAACCGAAAAGGTTGAGTTGAAACCCAGCAGCCAAACGCACATAACCACTGGAATTGGTACAATCCACGCTTGGGAATACTATGTATCGAGTCTCTATGAAAGTGGTCATCCAGACTTACTTTCTGTTCAAATGTCAACATGAGCAGAGACATAATACCTTAAGATAAGGTGGATACGACGACATCGTTCCGTTGGATCGAATAAGTATGACGTCTCATCTCGTGATAGAGATGTTTTACCTCTGGCTGAACCTAACAGTATTCGTTATAAAGGAAATATCTCGTGCAGAACTCCTAACCACCCTCGATTGTGGAACAAATAAATCATTGCCTCGGCGCAAAGTTGAAGATTTTAGCAAGTAGTATATCAAGTCGACGAACCGTGTCTAGTGAGCTGTGCCTGCCAAGAATCAAACACAGCGTCATCCACCAAATGCTTGCCCCTTTCTTCTTGCAGGACCTAGTCAGATCTGGTGGACTTGTGTCCACTCCAGGTGCCTAGAAGTTGGCGATGATGGCGCAGAGGAAAAAAAGACGCATCAGCCAAAGAAATTAATAACCGCGACCCTCCTTGTTGGTTACTGCCGGGCGGCGCTCCAACCCGTCTCACCACACTGGATTGGAGAACAATCTCCTGCCGGCTTCGTATAAAGACCGACCCAACCAACGCGGCCGCCGATGTAACGCGGCCACCAAACCCCCATGCAATACTGGCATGCTTCCAAACCTTCTGATCGGTTAAACGCTCAAGCTCAACCGTGGCTCTCTAATTTCCAGGCGAATGCAAAAGCCTATAGCCTATGTTGTACTATTGATATAATGGCCGAGATAGGACCGCTTTAGATCGCGACTAATTAACTACGTAAGCAGCAAAATGACGTGGTTCACAGTGAGGAGCGAGGATTGTGTGCATAGAAGATACGAGTTTTCGTTTCAATGAAAAGAACAGACAGCATCGGTTGCTGTTGTTGTATTAAGCAGTAGGTATATATCTCATAACATAATGATCTCATGAAAACCCTGACTCCCAACGATGCATCAAGCGACAAGCGAATGAACTCCCAAATGCACGCAGTGCCTTGAGGCAGATAGGCTTACACATCCTGGATGTTGATGACATCTCCGTAAGCGTTGAGGCCGATTTCCTTCTTTTGGATAGAAGTCTTGACGGGGTTTCGGGCCGCAAAGATCTCGTCGAGTTCCTCGAGCTGTGAATATAAGTCAGTTGGGAGCCAAATGGATGAAGATGGCAGGTTGATACTCACAGTGCGGTTCTTGGTTTCTGGAATGTACATCCAGATGATGAAGGCTTGGATTGTGTCCTGGGAAATACAAGTTAGTTGTTTACTACATGTAGAAAAATAATATAAATTGCTCACCTGAATTGTGAAAATGATGTAGGTGTGCCATCCAATGCTTCGCATCGATACAGGCCAGGCGAACTGGTTGAGCAAACCGGCAGCGTTGACGGCGAGCGAAGAAAAAGCCATGCCTTTGGCACGCATCTCGAAAGACAAGACCTCGACCGGGTAGAGAGCCTGAAGGGGTGTAATACCGATGGAGTAGATGGAACCGAAGATGAATATCATGGCAAGGGCGGCCTGGGAGGCGGCGTGGTTGGAACCTTGAAGGGCGTTACCGTCCGCGTCCAAACCACCACCCGACTTGGCGAACTCGGCGGAAGCGATGGTCATAGCGAGCCAGACTACGGTACAACCAGTGAAGGAGAAGATCAGAAGAGGACGGCGACCGACTTTGTCAACAACCAAGGCACCCAGAATGGCAAACAGGAACTGCTGGCACGAGTTGATGAGGGTGATGTTGGCCTGCTCAATGCCGTTGGTGTAACCAGCAGACTCAAGCACGGCGGCGAGGAAGTAGGACAAGACAGCGTTTCCGGCCCACTGACCGAAGATGGTGACAGCCATGTTACAGCACAAACGGTAGACGGAGGATCGGTTGCGGAACAGGGCGCGGTAGTCCCACCATCGCTTGTCGGCACCATCCATGTTAAGGAGTTCCTCGTACTCGTGCATCTGCAACTTCACCCAGGCACTCTCGTCGTTGCCGTTGCCGTGCCATCTGGTGAGCATGGCCTTGGCTGCCTCCTTCTTGTGGTTGACATACAGCCATCGTGGCGACTCGGGAAGCAGGAAGACGAACAGGAGGATCAAACCGGAGAAAAGAGCCTGAAGCCAGGTGATTAGACGCCAGGAGTAGTTGCCACCAGTGTTCAGACCACCACGAGCAGCACCAGACGCAATGATGGCACCACTAAACCACAAGGTGTTGTACATAGCACCGACCATACCCCGAAACGCAGGGTGGTTTATCTCGATGACGTACATTGGGCCGGCAGCGGCGGCGATGGACACGCCAAAACCGAGCAGGAATCGACCGCCCATAAAGGATTCGGCGTTGTGGGAGGTTCCCTGGATGACGGTACCAACAATAATGGTAAGAGCACCAATGGCCATACCGACACGGCGACCCCAGGTATCGATGGCAGGTCCGACGAAGGGGAGAGCGACGACACCACCGATCTGGTACATGGAAGAGACGAGACCGGCCCACAGACCGGAGCTTTCGACGTTGTAATATTCTTTGAACCATTGGTTCTGGAGCAAGTTGTTGATAAGGGAACCATCGTAGCCGTTCATGGTCGAGCAGAAAAAGCCGATGATGGAGAAGAGGTAGATCATGATCTGGGCCTTGGTCCAAGCATTTGGTGGCTCCTTGATCATGGCCTCTGCGAAGGCCTCATTACCCTTGACGACCTTGACATCGGTTTGTTCCTGTCCTTGCACCGTTAGTAAGAACAGCTAATTGCTCGGGTTGAAACATGATGGAATTTACCATTCCAGTGTGCGTATGCACCTCGGGCTCGACGGATGTCTTCTCCATTTTTGCAACTATGCGCTCTGCCTTCTATCTCTATTAGGGTATCGAATTGAGAATTGTCGATCTCCTCGGTAGGCCGGAACCAAGTAGAGGTCGGTGAGTAAGGGTCTGACGAACAGAGGAAAGTGAGACCGAGGAGCGGGACACAGGGTGACTTTATGTTGGGTGTCCGTCCCTGACAGCCTCGAATCTTCTCCAAATTGATATGGCCGAACCCAGCGAAGCACCTCCCACCGGTAAATTGGGTGAAGCACGGTAACCACACCATGCTCTTCCGGCGACGATGTCGCGTGGTTGCCAACCCCTGTCGGGTTCCGAGAAAAGTGCTGACAGGGATGACTGGGCCAGAGTTCTATCTACGTCTGGACTTTGGTTCTTTGCGGGATCACCCCCTGGTGGGTTGCCATTCGATAGCCAGCTGCATCGAGACTTTGGCCCGCGTGGCTTCAATATTCTGAACTTCCCCATTTTCGACAGAATGCCTGGTTAGTGATCGCTCGTAGCCGATAGTGAGACGAACGTCAAGCTGTGCATCGACAACCATGTGTCAATAAATTCTTTTCACGATGGCAAGTTGGCATGAAAAACGGAGATTTTCCCCGGAAAGACGGGTTGCCCATTGCTCCACAGACGCTAATTTTCAAACCTCTCACTATCCTACCCCTCGCCCCGGTAGGGCCCACTTGGTTGGTGTGGGGCGCCTGGGGAAGGAAGGAACCGAAGGTATTGTCACACATTCTCGTGGCATCGTCTGCTTAACTTCTATGCTCCAAGGTCAACGTCCCGCATATCCTCACACCCCTACAAGAGGGGCTGTTGCGCCTTTGAGATGGCCTCAAGAGGGTCCAGCTCACCGGTGCTATGCACAGGAGATGTACGATCTCGCCCTCGGCTATCAGAGGTGGTTCGCCTAGCCAACAACCCGACGACCGTTGACCTTTTGACGGAAACCGTCCCGCCTTTCCACCACGGCCTCAGGCCACAACTAGCGGTTTTGGGCGAGTCCTGTTGGTGCTCGCAAGGCAAGGCAAGGGTCAGCGGTGCAGCAGATCACGCACTTCCTCCGTGCTAAACCCCTACTCCATTGGTATTAGTCAGGGCGGCTGCCATGGGCATTTGAGGATTCCCATGCAGCATCCTGCAAATCCTGCAAGAATAAATTGACTCCCCCCATTATGACTGGTGGACAATTGTCTGGGGGGGCCGGGCTCACGGCCAGCCGCAAGATCGGTTTCCAGAAATTGCAATTCAAGATCGGTTCACTCAGTGCCAATAGCGCGAGAACCAACAACGAACAGCACACAATCTCGCACAAATATGATCATTCAGATGGCGTCTGGTGAGCATTCTGGTACCGCGACCTTGAAATTATTCGATTTGCTCATACCGCAGGTGCGTCGCTGCATTCGCGAAGAAATCCAGTAGCAATTAGAATTTGTCGTATACTCCAGAATATCCCCATATCACAGTGCTAGAACGTCTGTCTCAAAAGCCTCATAGTGCGGCTGCGGCGATTAAAACCATGGATTGACAGAAAGATTGGGTTATCAATGGGTTGATCTCCAAGTCTAGGTATGCACTGATCTTGTTTAGCTCGTCGTGTTGCTCCAGATAGAATCGTATCCCCTATACTTGCATCCTTTCTGCATCCTTCTCCCCTGCAACCATCAAGCAACTTGGCCACCCGCGGCTTGTTTTCTGACTGGACAGGCTCCCAACCAATCCTCAGACGGACAACCTGTCATCTGAAGAACACACACAAAAGTCGCCATCGCGCAATACCCATGTGACACATAGACCCGCTGGTTTGGGTCTCCGAAGCTATCATTCCCATTATATTGATGATGCACCATATAATCATTTGTCATGCGGTTGAATTGAAGAAGGGCGACATATGTTATCCAATTGTTTCGCACCATGAACGATATTTACAATGGACTACATCATCTTTCTTTATTTTGATCAATGCACATCAATCATTTAATCAACCTGCAACCGTGCTTATATGAGAGCAGTTTAGGAGTGCTGTAGATCGTCCCTGCCAAAGACCTCAACAGTGTCAGGGTGGTAGTTAACCCGAGCCGTCACGCTTGACCCAACTAGTAACAACAATTCCAACGAAGGATTTGCGCCGCGCGGACTAGTTTTTATGTGCCATGCTAGTCAGCGGCTACGCGGTTGCCAGATTTTAAAAGCAATATTGTACTTAAGTCAATTATCCAGAATATTCAGGTTTCCGTGAACCATGATCGGGATCTTGGGAAAGGCTTTCGGACCGGACTCGATATCAGCGCAGTCCTTGGGCCTCCGAACAACCAGTCCCACGGTAGCAGGAGACCAGCAACGCGGTCGAGGCGCGAACTTCCGGAATTACCGTGAGGCACCCAATGTGGCGTGAATATAATGGCGTTTTCAAGTGTTTCAATCATGCGGGGACTGGAGCGATCCATGAATCTGGAACGCGTTGATCTACATGATTGGCAGCATTATGTGCTGTCGTGTCAGAGAGATCCGCCAATCAACTGATAATATTCTTAGTTTCTATGGTTCGAGGTACGTCCCCCAATAACAGTGGCATCGGATCCCCGGGATGCAATATGCAAGTGGCTGCAAACCCCGAGACCCCTGGGCCAATATCGCGGAGGCCGGGACGTTTCTGCCCCAATAACTAGCTTTATGCACACTGTGATGCCTTTGGCAAGAGTATGATCTTGAGCCATCGTCAACTTAGTGACTGAAATTCCCGTGTCGGGGTCGAGTATGCCGATTTCTGATCTCCCATTCCCGCACACGTGACCCGCAAACCCCCTCCCATCAGAGGCTTTGGCCTCGATACACCGGCATGGCGCGAGCTAGCCAACAGGCGTGTCTGATGGACGTTGGAGATTGTCAGTTTAATACGCTTTGCTTATTTGACCGGAATAGAAAAATCGGACCGCGCGTATGAAGTAAGGGAGCCTGATAAAGCCTGTGATGTGTAATCCGCGGGACCTCTAATAGTGTGGAGGAGATAGCGGCTCCTTAAAGGCTTCACGAGATGAACTATAGTAAGACGCCCCAGAGGATAGAGATAACTCTTAAACCCAATACTGCAGCATTTTCTTACGCTGGCCGAGCTCTTCCCACACGAGGCGTTCCAAGAAAGCCTAACCAAATTGACGCAATATTGCAAGCTAAAACGCCATTCATTCCTGCCGCCCTAAGATCTGCCCCTTTATGGATCTTCTCCTGGTCTAAGGAAACTGCTAGCGATACACTGGAAATATGATGATATGCGGAGAGACATGGCATGGTTAAGTCAGCCTATCTTCCATGGTCCGGGCATGGCTCTATAGTCGACAAAGCAATCCATGGGGTGAATATCAAAGTACTTACGTAGCAGTGATCTCTGTCCCACTGTGACATGTAAATTAGCCTCTACTGGACCGAGAACGCCTACTAGGGGTTCAATCTGTGGCTGTCTAGAAGGGCATGTGGCTTTGACTTGCCCATGATCAACTTGGCAGTGCCTGCGGTCTCTGGTCTAATCTTTGGGCTGGGCTTTTATTTTATACTAATGGCTCTCAACAATTATCTCGCCGATGCGCATAAGATTTACTCGGCGAGCGCAATGGCTGCTGTCAGCTTGGCCAGATCTGTTGGCGGCGGATTCTTGCCACTGGCTGCCGACGCCATGTACGATACGCTACATGTCCAGTGGGCAACCTCGCTACTCGGATTCATCATGCTAGTCATGTGTGCCGTGCCATTTGACTTCATCAGATACGGCAAACCAATTCGTGCGCATAGCAAGTTCTGTCAGCAATTGGAACGCTTGAAGAGGCTAGTCGTGCCAACCACGGCATGACAGAGACCATTATACCCGTTGCTCAGACCCCAAAGGTAGCAGCATAGTGAAAAAATATTTTCACCCTACTACCAACCTACTTAAACTCAAATGCCAAATCTCTCGGTCTAAAGCTGTTGCGTGCCCTAACCAACTAACTTCCCCTGATCATGCCAATTATTGACACACATATCAATACTGGACTGTGAATGCCCGGCCTCGTTCTGATCAACATATCTTATCGTGTAAGCCAAATTATTTCTCGTTCAACCTTGGATTGCTTGTCTGCGGCTTTTGCTCTCGAGGTCTAAATCAGGAGCCTGTCCTAGACTGCACACACGATGGCCAGGCCTCTATGCATCATAGTCATATGTTGCGCAGTGAAATGTGGACCTGTTATCCCAAATAACAAGGTCATTCTGGGCTCAAAGACTTTTCCCCGTTGTCCGGGACTATTCCGCCATCAACTTCGAGGGAGAACTAGAGCTCCTCACTTTCGTCGCTATCATCGCTGTAATCGCTATCGTTGTCGTCGTCGTCACTGGAAATTGAATGACCTCACCTCTGCCGTCTTGGACATTAACAGTGAAGTGACTATTTTACCGGCAGATGAAAATAACTTCTTACATTCAGCTGGAATAGCCTGTATTGTAAGTAAATGCAGCACCATGAACGAAAGCCGTGGGTACTTCAACCGGTCAACTCGGTGGTGGTTATTAGCTGTAGTGGGGGTGACTATGGTGTCAATGACGATGCTAAACGAGCGAATCTAAATCTTCCCAGTCACCCATTTATAGGATCTGGTAGTTGATATGTATGTTGAGATGCCATACCGAGGACGCGAATGAAGCTAGAGGTAGCTGGGTCGCAGGTGAAATGGCCGTTGATGCGCCGTCCTTCATCCGGACATCTTGATTGCCTGGTCGGTTCGTTTGGTGTTGCCACGTCGTAATTAAAGACAAACGGCAGATCTTGGGAGGATGTAAGAAGTAATAAGGATGACTGCATCTGTTTTTAGCGACGGCCCTAGTTATCGTGATAGGCGCGCTCGGGCCAATTACCAATCAGTTGGACCAAGTATACAACTAACTCTGGTGGTGTTGTCTGCTTTCTTGTTGTTGCCTTGAAATTGACCAACTTGTGAAAGCTGCGGCCTCGGGTATGGAGCGGTGCGAGACAGGTAAGCACATATTTTAGTATTCAGGGGGCCCTCAGGGAGCCCTCGGGGCCCAACCCGGGATTGGTCCCCGCGTACCTTCATAGTCGCAATACAGCCCCGGTTGGTTGTAACTCGTCAGTTCCTATCTATTTGTCGTATATAACGCTAAGTTAGCAAAGTTTTGTAATAATTAAACGGGATACTTGAACGAAAGGAAGCATGGCATCTATAGCCGTATAGAATGATTTAATCTAGTTGTTGGATCTTCACTCCCAAATGCTGCCGTATGTTACACGCAAAGGTGGTCAAAGATTTGTGAGGTTGTAAAAGCATGACATTCTATCTAGTCCTATGGAGCACGAAGGTTGGACTTAGTCCCGAAGGGCTAAGTCACGTGGTAACCTTGGTGGTCTTGGCAAAGCCCACCAAGGTTGCCTAACACCGTATGTGGCTTACTGAAAAGCCACCAAGACCTTAGCCCAGCATGTTCCTATTTTGTTGGCTGATTGCATCATTTGTGTATTTAATATGCCAACCCCTTACGCAACGTAATTCGCGTACGCGGCTAGGCAGAGTTGATCAGCCGGTTAACAAGGGCTGGGACTGCCAACCATGCCTCCATTCCTTTATGGGTTCTCTGTCAGCCGTATTATTATACAGAAGGTGTACGTTAGGTTATCTTTTGTAAATTTAAGCCGGAAATCTCGAGGTGCATCTACTCTAATGCTTGAAGGAGGAAGGGAGCGGCTACTCTGACCTCTGACCACTCCTTCCCTCTTCTCTTGAAGATAACCGCCCCTCAGGCTTATATTAGATTAACAGCTTTATCCGGCGCTATAAGGCTATCCCTACCAAGTTTAGAGCGCTTGATACCTTACGAGAGACTGTACGCTATTGTTAACCATGTACGCCGCCGGTACTTGTCAGGGTACGGCTAGGCCGAAGGCAATAGTACAGAGTGATGGGGAGTAACAGGCGTCCCTCCTACGTAATACCGGGTGGTCACTGGCGGTCTCAGGTAGGGGTGCCCACGGTGATGCATTGATCTCTGCCATCTCCATCTTCCTCCGTCTCGACTCCTTACTTATAGCCAGCCGAGGTTCTCTCTTGGATTCTGGATGTTTGCTTCCGTATGTCTGTGTTCCTCCGACTTCGGCCAATGTCTTGGACAGCGGCTCCTTATCTGCAACCAAGCGATTCCCTATCCGCTGCAAACGGCTTCAACGGCTCTCATTCGCCCCAAGCGGCTCTCTAGCCGCCACAAACGGCTTCCTACCTGGTGGAAGCCGGCCCGCCTCGGATGACACTTGTGGCTCTGACAACTCCTTCCCTATCCTACTTCGAGATGGTCCTTATATAGATAGCTAGGCCGCCGCTTGGACCCGGCATAACAGCAGGGTCGGCGATGCCAAGGATCTTGACTCTCGTCATCCCAAAGCTTCACATAGATTGTAATCATGATTCGGGAGTCTTTTGTCCGAAACACCCCTCCGGCGGCCCGCCGGTGTCCTGCGTTCAGTGTCCTGACACCCCACTGGTGCCTATGGCATTCTGTTCTCTGACAGTACTGCATCTTCGAGTCCATTAGCCTGTCACGACCTGGGTTGCATCGCATTGGTAGAGACCTCGATTAGGTGCTATCGACGAAGATTCTACTCTAAGGAGCGAAGGAAAGAAGATGACAACTTAGGTTTGAGGGAGCGCGACTAAGTCATCCACGCTTGGCGGGGCTCCTACAAGGGTTATGATTGGCTTCCCATCTGACACTGCCATGGCAGGTGTTCCAGCTGTACGTCACCTGGCCTACGAAGGCCATATCGACATTATACTGATACAGGAGCCTTTCGTCCGATCACAGGAAAGAAGACTCACCCGAACTCACCCAGCCTACGAGACCTTTGCACCAATAGATGACTGGATTGAAAGCAGACCGAGGGTGATAACCTACATACGCAAAGGGACTGGACTTAGAGGGGAGAAATGCCGACCACTATCTGCCCCATCTACAGACCTACTATTCCTTCAGGTCCAATGTGACCGCCACTACCTACTAACAATCATTAACATATACAACGCACCCCAAGCAGCTTCCCAAGGCGGCAAGGCCATTCAAGATATCCTAGGCCAGTACCACCTTGCCCCGCCAAACCGATATATACTAGCAGGGGACTTCAACCTACATCATCCGAACTGGCAACCAACGACGACGTACACCTCCCCAAAAGCCCAGGACTTGGTCGACTGGGCAGAATCTTTCGATCTTGTACTTACATCGCCAATCGGTGAACCGACACATAGGGCAGGTAACGTCCTAGACCTTTCCTGGGCTTCAGCCTCGTTGCCAGGAGTCTCTACAAGCATCGAAACCTCCCTTAACACAACCTCGGACCACGAAACCTTGCTTACCTGGGTTCCACTCCCAGCGCTGGACAAGTCCAAGCCGACCTTAGGCAAATTTCGGCTGGATACGATGGACGAAGAGCTTTTTCTCAGCACCCTACAACGGAACATACAACCAATAAGAGGGACAGCGAGAACGGCAGACGACGCCCAGTCACTGGACCGCGTAGCGCAACAACTGACAAACGCCCTCATCGAAAGCCTTACAGCCTCCACAAAATGATTCAAAGGACTCCGACAAGGACGTGCATACTGGAACGAAGAATGCAAGCGAAAACATCAAGAATTTACTAACAAAAAGAGGGACACAAGAAGGCTTCAAGCTCTAGGGATAACCCGCTCAGAACACCTGGAGGAAATTGAAGCGCTACGGTAGGACTTCGTCCGGAAACTTCACAAGGCGAAGGACAAATATTGGAAACATAGAATCGCTGCAGCCTCGACCAGTAAAGAAATTTTTGAAATGGCGGGCTGGCATAAAAGTACGGGAAATTTTTATACCCCGCCATTACGCGACCCCGAAAACTCGGACCGATTCATCTCCAAGCCAGACGAAAAGCGAGAATTATTCGCCCGCGTACTCCTCCGAAACACGGACAAGGCCGGCGATATACCCAGCGAGCTGCGAGCACCGGGACCCGATCCGAAGCTCCCTTTCCCCCGTGTCACCGCAAAGGAAGTCCAAAGGGCTATCCTCCAGGCCGGCAACACCAGCCCCGGAACCGATGGCATTACAACTGCAGCCCTAACAACTGCTTGGCCAGTTATCAAAGAAGTAGTCGTTGCGCTCTTCCGAGCCTGCGTCGAAGTTGGATGGCATCCTACATGTTTCAAAGAGGCAACGCTCGTTATTCTGGCCAAGCCAGGCAAAAAGGATAAAACGGCAGTACGCTCATATCGACCTATTGTCCTCCTATCCGTACTTGGGAAAGGCCTTGAAAGACTTATTGCAAAACGCCTCTCCTGGGTCGCAGTAAAGCACCGAGTCCTGCATAGCCAACAATTCGGAGCGCTCCCACAACGATCGTGTAGCGATCTGATTTCAGCTGTAATCCATGATATAGAAACCGCTTGGCAACAAGGAAAATTTACCTCTATGCTGACGATGGACATCAGAGGTGCATTCGACTCCGTCCTACCAGGCAGACTGGCACAGCGCCTCCACCGACAAGGCTGGCCGGAAAACCTGGTACGCTGGGTTTATAGCTTTGCCACGCAGCGAAAGGGGAGAATACGGCTAGACGGGGAAACCGGAGACACCTTTGACCTCGAATGTGGACTTCCGCAAGGATCGCCCGTCTCGCCGATCCTCCTCCTATATATCGAGCCCCTATTTAAGCTGGGCACCTGCCGACCTGGACGCAAGCGCTCGCGATTCGGCTACGTGGACGACATAGCTATACTGTCAAGCTCTAGTTCCCTAGAAGAAAATTGCACTATACTGGCCGAAGAGTGGAAAGCAGCACTCGACTGGAGCATGTCTGAGGGTATCACGTTCGACCCCGACAAGACTGAGCTAATACACTTCACAAGAAGAGGGAGAGATGCAAACCCACCTATTACCACCACGCAACAGAATGGAACGATCCACACTGTTCAACCCATCAAAATCGGTGCTGCACTCAGGTGGTTAGGCGTCTACTTCGATAGAAAGCTTAGCTTTAAGGCCCATGTCAAATTCGTCTCAGCTAAAGCTCTACAGGTTGCTAACGGACTCCGGTCGTTAGGAAACACAATCAGAGGGGCCCCAACACGACTACTCCGTCAAGCTGTAATCGCGTGCGTGCTCCCCGTGCAATTCTACGCCTCGGAAGCATGGTGGCCGTCTGCCAGACAGAACAAGAATGGACGCATTATCTCAAACCGGGTCTAATCCCTAGCTGACCAAATGGATCGAACGCAGAATACCGCAATGAGAGCCATGCTTCCTGTATATAGGACCACGCCAATACCGATCCTGCAACGGGAAGCGGCACTACCGCCAGCAGAAATCGCACTCGACGCAAAACTCTATGCGGCTTCTGTTAGATTACACAAACTGGATAGCCGCCATCCCTTACGCAGGAGGCTCAGACATCCTACGGGCCCCGATTCGAGGTTAAGGCGTATGGCGAGCCTAACCCCAGATACTGCAGAATATATAGATCCTCTGCAAATACCGCCCTGGGAGCAGGCTGGCGAATGGTCCATCACCCTCGCCAAGATCGGTTATATCCCAGGACAGTCAAAGGAGGAGGCTGCCCGCTCGTTTCTACAAAGGATAAACGAGTTTTCAAAGCGCGATATAATAATCTATACAGACGGCTCGCTGGCTACCCATAGCGACAGGGCTTTAGCTGGAGCAGGCTGGGCTGGTTATCAGGCCGGTAAAAGACTACTCTGCGGGTCCGGACTACTGGGCTCTCAGATAGAGGTATACGATGCGGAAGCCCACGCAGCACTACGGGGGCTTCAGGAGGCTGTAAAGCTTCCGTCCAACAGCATGGCGGATAACGTCCACATCTGCCTCGATAATCTCGCGGTTGCGGGTAGGCTCATCTGTCCAAGTCCCGGAAGCAGTCAAGCAAAGTTCACCGCCTTCCAAGAGCTGTCCAAAACCTGGACACAGAGAGAGCGAAAACCCTGGACATCCCCGGGACAAGTGTATATCTGGTGGTGCCCAGGACACGTAGGCATCCCCGGAAACGAAGAAGCAGATGTCCAGGCCAAAGCGGCCTGTGAGCAACCACCCAAGACACAACACCCGGCCTCATTCGCACATATAAAGAGAATCGCGAGATCCTACACTTGGAAGAGTTTCAACGATCGATGGGCCACTACCTGCCCTCAACAGTATCGAGATCTAGGGATCGCTATCCACCCGCGACCCCCCGAACTTGGCCTGCCCCGGCAACACCTAGGCAGATTACTCGCAGCGAGGTCGCACCACGGGGATTTCGTGATCTACCACGAGAGACTCCAGCATCGCGACGCACTGCTCAACTGCGGGTGTGGAAAGACAAAGACACCAGTCCACTTCTACTTTTGCAAGCGCGGCCGCAAGGCCACGCCCGGTCATCTAAAAGCGCATATGGCCAAGAATAGTATAGATTCCCTCCTAGGCACGGCCAAGGGAGCTCGTTTGTTTTGCCAATGGGCGGAGGAGACCAATTTCTTTACTGAGATCTGCCCATCACACTGAACAGGAATGTTAGATGAAGACAGTCCCCTGTAACATAGATTCGACTAGCATTGACCATGTCGGCACTGCGCCCGGCACGTCTCACGTGATGAGACGTTAAATTTCAATCAATCAATCAATCGATATGTTGGCAGAGAACATATCCAAGTGGGGATCAGTGAAGGAGAGACGGATATATAAGGGACAGGACTCCCAGGCATTTCATAGATAGACAGTCTCTACTTCAGTGATCAATCTAAGCATCAATCTAACCCATTGGTGAGGCAAACTGCCTTGACGACTCTATTCCCAGTTACCCTACTTGAATACTTCAGTTACCCCAAAGCACTATACTCCATACGTCAGACCCCGATATTATTGCTAAAGGACTCCGCAGCAGGACTTACTTACTAGCACAAACCCTTACAGACTCTTTAGTGGTTTACGCAGCTAGACTATTAGAGGTTTCGTTACAGGATCAAGCTAGTACTAGCATTCCGGCTACATAGGAAGGTGAAGAAGGGATATGCAGGCCAGGGGTACAAGCCTCACAAGGGCACTAAAGTATCTCAGGTGTACCTCCGCGACTCCTTCGGTCAAGAGCCCTATAGAAGATTCCCCACGGATGGATCTGCTACAGATCTCTGAATAAGCTCCACTTCTCGAACATTTTCGAGGGACCAAGAATAGAGGATAAAATCATCAAAGGAAGGGGAATTATGTTTCATTTCAGATTCTACGTCTTCTCTTCATCAGATTGATTGTACTCGTAGAGTGGACTAGGCCAACCGCATCGACATTGCCCTTGATCCTCACAATCGAAGCCGAGTTTATAGCGACTCCCTCTAACTAGTGTGACGCTTGATATATGGACTATAGACAGGGATAACCTTAGAGGAACTATCCTACCGTTATGCATGTATTCTCCGTATACTAGAGAAACGGACACCTATACTTGTAACTTTTCCTCTCTCTGCTGTAGTTTAGAACTCTGTAACAGAGACAATGTGAGATCGCACTGGTACTGGCATTCCGGCTACATGCGAAGTTGAAGAATGGAAATACAGGAGGGGACATTCCCAGCCGCACAGTCAGGTGTCTCAAGTGACTCTTACCATGACCTCAGGCCACCAGTACCACAGATAGACCAATATTGTAAAACAGACTACGAGCAGCAGAAGCCGAGGCCAGGCGCAACCATCAATTCCTAATGCGCGCAATAGAAGTATACAAGAAAGAAAACTTGCCCCCCTCCAAATCCCTGGGGTCTGCGACCTCTCTTGGAGGAATCTAAGGTTTGACTGAAACGGCGCCGAGCCATCGCCTTCACGCAGGTCCTTTTAGCTTATGCGCCCTAGCTTGTGCCTCCAGGTTGTGCTCCAATTCACTGTAACAAATATCGTAACTTTAATTCGTACTTGTAGTACCTCCACTTCGTTATATGATACTAAACTTACTTACTATAGTTTGGAGAGACTTAGATGATCTCGGAACTATAACGGAAGAACTGTGGGATTGAGCGCTACAGTTATGCCTTAGGCCGGCAAGTGTAGCTAGTGGGGTCAGACCCCTAACACCCTTCACAGACATAGCTTTCCACATAGCACTTCTGGCAACCAACGCAGCACAAGGCGTAGAGCAGACCCAGCAACCAGCACAGCATCTACGCAGAGTCATCAATAGAGGGCCAAATCCCCCAAGAACTACCTAAGTAGCTGGTTAGATCTATATAACTCCGACTAGGGTAAGAGTAGCTCAAATTCGTAATATCGAACTGAACCCGACTCGAGAGGCCCTTCTAATACGTATTGTTACTAAAAAGAGGAGTCTAGCCCTTAGCGCATGTTAGGTAAGCTGCAATTGACTTGCACCACACCGATGTGATTTTGCAAATATTTTAGTTACCAACGGTATTTCTATGGTTGTTATAGTACGGCATTCCAACCGGTATCCGCGCCACAATCCGAGCCCATTCTGGACTGAAACGTGGGGAATGAACCTTGTACGGATTATGTACAATCACTCAAAGCCATCAGCTAGCTTTGTAGATCAAGCCTCTCGCGTGTACTACAGCAAGTCATCAGAGTCTCACAATCAACTCAGCAATCAACAAAATATAGTTCAGTCATGGTCGGGGGCTATGCAGTCCATCCCCCCAAATGTAAGAGTATACTTTTTTTCATTTCAGGAATATATAGACCCAAGCTCTTGCGGATATCATTGAAATCATTCCAGCCCTTCCGAGGCTTCGTGACGCCTACGTTTTGACAAACTCACTCAAACACCACTCAAGCGCCGCCCTCTCGCTTGGCATACTCCTCCTCAATGGCCTCGGTATATTTATCCTCGGGCGATCGTGGATCTTCGTGCAGGACGCCTTCCTTCAGGAGCTGCTCGGGGGCGGGGCGGTGCTGGATCTTGTCATTCAGTGTGTCGGCGCGCATGTGTTTCTCGAGCTGTTGTGATCCATGTTAGATTATATTTTAGTAGTGTCACACTGAGTAAGATGTGGCGACTTGCCTCTTTCCGCTTCTCTTGCAAACCTGGTGCAGCGGTTGAATCGGGGAGAATGTTCTCTAGAAGGCAATAACGTCAGTACTGATAGACACCACCACTGACAGCTACGGGCGAGGGGTTCACGTACTTTCGACGAGCTCAGCTCGCTCAGGACGATGCTGCAAGTGCTCCTCAAGCGAATTCTTGCGCCTGTTGTCCGGGCGAATCGGGGAGATGGGAGTCTCGTCGACCTGGGGCTTGTTTTCGTCGCTAGCCATGACGTGTTGTAGTGTTTACTCCGCGCTTCTGATTGCTTTGACGTGCTAGGAGTTTCTCCGTTGGAATTGCTTCAGCAGTTGATGTGAGGGAATGAGATATGTAAGCTGAAGCTGGAGTAGGGCGGGACGCAAGCTGTTAAGTATGCACGAGAGCGGGGAAGTGTATTAGATGGGACGATTGGGTGGCAGATGGATAAACAGGCACGTAACTAGCTGAGGCGTTGGTGGGCTGCCAAACAGAGAGCTTGGCCCGTTGACGTGGTTTGCCCCACACTAGCTACAAGCGCCTGGCATCCTTGTCCGGTGATGCAATAGCCAGCTGGAGTGAGACAGGCTTGGGGCCTCGCTTCAGCCACAAAGACGTGACAACGTGACATCGTCAGACCACTCAAAAGGGTATCTGGCGATCCTGGTGTCTGAGATCAGCATTCGACAGTGACCAACCTTTCGAAATTTCTGCATCTTGAGCTTAAAACTGCTCCCATCTCAGAAGTTCCACAGCACAGCTCTATTCAGTTGAGGCCAGCTCTGCAATGACACGCTTCAAGCGCTAGACAATCGCGTTGCGGTACGTCCGGGCCCAGGCTATCATAGCTGACTGAGTACAATTGACACAATGTTGGCCCTCCAACCGTGGCCGAGCCGACCTCACTGCGCGGGCCGCGGTGGAAATTCGAAGGTTTTTCACAGCTCTAGACCGTGGGTAGCGTCAATATCAGGAGAATTCTTAGGATGCAAAGAGGACGAGAACAAAGCATCTGCTTTGGTGTTCCTTAGAGCCACGCTATGGGAACGTTCTACTCGGCCTCGACGCTTTTCTGAGTCGTAAACTACAAAGAGAAAGGCGTCGTGGTTTGGCTTCTGGAGATGGAATTTTCCTTATTGCGACAAATACACAGACAAGTGTCAGCGGGTTTTCACAGTTGCGCTGGAATAGACATCTGAGGGCTCGTTATAAGTAGCTGACTTTTATATCCTCGGGTTAGCTAGTTTCTCTAGTGGTAGCTATCTCCTTCCCAAAGCTAGGTAGGAAAATAGAGAAGCCTTCCTTTTCGCTTCATACATCATGCGCACTTCATCTAGGGCACATTGCTTAGCTTTAAGGTATATAAATGAAGAACTTAATACTGAGGGATTCAATCCACTATTGATGACTCTGTGGCGATCCTGTCTGGATTGTTGTATCGCTCTACTGTGCTGTATGTTGTATCTGTAGCTGTTTTATCTACGAGGGAGGGTTTGACCCCACCAGTGCAATTGCCGCTACACCGCCGCCTTCGGCCTGAGGCATAACCGTGGCGCTCAATCCCACAAATACTTTACAAAGGCTGGGTAAGTGTTGGATTACAGGTCAACTGACCAATAGGATAGAGATTCAAGTGATTGATTGATGTGTCTTGTTGTCTTCTGTCGCAGTCGACTGACTGCTGGTGTGACGTTATGTATGGAGGGGTAATCGTTCCCATGATACGGCTATATGTGTGGCTTCTAGAGTGGCTGTAATCCAACAATAGGGCGCGGGTTCGACTGCTTCTTTTAGTCTATGTGGGACCATTGGTTACGGGCGGCCATTCCTAACAGTGTCGTTTATATGGTTTGCCATAGCCTAGAAAAATATAACTTATCTAAATTATAACGTATATTATATAACCAAGCAATAATAGTCTGAATAATCAATTCATAAGTAGTTGGATGCGTGGCCCTATCGCTACAGATAAGATGAGATAAGATAGTACTAGCGCTCCCAGCAAGGCTTTAGTAGCCCAAAAGGGCCAGCTAGCTGAGCTAACCAAGCTTTCCCAATACAACTATTCACACCCATATGCTCACCCATCAGAATCTCATGCTGTAATGTATGTGGTTAATCATTTAACTAGAATTGAAGATATGGATATTGAAGACAGGCAGCGAAAGTAGGGACCTTCACGATACACAACCAGTTATCTTCAACCCCGATGACGAAGTTGAAATGAATACAAACTCGTGAGAGCTCCAGGCGGCGATGAACAGCTAAGCGAGGGCGAACTCGCGGAGACCCACCTGACCAGCGTGGGGGTTCACCATATATCGGACGAACCCAAACATCCTCTTGGTGGAAATATCGAAATTATCCGACAAACCTTGAATACAGATACATGGTAATACGACGCAGTTGGATTGAATTGAGATATTGCACGTGTAGATTGGGGCGGTTGACTTCGAGAGTAGTGGCGGTGGTGATGGACGTCAGGATCAAACGTTACAAAGGATGAAGGATTGAAATGCCAACCCCACGCGATCGGATCTCAATACACGGAATCTAGTTCGCTTATCTGTCTTATGGCCGATTGTCGATAGCCATAGGCTGACGAGGTCGAGGTCGAGTTCCTGAGGCCTTTAAGCGGGTGAGACAGAGACGTGAAACAAGGTTTTGGGACGGATTGCCCAATGAAAGGCCCATGATCTATCTGACCTCTAAGAGGCGGCGTCATTGGGCAAAGGGCCGCGAGGTATGCTTCCGCATTTATTGATTGGTATATTCTTGTGAATTGATACTACATGATACTACATGAACAAAATGTGGGAATCTCTAATAGTTGTGATAGGATGACGTTCCATATAAATTATGCCTTGACGTATCAGTTTGTCTTGAAGCCTCTCTGTTTTACGTCCGCTCCCCGCTGCTTTCTAGTATGATTTTGTATATGTCGTGACATGGCTGTGCCCATAGAATTTCAACTCCGAGAACCGATGACGGATGCAATGGTAAGGTGGTGTAGTGACGTGTGGAAGTACACGACTAATATGATGACTTGTTGGGACTTTTATTCGTGCCCTTGGGTACTTGGTATGTTGGATGAGGGTCTTGAGAATCATAACCACGGGATTTTTGGTTATGCACCTCGACTGACCCTCGTATGATAGACTCATATTTGTAGCCTTCGGACTTCGAGTTGCGGTACTCAGAGACGGTGCCTTTGTACCCAGAGGTCGAGCTCTGAGAAACGTAGTTTGAACTGTTCATGGTGGAACAATCGGCGTGAGAGGGTTTGGAGTAAGGCGAGGCGGTAGAGGAGTCGTAGTTATGATCGTTGGCAACAATGGCGGCCTTCGATGACTTGGATCAGCGTGGCGGATGTTTGTGGGTAACTGGTCTTTGGATATGAAGCTGGGACTTTTCCAAGGATCTTGTAGGTTGGAGGTTGAAAGATTGGAACTGGGGTTTGAATTAAGAATGGAAGACAACAACGATATGAACTGGGGATGCTAAGGAATTATATGCCCCTGTGTAAGAGTGAAGCGTATCTGCTTGGCAAAAACTTCAGGGCAAACACAGCTTGTGAGACAAGGGCGAAGCCACTCAGCCAGGCAGTCCTGGGGCCACGGTGAGTAAGCCTGGGCAGAATACTACCCAGACGTACCTTGCAAGTTTTCAACATTCACTGAACCAGTGACTCATGTGCCTTTACAGTGAGGCAGTAGCAGAGCGATAACGAGGCAGCCATTTGCCATATGATGGCGAGGAGGTTCACACAGTGGGGCATCTAGGACCTGAGCCCTTGGGGGCCAATAGAAATCAGGCAGTGCTGACAGAGAAATGTAGAAACTTGTACCATAGCGACGGCGGTGTTTGGTGAGGAAAAGACTCTTTGAGTTCTCTGGGGCGCAGTAATGAGAGAAAAGCAAAGGGTATGGGAATGCGTCTGAGCATCACTGCGCATGTGAAGTGTACCAGTTCTACGTGACAGCTCGCCCTGATGCGACAGACTGACCAGCAGGGTGAGTAGCAGGCGAGAAACCCCAATTGGACAGGACGGCGTGCACTCGGCTCGAGCGATTGGGCAGGCTTCTTGGCCCCCGACGTCCTCAATCGACTCATTCCTGGTACCTTCGAGCAGAGTCTCGAGATTGCACATTGGGCATACTCGGTCTTTTGCGTACAGCAATTTCGAAATTTGCTTGTTGCAATGCGCAAATGCAAGACGTGGAATCCCGTTGCTGCCCAACCGCTAACTTACAGCATGGTCAGACCTTTTGCACAACTGAGGGTATTCTCAAAGGCTTTTTTTTCCTTTTGCAGATCAGGGGGTCCAAGGGGGCGGAAAGGCTTGGCTTCCATATCTGGCTGACGTACGAAGACGTTGGTTTCGGTTGCAAAATACCAGCAGCTGCGACGTCTTTAGCAGAACGAGCGGACACAGCCACGGGTTGGTTCGGTGAATTTCGCGGCCCTGAGCTGTCCTGCCATTGTGAACAGAAAGCCTTGCCACTTCCCCCCAGAACGACAGCTTGTCGATGCCTGGTTACCTTCGCCTTGGCCCATGATGCTGATTCATGACGCTGGCGCAGCTAGCTAGCTTCGTTGTCGATGGCCTTAGTCTAGGCATATTTGCCAGGTCCATGACCTAGTTACGTAGGTTAGTTTCGCCGAGGCTTTGGGCCTTCGTTATATTCCAGGTGCACCGTCTTCTTCGTTGCGCAAGAAGAAGGAGTGTGGGTAGTGTGTCTTGTTCAGTGTGATGATGTGATGACGCCGGCTGCAGATTGACGTAAGACACGATCGAAGTGCCCTTGTATGCGGCCATCTGCAGGAACGGTTCCTTTCCTTCAACTCACTGGCTCGTGGTTTATGTCGACATCCACCTGTGTGGTCCTGCCGATCGTGGGTGCCAATCCGGGCCAATGTTGACATGCCGGATCCCATCCTGCAATGGCTGTCTTTCACAATCATCGAGTTAATGTGCTGACAATTACCCAAGTGTACTCAGTATCAATATTACTGCCACACCAGTCTTCACCAACAGAGGCTCCTGGCAGGGAGACGGTTTGCCAGGCGCGAGGCTGTCGACTTTGCCCGTGAAAGTACAATCGCTCACTGGAGAACCCCAAGTATGCCCCCCACGTGCCGCAAGGTGGCTATGAAAGGTGACAAATGCGTCTGGCTTCAGCATCATTCTCATGATCACGGAACCGCACTAGAGCTTGAATGAATACGAGGTAGGTCTAGGCATCATTTTAAGCCAGGCAGCCAGGCGCTGCGCTGATGGAGATTTGAAGTCGTAATCTTTGGGGCTGTTTGTCAGACGTCAAGAAATGCGGCCAGCTGAAGAGGGGAGCTTCGAGACCCCCGCAAGTCCGGGATGTAAGGATGTGACAACTCCCGAGGCCGATGGCCTCTATCTAAACCAAACCCCTTCAGCAACACCAACCACCCATCTGGATAGATCCCTGTTGTCAATCTGAAGCCAGTTGTTTCTAGGCGCGCTACCCAGCACAATTGCTTTCCACCTCCTCAACCTCGACAAGCCAAATCCTCTCCGTCCGATTTCTCAACCCTTGGAAGCTATCCTGCCCAATTCTGCCGAATCGTCAAAATGCAGCGCCCCATTCTCCTCCTGTCCCTTGTGGCTTCCGCCGCCGTTGGTGTCTTGGCAGCCGAACTCAAGATTGACGTCACGCAAGAGGTAGAATGCGAACGCAAGACACAGAAGGGCGACCAGGTTGAGATGCACTACCGCGGAACCCTCGAGTCCAATGGCAACAAGTTCGATGCCAGTCAGTCATAATTTCGGTCCTGCCTACTCAGAGACATGTAATTAACCTCGTTTCTACCCCGCAGGCTACGATCGAGGCAAGCCTTTTAGTTTCAAGCTCGGAAGCGGCCAGGTCATCAAGGGGTTTGTGCCTTCAATATGTTCGACGACAAGTAGGTTGTGTGGCTCTAACATGGCTACAGATGGGATCAAGGGCTTCTGGATATGTGTATTGGCGAGAAGAGGCAAGTTGACTCTCTTCCACGCCAGCTGGTGGTTAGGCACCGGCAGCTAACAACCGCCTTCCAGAACCCTCACCATCCCCCCTGAGCTCGGCTATGGCAATCGCGGCATGGGCCCCATCCCCGCAGGATCGACCTTAGTCTTCGAGACGGAACTCATCGGCATCAAGGGCGTCCCCAAGCCCGAGTCAATTGTGGTCAAGGAACCAAGCAGCGCCAGCTCGACGGTCAGCGAAGCGGCCGACACGGCAGCCGAGGGCATCGCCGAGAAGATTGCAAGCAAGGCCGGCGAGGCGGCTGAGGCGATTGGCACGATGCTCGTTGACACTGATGATACTCAGGAGCACAACGAGCTCTAAGTGCGCAGGACGGAAAATGACTGCATGCTACGATGTATATGAAGAACACGAGGGATTGACCTTGTCAATGGCGGCTACATGGCAATGCGGTGGCGGAAATAAGCGGAAACCCGGATGAACCTCTTCTGGGCTGCGTGGCCTGTCTCGCTTGCTTGCTGTGCGGTACCATTAGAGCCTCGCCGAATTCACCAATACAGCCGGGCAATGCCATGTGTTATCGTCCCGCACCGTGAGCCCTGATATGTCGTAGTAACACAGGCACTCTCAATCAAAGGTGCCCATTTCCCCTCGTAACGCCTTCAAAATCGTCTCTGATTACCAAAGACTCGGTGTATCCTGGAGCCCATATTATGTACGAAGAAGCCCGCCTACATCGTGATTTACCTCGAGAAAACACTCGGTCATATATCTTGTCCCACTCACATCCTCCCATCATCACTAAGCCTCCTCATCGACATGCTCGTCCTAATCCGATGATCATCCTCATCATCCCTAATCAAATCATCCCCAGGCAACCTCACCGCCCGATCCAGCGCGACGGGCAAACCTCGATGTCTCCCCCTCAACATAACCAAGCACAGTATTAACTTACTCCCCTTATACCACCCCCCACTGAAACTATACGAGTTCGTCGGCACGCCTACCGAGATCCCCACGCACCCGTACGCGGAAACGACCTCAAATACAATATTAAACACAGACCAATTAACCGGGTCCTCGAGAAAATGGTGCGTCTCGATAGTAACGATGATAAACACGGCCACAACAAGCCACCACAGATCGTGCGTCAGCTGGCCGCGGATCTGGTGACTAATAAAACCAATCCTGCTCTCCGCCTCGCCGTCTGTGGTGCTGTGGTGCCGGGCGGCGCCGACGCCGTGCCACTCGCTCAACGTGCGGCGAAGGGCGCGCTGGAAGACGTTGATGGGCGCTTTGGCGACGGCCGTGGTACTTGCGGAGCCCAAGACAGTGCTGAGGCCGGTGCTGCCTGCCCAGGACTGCGCGGCGATTTGCGGGTCTTCGTCGTAGATGCCCAGGGAGCGTTCTTCGTAGACGTTGGAGTGACGCATGGTGATTACTACGGGGTAGACGGATATGTACATCATGATTACGTAAAGAACTTGAAGGCCGATATAGAGGGTGGGGATGGACACCACGTAGAAGCCTCCCGAGCGCACAGCTGTTATATATGGTATTAGTGAGCAAACATGACGAAGGAGGGGTGGGGGGAGATGACTGACCGATAGCTTGGAACAGGCCGTCGATGATGCGGGAGCCGACGGGGATGTGTGCCAGACTTGGATTTCCCAGATTTAATATTTCAAAGCCGACCCAATCGATGCCATTCAGTAGCACAAGCATGAAAACCAACCACCAAGTAGTTCTTGAGGGGAACAGGTTAGTATACACCCTGCGCGGGTATTTCAGAATGTACGCAAGTGTATGCTTCGTGTCTTCACAAACATCCTCATACGTCAACAAATTCAGGGCCTTCAGAATAGCCCACAGCCAAAGCCTGAGAAAGACCGGTAACGCCGTATTTCCGGCCAAGATCATGGCGCCCATAGTAATGAGAACAAAGTATGAGCTACCGTAGGGTATCATGTTTGCATCAAGCACGTTCATGCCCGAGTTGTTGAAAGCCGAGACGCCATTGAATATGCCATTCCACCAGGGGCTCATACCATTTTCCCGAGCGGGCTCGGGTTGGTTATTGGCAATCCATGCCCCGAGGGCAACACATCCCAAAACTTGCCATAATATAGAGTATGCCGGGACAATGTAGAACAGGACCTTGAGGGCGCGGTATTCGGTGCCGCCGAGCAGTTCGCGCTCCTCACTGGTGAGGTCGTGAAACTGCGCATTCCGTCCGACCTTCTGGGACGTCAGGAAGTTGTGGTCATTCAGATGACGACGTAGTTTTCCTAGGTCCGGGTCGACATCATCAGCGCCGTCGACGGTTGGCACGTGTCGGCGTACAGCGCCGCTGCCTTGATTAAACCCCGTGGAGCTAGCCTTGAACCGTGGGGCTGCTTCAACGTCGGATGCGAAGGCGATATGATCATTGCCTCGTAGTCCTTGCGCCGAAGCATACCCAGAGGATGTGTCCAGATCACGATAAGCACCTGGGCCGTTCTCCGGGCCATCTCGGGCAGGGACCGGCACCGACATCTTGTGCACGGCCACCGGTCCTGATATGGGTAAGATGGTCTCAGACCCTGTTGCGTTGTCGATGCCCCTAAGACCCCGAGGCTCATCGTTCGACGCCATTTCATCCGTCAGTGGGAGAGTCTTGCTCGCGCCCATACTCCTGATCTTCTGCATCAGTGGCAGATCCACCGCCAGTGTCCTCCGTCTGTCCATTGGCGCCGGTGGTGTTTCCTTCACTTGCGACCTGCGCACGATATCCTGAAAACGTGACTCAAAGACGTGCTTGCGCGCTGCCACTGTCCAGATTGAGACCCAAACAGAACTGCCAATGATGATGAGAAACCACAGAATGAACTGTTGGAAGGTGGTCATCTGGCTCAAGTTGACCGTGTTCAACCCCGCTTCTGTCATAGCCGAGATGACGAGGAACAGGCTGTCGGTGTACGAGATGCTGTATTTCGGGTTCGAGGACCCCCAGAAGACGACCGAGGTAAGAAGAGTGACAGATATAAAATAAGCATAGTGTAGCGTAATGAAGTTGAGCGGCGGTATGTATGGGCGGACTGCACGAACCACCCTCTCCAAACGGGGATGGTCCTCAAGAAACTCAACTCTACGCCCCATTGTGAGGGGAAAAATGCCTATCAACAAGTTTCGAAATTTTTTTCCTGAACGATACTATGTTCAAGTTGAAGAAATTTACGCCATGCTGTTGAGGGCAAAATAGTAGACGAAAAAAAAACTTAGAGGCGAGACCCCTACGGCTGCTGAAATTACTGTCGACCGGCGGATGTTGCGTTGGCAAGGTGGGACCTCGCCGCGTAAAGTAGGAAATGACTCGCCACGATAGGATCTCGTTACCTCGAAAAAGTTTGTCTATCCAGGCATCACTTCCCATGAGGACCCTCGAGATACTAATTTCGCAGCTCTTTTGTCACAAGAATGAGCATGAAGCCAGGCGTTCGCCAAAACGGGTGTTCAGGTCGTTCAGCTAAAAGTCAAAGCGGACGTTCTTTTTTTTCGGAACCACATGCCTCCAAATTTGTGATGTCCGTGCAGGGTTAAGGCCCCAACCCACCGGAGGCGTAGAGGAATTCTTATACTAGTATGTCGACAGTGAAGCTACGACCGGACTTGATCATGAAGACCGCTCTGCCAATCCGACAGACTTGGTCATGTGTGGTTGTACAGAAAGTTTATTAGCGCTCGTAACGGCGCCGTACTTCCGGCGTCTTCAGCATCCAATCCAATGACTCCAATACAAAAAGTGTGCTACCTCACGGTACGTTTCACAATTGCTAGTAGCGCCCGACTTCCACAACGATTCATCGTGTAATTCATGTCTCATTATCAACATTCCCGTGGAATACAAGCCTGCACGGCGGTTTATGATCGCCGGCCCACAGTCAACCGAAGAATAATTTCCTTTGCCTCGGGCATACGTTCGACGAAGGACGACCACGCTTTTTCTCCCCGCGAGTCTTCTGTCTTTTCGTATTTGGCGTTGCAGCTTTTGGGGCTGGGCTATCTGTCGAGTCTCTCTCAATCGCGTCTCGAATCGTCTGCCTGGAGAGGCAAATATCAATATGTTGATTGAACTGCCGCTCGTCTGCGGCCTGTGGTCGGCTGCAAATCGGACAGTCCCACCACACTTCTTCTTCTGACGGAGGCAGGCCTTTCCTTGGATTCGATGTGATCTCTTTGCCGTGGTGTCTATAGCCGTCGACTTTTTCCCCGGGCTGGTTGATTTCGTTATCTTGGAGACGGGGTTCTAGCTCAGCATCGAGCCCATTAAGAATTTCCTCAGGCCACGTCTCCCAGTCGCCTTCAGCCCCCGCCGCTTTGCGTTTCGTAGCCGGTTCCAACGATCCGCCCATGTCCGTCTTCTTGGCTTTGAAGCCGAAGAAAGCACGAGTATCTGGCTTCTTCGTGCTAAGCAACTGGGTGCACCGAAGACCCATCAGTCGTAATCTCATGCAGGGAATCTCCTGCTCAAGCTTGGCAAGAATTGGCAGGGAGTAGTTGTATAAGTCATCGGCCAAGTACACCGCCTTGGGCGTCACAACTTGTCTCGTGAAGACTTCGTATGTGTGCAGCTTCACCTTTAGGACCAGTGTTCGTCCCTTGACCTCGGCACGTCGCATGTCTTTCTCCAGTTCATCAGCGGTCCATCGGAGCTTCTCCCGAAGTTGGACAGAGTCAGACATGTCTCGAAAAGTGCTCTCAGTACCTACGCTCTTGCGTTCATATTCTTCGGCAGGCTGGACCTCCGTCCGGCCGAGGCCCAGGTAACACAGCATTAGAAACTCGTAGGTCTTCTCTCCGAAGAGCTGACGCAGGAACTGGCGCTGGGGGTAGATATCCCCACATGTCTTGACGCCAATCTCGGCCAGCTCCCGTTCCAAAACTCTGCCGATTCCGTTGACTTTCCGTGTTGGTAGGTCTCGCATGAAACTCATGATCGCGTTACGGTCACTAGGCAGTATGTATTGACCGTTTGGTTTGTTCATGTTGGAACATATTTTGGCAAGCTTCGCGTTAGCGGCGATGCCGGCCGACACGGTAATCTTGGTTTTCTCATGGATCTCGGCGCGCATTTGCTCCACAGCATCCCCCGGTGTCATGGCGTGCTCGATGCAGTATTCCGTAATGTTCAAATATGCCTCGTCGATACTGGCGCTTTCAAAGCGCGGGTCGTAGTCTGCCAGCACTTCGCGCACTTCATGTGCTTTGGAAGTATATTTGTCGAAATTGAGCGGTATGAGCAGCAACTCCGGACATAACTTCTTCGCCACGAAACCAGCCATGCCGCTCCGGCAACCGTATTTCCTCGCCAGATAATTGCATGTCGTCAATACTCCGCCACCCACTGCAAATGGAACATCTTTTAACTCAGGCCGGTCAAGCTGTTCAACAGCAGCGTAGAAGGCGTCACAATCGACGTGTACGATGTGCTGTGTCAGGTCGCGTGAAGCTTCGAGCTGGGTGATGAGTTGATCGGCATGGCGTAATTCTCGGCTAAGGTCAAGCTTTTCGAGGCCGCGTTTCTGCTCGAGAACTCGCTCAATCTTCTTGGTCAACATTTGATCTTTCGCTTCCTCGCGGTTGAAGTACTTGGATCCTTTGGACACATTGTAGATGACCTCTGAGACCTAGAAGCAGGCCGCGTCAGAGCTTGTTTTGTCTGCGCATCCCGATCAAGACCTACCTTTGTCTGGTCGACTAAATCCTGTCCTGCTTTGGTAAGTGATGGGCCGAGAAGGTGGTACTTGAGCGTATCGTGTTCCGCGACTGGTGCTTCTGTGGCTTCTGTCGCTTCTGTGGTTGCCGTCATATCTGCTGAGAAATACAAATCTTGCATTTGGTATCAATGACTTCAGTATACATTTGATGGTTACATTCTGCCATAACTCTTGCAAGCTCTCCTTTGCTGCCAGCGTCATCGGGGTCGGTTCTTTGTTGCTTTGGCATCTCACTATCCCCGCATTAGTAACGGAAGCTGGGGAACGCGTCTGTCGCGCCAGGTCAGGTGATCAGTTAGTCCATTTATTCCATATATTCGACTTGTGCATCTGTGACTTAATCCCGTGCACCACCAAGATGTCGGATCTTGTTTGCATATTTCTTGCCATTTTCTGATGTATTTTCTGATGATATATTATCTGTCAATGAGCTTACGCCATCTAGTTTTTTTATGCTTCTCCATTTCGTCGAGGCAGGAGAAAATTAGACTTCTCTGTGGCAGAGTATCTTGACTACACTATTCTTCATCAAGTTATATTTTTTCTCTATGCCAGAAATGGCAGGTCATAAGCCGGGTTCGAAGGACGCACCTGGGTCTCGTTCAAGCTATCTTATGTACATGTAACATAGGACAAGCAAATGACAATAAGGATGTAGGTTTCTTCGTTAGCTTGAGTTTGATACACACGTACATGGTAGACTTGTCGTCTGCACCATAGACTCCAAATGACTTAACCAACAACATTTAACATCTGATCCGTGTAAGCCAGTCTTAAGAAGTGGTATCAGTTGGTCATTATTGTGCACATTCACTTGTGTTTTAGAATTTTGTTGATTCATATCGGGGTTTCGAAATATTCGAAACTCCTTTCCATTTACCTTGATAGTAGGTTCTTGAAGTGAACAGGTTATGAACGTTGTGAGGATAGACATCTATGTATTCTATTGTCTCGGCTGGAGCTGTGGCCCTAGGTGAACAATCTGTTATATCTCTAAATTATGGTTACATTGTGCGGGAAATACAGGCAAGAGAGCTGTATTAGTGATGGTGGTGGTGATGATGATGATGATGATGATAGGACTAACTCCCACAGGCTGCAGTGACGGAAGGGCTATCTATTGGCAGTTAGCTCAAGCGCTGCACCCAGGGCACAGGCGGTGTGCCTGGAGTACGCAACCCAATCTTTGCGTAGCATTTGATCTACTCTACTTGTCATAAAACCTTCACAAGATTCCGGTCAGGTATCTTTCCGAAATCTGCAGCACCCCTCTATCTTCAAGTCGGCATCTATTGTATGCTTCTGAATCTACTACGCACAGTGAAACCCATGTAACCTGAGTTAAATTTATTTCTGAAATTCAGAACTTTACTTTCTCACCAAAGTATTCTTCAAAGTCCCTGGTTGATATAAATTAATAGGAAGCTAGAATGGCTTGCAAAGAAAAGAAAAGTGCTCGCGCCAAGGAACATTGGGTTGCTTTTACACATGGAATAACAATCGTGAACCATTTAGCGAAATTTGCAGTATATGACTATAGACCCCAGAATCTATTAAACTAGTGTTGTTCGCCTTTTGACCGTTCCGGAGGTTAAGCTACGGTGGTTTCACAAGGGTTAAGGCCGTGGACTAGTATATGTCCAATCACAATTCTATCAACGATGGGAAATAGCGGAGAATACCTATACATCCCTAGCGTGGAGACGTCATGACGAGATCATGCACCAATGCCTATTTTTCGCCGCTGCAAGTCACAGAATGAAACTGAGTAGAAAAGCAAAGTCTTTAATCGAGCTGTATTGGGGACGTCTTTGGAGGAATCAAGGAAACTCGGCCACATGTTTGAGGAGTTTTGCACCCACATCCCAAAGTTGCCTCCCGGTACATGAACACATGACCGACTCTTTAGCAGTTGTTTTGAAGTCCTTGATGCCGGTAACCGAACCTAGTCGTCGAACCCATGCACTATCACCCGGCGCTACCACCAATAAGCATCAGATCGCCGCAGGGTATCGAACAACCATGCATATCGATGTGCCTAATAGCTGTGCACCTGGGCTACATATCTCGTCATTATGAAGCTGTGCCTTGGTCCCAAAAGTTGGGGTTTGCTTCCTTGTGACCGCAAAAACCAAGGCATAGAGGATATTGTTGGATGGCAATAAGTCTTGTCGCACGCCGAGTCTAGCAGAATCGTCATGTAATAACATTCGTGGGGATCACAAACATGCATCGTCATTCTGAGGATCAAACCTGCGCTACCAGATTTAACAGCTAAAAAATCCTCCACGGAGTGAACATTTTATACAAAAGGGAACTCTTCGAACAAGATATCTCGAGGTATCCATCCCATCCTCCCCATCTATTAGCTTTTTCGCGTCGAAGCCTCCGAGGTCCACTTGAACAATCCGGTACAAACTTGACCCAGTATCACCTCAGCACCAACTTTCAAGATGAGGGCCAGGCACAAAAACAATGAGCACGTAACTCACCAGTCCGCCATGCACCACAAACCGTCACTCCACCAACGCATCCGCCAGAACCACACTCTCCAAAAGGCCCTGCGAGCGTTGCAATTCCTCTCGTCCATCATTTCCCTTGGACTCTTCTCCGCGCGCCTCTACCGGATTCTCAAAACGGCCCAACGCGCTTCCCATGCCAGCGGCGCCGTCGAGGGTATCCTGGTCGCCGCCGTGGCCTACAGTTTGATCTCCATGATCATGAAATTTTGCCTCAAGTCCGGTGGCCCCAAAATCTTGCGCTGGGTGTGGATCGTTTTTGATTTTCTCTTCGTGGGTGCCTTCATCGCCGTTGCAGTCTTGACTAGCCCCGGGAAGAACACCAGCGGAACGTGCCACGCGGTCAACGGTCACAGGATTGAACCTAATGGGTCTAATTGCAATCTGCCGTGGGGAACTTTCGGTCTGGCTATTTTCAGCACGTAAGTCGAAATGCTCCACTCGCATACAATCTGACTCGTTTTCTAACAATTGATTTGCAGATTACTCCATGCCTTCACTGCCGCTTTCAACGAAGTAAGGGACACGTACAAGACACACAAGGTTGTTGACGATCCCGAGGCGTCTAAGACACATAACGGTATACACCATGGTGCTAGTGGCCACGGCGGAACTGCTGATTCCCTTAACTGAGATTGTCCAGTGGTTGGACAGTGCATGACTGGGGGTTGAAATAAGGGGGACGAAGGAAGATCGGCAGTTCTTCTACATGGAGTTGCGTCCGAAACACGTAGACTCCACACACGGGGAAACCTCTGGTAATGGACTTGATGATACCAAATCTACTTGAAATAAAGCGACCTCTTTTTATTTCATTTTTGGGGCGTGAAACTATCAGACTGCCAAATGCGTGCAGCACGGGTCTTGCATGGAGTTTTCCGAATCCGTCTTTTCTTGACGATGGCGTTTCGGAGGATGAAACGTGGAGGGAGATAATCTCCAGCAAGTTGTGTCAATATGGCATAGCTGAACGACTCCGCCTTGTGATTTAATGTCAAACTGTCTAAGAAGGACTTCTCTATACAAACTGCTTCCAGCTTGACGAACACTAGGCTTGCTCTGAGTACAAAAAGAATTGTGTAAAGGTCGGCGCTCAAGACTGAGCACGCCCAACTACACGAGGCCAAGGGGAAGATTAAATACCACTATTTATCAACACTTTGCGAAACTTCCACGCCCCTATAAGCATATATATATCTCAATCATCTCTCATAGTGTGTAAGGATTATTATCTAAACTGAATCCTTTTGGAGAAAAAAGCACTGATCCTTAGTGACTCACCTATAACCGACTCTAACTTCCCCAAAATTTGTATTATATGTGCTCTATATCAATCATTATATCAAATGAAATAATTGTGTTCAAGGGGAATACTGCTGAGCACAAATATGGGCTGGCTATTAACATAGGGATTATATCGGTATAGAGAGCAAGGTATATAGATGTACTAGACTTAATAATAGACATTGAAATCCTGGGTAACCCTGGTTAGTAGCGTACAGAGCCTTACACCCGAGCACTCTGAATTCAGTGTCACAGAGGTTTTCAAATGTACTTAAGATTAAGCACAACTGTCCAAGTTGATAACCCGTTTCTTACTAGTGTCGGTATGAGAACAAAATCTTTCGACCCAACTCTCATCGCAAAATCGCATTGGAAAGCTACTACTTAACACGAAGCAGTTCTTTTCCTTCATCTCCCTGCTCAAACATCTACTACAAGTACCAGCTGCAACAGATGCGATGTTGTTTGTTGGCTATGGATAAGCGGTAGGGATTCAAGTTTTTGAAGCTTAGGAACGGGGGAGAGAAGGTGGAAGAGGAAGTGGTGGCTTGCGCTTTTTGGATAGTGGTCGCTGTGCATTGTGCTCTTAGACTTGCCGTTGTGGCCATTATCGGGTGTATTTGGCTCCTGTTTAAGAGTTAGTACGAAGAGCTTTCCGCTGGAGAGGAGGGAGGGTAGTGATTATAAAGAATACCAGATTCAAGGTCCTATGGGAGAGATCCGTGCGTAGGAACGACGAACGGTTCACATAGCACTACGACAAGACGGCCGGAAAACAGACTGCAACTGGGACTCCGCTTCCAAACTACATCTGTATAAATGGTAGCCACTGTGGAGGAGGTGACTGTGATTTTGATTGTGGCGGCAACGGCAGCTTTTAGCTCTGTTCCGGATGTCTGGTTGCTCTACTATTGGTGGTTATCCTTATTAGTGTGTGCCTCCTACTCTACTGTATCTGAACCGAGATCGAGGTGTGCATACGCGAGCTACTTTAAAAGAAGAATGACAGGGTATTTTTTGAATATGCAGCCGTATAGGGATGATGAAGAGAAGAAGGTCGTGACTATAATGGAGCAAGCGCTAGTAATTACTATTCCCATCCACTGAAGATCAAGAATAATAAAGTGGTAAAAGAAGAGTGGCTATATGGTATAATGCATACCGATTCCATAGCTCATAGCACGTCTAGTCATCATAGCCTTCTTTCAAGACCGTACCGTTACGAAGGTGCCCAAGCTAGGTGATTAACCATTTCTTTCCATTTTCTCTTTACATCTTGCACACATACCTACGAACTCCCCGTCAACTGATTTGAAGAAATTCGGATCTATCCCCGGTATATCCAAGTTGAGCAGCTCCAAATATCAGTGCCTATATCGATCCCGCCGTCATCCATGTCTTGGAAATTAGCATCAATGTGAAAGAAAAGTGGATCGACAAACGGCATCGGCTCAATTTCTGAGTCTTCGAACGTTGGCATCTGAGTCGGAGAAAGAAGAAAATGTTAGATATCAATTCGCACCGAAGGTAACATTCACAAACATGAAGATGCTCCCCGGGAACACGCTACACTCCTCGGCCCATAACTTCTGATCAACACCAGTAAATAGTGCCTTCCAATTACCAACAGATCTCACCCTCCCATTAATAGCAGCGAGCATCTGAAGACCAAAAGTGCTAGAAAGCCACAAGGGTGAGTGTCTGCTATTGGACTGGAAGGCAAATGGTCTTGTGTTGAAAAAGTCGTGATCTCTGGAGAGTCCTCCAAGAATTGACCAGCGGCCATAAGGGCCTTATATAGAGAGAGAAATGAACGATGCCTGTCCCACAGTCAGAACTTTTATGGTACGATGGGTGGTGTCCATATGTCCTTCCAAGACTAGTAATTTAGTGTAATAGCCTTGAAGGTCCAACGCCTGCATAAACTGCCTAGTCCTGATTTTTAGATACATGTAGAATGTTTCAAATGATAAATGGCATTGCCCGTTGGGCTGAAGTCAATCGGACTCAATGGTATCCAGAAGTCCTAGGAGACGTATTTTCTGGGGACTGTTACGGGGTGCTCATTGGCTAACTTGTGTTCCCGAGTTGGAAGCATGGTTGGAGGAAATATTATGTGCTCATACAGGTTTGACTGCCGACAGCAAATGGCTGGTTAGACGGCAAAATTTGGGCGAGAGATATAGGCAACTTAATAGGTGATGCAACAAAGCACGGTGACACACGAGACACTCCTCAGGCTGTGTAAGAACCAAACAAATAATTCTTTATGTGTCACCAAACCTGTGTCTAATGAGCAAGCACAAATGGACGCAGCAACCAGTACTGTTTCAAGAACTATTATAGACTATATCAAATCGAGCTTTATTAGTCCATCGTCTATCACATGGGCCATTACATCAAAGTCCAAAAACGTTTCGTTTATTCAGCCACTTCTTCATCTTGGTGAGCGCAATTTCTGCAGGAGACTTCCCACCTTGTTCGCCTTGAGTGGTGAACTCCTGTTGCAACTGCAACACCTTCCCTTTCGGCTTCCCAGCATGTTCGTAGACTGCCATGACTTCTGAATATCCCACCGCCAGAAGACTAGGCCAAAAACTTGACTCGCCATGAACCAAAACCGGCTTCGTCCATTCAATCCTGCCGTCTCTCAGTCCCGCCGAGACGACAGCTTTAATCGAAGCATGCTTCGGCCACTTCTTTTCCTTGGCATCCTCATCCGTCATAAAGATGACAGCGAGGCCATTATTGAGAAGCCTTTCTATTTGCGGCGCCCCGGCGTTCCGCTCAGGCCGGGTACAGTAGACAACACCCCGCGAAGGCCAGCTTCTGCCGTCATCATACGACACCGAATACTCGACACAGAAGGTACGATGGCGCGTAGTCTCGAAAACCATAACGAGGGCTTCCTGGCCCGTCTTGACATCCTGGACAGGCACGATGCCTTGCATGCCGTCGCGTAGATGTTCCGTAGGTCCATGACAGCGCAGGCACTGTGGTTCTGTCCAGGTAACCCCGCCATCATAAGATACCACGCGAAAGGTCTCCTGATTGTTCTTCGCGAGCTCAGCCGAGTAGGTAAGTTGGATTTCACCGTTCTTGCCGATGCGCATAAAGGGCTCCCATAATCCCAAGCCGCCAGTCTTGGCGGCCGGGTACTGGACTGCCTGCGATAGGAACCTCCAGGTGCGGCCGCCGTCAAGGCTCCGGCACACAGTGATGCGGAAATGGGTGGGCTTGCGAGCAGCGTCGCGGTCGTGGTTGCGGAATGCGGCCAAGATTGTACGGCTCGTCCCACTTGACGGCAGTGCTGATGCAGGTGGTGGTACCTGCAGCAAAAATGCATTATCGGTATCGCCGCCTGGGCGACTACGGGCGATCTCGCCAAGAGGCGTGAAGGTGCGGCCGTTGTCAATACTCCGAGAAGTACGGATGACACGGACGGCTCCCTCGTGACGGGTAACCGACGCCACTATTGAACCATCTGTGAGTCGGCAGAGTCGTGGATAAGTGCCGGCGACATGGATATGGCACTCCTCCTGGCTGATGAGAAGAGACGGCATGGCCATGTCTGGGGCGATAGTGGGGTCGGAGGGCGAACTTGAGTATGGGTCTTGTCGCGCATCTTTGAGACTGCAGGTAACGGTCCAGATGACCCAAAATGCAGCAGCGAACTGTAAACTGATCTTAATCAAATCAGGGAGGGTTGAAGGCCATTTCAGGTTAAGGCATCTCGCCATAACGAGGTCAAACTCGAAGGTCCACACGCCTGTTGACCACTAAGATATCTAGAAACTGGTGACATGAGTCGAGTTAAGGTTGATGATCTCGGGAAACCCATGGCCGCTTTACCTCTGCAAGCTTAGCGCTCTTGCGATCACCAAGGCCTGTATCCCTTGTGCGCTTACGTAATTAATCAGTGCGCCACTATTGGTAAACACAGCCATGGACGCCACAGCTCTGTGTAAAGTCCAAGGTCCATAGGCCAAGCTGTGTATGATGTATTTTGAGATTATTCTGCTCGCATGAGCAAGAACGGGCAGTTCACATCACAAAAGATCTAATTTCTTCACGTGATTATCGTGTTGATGCGGCAGACCGCAAATTGCCCGTCACCTTACATCCAGTTACGTAGATGTCACTCATCTGGTGCATTCTGCCGTTTCATGAAAGAAGAAACCAATGCCCGGATTGGGAGAACTCATCGATGGTACAGCCAATGTGCGGTTGTTACTGGGGAGAAACTTTTCAATACGCGGGTACTATTCCCGTGAACTAATGAAAATGTTGGCTCTGTGTCTACTCGGCGATACATAGTTGTCACATTGTAAATACATTCCAAATCGAGCTCTCATTGCTGCACATATATCAGTTGTAAGCTGTGTAACGGCACCGTAACCTCGAAACCAGGGACAAGCCGAAGTAAGCGTAAGTCTTTATAGTCGAGCATTCCCAATAACTGACCGAAATCTTCCCGGCAAGGAGTTTGACTGCCGTTCGAGAATGCCCAACCACCCGTCGGAATCTATCCGACTAATAGCCTGACTGTTATTATAGAATCTCCCGGGCAAGGAATCTCACTCATCATTTTGGCCAGAGCAATGCCAGCGTGCATCTCTGTACAAGGCTTTCAAGCTGAAGATGTATACCAATGATCGCATTCATGGACAAAAGCGCTATAGCTATCGATAAAATTGAAAATTACAGCCTGGACGATTCTCATGTCCAACTCGCAGTCTAGAAATGATTAGAAGAAGCAGTCCTGCGAGGCCGTTTCGCAGCTTTCTGTCGTCCAACTTCCATAGAGTGGATATACTGGTGTGCCAAGTATCCCAGGTACCATAATGTTTCTCCGCAATTGATACGAGTGTTTCCCGGACTGCTTTGAAGTGCCGATTGATTTACGAACATCGTAGTGTTACATCGTCTGTTAGGATTCAAGCCTCAATACTGGCCCCGCAACATGATAGTACGTTCCAGGACGAGAAAATCTTCAATGGTTGACATCATTCTGACTGTAACTTGTTTCTCCCAATGCACAAGCAGGGAACGAATCCCAAAAACTTGATGGGATTTCACATAAGCAAGTATTTTTTGGACAGTAGCCCCTCGTGCTGCCAATGGCGACATGCGGGAGAGAAAATCTAGCGTAACAGGGATTATAGATCTTGAAGCGATTAATACAATGGGGCAGCTCGGTTGCGACTCAGGGTGCCCCCAGCCTCCTGAGCCCTGAAGATGGATCAACTGTGGAGATGCACAAAGTGTCGTCATAGTATTGTACTCGAGGTTGTTTGAGTATAGAAGTGATTTAACCTGGCACTACGCCTCATTCGAAGTCAAATTCCAGATGCAAGGTGTTGGGTTGCTCCCCTATTCTTGAATCGACTTGAGTTCTCGTCCGTTGTTTTGTGTCTTTGAAACTTGCGTAGGCCAATCTCAGACTTGGAAGTTCTCGCCAGGGACCCTTGTCAAACGACTTACATCGACTATAACGACCGCAAACTCAATCCACCCAAAATTGCCATCATGGCACCCCTTCTAAACCTACCCGCCATCCCCACCAGAACCTTGCCCACAGCAGTATCCAAAATCGTATTCCGCCAAGCCACCACAACGGTCGTCGCAAGCGACGAAAGCTCCTCTTCCTCCAACCTCAGCGGCGGCGCCATCGCGGGCATCGTAATCGGCTCCATCATCGGGTTCCTGCTGATCCTGTGGATAATCCGCTCGTGCACCAACCTTCGCGATCCGGAACAATGGGGCAACACCTTCGGCAAGGAGAACACGGTGATCGACTACTACGAGCCGCCGCGTCGACACCACTCTCGGTCGCCGCGTTCACGCTCGCGACACTCGCATCACTCGCATAGAGGGAGGAGGAGCACGTCGGTGGAGGTGAGGAATGTGTCCATGACAAGGCCGATGTATGTCCAGGAGACGTATGCGAGGAGTCCGAGGGCGCCGCCGAGGGTTTACCATACAAGGGATTCGAGAGATTCAAGACGGTCGAGCAGGGGGAGTGGACTATATTACGCGGCTGCATAAGGCGGTATAGCGAGTTGGGAACGAAGTTATGTATGTGCCATGTAATTTTTGAAGACTTACGAGGTTAATGATTAAATGGCTTTATACGTAAAGACCCCATGTTTCGCTGGCTTGCGCCGAGCATTTGTCGTTCTAGCAATGGGGCTCTGCCGGAGCCCTGTCTTGACCAACTAAGTCGTGATTATAACTACTTCATCGGGATGTGTACAGTAGGATTATGAAGGAAATGAACATATTTTATGGAATTCATGGATAGTATCCAGGGCCTGTAGAGTGTATAGACTCGGGTATACGTATGGTGTATCAGGTCCATGGTCTTACTTTTTCTCCCTTAGCTCCATACGTGAGATTGCAATCTGTAGCATATACAGACAACAATACGGCTACTAATATAATTAACATCGGCAGTGACCCTTCGTCTGTCGGAGGGCAGCCACACCGTCGTTAAGCCATCTACGATACAGAACCTCGGCAACAGCAAAGCTCTTGCCCTGTCTTCCAGGAATAGCCCTAGCCCGCCAGCAACTATTTTACCAGCTTACCAAGGTAACATCTGAGCTGGAACTTTCTAAATCCAGATTAAGGGCGCTGGTGGTGTCGAATCGGATGAAGATGGGTCGAGCTCTGATGTGATATGCCCAGTCGCAAGATGGATAATAGGTTGCGTAATTGGCTGTGTCTGTCCCAGACCAACCTTTCGAACTCGAATTCGACCAAGAGCACCTGAGGCATGATCCAGCAAGTGATCTACCATGAAAGCAAAATGTACGATGCCTGGTTTTGAGAAGATCAATCTCTGCCATAATTAAATCCTCCCCGAGGACGAAGAAATAGGCCTACAGCTTCGTAATACCAGTTTTTTTCATTTTTTTTTCACAAGAAGTCCCAGGACTGCAATGCAAATCCGACGGTTCCTGTTCTCCCTCTTGAAATGTAGTTGACTTGTACGGGGAGCAGACTTCCATTCGATATCTCTCAGATCCACATGAAGCAAAGGAAATTCGATATGAAGAGCTCTGGTTGAAATTGTAGTCGGGGGAGAGCCAAAGTCCGGCCACCCTGGAATGAGTTCTAATTCGTCACGATCGAGGAAAGAATCGCGGCTTGGGGCTAGAGCCGGACAAGATGCATATGGAACTCACATCCCTGCAAACGAGCTTGAACTATAGGTATTCCGTATTCGAGGACCATTTAAAATAGGACCAGGTGTAAATATCACTTTCAAGCTGAGTTTCGGGGAGGATGTGCTCCATGCGAAAAGCGTGGGATCGTGACAAGCCCGTACTTGTCACCCAATGGACGCCAGTCCTTGCTAAAGAAGACGAGATAGCTCGGGGCCAGGAGTTCCTGGAGAGTTCAATCGCAACGGAACCATTTTCTTCGTCAAATTGCCGTGAAGTTTGATCTGCTTCCAACATAGAGGGCGGCAAAAGTTCTTGGGGGGTGGAGGCTCTGGATCTAAACTGCATACATCGGCAAGATAGCTGTAGCATATCTAGGATAACTGTGGATATCTATACATCGAGTTGATGGCTTTAGAAAGATCAGTGCTACTTATCTTATCGACACACCATCTACTACAGGTTAGAGCTGCCTTCAGCGGAACATTGCATGATTGAAGAGGAGGCCGTACGAGTCGACCCATGTCCATTCTCGGTCATTATCAATAGCCTATTATCAGTTGTACTTGATCTTCTTGAATCCTGCTTTGTCACTTCCAGTAGAGCTTGCCATATCCTGAAAGGTGACTTTGTCGTCGCTCCATGTGTAGGAGGGAGAGAGCGGCATAATCAGGGACATGATTACCTATGATTTACTTCAGTTGAAGCGATGTGGTATTGACGAGGTGCATGTCCACAGATACGAACGATCAAAGTTGGAAAATTGAGTCGACCCAGATGCTGAACTTTTGTCGATTTCAGGAGTCTCTCGAGCCCCTATTGTCATTGGAATGTCTGATAAGTGTGATCCATGATGGTTCAGGTTGCGCAGATGTCAGGCGTAAATTGGGGTACGGGCCTCTCCAAGTAGGCATCAGCTGCAGCAACGGCACATTGTACGTTTCTAGGATTTGAAAGGTCGTCTCGCTTGATGATTGGATTAGAAGAAGAATTTGGCACCAAAAGGGAGGAGTTACTATGTATACAGCGCCGGTACTTTTATGTATTGCATATTTGTACAGGCATTAAACGAGGCAATCCTAGGCACGTGGACTGGCTCCTTCGTCGCGTTTCAATGCCGGTTTCGTCAGGCACAGCCCGTCAAGTCCCCACACCTAAATCCTGACGCAACGCGATGCGTTCGGCCTGGCGACAAGTTTATTAAAACATACAAACTATGTGGATACTCGAGAACGAGGGTGAAGCCATCGATGGTAGGAGGAGCTGAAGTTTGTGTTTTATGCGCTCATATTGCTGACAATGCTGTTTGCAGGCAAGCGGCTCTGGCTGCGACCAGGCAAACGATACCTCTTTGGCCGAACCGTTGCCGAACGTAAGTCAATGAAACCGGATGTTCCCACGTAGTATTGCGCTGATGTGTTTGTTTCACAGCTGGCATGCTCGCAATCAAGGGCGAGAAGGCTAATACCGTATCGAGAAAGCATGTCATTATCCAGGTCGACCCTGTTTGTGAGGGAGAGGGGGTTCGTTCATCTGTCACTTTCCTAGTGGATCCAGCCAGCTGACCAGCCAGCAGCAAAACCCAAGGGGAAGGTCAAAAGTTACCGTTGAAGATCTTTGTTCCAAAATCGGTACTACCGTCAATGGGAAGAAGTTCAAGGGCGAGAAATATGTCATCACTACGGATGAGAACGTCCTTCAAATGGGTTCACTGCAGGCCAAGTTTCGCATCACATGGTTTCCTGTCGTTTTGAGCTACTCGTTTACAGGCAAGGAATTGCGATCCAACCCTTTAACGAAGCTTCGAACGGATCTCGAGCAACTTGACATTAAGTTCTTCACCGACTATATGCCGACCACCACACATGTGGTGGCACGGAAGCGGAACACCCCGAAAGGGCTTCAGGCCTTGATCAACGGCAGATACATTGTTAATGACAGATTTGTGGAAGCCGTTGTTGCAGCAGCCACGCCACAACAGCTTGATGGAGGCGTGGAGATGAGCTTGTTAGAGAGGGACTTTGACTCGTACTGGCCAAATGCCCTGGAATTTCTCCCTCTTGCTGGAGATGAACCGGTGCCAAGAGCTGTCGAGGACTTTTCTCCCAACCCTGAAAGAACAAGACTCTTTGAGGGGTACACCTTTATATTCTACGAACAAAAGCAATTCGATACACTCTTGGGCCCAATCACCAACGGCGGCGGCAAGGCTGTATTCAAAGTTGCGATTCCAGGCGAGACGCAGATTGATGATTTCATCCGATTCGTGAAGGAGATTGCCGGCGAAAAGGGGCTCGGCGAGTTCGAGGACGGCAGTGAAGGCAAGGGTGCAGTCGTCGTGAGGTTTCTGCCCATCAATGGCGAGACCTTGGACTGGTTCTCCGAGTTCTATACAGCCGTATCACTTCGACTGGATCATCGTCTTATCGACCAGAAGGACTTCATCGGTGCGATTCTTGGCAATGATGCCAGCGTACTCAGACGCCCACTTGAAGTCGAGACTCAACGCACTTCACAAGGAGGCCCTGCTGCACTAGAGCCACATCCAATAGAAGTAGACGAAAACCCAGCACGAGAAGCCTCGCAGCCTTCTGCATCTCGAAGAAGAATCCGTGGTGTTGCTAGAAGTCGTTTTAAGGGCTTTGATGTGGACTTGGATTCTGATAATGAGGTATCGGAGGGTGTGCCGGCAAGTGCACCCGTACCAGCCGTCAATGAGTCTTCACAAGAAGGAGGACTCTTCGTTTCGCAAAACCCCGCGTCGGCAGAACCCGAAGAAACAACACGTGCTGGTCGCCGCTCACAGCGTAAACGTCCCGCATCGCCCATACCGGAGCCTCCGGACATCATGGAAGAATTCGCGCCAAACGCAGCACAGGTCAAGCGTCGACGCATCGAAAGAGGCGAAACCCCTATTCCTCGGGATCCAACTCCGTCGGTCGACGAAGGATCAGAGCTGTCAGCCTCGAAATCTAAGCAAACAAAGAAAAGCCCCAAGGTCAAGAAGGAGGTCGACATCCTTAAGATTGCACGTCAGCACCGGGAAGAAGCAGAAGCGCGAGCCAGGCGCGAACGCGAGGAGTTGGCAACTGCCCCGGAGGGTCTCGATCTTGCTGAGATCCGGCGCTTGCAGATTGAGGAACCGATGGAAATCCGACAAGCGCCACCACAAGTCCGCGGTCATGATAAAGATGTAGCCGATGGACGCTGGAATCCTGCGTGGAATGGACGGCAGAACTTCAAGAAGTTTCGTCAGTGCGGAGCGGCGACAGTCGCACGGCCACATTTAAAGACGCTCATAGCACTAGAGGAGGTCAAGTCCAAGGGCTTTGGGATCGGCGATGACTACTGGCTGCAGGATACGGGTGGCCAGAAAAAGAAGAGCCAGAACCGAAGCCAGAGTCGGGGGCTCAGTAGCGGTGCTGATGCTTCTAACACCCAGAACCGATCCCAGACTGCGGCGTCGAGGCGTGAGTGTAGCAGTGAACTAGAGGCAAACAACGATGGCGTCGATGACTCCGAAGATGCCGCGTTCACATCAGGGCAGTCGCGGGCGAACAAGGCTGCGCAAAGCTTTTCAACGCAGTCGCTGCGGATGCAGACCTCGCAGATAGCTCAGTCCGGGAGAACGACAAAACGAACTGCTGCGGCGTCACCGCCTGAGCAACAGCCGGCCAAGAAGGCCAGGATCACGACCATCGCAGCGAGTGATGACGACGACAGTGACGATGAGTTGCGATTCCGTTTCCGATTCACCAAACGGTGATTCGCTTGAGGATATTTGCAAACGGACAGAAACAGAGTGTTGGTTGGAGTTGGCTGGATCCATGCATACATTATATTTTCGGACGCTGACGTCTCCTGTATTTCTTCATGGGGTATCTCTTCTATCTGGCTTCTAGCTTCTAGTATTATACACATCTGGTAGATGGCCTGCCCCTATAAAGTACAACGTGCCGTCCGCGTCTGAATGCGAGATGCAATTCTGACATGACAAAGGTGGCCGATGGGCCACAGGACGCCCGACTTGGAGTGTGTACTCACGTAACTTCGACCCCTGTTTGGGTTCCTTCCGGTTTTATAATCATGATTCCCCTGGAGGTCGATAGTCGATGTCGTCTCCAAGCGTGAGAACATTATTAAGCAACCTCGAGAGTTTAAGGCCTGCAATGATCATACCCAGGCTGTCCATGAGCTCGGTGATGGCTCGTTTCCTCATGACTCACCTTGAACGAAGAGAGAATCTGTGGTTTGAGTGGCACCTGATGTTTCAGTCGCAAGAGCAATGCAGTCATCGGGCTCGTTGCATTTGCACCTCATCCTGAATTCAATAACGGTATTCGCGCTTTGTGGTGCCGAGCTGATCATACTGCACTGGCAGGTCGGGTTGGTAGGCATGTCCTGAAATTCGAAGCGTTCCCTCGAGGCTAGCAATTCGAAATGCAGAGTGTTCAGAAACGTAAGCGAGCCTGCCCAGCGGGTCTAGTCCATGGCATCCATGTCTCCGTCTCCGACCGCCTCATGTTCCTCAACCATCATCCCCACCAAACTGCTCGCCAACATCCCTTCGTAATTCACCCACGGGTGAATCTCACCAAACAGCTTAGTGCCATCCCTGCCAGCTGCCCGAAGCAGCTCTGGCTCCCCTCCTGGATGGAATGGTGCATACGGCGTAATATTGTATACTCTTCCGCCCAGAACCGTCCACGCATCTTTCCCCTTCCTTCCCGTCTGCCGCTTGAGCATGGACGGCGTTACTTTCAGGTACGGTGTCCCAGGGGGCAGGTTTCGCAGATCCGAGGTTGGACTGTTGGCGATGCGCGCCCAGTCGAGAGGGGAGTGGCCAGGTTTTAGCACAACCTGTCTCCCGGGCTTCGCCGGCTTCGAGGAATGTGTGGGCGGGGGGCGAGAGTTGAGGTCCCTGGTTGACGGGCGGGCTGGCCACGGTTCGGAAGCAACCCATTTCGAGCAGGAGTGGCTGAGAGGAGGTTGGAGTTGTTAATGTTGTTCAGTTTTGGCGGCCGAGGGGGTGGTGGCATAAGGGTAGACGGCTTTGGGTTCGGGGAAGAAAGGGACGGTATGCTATTTGGTGATTTCGCAGCGCCATTTGCCGCCCTTGCTATCGCACCAGACGAAGCGGGAGGGTCGTTGAGCGTGAACGAAGGGACGCTACCGTTAGACAGGACAGCGCTGGCTTTGGGTGTTGTCTGTGGTGAAGGTTCTTCCTCGTTCTGCGATATCCTCGGTGGTGCAAGTGGCTTCACCAGTATCGGCGGCGGAGGCATCGCAGCGCGATCCAGGTTCGCTTTCGTAGAGGCTACATGCTGGTCGCCCAAGTTGATACTCGGCGTCTCTAAGCTGTTCTCTCCATCGACCTGGGCTATCGCGTTCGCGTCGGAAGGAGACGGCGGGCTTCTGTCAGGAGACCCGGTCCGGGGCGGCTGGTCGATTTGAGGATTGCCACGCCATAAGGCTACCAGAGTTTCGATCAATGGTGGCCGCCGTACTGCGAAGTAGACTAGAGATGCCAATATAATCGAGAGCCCCACGAGCGCCATGTCGGCGTGGTAATAAGGCGACTAGGAGAGGGTGGGCTATGAGCGTTGTGGGGTGATCAAAGTTGGCAAAGTCGTGTCATGCTGTCCGTCTTCGAATGATCAGATTTCATTTGCAAAGCCACCCGAGGTCCACTACGATCGGGATTTGGAAAGTTGGTGCTCCCGATAGTGAAAAAGACGCTGCGTTACCGACCACAGCAGAGTGCATCTGCAGCCGAACTCGTCAGCCTATTCCTTTCATCTAGAACAGAAAGCTCCGTCTCACGCTGCCTAGAAACGAATCAAATGTAGGATAGGATAGGATCTGGATCTATATCACAGATGCTAAAACATAAGATGTCCAGGTTGCCAGGGTCTAGTCGCAGTTGACATGACGCGCTTGCGGGGTTCCTGGGTGAAACTCACGGGGTTGGCGACCGACGCATGAAAAGATAATCTCGCGCGGGGATAATTGGAGTGGACGATGAAAACCGGATGTTCGGTTGCTGCCAAAAATACCAAGCAAGGACGGGTAGGGAAGCGAAGAAGGGGTCAGGATGGCTTGCTTGGTTGTTGTTTACTTTGAGAAACAGAAACATTGCCCAGCATTTTACCAATTGGACATATACATCACCATCTCAAGTGTCTTTTAATGCATGCTGACCTCTAATACTTATTATACTTGAAGTTGCATCGAGTTCGAAGTTGCGTTCGGTAAATTGCATTTAAAAGTTCATGTCCCTTCCCGTGCGGCTATTGGGATATGTCTAGCGAAAAGCCGGCCTGTCAGGAGGAAGGAACTAGGGACCTTCCCGCTAATTCACCACTTGAGCACCACACCGACGTTGAATAAAGTAGGGTGGCAGCCATGCGCGCCCTCAACACGCCGAGCATAGCAACCGAACACTCAAGCAATGTTTCCAACACCTTTCGTACTGACACGGCGACAACAAGTCAAAGTGTCAATTCCACCACCTCGCATCCAAGTGCACTGAAGTCGAAACCTCCCCCACCCTCACGTCAGTCCCAGCTCCAGGTTTCGGGCCTAAACCGACTGCCTTCCACCGAACCGCTTTCCAACAAAACATCGAGACCGACGATAATAACCAAAACGACCACGAGAGCCCCACGAGTTAGTACCAGTGCGGCAGGTTCCCATAATAATAGACCCAGGCCGCCGACGCACGCTGCCCCGACAAGCACGTCTAGATCCAGGTCTACTACACCGTCTTCCGAAGACTTGAATCCCGCGCTCAAGTCCAAAAACCAAAATGCCATACTCGTGACACGGAAATCCTCAGCGCCAAAAGTACCAACAATGCCGCCCAATGACCGATCGCCTAACCCAAATGGCGTACGACCTCAGATGCCTTCCCTCAGCGCCGCCGCTCAAAGGGGCGCGAAGAGGGCTCCACTGACGCCCAAGATCGCGGCTAAACCTCCCCAAACCCCCGCTGTAGGAGCCAACACGGCAAGAAGAACACAGCGGCCAACGACAGCAAGTTCAGCGAGGCTGAGTGCGCAAGAAGACGATTTATCGCCATTTCTGGCTAACATCACGCCGAGGTCGGGGTCGAGGCAGAGCCGAGTCGACAGCACGAATAGTACCCCTAATGGTACGCCTAACCCCGACAGATATGAAGGATGGGATCGGGGCAGCAGGTCCCCTAACCTAGACGTGGATACGGCAAGAAGGCCCTTCGTCACCTTCAGCCCCATGCATTCGGAATTCAGCCATCCCAGGTTGGAAGCTCAGAACAACCCCGAGTCCAAGTTCTTCTATGCCAGCGAAGCGAAGAGTACTCAGCCAGCACAAGCGCCGGCCCCGCCAACAAGACCAGGACTAGCCCCCCGGACGCCTACGTTCTTCTATGCCAATGACAGCTTCGTCGAAGGCAGGACTACCAGCCCATCCCCTCACGTGCAGGTACCGGTGCAGGATAGATCCTCCAACAAGTTTGTGTATGCCAATGGAACCCCAGAGTTGCGGCCTAGTCCTGCCGTTACTTCGTCTCGCCCTGGTTCAGTCGTTTCGACAGCTTCCAGAGCTCCTGCGAATAGACCTGTTTCGGTTGCGGCAGGCGGCAATCCATCGGCTCAAAGGTCAAATTCACCTATCAAGCTCGCCCCGCCACCCTACACGGCTTCACAGAAGAATAGCGGTCCTCCACCAGTGGCTACAGATCGTGCTCAGATGGCATCACCACCCCAAATGGGTCCCGCTCCACCTTCATTACGACGCACGAGCACCGGCACGTCCACGTCTCGAGGAGGCCATTCTCGGGCTGGAAGTCTAGTGATAAGTGAAGTCAATTTCAGATCATCCCAGATATCTTCCGGGGCTTCTTCGCCTTCTGTTGAGTCGGTATCAAGACCTGCGCCCTTGACGCTAGCTTCGATAATACAAGCAGCAGACGACTTCGAAGAAGCCGAGGAGCCGGCTTCGCCAGATGATGTCCCCTCGGACTTGCAGAGCCCGACCAAGTCAACGCATTCGGCAGACCCAGTCACCGACTTGGTAGCGAACGCCCGGCGCGAACGCAAAGTCCAGGACCTGCAGATCAGGAATGGCTCTTTAGAAGCCATCAACCGCACTCTCGAACGCCAACTCCGCAAACAGACAGCCGAATTGCGACGGTACAAACGCCTATCGCGCTCGGGACGATTATCCAAGGCAACCAGTACAATAGAGAGCAGTGTCGCTTCAGATCCCCTTTCAGCTGATCCGGGACCCGATGATCTTGCCTTATCCGACCTGAGCGAGGAGAAGTCAGCAGAAGACGACGACTTGGACGAAGATTCCCTGTCGGACATCGACTCTACGGCAGAATCGCTCAGCCCGACCATTCTAGCAGAACGAGATGCCAAGCACCAGACACGAGATGAGAAACTTTTGCAGGCCGATCTATCTAAGCATCAGGAACTCCTTATTGACTCGCAGAGGATCAATCAGAGCATCAAGCGGTGTCTAGACTGGACAGAGGAGTTGATTAAAGAAGGCAAGAAGGCGCTTGACTATCATATTCGCGTCAGCGATGTGGCCATACCTCCCCGAGTTCTGAGGCCAGCCGATGAGGAAGATGATTATTCCTATATCCCAGATATCACCCCCGACGACTTGATGACCCTAGACGAAAAATTCGACGAGTTAAATGCGGATCTGGACGAGTTAGAGCGTCCCCTGGAACGTCCGCCGCGTTTGGCGGGCTGGGGGCTGGTGGCACAGGACCGGGATAGCGGCATAGAAATCCCTCCAATCCCCGTAGACGGCGATTAAGAGCGTTTATAGAACACCTGAGACGGCGACATCACCACTCATACAGCACTATTTCCTTACATTTGGGTACGGGTTCGCATTTGGGGTTACAGCACAGCATGGGAACGGCGTTTTATTCATTCAACCACACACGAAACCATGGCGTCGTCGAATCACTATGTGATGCACCGGCTCTATACATCATTCCGGTTTTCCTTTCTATCCAGGTGGAACTTCACACATTCTCCTTTGTCACGAACTGTACCGCCATCAACCCATGGATGCCCCAGGACAGTTGATGAAGAAAACACCCTCGGTGGACAGAACGAAGGAAGAACCGAAGGAAGAAAGGAATGAAGGAAGGAAGGAAGGGCGGACTCGACCAAGTCTACATTATAACCACAACACTTTGGCATCATATAGCAGTTTTTTTTTAAATTTTTCGAGTTTGACAGAGATTTTCTTATCGATACCCCTTCTTATTTTATGAATAGCCGGATACTAGAGCGGTTTCGCTTCGAGCCAGAAAGTCCCGTCCCCAGTCTTTGGCCAGAAACGGGCAGATGGGTGAGATGAGGAGATGGTACGGCCAACGATAGGGTTTTGGATCATATACTACTGATCAAGATCCATGTTCTCGAGAAGTTGGGGGGTAGGGAGGCAAGTGAAGAGAGAGGACATAGGATAGGACATAGGTATAAGAAGTTAAGAAGCCATTTTGATCACTCTATTGATGTGCAGACGGGGGATCTGCAGATGCCATGTCGTCCGTTCTAGTCACCTCAACTGCCAACGCTGCCCCTAGAAATTATTATGAATGCCATGCAAGCATAGCGGCATCGACGGTACATCCCTATTCGCATGGACGCCTGAGCTCCAGTACATGATCCACAACTCGCAAGACAATATATCATGAATGGCCGTTTGTGCATGGCCCCTTAATTGAGTCCTCGGGCCTACTCAGTCTGGCATAAGGGAGCCAGCAACCCATGCTATGCTCCCAAAACCTCTAAGAATGTTGCGGTGCCGTAGTAGAGGCTCTACGTTTCGTACAAACTAGGCAGTGAGCACAACATAATGATGCTTCCTACTATAACTATCCGTCATAGATACTGGAGAGCAACTTAGAGAATGAAACCATGATATCGAGAACATTCCATCGCACCACGACGAGGTGCGTCAAGCTCATTTGGCAGGCCATTTGGAAGCAATTGCATTACCAAACTTCTCGCCATGACAGACTTGCAATTCCAGCACCTTAAGCTTCTACAGAACCGGGTCTCTAGGTGTTGAGTTCTTAAACCGTCTTACGGGCAATGGCAACCCGACTCGCTTAACTACCTCCTTGCGAATCAGTAGCCCTTGAACCAAGCCCGCAGTGTAGTACGGCTTCAATGTTGTCATGTCTCGAGACTACACCATTTAGAAAGCGAGGCTTGACTATCAAGATAGGGGGCTAAAATTTCGCACAAATTACATTGTGACCCATTGTAGCCAAGCTGTGTAGTAAAATTACTTTCAAAAAGTCTGGCGCACACCGACCCCACTTTCCAACGCGTTCGCGTCAAATTCAATTTACCACCTAACTACACCAATATTTCAATTAGCTACTAACAAATATAGAAAATACTCCTAGAAAAGCGCTTGCGCGCATTCTAATCGCCGATCACCAGAGAGGCCGAGAGTACTCTCTAACCGTACGTGCTACTATGGCCGCCTGGCGTACAGGCGGCTTAAGTATACGTGGGGTTGCTAGCCGATTCGAATATTCGCCGTCGGTGGTCACGCGTAACACTAACCGCCTACAAGACACGTAATCATTCACCTCACGACACCGTAGCGGCCGGCCGAAAGCCCTTACTATACGTGAGGCTCGTTATATTACTAGAATAGTACGGCGGACCCCTAGAATTAGCTGGGCATTGCTATCAAAAGCGGACCGCGAATATATAGGCCGTTCCTTGAGCCGGAATACTATCAAGGCCGCCTTCCGGCCACATAACCTACGACATTGGAAGTCGTTACGACGTATATAGCTAACGACTAGAGCTGTTACTTAACGTATAATCTACCACCGCACTTAGAAGGGTAGAGAGGCGGAATTAACTAAAGTACGTGCGAGTGACACCGGGGGGTCAGATTTAGTGATTTCTGAGCTAACTTCTGCTATATTAATAGGGTATCTTTACCATCCCCCACCACCCCACCGGTAACCAAATTAGCAGCACCTACACTATAATTACTGTCACGACCTGGGTTGCATCGCATTGGTATAGACCTCGATTAGGTGCTATCGACGAAGATTCTACTCTAAGGAGCGAAGGAAAGAAGATGACAACTTAGGTTTGAGGGAGCGCGACTAAGTCATCCACGCTTGGCGGGGCTCCTACAAGGGTTATGATTGGCTTCCCATCTCACACTGCCACGGCAGGTGTTCCAGCTGTAAGTCACCTGGTTGTAGTGAGTCTGCGAGGGTTGACCGTCACAATTACTTCAACTTCAATTATACGGATCTTAATAGAAATTGAAGCCATTTACAAGCCGATTGCACGAATAAATAGCGAATTGAATAGAGTTTTCAATTTAGCATTTTAGAAAGGTTACACGATACTCCACATCGGTACTACGGAGTTCCAGCAGCCATAAAATTCTGATTCTACTACTTTTGAGGCCACGATGCCCCTTTGACTATTATTCTATAAGTACTACGCTTCAGTACACCAAAATGCCGCGCCGTAGCTGGACAGAGGACCAGATAGTGTCGAATATCACGTGTGTCCAATCGAGTAGTCAGAAGTGCATAAGATTGTATTATGAATGAGGTGTATTGTTCTCTGTGTTCTATTCTCGCGAACTCCCGTTGCTCTGCCCTTTATAGATTCTTTCAGAAATGTCGGAGGTGCATTGTTCAGGTGTCTGACCCCGAACTTCGGAGTTACTTTCGGGAAGAGGGGTTCATTTCGCCGTCTGAACTTCAAGTGACACTAGTCTTCTCTAGTGCCATATTATTTCTGAACCTAGGAACCAGGTGTTCTATCTGACAGATAGCTGAGGCTATTCTAGATGTTACCGATAATGTGTTACGAACCGTTGGCCCTGAACCAACATTATAGGCCCGTCGGCAGGCTAGGTGGATACAGACGCTAGGATCACGGGACCCCACATCGGAGGAAGGAAAGGACCGATAGGTCACGTGATCTACAGGGGTGGATATGTTGGACAACCAATATATCCAAGTGGGGATCAGTGAAGGAGAGATGGGCATATAAGGGACAGGACTCCCAGGCATTTCATAGATAGACAGTCTCTACTTCAGTGATCAATCTAAGCATCAATCTAACCCATTGGTGAGGCAAACTGCCTTGACGACTCTATTCCCAGTTACCCTACTCGAATACTTCAGTTACCCAGAGCCCGATACTCCATACGTCAGACCCCGATATTATTGCTAAAGGACTCCGCAGCAGGACTTACTTACTAGCACAAACCCTTACAGACTCTTTAGTGGTTTACGCAGCTATACTATTAGAGGTTTCGTTACATAATGGCCTGTCGCAGTACAAATCCGCCCAGAAGCATGGAGTGCCGCAGCAGACCCTTCCGACAGAATCAAAGGCAAAGGGTGGCCAGACAACCCTATACCGACCAGCAAGCGGGTTTCTATAGCCCAAGAAAGCCGTATAGTCGACTGGATCATCAGACAAGAGTCCTTGGGATATGCCCCTACGCACAATCACGTACGCGCTTGCGTTTCTACACTTCTGGCTCAACAAGGGGATACCAACGAATTAGGGAAGAATTGGCTCAACCGATTTGTCTCTAGACATCCAGAAATTTGTACCAAAATGGGTAGAAAGCAGGAGACAGCTCGATTCAACTCTTTTACACCAAAAGCCGTACATTGGTACTTTGATATCCGTGAGAGAGAATACGGCTGGATTAAGCCAGAAAATACAGTTAATGTCGATAAGGGAGGCATAATGGCTGGCTTTGGTAACTATCTATTAGTCTCTTAGGCAATTATCTATGCTAATTACTATACTATAGGCCTTGACGGGCTCGTATTGGGGAGTTCTGACGCCCAACAGAAGGCTATAATTAAGAGCTCACAGGGCCGTAGTTGGACTACCTTTATTGAAGCCACTACAGCCGATGGCCGCCTTCTAGAGCCAGGTATAGTGTTTAAGGGCAAAGAGCTCCAAAAACAGTGGTTCATTGACCAATTCCGAGAGATCTGTCCCCACTGGCACGTCACCAAATGGCTGGACAGACAACCATATAGGCCATCAGTGGCTTATTGACGTATACTTGCCTCAGACGCAGCCAGCAGACCCCTCTGATGCTAGTCTAATTATACTAGATGGCCATGGATCCCACGCCTCTGTAAGTCTTCTAGTTATTGCAGTATAACTGTACTAACTGGGCTATATAGGATGAGTGGATGACTACGTGCTTTATGTAAAATGTATACTGTTGTTACTTACCGGCACACACTTCCCATGGCTTACAGCCAAATAACAATGGCCCCTTTAACGTATTGAAGTCAGCCTATAGGACAGAAGTCAGTAAATTGGATAGAATGACGGATGCGGCGCCAGTTGATAAAGTCAACTTTATCCGGTGTTATAGTACTGCACTCAAGGCTATAACCGATAAGGTCATTAAATCTGGCTGGAGAACTACTGGAAATTGGCCAATTTCAAGGGCCAAGGCACTACGGCATCCAGAAATCCAGGTAGATGTTGATAAAAGGGGCACTCCACCGCCGCCACAAGCCCCTGGACTTGACAGTGATTCTACACCCCGTACGAGCCGTCAAATCCGCAACTTTGCGAACAAGTCAAGCCCAAATAGCCGCTATAGGATACAGAAGGTTGCCAAGGGGGTTGAAGCCTTAGAGGCAGAGTTGGTAGCCGAACGCACTAAGGCTACGGCATTACAGGAGGAACTAGACCGCTTGAAAAGGGGTAAAAAGCGCAAGTCACTGCCAAATCCGAATCGCCGTTTTATAACAGTATCAGAAGCACTAGCTGCAGGGGAGCCTATACCGCCTAATAACCGTCAAGAACCAGCCAATAATGGGAAAGTTGTGGAAGTTGAGGATGAAGGGGTTGATTCATCAGAATCAGAGGCTACGGCCGATGATTTGCCGGCCGCTGTAGTCATACGAAGTGGTCGTACAGTCAAGAGGTGGCGATATTCTTAAACTCCATAACAATAGCTACATAATGGTATAACTACAGTATAAATAGCTTCAATATGTACGGAATTATGTGTAAGTAAAAATGTAGTGTTTTTGCAGTATTGTGCTCAATTAACGTTACCGGTGGGGTGGTGGGGGATGGTAGTAACGAATATACGATCCAAAACGCGACGAATTCTAGCGCCGGCTGGGTCTAGCGAATGCCAAATGAGCGATTTGACAAGCGAATAGTTAATTATATCGATAACGGCAAGCTAGCTATTGGTATTATGATCTGGGGTACTATTTATAAGTGTGGGCGGTCCAATATCGTCATTATCGTCATTATGGCGCGGGATTCCACCGCAGCGCGACACGGCTTTTCTTCCCGGTCATATATATGGACTCTAGAGGAAGCCTTGCTACTAGTGTATACTCCTAGCACCTTTTTCCAGCAAGATAATGCTAGGATACATACCTCTAAGGCTTCACAAGAGTGGCTAGAAGCCCACGGCATATGGACTATCGATTAGCCCGCTTATAGTCCTGATCAATCACTAATCGAGCATATATAGCGCTATATAAAGGCTTACTTACATAAAAAGCACCCTGATATATACCTTCTAACAGATAACGAGGCTAATAGAAAGACGCTGAAGGACTGGATCCGGGAGGCGTGGTGGGCAATTCCACAGGCCCTTTTTGACCGGCTGATCGACTCTGTACCTAACCGCGTTAGAGAACTACGTCGCGTACGAGGCTAGTATACACACTGTTAAAGAGGAGAAATAGAGCATCAAGATACATATATTATTATTAAATTGAATAAAGAATTGCCTATGTAATTGACCTGAGAACTATAGTGTTCAATATTAGGATTCTCGGAAGTGGGGTCGGTGTGCGCCAGACTTTTTGAAAGTAATTTTATCGTGAAGCTCTTTGATCTAGTGTATTGGCGATATCACGTTCAACTTATGGGAAGACACGTAGGGTACGATGTAATGGCCTGTGTTATTCCACAATTACTCTGTGTGCCTTCTAGCGCAGGTAGGTTAGGGATGAATTGGGAGGTATCAAACGCAGATATATGGACATATTACCCGAAACCTCCAAAAAGGGGTCACCTGTCTATTCTTAACAATAGTCAGGATCAAAACATCCGTCCACCTTCCGATCAGTTAAACGCCGCAGGAAACTTGGCACGGCACAGTTTGCTCTCGGGAAGTGCCTCTATGCCTTCTCCTTGGGCAGATTGCCTGGTTCAGTCGCTTCGCTTGCCGATGCGGCCGCAGATACCGAGCCGTGCTTCTTTTCCTTCTCCTTGCCCTTCTTCTTGGACTCCTTGTCCTTCTTGATGGCTGCTTCAGCAACGAGCTGTTCGAATGCCATATACTCTCCCTCCTCCTCGGGAGTCCGCTGGGCCTATTTTCTATGTTAGCTATCAAAACACAACCAATGATGCTCAAGAGGGGTCCTACTTTGGAGCAAATCTCGGCAATAAGAACGAGCGCCTCGGCCCGCTCCAGTCGCTTGTTGATGGGAACCTTCTTATCATTAAGAAGGTCATCACATACATCTCTCAGGACGCTCTGGATCTCGAACTTGGAACCCCGCCACGCGGCTGTCAATATCTTGCCTGTGACGCGGCGTTCGTATTCGACCTTCTTCTCCTCTGTCCAGTCGTCACCACCTGCCTGCTCCATGCGCGCCATCTCCTCCATAGTTTGCTGGGCGTCGATGGCGGACGAGATGGTGTTCCACGTCTCCTTGACCAGAGCGCCCTTATCGCGTATGCGGCTGAAGAAACCAGTGATACCGAGGAATTTCTGCGACTTGAGAAGAGCAGTAGCTTTGCTCAGGTACACTTGGCCGATTGCGTGTAGAATGTCCAGACCGAAACTCTCCATTTTCAAGTTCTCGATCTCGAGCCGGACCTTCTCTTGGAAGGCCCGCGTTACGTCGGTGCCCTTATCCGTCTCGGTCCACACACTGATACGGTCGAGCAGCTTCTGGGACAACGTCTTGACACGCTCTTCTCGGATCTTGGCGCGTTCGCGTTCGTAGGCAGCAAGTTGCTCGCGTTGTTCCTTGCTAAGGCCACCCTTCTTCTTTTCCTTCTTGCGCAGCTCCTTCTCCTCCTCTGTCTGTGATGACAAATGCACATCATCGGATGGCCGATCCATAATGGCTGGGCGGATGGGAATCGCATGTCGGGAGGGGGTAGATCTGCCAGAAGCGGTGTTCGGTGATGTGCCGCGAGGAGGGATCGATGCCGTCTCGGAAGCTTTCTCGGGGACTTTCTCTGCTGCTGCTGCTGAATATGCAGTTGACGCCTCTGCAGCTGTCTTCTCCGATGTGCCAGCGGCAGCCGGCTTGGTCTCTGGCTCATCCTCTACCGTGACCGTCGGCGTACCGGCCTCAGCCGTCTTTGCGCTTTCACGTAGAGCGTCCTCGGTACCGGGGAATTCTGCGTCGCCACCCGCTGCCGCCTCGGCTTCGGCTGCCGCTGCAGCTTCCTCCTCCTCGCCTGCCATGGTGATGTCCATAGTCGCAGTCAAGTCCTTCATGAGACTGATCTCACCAATCCAGTCGACAAACGCATCGCCGCCAAAAATAGTAGAGAAAAACTCGGCGGGATCAACAAAACCCTCGGAAGGCTTTGCACTGTCTTTGCCATACTTATCGTAGGCTGCGCGCAGGTCTTTATCGGATAGGACTTGGTATGCCTCTCCTATGGTCTGGAACTTCTCGTGAGCAGTTGGATCGTTCGGGTTCTTGTCTGGAAGCGGGAGTTAGATCAGGCCCCAGACAGCAAAGAAGTGGAGAGCGCGGGGCACGGTGGTCATGATCGCAGCACTTGCCTGGATGATGGACTATAGCAAGTTTGCGGTAAGCCTTCTTGATTTCGATATCCGTCGCAGTTGGCTGGACGCCTAATGCGTCGTAGTAGGTGGTATCGACGACCATGGCTCTAGATTATCGCGGTCTGACCCGGCGGTCTAAGGCAGACTGAAAATTGCAGGATCAGCTGCTCGAGTCAAATATGTGTTGCGGCGATCCACTGGTGACGTAGGAATATGCTGTCTGCAATGTAACCGGGATCCAGGGCTAGAGATGCAATGTCGACGTCTTGAACAGAATACGTAGATACAAACTCAACCTGGTCGCAAGAAATATTGGGGGGTGTATGATTGTTGGAAGCTCGAATGACGATTGAAGGCCCAGGAAAAAACAGGTGGGGCCACTTGATTCTAGCCGTGTTACCTAGGCTTCGACATTCCAGGGCTGGGCAGTTAGAATACAGGAACAAGCCAGTAGTACATTGAATCGTTTCCAGTCCAGTGAATTCCTTAAAAATTTCGGCCAGTAAGACAACCGTTTGGTCTGAGACCAAACAGGAAAATCCGTAGTTGATATACTAGGACTTGATAATCGAGAATGCCACCGTACCTTGGAGCCCAGGGGGCTGTTTGATACTTGATATTTTGTGTACCCCGACAGGTCTACTTTTTTATCGATTGCGAGTCGTTCTCAACCTCTAAGAATACATCCCTCTGTCCTGGTTACGCGGCTGTCATATACTCTCGCCTCAGCTTCTAGCAGTGATGCTGGAAGACATGCCAACAAGTCAGAAGACCGAGAACCTCCAGTCCAAAGAAAGAATCCATCATGTTACCCAAAGATTGTCGGTTACTCGAGCATTGGAAAGTTGCTGCAAAACATGACGGACGGAAATCCCTGCTGCCCAGTGCATGGTAGCTTCTGATAACAATGCGGGGTATATGAGGATCCCCGCCATTGCTATCTGAAGAGGATGGGAAAGTTGGACGAATACCGGGGCTTGGAGAGAGTGGAAATGGCATTTCAATCTATAACCTGAGTCCTTCGCCTGATGCGAACTGACAAGACAGGAGCCACTCTCTTACTCATACTGTGGTATATTGTAGGTTTCAACTTGTGCATCTACCTTATTTTTTGTTTGAATTGTGTTTGAAGTCTTCTTTCATCAACACGTCTTCAATGTCCAATAGGCAATTTACCAAACACAGAATCATCCACCAAATCGAAGCTCTGGAGCAGTCCAATATCATGTTGACCTGACCTGCGTCGTCCATGCATTTTTGCAAAGTGTTCTATATCCACGAAAGAAATTGTGGCCCCACGTCTCAGCCTTGTGCGGCTGCATGCAGCTTGCATGGGGCATACCTATACCACTGGCTTTTTATTGAACCCCTGCAGCCTTCATCCTCTCAAAGCACTTCCTGTATGCTTCATGGACCTCCGGAACGGTGTAGTTGTACTCCTTGAGCTTGTTCTCCAGCTTCGTGGTGTCCAGCAGGCAGTTGCTTCGGCCTGCCTTGATCACCTTGGACTGCTCCTCCACCGTGAAGTTCTTCCATGTGAAGTCGGGTCGCACAATCTCCTTGAAAAGAGAGAGAACCTCGTTGTGGCTAATGGCACCGGGGTTTGTAAAGTTGTACACTCCCGTGTCCCTGTTCTCAGACATGAGAATCGAGGCCGGGAGCAGATCCGTCAGGATGGTATTACTGTTGGGGATATCGACCACTCGATCATACTTGCTGATCTTGGTGACGAAGTTCCGGGGGTGTAAATCATCGGAGACGGGCATACGAAGGCGGAGGATCAGGCAGTTGGTGTAGTACTTCATGATCTGCCACCTCGTTAGCCCACATTAGTCACCCAGGCTCAGTATCTGCTTACCTCCTCGACGTGGCCCTTGGTCTCCGAGTAGAAGCTACCCTTGAAGTTGGCCGGGTCTGTCTCTTTGTATCCCGGGCCACCAATGGGGTGAGTATCATCGTAATGGTAAATGCAACCAGTGGCAAACACGGTGCAGTGGATGTCGGCCTGGGAACACAAGTCGGTCAAGTTAAGAGTTCCAATGACGTTGGATCGCATTGTCTCCTCCTTGTGGTCCTCGCACCAATCAACATTGGGCCGCCCAGTGCAGCCAGCAGCGTTGAGAACGTGAGTTGGCTTGATCTTGTCTAGCTCTGCCTTAACTGCTTCTCTGTCCTCCATTCGGATCGTCGTCATGTAGACTTCCTTGCCCTGCTTCTTCAGTATGTTCTCCAGATGACCAGCTGTTTCCGTTGGTCAATTGGCCAAAGTTAGAGGGAACGCGATATCAACTCACCCACCCAGCCTCTACCACCCCAGATGAGAAATCTGTTTGCAGCAGTTCCGTTGGACGCCATGATGTGCGATGCGTGATGCGCGATGGATGACGAGGTGTAGGTTTTTTGAGAGATGTACAAGGGAAGAAGACGGCAGGGAAATCACCACGGCGCCCTGAGGAAGTCAAGGCGGAAGATGATAAAATGGAACGGCAGAGAGAAGTAGGATGGAACGACACAGAGCAAATATGTGAGACTTGAAGTGTTCTAGTGCTGTTAAAGGGTCGCAGCTTCCTTTGAAGTGGCGGCCGAGCTTGTCTCTAATAAATTTGGCGGGGCGCGTACGTGTACAAGATGAACCTGGCTCATCTGATGCACGACTCGAGCAAGCACCAAACATAAATATATGCGCCTAGAGTGACATTGGTGTTAACAGCTTTGACTAGCAACACGGACAGATTCATGAGCATTCCAGAGTGCTGTGTACATTCAACCCACACCTTCGTATCAATTCAGCGTCGGCAATCTTATGCGTCCAGCTAGGTGCTCCGAAGCTGCCGGTGTACAGGTGTTAATCAATGTCAAATACCCAACTAGAGGTTACTGTGTACCCCTTTATCAGTAGCTACTCTGCGATTCATCATTGCACCTGTGCACACCAGAAACACCATAACGCCAAGTTTAAATTTGCGCGATGCTGTCGTTTAGTTCGGGTCTAGATGCGAAGGTCGATTCGGCTAGGGCTAGACTGCCTGCCATTCAAGAAGAACATTAGTATGTTTGTTTTCAGGGATCAGGCACGTCCTAGCAAGCCCTGGAGATGCGTTGAGGCTGCCTGCAGCAACCCCAGTCCTCAGGAGCCCCTCAAAACTTCGACATGGGTTACATTTAACTGCAACTCTTTGACTGGGCAACCGTACGAAGTACGACACAGGCATTGGCCAATTACTCAATGCCCTTGTGACTTGCCATTGTCGGTGATGACAGGTCTTTGGGTCAATCACCAACTTCGTGGCAAGCCCCTTGCTGATGATATGATGCGAGCGCAAGCTGTGCTGTTGCTTGAAGAAATTAAAGGTGGATCATCTCCGCGTTTTTAGACGAGCCCAAAATCCCATCCCCAATGATCGATTGATTCCATAAGACGAAGAAGGACCTACGCACACCCATTCTCGTGGCAGCATCCTTCATCCTACGACTTCTTACTGCAATAACAATTACTATTTCGTACCTCTCATTCACTTCCCTTGCATTCCAAAAGTACTCTGGTGAAGATATTGTCACTTCATCATTGATGCGCCTGCAGTTTTTGACATTACTGCTTGTCTAGCCCTCTCCTTTCTGGTGCAAACTTTAGTTGGAGCCCTACACGTTGCGACTTGCAAACCACCGCCAAAATGGTTTCAGCCAAAAGCGCGATCTATTATGCCTTCCACCCTAATCAACTACGTTCCATGATACAATGGTGAGCTACTCAAACGGCATGTCTCGCACTGCTGTCAATATCTAACCTGATTTTGTCAACAGGAAAGTCTGGCACGAGCCCGTTCACACACGAGATCAATCCAAAGAAGCACCCACCCTTACATCATGCTTCCACTTCCTCAATTTGACGAGTCGCAGCTTCGCGGCCGTCATCCAAGAGCTGAACTCTGACATGCTCGTTCCCATCGCCCTCTTCTACTTGGTTCTGCGTGGACTCGATACCATTGAAGATGACATGACCATCGATGCCGACACGAAAGAGCCGCTGCTCCGTGACTTCTACAAGAACATGCGGACCGAGGGCTGGACATTCAATGGCAACGGGCCCATGGAGAAAGATCGCGAGCTGCTGATTCACTTTGACGTCGTGGTCGCGGAGCTCCAGAAGCTCAAGAAAGGCTATTACGACATCATCGAGGACATCACCATCAAGATGGGCAACGGCATGGCCGACTACGCCCTGGGTGCCGAACACAAGGATGGTATTGAGACGATCGCGCAGTACGAGGAGTATTGCCACTATGTTGCGGGCCTTGTTGGCGAGGGTCTTACCCGACTCTTCGTCGAAGGAAATTACGCGAACCCTGCCCTAATGGATCGTATGGAGCTCACAGAGAGCATGGGCCAGTTCTTACAAAAGACCAACATTGTCCGAGACGTACATGAAGATTTCCTGGACAAGCGCCGCTTCTGGCCCAAGGCCATCTGGAGCAAGTATGTCGACAAATGGGAAGACATTTTCGAGCCCAAGAACAGGACCTTGGCGCTGCAATGTAGCTCCGAGATGGTGTTGAATGCGCTCAAGCATGCTGACGAGTGTCTGTTCTACATGGCCGGCATTCGTGAGCAGAGCGTGTTCAACTTCGTGGCAATCCCTCAGTCCATGGCCATTGCGACGCTGGAGCTGGTGTTCCAGAACCCCAAGATATTCGACAGCCATATCAAGATCACCAAGGGCGACGCCTGCCAGCTCATGATCGAGTCGACACAGAACCTGAGGGTTGTATGTGACACGTTCCGACGGTATGCGAGAAGGATAGCGAAGAAGAACGACCCAAGGGATCCACATTACCTCGAGATCAGTTCTGCATGTGGCAAGATCGAGCAGTTCATCGAGACGTTGTTCCCGTCTCAAGATCCCAAGAAGGTCGCATTGGTGCAAGATGCCAAGAAAGACGAGGACAAGATGGATCCTTGGGAGGGCTTTATCTTGATTGGAGCCGCGATACTGGTCCTATTGCTGGTTTCAGGACTTATGGTAAGTGACGTCAAATTATGCTGTAAGATGGAACACTAACACATGGTCAGATTGGTGTAGCATGGGCATTCGGTGCGAGGTTCGATGCCATGTTTGACAAGACGTGGACGCAGCCATCCGTCTTGCCCGACCCATCAACACCTACCACCATGGCGTCAGTGACCCACGGAGAGTTATAGTTGCCGAACTCACATCAGGGGTTTGAGTGTGTTGCCTTTCGTGTTTATATATTGCTCTCGTCTCTTTGATTGCGGAGAGTTCGAGACGCTCATGCTGAGCTGGTTTCGAGCGAGACGAGAGGTTTTCACGTCTTCTACACTTTATGCCTTCGATGAAGATATGGGTTGCCAGTGCCCGGGTCTGCTATTTTCAGACAAAGTACCACTAATATGACTAATAATACTTTACGAGCCTGCGCAGCAGGGCGACGGAAAGGCTTCATTCACCATGTTCTACACGCGACGTTGTGATGCGTACCTATGATTCAAAGGGAGAAACTCCTAGCACGGATGTCAAATTACAATCCAGTCCTTTACGATGACTGAGGTTGTGCCGAGAAGTGCTGATATTGAACCACACATCGCGAGTAGTACCGACCTTTACTAAAGGTCGTAGGCACACGTCAGTTTTAAACCCCTTGGTCTTGTCCGAAGGGTTTGCTGCCGTGGATCGCGAACATACTTTCATGGCCCATTTGGGATGCTTGCCATCAGTGACTTCTGTATAAAATGCCCCAGTATCTGATGTAGTCCCGTGGGGAGCAACAGTAGACGAACCACTCCAAAGCGATGATGACCGTGTGGTACGTCCCTGGTGCACTCCAGGCGACAATGGGATTCGTCTACAGCACGCCTGAAGTATTTTGGCAACCCTCGAAGACTTGAGGCAATGTACAGAGCATTTATGGTCAGCACACAACGTGTTTCGGGCTGCATTTTACGATATTATGTTTAATGGTGCATACTCGACTCTCTGATACCTATAGTTCGGTTACTGTTGGCACTTACAAATCATCCAGGTGGTTTGTATATTTCAACTTAATGCATCCACTTCTCTCATAACATGTGTTCGTTATCGTCAAGCTAGTCTGCTTTCGACCCAGCACGAGCCTTTGCTACTCTCCCTTTTCTCTAGTCCCGAGTCAGTGGAACATCGAGTTGACAGCCACAACCACTTCTTGTTCCTCCATGGCGAAGTTGCGCGACCTTGTTCAATGTTCCAAGTTCGCCATGCCGGCGTCAAAGGGTTCGGCATCTTCGCATCCCGCCAGATAGCACCTGGAAGTCGCATCTTGGCGGAGCGCCCTCTCCTTCTCATTAACAACAACAAACCAGACATCCTCGCTGCTGCGCGAAGGCTCTCTCTAAAGGACCATAAGACCCTGCTCCGCCTCTCCCTAAACGAGACCAAGCGCTCCTCCATCGCGAGCCTCCTCGTTGCGGCATGGAAGTCTTTCCCCGCCATCATGGCCACCAGAGAGGTCCGTGACATCTTGAACATCTTCTACAACAACAACTTTGCCCTCTCGGACGCGGATGGCACACGGGCTGTATTTCCGACCGTGGCGCGCATAAACCACTCGTGCGTACCCAATGCCCAGGGAAACTTCAACGCCAATCTGCAGAGCTTCACCGTCCATGCCCTAAGGGATATTGGCAATGAAGAAGAAATCACCATCTCGTACTTACACGACGAGCTGGCGTTGCGTCAGGGACGGCAGGCTAGCTTATCAGAGGGGTACGGCTTCACGTGCGCGTGCGAGCTCTGCGCGGGAAGTGCCCAGCGAAGGGGCGAGAGCCGGAAGAGGCGCGTGGGCTTGCATGAGAAATTGGCCGTCTTTTCTGCGGAGAACAAGTCCGTTCCGGTGGAGAAGCTGGAAATGGCAACCCGGGAGCTGAGGCTGATGAGGGAGATTATTGAGGCGTATGAAGGGGAGGGTCTCGCGGGAAGGGAGATCGCGTCGCTGTACTCGGCGGCGGCGGGGCTGGCGGTTGCGTTGGGCGATCATGGTCTGGCGCTCACATTGGGGGCTAGGGGGTTGGAGAGGGAGAGGGATGCGGTTGGCACGGATAGTCCGTTTTATGAGGCTAGTCGGTTGGGGTTTAGTCGCTTGGAATTTGGGGAGGGGGTTGGACTTGGAAAGAGGCTGCATGAGGTGCGGGACGAGGTGCTGTCTTATGCTCCTTGGACCTGATGCTACACGCTAAGCCTGGATAAACCCTAATACGCGGATGGGGGACTTGTTCTATACATATTGACGGAGGTCTGATCAGGAACTGCCGGCATCTTGTTCATTTGACATATCAATAGCCTAAGTATACCTACTGACCCGAGCCACAGCAAGACCACATAAGTATTATCAGGTAGGTGTATCGACTATCCGGATGGACCGAAAATGGGAATGTGCTGAGTTGTCTAACATGATATGGAATAATGTCGCCTAGTATGAGAAGACAGTTTCTTACCGGGCCGGTTTCTACAACCTTATAATAAAGCTATGTGTTCAGTTTGGTAGTCCTGTTGTAGATCGGTTGCAGCCTTATTGAGTCACTACTACTCTGGTGTAACTTTCTCCTTGTCTTAGTTTCCCGAGGTCGTTCTCGGGCTGGATTTCACCGTGACTGTATGCTGTGGAGAACTAGGGTTCAATCAATACAACGGTTTTCGAAGACGTTTGCGAACCTGGGGCCTGAGGAGATTCGGTCAACGAGTTGACTGTTTGTGCTCGAGCGTGAGCTGGTGACAAGGCTGGAATTAGCAAATATCCCCATTAGCGTTTACCGAGTCGGACTCCTACGCGTCATCCGGATCCCTCGAAACAAGAATGTTGGCAATGTCTACGTCCACTCGTCATAATACCTACGAGCCTATTGAAGTATGTTACATTCGGATACAGGACCCTCAGTCAGAGATATTTCTACCAGCCGGCCTCCCATTTCACCTTTTCCTAGTCCCTCTATCCGATCCAACCGCCGACAGGGGCTCCGCTGTTCACATCACCTCGTCTCGTGTTGGTCGCGTGTCATTACATCCCCCGCAGCGAGGACCCTCTTTGCTCTCCCGAAAAGAAAGAACGGGAACCTCAAAACCGAACAACGAGGAAACAAGGAAGATGGACGACATGACCTCCTCCCGCATTGCTTTGCCAAGAACCGCAGAACCGGTCGGAGCTGAGGATGCTGGCAGCTTGGCGGTTTGGGGGATTTGTGGTTCTGTCTCTAGATTTTCTGGAGACTTCTGTTTGATGACTATGACTGCGATTGATTGACACACTTGCCCCACCTCCCGTATGAAGATTATGTATGGAAGGGGCCGAAACGAGCACCTCCAAATGCTTATTTTAGGTAAGTGGGATTCTTTGGGTTATTCAGAGTCAGACCAAGTGGAGGCTTGTGGGGGATGGAATGGGATGGGATGGGATGGGATGAAGTTGTAGAGTTAACGAAGTACTGGAGATATGGAAGGCAAGAAGGTTCACAGGGTTGCTGCGCATGGAGTAGAAGGGATCTGGAAGGTTTCAAGGTTATGCTCTATGCAATACTCAGCACATGGGATAAATTCGAATTTACGACAGGATGAGACGACGTTTGGTTGTATCACGAACTAGCCATTAATACCTTGATTTTAAAATTCATGACCTTTTCATCACTGCTATTGCGTCCAAATCAATACCGTGACCGTAATTAGACCGTGACTTGGTTGTCAATTATGGATATTGATGTGTTGTGATATGTACCTTAAACAATTAAGTTCTACCGCTGGGGAGGCCCTTGTATGCAACTAATCCACACTTGGTCTTCTACCAAGTCCCATTGTATCGCTAGTAGGTCTATTGCAAAAGAAGATGCTGCCTGTGGCTCCGATCACTCGTAACTCCGTTCCAAGAAAACTAGGTTTTGGTGGGTTCCTCGGCATGTCCTTTTGATATATCTAGTGGTAGATAATAAGTGCGTGCTGGAACGGTGATGATGCACGATGCCGTGTTCCCCCTTTCGCGTAATCATATGATATGCAAGAAAGCAAGCCCGCTTTACAAGTTGCCGTTGTTGGCGATCAAATCGGTGGTGTCGGCCTCGTTGTCAAGAACGGTAGCCCCGCTGTCGCCAGCGAGGGCCTTGATGCGATCAGAGACGGCAGTGACGTCGGTGATGCTCTCAAGGGACATGAGGTAAGCGGCAAGACCGGCGACATGGGGGGAGGCTGTCGTCTTGTTGTTAGCTTCAAGTCCTGCATGAAATTTGTAACGGTGGAATTGGCTTACCCATGGAAGTACCGGATAGAACCTCGGTGGCGGTGTCGCTGGTGATGCCCACACTCTCGACATCGACACCAGGTCCAAAGATGTCAACAGATGTGCCAAAGTTGCTGAAGCTGGCCTTAGCATCCGTCGTCTGGTCGATGGCACCGACGGTGATGGCGTTGGGGGCAGATGCCGGGCTGGTATTGCCGGCATCCTGGTTCTCGTTTCCGGCAGCGACAACGGGCACGACACCGGCGGCAGCGATAGCCTCGACGGCGTTGTTGATAGCCCGGGACCTGGAACCACCCAGAGACATGTTCATGACGGCCTTGCCAGCGAGTCCCTCAGCAGAAGCGTTGTTGGCGACGAAATCCAGACCCTGCAGAACACCAGAGTTGGTGCCACCACCATCAGCATCGAGCACCTTGACGCCCACTAGGTTAACGTTCTTGGCGACACCAAAAGTAGCACCACCAATAGTGCCAGCAACGTGAGAGCCGTGACCGTTCTCGTCAGTGTCCTAATGTCCCCAGTTAGTGATTTACTCTGACCGTGTCTCATTCCGGTGTTAGTGAAATTACATACCACATCGTTGATGAAGTTGGCACCCATGACAGCACGTCCCTGGAACTCCTCGTGGGTCGTCATGATACCAGTGTCCACAACGTAAGCCGTGATGCCCTGTCCTGCCGAGTCATCGAAAACATAGCCAGCCGCGGCCGAGCTTGCAGTAGCAGATGCGCTAGACAACCGGATGAGACCGCTAGGAGCGTTGGATTGCGACTGCAGTGCCAAAGCCTTGACATAGGTGTCGGCCTCGACAAACGAAACCTCCTCAGCAGCGTTGATCTCCATCATCATCAGGTCATCTGCCTCCAGAGCCATGGCGTGCCAGCCCGACATGGAAAACGTGCGAGTGCTGGTGGACAGCAGCTTGCCACTGAGACTCCGCTTGCCAATGTTGCGCTTCTTGATAGCGGATGCCACACTCATCTGGTGAGCAGCCACCACGTCGTCACCAAAGGTCTTGTTGTACACCACGATGTAGGCGTTGGGCACAATATCGGTGGCGTCGACGTTGTCAATGGGGACACCGAGGGTCGAATCCCAGGTAGCGAGGCCAGTGGTAGGAGCCGCATTGACCAAGGATGCTGCAACGGCAAGCACCGAGGTGAAGAGTGTGGTGAGGGGCGCCATCGTGAATAGACAGTGCTCTGAACGGAAGTATTGGTTTTTCTATGGTACCAGCCAAATCGAGAAACGGGGAAAGAGAGCAGTGAGCTTATGTCTTTAAAATTGCGAATAGAGAATCGAAGGGTATCAAATGTCAAACTGCGTTGAGAACGAACGGTACACAAGCTCCAGGCAAGGGACAATGATGTGGGTAGTTGAACAAACAAATAGAAGAATGCAGAATGTAAAAATAGTAAATAGATGGATGACAAGAAATGAAGTACCTCAATTCCCCTAATGCAGGTACTGCCGAATAGAAACGCTTTTTAAGATGGACAACAGCTGGATGGAAGTCAGGAAATATAGCTCGGTATCTCTCCTTTAAGAAATCTCTTGTGCAGGGCCAGATTAACCAGGGCCCCCATAAGGGCCGTAAGGGGGCCCGACGTACGATATTTCGTACAGACCTAGTTGATAGCCGGCATACGTACATTCTCGGAATAGCATGAATGGGATCCTCACGACCATGTCACAACCCGTCGTTGGTTACGGAAGCATGCTGCAAGAGGTGCGGCGGCTTAGACTGCAAGGGTGACGCGCCAAGCCGTCACTTAGCTCGCCAAGTCAAACCTGCCCCTGGGAACGCCGGGTACCGATCCACCAACGCTAGCCAGTTTGCCCTTTCAACCGGTTTAAACTCCAGACGATAACGTGTGACAGCCGCATAGCCATAGTGCAGCGTTGAATTGGGCAAAAAGTAAGGTTGCTGCACTGTACTATAGTTGCCGGGCTCAACCATCAGTGATTTTACGGAATGCTGGCAAGCTGGGGTGAGGCAATAATGTTTGTAGAGGAGCATTTGAGCGGCTCAGGTGATGGGCGGGTGATACCTAGAGAGAGCGCATAGAAGGTCAATGGTAGGTTGGGCCACAGTTAGGGGTTCGGCGTGCGGCAGGTGGGTGCCGACTTGGACGATCTCCCACGACCAGCGATCATGGACTCTCGGCGAGAGAACGCAGATGCAGTTTGTTTTCGTTACAGGTCGCACCGAAAATATGGGATTTGAGCTCGTCCCTAGACATCGAGCTGCAGCGGGCCGACGATAGAGTTGGTGAAATGCCCACCATCATCGTTTTGGTGAGATACTGGCTGTCCGTCTGATGGAAAATTGACCAGGCTATTTCGGTCAGCTAGGCGTGACCAGGTTACATATTCGACGCGCAAGCTGCGGATGGCAGATTCACGGGGCAAGGCTAACGACAAAAAAAACAGCAAAAAACGGCTGTCAAACTGGGACGCGTCATGGCGCACTAACATCGTTCCTCGCAAGGTCGTAATTGGCCTGCGCCAGTCTGGAATGCAAGGGAGGCAGCCTGGAGAATCTCTGCCACAGTGTTGGCCAGGTCACGCAGTTTCTGCTCAGGGAGAACCTCCTTGGAACATCCCGCCAAGTCCAACAGCCACGCATGCGTTTGGGTATTATGGGTTCGTCTGGGTTCGTCTGGGGAACCCGGGCGTTAGAATCCTGGGTGATGATTGCCCGCGACCCCGTCCTCAGGATTTGAAGGAAAGCTGATTCATGGGACAACGCAGCGCACCGGTCCTTTGTGTAGTCACTGCGGAAAGAGTCTAGCCGTGATCATCGTCCGTCAAATTCAACAGAATACAATAGGACCAATGAACAAGAACCGAACCTGAACACCAAAACGCAGGGTCATGGTTGGGTGGGTGGTGGAGCGCCGAAGCGGAACATGCCAACAGCCTCTCAAAAGAGCCGCCATTTGCTCACGAATTCCTGCACAGGGCGGCAGCTAGGGAATAGACGCTTTCTCAGCTCAGGGTATTAGGTACCGTTTAATTGTCCGAGGTCCCACAGAACAGAAACAACCTCCTTGGTTCTCAGGCCGACACGCCGTTTCAACGTTGCTCAACGCTCATTGGCTTTTCGACTAGATTAGATCAACTGAAACCAGAGACACTGCATCTGAGCTGCACCCGTTTGGGACATCGTGGGGTATTTCGGCTCCAAAGACGGCCCATACACACCATACAAACCATGGGACGAAACAAAAAAGAGGAATGCTCACAGAGTTGCAGAGTTGTGACGACGCAAGACGGCAGCACCGCCAGTCGGCTCATCTTCTTGACTCGCGATTGGGCATTGCAACTTTGGCCGTGAGTTAGCCGGCATGCAACGTGTTTGGCAATGCCGTTCGGTTATCTAGATGCGGTCGGTCACCGACGGCGAATCAGTTGAGATGATCCCACCTGCGACCGTGGGCTAAAGCCCTCACAGTGTTTATCGTCAAACTCAGTGCCGGTGACTCCCACCAGCCAATAACTAATCAATATGGCCGGCCTGTTATCCCGAGGACAAAGCTGATCACGGGAGGCTCTGATCAGAATTTGCCGTGAGGGTAAAATTGCCCAGGAGCATATCTGTGGAGCTCGATCGTCTGTATAACCAAAAAGATATTCTTGACTCAGGGCACGGGCATCCTCCTTGGCTTCAACTCTAGTCTGAAGTTGATAACCTTGTTTTTTTTATCTTGTTGCACTTCACTCTGTTCCTGCATGTCATAGCATCCTCCAGCTGACCTTTCCCTGGACACACAGCCGCTGCCGCAACTGCTGCCATGGAAAGTCGGCAATGACAAGACCCGCCGTACTGTCGGGAACCTTGGAATGCATGCGTCCTGCATCTCATCGTCATGGCAAGGCTCATCCACGGCTACTCCGCATGACGGTCATGTCCCTGGATATTTATTTGGTTCTCAAACCCCTCGCATTTCAATCGAGACTACAGTTAAGGTGACCATAGACCCCCCCAGTTGAGCCGACCATGACCTCACGTGATGTTAAAACACTGGGTCCAGGTGACCATAGTGGGGTAGATAATCCCTCTATTCTTCTTAGTTGAAAATATGTGAAAATCGGGTCTAACTGACCATAGAATCGAATTTGAATTGAATTTGAATTCCGATTTCGATTCGATTCGATTCTGCTTTCCCTAGTAATAACCCGTTATCCGCTACTTCTTCCTCGTAATTCAGCTAATCGTTCTACGTAACGATACCGTCATACAAGGATATAGTAAGTATATTTCTAAATTAACTTCGAATCGATTTTAAGTTAATTTTTTTAGCCCTAATATTACTTCTTTAAGGATAGTATTACTTACGTCGACGGCACACACTACTGGCTACTTAGTATACTACTATTCGAGTTTAACGACGTAAGTTGTGACAGGCTGTGCCTGATATGGGATCCGGAGCTGCAAGGACCGTGCGTCCGGATCCACCAAAGGAACCATCGAGGGCACACAAAACATAGTCCGTGTTCCCGGGACAACTCGCATATTTTACTTTCCTCCTCAGTTAGATAATTAACAGTATTTGGCCATGTTGAGCTGTATAGTTTCGCAGTGAGCCCGTCACATAAGTACTATATAATCTAGGAAGATAAAGTCGTATTAGCTATTAGTAAGCTCTATTACCGTATACCTACTACTTCCGGTAGTATACATATAACTATAAGTACGTACCTCTAAATATAGAGCGGGTATTTTAGATAATAGGGAAGATATCTGTAGTAGCTATAGTAAAGATAATATAGTAGAATCGATTAAGAATCGATTTAGAACTAATTAGAGAATAATTTCGTTATATTTGGACTAGAGTTACTAGGAAAAATCTCTACGGATTTAAAAAGAAAAGTGTGCTTTCAATCATTCGGGTTATGCCGAAAGCACCCCTTTATCTGCTACGATCGCCAAGAAGATCTTGATTGGAGAGCTCAAATGTCGTTATAAACATCGGCTTACTTACAGTTGCGAGATGGTCGTCCAAAAAAGCCATATCTTGAGCCCGTGTCGACGAGATATTCCGAGTTACAGGTCCGTGTGTCTTCTTAACTTGACAACTAGACAATGATTGTCTCAGCAACCTACGCTGTGTTTATTCCTTCCGCATTTAAATTGAGGGAGGGCATGTGTCGGCACCACACGAGTCGTCAACGAACCTTGGCCGGCGCGGTGTGCTGAGGGTTTGATCAATGCGCTGGTAAATACATAGCAATGGGTGATCGTGAGCATCACCGAGTGTCGCGCATCCCGTGTAACACAAGATGACATTGCGTAGGTATTGCCGTTGACGATCGTCCAGCTCGTATGAATTGATGTAAGCAAGGAGCGAATAAAAGTTGGTAGACAATTTCAACAAGCCCCATATCGGCTGTCATGCACGCCACTCCGATGGGCACCTGCCTTGAAGAAGTTTCTGCCCATCACGTAAAGACGAAATATTTCGATTTTTTATGGCGGCATTCATGGCTCAGCTTTCTGTGCCGCTCGTCGGTCTCAATGGATACATACCATTCAGAAGAATTCAAGACGTGTGCTGAGCACAATATGCTCGCTTTGTCTGGGTGGTGTTCGCCGCGGGTTTGGATCCAATGTTGCCCTTGCGTGATTTGACTGTTGTCGTGTTTAGGTGCGGTCCCCTGGTGATGTGGCGCGTACTTGATAGTTTGGTTGATTACCTTTACGATTGTTGTGATTATCATGGCCCATGGGGCCACTTTCGAGATGACCCAATTGCCAAGCGGTCGCCGCTATTGAAGCATGTGCTATCGGCCTGCCTACGAATTCGCTAGACGAAATGATAATGCAATATAACGTGGAATTAAACCCATGCAGAGCGTTAGTCTAGAAGCTAATGGTGGCAAGCGCCCGCTTAAGCCTGGCCCGAGCCATGGCACCTGGAAACTGCCATGCTGGCCATGTCCAGTCCCAAGTGAAGTTGCATTGCCTGACCCTCACTCCAGATTCGGGTTGGTCCAACCGCTGCGCAAACTGAAGTCCCCCTCCATCAAATTTCCAAATCTGTCTCATTCCTTCTCGAGTATTCCCTTTGACAAAGCCGCATCACTATCCTTCATTCGCATAGTAATCTGGTAGCTTTCTCCTATCCGTACCTTTCATTTACGACAACGACGAGGAGGACCGTGTCCCTTTCCCCTTTGCGTTCCCGTCTGCCCACTCTAGCAATCCTTCGGCAGTGATCTGTTCCACCCAGTTCAGCGTACCAACTTTTCCGCCAGTACACACGCGACCACCTTTGCAACGACAACCGACGGCTGCATCCGCCTTCCGACATTCCAGTTCACCGAATAGGCGACGAACATACTCGCGAGCATTCGATAGTGCGGTGCTTTGACAGCGCCGAGTAGCCATCATCGTTCCAGCCAATCGCTACGCAATCTTGTCATGATCATCGGAGTTCCTGGGCGATAGAGCCGATACTGAAGCAGAATACGAGAAGATGATGGGAAGACGGAATTCTGGTGTCTTTAACGACGACGAAGATCATGTAATGACCAGCAACACGTATGATGTGCCATCGCAGAATCTCAGGGAGGCGTATCTGCCGCGGGACGTGTCGATGAATGGCGACGATGACGAGCAGGATAACGAGGGGACCGCGGCGACGGAGCTGGCTGCTATAATGACGACGACGTCTACACCAGTATCGCCAGGGCCGTCGAGCCCGCCACTAGAACAAACGAAGCCGCAAGATTTCATTCCGCCAACGCGGCCAAGTAGTACTCCGTTTCCTAATGCGCAGCAGGGCCAGGTGGATATACGATGTCTAACGTGCCAACCGGCATGCCACGACTCTGAAGATTCCATGGTTATGAGCCCCGTGACTACGCCGACCGCCGACCAGTACCCCCAGCAGTCTCTGATGACTTTACCGGCAGAGATTCACGAGTGCATCTTGGACCACCTCTTCGGGTACCGGGTATCTACCACGTCGCCCAGCTCTTTGAGCATACCAAGTGTCAATGCCCGCAGTTGGAGCACCGCGCTTCGCCATTCGAGGAGGAAAGAACTGTCCAATCTGGCTCTGGTCATGCCACTGTGGAGGGATCTGGTACAGGAGCGTCTCTTCCGCCATCTCAAGCTCAAGGCCACAGTCGACGAATGTAACGAGGTAATGGACTTCTTTGTGCAGCGTTCCCACATGAGAACATATGTTAAGCACATCGAAATATGGTTCCCCGTTTTCCAGCCTAAGTTTGGCTCGGCCGGAGCGCCCAACTCATCCCTCGCTCTCCCGACTGTCTCCCCCGAGGGTATCTCAAGCGCGCAATACGCTTTGCCGACGGATAATTCGACGTTGGAGGATGTATTCTATCTCGTGAGCAACTCGTTCCCAGAGGTGCGGGTCATGACACTCGAAGGTGGAGAGAGAAAGAAGGCCCCCAGAGTCAAATTCAACCCGCCAGCTCCTCTTTGGCCGGCGAGGGCTCATCCGGTGCCCAGGGACCTGCCCGAGGTCCCTTCCATTCAGACCCTGGTCATCAAGAGCCAATGGAACATCATCCGTCACTACAAGGACTGGCAGTTCATCTCCAACGCGCTACCAAACCTGGAAGAGTGGCACGGTACCTATGCGAAGCCCAAGAGTAAGAGTTATTTGAGCATGGCGGGCACTCTTGAGATTCTCGATTCGAAGATTACCAAGCTGAATCTCAGCCTGGAGACCGACTACAGGCGAGAGCTGACATGCCCACCGTACTACCTGAAGGTCTGCGAACAGCTTCATTGGTGCGAGAAGATGGCTAAGGCAGCCAGTAAACTGGAGCATTTGTCGTATACCGGTCGTATTTGCCACAGTTTCTTTGATCTCTTAGCTAAGCACTCGAATCCGCGGACAAGCAGGCTGAAGACCATTAACATCACTGTCAAGAATTGCTGCCGCCAAAATGCTCAATGGAATGAATCTGGATCGGGCATCACCGACATGCATTTTATCAATGCATTCGAGCAGCTGGTGTTAGGGGGCATACGATGCTTGGAGCGGCTCAAGGAGGTGAATCTCTTACGAATCCGCTTTGTTGATCTAGGTACGTTTAATCTGTCCCACCCACGCGTCCTCGTACGGCATGCTAACAACGGTTTAGATTCACCTGTTCCTCCCTTGAACCCCTACTTCATCATCAAGGATGGTTGGTGCTCTGGCGTCTGGAGTGACGAAATTGTAGCGGAGCTCAATCGCGTTCGGCCAGACGCTCGCTTCGAGTCCATGGCTGAAAGTTTCGGCGAGGTTGGCTTCAATAAAGAAGGCCGCTTGGTCATCAGCCCCGACTTCCCCAAGTCACACGTCCTCTCCCTTAAACTTGCGAACTACGCCATGCTTTCCGGAGGGATCACCATAGTGTGATGAAGACTTTTCACAAGCGGCCTGATTTTAAGGCTCACAAATATTCAATTATCAGCGAAACACCATTCGAAAATTACATGATCACGGGGTCCATGCCGACCAAACCTCGACGGCCACATGTAAATACTAGCTTCGCCCTCATCTCTACACTGCACACGCATTGAAGTTACTCCGGAAATTTTGGGCGTTTTAGACGGCAAGGGGAAATTGGTTCGCAGATGTCTCGATGATACCTAATCTCTCGGTTTTTTTTTCCCCAATCCACCCACACACCTACACACGAACACACACACACACACACACATCCAGCGTTTATACATTAGTATGGAGTTTTGAGGGAATTATTTTGTATGAACTATCCATAGGTTTTGCGGCATGGCATAGTAGGGAGTTGATGTTTGAGAGAAGGAAGGGGTTTGGTCATGTATCTTGCTCGATCTGCCATTACTCCGATTGGGCGGACAACGTGGGGGCAACGTTTGGTTGGGCTCCTGTTGAAAGAGTGAGATAAGATGAGCTGGCTAGCCTGGTTCCACTTTGAAAGATAAATCCCGTCAAAGGGGACATGCTGTAGTCTACCTCTAGATAAGACAAGTCAAGTCGATTCATACGAGCCGTGCTACTCCTCGATGATATATGTTGATGGGCCTTTTGGCGGTACATGCTTGCTGGTAGCTGGCCGTGTAAGGAAGGGTACGTCTTGTCGAATTGGCAGCTAGTATATCACAGTTTTCTAACCCAGGTAATGTTCGATGGAACCCTGTTGACTGGCGTGTAGTCTTGCACGTGTGGAAGAGACCAATGCTATGTCGTTACGGGTACGTCTTCCCCGACACGCCGCGCGTCCGTGTCTGCTGACTTGTTCCTCATCAAACGATGGCTAGTCCCTTCTGGGTGGTTGTCCGTCTCCTTTTGATTGTGTGCTAGATATTTTTAGCAGTAGGTTAATGACGTCTATTCGTCTATTTTCAGCTATATGTCGTTTCGAGTGATTGGAGAAGCTAATCCAATTATCTAAATGTAAATAAGTGATGCGAGTGCACATGGGGTGTGAATTGTTGTATTGGGAAAGGATGGCCAGGTCAGCTATTCTGGCCTGGCAGAGCTCTTTTATAGCTCTTATCTATCTTATCTCTAGCTATAGGGCAACCCCCATGGGATCACGTATCAATAAGTATGGAATGGGTGTCTTGACAGTAAATTGCTTCAATTCCCGTGAAGATGGTGCCCGGTTCAAAAGGCGGTCATTGAGGCAGTCAGGAGACGCCGAGGAAGCGCAAGCAGCAGGCTACTTCGGGATAGATTTTAGACGAGCACTGTGGTAAAAGTACGTCTGATGCGGAAACGAATGACTCCAAAGAACGGTTTTGGCATGTTTGTCCTATTGTGCATATCTACAGGTATTGAATCTCACCATGCTTGACAGTTATAACCCATGAATCCAAAGGCCATCATCATCCCAGACAACCTTGCTGGACTACAAGGTGGCTGATTTCTCGAAATCGCTAATAATCAACCCCAATATCCAACAATTGACCAGGAAGAAGGCAAGTGACGAGTACAGCAGCCCCGGGACAAAAGTGCTCTGGCCCAAGAACTCGAGGTTGTAGCCCTGCTGCAACCAGGCAGCTTGTGTGGCCACCCACAGAACGAGAGCCGAGAGGCCCAGCTTTGGCTTTTGCAACGGCGATGAGTTGGGTAGGTAGAGAGGAAGGAAGACCATGTACCAGAGGAAGTACTACCGAAAGTTAGTGACGGAGCGAGCAGTTATACCTTGCACGTCTGCCTGATAAGATATACAACAGCAATGTAACGAAAGGTGTCAGTCCTGTACATACCTGACTTGTGCAGACCTTGTTAAAGGTGACGAAGGCAAAAGTCTGCGTCAGCATAGTCGCCGGCAAGTCCTTCTTCCCGCCCACGAGGGGTATGAGCACCGTACTGAGTAAAATCTGCGGCAGGAACGCCAGGCTCTCGATTCTGAATTCACTGGTGGCTATCTCAGGCTGCGAGGAGGTGAGGTACAACAAAACGTTGTACGGACTGAAATTATGCCGGTGGTCGATCCTCGTAACATGATGGAAGAAGGTGTGCTGCAAGAACTCGTTGCCATACAAGTTGTACATCCACACATTGAGCCCCATAAATGTAGCCAGACTGTACACAGCCAGACGCACCCGGTCCGAGGTTACAAAACGCAAGATAGCCGGCGTGCCGCGCGTAACCTCAGCACCCATCCGCTCAGCATCCATCCACCACACGATCGCAGGAGCGTAGATGAAGGGGTAGATCTTGAAGTGCACGCCCAGCCCGAGAAGGACCCCCGCCGTCCTGACTCGCTTCTCCAGCACGGCGTACAGTAGCGCCATGACAAGCACGCCCAGAAGGCCTTCAGAGCTGCCGCGGGTGGAGATGGTAGCCACCATGGGGTTCAGCAGCCAAATGCTCGCGTACTTAAGGGCGCTCTGCATCGGCATACCCATATGGCGCCGCAGCACGAGCACGATCAGCCATCCTGCCAACAGATCCGCGACTGCGAATAGTATTTTGCCGAAGGAGAACCAAAAGACGCCCGGCAGGGTGGTGGGGTAAAGAAGCCAGGCGAGGAGAGGCGTGTAGCGGTAGGTTTCCCGGGCATAGGGGGAGGCCGGGCCAGTGGGGGAGAAAGTGAAGCGCGCTGCATCGGTGAAGACTAGGTAGTCGATATCGGTGTACTTGAGCGGCGAGTTGGCGTCTTGCCATAGGCCGTAGATGAGTAGAATAGCGCGCAGCAGGAAGGCGGCTGTGAAGAGTGGCAGCGGCGTGGAGAAGAGCTTTGCGAGGGGCTTTGCCATTCTGCCTGTGCTTATGATTCTTCAAGTTTCAAACTACTGTCTGTACTGAGGCTTGAAGACGCTAGCGTTATATAGGCTATGGGACTATTCCATGAAGCCCAAAACCTGACAATTCTGTTCTGGTTGCTAGTTGATGATACCAATGCTCAGTTCAGAATCCGAAGAGGGGTGACACCCGTGAACTGGCTTTCCAGAGTGGCTTACGACGAGATGTCAACATAAACTCAAAGATAGAAAGGTGGGCTTTGAAAAAAATACAAAACAAAGGTAGCATTGATTTTCCATCTCATGTTCATAGACTTCTCTCCATCTCGTATCTTGAGTCGAGGGCAGCAAGGTAAGAAGAGGGCCAGATGCAGCTTCTCTCGGCTTTACTTCGGCTTAACCACAACCCTTGCCCATCTTGGTGTGAAGTGAGTTCAGCCGCTAGAACCACCTCAATCCTCATCTCATCAAGTGACAACTCACAGAGCCATCAATAAGTGAAGAAGCCTTAAGGATATTCATTTACAGTCTGAAAGGACATCAGATCACGCCAAATACCATCTGAATAGAGGCTGTCTTCGACAAGCTGCATCAACATCCTTCACGGCTTTTTAGACTCGGTAAGTGTGCAGTTGCCCATCCAAGCCGATGCTCATCTTGATAGACGCTGATTAAGCGTCTAGAAAGAAACTGTATTTATTTGTTGATTGTATGAGGCTTAGGTTGTTTTTTTCAGGTGTGCTCTCCCTATACCCCAAGTTATTTTTGCTGGTGCTCTTGCCATCCTGCAGTCACAGAAAGTCCAACACTCCTCGTCCCTAGGTGAATTTTCGGACAACTAGGAACTTCAACGTGGGTCAGAAATCACTTCAGGGCCATTCATACCTGGCATCCATATCTTGGAACCAACTAGCCGACATAAATTGTTCACCTGCACGACTGGCATCGCTAGATCAGCAGCGCAGCTATTCCGAGAGACGAATCCAGACCTGTAAGTTGCTAGGCTTCTTTTTATTTTGTCCGCTGTTGCCCAGAGGACCGTTTGCTTTGTGACATTCATAACCCATGTCGCATCGGCTTGGACTTTTACTACACATCTTACAAGTGCATATGCTCGATCGCTGGTCACATTGGCCCCCCGATAAAAACCGCACCTGTTCAAGCAGTTCTCCAATAGTTTTTTCCACATCACTATAGCAAAAAACTGGAATTTTACCCACGACTGTGCCTTGTGTCTCTCACTCAGACCTCCAAATTAGAAGAAAGCTGTTTGGTTGATATCAGTAGTCTCTTGACATTTGTGGACAAAGCTGACGTCCCGAGGCAGAGATCATCTCCCACAAAGTCTGTACCATGGTTGGCGTTAAGCGAGACCACCAAGGAAACAAGAAAGAGGAGAAGTCTAAGGAGATTGCGCGCAACGCTTATACCTCCATTTTTGAGGGCTTCCGCGACGAGCTTGATGAGCATCACGATCGCCGTCAGAGAATCGGCAAGGTGTCGAGGGATGTTACTGCCCTGAGCAAGAAGATGTGAGTTATCCCAACTCGTACCGTATACTGGCGAAATACTGCTGAACTGATCGATATAGCATCTTTGCTCTGCAAAGGTATTATCACCGCATCTCCACTTGAACCCTGTCTCAGCCAACTGACACGTTGTAGGGTCCGCAAGCTCAACCAGCCCGTCCCCGAGCGCTTGGCGGCGGAAATCCAAGGTCGCGTCAAGGAGATCAAGGAGCTCCTAAATACCATTGAAGCCGATGTTCAGGGCATCAACCGCTACCGTTACCCGCTGATTTGCCTGGAGGAGTTCGTTGAGGCTGTCTCGTTCATGCACTACCTGCAGCATCAGACCCTCATCACCCCCGCCCAATCCGAGGACGAGCTCAAGGTCAACATCCCCTTCACGCATGCTGACTACGTCTACGGCATCTTCGACCTGACGGGAGAAATGATGCGTTTCGCCATCTCCGTCACGGCCCTCACGGGCTCCATGCCCGGTGACAGCAAGGGCCGCACCATCCTCACTGATTTACAGGAGGTGTCGAGCATGTTGCAGATCTTGCCCCCGCTCAGCTCCAAGAACTGGTCCAAGAAGGTGGACGTCATGGTCGAGCAGGTCAAGAAGGTGGAACGTGTTGGATATGGTGTTACCGTTCGAGGCAATGAGCGGCCCAAGGGTTGGATGCCTGATATGAATGAGGCGGTTGGCGGTCGTGAGGAACATGAGGAATCCGCTGACTAGGAAGTAGCCTCGGCTCCTGCCACTTCCGCTCAAGTTGCCGGTTCTTGTGCTTGTTTGGGTGTATGTCGATGTCGCATTTATCATCATACGACAGTCTGGTTTCTGTCGACAATGTAGCTCGAGGTATGACCTTATGCTTAATCTCATCTCTTCGCAGCTTTCCTTATATTCTACATACTAATACTCATCAGCATTACCCCTGGCCGGCCACCATGTGAACCGCATGCGTCCTGTCAAAACTAGAAAGCTAAGGCGTTGCCTACATACATTATTGAAGACGACATCTCTCTGGCCGCCATAGAAAGCTTTTCGTCCCGTTCTGTTTCGTTCTTGTCGACGATTTATTCCACAGACAGGCCTCATCTCAACTCCTGTCACATGTCAACCGCGCCGCTCTTGTTTCAGTACTGTCCCGCACTTTACAGGGCCGCTCGCGGATCATGTCAGCCTCCTGTTAACATGACACAATACGGCCATGTACGCTCGCCACAGTCGGCGCAGGAGGTTCTGAACGTGGTCCTCTACCTGGCACTCATGCCGTGGTTTCTCCATAGAATCAATTCATCAAGAAAATGGTGCACGTGAGTCGAGTTTGCATCTCGTTCTGAAACCTTTATTCCGAACAAGACAAAAAATACAATGTTGTAAACCCTCTCATCTATCGTCGGTCTTCCGGCGCGAACCTCTCCCTATCCAAGTCTATTTGATGGTAGCGTCTATCTATCTCCTCAAGGCTCCTGTATGTCCCACAAAGCTTTAAACAACCCGCCAATCTCCAAAAGATTATCCGGGCTATCGAACTCGGCCAGCCTCCCATCTTGCAGCACAGCGACCTTGTCAAAATCGGCGATGGTCTTCAAGCGATGCGCCACGACCACCATACTCCATCCCGCGAACTCCTTCCTGATGAGCCCCTGAATCAGCTCGTCTGTCTGGTAATCAAGACTGCAAATGGATATCTTAGCCATTGATTCTAAATACGCCCAAGAAGAGAAAAACAATTTACCTGCTCGTAGCCTCATCCAGTAGTAGAATGCTACTGCTCCTCAACATAGCCCTCGCCAGACAGAAAAGCTGCCTCTGCCCCGCACTCAACCAGTCCGCGCTGAAATCCGCGTCCAATCCCCCCTTATCCTCCACCACGCCCCGGAGTCCTGTTTTCTCCAGCGCAGTCAGGATTATCTCATCGGTTGAGTTACACATCGGGTCGAGATTATATCGCACCGTACCCGCGAGCAGCAAAGGGTCTTGTGGGAGCGTCACCACGCCCACGCGCAGGGCGTTTAGTTGAAGCGTGGACGTGTCGACGCCGTCTATCCTGATCGTCCCGGACGCAGGCTCGTACAAGCGAAGAAGCAGCGCCAGGAGCGTCGATTTCCCGCTCCCGCTGCGACCGCACACGGCGACTTTCTCCCCGGGTTTGACCTCGATATTGATGTCGTGCAGTACCGTACGCATGCCATACACAGCACTAAGTCCCGAAATTTTAATTTCTCCCCTCGAGGGCCAGCCAGCGGGTGGCCGATCCGCACCCTCCTTTTCCTGCGGCGTGTTGGTCTCGAACTCCCGGATACGTGTAACGGCCCCAATGGACGTGTCAAGCTCAGTCCAGGTCTGTATTAGCGCCATGAGCGTATTCCCGAACCCTGTCATACTCGTGAGCGACGCGCCAAGAAGACTGGGCCGGACATGATATCTAGTAGCGACGGAAATACCGACCAACAGCACGCACAGCCCCGCAAGGATGAGTTCAAGGACGAGGCTGAGCCAGCGCTGCACGCTGAGGAGGAGGTAGGCGGGGCGTTGCGAGGTATCGAGGCGGCGGAGATGTTCGGTCTGAGACTGAGAGGTCCAGGAGAAGGCGCGGAGGGTGGTGAGGCCCGTGAAGGAGGAGATGAAGAAGGAGTAGAGGGGGGACTTGGATTCGAGGTCCAGGAGGCGGAGTTGGCGCGAGGTGCGGAGGTAGAATCTTTGGACGTAGAACAGGATTACGGAAAGGATCGGGATAGAGGCG